CCACGATGTTCCTCACGACACTAAAAACAATCTCACCACTTCAAACCCTCCTTCTCGCCATCCTCACCATATTCACCATCACAACAACCGCCTCCCCTCTCCCCCAACTCCACCCACGGGCCCTCCCGCCCACCCTCGTCCCACCGCCCTCAAGTCTCCCACCACCTCCCTCCGGCCTCGTTCTCAAGCGCGTCCTCCTCGGACTCGGCACGCAGAACTACACCTGCGCAACCTCCACCACCGCCAGCGCCCCCAAATCCAACGGCGCCCTCGCAACCCTGCACGACCTGTCCCCGCTGCTCCTACCCGTCAAACCCATGACCGCAGTCGCGGCCCTGGCGCCCCTCGTGCCGCCCCTCGCGCTCGCCCGCGCCGCCGAGTCCAGCTACACCACCGCGGCCTCGCTGCTCGGCCTCCCCTCATCCGGGACGCACTTCTTCGACGCGGCGGGCGCGCCGAATTTCGTGCTCAGTGGCGGCGCCGAGGTGTTTAGGGGCAAGCTGCAGGCGAGGACGCCGGCGGTGGTGCCGGCCGGGGGCAGTGCTGCGCCGGCTGTCGATTGGCTGATCCTGGCAGATGCGGGGGGGAGCAGGGGAAGCTTGGTCGGCGGTGTGGTTTACAGAGTCTGGACAGCGGGTGGAGTTGTGCCGGCGAGCTGTGAGGGGCTGGGGAAGGAGGTCGGGGTCGGGTATGCGGCTGTTTATTGGGTTTATGGGAAGCCGAGTGGGGACGATGACGATGATGATTGAAGCGGTGGGGGTGAAGATGGTGAGCGAGGGAGGAGGCGGAAGAGTGGTTGGGTGGAGAATGGCTTGCAGAGGTGGACGAGGATGGCGATGCTGAAGAGATGGTCGTGGGGTTGAAGAGCTCGGTAATCTTCTTGTAAATAGTGTTCTTTTCTTCTTCATCTCCTTCGGCACCGCCGGAGACATTTTGGGAGGCTGGTTGATTGACGATTGATGATACCATTCTGCGATTTTCGTTGTCATTCATTCTACTCATTCGCTTAATAGATAGAGCAAAGCATGCCACCTTGGAGAAGTTCTACGCAGCCTCCTGAGCAGTGACTAGTGAAGAACGATCACAGAAGCCTCCACGGAGTTGACTTTGCTTGTGCACTTATTGCCTTTTACGGATATTGCGGATGTACTAGCTCCAGTGAGAACTTGAGCGTGCACCACGATGCCAGCAGTGGAGGACGCTCACAAGAGCGTCTGGCGGGCTGTGCTTGGGGATAAAGAAGCTTGATGGGAGGCCCGGTTCAGCAATACGTTGTATCGCTAGCATGGCTCTGCGGATCTGCAACGCGGGTTGAAGACGGATAGAACATGCCGTCCAAGAATAAGAACCGCTCATGCAGAATCGTCCTGGAGGTTTATCGCTATGTATCGACACATTTTGAATTTGCGAAACTGCGTTGTTCTGTGGCGGCGAATTCAGGGGGTTAGACGTATTGAGCGAACATGCGCGCTTCTACACAACTTCCAGCACGGTGAGATAATTGAATATGTCCCGAGAGTCGAGGTGCGGCTGTTGGAGTTGGCATTACTCACTATGGTAGATACTCCGCCATCGATTCACAGGATGTCTGATCCTCAGTAGCGCGGACGACAGAAACAGTCTCACACGAAGGCATTGAAGCTCTGCTCATCTGCCCAACTCTGGGTTGGCAAATCTGTACTAAGGGACTCACGAACTGCGAGTCATTGTACGAGTGCTTGGTACAAGGCATAGCAGAGCTGACTATCAAGACTATCAGTCAGGTTTCCAGACAAAGGTTCTCGCGTACGGCTGATCGTAATCCAAGTGACGAATCCGCATAATGCTAACTTCTGTAGTTTCTCTCGACACGATGAGGGGTTCACATCCACCCTTCGCCGCCCTCAGTGCCTAATTCCTCGAGGTCGCCGAGACCGGCGGACAGGCGGTTATAGATTCCTACTTGATACGATCCAAGACCACCAAACCTACCATCCAAAAGTCTGCAAAGCGCTGGTACAAGCCAGGGACGTCAGCCGTACACCGTCCTCTGATCGGGAAGCACAGACTTCGAGCTACCATAGCGTCAGCGTAGCTCCGGCATTCCGACTGGGTCATGCCGAGAGTATGGGATAGCGCACCGGCAAAGTATTCCGGTGGAGCAAGCCAAAGACTCAGAGTATCTTGAAAGTTTCCAGGAGCATTGGGGCTGTGCGATAACACGTTGGCGAAGCGTCAGGTGCTGTATTCGGATGCGCCAGAGTGGTGCTAACGCTAAAGGCCGCAAGATGGCACGTGCAATGATCTGTCGTTGCGGTAGCCGAGCGACGGTCCCGCGGTGTTGGTCGCCGTTAACAGGCGCTAGCTAGCTGTTAGACCACTGCGGTCCGTGGGTTGGTATCGGAGACTCCGTGACACTGATGCTGGGAAACGGGTAGGCGGCACGGCGGGCCGAATTTGAGAGCTGAAATGAGACGCAAAGATGAATTAAGCAGTCGGGTTGGCAACCTGAAAGGCGGGTTGAGACTGATTTAGGTAAAACGATGATATTTTTCTGAGGAAATACTTGAGAAGGTAAGAGCTTGTGGTAGTGGCAGGAGGCCCCATACGACGACAAAACGCAGAGTGCAGAGACTAACCAACAAAACGAGCATCGAACGTTGACATATGAACTAACGATATGACAAAAGGACATCAAATAGAAATAACAATGCCTGTTCCCAAATTACTCCCGCTGGAATGCTTTGCTACAGTATGCAGACTTTTCCATGCTTTTTCATGCCAAACAGCCGTCAACATGATCCCGTATTGATACAGAGTGTGAAAACGTCAAACCCCAGAAGGAAAGCGCCAGAGTATGCTGATAAAACGCGAACGTCCGACCGTTGCTAACATAACGCATGCCGCACAGCGGCTGTATCGGACAAGAGGGGCAGTCAACGCGAAAACCGGAGCGAATGCGTAATCCAAAACTACAGCTGTCACCAGGAGCGGCTGTAGACGGAGTGTAACCAAGCGAAGGTTGGCCAGATGGCCTGGAGGAGAAACGAGAGCGACCTGTCGCGCCGGAAAGCCGGAAAGTCTCGATGCGGGTCTTGTTGAGATTGGGCCGATATTATGGACGTTCGGAAATCATCGTCGAATCATCTGTTGGATCGTCGCCAGCGACGGGTCTTCGGCGAGCCATTTGCCCTGAGCAGCATCCTGGACCCGCAGGGAATACTCAACGCGCTCGTCAGTAATGGAAGCCAGTTCCTGCAAGTCCGAAACCAGTCAGTGAGTATTCGTTGTACCAGCGGTATGGGCACGCTCTCTAAGCGTGCTCAAGAGGCAAAGTTCGACTTACCACGCGCAAAGACTGATCGACTGCTTGTAGCTGCGCCTGGCGCCCATGCGATCTCGGACCTCTCAGTACAGCATTGCGAGCGTTGATCCAGCGCATCGCAGCGGTGGCTCGAAGGTACGTCCTCTGGCTTTTGAACCGACGGACACTGGCGTCCAGAATGACACTAATTCAGTCCAACGGGTCAGCCCAAGCGACCCAGGTTGAGGACCGCCACCGAAACGCCGAGCGTAGCCGGTATCCAGATCTAGACGACTGCAGGAAGATGACTTACGACCTCAGTTGAGCCTTCTCTGCCTCGGGGTTCCCACTCGGCGGTACTGACGAGGCTGAGAAAGGACCTGCGAGAATCGACCTTCCTTCTGCGACGCATTGTCGGACCAAGGCGTACCCTTCGAGGTAGTACTCCTCTGCCGTAGGCGATGTTCGTATTTGCGCGATGTAGTGTTGGAGGTTTCGGAAGTCGGTCACGATCTCTGCAACGCGCATGGCGCGGGCGTCGTTTACTGAGCAGCGTCTCCATTAGCATCTAGGATGGTGACAATGATGATGAACAGACATAGCAGGTTGACGGGTTGGGACAGAACAAAGATGTAAAACAGCCTTACGTCCATCAGCCATTGTGGCAACTTGATTAGTGGATTAAAAAATAAAGATAGTCGAGAAGCGAAGCGAAGGTGATTACGGATGATCAACGAAAGACATGCAAGTTAGCTTGCCTCAGAAGGGCTGCTCCAGCTCGTGGCCGCCCACAACGTCTTATAGAGAGGCGACTTTGGCCCTCCACAACGGTCGAAATGATAGCTACGACCGCGTGGGAGTGGGATCAGTGCGCATGGCTGCTCCCGCCGCCAGCAGTAGCCAAACACGCCCTGTGGGGTTTCCAGCTGGGTTGGGATGCTCAGCATCACCAGGGGCAGTAACGATATTGGACAGCCGCAAAAGTGCTTTGGGTAAAGTCAATGAAGGTAGTTGGGTCGAAGGAAGAGGAATAGCAGTAACGTGCAGCAAAGCGAGCGAGGAAAGCTGATGGTGCTGCAGACGCCCATCAGCACGGTCAATATAGATCAATAACGATGGTCCAATTCGTGCCTCAGCTTGGTGATAGCAAGCCACCGAGCGCCACAAGGCCGAAATCCGCTTAGAGGGCCGCCAAGACGGTCTCAAGCTGCTTCTCGAGAAGCGCAGTAGCGCCCATCATTGGCTGCTAGCGACAAATGTCAGTTTGACCGTCGTTGCGCCTGCTGAGACGGAAGTTTAAGCTCGTTGCGCCTGCAGCCAAAACATGGCTCCACACCGTCATGGGAAAACGTGCGAACGACTTTCGGCTAGCCACGCGATGGCTGTGCATCGGATCTGCCGAGCGGCTCCTCCACTCACAAGCGACAACCTCGCGGCTGCAAACAAGTAAGCTATCTTGGGAACTTTGACAGCTGAGGCTGGGCGGACACTAGTGCCGTAACTGGTGCTTAGAAGGACTAGTCATACATACAAACGGTACCGGCTGCGGCTGAGACTCCCAAATATGCATCTTTTGCTGCAGGAACGCAGCTCTAATAACCCATGCCCAGCGATTGAAGGAGTCTCACGAGTCGTATAGACTCATTCAGCGCCTGAAAACCCACCTGAACCAGTATTAGGGTACGCACGTATCGCTACAGCTTGCAAGTGCCGGAGATTCTTCCATCAGTCCTTGTCTGCAATCGCCTGTAACCGGTCGTCGATCTCCTCCTCGGTCAGCGCTCTGAACTCGTTCTGAGTGCCCTCCTTTCCATCAGTTCTCGGCCCCCCCACTATGCCGACCTCCAGCTCGCCCTTCTTGAAGTCGACACTCAGCACGGTGCTCAATGTTGTTATTCCGAGCTCGACGACATCTTCCCATGAGCCTTCTGCGCAATCCTTATTCTTCAATTTCTTCTCCAAGAAATTCAGAGCTTCCTGTGTCTTCGGCCCGGATGCCGTCGCTTTGTAGCCCGTGTAGTAGCCGGCAGGATCACACTTGTATAGCTGAGGACCAAACTCCGAATCGACTGATATAAGGGTAGATGCGACCCCGAGCGGACGCATGTACGCCTAGTGGAGATAGTTAGTTATCGTGAATGCCCACCGTTAGGAGTTTGCGCAACGTACTCGCTGCGTGTAGACCTGGTTGATATTCGCCAATCTCTTCGCCAGCACGTCGCACGGCATTTCATATCCGTACTTGTACCGGAACTCAGCAGCTTCTCCTCGCGCTCGGTTGACGGACGCTCTTGCATCGGCGATGGAGCCTGTCATGACGCAGCCAACGGAAGGTGAGAGCCTGTAGACGTAGGAGACAGACGAGGGATCGATGAGCTTGTCCTGTGATAGCAATGTGAACAACTGGACTCGTGGTTTATCGACGCTGGTGATGGCCGCTTACGGGAACCTTTTTTTGTGAGATAACCACCGCACAGCTCTTGCCCCTCACCCCTACGGAGGTTATGTTTGCTGCCGTTATCGCTTTGAAGGCATACTCTATGATGCGCTCCCACGTCAGCTTCGCGGTCCCAGTTTGGCCCACGGCTGGCCGTTGGCTGTGGCTAAGCGGTGTATAGACGGTGATCGAATGTACGAACCGACTTGGTACAATCGGCCTTGGTCGGAGAAGATGGTGATGTGCCTGTCGTATCCCGCGCTGCCTGTTCAACAACCAGGTGTTAGTTTGATGAGCTTGGATTGACAACAACATCAACGGCCCATAGCTACTTGCCGGACATGGTGACGTGGTTCTTGGGGTGTCTGTTGCTGGAGTGTATGCGTCTTGCTCGAGACCTGTCAGAGGTTTTCTGATGCAATCTAATGCAAGGGTAGAGGTGGGCGAGGCGGTAGCTGATATGCGATGATCCTCCAGGCACAGCTTGAAGCTCTAGCAAACGCGTCGCTCCCCGGGCGCGGACGTGCCAAGCTCCGCCCGGAGGGAGGAAAGGGCCGCGCTGGCCAATCAGACCTCCCAGAAGAAAAGTTCTGGAAAGTCTTCATGACTGCGAGCGCTGAACATTATCAGCTGTACGGTGATGCCGGAGAACTGCAAGCCTGTAGATGTCCTTCCGCTGCTCACACATGTCCATAACATAGTGCCTCGGATTTAGAATCTGTCATAATGTCTCGGATACCGGCCTGGAAAAGGCTTGGTCTGAAGCTGAGCTCCGCGCAAGAGCTTCCAGATGAAGCACTCGCCGTACCTGAATCAAACGTCTATTCGAAGAAACGCAAGCTCGAGCATGAGACGAATGGCCACAAAGCTAGCAACCATGAAGGCGATCAAGCGAATAGTGCCGGAGAGAATGGTCACATGAGCAATGGGAGCAAGAAGAGAATGCTTTGTGAGACCAACAGGAGCTCCAAAGACCATGAGATGGGACCTACTCCAAGGACAGACCAGAAGTTAGCTACAGCCAGCCGTTCAGAGAATTCACCAGAGTCGATGAAAAAGAGCAGGAAGAAGTCCGAATCAGATCACCCAATCGATTCAGCTGTCGAGGACGCCCTCAACCCGCAAGCAAGCAGTCACGTGTCAGGGAAGCCGGGAAGTGATCAAACAGACTTCGGTGTGATTGGGACTGATCCAAAGACACGCAAGAAGCCGAAGAAACATCAGGCCACCGAAACTACTACTAACGACTCTAAATCTTCGCCATCTTCTGCAACGTTAGCCGCAACTCCACAGAAGGTCACTTCCACGCCATCTAAATCCCGCCGAAAGTCAGTTGCATTTACACCAGAAACCAAACAAGAAGACGGTGACAGCGCACAGCAGCTCTTCAAGGCTTGGGTGCAGGAGCAGAACGACGCTGATGCTGAAGCTGGATTTACGCCTGAGCAGATTGCGGAATTTCTGTCTCCGCCGAGGAAAACCATTGCAAGCGCGGATGGTCCGATCTCCCAGCCCGCAGGAGAGCCGGTGAAGAAGAGCAAGAAAGCCAAGAAGGAGAAAAAAACAAAGGCCCGCGCATCTGACCCTGACTTACTTTCGTCGCCGAAAGCCGGCAAAGACCAGGAGGAGGCAGAACCCAGCCCAAACGACGAACAACCGTCCGTCGAAGAGCGAAAGTCGGCTAAGAAGGCTCTACGCGAAGCTCGAGCAAAACCAACACCTACAGCCCAGCCAACACCGCAGTATCTAGAGTACCTGACCCATTACCACACTAACCGTGACACCTGGAAATTCAACAAAGCAAAGCAAACCGACCTCCTCAAGCACCTCTTCAACATCTACCGAATCCCTTCTCAGTACGACGACGCACTCATCGCCTACATCTCCGGCCTTCAGGGCCAAGCCGCACGCCAGCGACTGCGTGAAACCGCCACTGCCGTTATCGCTGAGGATATCGGAAACCCACCAGCAGCATTTGTCCAAGCTTCAACGGACGTCATGGACGACCCCGCAGCCCGCAAAGCCGCTCACGACGACGCTCTGCGCGAGCGTCTCCGCAAAGAAAAGAAGCGCCGCCGAGAGGAAGACGATGAGGAAGCCGCGCAGAGTGAGGAGTATCAGCAGAAGCTAAAGCGACGACGAAGGGCGGAGAGGGTACTGCTTGCACTAGGAGGGCAGGATGTGCCGAATCCGCCTGAGTCGTCCGCGGTAGGCAACGGGGAGGTGAGGAGGAACGACGAAGCTGTGGCGGGGAAGAGGAAGCGGGTTAGGAAGAGGAGGGTGGAGGTGGTGGACGAGAGCAGCAGCAGTAGCGATGAAGGATCGGAGACGGAGATCCCGTCGCCTGCGGCATCCAGCGATGGGAAGCCTGATCGCGAGGGTGGCAGGGCTGAAGATGGCGAGGACAGCGGAACTGATGGTTCAGTCGACAACAGTAGTGACGATGGTTCTAGCAGCGGAACTGACGGCTCGGCCTCAAGCGACGATGACAATTCAGACATCAGCGGAACCGACAGCGATTCCTGACAGAACACCGTTCCCACATCTTTCGTTTGCGTCCCTACACGCAACATTCGTCACAACCATTCAGCGTCGGAACATCTCTCGGCGCTAGAATCAGTCAAGTTCACTAGCGTCATATCCATCAGTACTAGAGATGGCCACCGTCACAGTCTTCACGCCTCTCAGCGTGCTCATGTTTTGAATGGCATGGCAGTCAGCGAAAATGTATATAAAGGCACCCAGCCATGCATCTTTCATAGCGAGATCCCGGTAACTAACTCTACACCAGACGCCAATCGTGAAAGATCACATGAGAACCGGAGATTGAGATAAGCCGCATCTCTCCTCGCCGTACGCGTGCCGTACGCAATAGCAGTGCGCCAACTAGAGTGCAATTCAGGCGCTAAAAGCGAGGAAGGGCTCTGCCAACAACTTCCCCACCCACAACAAGCGCGATAAGAGAGCGCCCCCTTAAGTAAAGAAGCCACTGCAACATGCGCCAATCACGTCTTTGCCTTCTCCCCCGCCTCCCTCCCACCTTCTCCGCCGTCCTTCACCTCCGCTTCCTTGCCTCTCTCCTTCTCCTTCTCCTTCTCCTTCTCCTTGTCTTTCCTGCTCCCACCCCTCCTCCGCCTAACCGGCTCATAAACATCATTGAAGTTCATAACCATAGCCAGCCATCGCAGATCTGGGTCCGGCTGATAATACAAATCGCCGAGAAGCACATTGACCCTCCTCCTGAAGTCCTCACTCAGGCTCCCCAGCCGGACGCGCAGACCAGCCAGTATATCATCGTCATTAGCGCTCCCGCCCACAAGCTTGGATGCCGGCGCGGCCGCAAACGGACTGCCCGTATCCAGCTGGCGCTCCGAGACGCCCCACTTGCCCGCCTTGGTCCTCGCCTCAATCGCCGCAGCCTTATCCTGGCGGCGTGAGAACTCGGCCACCGAGAACGAATACAGCCCATCGACCGCATCCCTGTAGTGCAGCATAAGCTTGAGCAGCTCGTGCAGCTGTGCCGGAAAATCTACCACCGTGCTGCCCAGCAACCCTTTCCTGGTAATGTCCTCGAGGTACTTGCTATGCGCCTGTATCAGATCATCAAGCGTGCACCCCTCCCTCCGCATCTTTTGCTGTAGCTCCGTCCAGCTGGCCTCGACGACCTCGAACAGGATATAGTATTGCAGCTGGTTGACGAAGTGAATCATCTCCGCGACAACCGCGCGCGCCTTCTTCCAGTCCGCGCCGACCTTTTCCGACACGGCGCCCAGCACGCCGCGCGCACCTGTCATGCACCGCCGCCAGGTGCTGCCGAGCGCGAACTCGATGCGCTTGACGCGCCAGAGGAAGTTGAACACCTTGAGGTACTGCTTCCCGGCAAACGGTGTAACAATCACGTCGACGGGGGCGTCGATCCTGTATTCCAGCGTGAAGACATCCCAGCCGATGTCGCCGTGCGTGAGCTCGAGCATGCGTGCGTCAAGGCGGCGCAGCACGTCTGGGAGGTCGTACTGGGCGTTTGAGTTGCGGACCGCGTGCTCGAGCTGCGCAGTCAGCGTGTGGCGGTACTGCGTTATGGCTGGCCGGTCGAGGGCTGAGGACAGGGATTCCATCAGCACGGCGATGAAGTCGCCGGCGCCGAGAAGGATGTAGGATTTCATGGCGCGCAGATGCTCGAAGAGCCGGAAGCGCGTTTCCATGAGCTCGATCAGGCGGGCCATGGTGGTTTTGTAGGCGAGCCCGATGGACCGCTCGAGCGAGGCCGTGTCGCCGTAGCGGAGCTCGCGCGAGGCGGATTTGGAGTAGCTCTCCACCCAAGCGGCGTCGCCGCAGCCGTGGCGGATGAAGTTGAGCGTTTTGCCGATTAAAAAGACTTTGTTGGCGAAGTCTTCGGTTACGATGGTTGGGACCATGGGCGGGTTGAGCTTGTATTTGTCTTCCCAGACGCTTGTAGCGCCGCCTTTCTCGTTACCGTCTTCGTCTTTTTCCGGTAGTTGTTTTTGCTCGCAAACGAAGAACTCAAGGTATGGATCGGATAATTCACCGTCGTAGACCCATTGTCGTAACATGTCGTAAAATGGTCGTGTCACGTGAGAAAGCAATCTTTCGGCAAATGCGCCGACGAATGGATCTCCATGGGAGAGGGAAAAGGAATGAATCAAAGAAATTAGCTCCCCACCCTTCTTGCCTGTTGATCCGTTAGACATGTTTTGTAGATACGCACTGTGACTCACCTCTCGATTCCTCGACCATCAAGCTCATCAAGCGTAAGCCCATCGTCGCTTCCCGCGTCCACACCACACATCGTCGCAGGGTCACGCCTGCCTTGCCAATACCCTGCCGAGGCAGCGACTCGTCCAGCTGCGCCAGCGCCCTGCGGATCTGCCCTTCAAGGGTAGCCACCAGACCAAGGTATGACCGCAGTTCCGCACCAAGTGCAGATCTGAAGCTTTGACCCACAAGGCCACCTTCGGACGAGTCCACAAACTCAGAGAGGCTGCGATACAACAGGGAGGGCTCTGCCAGGGTGTGCAGGAGGCTGATCAACGGCACTGGCAACGTCGCTGGCAGTTTGAGTTTGTTCGGAGCTGAGAAGACGAGGTTGGTGGAGGAGAGGCCTTGGAGTGTAAAAGGGAGATCACGGAGCAGCGCTGGCTCTGACGGCTCCTGCCCCATCCGTTCTGCCTTGTCTTGGGCCTGCGCAGGGGATTTATGCTGTTCATCGGTCTCTTCGGCCTTCCTTCGCTCCGGCCGTCTCTCTAGCCTGAGTGTCTGCACCGATCGAGCCGGTTTGGAGGTCTCGGGCTTCGGTAGCCTGCGCAGACCAGCACTGGAGAAGGCTTCGTTGAATGCAGGGCTGTCCACCAGAAATTGTCTCTCCCCTAGTCGTTGTCTCGGTGACGGGTCTGGAGATTTCTCAAGAGGTTCGACGCTGGACCGATAGCTTGGTACATGGTCTGGTACACGTGCGCCGTCGCTCTGTGTTGTTGTAGGAGGTTCTGAGTCGGAAAGCAGGTGTAGGAAGTGGAGCATGGCCCATTTTTGATTCAGAACCGGTTGCGCGAGGAGCTTGGAGAAGAGATTGGAGAACTTTAATGCTTTGTCTGGGAAACTATTGTCCCGTATTACTGCGCCAGGTCAGCAGGGTCGACCATACATCCATAGTCACTTACAGTCCCGCTTGATCAAATCGGAAACATGATTGACATCTGGCACTATGGCCGGCTCGCCTGCGCTGCAACACCGTCAGCACATCTATCCCGTGCCGAAGCATATCTTGTAGTCCTTGCCTGCCTATAGCCTCAATTGCCAAGTTAAAAGCATCTTCGAACCGCTCGTCTGCTGCCACTTCATCCTCGTCCGGATAAGTCGGTAGTATGCGTTCGAGAAGCTGCGATAACGCGTGCTCGACGCGCTCTTCCTGTGTCTTTGACATTGAAGCGTCGGATGATCATTTCTGCTGCGTCCGATGTGCGGTTGGCGACGCGCTTTGCGGCGGACTGGACGTGGTGTTTTGGTGAAGTGTTTGGTCTTGGCATGGTGGGGGTTTACGGCGGGATTCAGGGTCCGCTCCGCTCCATAATTGACTGCCAGTGCCGGTCGAGTTTAGGTAGGTAAGGTAGTAGTTTCATGCACCGAAGGATGATAGCACGGACAGAGGATAGTCGAAGGAGCGTTTTTGACAGCTCATGCTACTACCATAGAGCCAAGCATAGTCAAAACACGTAACTCACGCACTGCCCTAGTGCTAACGATACATACATTTTCCTTTGTGCCAAACACCCCGCGACGCAACTGAGAGAGTGCTTGCTTTCCAAGAAAGCAGAAAGTGATGGTAACGCCTAATGCCCATGCAGCAGAAACAAACGACGAGACCATTCCCCTCCAGTTCATCCTCACCTCACCGCCGTGCGCCGCCCCTCATCTGGTTGATCATGAGCGTCTTGAACCCATTCTTCAAGCTCATCATATCCGGATACTGATACTTCTGCAGCTCAAACGCATTCGGCACGAGCTTGACCGGCCAATTGCTGAGGGGCGCATTCTGACCGTTCTTGAAGCACAGGTAGAAGTAGCCTGGGTACTTGGGATTGATGCAGAAGGCATACATGGAGCGCTTGGGATTCGCTTCCGTGTAGGTCGTGAGCCATTGTTCTGGAGAATGGGATGTTAGCATGAGGATTACTCTTAGAAGGATGGATGCTGAAGGGGGGTTTATGGAGGGAGAACATACCCGTCTGCGCCTTGCTCCCGTTCTGATACTTCTCGTCTCCCATCATCTCGTCCACCTTCCTCGCCATCGCCTTGACATGATTGACGATCAACTCATCCAAATCGCTGTACGTGTACTTGCCGCCGATCTTGAGCGTTTTCCCGACGGAGAACTCGTTGTCCTTGTCCAGCTCGAGGACGTCGATATGCTGGTAGATGTTGTCCGAGATCTTCCACGTGACCGCAAGATGGTCAACACCCTTGGATGACGGTCGGATTACCACGTCGCCGCGGCCTTGCGAACCGAGATACTCCTCTGCCTGCGCGGAATTGAAGGGGCGGAAGAGGGGGTGCTTGATGACGCGCTGTGCGCGGCCGGAGACGTCTTCTTTCTCTCGCTCGGCATCCTTCTTGTCCTGCTCTTCCTGCGCTTCGTCCCACTCGCCCGGCAAACGGTCCAATTCCTTCCGATACGGCCGGCGGAGCGCATCTTCACGGAAGGAGAGCTGAGCGCTAAGCTGTTTACGGTTGAGGTACAGAAGCTTGGCCTGGACGGTCTGGTGGACAGAGAACACTTGGCGCGGCTCAAGTCCGTTCTCGCCGCCGACACCTTCGGGGTATTCGGTTTCCGATACACCGCCCTCGATGCCGCAGTCAAGCTTGACGTCGATGTGGTCACCGAAGGTTCGCCGGATCTGTACGGGCACGATCATGCCCTCGACAAGCGACTCGCGGGTCTCTCCCGTGAGCATCGTGAAGATCTCATCGGAGGTCAGTAATGAGAAGTTGCGGCGCAGCTCCTCGTACGGTTGTTGTAGCTCTGCGCGGATGAGCTCCAGCGTAGCCCGTTTCTTCTGGTTGAAAGTCCGCTCCAGCTGCTCGGCGTACTCCTCGAGCACGAGATCATTGACGTTGTCCCGCGCGTCATCCTTGACGAGCCTCCGGACGACGGCGGCAGGACCACCCTCGTCGATTTCCGCTTTGACGTCTTCCTCATCCAGTTCCAGAGCGTCGGCCGCCATCTTCCGTCCCAAGTCATAGTCTTCAGGATGCACACGCGTATTGTCGAGGTAATCTGATTCCTGCTCATGGGGGTCGAACAGAATGTAAAGAAAACTTGCACAGTTGGTCCAGACTTTGGGTCCGACTGCAGCAAGCAGCTTTTTCTCTACATCACCAACTAGTTCTGCTCTAGTGGTGACGACGCCGCCGTTGTAGTTGATGACCTTGAGCAGCTGCGCAGCCTTTCGAGGACCAAGACCACAGACGTAAGGTACGAGATTGGCGATGTAGGCATCCCCCACAGCATCGTTAACGTCCACGCCTACAAGATTGACCATGTCGATCATGGCACTGTCGAGAGCTTTGATCAACTTGTCTTGGGGCAGAAGATCTTGACTCGGGTCGAAGGAGATGGAAACAATGTCCTTGCCGAGGGCCGCGTATTCCAGCAGTGGGTTCTGTAAGTATCTAGCCAAAGCAATGCAATACCTCGTCAGTGGCGCAAGGGAGGGATGTTCTTGAGCGGCCCGGTCACTCGTGTGGTAGAGCCTTGCGACCTCATCGTTGACGATGACGACCTCTATTTTGTCCCTGTGTTCAATATTGTCATCGTCTTCCCAATCAGTGGCTAGGTCATGGCGATCGACGAGTTCCTGGATATCTTTGTAGAGTCTTCTCGTTTCAACAGAGAAACCGGAAACACCGATAACATCGGGCTTTCGCCGTCGCACAAGCTCCACAAAGGCATTGACATCCTTGCCGTCCGCTTGGTATTTTTCCGGGTTACCCAGGCGCAGATCGATGAATTTGCCGTTTTCAAGCACTTTGCCGTCATCCCCTACATAGGTCCAGCAGATAGCATCGCGGTTGAAGACGCCATTGCCGTTCGAGAGCGTCAGTGCTCGGGGTGTTGTGCCCAGTACGAAGCCCTTGGGCTTGTATGGCGCCTGATCTAGCTTTTCAGTGTACTTCAGCCGGCAGGCCTTCGCAAGCTCCTTCTCGCACTCGGAACGCAGCGTCTCTTTCACACCCTTCGTGATGATCTTCTCTAGTTTGAGGAGTGCCGCGTCCAGCACCTCTCGCCGAGTCTGGTTCCAAGCGTCGGCAGCTTCACTGAAATTATCTGACTCGATGTTCTTGTACAGCCTCTCTTTGAAGTTCCGGTATCCGTCCAGCCTTATGTTAACATTGACCAAACCTTCTGACTCTGCCTTGAGCATGCGCAGAAACATCTCTGGTCGGCGAGAAATGGCGTGAAAGTCCTGACCACGTAGATACTTAAACTCGTAGTACGGGTGGTCCTCGGTGATCTTGCGCAAACCTTTTTCGGTCCGAAAGCAGTCAATCAAGCCGTTCTGGTAGAACGTTTGTCGCATGAGCTTCCGCATTCGTGGACTCATAGCAAGCTCTTCGATGTACATCATCTTGGCAGCCCTCAGAACTTGAGAACCGGTACTATAGTCCGGCGGATCGACCAGAGAGTCCGCCATGTCGTCTGGCCGCTGAGACGGATCGTCTGTGTACTGTCGGTGTCCGGATCCAAGGACGTTCTGGGCCAGACTATCGGCAGTGATACCAAAAGCACGAACCAGGTTGTACACCTGGCTTGCACGGAGCTGTTCGAACATGGTCCTGCCGGTTCCTGCGCGCTTTTGTGTGCCATTTGCGTCTGCGTCCATTGAATTGACGTCCTTGAGCTCTGCAGAGTACTGGAAGTGCAGATACTCTTGAACATCCTGAAGCTCTTCCATGCTGACAGCGACTGGGACCATTTCTTCGAATACCGGATCTGTGACGTTTGCGATGGACTTCAAGTTCTCGTATGTTCTTTGAAGAGCGTCGCGCTTCTCTACCATGGCTCTGAACTTCAGGTCGTAGTCGAAGATGTCCCACAGATCGGTTTCGTTGAACAGTCGCTCCGGCTTACGCTCGCCTCCATCAATATCGTCTGGATCTGGAGAAGCATCGTCTCGAGCTGCGTGTATGAAGTAGTCTTTCCTGTGCTGGAAGATGAATGGGACCTCGAGATCTTCGATGTTCATAAACTCCAGGACTTTACCGACGGATTTCTGAAAAGGCTCGACGAACGACCGTCCAAGGCGCTTCTTGGGTAGCATGTGGTTGGATATCCAGAGGGCCTCTTCTTTTATTCGGCCCGCCATGTCTTCCTCCGTCAGCTCCTCTTCCTTGAACTGTTTTCTCGCGATCTGGAATCGTTCTGGGACGTCCTTCATCCGTATCTCGTTGTCCGCATCCGTGAGCATCTTATCCACAAGCTGAGACGGCTCGAACACATCCTTGAGCTCCAGTGGACGGTCAACGCCCATCTGCTCATCCTCCATCGCCTCTTGCAGGCCCAACGCCCAGTCGTAATCCCCACCGTCTCCGAAAGCTGCGCGCATGTCTTCTAGGGCTGCCTCGTCCAACCCCATACTCTGTGCGCCGATGATTGCGGCAGCTCCTTTCCGGGCCGGCCGCGCGACCTCCCTGTCCTCCACACGTCTAGCTTCTTCCTCATCGTCGAAAACATCCTCTTCGATGAAATCGTCTAAATCGTCCGCAAGCCCATGTCTGGGGCGGCGATCGTCTTCGAGTGCATCTTCGTCATCCGAGAATATTTCATCCACGCCGCGTGGTTCTCTTCGTTCCTGCCGCTCCTCCCGTCCGCGCTTGAGGCGCTTGTACTTTGGCTGCCGCAAGTCAGCGCGCCGACTTTCGAATGAGTAGGCGTAGCTTACCTGGTCGCGTTCCGGGCGCTCGACGCCTGTGTTCTCCATCATAAGCTCCACGTCTTCTTCGTCGAGGCCTTCCTCCTCCACCCTCTCTTTTCGCTTCCTCTTCCGCTTCCGCTCTCGTCGCGCCGCCTCATCATCCTCCTCCTCCTCGTCTTCGTCAACTATGAAGCCTTCTCGAACCTGAGAACAGTAAGTCTCGCAGTCACAGCGGCAGAGTAGGCCCTAGAACCATACCTTCGCGGCGGCCTCCTCGTCGTCATCGTCGTCTTCTTCTTCACTCGAATCGTCCCCGGCGCCAACGCCATTTGTCTTCCGGCGCGGCTCACCACTCTCTTCATCTTCATTGAAGTCCTCGTCATCTTCTTCGCTTCCTAGCTCGGCGACATCGTCGATAAGGAGATTCGCAGACATCGTTCTGGTTGAAGGGATAGGCTTTGGGTGGTAGGGTTTGAAACGTTTAGAGATGTGAGTGCCGAGGAGGGGGTTGGCAGGAGAGTCCAAGTCGATGGCGGAAGAATGTGGATGTGAGCAGTCGATGTGAAGTGCTGCAAAAGTTCAAGGGTTGAAGTCGCAGGCGCGTTGTCCTCCGGCCCAAAGCCGGCGATCGTGAAGTTTCCCAAAGAGCCGCATGGCTGACTTAGCGGCGAGCTGGCTCCCGAGGCTCCGCCGCTCTCCAAGTCAGCCGCACGTGACGTGGCTGACAGACACGTGACAGGGTATCACCCGCGTTCACTTCACCACGACTGGGTACCTGGGTAAATGCCTAGTAGACAAGACTCTGATGTCCGGCATGCTTCTCCTCCTCGGGGCTTCAGCACAGGTGTTGTAGGTTCAACATACCCAATGCTTGCGTGGATTCGGGAGATGCTGTTCAGGGAGAGGCACTGGTGTAATGCCAGAGGCAGCAAACCCCAGAACTCAGAAATTCAATCATGTTGTTACAGCCGTGGCTCGTCCTCGTCTTCGGCCGGAACAGCGTCGTAACCTGCTGGCTCTTTCAAGAGCATCCTCAACTTCAGACAAGCCGTCTTCAGCACCAGCCACGCGGTCACAGGAACGCCCGCTTTGAGCGCCTCACCCATCCGCTCGCTTGCTTGGGCACGGCGCCCCTGCCCCTTGGCACGCGTTCTCCACCTGCCGTACGACATCAAATCAGTCCTTTGGAACGAGAAGCGTGAACAGTTGTCTGAGTAGTCACATTCATTGCACAGCGAGCAAGTGCAGTGAACCCGACCAGGCATCGTGCGCAGGCTCCATTGTTCGTGTTATCGATTGTCCCGAAACCTGTTAATCCAATAGACGCCGTACATCCACTTGCACCTTTCACTTTCTGCGACAACCGCCCTGATTGGTGCCGTATTGACAACCAACGCCCTCCGACTCAATAGCTCAATAGGCCAGACTGCCTTCTACACTCCTGCAGCTGGCACACCTCACCCACGCCCTGCCCCAACAGCCCACTCCGTTCTCGACGCTGAGTATAACTGAACCCCTCAGCGCTTCCGGCGAGCTTGTAGCGCTGCAACACAGGCACCATGGCGGACGACCAAGGCTTTCGCACCAAGACGATGAAGCGCAAGAACGTCAAGGGGCTTGCGCTTGCCGCCAAACCCATACCACCAGTTCCCTCGGCGAGCGACGCACAAATACCTGGAGCCATCGGCAATGACGAGAAGCGAGCGGACACACTGGAGCTGGGCATAGAGTTCCGGCTGGACTTGAAGGCAGAGAACTTGGTTGTGCTGAAAGAGCTTGGCGCTGGCAATGGAGGGACCGTGAGCAAGGTCAGGGACGCCGCCACGAAGGCGGTCATGGCGAGGAAGGTCAGTTCATTCAAGCCGAACATGTCAGTGCGCGCTGCTGACGCCTTGGAAGATTATCCACGTCGAGGCGAAGAAGGAGATACGGAAGAGGATAGTGAGAGAGCTCCAGATTATGCACGACTGCCAGTCGGAGTACATTGTTCAGTTCTATGGCGCCATGCTGAATGACACTGGCGATGTCATCATGTGCATGGAGTACATGGATTGCGGGTAATTGCAGCTTACCCTAGTACCGACGGGGGACAGTTGAGCTTATCATATTGTTTGCAGGTCCCTCGACAGTATATCCAAAGCCTTCGGGCCAGTGCGCGTGGACGTACTGGGAAAGATTTCAGAAGCCGTCCTCGGTGGCCTTACCTACCTCTGGAGGCAGCATCGTATCATGCACCGAGACATCAAGCCTTCTAACATCCTCGTCAACTCCAAAGGCTATATCAAGCTTTGCGATTTTGGCGTCTCCAGCGAACTCGAGGGGTCGATCGCAGAAACGTTTGTCGGCACAGGTACATACATGGCGCCCGAGCGGATACAAGGCTCGCCCTACACCGTCAAGTCCGACGTCTGGAGTGTCGGCCTGACGCTGATGGAGCTTGCGATCGGCAAGTTCCCCTTCAGCGGCGGCGACGACAGAGACGGCGAAGCCGGCGGCCCACAAGGCATACTGGACCTGCTGCAACAAATTGTGGGCGAACCGGCGCCCAGACTCCCAAAAAGTGACGCCTTCCCCTCAATCCTGGAAGACATGATCGCCAAGTGCCTGCTCAAGAACCCGAACCAACGGCCCACGCCACAAGAACTCTACGTGAGTTCTCAATCTCCCTTCCCTATAGAACCTTACTCACATGCTGAAACAGGAATCCGACCCCTTCCTCCTCGCCGCCAAACGCACCCCCGTCGACCTCGAAGCCTGGGCAGTAAGCATGATGGAGCGCCAAAAGCGCACCTCGCACCTCCCACAGCTCTCCCCAACCACCAAGGCCTACCTCCGCGACGCCCGCGGCACCTCGTCGCCCTCCTCATCCTCAGGCACGCCCTCGTCACATGGTACGGAGAGGACGCCGACGAACTGGGAGGATGTCCGCGTTGCGCCAGAGAACCCACGGCAGAACGGCTCTAACCGCTATTCGGATGCGCGACCCCATTATCCGGTAAGAACGAGCAGCGCGTCGAGTGGACAGAACGTAATGAATCTGCCGATAAGGCCCGCGCCGCCGCCAGCAGCGGCACCGTTGCCGTACCTGCCGAGGAGGATGGGGTGATGGGCTCCTCTTCGCGATGCGGAGGGCAGCTGTTCATGTTATTCTGGCAGTGCATCCCCACATCGTAGCATTCTGCGAGATCTACTCGAGTCATTTTGCGGCTCATGTTCTGGGTTAAATCCTCTCTGTCAAATTTGGTTGTTCGCTGAGTTTGTTGGTTGTGAGAGTTATGCATTGGTTGGCGCGTTTGCAGTTACTCTTCCCTATACGGCCTGGTGCCGCTGATATCATCTAGGCGTGCGTACGTGGGCAAGGCAGGGCATGAGGGGACTGGGGGAGGGCGGAGTCGAGGCTGGCGAAGTCATCTAGGCGAAATACTTGTACCTTGTGTAGATAGACCAAAAACACTCTTACGAGCGGAAACGTGAACCTCAACAATATTCGTGATCACATCACATAAACCTTGCGGACATTGACCGGGCCAAAACCTTGGAAGCCGCGAAGTCGAAAAACGGTTCGGCACGGGTTCAGCAAGCGCGCTGTGTTGACCACACCTCACTCACCTCTCGGTCTCCCTTACGCATAGTGCAAGGATGATACAGAATTTCACAGTCGCGCTTTACAGTCGGCACTCGGCACTTGACGAGCTTTACCGTCGTTCTACGGAGACTCCAGAATTGCCGGATTTGGTAAAGACGTGCAATACGTAGAACGACTGTGATTGTCAAAAGGGTCAAGCGGTAGGAAGTAAGAGCGCTCGCTCTGTTGCTTGTGGGTGCGAAGAACGGTAAGTCTGTTCAGTTCGTCCATTTCTTCGTTCAGGAATTGATTCAGACATCTGGTGCGGATCGCACTGGATGATGCTTTGCGTGGCCAAAGACCCGCGATACTCCACGTACGCACTCATGTTTGGCCACAGTGCATCGGAAGAGCTTCACGAACATGATGAGTCGAATACAAAGGATGCAATCGGTCGCCGCAGGTGCTTCAGGTATCTGACCCGGGCCCCCGAACACTCCTACACTGGAATTCAAACGCTCTTCAGGTTTTCTAGTCTGTCTCAGAATCTTCCGCGCTCTTCCATGTTAGCTATATGCTGCATTGTTCGATACAATGCAGATGGTTGCCTATGAGTCTTTGTTCGCCTTTCGCGTAACTGTTACCCATAGACCCGTTTCATCTGCCTCACGACTCCCATACCGCGTAAGAGTCCACAGCCTGTGAAAACCTTGCACGGTATATAAGTTTACACCAGAGCTGTATAACCATTTCTCACTCAGCACGCTGAATCGCCTAGATATCGTTGCAATGCCCCCGCGAGCTGTTGTCGCCATGGCGCTGGCGGTATTCACAAGTTCGGTCACTCATTTCTGTCACCGTTGGAAATCTGTGAAAGTATACTAGTCGAAGGGCCTAATCTCACCGTGCCGGATATCTTGTTCTTCTTTCCTTCCATCCAACCTCAGCTCTACACTCTCCACCTACACCTGATCTAAGGTCAAGTCTGCAAATACTCATCGTCAAACCCATCGATATCTCAAATCTAACGCGACTCCAACTTTACCATCGCCATCAACGTCCAAAAGTCAACAGCAAAATGCCGAAGAGCATGGCCTTCCGCCCGAAACGCGCCGCCGCCCCTGAGGACGAAGCACGCGCCGGTAACGCTAAAAGGGCTCGATCGGCGCCATATCCACCAGGAGATGCAAAGACTCAGGGCAGCACCCCGGCATCATCGCGCAGGAGATCGTCCGCAATCAACCCGATTAAAGGGCCCTCATCTGCATACGAGAAGGAAGCTGAGGCCGCCTGGGTCATTGTCTTCCAAACACCGATGCCGAACGACCTTGACTACGGTACCTACCTCAGCACTGGAGGCGAAGGTATCATGTGCGGCACAAAAGCTCAGAAAGGACATGGGCAGGACCTCTTCACCACGCGTATGGTCTTTTACTGGGCACTCGACCGATCTCACAGCTTTAACTCCGCCCACGTGCAGACCCGCTGGCTTATACTCAAGATCACGAGCGCGCTCGAGGCGGGCGACTCTGTCTCCAAGATCGATGCTGCGTACTTCGAGGCCTTTCGGGAGTCGAAAGAGACTCCTCACTGCTTCTTGAAGAGAGAGGCATACATCCGGTTGTGGAAGTACTCTGACGAAGAACATGTGATTCTCTCCGAGTCCCTTGTAACCGAGTTCAGCAGGCGGTTGTTGGGACTGGTCCGCGCAGTTGGTGCAGGCCAGGGTGCAAAGCTACGCAGTCGGGATGTCCCAGAATCACAGCTCACTACCTTGCACGGACTTTTGGGCCGCCATGCAGAGCTTCAGACTGCTACCTCATCAACCGGACCATCTCGTGCCGGCGCTTCCGGTCTAGCACGCGACCATGTGATGTACAATGGAACAGAACCAGCAGAGTCCGGATCCCTCACCTTCTCCGACTGCCTCCAAAGGCTCGATGGATGGGCCAGCACGAGCGCAATACCAAACCACGACATGTACTTCGCTCGAGAACATGCCTATCGGGAAGCAATGGAGGCAGCTGCCAGAGGAAAGGCCGAGTGGGAGGGCAGCCGCGCTTTAGCCGTGGATGCTGCAACGGCACGCTGGGGACCGGATGGCTTCACGGTCCACGGAGACAGAATCATCTCCTCGGTCAACGCGAGCGGCGCCGGCTCCGAAATGCGAATCTCCGACTTCAAGCCCAGCCGCGGCGAGCGGGACACGCTTGAAGTCGTGCAAGAACTGCTGGCCGAATTGGAGGCTGGAGAAGCTGCGGAGGTTGAAGAGCTGTCCCGGCAGTTCGACAGAACCATGAACGTGATTACGGAGCAATCACGACTTGGCAGTATCACGGATGCGTTGAGCTCGCTAGGGGTGTCTGATCCGAACCCACCGAAGACACAGCAAGACTTGGGTGACGAAGAGATGGAGCGTGAAATGCTCCATGAGATGGCGAAGCTGGATGCAGAGGAAGCACACCAGAAGATGTTGGAGACTGAAGGCTCGAAGAGCAGGAAAGGATGGCTCCGAGCGCCGAAGTTCAACTTTGACAAACTGCGCAAGATCGATGAGGCGGAAGATTAATTGTGAGGGTTAGATCGCTGTTTCCCTTTATTCTTCGGCTTTTTGCGTCTGACGCATGCTCTCGCACTTTTACCCCGCTCAGAAGGTCATCTGGGTCCGCGTCAGCATCTTTCGGGGTTTGAGGAGGTTGCGTTCCCTTTCCATGAGAAGGCCTTTGAGTAGAGCATACTGTTATCTTTCTGTATCTTTCAGTTCGTGTGATACGTAAATATTGTAAATAGAAGCATAGAAAGGCGTTCAGATCAACGCTCCGCTGACTGAACGTGCAACAAACTGGCGAAGACCTCGACTGTGATTGTGCTTCATACGAACACCGCCGTGTTTGATACGCGATCCTTCATACAATGCGTCACGCGAATCTTCACAACGCCTTCCCTACAGCCCACAAATCCCACTCCCAAGCAATCCACTTCTAAGGTAGAAAGCCCTCGGCAACCCTCTCTCCATAAGCACAGGAATGTTCCCATTCGCCACCGTAACAGTTCTGCACGCCAACACATCCACCACCTGTGCCCCATTCGCAAACCCATGATTCCCGAGCTGCAGCGTATACGTATTACCCGCGGTCCCCTTATTACTCAACACCGTAACAATCTGCCCCCCATCAAACCCCTTCCTCATGGCAATCGTATTCGCATCCGAGTAAATAACCCAGTTCTTGTACGTCACGTACCCCGCATCCCTAAAGACCGCGAGGTTGCGGATCTGGTTCAGCGCAGCGGTGAGTTTGTACAATTCGGCGTTGGTGTTGTATCCACTCAGCCACACCGCCTCGCGGTTAAGCGGGTCTCTCGCGCCGCTGAAGTGTTGTTCTTGGCCCTGGTAGACGATCGGGACACCATCCGCCAGGATCGTGAAGGCGAGGACATTTCGCGCTTGGCTCATATCCGACGTGATGGCCGCGAAGCGGGTAATGTCGTGGTTCTCGGAAAAGGTGCCCAGCAGACTCGTGTCTTTGCAAGCGCCGTTCTTAAGCTGGTTGACCATGTTGACCAGCTCGGAGATGCTGCCAGTGGGGGAGCTGAAGGCCCGGGTTAGCGGGAAGTAGATGGGGAAGTTGAGAACGCTGTCCATGTAGTTTTGGTAGTCGCAGGTGTAGGCCGGGTTGCCGTCGAAGACTTCGCCGGTTATGAAAATCCCGGCGGCGGCGTTGAAGGCGGGGAAGAAGGACTTAGAGACGTGTTTGGCGGTGTCGATGCGGAGGCCGTCGACTGGGAGTGGTCAGTGGGCTTTCGCAGGGGAAGGTTGTTGGTAAGGGGATGAAGGGTCCTTACTTGTGTAGTTGGAGACTAGCTGGCGGATCCAAGCGTTTAGCATGTTCGCCACGGTTGGATCCTCTGTCTTCAGATCAACGAGTTGGACATTGTTGTCACCGAGCCAGCAGCCCTCTACGGAGCTCTGGTTGTTGTAGTCTGGCGTGCAGTACGGGTGGAAGTAACGCTGCTGGTTGAACGGGTTGAATTTGCTGTAGTCTACCGAGCTGAACGAGCCGGGCCAGCCCATGTGGTTCACAACCACGTCAACCATAAGGTACTACGATGTCATCAGGGGCTGTCGGAAAATCGCGAGTTATGAAGGGGAATACACAATCTGACAGTAGGCGTTTGGCGAAGTTGGACGAAGAGAGACTATAGTGGAGAGCTTACCATTCCCCGCCTGTGCAAGGCATCCGCAAGAGCTTTCAGGTCATTTGCATTACCAAAGTGCTCGTTCAGAGCATAAAGGTTCTGCTGCCAGTAGGAATGGTATGCTTGACCATAAGCAGTTCTCTCCTCCAGGTTGAACGTTATTGGAGAGATCCAGATCTGCGCAGCGTCAGTCGGCAGTCCACTTAGCGGCAATGCCTTCTGGTAGTAGCAAAGGTATGTTTTGTATAGATGCCACTCACGGCAGTAAAGCCCATGTTCTGGATATAGTCGAGTTTCTTGATGAGGCCTTGATAAGTACCACCGCAGTAGAGTGCGTCCCCCGTATTGCATCTTGCGGTAGTGCTTCCATCGGTGCGGGCGAAACTGGGTAACGCCGTTAACGAATGCACGGCAATATATGTACATGGAGAGGGGCAGAGACCGATCAGTCAACACCTGGTAGATGGATCTTGAGCGCCATTGAGCGGGAGTGGCTGCGGTAGTCAGGCTGGCAAAGGCCAATGCCGCTGCTAAAATTGTGGCTTTCATGCTAGACAATGTTTGAAAGAACTATTGTAAGGCTGATGCCGAAACGTATTGACTGAAATACTAAAGAAATACGAGACAGGTTTATCGAGTAAGTGAGGTTCGATGCGACCCGCCCATCGCGTTTCGTCGCGCGTCCTTAATCTCTTTTATATCTCTAGCCAAGCTACAACGCGCGAATCACAGCCCTAAATCAGCTTCTTCCAGCGGTAAGCTACCCCTCGTCGATGTTTACCAGCTGCAGCAGTTTGAGCGCTTGAAAGGCAAGTAAGATATCGTGTCGTCATCCGCCTAAGGTGCCGTTCTTTGGATCAACCAGCTGGAGCCGGTCGTCTCATGGGCGGCTGACCGAGGTTGCAGCTTGCCTGCTTTGTCTTTGAGGTTTCGAGCAGGACAGCTGCTTGAGACGTTACTTACATAGGCAGGTGGGAAGGTGCCTCTACCTGCCATCGATGGCTGTCGCGAGATCGACAAGGTTTCTTTGTCTCGTTGCAGGATGGACAGCATGCAAGATCTTGTGACACCCTTTTGGCGGGTTGCGCGATCCGCCCTGCACCCCAGAAACGTCCCGTCGCTGTCAGCACAGAGCCGAGACTGAATCAGGCACTGGTGCCCGTCCGCCTGCAGTCTCTGGGAACAAGATGACACTAATGCTTGAAACAGCAGTCGGCCAGTGGTACATAGACAACTGATCAAACCAGCTCTAGCTACCTAGGTAGTGTGTAAGGCACCCGATGACGCAGAGATGAAAGACATCGGACTTGTCGTCATATGGTGCAGTTTCGTTGAGCAGTGTAAGCAGCTGTCCCCTTTTGTCAGGTATACCAAGGTGCAGAATCGATGGCAGCATTGAGATAATGGAGGAAAAAGCCTTGGGTAAGCCGGAATTAAAGATAACGTCCCTACTCTCGTTTCACATGGGTGCGAGCGCACGGAAGATATACAGCGTAAGTCATAAGTGGTATGGCTAGGTGGTATATGCCTCACTAATGGCATAGTGCACAAACTTCTACAGCCGACGGATTGACAGCTAAGATGTTGGGTTGCTTTCTCGTCGTGACCAGTAGTGTTTGAGAGAACCGCTGTTGTACCACACCCTTACACCCATTACTGTCTCAATCGAAACGCTATAGAAACTAAGGTTTGCCCCTTTCATCCTGCTCCCAACCCATCCAACTGACACAAGATCACACCCGCCAACTAAAATCTTGACTCCGTGATAGTCCCATTACCGATGCGGGTATCCAGCCGAACCGCGACACCTCGATAAAGCTTCGGCTCATTATGAGAGAACTGGAGCCATTTACCGGCTGCAAGCTGTCAGAAACCCGACTGGATGGGATTCACAGGAAGAAACTCACCGTCGCGGTTTTGCACACCGACAGTTCCCGCCGACGAATTGCTTCCCATTTCGTAGTACTTCAGATCGATCACGCCTGGAATGTTTTCGTAGAAGGCAATAGTGAAGTGGTAGTATCCTTCCTCGTCGTTGTACCTTGAATGTAAATCAGTGACTGTAAGACCTAACCCAAGGCCCTGGACACCTACCTCGTGGCGTAGTACTCGAACGTGATGCTGCGCAACCCGATATCGCCCGCAACTTCATAGAATATGCCATGCGGATAGCCAGCACGCATGTAGAGATCCGTCCAGTACGGAAAGATCGACATGCTGGGGACAGCTCGCTCAGGGTACTGTTCGCTCGGCTTGCCGGATGCTGGAAGAGGCTCATTGACCCATTCGTACGTCGGCTCGTTACTGAGCAAGCCATTGGTGGATAAGAATACTGTCTCGCTGGTGACACCGTATGCACCAATTGCGAATGGTAAGGTGAGGTTGTAGTAGTTGTCGTCGCCGTCCCTGGCGAGACCTTGCCGAGGATCGCCAAAGATCCCCGCTGGAGACTCTAGCACCAGCGGCTCAACGGTCCGAGTGATTGTAGTAGTGGTCGTGCTGGCGCTGACCGACGTAAAGGTAACAAAAGACGTGGTGGTGACTGTAAGCGTGGCGGTTGTGGTTTCCGTGGCCGTAACGACCGCTGTTGCCGTGACGAACTGAACCGTGGCATAAGCAACACCGGTGGCGGTGACAACTGCTGTCGCGGTTGCAACAGTGGTTGGTGCCGGGCGTGTGGTTGTCGTCGTGACCGTCAAAGTCCAGGTGTTGACGGAAGAACAGGCGGCAGATATCATTGCTGGATGCCACGATGCTACTACGGATGGTGTTGGCTCGGCTCTTCTGTGCAAATCAAGACGTGCCTCAGCTTCAAGAGGCATAACGACGCTCTCGATCGTCATGCTGTCACTAGCCGCTAATACCTTAGCTCCGCCCGGAATGTTAAAGTTAACCGGCTCCACAACAACTTCGTAATCGTTGGGCAAAACGGTCTGAGTAACGGTTGGCAATGCTTGCGCAGCAACGTTCCGTTTCCTCATGGCGTTTGTGGCAGTTACAACCGCTGTAGAGGTCTCTGTGATGACTTCAACACGCACTGTGTCCGTGACAGCCGTATCGCTAGTGGTCACCGTCGCGGTCGCAGTGACAGTAGTGCTCGTAGTGCGTGTCGCGGTGGTCGTGGCTGTAGCGCTCATGGTAATAGTAGTGCTCGTCGTATACACGGTGCTCGTCGTGACTGTGGAGGCAGGTAGAGCCTGCGTAGTGGATGTTGTGACGACGGGAGCCGAATAGCCATTGAAAGAGCTACAAAATGCCCTCCCGCTAGCTTCCAGATAGGTGATAACCGAAGGAGCAATTGAGAAGGTTCCAGAGACGGTGCGCGTAACCGTCCGCAGAGCACATGAGCTGCTTCTTGTGGTCATTTGCGCGTTGCTTGGGATGATCAATAAGAGCAGTAAAAAGATATTAAGGCCTAATCGGATAGCATGTCGGCGGCTCACTGGCGCAAATGCGGCCAATACGGGTCCTTCGAACAGCATCCCCATCATTGGCGCAGCGCAGAGATGTCGCGGACTACCCTGTCGTGCGCGCCTTGGTAGTAATAGAGTGCGACGAAATACTTGTTGTTCGCCCGTAAATGCCAATGCGTGGCGTGGTGCACAAAATGGAACAATCCGCTGCGCCCCTTTCGCGGTGAGCACGCGTCCGTTCTTTAGAGGCGCCGAGTCAAGTAGGATTTCGCCGGTTCTAGGCCTGGTGCTGAAAAACCTGCGCAAGAAATGAAGCGATAGAATTCTGTGTAGTCAAACAAGAGTTTGTTGGGCGAAGTTTTCTTGAAACGATAGTTACTTAACAAAGAGTAGAGAACACTGGTTTTAACCAGCAGCGAGAGTGATGCTCTCCTTCGCAGTATAGTATGGCTGATGAACCTTGCGGCCTGGAAAGAACTTGAAATTACTTCGGAGAAGGAATGTTAATTGTGGAATGAATTGATCTCGAACAAAAACATACCAGGCGGGTGAAGCCGCGGGAGGCAAGCGAAGACCCACCGTGCCCACCTCTTGCATCTACGTACAAAGGAACGACGATTACCATGCTTCATGACGGTTACTGAGGCTAAGTGATCTAGGGTTATTGGCGTTGTAAAACGGGGCAGACCATCAGCAACTGCAAAGCGGAGTTATCTAGTCGCTCGGCACGGAATGAGATACAATGGCTGTCGTGCAGAGTATGTGTTAGATTCGTATACGACATCGTACGAGCTACACGGGTTTATTAGCCAGAGTTCTCGGTCACGGTGTTCTACAATGATGCCAGTGATGTTTGCGGTACGGGCAACGCTGAGCTGAGATCCCATGCTGAGATTCGCGGTCCGCTCCGCCTCCGCTCTTGGCGCTCGGCGGGAGAACACTTACGTCAACGATAAAGTGCTCCGAACTCCGTAAACACCAACCGCGATTACCAAGCAAGCAACGCGCTACAATACCCTAACAATGGCGGCGATTCCTCCTCAGGAGTTTCTTCCATTTTCTCGTAATGAGCAGGATGGTAGTGACCGGCAGCCAGGACATGGAGCGTACGCCGCTTCTTCAAGAGCAGGAAGAGGCCGCGGAACGCGACGATGAAAGAAAACCATACATCTCTCGACTCAGAGGGTTTGCAATCGGATCCTTCGTATTCATTCTCATCTTCCTTCAAGGCATGTGGAAGCACGTCCAAAAATCTGCGCGACCATGCGATTGCAGCGAGCTAATAGTGGTCCATAGCATGCAACATCTCTCTCCTTACTACGACCCAAGGCCTCATTGCCGCGGACTACGATGCTTTCTCCGAAGTTTCGTGGTTTACATCCACCTACCTGATCGCGATGTCCTCGGTCACACCACTGGGAGGCAGGCTCTCCCGCATCTTCTCGCCTCGAGCATACATCACCGCATCTGCCTGCATCAGCGCCTTGGGCGTGTTAGTAACGGCCTTCGCACCAACATTAGCCGTCTTCCTGATAGGCCGGGGTATTACGGGGGTTGGAGCAGCAGGCGTATTGAGCGTAGTCATCATACTAGTGCTCGAGCTGGCGAGTGAGAAGAGAAGGGGCTTGTTCATTGGACTGATAAATTCCGGTATGACCATCGGCGTGAGTCTCGGTGCGGTCATTGCAGGGGCTATGGCGCCGAAACTGGGCTGGAGAATTGTCTTTTGGGTCCAAGTGCCTATTCTTCTCCTTGCTGGCTTCGGTGTCTTCGCTGCACTGCCGTCAGCAAGGAAAGATGCCGGGCATCCGGATAAGCCACCCAGACAGTCCATTGCTGGTCAGCTCCGCAGGATTGACTACCTTGGTGCCGTACTGCTGGTAAACACAGTGCCTACCTTTGTAGCCAGCGCACAACTAACAGCCACGATAGGTATCTTTTGTAGTTCTCTTCCTCTACGCCTTGTCAGCTCACGTCATCCATCCGCTTTACATTGTCGTCTCTCTTATACTTCTTGCTCTGTTCGTCCTAGTTGAGAGCAAGTACGCCACAGAGCCCTTTATCCCAGTCACCGTCCTCAAATCCCGCGGCACGTTGCTCAGCTGCTTGGCGACTCTAGGCATGATGGCCGCCCGCTGGTCCGTCCTTTTCTACACGCCTGTCTACGCCATTGCTGTGCGAGGCTGGAAGCCCGCGGAGGCAGGCCTGATACTTCTCCCCACAAACGCTGGGTTTGCGCTGGGTGGGTTGCTCGCTGGCCTTTTCCATATCCGACGCGCCGGGAGCTTCTACATGTGAGTCTTCAGCTTTTTCTGTCTTCAAATCCTCAAACTGTGTGCTGACAAGGGTAGTTCGTGCATCGTAACTTTCGCATTCTTCGCCGCTTCGCTCTCTCTCCTCTCGCAAATCTCTACGCCTTCCTCATCTGCAACAGCTTACGTGATTGCAACCTTTCTGAACGGCCTTGTCACGGGCGCATCTCTGAATTACACCCTGGCTCATTTACTGCATCTTGCGCCGAAGAGCCTTCATATCATCGTCACGCCTCTGCTCGCCATGTTCCGCGGCTTTGCCGGCTCTTTCGGTTCAGCTATCGGTGGCGGCATCTTCGCGCGCTCGCTGAAGTCTACGCTGGAAAGAGGGTTTGCGGAAAATGGGCTGCTGAATAGAGACAGCCTAATAAGGACGTTGATGGGTAGTCCGGTCACCGTGCAGGGGCTGATGGGAGTGGAGAAGGAAGTGGCAGTTCATGGATACGTCGTTGCCATCAGAGCGCTGTTCGTTGCTGGCGCCATGTTGGCTTTAGTTGCCGGTGTTGTGCAGGCGGGTACAGGCTGGAAGGGGCATGAGGACTTACCAGAAGAGGAGGAGAGAGTGAGGAGGGAGGAAGAAAGAGCCGGAGGTGCAGAGTGGGAAGCCGCATGAGTTGTCCGCCTGCTGTAGACCATGTTTGGGGAGCTCCTCCATAACAATGAACAAATACTTGTTCCTATAAAATCGGGAAAACAGCTTGAAGAAAGTTCAACACAAACGTGTTTGTACACCCCATGGCTTTCGCTGATGCTAGTGTCTTTGAAGCAGCTGTTTCACAGTGATCCAGCAGGCATGGTGAATCGACATGTGAGATCTTTCTGTCCAGCACATGCCGTTAGTCTTTTGTTTGGGTACGGTGATATGAATGGCTTCATGCGACGGGACAGCTGTTTCGATCAACCCACGGCAGCTGACACTTCGCCTGCGGAAAGTGGAAGATGGATGCAGTCAACGAAGGCTCCCGATCAATTCCCATGCTACACGGTGACGTGGTCTTCTTGATAGGGTCGTTTCTAGCAGCAACATGGATTCCACGGCTGATAGATCCTTCCAAGACGGTGTCCGAAGGAAGAAAGACCTGGGAATGGCTTGTTCAAAGTTGTGGGGAAGGCGGAGCACGTGATGCATCTCGTATGTTTCTTGGCGTAGAGCTGTACCAAATGGTCTACGACTCGAATTCTCCTGGGCTCTTTCCCATAAATGCAGCCGCTACTCCTCAACGTCCTGCACGACTTCCTCTACTCTTACCGCCGAAAAGTCCTCGATCTTGGCACCGCATCACCAAGATCACGGTCGAGGCTATACAATCGTTGCGATCATCAACCAGTAGTTAAATAATGGCGTTGTATCGATAGATTGACTCAGTGAGGGTCTACATCGCTGGCTTAGCCGTCAAAATGATTCCGCCACCGTTTTGTCTACATAGATGCGGCCTGTGGCTTGATTGGGTACATCGAAGACTTTTCGGCGGCAAGAGTACCTTCCTCGAACAAAGTACTTTCCTCACAACCAGCAGCTAACATGTTTGGACCCATAAGTAGGCCTTCCCACTCTGCTCTCTTCCACTCCGCACATCTGCATCTCCTCTTCAACTCTCCAACATCAGCAACCAACTATCTCTTGCCCGAGATTCAACAACCACTATTAAGACGAATGTCCTCCAATGCGTTCGCGCACGCCTTACGCCAGTCTAGCATCAGCTCCGCCCCCATGCTCACGATGCTCTCAAACATGTAGCCACTATCGTCGTTTACTTCATGGTCGAAAAGAAGATGGATCGAATCTTTAATGGAAAGGATCGAGACGGCAAGTAAATTGGAAACAGCGCAAGATCTGTATGAGAATTACTAACAGTATTCGTCGGAAAGCTGAGCGCGCGAGGCTTGAACACAAACGCCAGCAGGTCGAGCGCGACCGTGAAGCAGATCGCAAGTTCAAGGAGACCGTGTGTAAGTATCTTTACAAATCAGTCGGTTGAGCAGTATTCTGACATGATTATAGGCGACGCGGTCAAGGCGCTCCCAAAGGCGTTTACGGATCTCGCAGATGCTATCCGCCAGGGTCCAGATCAGAACGCCAGGAGCTCCAAGGAACAGGAGGAGAAGTAGATGGGGGCTGTGAGTGGTATGGAGGGGCCAGGGCTAGCAGAATGGCGAGTTGGGCTAGCAGAATGGCGGGTTGGGCTCGACTATCACTCTACATGTATCTCTCGCTATGTATAGAGGGTATTGTCTTTCAAAATCCTCAGCAAATTGCCGCAGCTCAAGAATCTTCGCTTGACACTCCTGACATGGCCGAGAATTCATATACACCGCTTCGCGTTGTCGTCCCAAGCCGCGGGGATCAGTCTTAGAATCTCGCGTAGTCTTATCGCCGGTCTAGAATGCCACTTCCTCGCCCACTATTGTCCGGACTTCAGAACCGTTGTCGCAATTGGGTCGCCATGGGCCCATCGTGTCGAGGGCTCCCTAATGCGCTTGGTCAAAGCCGCAGACAAGGCAGAACATACGAGGCATTTCGAGATGGCCGCACGGTAAAAATCAGAGCTACTCTAGGCAATACATAGAAGAGATTCGTCGACCCTGGAAGAGAACTAGGCCGGTGCGTGTTGTTCAGAGCGGGAGGTTGGGATTCTCTCCCGGGCAACGAATGAAACCGTGTTGCCGACAAGTTTCTGAAGTGTCTGAACGGTCGGTGAGACACGGCTATACTCTATACTGAGGTGGAGTTGCTGGTACAGTAGCTAGACTACATACTCCGCTCCCATTCCAGAGAAGGCGAGTTGTAACAGATGTCGTCGTCTCTCTTCAATGGGTATGTTACCGTAATCCAGGGTCATATAGCATTATATAACAGAGGCTAGGTACGGTTCGGGGACGTCGCGTTTGACGCTAAGGAACCAGGGTTTCCGGGATGAGTGCAGGGGCATCCGTCAGCAGCTTGGCATTTGGCGCATCACGAGAACAAACGGGGACACCACAACATAGAGTGCCCTACCCGCCTTACCCAACACGCCTCACGAAGCTTCCGTAAACGACAGCTTATGTTGGGCTGCTCATGCCCGCGTCGTCGTACTGCATCCGTACCCGTTGCGTGACGCAATCCTAAACGTCGCTGCTCCGCATCTCCAACCTCACCCCCAATACTTTGGTCTGTGTGACAGCTTCGTGTCAAGAACCGCGCGTCAATCTTACAGCGACAGCCTCTTGTTACCTCATTCCCTCACGAGCTCAGATGGCTGCGCTTACGGAATCGCTGAAAGCGACCCAAGCCGAACACAGTCCACGCAATTCCTCAGTCCCCCTCCTAGGCCAAGAAATGGCAGACACCAACACAGAGGACGACGATGTCGCCGATGGCACCGAGTCGACCCCGAAAGGAAAGCGACGATTGTTCAATTTCGGCAAAAAGAAGGAAGCCGAAAGGGCTGGTAGGAAAGGTGGAATTACCTCAGCAGCTGCTCTCGCTGGTTTAACTCCACAAGCACCTCCTCGATCAGCTTCTCCCCACGATCTCCATCCCACAGACCACACGACTGCTCCAGGCTATGGCAGCCCGCGTATCGCCCCTGCGCTTGCCTCGCCCGGCCGTTATCGCTCGTCATCACCACGGCTGCACTCGCCAGCATCCTCTCAAATCTTCGAGCGCAACGTGCAGGAGAACAGCCTCCCAAGCGAGCTCTCACCAGCAATACCGTCACACATCCAGACAGAGGACCACATCCCCGCCGTGCTCGAAGCCTCTTCTCTGGCTATCACGGACGATCATCTGGGCCCAGACGAGGTCGAAATCGTGATGCACGCAGCGCACCAGCCCGCCTCTGCTGCCGTAGCTGGTGAGTCCCTCGTGCTGGCCACCTCACCATCGCAAGAGGACTTTGCGCACCACCAAGACTACGACGACGGCGCAAGCAACTACGGCGCTCTCGACAACGCGGACGTCAGACGTCTAAGCTTCATCTCTTTCGCCGATGTTGTCCACGCAGAGCACGCTGAGACGCATCGGGAATCTCTCCACTTGACGAGTGGCTCCCTCCCAAGCGTCAACCGCTCGCCCTCGCCCGTGCGCTCGCCCGGCTCCTCTCACGGCATCTCTCCGCCGACGAGCGGCACACCGTCTATGAAGGGCGTGGGGTTGGACACCAAGGCTCCACGGAGCCCGACGGGCCAGGGCTCGCACAGTCCGCCGCTGCAGAGTGGAGGGGAGCTGATGGTCGAGACGATGAGACAGGCGCTAAGGAAGACTGGGAGCGGTGACCTGAGCATCGCGAGGAGTCAGCCGATGAGCGCTGTCAGCTGGGATGAGGCTCCGGTGAGCGAGCGGGCGCCGTTTAGGTAAGAGGCGAGGAGAGATCCCTTGGAGTGATGTGTCTGCGTGCGTTAGATGTTAGGGGTTCTGGGTCTGGTCACGGGATTTTGATATACCACGGCGCAGCAAGATTGTGCGAGTCTTGCTAGTGTTATGCTTTGCTTTCGTCTGCTACTGGAAACCGGTGTGTGTTTTTAAGAAAGGACTATACAATGGCATTTCTTCTATATCGTACCGTTATTGCCAACGAGCCTCCCACCAAGTTCGTATTCCTGTTTTCTGACAGGAATGCCGCCTAGAGTTGGTGAATCCGTGCGCGTTCCAGCCTCGTGCTCTATGCTCTCTCTCAATACATCCGCCTGATAGTTTGCCCCTAATATCCTGCCCATCTCCTTGTGGACATATCTAACCGTATAAACTAATTCCGGATGGATAATGAGGAACGGCTGAGGTAGCCAGCTTATAAGTCTGAACTAGATATTAATAGTTATAACTATCGCCTGCCTAGTCAGGTTGATGCGGCTGCACTGGATTGAACACTAGACAGTTGGCAAAGCGCAACGAGAGCTAGCTGACATCTGTACTCTAACTTACTCAACTGAGCATGGCGTTGACGAGGGGTGGATCCCGACCGCCAATCAGTGCTGTCATGGCGTGGGTGCTTCATCTCTGCCCTGCATAAGCACCCGGTACGACTATCACAGACCTCCAAATCCTCGCCAAGCCCTCGCTCCCCATGCGGCAAACCATGAAGACGAAAATGCAGGACCGAGCCAATTGCTGACCTTGGTGCGCACGGCTGAGGAGGACCTACAATGCGCCACTACCACCACCACTACTACTACAACGTATTCACTCATGGGCGCACACCTCTGACCCAGCGTCCGGTCTTCAGCTCCACCAGTCCAACGGCGCAACCCAGCGCCAGCAATGGACCAAACCCGGCCCTCGCGGCGCAAGGAGGGCTCCAGCCACTCTCACAAGAACCAAAGCCGGCGTTGGGAAGATGAGAGCATACCGGAAGGCGTAGCTATCAATCTGCCCCCGAATGGCTCTGCTGTCTCGCCGCCTTCGTCTCCGCGAGCAGACCACGCTCAGCGCAGCAGCGCTAGTCCGAGAAGCAATCCAAGGATGTATTTGGCAAGAGCTGGGTCGACGGACGCGGGGGATTACGCATTGCGGAGTCAGTGGGATGTGCACTCGTCGAGACCGCGGACAAGGACATTGGAAGAGCGGAGCTTGCGAGACAGGTCGCCGAGCACGTTGGCTATGAAGAACAGGCATCGAATCGGCTCCGTCCACTCCGCCTCATCGTCTGCGTACCCAGGGCTAGAAGAATCAGTCACGAGTATAGGACATCCGTACACGATTCCGTCCCCCACCGAACCTACACCGCGCCCTCCTAGATCCCAGCGCGATCGGCTGGCTATGCAACCGCCGAGACAGGCATCGCCCCTACAATACACTGCTGCGGAGCCTGACTCCTTCATCTCACCAGTGGCGTCCGATGCGCGGAAAATTCTGCAGCTGATGCGCTCCACTTGCGGGAAGATGCAAGGTGTGCTCTGCTTTCGGCGCGGTGAAAGCCATCTATGGGTTGTCTCGAGGTGTTATATCAACGCAGACTTTGGAAGCCTCGTGTACGAACCACGAAGTGACACATCATACCGTCGGACCCTGATCCCCGACCTGAGGGGCTGCCGTGTGAAGACCGGATACGATTCGGAATCGGGCACGGCGTATATACATGTCTCACTGCAGAGCTCGAGTCTAGAAGTGCATCTTCGGCCACCCACTCAGGATCAGTTCGACTCGTGGTTCGCGGCGCTGCTCTGCTGGCAACCAATCCGCCCCAAGGGCATACACAACAAGATGGCGAAGCCACAGGCGCCGCTCGCGACGACAGGTAGAAGGCCGACAGATTTCCGACGGCACTCAGAGGTCGCCTTACTGAAAGAGGCGCCAATCATTAAAGTCGGCAGAATGATATTTTGGGATACCCACGTCGTATACGGTAGCGTTGCAGAAGCCAAGTCGCCAGACGGAAGGCCGGCAATACCTAAAACGCAGAACTTTGGATCAAGGAGGTGGAGAGGTGTGTCCTGCACGCTTCGTGAGAACGGCGAGTTAAAACTGTATGCGGGTAACGAGGTGACTGTGGTCTCTGTAGTCCAGCTTTCGCAGCTGTCTCGGTGCGCCATCCAGCGTCTCGATGCATCTGTACTCGACAACGACTTCTGCATCGCCATATACCCACAGTATGCCTCGAATCCCACGTCTTTATCTTTGCTACGGCCTATCTTCCTCTCACTCGAGTCTCGCGTCCTGTACGAAGTCTGGATCGTACTTCTACGCGCCTTTACCATACCTCAGCTCTACGGTCCGAAAGTAAAGTACCGCCCGGAGCTCTCCTCGTCCGAGTCCGCTGTAACCGCTACGCATGATATGTTCCGCATGGAGCGCTCCTTAGCTGTGCGCGTCACTGAAGCGCGGCTTGCTCCGCCGCCCCCTTCGCCCAGATCTGCCGAGCACGGGAGCAATCTTCCCCATCGACCCGTCTCTAGCCACATGAGCCAGAGTCTGGCTGGCTACTATGTCGAGGTTCTTCTAGACGGGGAAATTCGCGCCAGAACAATGTTGAAAACCGACCTTACAAATCCCTTCTGGCGCGAAGAATTTGAGTTTCCGGACCTACCCTGCATGCTGTCAAACGCTACGTTTCTACTCAAGAAGCGGCCGCCTGCCCAGCTGCGGGCCAACCAAGGCCACCAAGCACAGGCAAACCGGGAGATAGAGACCAGAAACTCGACTGATGTCTTCTCTTCTTCCGAGCCTGTCGGCGGCTACACAGGCATCAATCTCGACCAGTCCTGCGGAAAGGTCGACATATACTTTGAAGATTTGGATGCAGATAAGGCGGTGGAGCAGTGGTGGCAATTCTCCTCTTCCTCTGATCAACCCGTAGGCGAGCTGTTTGTGCATCTGCAGCTGTCCGAGAATGTTATCCTCATGGCGAGGGACTATCAGCCGCTGTCGGAGCTGCTGCATAAATTCTCCAGCGGACTTACTACTCAAATTGCCGCTGTAGTTCCGGGCGAGCTGAAGAGGTTGAGCGAATGTCTTCTAGATATCTTTCAGGTATCAGGCCAGGCGGGCGAGTGGATCTCAGCACTTGTCGAAGAAGAGATTGATGGGACGCTGAAGGACTCTCACATCTCTCATCGCATCCGGTTCAGCCAGCGTCTTGGATCGAATGATTCGAGCGAGAGCTTTGGCGGGAATATGTCTGCTGGGGAGCGAGAGCTATTCGTTCGTGACCTGAACAACAACGCGAAGCTGGAAGCCAATCTGCTATTCAGAGGCAACACACTGCTGACGAAGGCGTTAGACTTGCACATGAAGCGCCTCGGCAAGGAGTACCTTGAGCTGACGCTGGCGGGGAAGCTCAAGGAGATTGCCGATAGAGACGCTGACTGCGAAGTCGATCCCAATCGGCAGCCAAACCAACATGAGCTTGACCGCAACTGGCGGAGACTTATCGGTTTTACAGAGGAGCTTTGGAAAGGGATATGTACGACCGCTTCGAACTGTCCGGCTGAGTTGAGGGTCATCTTCAAGCACATCAGATCATGTGCGGAGGATAGGTACGGCGACTTCTTACGAAGCGTTAGGTATAGCAGTGTCAGCGGATTCTTGTTTCTTAGGTTCTTTTGCCCAGCGATACTAAATCCGAAGCTCTTCGGCCTGCTGAAAGGTAAGCCTTTTCGTCTCTCGCCTCGTTTCCCTTATACGCGGCCTCTCATCAACTTCCTACTCAGCCACGGACTCTACAGCACGGAGCGGGCACCTGCTAACTCGACACACAGACCATCCTGCCCCTCGCGCTCGTCGTACATTCACTCTGATTGCCAAGTCTCTCCAGGGTCTGGCCAACATGATGACCTTTGGCGCTAAGGAGCATTGGATGGAACCGATGAATACCTTCCTCTCCTCACACCGGCAAGAGTTCAAGGATTTCATCGACAAGATCTGCGACATCACTCCCACAGGCGCCTCCGCCCTATCGCCCATTCCACCCTCCTACAGCACGCCTCTCGCCATACTCCAGCGCTTGCCTCCCACATCGAGAGAAGGCTTTCCAAGTCTGCCTTATCTCATTGACCACGCTCGGTCTTTTGCTGAGCTTGTCCGAATCTGGCTTGAGAACGTCGACGCCGGCAACCCCGTCATCCCCTCCTCAGACGGCGATATCTCGAAATTCCACAACATCTGCGTCAGCCTTCAGCAACGCACCCACGACTGCCTCAACCGCGCCGAGCGGGCGGAGAGGCCGGACAGCACGCTGAGCATGAAGTGGGAAGAACTAGTCGACAAAATGTCCGCAGAGGCCTCCGCCGACATGGCCGCTGCGCGCGGCTCCAAGCTCTCCACATCCCTCACCCGCACAAGCTCGACCTCGACCTCGCCGTCCCCAACCTCAGACCCGCAGCCTGCACGACCAAGCGCAAGCCGCGCCCGCTCCGAAACCAACGTGACCAAGTCCAGCAGGACGGAGACCCGTGACTGGGACGTCACATCCGAGGACCGCCACAGCGGAGGCATGACGCCCCCACGGCTCTCCTCGCCCATCTACACCTCCGCGCCAACCGCAGCAGACAAAGCGACACCACGCACCCGCCCAACAACAGCTTCATCGGGCAAAGACCCCCTCTCCCCCGCCTCCGCCACCACAACCACCTCCTCCACTCCCGCGCCCTCGCGCCCAAAATCCAGACCTTCTGCATCAGCATCAGCATCAGCATCCGCAACCCCCTCCTCCTCTTCCCTCCGCAACTACGCACCCGCCGCCGACTCTTCCTCCGAGGTCAAAGAAGACACGAAATCCGAGACCGCAGCCCGCTTCCAGGACAGCCTGTCCCAAGCCCTCTCGCACGCCACCAGCTCAGCCTCCCGCCGCGAGCGCGACCGAGAACGCCAGCGCGAGCGCGAGCGAAGGCTGTTAAGGCGCGAAGCAGCGGTAAGCGGAAGCTGGGGCGGGAGCGGAATCAGGCGCGTCGACGCCTCCGTCTCCACCACCGGCGCCGCGAGCGCAGAGACGACGGCCACGTCCACGGAGGCCGAGACGGAGACGTCCGGGTCTGCGTCTGCGGACGAGCATGAGAACGAGAGGGCCGAGGCGCGGGATGCGATGCCCGTGCTGCGGCCGCCGTCGCGGTTGGCGGGGGAGACGGCCGGTGGGGTGAGGAGGGCGGGGGGGCTCAGGGTCAGTAGGGTTGAGGGAAGGCTGTGGGATGAGGAGGAAGGGCCTACGGCGCTGCCGAGGATGAGTAAGAAGGGGGCGAGGAGTGGGAGTCGGGAGAGGGACAGGGGGAAGGGGTTGAGGTTGGGGGAGTTTGTGGGGGTGTGGGGAGGAAAGAAGGAGAAGGGGAGGGAGAGGTTCTAAAAGGGAGGGGAGGGGAGGGGATGGTTGACTGAGTGGATCAGTCGTGTTGATGACGAGGCTACGATACTTGGCATATACCCTCTTCGATTTCCTTGGAGAGTGGATAGGTGGGTTGTTTCGGTGCGGCTTCTTGCGCTTTCGTTGCATAGAGCGAGGTGTTCTTGGCTCTTGTCTCGTTTTGTCCAGCGATGCGCGTACTTTCTTTCTGGTCATGGATTGGTCCCGTTCTTTCTGGTTATTCACCACAAAAGGCAATAGGGTTGGAATGTTGATGGCATTTCTGTCAATGTACACGATCTGCACCTCGGGCGGCTATTGTTCACTCCGGTCAAAATATACTTAGACGTTTGGGTATTGCACACTACCTAGCTAATTAGAGGCTTGTACGTCCGCTTACCAAAGCGTGTCTAGATTTGACCTCCCATATTGCTCATCGGTGGCCTACCTGGTCAGAGGCTCTGCGCGTGACCATGGGCAACATTAGCGAGTGCTGTTTGAGGCCAGTACAGAGTGCACATGGGGACACAGACATGGTGGTGAGGAGGAAAGGACAGAGCAGGGATCCCGGCCGGGTGTTCCTCGTGCCCGAGATCTTGTCAGGTCGACGCACGCATGACAGCCAACTCCGCCTGCCCTCCACCGCTCCCACACCTGAAATCGACCTTGGAACCGCTTCACTTTCCACCCACAAACTCCATCTCTGTTCGCTTAAATACCACCGTGCCTCATGCATTCTCAGCAGCACACAGCATATTCGGAAATCCACAGCTTTCACTTACACCCGCCCGGTCTCATCGACTACCAGCCCACCTAGCAGCGACTGAGCGCATCATCCCGAAAAGCCCCCGCCCACGACGACGTGGACAGCCAGCGCACCCTTGAGGGCTGACTGATATTATTCGTTTCACTACAACCACCTGCTTGTGTTTATCCTCCTTTTCGAATCCCACAAACTCGAAGCAACAGCACACGCTCACCATGCACGACCTCCGCCGTCAAGCGCTCGAGAGCGGCAAGACCATCTCGCGCAAAGCCCGCTCCCGCCAGGCGTCTGGCCAGTCCTCTCGTGCCGGATCCGCCGCCAGCTCTCGCGCGGCCTCGCGCGTTGCCAGCCGGAATGCCTCTGATGACGAGGAGGGCAGTCTCAGCGACAGCACCAACTTCAGGTATGACGCGCTCTCCGCCACTCATCCGCTCTCACTAACACAACCCTTACAGCCTCAACTCGATCGACGATATCCTCGCCACCGAAGACACCGACATTGACGGGCCCCCCGAGCTCTGGAAAGCCGAACTCAACGACCGCATCGAGCAGCTCGTCGACCGCAAGCGCAGCAGCGTGCAGGGCCGGGAGGAGAGCCTCGCGGCATACACGCACCTCCTTACATCGCACTACGCAAAAGACGACATCAGCACCCGGATCAGTGAACTGCTGCCCGCGATCCTCAAGAGCATTAAGGCGGACACCAGCGAGCGGGAGACGGTGCTGGCCCTCAAGGCACTCGCCGTGACCGTCATCACCGACCCGAGCGACACCATCTACGACGCCGCGACCGGCGCGCTCAAACGCACCATCGCGGACTCGGGCTCCATGGCCACCAAAGCAGCCGCGATCCACACGCTCGGCACAGCCGCGTTCTACGGCGGCGCATCCCTCGACGAGACGGAGAACGTCATGGCGTTCCTGCTCGAGATCATTGAGTCCGACGGCGTGAGCGTCAGCGCAGACGACAGCGCCGAAGTGGTAACCGCCGCGCTCGAGGAATGGGGCTTCCTCGCCACGCAGCTCGAAGACATGTCCGAATCCACCGAAGAAGCCATGGACGCGCTAGTCGAGCAGCTCGAGTCCTCGTCATCCGAAGTCGCGATCGCCGCCGGCGAAAACATCGCGCTGCTGTACGAGAAGTCCTACACCGAGCTCGAGGAAGGCGAAGACGCACCCTCAGACGGCTCCGAAGAGTCCGACGACGAGGACCCGGACCACGACGCCTCCGCCCCGAAGATGGTGAACCGCTACGCCGTGTACCGGCGCGCCGATCAGCTCAAACACACGCTCGAGACACTTGCCTCCATCTCCGGCCGCGGCATCTCCAAGAAGGACCGCAAGACGCTGCACTCATCCTTCGCGGACATCCTGCACACGGTCGAGCATCCGACGCGCGGGCCTGCGTACAGCACGGCCGTGTCGCGCGAGACGGGGAAGCGGTACGGCAGCCGCATGACGGTGCGCATCAGGGATCATGGCGAGATGCGGATCGACAAGTGGTGGAAGCTGAGCCGGCTCAAGGCGCTCAGGCGTGTGTTGCAGGGCGGGTTTGTGAGGCATTATGAGGAGAATGAGGTCGTGTTTGAGAGTCTGCCGATTATGATCTCACGGAAGTAGAGGGTTGGGAGGTACGGGTTGGAAGAGCTTGGGCTGCTGCTGATGTGAAGAGCGGGTTTCACTCTCGCATGGCTTGAAAGGGAAGCACATGGTTGACCACTATAGGTGGGGCTTGCGGCTTCGAAGCATCTATGGAGATATTGAGATGGCAAGGCGCATACAGTTGGCAACGCTGGGAGTTCTTGAAGAGTGGACGGCGACTGTTGTCGTCATAATCACTAGGATCACGCTCGATTTGAGCGGGGATATCGTTTGGTAGCAAACCAGTGATGTTTCCTTGATCTCGAACAAGAGTCACAACTCGATGGAGTTCCGTATTCTCCCCATGTACACTTTTCGTCTTCAAACAGCTGTGGAGAGGCTCGAGTAGAAGACGCGCCATTGCGCAAGCACGTGCGATAAGGGTTAAGGTTATCGGTTGCCCGAGGAATGTGGTTATGCCGAGTCTGGTATAGCGGGTTGCGCAACGCCGCAACTCTTGATCTCACCACCACCAAAGCCGGGAACTTGGTCGTCGCCGAGCTTCTGTATAGCTGCATATCCATGCCCATGTGGCTTACTGTTGTCAATCGTTAAGCTACGACTTTACACAAGCCATCGCGCGAGAAGTTGAGCGCCGAAGAGAGCTTGTCCGCATTGTCGGACTAGCTCTTCTACCGGCTTTACCTAGAGTGCTGCAGTCCTTGGCCTGGGAATATAGACCTTTTGACGACGATACGACCGTTTCCGTTCTGCCTCCTGTTCCGGTGCTCGCCAGTCGCGCGGTCTAGTACCATCATTGTGCTCGACGTCTGCTTCCGCCCGTCTCCGCCGCACATTTATCCATTACGATCTTCAATCGACGACATAGCGTAGCGTCACTCTCCTCGTACCCTCGCCAGCACGATGTCACCTTCACCGCAGCTTGCGCCAGCTGGGAGCAGCATCTACTCGTCGGACAGCATGTACGTAGGGGACGGAACATGGGATTCTTCAAGGAATACTTTCTTGTTGCCGAACCTCGTGGGTCTGAATTTTGAGACCATGCGGTACAATGGTAGGATATGGTGCGGATCCGCTCCTGCTCTGTTCCAACTGACGTACGCAGGCATGGGCAATCGCTTCCGCGACTTTGCAGGATACCATTCCCTCATCACTGGACACGGTGTTCTGGCTGCGATCACTTTCCTAGGCGTAGTGCCCGCGGCCATCCTCTTCGCCCGGTTCTACCATCGGGACCCTCGTTTGGCCCTTCGAATGCACATATGGCTCCAGATTCTTACCGTTGCATTCACCATAGTCATCTTTACGCTGGGTTTCTTCGCTGTAGGACCTGAGAGGAGCCTGACAAACCCCCATCATGGCATAGGGACTGCAATCTTCGTCCTGGTTCTTGTTCAGGCGATAGGAGGCGGCATCATTCATCGTGCTGAGAAAGGGAAGGATAGGTTCAAGATACCATTGAAGTTGATGGTGAGACATGCGTCTGCCCGAAGTGCGGACTTTGCTAACACTCACACTAGATGCACCAATGGTTCGGCCGGGCGATCGCCTTGTTGGGCATAATACAGATTGCGCTCGGTTTGACCCTTTACGGTTCTCCGCGGTATCTTTTCATCCTTTACGCGGTGGTCGTCTTCGCCTTGTTGCTCCTCTACTTCATCCTCACATACCGGAACCAACCGGTCGGAATGTTCGACGATGGTGGAACGTACATATCAGGTGCGCGGACAGATGTCACCCGAACAGACGTCAGCGATCGCCGCAGCCACCGCGCAAGGAATCTGGGCGCACTGGCGGTGGCAGGCGCGGCAGGCGCGGGGCTGGCCTCGGCGAGAAGGAGATCTCGAAGCCGAAGAGGCGGAGAAGAGGAAGGGAGGACGGATGTTGCCAGCTCACAGCACTCGTCCCGCCACAGATCGCGTACACCATCCGGATCGTTCCTTGAAGAAAAGCACCGAGAGGACGATCGAAACCGACGAGACAACACATGGCGTAACCGCCTTCTTGGTGCTGGAGTGGGTGTAGGTGCCCTCGCAGGCCTCCGAGGCTTGTTGAATCGACGGAATCGGGATCGCGAGAGCGATGTTGGTAGCTATGCTCCTCCACCCGGCGGCGCCTCGACTGTCACACAGACCGATCTGAGCAGGATAGAAGAGGGACGGGCTCCGATGTCGCCGAACGATCGATGGGCGCGTGTTGAACAACAAGAGGCAGCACAGGCGGCAGCAATGGCCAGTCCCACTCGACCGAGAGTTCGAGCACGAAGGAGCGGCGAGTCGCTTACATCCTACGACAGCCGTACAAGCTTCACCGACGATAGAGACGGAGCTCATGGCGGAGGCCACACTGCCCGCAACGGCATCGCTGCCCTGGGAGTAGCGGGCTTCCTGCGCCACAAATTCACGCAACGTAGGGACAGAAAGGAAGAGCGTAGGGTCGCCGAAGTCCGCCAACGAGAGCAAGAAAACGAGCGTATCGTGCGCGACAACAGCAGAAGACAACGACGACATACGGGGGACGGTGCTCCTCGGCACAGCAGCAGAGACACTCGGCGGACCTCGCTGCCCGAGTCCTCAGCCATTACCGGCAGCAATCCGGAGCTGTCGCGCCACACGTTGCGGCCGCCGCCGCTGCCTACTACGAACACTCGTCTACCAACAGGCGATGTTCCTACTCTGGGCAACCGGACGGTCGTGTTCGATGGAATTCCAGCTGGCGGGACCACACTACCACCCAATACAACTCTCGCTCCGACAACCACTGCTCCGGTATTTGTACCGCCAGCCACTTATGATCCACCAGTGACGACGTACAACACCGCCTCCGCGCCAGGCCCCTACATTCCCCGAACCAATGGCCCTAACCCTAACAACAACATGCTGCAAGACGTCGCCGCCGCCGCAGCCGCCGGAGCCGCAGCCGGAGCAGCCGGTGCAGCCGCAAACAGCAGCCGCCACCGGTCGACCAGCCGACAGCGCAGCAGCAACGGCGAGGGCAGCGTCGGCTCGCCTCCCGTCTCCGTGAAAGTGAAGATGCACAACGACGGCCGGCACGTGACGCTCAGACGGCTGAACGAGGCCGAAGCAGCCGCGGAGCGGGACACCAGGCGGCGCGAGCGGCATCGTCGGCGCGCTGGCAGTCTGAGCTCTGTTAGCGGGAACGACGATCGCTGGCGCAGGGCCGAGGCGAGGGAGGCGGCGGAGGCGCAGCAGATCGCCGCCGGTGCTGGACCGAGACCTCGCGATCCGATGCCGACGACGCTGCCCACTACGTTGCCGCCTCCGCCGCCGGGCCCGCCGCCCCCGAATGCGATGGGCTATCCGGGACCGGCGATGGGGGCTCCGCCGCCGCCGGCGCATGCGTACCAGACGCAGACGCAGATGCCGTTGCCGCCGCCGCCTATTCCTGCTGCGGCGAGCGCGATGGGTGGCAGTGTGGGGAGTCCTGGCGCGTATGGTACTGAGACGGATGTGAGTAATTACGATAGTAATAGGAGAAGGAGGAGGGCGGAGAGGGCGCAGGCGAAGCTGGCGGCGAAACAGAGTGGGAGCAGGGTTGAGTTTACGTGATCATGATGGGGTGGTGGAGGTGGCGCGGCAGTGTCTGTTTAGTGGACAGGCCGCAGTGAACGGGATTGTGTGGCCTTTGGCGTGGAATGAAGCATGGCGTTGGACGGGAGGCATTGCGTGGGAGCGCTTGTTGATCTTGCTTCTAGCTGGTGGGAAGATCGCGTCGTTCGCTGGGATAGGGTGATGCCGGTTTTTTTTCTTCTGCTTTGAGATCACTGTTCCTCGTGGAAGGCGTCCACTTACACTCACCTTGAGGAATAGATACAAGTGATCAAAGTAGAGTCCAATCATAGTGCTTACCATGATAGCAATGATAGGGTCTCGGAAATGCTCTGGAACAACCATAACGCCAAGCGGCTCACGGCCGTATTCATGAATGGCTAAAGCTTGGTTATGGAATGAAGCTTTACCACCTCAACCGCCAGTAGCTGCTGTGCTCCACCAGCTAGGACGAAATGCCAACAATCTCTAAAGACAACTACCGAGAGGAGAGGCATTTACCTGATTCTCGGCCGCCCCATCGTTCGAGGCGTCCTCCTTCTTCTACCTGCACGGATGGACGCTCATCAGCAGCTTCACTGTTTCCTGCGCTGGCTCTCAGCCAGATACCATGAATATGCATTCACATTCGAATATTTCAGTTTGTACCCTGATATCACGAAATAGATGAACATCATTGCGACGCTAGCTCCGCCACAGTTTCCGCCACAGTTTCCGCCATAATTCTACGTTGGATTCGTTGTCTCTCTGCGTCGTCTAGTTCCTCGGCCGCGGTTCGATGTTACGCGTCCGGTTACTCGGCAGGCTCTTGTGGACATTACATGTTTAGGTTCGGGCGCCCCGTTGCCGCCTCGTTCTTGCTGACTCGCCCAGCCTTCCAGCACTGCATGCGCAATCGCGCCAATCTGACATGTTACGCCTCTGGACACTTCTCCACGGCCTTGGCTGTGTGCCCCATGAATTTGGAAGGTACATGGCTTTACTTCATCGTACGAGGCACACCTCGATCACAAGGTCTACATTCAAAAGGCCTCGCCCTTCAGCCAGCCGCGCAAGCTGCACTGGGAGCAGGGCAAGCAGTCGGCAGTCGGTCCGGGCGGATTGCAAATCACTTGCAGCGAACCATTGCAGCCTCATCATAGAACAGTCGGATAGACGGCGACTGAACATGCGGCGCGGTTTCTTGGTGTACCTGCATCTGGCAGGAGTTTCGAAGATCATGTTCCTGAGCCGCCTCCACTCAATGTTTTCCTATGCATGAATTCTCCATGAAGTCAGCCCTGCTGCAAGTCTTGGCATTCTTCGTGCCTTCTATCGGCCCTTCTCAATGACCCCTTCTCTGCCGTTCACTGGATAATGCTTCTCCGGCAGTTCCTGGCACTTTTCACCTCCGTGGCTTGGCCGAATCTGGGCATGGCTGTGCACCACAGCGCGCTGAATGTGAGAAAAGCATGATGATGAAAGCGCTCCGTAAGGGGCATGTCGGGGCGGCCACTACAACTCAAATCACTAGGTGGTCGACGAGTATTATTTCACATGTTTACAGTCTCAAGATACGCTCCCGTCTTTGATGAAGTTCGGAGGAGCCACCGTCATTACCTTCAAATCTCCGTGCGCTACAATGTCCTCTGCTCCCGCCAAAAGGGCTTGTGACAGGTTCGTGTATCGTCTTCTTCATTATCCGGAAGGTTACTCACAAGGTGTCAAAGCTGCCACAAGCGAAAGATTAAATGCGTCGGCGAAGGGTCTCCACCATGCAAGAACTGTGTTACAGCTGGCCTAACATGCACGTTTCTCGCGGTGCCAATGAAGAAAGGCCCGAAGGGCAGCAGAGCCAAGGTCCTCTCCGAACTGAGGGAGACTCAGCAGCGGCAGAGTCAACCTCCCGGAAGCTATCATGATCCGGGATTCGATAGCCGCTCAATGTCGCCAGCGCTCTCGAGAAACACAACGCTGTTGACACCGGTTTTGGTCAACGATTGCGTAGAGTTCTTCTTCGCCAACCTGTATCCCACCCACCCAATTCTCCACCGACACAGATTGGCTCAAACGATCATGAGCATGGAGCACTCAGCAGAGGCGTACTGCATGGTTGCGGCATTGTGCTCGTGGATCCTGATACAGAGCAACATGAGTGTGCCCAAGACGGGCTTATCTGTAGAAGCTAGCCTGCTGCTTAAGACCGACCTTGGCCAACTCTTGTTGGAAGAAGCAGTACGCGTACGAAAGAGCTACGACTTTATAGAGACTCCAACGCGGCTATCGGTCACTACATCGTATTTTCTTTATACCTGCTACTACTGTCTTGACCAGCATAACTCAGCTTGGTTCTATCTACGGGAAGCAACCACGCTTGCTCAGAGTCTTGGGATGCATGACGAAGAGACGTACAAGATAGGGGACTTCATCGAGACTTCAAGAAGGCGGCGGCTGTTCTGGATACTGTTTATCAACGAGAGGCAAGTAAGTTGGTGCGCGTACGTTATACCTCAGCTGACGCTTGCCAGAGTTTACGCCTTACGGAGACATCGCCCCTTAACGCTTCAGGCTACCATTCAACTCCCTTCATCTGAAGAAGATCCGACTGAGACCATCCCTCTTACTGGATTTGTTCATTTGATCAACTTGTACAAGCCCTTTGACAATACATTTTTCGGTTTATGGAACAAGGTCCGCACGGGTTGCCTACCTTCGTGGCTAGCGCTACTCCAGAATCAGCTCTCCAGTGCACTACCTGCCTACCTTGAGGGCTCGGAAACACAAGTGGTCGAGCTGCGTACTTCGCAGCAATGGCTCCGGACGATGGTTTGGCAACTAGCAATTAGCCACGGGTTCGTCTCCTCGATTGCGACAGACCCGTCGTTGAGCTTTAGATATCCAATCGAAATCTCTCGTGATATGACCGCTGCGTCGAGCCAGTTCTCTCATGAAGCGATGGAAATGCACGGCGTAGGGTTGGTAAGCTTCAACTGTATCACCTTCAAACTGTATACCCAGTACACAAGCTGACGATCGATCCAGATTGAGAAACTGTACGACATCGCCTGCACGTTGACGGATGTGATGGCATGCGTTCCAATAGACGAACACACCTTCGAGCAGAGTTTCGAGCTCTGCCCTCGCGACTACCTCAATCATTTCCTTACCCTCATCTCCACACTACGCGGCGGCCAAGAGCGCTACCTACCCATGCTGCTCGCCAAGATCAACGAAGTCTTTCCGAACACAACGCTACCCATAGCGCCCGCTCCCTTCGCACCAGCGGCAGCACCAGCACCGGTTATATCCCTAGCGGATGACCTGTACAAGACTGCAGCATCCTTAACGCAGCCGCTCAAGCCAGAACCTCAGGAGAGCCCACGACAACTACCACACCGCTTCGGTAGCAACAGCAGCATACCCTACGCTGACTCCAATACTCCGCCAATGCCTCCTCCGACCCAACCATACCAGACCTTCTCGACCGCTATGGGTTATCCAGAAGCGACGCACCCAACACCATCCACTGGGATCTACCAGACCCACCCACCTGGATACTCGGGCTTTCGTCCGAGTTGAATTGAACGCCAATTCTCACGAGTGGAGAACAAGACAATCTACCCTGATTAGACAAGTTGGCGGAAGGAAGAACAAGAGCCGGCAGCTGCGGCCGACACATTGGACACAGGTGCGACAAGGGGCATGCAAAACTCTGCCGCGCAGCTATCAATGAGGGCGGTTTCAGCAGAATCGCTAAAGCACCGAGGATCCACCGGTCAGGTATGACCCGTTTATGGGAGTGCAGTCAAGCAACCAAGGTCTTCAGCAGGGACTGGACTTGAAAAGTCGATTCACCAGCAGCTCATCGCGGACATGGCACGCTTACCATACGATGTGACTGCCAACCTACCCTCAAGAAACAATGCTACCGCAACTGCAGCTAGCAATGCGATGGTTCCACACATGATTGCGCCAAAGCCGGAACCGGAAGATTCGGGCACGGCCAGTAACAAATCATCGATTACTGCCGATACGATGGAACGATAAGCAAGGCACCAGCAGCCGCCACAAAGATTAGCAACGACGCGACTTCACGACCGAATGCGGCAGAGCCGGACTACACGAGAGCAAACATGAGGACTACGCAGCTATCAGCTGCTACCGATGCAAATGAAGTCCACGCATGGAACGGACTTTTTTCGGATGCAGTTTAACAGGCCTGGCTCTTTAAGCCGTGGGCCATTTCATCTAGAGTAGCGACCACTCGCAATCCATGGATATTACTCGGTTGTCAGTTGCCGGCGAAGCGAGCGAACGTCAGTCAAGCGTACCGGAAGCCCATAACGTGGATCGAGAGATGCCGGCCGCAGAGCTGAAACGCTGTTCCGATGCGTAGAGATGGAAAATGTTTCCGGATCAGAGACGAGGAATGTACCCAGACGGTGCGAGTTTTATGAAGACGAAGAGGAGGCTATGGGAGTTGAGCGAGCGCTCGGTTGTGCAGAGGTTTAACTCGACAAGGACGGCCAAGGCCATTAAGTCATCTGAAGACAACTATCGCGGCGAAGAGAAGAATACAGGGATTTTGGAAAATGGCAAGGAGGTGGTTAGTACGATCAACGAGTACAATGTTGTTTCAAGCATTGAATAGGAGCTACGTGGGCAAGGGGCAATTTGATCGCACCGAATGGATCATGTCAGCTATAGTTTGGAGTAGCGACGAGGTTGTTGGTTCTCAACGGATACCCAGGTGTATTTCGGGCGCGTTGGACGGTGCATAGGCCTGGCGGCGCTATGGTTCCCCGAATGGATTGATAGCATGCAGCAATAAGTCCAAACAGAAAAAGGCACCATGGTGACACCGATTCACTGTGTTGCTTTCAGCAACAGTCTCCAATACCGAAGTTCTCCGCGGATGCTCGGCAGTCAGTAAAAGCCAAATGCCAGATGCTTTGACGTCACCTGTCAAGCCACACCACCAGATTGAACCCTGCCGAGATGTGATTGAAGATGCGTGGTCGGCAGGTCCGGCACTTGATGCACCGGCTCTCAAATCCCGAAGCTTGCGCATGGTGGACATCCGCTTCGAGCCACTGTGCTACTGTTCTGGTGATTGGGGCTTCTATCTCGCAAGCAGTCCGAACAGAGTATTTACCGAGTATGTGGGTGCGCCATTGATGCCTTACAGGACAGGCATTCCAATTAACTCGAGTGCCCCCACCCTTGCCGAATCACGCGGGCGATGCTTCCAGCTGACGGTTTCTTGGAACGCTTGGAACTTCCGATCGTTCCAAAATCAAACGCATCGAAGGCCGCTAGAAACGTCGCAGGGCTGAGGATCGCCGCTCCAGTGACACGGGGCTGGAACGTCATGCCCTCCATCTCATCCACTTGATGTTCGTGAAACTGGCCCGCTGCTGTCATGGTTGCCGCATCGCCCGGATCTCAAGATTTTGGTGTTGGTGTGTGATTGCGGGCTTCTTGAAGTCGATGCCTGGATCTGGAACAGGACGTCATTCTTTGCTGTTTTGAGCTTTCAGGGCGCACATGCTGTGCAATGGAGATGCGGTTTCGATAGGTAGGGTTCTTGGGGACTGGAAACCCTAGGTAGGGTGCGTGTCATTGTCATGGGACGCTGGGAGGAATGGGATATAAGTGTGGCAAGGGCGCTCGTACACACACTCCTGTTGATTTGCTAATGATAGCACTCTGATATACCAACAACCTGATAACATCATCTCAAAGTTCGTAGCAGCTCAGTAAACATCAGACACTACATGTATGTCAAATCCATTTGAGTCTTCCGATATTCTCACCTCTCAAACGTTAGCCGCCGCTGCCTACAGCTGCCACATCACAGAGCACAGACTGACGAGTTCTCAGTAAACAACCTCGTAACATCCAATCACGTGACATTGATATATAATGGCCACAATCCACTCCATCCCTCCCGAAATACTCCTCCAAATCTTCAGCTACCTCCCTATCCGGTCGCTCCTTTCCTTCTCTGTGACCAGCAAAAGCTGCCACGCCCTCGCCTCCGCCAGCGTGACAACCCTCTCTTTCGGCGTCTATCCCACCAGCCTCGCCAGCAAGATCAGCCGCCTGCACAACACAGCAGCGACAGACATAGAACGCGCCGAGAAAGACGCTCCCACGACCGTCTCTCTCGTCGTCCCGGAGGCAGAGAAATTGCCGCTGCCGGCGCTGTACGCCTTCCATGACGCGCTGACGACTTCGATCCTCTTGCGGTACGGCAGCAGTCTCCGCCATCTGGACCTCACGGTCTGGACGTTGGGTCAGAGCATCGCGACAGCGCTAGCGAAGTGCAGGAATCTGCGCTCACTAAGCCTGCGCATTGAGAACCCGCATGTGCGGCTTAGCGCCGATGCGCCGTGGGAGCTGTCTGAGAGCGGCGTGAAGGTCATGAGGAAGGTGGACGAGGACGATGTGTGGGATTGTTTTGATGGCGCATGGGGACGGCTAAGGGAGCTGAGGATTGAGGGCGCGAGAGTCTCGAGTGAGCAGCTGGTGAAAGTGCTGAAGGCGAATCCGGGGGTGAGGGAGTTGTCGGTCAAGAACTGTAAGAAGCTTGATAAGGAGCTGTGGAGGTTGTTGGGTACGGAGTGGGAGGGGCGCGGAGAGTTGGAGTCGCTGGGGATTGTGGGGTGCGGGATGCTCGATATGGAGACGCTTGAGGAGAGTTTGCCGGCGTTTGGGAAGCTGAAGGTACGTTAGTGAATGTACCAAGACGAATTTCCACTGGCGAATGCTGATACTCCTCCGTAGCACCTGTCTCTGCTCGGCGCCGTCGGCTTAGATATTGACGAAGTCAAGAGGAAGAACGATGAGGAGTGGCACATTAAGGACTTTGTGCCACCGCAATCGTCGTCCGGCCAAGCCGTGCCGCATATCATTGAAGTGGATCCGGCTTACATCTGCAACGATTAGACACTCACAATACATAGACACACAAACTCATGAATAGTTGAAATACTGATAGTAATAGTCGCGAGAAACACGCTCGTGATAAGCGATAGTAATGTCAACAGGGAGATGGTGCCAGCGGAGGTGAAGAGTCGGGGTTCTCGAGTACGGTGAAGGGGACTCCGTGAAGGGATCCGCGCTTCATCTATTTCGTCCTCATACAAAGTTCCTCACCTAGAAGAAGACAGTCAACTGAGCCTTGCGCATCTCTATTAGCATCTGACTCCTTCCTGGCTGGCAAGACTGCGATGGCCGTATCTTATCTCCAAGGGCGTGTCGCCAGACTCAGCACTGGTGTTCTCCGGTCTCCATCGTATCCGAGGTTTTCTCAAACTGGACGTTTTCACTTCACTTCCTCCACCACAGCGTCAATACCAACCACCCCTATTGATTCCATTCGATATGCTCTCATATTGCTCGCCCACGATGGTAATTGCAGAGTTCCCTCGTCTGCCCAGCCTCTTTCTTTCACGCGCACAGAAAGCTTCCTTTCTGATCAACTTCTTCATCCTTTGGCCAACGTACTTCTCGCGCTGGACACCACCATCCTTCTATCAAGCAGACGACCACCGCTCCTTTATCGTATACTCTGCTCGCCCTGTCTTGCTTTCGTCGATGTCCCGCGCTTGTCGTCACTCTCCATACTCTTTTTGTGAGCTGAGGCTCGCTTTGCATTCACGCTTCGTCTTCCGCATACGAATTCGTCGAACCTTCACTCCTGTCGTCTCGTTAGAAGCTCTCTCATCATCACTCAAGCTCTGGAAGAAGCAGAATGTCTCCATCAATCGCCCTGTCTCTCACCGCTCAGTCAATGCCGCCTACCCCGGCTAGTCCGGCGAGCGTTCTCCCTGAGCTTGACCTCACTATCTCACCCGAGGATTGTCACGGAGCGGTCGGACTCCCAGAGACTGAGGTGAAGAACATCATCCGCAACACCGCCATTCTTCTTTACAGGGCGGAGAAGGCCGCTCCGATCTGGAGGCGTAACGTAAGTCACTTTCTACTTCAGAATCAGCATGAAGAAAACACAGTACTAACACATTGACACCACAGGTCCGTAATAATCGTCACAGCCTCCGCTTCTTCATCAGCCGCATAGAGGGCGATCAGTCCTCGAATTCCCCGTCGTCCGAAGCCATCATCAACCCGCCAGGAGCCTTTACCGCCGGCCGCCAACCCTCGACGAAGCCGCCGCCGAAGCTGGCAGAGCTTGCGGCGTTTGAGGACCTGTACTACGCCACTTGCTGCAAGATCAGAGAGCTACACGCGGACATCGCGCTGCGCGCCACGCACTTCGGCGCCGACATGCTACAAACCTCACTATCCGGCGGCAGGGGCAGCAGGACCCTGCACGACTTCGCCACCATCCTCTGGGCGCACTGGGCGTTCCTCAACGACCCGGCCCTCATCACCACCCTCGCCTCCGCCGTGCGCGCCGCCTCCTCCACGTCCCTCTGGGACACCAACAACATGCCCGTCGGCGCCATCATGGCACTGCTGTGGGAGAAGCAGCAGCAGCAGCAGCAGCCCGAGCCGTTTCGTGTCTTCGCGGCACGTCTTCCCCGCGCCCCCGCCAATACGGCGAAGCCTCTCCCCCCGCTCCCCACGCTCGAGAGGGCCCAGCGGTACGTGGTGGCGGGTGGGCTGGCCCGGCTTGAGGAGAGAGGAGAGGTGGTGGTGCCGGGGCTGGTGTTGCCCCAGTATGAGAGCGTGGCGGTGGGGTGGGAGGAGATGGAGGGGATGGTGGAGAGGGTGGTGATGGCGGAGAGGGTGAGGAGGGGCGAGTTGGGGGATGGGGAGGGGGTTGAGCGAGTGGTGGAGGGGAAGAAGAGGAGGGGTTTTGGGGGGTGGAGGAGGATGAGGTGGTGGTGAGGGGATAGGAGGGGAGGGGGAGAGGGCGAGTATACAGATTTGATACCCTTGAATGGAGCTTTTTGAGTTTTTGAAACTGGATGCAATTGAATGACATGATATTGATGCAGAAATCCTCACGTGATGACGACCTCCACGTGATATGCTACATATCTACGGTGATGCTTGAGCTCCGAAGATGTGTGAGAACTTTGAGACATTAATGGTGAGAAATTCACGTAATGATTACCGCGTAAATTGTTCCTCATAGACATGGCGATGGGAGATTGGAGGTTGTGAGGATATGACTCATTCTGCACTGAGGTATTGATGAAGGAAAGGAATTGTGATGATGGCTTACTTAAACCATACTTGCAGACATCTCAGAGGGTCGAGGTGTGGTTGAGTCTGGCAGACGTCTGGCGCCACCGACGGGAGAGGCGCCGTGTTCCGGGTTCCTGCCCCGAGCTCTCCGGACTTGCAGCTTCCCCGGCAGCAAGCGACAGCGACATGACAGCTCTGCGCACAACTGACAGCTCCCCGAATTACCGCAGCAACCAACACGCACACAGCATGCCCATCCCGCCCGAATGAGCCATTGAAGCTCACAACATCAATTCCGCCTGCATCCGGACAACAAGATCGAGCCATTCCGTCTAGATATACGCACACACCATGGACCTCCGCACCCGCCTCGGCATAACAGCCTCCACGCCCCAACTCGCGACCTACCTCCTCAGCACCTCGCTCTTCAGCATCTCCTTCCTCGTCTTCCTGAACGCTTCGATCTCCTTCCTCCTAACCTCGCGCCTGGGCCTGCGGCACGATGTCGGGAACAAAGTCGGGACGCTGGGCTTCGTCGACGAGCTGGTGGCGCTGGTCGCATGTCCGGCTTGGGGCGTGCTGAGCGACAGAGTCGGCGTCAGGTGGGTGAGTGTTGTTGGGTACGCGATTGTGGGGCTGGGCTTGTGGGGGTTTGTGTGGATTGGGGAGGGGGAGGGAAATGTGTGGGCGAGGCTCGTGGTTGCGAGGATGGGATTTGCGGTTGGAGGGGCGGCGACGTGAGTGCTTCTCTAATCCTTCCCAACAGGATCAGCGGAGGCTGTGTGGGGATTCGGGCGACTGGAGCAGGTTGTGCTGATCAAGTGTGGTGCTGTAGAGCAACAATGGTCACGGCAATCCTGCCTACCATGACCGCACCACTGCCTTCCCCACCACCTTCGCGCTCACCTACGAGAACTGGGAACGGACATATCGCGACGCCTTCGGTCTCCTCGGAGCTCACCATCACACCCGCCCGCTACCGGTCACAGTCGCCCACCACGCCTCCCGCCACCACGGTGGCTCAAGCCTCACCGCGGAAGCCGGGATCCGCTTCGACGAGCCAGTTAGCAGGATTAGTAGGCGTGTTCACAGGCCTGGGTGCCCTTGTGGCACTAGGTGTATTTCTCCCCCTTCCAGCGAGGTTTCAGAAGGGCGGCGTCGAACCTGCCGATGCGATCGCAAGGGCATTCTACATCGTCGGTGCCGTCGCCTTCGCAGTCGCGGTATCCTGCTTCTTCGGTCTACGAGGTTTACCCGGCGAAGAGCGGAAGAGCTGGCGGAATGCAATCTCCACCCCGAAGAAGACCGACAGGGATGCCGCTGTGAGGGATACGAAAGAGGTAGTGCTCTCGTACCCAAAGCTGCTAAGTCAGGCACTGGTACTGGGCTTCAAGGATAAGAACATCGGTCTGGGATATCTAGGTGGTTTCGTGGCGCGAGCAAGCTCGGTCGCGATATCCCTCTTCATCCCGCTCTTCACGAACGCCTACTTCATCTCCACCGGCCGCTGCACGGCCGATCCTGACGAAGATATGAAAAGCAGCTGCAGACGCGCCTACGCGATCGCAGCAGCTCTATCCGGGACGAGCCAGTTAGTCGCACTACTCTGCGCGCCCGTGTTCGGATACTTGAGCGGAAGATACAAGAAAGGCAATCTCCCACTACTACTGGCCGCCGTGGCAGGCATGGCGGGCTACATATCGTTCGGCCTCCTCAAAAGTCCAGACCCCGGCGACAAAGACGGCAGCCCGGGCGTCTTCTTCATCGTGGCTCTCCTGGGCATCAGCCAGATCGGCGCTATTGTCTGCAGTCTTGGCATCCTGAGCCGCGGCATCCATGGTGAGAGTAGAGAAGAAGACAAGGACGTGAATGGCTTGGCGCAGCAGCCGGTAAGAGCCAGAGACGGCGCTATCGTCGCGGATGGCGCGTCTGCTAGTGCTTCACCTTCGGCTGCCTCGGCTGCACTGAGAGATCCGCTGGTTGATCCTGCGCCTCCGCAGCCGACAGCGTCGGTTATACAGATCGATGGCGCGGCATCGGAATACTCGCCGCTGCTACCATCACATCTGCGGCAGCCGCCGTTTGGCGCGCCGGAAGGCTCGAGCTCGCATGCGCATATGAAGGGGAGTATAGCAGGCATGTACAGCCTGTCGGGCGGCATAGGGATCCTACTGTTGACGAAGGTGGGTGGGATCATGTTCGATAGGGTGGATGTCGGGAGCCCATTCTTCTTGATGGCAGGGTTCAATGCCGTGCTGTTCCTCGCAGGCGTGGGAGTCGCTTTCTGGGAAGTGGTGAGGGGCCGTGCTGAGGAAGGAGTTTGAAAAAATAATAAGCTTCATGGGAGGGCGTTTTGGGAGCTGGCAGGATGGGTAGCTATGGGGCAGCAAGATGTCCCAAGGATCAGGGCAGGATCGTCACTGACGGAACGGCTTGTTGTCAGCTTAGAAGGAGGGCGAGTAGGAATCAAACAGAGCTAAGCACTGTTGGTGGTTCTTTGGCTACATCCTTTCACGTCGAGGAAGTGCTACTGACTGACATTGACTCCGCACTCGGGCGGAATGGTGCGAGTGGGACGTGTCAGCGGGCTGGATACACTTGAAGCCGCAAACACGTCTAGGTTTGAGATCGTGCTCGTTACCATAGTCTCGACGTCCATCTTGACCTGCATGATACAAGCGGTAAGTACAGATACAGCAGGTCATTTGCTCGCATGGAGCAATTTCCTTTCATTTCATCTTTCACTTTACTTCGGCCTCTTCTAGTCACTCCCCTTATTTCACGGTTAGATTGCTTCTTCTAGCCCAAGTCTCAAAGAGGTGGAAGCGCGCTCCACCCGAAGCTCCTTCGACAGCCCGTGGTTCCCGACTCGCCTCAAGCTTGTGATCCAGGATCAGCCACCGAATCCGAGCGTGAATCGGATTAGAAAAGACGGCATGACGGAAAAGGTGCACGCAATGGCAAGTTCGCTCAGTGGCTTCCTGACGGGCAGGCGCGGTTCATCCTCCACCAAGCCGCAAACAGAACTTCGCGACGTTAAGTCCGCCGGGCCAGCCGCAAAACCTGAGCCAAGGTAAGCAAGCCATGAGGACCACTGTCCCTAACAAACCAGAAACTATCGACTAACCTAGGAATGTCTTAAAGCCGCCGAAGTATCCGCCTCCGCTTCGGCTCCAAGGATCTCTTGATCCAGGAGGATATCCTCCGCGCGCTCTCCCCCTACCTCTCACGCCGCCTCAACGAAGCAGACGCGCAACAAGAGTGCGTCCTCCTCACCTACAAAGAGATCTCCCTCAGCGCCTTCAGCATGTTTGCGAGGTGGGTCTGCCACGGCGAGCTCTACACCGGAGACCTCTGGAAAGACAACGGTGGTATCAACGGCGATAGTCTGCTCGAGCTCTTCTTCATGGCCCGGGAGCTTGAGATCGAGATGCTGGAGAACAAGAGCCTGGATACGATTCGGCAGTACTACGAGGGTAGTCCGGAGCACGCCTCCCTTCCGACTCCGGCTACGCTTAGCAGGGTCCGCGCGGAGGCTGATGGGGAGAATGACCCGATCATGCAGGTCCATCTGGAGATTCTGGCCAAGCAGTTGGTAGTTGCTCGCAGGGTGGTGCCGAGTCGAGACCTGAGATTGTACGTGGAGAGCGATGGCGTACTGATGCTGCAGATGACGCGGGCGGCGAGGGTGTGGGCTGAGCACTGCCAGAATGACAGGAAGAAGCCGAAGAGTCGGAGGGGCAGGGATGAGTTGTGTAGGTTCCACAAGCATAAGAGGACGGAGAGATGCTCGTAGGGGGGTACAGACGTTTGATAGCTGGGAAAACAGGAAAACAGCAGGGGGAGATTTTCTTTGGCATCGGATGGAGCACACTTGCTTGAGGACAGGTACTTTTGAGATCCTTGGGAATGGGGCGAACACACAAAATTGACTGCGGCCTGAGTGGGACAAGACGCGAATGTACACTAGGATTACGCGCCGCTCTCGTCCTGCACTAAAGCTCGGGGCTGTGTTAGATGTTGAAGCAGGGCTTCTTTCACTTAGTGCCGTGACGCATGAATTGCAACTGGCCGCTGAGAACACTCCCGCATGACTGCTAGAAACAGTGTCCCACTGCGTTTTTCACTAATGCCCTACATCAACCCGTGACTGGCCTGTACCTGCAGTGAAGCCGCCGGGCACTCTCCTCCGCCATCTCGCCCCGTTCCGCCGCCAAGCCCCTTCAGCAAGCCCCCCCAGAAACGTCAGAGCTCCCGTCCCTGCAGCCATCAACGCCCTCGACGCGCCTCAACCACGGGCAACACCGCTGCCACATCCAGCCTCCAACATGAGTGGCGTGGGCGAGACCAAGTATGTTTCCCTCCACAAGTCTCAAACCCAGATACCTCTTCATGGTCCACTGACAAGAACGTCGTCCAACAGATGGCGCCGCGGCTCCCAAACCACGGCCAACACCGCACCAGGCGGCCAAAACTCCCTCCGCGGCCGCCAATCCGCCCAGAACTCCGGCACCAGCACCCCGAACCCGGAGCTCGGCAAGCGCCAGTCTCTGTCCTCGGCGTCGGGGAACACGTGGGATAGGAGTAGGAGCGGGAGTGCCGCAGGGCAGGGGCAGGGGCAGGGGCAGCAGCGTGGTCCGCCGGGTGGTCAGGTAGGAGGGCAAAAAGGAGCAGGAGCAGGGGTTGGAGGACTGGATGTTGGTAACGCGATGACGGCGGCGACGGCGATGGTTCAGGAGGAGCATGTGCCTGTCAATGGGTATAATGCGGATGAGGTCCGCACGTTCTTGGCTACGGGGCGCGGAGGTGCCCAAGTTGATGGGGTGAAGAGCGGGAAGGTCCCGGTGTGGAAGGCGGGAGGGGAGAACAAGGGTGTCAGGTCTGGGGGTCCGTGGGGCTCAAAACGTGAGTGTGAATCTGGGGGCATTGATTGTGAGGAGTGATCGCTGATGAGTCGCAGCTACGCAGATGGCGAGTGGCCAGGACTTCTGGGTCCAGTTGAGGAAGCAGATCGCGAGTCTCGAGCAGGGCAAGGCCGGCTGAGAAGCCCACCGGAAACCAGATGCCGTCTACGGCTGGTGTGTCAAGGACAAGCAAGCTGCGCGAAGCAGGTGACATTGCATATGGTGTTCCGGTAGCAGCATCGGGAAGCATCGGGAAGCATCATTGGAGTTGAATACCACGGAAAATGGACGGCTTGTTTCAGGGCACGGGGTCTATATGGGAACCTCAACCACGGTCGACCGCGTCATTGCTTGGATTGAATCGCTGGGTCCGAAGCATACGTATATTTCGTAGGCAGCTTGCGCTCAGCTAAGAGATTATCTATCTGAGATCAGCTATTGGAGATCAGCCTCAGTCCAGGGCTTCGGAGGCGGGACGATCAGATCGGAATGCAGACTCCGAGCTAGAGCTTTCTAAGAGCAGTGGAGCATTACCACGTTGTCTGGAATATCTTGGCTTTCGAATCGCATAAAAAATCAATTATCCCACCAATCTTACTGCAATCCAATCATGTTGGTCGAATTTGGGTCTTACTATGACCATCCACCAGAAACAGCGCGATACTTACGCGTTGGTGCCGAGACACGAGATCCCGGCTTTGTTCTACCACCTCACACAAATGGGAATGTGAATTTAATGCCACATGAAGGACTCTGAAACCACCGATTCCCTAAGAACACCATTTCCCACAGGGCCATCACAAGCCACCTCCGCAAGCCCTCCATCGCGCGAATCCCGGGCTCCTACCATCAATGTCCTCACCACCACGAACGCCAACACACCTGCCCTCCTCAAACCACCGCCGTCACCCGTCAAGCGTCGACCTTTCCCCCAGCCTTCACTCACACAACTACAATTCCTACTTCAACACACCCTCGCGCTCCCCCATAAGCCGCAGATCGTCGGCGGTCAACTATCAGTACTCACCCGTAACACCACGCTCTATATACGATGCCAGGCCTGGTTCCAGGGGCAATGGCCTCTCAGAGCTGGATGGCGTGGCCGGCGGAGATGGCGGGCTGGGCAATCTGGCGGACGAGTTGGCCGATATGTGGGAGGATGAAGAGGGGGGCCATGATCATGGCGACGGCGAGGTGGCGGAGCTGGGGGATGGGGGGCACAGCAACGGGGAGGTGAGGATCAACGGGCATCATGCTGCAGTACACGGCGGTGTAAGAGACAGCAGTGTTGCGGCGTCGTCGCCCCCCATGCTCCGGAGTCCACTGCAGGCGTCACGACATCGACCGAAGCACCAGCGGAAACCCTCGCAGTTTGACGGCTCGGAGTATGGTGGGGAACAGGAGCTCGACGCCTCAGGAGGGATAATTTCAGGACTCGAGGCAGAGATCGCGGCGCTGGAGAGCATAGCGCGTCGGGGCACCGAGCAAAGCACGAGCGAGACGGATCAGGGAGTGCAACGCTTCACCGAGTCACTACGAGATCTGGGAAGTCAGGCCGCCATAGAAGCCGGCACGACACGGTTGCGTCTCCTATCTCCTTACCCTCCCTCCCACCCTCAACCACCATCAACCTCAGACACCTAGCTAACGCCAGCACTTCCGATAGTCTCGCAAATGCTTACACAGCCCAAACGACGCACCTCACAACCGAAACCCGCACCCTGGCATCCCTCACCTCAACCCTCCTCTCCCCGCTCTCGCCAGCTCCACCCCCCGAAATCATCGACACCCTCCTCGCCCTAATCCCCGAGACCATCTCCGCCCTCCCGACGCCCTCATCCACCCCCTTATACGCCCTCCACAATCTTACACGCACGACACAAGACCTGGTCCAGACGCTATCCTACCTATCCGACTCGCTGCACATGAGCCGGCAGACGACGCAGGTAGCTGCGCGGAGGCTGCGGGCTGTCAAGTACGCGGTTGCGGAACTGGCACGGGAAAGAGAGTTGGCGGAGGAGGGGCGGCGATGGATAGAGCAGGGGGGTTGGGAAGAGAGGTTGGCAAGGAGAGAGAGTAAGGGGGTGTGCGCAGACGTGGTGGGAGGGTTTGAGAAGGTGTGTGAGGGGTGGAGGGAGAGATTGCTGGCTGGTGCTGAGGCCGTGGGATGAACAATGGGGCTGGGGAAGTGGATATGGGCTGGCATGTTATTATCGCATCTTTGGGGATGGCGTTGGCATTGGGAAGGTGTTTTGGGGACTTCTCGTGGTATATAGGTTGCTCTAGATAGAGCCGGTGTCGAAGTGCAAAGATACTAAGATCCAAGATTCTTATTCGACACGCCCATATTTGGAGCTGAACAATATCGTCTGTTACTCCTTTGCGCGAGCAACTTGTCCTCGATCACGGAGGCTGATATCACGTGATAAGACATTCCATCGTGCCCGGTCGCCATCCCGGCTTCGGCTGGCGCGCAGGTCCGATGGGAGGGAAAAGCCGCTCATGCAAGAAGCCGGGAGTGTGACAAGGCCGCTGATTGGGAGCTTCCCATGCGAGCCGAATGCCACCGTCACCCGCTCCCCTGTCAGCCGCAGATGGATGCCCTCCAACGAGCAGCTCGCCTCCGCCTTTCTGTGCACTCGATGCGCCCGCGCCATGCAATGGAACAACCGCCTCTGGCCCGCTTTCGGGCGCGATCCACAGCCCGGCTGACCTGCAGAAGGGCGGGCCTGGCAGCCCTGGGCGCCAGAATTACAGCACTGCTTCGAGGTGCTTAAGCAGTCCTCGCCCGCCTTTCGAGCGGCCGATGTAGCCTCAACTCCACCACCGTAACTGCTCGCTGCTGCTGCTGCTGCTGCTGGAGACAGAGCTCGCAGTTGTCGCAACGATGTTCGTCTCACGACATTGGCGCATGCCGAAGGTCGTCCTCGGCCTTCTGGTCCTCGAGTTCCCGCTCACCGTCGCGATGCTTACGCTGTTCGGCATCGCATCGCCGGATCTGTATCGCACGAAGCTGTGGCAGGAGGGCGCGGATCATGGGTGGAACAGCGATCCAAGCGAGGTCGTCTACAGCTTTGCGAACTATGAGCCGCAGAAGATACCGCTGGTCTGGAGTTACTTGTACGGCTTGCGACCCTCTATCCAGCGCGAAACGCGAGCAGTGACTGACTTCTCCACTCCAGTCTCACCCGCTTTAACCTCATCGTCTCAGTCCTCAGCATGTTCGTCCTCCTCACCAAGGTGACGCTCTACGTCATGCACATCCTGTACCCGCTGTTGTCGTTCTTCGTCCACGGCCTCCTGCTCGCTCTCTACGCATACAGCCTCCACGGCCAAAGCGCGCCCGACACCCTCGACGCAGATCGCCGACGAGCATGGTACATCACGCGCGGCTGCAGCGCCGCCAGCACCAACAGCCTCAGGGGCTACTGCCAGCAAGCGAAAGCCAGCTTCGGCGTCACGGCCTGCATGGTGTAAGTGGCCTTCTCCCCTCCAGCCGCAGCGCAACAGCAGCTGACCACTCAACCCCCCCAGCGCCCTCTTCGCAGCCCACCTCATCCTCGCAATCTGGTCCATGATCCCCACAAAACAGCAGCGCCATGCACGCAACACGTCCGTCGAGTCAACCGCAGAGATGGCAAAGCAGAGCCTCGCGGCGGGCATGAGTCCCGAGCAGCAGTGGGAGCAGCATAGATGGCAACAGCAGCACCAGCAGCAGCAGTGGGAGATGCAGCATTATCCCCGGAGTCCGGGCAGCACTGGAGGACTGAAGAGCCCGATGACGCCAAGGTCGGTCGCGTTTCATGCGCTGGATGGGAATGGGGGGAGTGGGGATTTGCCATTGAGAGGGCAGCCGTATCAGCCGTACGAGCCTGGGAGATGATGACGGGGATGGGTTTTGGAGTTTGGAAATTCTCGGGTTTTGGGTTCGGGAGATGGGAATTGTTTGTGTATTGAGATGATGGGCAGATGCTGGATATATACACTAATTTAACATGTGACGCTGTTCCGATACTCAACACATATATAAGATCCGTCAAAAGTGTGATTTTGGACCAGCATCAAGCATGATGGTCTTCCGTGGGAATCGGGTCTTGCGGAGACGCATCAAATGCTTTTAAGGGTCATTATAATAATAGAGAGTGACCCGTGGTAGCAGGAAGTAGAGCTATGTGTGCAAGAGATGTGTGTTGTATCACACATATACAACACACATCTCTTGCACATATAGCCGTGCTACCACTGCTACTACCAGTCACTCTCTATTATTATAATGACCGTTAGCGACATCTGTGTGATTCGAACACACGCTCCCGAAGGAACCGGCTTTGATAAAGTGTCGCGATCGACCAGAGTTGCAACGGTAGGGTGGTAATGAAGGAAAATTAAATCTATATTCTTGTGTATCAAGCTTTTTAACATATAACCATCTTAATGGTGTTCCGACCATTCATTGAGTTTCGTCCACTATCAACGTTTCAGCAGAGCTCGGTCGATTTCACCCAAAATTTAGCGTGGTTTGCGCCCTGGCCAACAGTGTTTACCCAAACAAATCGAACTTGAGCTTTCGCGTCGCAACTTGAACGAGCAAAAGGCGAGGACGAGGACTGCACATAATGTCTAATTAGGTTCTTCATCTCTGTTCACGAGTTGGTCTAGATGGGATCCAAAGCAGATGCGCGTCCCGCCGCCGACGTATTGCGCGAACTCACATCCACCTCGATCTGTAATCCATCCACCACAGCCAGACTCCAGGACCTACTCAGCACCGCGACGAATCCCGCATCGAAGATTCCAGGGGAGAATGCTGAGCCGAAGGCGATTAAGCGCACAGCTACAACTTCGACACGCACCCAGCGAAGTACAGCGGACTCGAAAACCAAAAGTCGGGCGAAGGCCTCTACAGCGGTGGAAATACACGAAGATGTCCAACCTCTGCTCTCTCCGCGCGAAAAGTATATCCTCGCCACCGAAACCATCAACACAACCCTCAAGACCCTCGGGGACGCCCTTAAACCCCAGCCGCGCGCACATAAACGAGTCTCTTCCGCTCGAAATGAGCTCTCAAGGGGAACCGAGGGCGCGCGAACACCCTCGAAACGTACATCTCTCACGCGAACCAATTCATACCAGCAACGACCCTTGCAACCGCGGTCGATCAGCCAGCTGTCGAACTCGGACGCGCCAGTCAAGCGCTCGGCGTTTCGGAGATCATCCTCATACTCCGTTTCAAGCAGACAAGGACCGGCGCCGGGCATAACGGCTACGGCAGAATGTGCAAGGCTAGCTTTCGCGTACCTGAGGACCCCGGAGGCCGCAAAGGTAGCGTGGAAGAACTTGCCAGCCCTGCAGCTTGAGAATGGCATGCTGGCACTCGTCGGGAAGCTCATAGCGCATGGATTAGAAAGCATGGCCGTCAAAGAGCTCAGGATACTGAAGAGACGTCTTGAGACGTACATGGCAGAGGAGTGCAAGGAGAGCAAGAGTAGCAAGGCTGGAATCTCCACAGAGAAAGAGACACTGGCAAGCCTTCTGGAGTTCGAACACGTCGATCTGGATAGCCCGGCACTGCCGCTGCTCACAAGCCACCAAACATCCGTCCTCAAAGTCGCCGCCAGCAGTCGTCGTCCTGCAACCATCGAAGCAGCCCTCGGCCACCTACAGCTTTCGAGCCCCAGTTCGCCAGGAAACCTCTGCCTAGCTTACGCTAAGAGACCCGGATGCGGAGCCAAAGCCGCTCGCCAGCTGGAGACTTTCGCGCAGATCTTGCTCTCGCTCTGCCCGAGCATAGCTGCTTCTGAAGATGTGCTTGCTTGCAATTCCAAGCTCAAGCCAAGCCCAGAGGTCGCGTTCCGGCTGCAGCAGATAGCTTTCGAGCTGCGGTTGAGTTGGTGGAAACTATCTGGTCACAAGGGAGATTTGGACAAGGAGATTCTGGAGCCGTTCTTAAAGTGTTTGTCTGCCTTTTCACGGAGGTCAGCTCTATCCTCCAGAGAGAAATATGTGTTAGCGGTGGAGCTGTTTCAAAGACTGGAAGAGTCGGCCCGCGGCGCTGGCAGAGACATCACTGGAAACGGCCAAGATGTGGCGTGTCATGGACGAACGAGCATCTACCACTCTCTGAGCTCCCTGGCTCAGTCTGGAGGTCTACGTAAGGAGGCATTAGTCTGGATGACCAGAAATTCCCAGGTATATGAGACAGCCTCCGCATCTGAAGTAAAGCGGGCAGGTATCGCAGTCCGATTAGCGGCACTGACTCTCGAAGACTCCTCACTCAAGGACACCGCTGATTCCAGCTCACTACTGAAGAAGACCAGGGAATATTTAACCGGCAGCTTGAAAGGCGACTCGGCTGAGCTCGATTCATTGTTCGGCGAGGTCGCTGGCCTACGTAAAGCAGCTGCGAAGCTGATTCTACAGACTCCGAAGGCCGATACTACCGACTCTGGTGACTCTGAGTTCTGCGCCTTGCTTTTCTCAGTAATCGCAGCCTCGACGAATTTCCTGGCCCGCTATATCGGCGCCCGTCCGCGACTAGAGGCGGATCCGAAGACCGTTCTCCGCCATGCTCATCGTATCGCTGCGGCCAGCAAAGTACTCAAGGGCTTCATTGACTCCGTTGTCGTAAGCTGTAAGGCGATGACTGCGGCTGGCACATCGACTTTTGATGCGATCGATGCAATACTTCACGACCTCAATGTGGTAATTAATGAAGTTTGCGACTGCTCCACAACAAGTGATGAAGAAGCGACAAAGTTCCATGAAGGGCTGGGTTGGCCAATGGTCAAGGTCTCGAACACGTACTGGATTCTGTTTCTACGACTGAAAAAGTCTGGTGGCGAGGGCAAAAGAGTGCTGCGGCTTCTCAAAAATGCCACAGAGATTTTATCGGCTCGCAGTAATATCGAGAAAGAGCTTGGGTCGCTTGGGATGAAGCTGGGGAAACTGGGCGAGACGTATGAGGCTGCTAGTCATCACGGTCGCGCCATTGAGACATTCAAAGCCGCAATCGCCACGAACATTGATACTGGAGCACTGAATGATGCTGCCACAGCTGGGAGGACCAGGTCACTGCAGGATGTGTGGAACGAACCCGGAGTCTTGGGACATCTAGGACATTCCCTAAGAGCGTTGCAGAAGATCACGGCCAGGCATCTGGAACCTATGTCGGCGGAAAGCCCGGTTTATGATGACGGGAGGCTCATGCCTGAAGAACGAGGAATGATCTTGGAGTATCAGCTCTCCCTCTACTTGGAGGCTTTATCAAAGTCCAGAGCTGGAAACGAAGCTGCTGTAGCCGCTGTACGAGTACTTGCTGACCGACTCTTCGCGATATATCCGGCGAACCAGTTTCCGCTGCGGAGGCAGAGAGTTGCCGTAGCTCTCCTCCGTATTGTGACGGATGAACCAAATCTTCTGAGTTCGGAAGTACTCGGGATAGCAACACAGAGCTGTGCTCTTGTTGGTAGAGCCCTTGAGGAAGACGCCGGATTATACGGTTACAAGGAGCATCTACAAGCGACTGCGGCGGTCTGTCTCGCGTTCCGTGATCCGCAACCAACCGTGGAGGCTTTCAAGTCCGCGCTGCGGACATGGCAAATCATACTCGATGCTGCTAATACCTGGAGTGCTCTAACAACGGCCGTAGACGATGTAGATGCCTGGAAATGGCAACTCCACACCATATCCGAGTACCTAGACGTGCATGGGCTGCATTTCCTGCACGTACCTGTACTGGAGATGCTGGGGAAAGTACTGGAGCTTCAAGAACCGCCCATGGCCTCAGAGCTAGTCGACGCTCGCTCTAGACTAGGCTTACAGTATCTTCGCCTCGGTTACTCTGGCAAAGCCGGTCTTGCCCTCGCAAGAGCTCAGAATCTACTCATTGATAAAGAAGTCTCCGTAGAGGCACGGTTACAGTGGCATTTGGCTTACGCCGAGTATCTTCTCCGAATAGGTAACACAGAAAAGAGCAAGGAAACCTTGCAGACAGCTGAGAAGCTTGCGTCCCAAGATGCGGAGATCTATCGAGCGACCCAATCCTCGGCCTCACTGTCCAGCCGCATCAGGTACAACAGGCTGCTATCGGATGCCTGCTACGTCCAATCCCTCCTCAGCTTCGAAACTGGCGCGTACGAAACATCTCTAGTCTGTGCAAGGCGATGCCACAGGCTCAACCAGCGCGTCTGGGCGAGTCTTGAGAACTATGCCTGTCGCCAGGCACTACCCTCAGCACACGGGGCCCCAGACTCGGAAGTCGACTCGCTGGTCGATGGTATGAGTAAGCTCATGGCATCTTCAACATCGAGTGCGGCGCCTCCTGTCGTGTCTATGACACACGAGTCGCTTTCAGGAGCACGATTCTGGAGCCTCGTGCCTTCTCTGTTCCGCGGTCTGATCCATCTGACACGACTACTCTCGCACATGGGAATGCTTCAGGAAGCCGTGTGCTTTGCTGAGCAAGCGCAGCGTGTAGCCGTTGCTGCCCATAGCGATTCGCTGACCGTTCAAGCCATGACTGCTACAGCGAATCTTTGGCTCAGCAGCGGTAGGTTGGACAAGGGATCCGAATATCTCGGCAAGGCAGCTGGTCTAAGCAAAACTATCGAGATGGGCCAGGTCGTGGTGAGCTACAAGCAGGCGATGGCATTGGCTCACCAGCTACTTGACGAGAAGGAGGAAGAGCTGACGGTCTACGGCGAAGCTGTTTCAATCATGCAGAGACTTATCAATCCACACTTTATTCACGATTTGGACCGGATCAACTTTGGTGAGCCGGCTGATAGCCTTGAAAAGCAGATGGAAAAACTGAGCCTGACTGCTCCTGCGGAGCCACGGCGGAGAACAGTCAAGACAGCGAAACCCCCAGCAAGCAAGAAGTTCACCATTAAGACTCCTGCGAGGACGGATAGGAAAGATGCGACAAAGCCGGTCCAAAGTAGCGTTCACAGTACAGCAGACGAATGCCCCGAGTTACAGAGTCTGTACGGTGAGATCGTTCGACGCAAAGCGACAGCATTGCTTCTGGAGGACAAGCTCTCGGACGCCGCCGAGTTGATTATACAAGCAGGAGATCTCTGCTATGGTCATGGAAGTTTGGTCCAGCAACAGCTCCTTGTCTTCCATAGTGCAACTCAGCATGGGTTCAAAGCAATGGCCGCCGACTTTACATACAACGTATTACCCGAGTCCACCATCTCCTTTCCGGCTGTGGCTCAAGCCTTACGAAAGCTCTCAGAGCCTGCAAGCATTCGCCCTATACACCTAACACCACCGAGGAAACGCGGGGGAAGATCGCCTTCCCCGAGAAAGGGGGCGGCACGGGCTCGGAAGCCAGCAAAGAGCGAAGACTTTACTGCCCTTCTATGCAAGGCCCGCGAAAGTCTCCTGGAAGTTCGGGCTGCAGCCATCCAGGCTTGCTCCACAAGCGTTATCAGGCAGGTTTGCGGCGCTCTCAGTAATACGACGGTTCTGCTGTCGGCGACCGCTCCAGGTGTTTCAAAAGGGTCGATGCACCCGCTATTTGCTGCCCATATGTCTGGTAAGTACCTCGTTATCGATATCTCTCTAACGAGAAGCTAACGCGTAGCAGAGCTTCCCAAGATACACGCTTTGCAGCTGGAGCAGACCGTCACGTTTGCTGATAAGGAGAATACATCCCGTGCAGCCCTGCTAAAGTGGCCGGCATCCGAGCCGTCTGCTCTAGTGCCAACTGGAGCGACGTCAACCAACTTTCAACAAGACTACATAGACATCATCCCAGCAAACTGGGCTGCAATTTCAGTCTCGCTATCAGAAGCCGGCAGTGATCTCTATGTCACGCGCTACCAAGCCAATCAAACACCATTTATACTCCGCCTCCCTATGGCTCGTCAATCATCGCAGCTTATGGACGACGAAGATGTCTTCGACTTCACAGCCGGCAAGGTTGAGCTGAATGAGATCATTGAGCTCTCGGACTTTAGCACTCACCATCAGCGCGACATGAGTGTGAAGGGCGCCAAAACCGGATGGTGGGCTGAGAGAGAAGCATTGGACAACAGACTGAAGGAGCTGCTAGTCAACATCGAAAACATCTGGCTTGGCGGCTTCCGAGGCATTTTTTCACAGCATACGCGACGGCAGGATCTGCTTGGCCGATTCCAGAGGTCGTTCCAGAACATAATGAACAAGCATCTCCCATCCCGGAAAGGGAATCGCGGGCAGCAAAAGAAGCTCAATCTTGACTCTAGGGTACTGGAGCTCTTCGTTGGGCTGGGCGATGCGTCGAACGAGGATATCGACCTCGATGAACCAATCATGGATCTGCTTTACTTCGTCGTAGATATCCTGCAATTCAGCGGCGAGCGCAACGCCTACGACGAGATCGACTTCGACTCCATCGCCGTTGAAACATTGGAGGCCCTTCGCGCATATCACTCCGCCGTCGCTGCGGACGCGGACACGTCTCAAACCCGCCAGCACACTATACTGATCCTCGACAAGAACCTCCACGCTTTCCCCTGGGAGTCCCTGCCCTGCTTACAAAACGACTCTATCACCCGCCTTCCCTCAATGGGCGCCCTCCGTGAGCGCATCCTCACCGCCCGCACTCCATCCTTCAGCTCCAGCTACACCAACAAACTCCTTTCAGCGGGTCATCACATCCCCTTCACCTCAGGCTCCTCGCACAAGCGCATCGGCACCACGATCCTCAACCCCAGCGGTGACCTCCAACACACGCAGTCGACGCTGGAGCCGCATATCCAGACTCTCACCTCCGACACCTGGACCCACATCGCCGGTCGCGCCCCCACAGAACCAGAGCTCGAGACCGCGCTCCAGGACAGCAAGCTCGTGCTCTACTTCGGCCACGGCAGCGGCGCGCAGTACATCCGCTCGCGCACGGTCAAGAGGCTGCATCCAGGCCCTCTCGCCCTTCCTCTCGCAGCGCCGTCCATGGACTCCGACTCCGACATCAGCACAACCACCGCATCAGACCCACCCCCAGCGCCACCCGCCAAAACACCAACCTACCCCCCCACAACCCTCCTCTACGGCTGCGCCTCCGCCGCCCTGACCACCCACGGCGCCTACGAGCCCTCCGGCATGCTTGCCGCCTATGTCGCGGCCGGGGCCCCCGCCGTGCTAGGCATGCTGTGGGACGTGACGGACCGGGACTGTGATCGCTTCGCTGTGCGCGTTGGGGAGGTGTGGGGGCTGTGGCCCGGCGACGGTGGCAGTGATGCGAAGAAGAAGGGAAGGCAGCGGCAGGTGGAGATTGAGAAGCCGATGGGCGCGAAAACGCCGGGCAGGAAGACGCCGGGCAGGAAGATGCCGGGACAGAGGAAGAGAAGGGAGGTTGGGGATAGAGAGATGGAGTGCGGTAGTGGAGAGGGAGAGGTGGGGGCAAGGAGGGAGCGGGTTAGTCTCGACGAGGCGGTTGTGAGGAGTAGGGAGGCTTGTTATTTGAGGTACCTGAATGGGGCGGCGGCGGTGGTGTATGGGATTCCGGTGTACCTGGATTGAGGTGGGGAAAGCTAGGTCTGAGAGGAAAGAGAGAGAGGGGACGTAAACATTCGTTCGCTATTCCTGTTCTTATTATTGTTCTCGCATTAGCGGCGGTGTTTTGCATAATACCCAGACATGGAGTTGAGTGTTGGATGGCATGGTCTTGTTGGCGTTTTGCAGCAACCCAGAGCTCTTCTTTCCATAGTTTTGTCAATATCACTTCATCAACGCTCCTTTGATTGCCCCGTCTCATTCTAGTCACGTGACGAAACCCCATCCAAACCTCCCACACAACCTCAATCCCTCTCACCCCTCTCGGGATCCCTCTCCCTCGTCAAACTAGACCCCGGATCCTCCTCAGCACCTAAATCCCTCCCCTTCTCCTCCAACACCGTCCTCTCCATCTCCCCAAACCCCTTCAGCGCCTCCCCATACCCCTCCCAAACCCCCTCCCTATACCCCTCCGCAACCTTCTTCACGAAAGCCTCCTCATCCCACCTCCCGCCCACAAACTTCTCAAACCCCTCCCCCTCGCCCCTCTCCACTCCCCAAGCAGCCTTATGCGCCGCCCCCAACGCACACGCGTTCCCCCCAATATCAAGCCGGTAGATCCCCTCCGCGCCGCCCAGAACCTGCCCCGCCAGATCCGCGATCGCTGGATTGGCACTCCCCCCGCCGACGAGGTAGACACGGCGCGGCTGCGGCGGCAGTTCTTTTCCGTCGGCACCCTGCTGTGCGGACACGAGGCCCTGGCTCCGCAGGCGCAGAGACAGGAGCTGCGACTCGATGATTGCGCGGGCGTCGGCGGAGGGGGCGGGCCAAGCTGGGTCGTTGGGCTCGACGGGCGAGAGGTCGACGGAGGAGGGGCGGAATAGAAATCGCCACGTTCCGGCGCGCACGTTTGGTACGATTTCTGGGCGCGGGAAGAAGAGACCGAGGCGCATTGGGTCGTCTGGTGACGTCCGGCCGAGCGGGGGCGTCGAGGTCGCGGCGTTGTTGAAGGCGGTCCAGCTGTTTTCTTCCTGCCCGTCTGGCTTTTCGGAGTTGAGCGCGTTTCTGATACGCTCGCGCGCCAGGCCGCCGTTCTTGTAGCACAGCATGAACATATACAGCCCACGCGTCGTCGGGTGGTTCATGAAGTGGTACGCCGGGTCCGGCTTATAGCGGGGTGTGCTCATTAGGAAAGTCGTGCTGGTGCCCAGGCTTACGATGGCGTCGCTTTCACGGAGGGGGAGCGCGAGGATCGTCGAGGGGTTGTCGCCTGTGAAGGGGATGATAGCGCAGTCCGGGGGGAAATTATAGCGGGAGACGTAGTACTGGCTGATGGTGCCGAAGACTGCGCCGCCGTCTTCGGGCACGTCGCCGAGTTTCTTCTTGAGATCATCCACGCCGTCAGAGCCCGCGGCGAGGGAAAGGAGAGAGTCGTCCCAGGCGCCGGCTTTGATGTTCCAGAGGTTCATGCCGCAGACGTCGCCGATGTCGATGGGTGCGACGCGGCCGAGGAAGAGCGACGCCAGGAAAGCGGAAACAAGGGAGATACGAGTGGTCCTCTTATACGACTCTGGATACTTCTGCCGGAAGCGGAGGATCTGAGGGCCGCTAAACCGCTGCCATTCGTGCGTTGTCAGTAATCTCCCCAACTTAGCGGGGAAGACTGGGAGCGTAAAGCTCGATATCAAACGCTTACATGGTGTGCCTTGCTCCCCGTAACCTCCGCCAGCTTCTCCGGCGAACCCAAGCATTTGTCAAACTCATCACACTGCGCCTGCGTACTAGCATCCTGCCAATTTGGACTGAACGGATGGCTGAAAGCTCCTCTGCCCTCTCCCGCCTTCTTCTCCGTCCCGCTCCCCTCCAGCTGCTCCAGTAGGCTCTGACCCCCATCTAACGCGCCTAATAAGTCCTCGGCATCTTGACTCCAGAAAACTGTACCATGTTGCATGCCCGCCCCTGAAATACCCTTGACACGCGAGAAGTCAAGGCCATCCTCCTTGAGACGCTGCAGCACAAGGTCAATGGCCTCAAGCCACATGGCCACAGGCGCGAATATCTCCCCTTCCGCTTGGTTCTGAAGTACGCCTTTTTCGATGCCATACTTAGAGAGGTCGGCATCAAAGTCTACTTTGGCTTCGTAAACGAGCTTTAGGTTAGACTGGACAACGATACCTGGCTGTCATCAGCCTCAAATCGCAGAAAATAAAAGTCGGGGGCATTAAAATTGCCCATGCAGCAGGAAGATGTACATTTACATTGCTGAGTGCTCAAATCGAAGCCCATGTATAAGGGTGATTGAGCATCCATCATGGAGGGGTTTGTGAAAACAGGAGTTGGAAGAAATAAGAAACAAGGACTTGAGAATTAGAAGTATTTGCGAGCACGCGTTTGAGTAATTTGATTTAGATGGCTTCCGTTGAGGTTTTGGTGCAGGCCCGGCTAAATGTACGTGGCCGCATCTGTGCAGCTAAAATGCGGCCACCTCCATTTTAGCCGGGCGTTGGTGGTTTGCGGGGAAGGCTGGTCTTGGCCGAGCGGGCATGGTGTCAACCCGCAGTTGCAAGCCCGAGCTGCCGCGAACGAGGATGAAGCTGTAAAGTTTGGAGAAATAGAAGGGCTGAGAATGGACTTGAGTAGGATTGGAACACTCGGCCAGGGCGTGTAAAGTATGCAGAACCGCACAGACGATTGTCTATATTCACGTTCCTATCTCAGAGCCGTTTCTGCACCCGACTCGAATGGATCAGCTCCAGCTTCTCTACCGAAGCCTACCGTGACGCCGAATCCCATGCAAGCCCAAATCATCTATCCGCGTTTCTATAACCCTCATGCTTTAGTGTCTAAGCCAGGTCTTCGCATGGTCGCAACGGCGAAAGAAAAGCAGTGCGACGCTTGAGAGTGGTCCAGAACACGGTTACCTTCTCTTATTGATACCGTCACTTGTAGGTGTATGACCGTGCTGATAACTGCTGGGGTGCTCATGCGAGTGCCCATTCCCATTGTCATGGTCGTGGTCATGGTCGTGCTCGTGATCCTCCGGCTCCGGACTCGCCCTCGCACTGCCAGCAGGAGCGATGAACTCGTCCAAGAAATCCGGTTCTCCCATCTCCGCCGGCACAAAGCGCACTCTCACTCTCTTGACTCCCCTAACCTTCGCCCCGACTCTTGCCCGCACCAGGTCTTCCACTTTGCGCATTCTATCCATATCCCAGGATGATGGGACGCCCAGTTCTATATCCATGAGGAAATTTTGCCCAGACTTGACACCTTGCACACTCCGCACCAGTATATCTTGCGCCGAGGGAAGCTCACCAAGCGCTTTTGTGGTAGCTCTTCGCACGTTGCCTCGCATTTCATCATCGACGCCTACGTCTGCTAGCTCAAGCAATGAGGTCTTCGTGTTGGACCATCCGGCTTGCACGACCATCAGAGATATTATGAGGCCGCCCACCGGGTCGAGCCATTGAGCGTTTGAGAGCAAATTCGAGCCGCCGATCATGAGGAGCGCGACGAAAGCGGTCAGCGAGTCGACGCGATGATGATACGCGTTTGAGGCTAGGACAGACGATTTCTTCTCCTTCGCGATTTTGTTGGCTGTACCACTAAGCGTCAGCGCTTGCGCGGTACATTGTCATTTGCGGCTTGGTTTGCGAGGAACTCACTAGCTCTATACAACCACTCCTTGATAATGATGCTCCCGCCCGCCAACCACGCCGCATTGATGTTCGGCCCCTTGTCAAGGTAACTCCCCGGCCCGTGACTGTGCCCGTGGTGGTCGTGTCCGAACAAGCCCAAATTATGCATCACTTCCGCAAACTCTGGGAAGAATTGCTGGCATATCGCAACGAGCGCCGTATAGCCCATGAGAAAGCCCCCAGTCAGCAACAGCCCGCTAACGCCCAAGGAGCCTAGCGATTCGACCTTGCCGTAGCCGGAGGGGAAGCGTGCAGTCGGAGTTTTGATGGACCAGGAGACGGTCGCGAGGGTCATGATGTCCGAGACGAGGTCGGTGAGTGAATGGATGGCGTCCGCCGTGAGTGCTACACCGATTCCCGGGTCAGCTCTTGTTCCCCTTCTCCGATAGGAAGGAGACAAGTATACCCTGGCTGTTGAAGACGTAGCCGCCCACGCCCTTGCCTACCGCCATGCCTAAATTGACATAGAGCCCGATTCTAGTGATTCGGACGCCAGGGTCCGTCTTGTCGGTAGAGGTGAGGTATGTGTTGTCATGATGGTGGTGGTGGTGACCGGCATGGCCGCGAGTTTGGGTCTGTGTCGTCGTCGTCGAAGTCATGGCGATTGAGGGAGCGAAGGTTCGTTTGCAGTAAGCGAGAGAGGACCAGTTCAGAGGTCTCGAAAGTGACTGAAGGGGAGAGGCGGTGTTCGAGGCCGTCAGCAGTATGCGGTGCTGCTGGCAGCGAACGAGTAGGGAGTGTCTCGGTGGGCGGTTCTGGGCTGAGCTGAGTCCAGCCAGGCGGGCTGAGGAGGAGGGCAGGACACGCAGCAGCGGTGGAACATGCGCGCCATTGCTGCTCCGGAGTATCATGGAGAGCAAAGGGGCGCCTTAGACAAAGGACAGCTGTCTGTTTGGCGCGCGTTTGGTGCGTCAGGAAAATGCATCGAAGACGGGAAGCGCGCAAGCCACCTGCACATGCCGCTGCTTGCGTCAGGCACGGCAAGGCATCACAAGGCGTCACTCCCCCGGAGACCCTCAAGCTTCGTCAAAGTACATACAAATGAGGAATTCCAGTGCCGTGCTGCTTAGAGATCGAGGCGCTGGTCCTTCGTGCTACCCGAATCAATTGCCCGTCAGGCATCGTATCGGCCAGGATCACGGGCAGTTCAAACCCGTATTGAAGTCCATCCTGACGACTGCAGCAGTATCATGTATACATAGGTACCAGACTTCTTCATCACCAGTCGAAATTATATCTAGATAACGTAGGGTGTAAGAGTTTGTGTGGAGTACTTCAAGAGCATGGACTATCAAGCACAATGGAACTGCAACAGTACGCTGGACAATCGTCATCACCCAGAAACATCTTTCTGTCCATGTGACCTAGTTCTCCCCTTATCGAGCTTATCTATTTCCCTAGTCTCTCACGAAGAAGTCCCTTATCTACCCCTGTCTCTACGCTCATGTCCCACGCTATGATCTTTTCACCGCCGCCGGGCTCTCACTCAGCAGATTGTAATAGGGCCACAAGACCATAACGACACACAGCCAAACGACAACCTGCACACTATCTGCTCCTCTAACCCTCCCTGCTCTATGTTCAGTCGAATCACTTACTGAGTTACCAACACAGGCAAGAAATGTTGAATACTGGCGGACCCTGTAACACGAAACACTCTCAGTCAGATAACACAGTAACAACATGCAGAACACAAAGGCAACAAACTTTTATACTATCTCACATCAGCCAGACATTCATTCTCACCCCCTACCAGAGTCATTATACCTTGTATCGCCGGGCAGTAGTACAGCTCCAGTAAGAGTGCCGCGGCCACTACGACTTGCGCGCTCTTTTGGTCAGCAAATATGATGCCGTTCATGGCTTGAGCATGACCTTGTTATCGCGGATCCATTACGGCTATCAATCCTGAGTAATAGGCGTGCCACTTAGTGCAGCTGTCTATTCTTCGTCAACATCTGGCAAGTTCCTGCGGGGATGAAGAACCGCAAGGCGATCCACGCAGCCTTCGACAGGGTTCTTACACGAACCAACCTACCTTTGTCTCGCCCATGCGTACGCAGGAACGGGTGCCGCTGGCAGAGAAAACACAGCCTGCTTAGCCAGTGAGAACGGTCGAGCGTTCGCCCATCGTTACCCCAGCAGCAGAGCGTCTACATGTCAAGGAGCGTCCAGCCCCCGGCCCAGGCTACGAGGATCCCGCAACGCAGTACAACCAAGCCCTGATCCGGGCGCCCCTTACCATGTCTCGATGATGACGCCATATGGCCATTACCAAAGCCATCAAACCGCCACCTACCCCAGCGGACAGCAAGCGTGGCCACCACAGGCCCCGCATAGATCACCTTGATGATCTCGAGGTTCCTGCTAGTACAAAGAGCTAAACTTCGCTCTACTACTTGGTACCATCAAGGAGAGACATCAGCGGGTTCATGAAAGCACAAGATCGGCCGTCCATTTCTAACCAGATAGCAGGCCGTAGCCATCGACAAAGCGGTGGTGCTTGGAGAGCAGGGAAGTGGCAGATAAGAGCTGGAGACAGCCTGCTTATCCAGATAACGTAGCAATACACCGGTAACCAGCGCGAGACGGCAGAACCCGACTCTGATGATCTTCTACGGAAGCCAAAGTCACCCACCCATCGAGGTCACTCATTCACACATTCACTTACGCATCTACTCACTCACACAGCGAAAAGTGATGCGCGTTCGGAGCGAGGGCTTGGACCTTCATCGCAGCTCCCCCGCAACCGTAAACCATGATGGAAGATATCGAACATATCTTCGCAGGAGCAACGAACATCTTGTTGGTCGTCGAGCCATGTGACATATGGCTGGACTCAGATGCAAGTTGCACCCGCTAGATTTGTAGATCTCTCACTCACACTGCTCTACACAGCCCTTCGTAACGCCGACGACTGGTCTGAGGCGCGAGCGGACGATGACGATCGCAAAATGGAACGCGAGCGCCTGCCACTGCTCAACAACAAACTGCTCATCAATCTCGCCAAGCAACAGATCCAAATCCTACTATTCGGATACCCGCGCCGTCAACTGCTCAACGAGGAAGGGACCATAGAACGGCTACTCAACAGATTACTTGGCCAGGAAGAGGTAGAGGGAGAGGTCGAATCGTCCCCCAGATGCTCGGTGACCCCGTCGATTGTGAAGCTGTTCATGGCCCTTCTCTCATGTACTCGATATGATCTGTTGTCGTTCATGTGTTAGGTTACGCACTCCCTACACACTTTGTTATTAGAAGCAAATTACCCAAGAACAGGTAACATTCGGCTTTCCAATGGCTGCTCTTATAAGAGGGGCTTGATGTTCCCCGACACGCCGCATGCGGCACTATCAATCATTAAAAGGAATGTCGGGTACACCAGAAGGCTATATGCCTACGAAGGAATACAAGAATCGGAGCATTGAGGATCGCATAGCACTCGGCCAGTCCAGGAGCAAAGAAGACCAGAAGGCACATAAAGGAGAAGCTAGACTCCAGAAAGAGCAAGAATATGATCTCAGACAGCAACTCGCCAAGACTGGATTACCGGAAATCTTACTCGACTTTGGAGGAACGTATCAGCAAATTGAATAGGCTATGACAGGGAGTTCGAAAAATCACGCCCAAGTCGTCGGAAGCCTGAGGGCGTCGAGCGGATGCCATAGTGAAAGCCATCGATGTTGGAGCTATCAACGAAAAGTACGAACAAACCAGCAGCGCGCCGTTATTAACTATAAAAAGGAAGCACGATGATGGCAAGGGCCGAGACTGTACCGCCAAGCGGCCACGGCTCGAAGAGTCTACCGATACCTGTAGGAACAAGACTTGAGGCCTCATTGATATTCGCACAGCAGCACGGCAGCAGCAACAACAACAGCAATTCGCCCCACTCACGCCCGCGCCCCCGTAAGAGTAAGAGCGAGAGCAGCAGCAGTAGTGACAAATGCAGGCGCATAAAATGCAGAAGTGCAGAGACGACCACCCCGATCATTCGCACACTCGGGGAGGAAGACTTCAACACGGTCATACGCAATTTCACGTTACATGGAGCGAAGATCCTACGCAACGACTCGCCCCTAATGAACGTGCTGGACGAATGGGTGACGAAGTATCTACAACAGCGAAGCGAGGAACTAGAAACGTTCCTCCGCGACGTCGACCCAGGCCTCGCGGACCAACTAGCCCTCCGCCGGGCGGAGCTCCAGACGGATATTTCAAGTGCATACTCAATGCCGAATTCGGGTATCGCGATTGGAAGCTCCTTGATACATGGGCCAAGAACATACGATGGACGTACACGGCTTACGCGGCTATGCTGGCCGACTTTGTGACACTTGATCCGATGTTAGCATTACCGGATTCGGGGGAGCTCGTCAGCCTTATATCCTATCTCCACAAGGGACCGCTGCTGGCCGGATTTTACTACACGAGGGATAGATACGATGAAGCGAATTCCGGGAAGCAAGCCTACGATACCCTACAGGGCACACGAGAAGATTTAGCCTACAAACTCATGGACTTGGAGATCGAGAAGAACGGTGTCGAGGACGGATACTTTGATCAGATGGTTCTGAATCGCCATGCTTTTAAGGACGTCAATCCAATCGCCCCTGTTGAATTGATTGTGCGAATATCCAGCCAAGTCCAGCGTCCATCCGCACTGGGTATGGTTATCCATGACTATGCCTCATAGTACACCCCAGAGCTGTCTGGCAAATCACCCCCATAAGGGCTTGTATCCGTACAAACAACTTGCTTCCACCATCGAGTTCGAGAACCGCCAGGCAAACATACGCGACTGTAAAGTTGGAAGTGTGAAACTCGGCATTCGGCGCTTATCCGCCACCTTGAGGCGGAAGGCGGTATCCGTGAAGCCAGGGACGCGTGCAGGACATTGGAGGAAATTTATCATCCAGGCTCGCGGATCCTCGGTCCCACCCGTAGAGGAAGGATGTGCTTGGTCCCGCAAGCAGTTCTACTTCGGACTTCACAATCTCTTCGTTTCGGACATCACGGCCTCTTCTTCTGGGTCTTTACTCTCCTTTCCTTTCGGCTAAGGATTGCTTAGGTTTCGTTTGCGGGGTTTGGGTTGCTCTCCTCCAGCCTCCAGAAGGCACCACAATTGAGAGGAGGAAGATTATGCAGAAGCGGCGGATATAAAACTTCAATTACTACGTGAGAGCAATGCGTGCCGCGGTCAGGCTAGGGTTGACCCCTAGGAAGGCGGATCGCTCGAAAGAAGCATTGCAGAGAATACTACGACTACCGCCCGTAACATCAAGAAACCACAACATGTACCTAACTCCCTCAATCTTGATGCCGAAGAAGGGAAACCCGGTTCTCCTGCGTCCGTTGTCGGCGAGAAGCGCAAAATTAACGCCATTGAGGAGGCCGCCCTTATTGTGTCCGCCGACAGAGCCGCGGAGCTTACCTCGGTACAGAAGCGTATGCACATCTCGGATATCATGACCGCCGTGGGTGAACCAGTGCGAAAACCCTCTCCCCCTCCCGCTACCCAACGAGCCGGACTTAGTAGAGGCACGAAAAACATGCTCGACGACCAACTTCACTAGCATCCAGCGCAGCTTCGATCAACTCTACAAGGCAAGGGATATGGAACCCCACGAAAGGTTACGATAGATCACGGACGTAGTAGGGTAATGGAGAGGCATACTAGCCCACCTTATGATCTATCGGACCACCGATTCGGTGGGTATCAATAAGGAGCCACTGATCAAGCTGCCCGTCCTCGACAGACAACATATTCCATGCGAACCGACTGGTACAGCAAAAGACTACCTTAACCAGTACGTCGCGGAGGTGAAGCGAGCATTACGAGAGAAGTACCAGGATGCCTTGCAGCGTGGACAAAGGCGGGAGCGAAAGGAGTACAACCGACTATGGCAAGCGTGATGAAAGTTGACCAGTGGATAGCACGGCTAATCTATTCCTTTCCAGAGCTGGGGCGGATGCGCAGCTCCCTAGACGACCCCTTCCCCAACAGCTAGGGTTTACCCGAGATAAAAACATGGCTAGCTATAGAAGGACAAAGCTCTATCGTTCGCACGAATATCGACCAAATCACTGCATCCAGTCCAAAGATACCACCACTTATTAAGATCCTAAACGATATGAAACAGGAGAAAAAGAACCCACTCCTTACAGACCTCGTGAGCAAGGCTAGCGTAGCGGGTGAAGGTGGTGTCGACAGCTCTACCGCACCTCTCCTGCCTCTCCCGTCTGAAGCCGGCTCAACAAAGCGGACGCCGTGGTTCGGCGATTACTGCCTGGTGATCGACCGTAGGAGTAGTGATTATGCATGACGGCTGATATAGTTTCCCGAGGTACGAATGAGGGCCGTATACTGGCTAGGCGCCTTCAGTCATTTGAGTCGACAAGCCCGACACACGGCGTGCGGCCATATCACGTTAACAGGTTCCGACGATCGTACAACATCAACACGCGCAATAGTTACGGCCCACGACCGGCGACGTGGGGGAGAAAAGGCTACGTCTTTCCTTGGGGTCTATGTGATGCCCGGCGGACAGCGCGCTCTCTCGAACTGCCTTTCTCAAGGGAGAATAGCTCGAGTCCGTTTCGCTGGATGGACTCGGGCGTGTCGCTGTGGGCGTACACGGTATGGAGCAACACGGGCTCAGGCCGCATAGGAGAGCTAGGCAAGACCTCCTCGGGTCACTTTTGACTTCTCGAAGGCGCGCAACTCTACCGGTTACCCCTATCGCCTTGTTCCGCAACGGTTCGTTCACGAGGTCAAGAGAGAAGACTCCATCACCGGTGCCCCTAGACGAACCAACAATGGTGTTGAAACTGCTGGATTATTGGATATCTCCTCAACCGGGACGACTTCACTAGTCTGCGGTTTCGCAATGCCGGAAGTCTAGTCAATTCATACGGCAATCTAGACCGATGGACGCGATTGTATACTACGACTTCGAAGACGAGCTATCCCATCCTGCCGCACTGTACATTGGGACCGCTATTGATCTTGTAGCACGGAAAGCTAGCCACCGAGGAGCCGTGTAGGACTTGAGTGGTAGATGAAGTTGTCCGACGACTAAGGGAGTATCACCAGGCAGCGAGTGAAATGTCCGAAGTGTGTTTCACGAATCAGTCGGATGAAGATTACCCTCACACAATCATAGGCGATGCGATCGAGGAATTCCCACAAGCCGTTGCAGAGGCTTTCAACACACTTGCGAGCCAGGAAGCGAGAGACTCCCAGTACCACATGGGAGTGAGATGGAGGGCTAATGGAATGGCTAACATGGAAAGCGCAAGAACCAGTGTTCAGTTGCAGAGCGACGATGAAGAGCCCACACTGTGCGGCTTGCCCAGGTCTGGCTCACGCTTACTGCCGGGCATCAGCTTGCAAAATATCTAGGTAAGTGATGCTGCTGATCATTGCTGTGCGATGATACTGCTATGTCTCCGCAGGCAAGTATAACGGCGGTCATCGGAGCAACATTTGAGAAGCGCTTCATTCCCGCTGCCGTGTGCGGAGCACGGTTATATGATAAATACTGCCAGAAGTAGGGATGGACAGCGCTGCGCTGAGGGCAGTTAGTAAGCAGCGCTTCTACAGATAAGTATCCTTGAGAGGTCCTGGCGTGAGATGCGGTTTGCGCGCTTGTCACAGGCGTAAAAATGAATTTCAGATAGGTTTTTCTTTGTTCGTCTATTACAGCATTCACATATAGATAAGCCACTGTTCCATCTACTGTTCATGTGTATTGTACAAGTCCGACGGTGATCCAGCTGTACGAAACTCTTCCAATGGCTGCGCAGCAAAATAACGAAGACTTATGTCTCGTAAAGACGTCGGTCCGTCGCGTGGTGTCTAGCCTACCGTCATGGCGTCGTGGCAATCAAGTCTGTTTTCTCGGTCCGATGTCATATCCGAGGCAGGGCACGCGGAGGACTTGGAGGTTCGTGACGAAGAAAACTTGTGAGGAAGGTACAGAGGTATTGCAGCCACAAAAGAGGGTTTGATCCCTGGGCCTGCATTGTTCCCGTACCGTGAAAGCAGGTCAACACTCGGACGGAAGGTTCCGGTGAGCTCGTAGTGATGGTTTCAGCCCTCGAAATCGGAGGGCGCCCGGGGATCCTCCCGCCGTATCTGGTGGATTAGCGCGGAAGAAGCTGATCCTGAAAAAGAAGATACTGATTAGTCAAGCCATCGAGAGGAGGAGCCAGCAACACTCTACAGCAGATTGAGTTCCACGGCACGCTCTGCAGGGTCAATATCATAACGAGTATCTTCCTCAACGCCCACAACACATGATCCACGATACTCGAGCCCGCTAACACAACAAGCCCACCCCTTGCCCTGCCGATCACCTCGACGACATCTCATATCCCTGCTACTCAAACGCAACCTACGAAGTCCGGAGCGGGATTTCCGGGACCCACCCGTCCGACTGACAGGCTGTACGGCAGGAAGCTAAACGCTCCCGCGGGACGCACAGACAACGACGCTGGTCCGTTGAGGCAGGAACGTGAGGTGATCCGCCGACCGTGCGCAGAATGCCGAGTTCCTGATGCACCTGGGCAAAGATTCTGGAGGTGCGCCATGGTTCGAAGGCGGACTGCCGCAGAATGTAAGTTACCGAGCGTGCATGGAGTAGGTACCTGGAGATCTCGTGCAACGTCGCACGGTAGGGCCGACTGGCCATTAGGTGAGCTCGGGGAGCTGGCGGTTCGATGTTGGATGGGGTTGCTTGTGACTGCCATGGCGGGTCCCGGCTATGATGGCCCTCCTTCTGTCAAATCTAGATTGTCTCACTCCCCTGAAAACGCTGTCTGCGGCCATGGTGATTTGAGGGCCGCGGTCCGCAACGAGTGTGGGGCCAGAGAGAAGGGTGGGAATCTTTGTTCATTGTTGGCGATACATCTTGCGCTGCCCAAACTCTACGTCATGCCGGCAGGTTATCCACCAGTACAACTGACAATGCAGAAGTATGACTCCACCTGAAAGATAATGCTCCTTATGAATGACTTAGGTTTTGCCTATAGGTATCGGTGTCAGTTGGTTATCTCAGCTCACATTCTGTGTCATCTGAGATGGGAAACTAGCACAGCCAACCGTTCGAGCTTGTCACCGGGCTCGTGCAGCAACGACGTGGGTGCCATCAACGGCCGCTATCCCTCGTGCGTTATGCAGCCAGCCGTCTTAGCTCGAAGACGATGCGCCTTTGCCGCAAACACCTGCTGATAGGGCGAATCATAACGCAGTGGTCATGGTCGATTCAGAGGGCTTTGAGATGGTTTGTCGGTAGTTTGCTCATTCGCCTGCTCCAAAAGCTAGCCAGAAAATGGTATCAAGCTGTGAAGGGCGACGCCAAGGTAATAGCAAGGTACCTGTGCCTGAGCCGGTATCACGAGTTTGTGTTTGTGATGAATCGCGTGGAAAGTAAATCGAGCCCTGTTGTCAGACTAGTTAAAGCGTTCGGTCGCTGTCTGTTGAGCAGAAGAGCCAGCATCGTCCACGGCATGGCCCACTCACTAGCCACGCTCCGTGGGTCCTTCAATGTAGCAGTCGGTCCGCTGCCGCTTTCACCCAGAGTTTCGCTGTCCCAGCCACGCGGAGTGCAAAACCTGAGTAATGAGCGCGGGCGTGGAAGGACATCCGACCCGCGGCCTCAAACGGCGCTCAGTATCGTGGACAGGGAGATGGCTCTTCCCCATAGAAATGTATCTTCCTCGAGAGTTCCTTCGTTGGCTTCGCAAGACATTCCTTTCGACCTGTTGAACATACTCCTGCGTCAGCTTGGGCGGCTTCGTCCCTTCTTACCACCAAGACATCCCTGTGTTTTTGCGAGCGGTCTTTGTGTCCGTAGTCCATTGTATACAAATCGTGTCGGAGGTCTACTTGTCTGTCGAGCTAGGCTTTTTGCTGGCTTGTTTGCGTGAGCCCAGGTGGTCGCTGTCCATTTCGTCCAGTAGCTTGCGTCCGTACAGCACGTCCAAGGTCTCCGGCTTTCGTCTATTCTGCGCTGCGTGGCCGGTAACAGCTACTTCTGGTAATAGTGTGATTTAAGTACGCAGAAAGATACATCACTGACTAGAGATAGGGCGGCCAGCAGAACAAGACACGACTTTCAGGGCGTAGTATCTCACGAAGAGGCATATAGAAAGGTGTTCAAGGCCTGTGTGCCCAGTCGAGCTCTGCCTTTGGGTGGTAAACATTGTTTGACGCTTTTAGCCATCTTACCAAGCAAATCACCCAGTGGATTGCCAACCAGCGAAACACACTGAGCTTCCTCGAGCTCATACAAGCCGTTGAAGCTGTAGATGAGATAGGCCTTAGGCGACTGCTGAGGGCAAATAGCACAGAGGGCACCCTTTCGAACGTCCACGCTTCTGCTGCAGCTATCCTGGACTGCATCGAGCTGCGAGTCTCGGAAGAACGATAAGTACGATCCCACTGACAGCGGACACCAGGCTGGTTTAGGACGGTTCAACACCGCTTCTTCCTATGGTAAGTTGTTCATGTTGAGATTCTCTGGCGACTCAAGACTCCAATTGTCACTGTGACAAGCTGCTCATGTTGCGGCTCTCGGGCAGACTTGAGATATTTTGAGTGCATCAGGATCGGCGTCATGGTTGCTCAGAAAGAAGTCTTGGCGGGCATCCGCGTCTATCAGCGAGCAGCATTCGACCGTTTCTCTCTTCGCAAGCAGCTCCGTCCACAGTACCAGAGTAATAAGGAACTGCACACCGCGGCTAACCTACCGCTCCGCTGCTGTATCAAGGTGGAGAGACACACTCTTTCTAGCGTAAGTGTTAGCACCCAAGATCAGCAGGCTTCAGTTAGATCGTTGACTGAGAGAAAGGACTACAACGCTCCGTTCGCCAGTCAGATGATTTCAGATAATTACGCCTCTCCTGCCGCACAGCCGGTCATCAGCGTAGAGCAGGATGAGGCTTACGGTTTTGGTGATCTCTATGTCAGGAGCGCGGGCGAGTCAATCCTCCACGAATCCCCTCTGGTCCCGCATGGCAGCATGGGCAGCGCGCAGCCAGAGGCCCCAGCCGTTCCGCTGTATACGATCCCCGTCAGTCCATACGGCTCGTCGATCGCTGCATCAGGACTCCGTTCCAATGGGACTTTCAGCTATCACCAAGATCTCGCCCATAGTTCCGCTCCGTTCGCCGGGCCAGTCAGCAACTCGGATATGAACGTCCCTCGCAGCTGGGCCTCGGCGTCCGTCGACAACCATCCAGCTTGGAGTAACCAGACTTTCTTGCCCGGACAGTTTCAGTGGCATCCTCAGCCTACCTACACCGGATCGTTCGTTCCCCTTGAGATCACGCGGCCCCTTCCGCAAGCTGCCTCATACGAGCACGCGATGGTACGCCAGGGTATTCCGCCCGCCTACTTCGGCACACTTCCGCAATTCGCGCCGAGCGGATTCCCTTCCTTGGCGCAGGGATCCCAGCCCGGCAGTCTCGAGACTTTTACGCCGTATATGCCGCAAGGGAACTCTTTCCCACAGCAGAATTTGCAACCCACTAGGATGGACACGATGCCGGGCGCGGCGTGGCCGCAGGATTACCCAGCAATGGGGCACATGTTGCTGCCAGCCGTCCCGTACATGGCAGAGCCACACGATTACAGCCTCAGCTACGGATCCGATACAACCTGGACCGAGCAGTACACATCCCCCGATTCGTACGATATGAGCATGTCGCCAGATACGGCCCCGGCCTTCGGCTTCGAAACTCCTCAAGACAGTCCAGAGGAAGCGGGCTACATGCCCCCGGCTACAGCTAAAGCCGCAGCAGCAGAGCGCCATGCATCGAAGGACGCCCTCCTACTGAGGCTGAAGCGCGAAGGGAAAAGTTACAGGCAGATCAAAGCAGAGGGAGCTTTTACGGAGACAGAATCAACATTAAGAGGACGTCTGAGAAACTTGGTGAAGCCCAAGGAGAAGCGCGTCAGAAAGCCAATCTGGACCGCGAAGGACGTGAGTCTATTCATCACGTATTATGGATCCCCGTAAGAAAGACTCTGACAATGTGACAGCTGGAATTGCTGAAAAGGGGCGCCCGCCGTTGTCGCAACGGCAAGCGTCAGACTAATGACGATAGCGAGGACAGCGGCGACGACGCCGAGATCAACGAGAAGAAGGTGGCCTGGCGCCTTGTCTCGGAGTATATAGAGTCGAACGGTGGGACCTACCAGTTTGGCAACACCACGTGCAAGAAGAAGTGGTGCGCCATCATGAAGCGCTGAGAGCGCTTGACAATGGGTGCGGCGGGAGGCCACGCCCTGAGACAGTCTTACTTTGGCACCGTGATGCCGTGTTCTGGGGATGGCAATCCCCCATCGATTTCTCATCGTAATGTTTCCGCGTTGCTCGCCGGCCGGGGCGCGTTGGGCGCCTCGTTTGTACGTAGGCCTGGAGAGGCCCCCTTCCCCGTTGTCGTTTCCCGCCGTGTCGGTCTCTGGCACCATTTCGGTTTGTTTTCTCAATTTATAGCCGTGCATGTTGGTAGCTTGTGTAACATTTGGGAGGCTCGCCGTCTGGGGGCGGTTCGAGGAGAAATTCAGCCTCATGCGAACCCTGGTTCCGCCGTTGGTGTCTCGTTCTTGGCGCCATCATTAGCTGTTTGCGTGCTACGAACCCATAAACCCCATCAAACATCCTATATACACGCCTGAAGATGCTTCTTGGTCTTCCGGAAGCGCTGCCGAAGCTCGTGGAGGCTAAGTTTGCCTCTGCATTATCCTCCAAGAGCTTGATTTTCTCCCATACTGAGCTCGCCGTTATCCGGACTACCACCGGAGTACCGGTGAGTAAGTATAGCCCGTCTATAGCTTACAATCCTCTATAACTCGTCGTCTTATACATACGCTGTAGTTTCAACTCCGCTATTGTCCTGCCCTTGCGAGGAAGCCGAAACCAAAGGAGGACCACAATGCGCCGACCAAGAAGCCTGATCCCTTCGACAATCCCCCAGCAGAGCTGTGGATAGCAGACGTACCGGCCAACAACCCGACCCACTTGCTCGTTCTGAACAAGTACCCAGTCATCGCGGAGCACTTTATCCTCGCAACAAAGCTCAATAAGCAGCAAACGCACCTGCTGGAGCAGGATGACCTGGAAGCAGCCTACGCTTGCCTGAAGGCGTGGAGAGACGCGAAGGACAACGGCAAGGAACGGAGGCTGTTCGCCTTCTTCAACTCTGGAGACCATAGTGGAGCCAGCCAAGCGCACCGACATATACAGTTCTTGCCCGTGGAGAGCATGGCCAAGGAGCAGGAACAGCAGGGCTGGAAGCCGCTTGTGGATGCAATTGAAGCGTCAGACTCAACGGGTATGCACCGCAAATACGCCATCATCACACGCTATCAAACCGCTGATGCTTTTTAGGCACGTCAGGCTTCAGGACGCTCCCAAGCCTTCCATTCGCCCATCTCGGCCTGCAACTGCCCACAGAGCCGACAGGAAAGCAACTACACAAGTCCTATAGAGACCTTCTAGATGCTGCCTCTCACAAGGTACGAGACTACATAGCGAAGCAGCCCGGCACTCTTGAGCTGCATTCCGAGCTTCATCCGTCAGAAGGACATTCCTCGCCAATAAGCTACAACCTCGCCATGACCACGAGCGCATTGGTAATTTGCCCCCGAAAGCAAGGCGGTGACATGCTGCGGCGGGGTGACGGGTCTGAGGTGGGCAACGTGGAGCTCAATGGCACGATACTAGCAGGCACGTTGATGGTGAAGGCAGAGGAGGAGTGGGAGCTCCTGAAGCAGGAACCGCTCAAGTTGGACGCGTTGCTCGAGGCTGTCGGTATCCCTCAGAACGTATCAGGAAGTTCGGTAGATGGGAACAAGCTGTAGTAGCATCTGTTTAGACTTCTACATACATGCATCTCAAGTCTTTGCCTTGTACAGATTGAACCCCCTCTAAACCTCGGACTTAACGCCAGCTCCCCGCCAAGCATCCCCAGAACCCTCCCCCTCCACGCACTAATCCCCCCCCCCACAATGCCTCCCTTAACCCTCCCCGCAGTCCTAACCCCCTCGCTCCTCTCCTCCATCCGCGCGCACCCGCACCTACCGCAACACACCTGGTACTTCATCGCCGGCGTCACGCTCTCGGTGCTGAACCGACCAGACGAGATCCCCAAGGTCTTCAGCTACGCGCTCGAGCATGGCGTCGATGCCGCACACGATAAGGAGCTGGGGCAGAAGGAGCTGGCGCATGCGGAGCAGTTAAGGATAGCGAGGAAGCTGCGGGAGAGCCTTGTCAAGAGCGCTGCTATTGTTGGGTTGCCCAAGGTGCGCTCCTAGCCCACCCAGGAACGAAGTCCGCTTTCGGGTCCAAGGTGGAGGAGGCTAGGATGGGGGATTCAGATGGCACACGGGCTGACGCGCGCAAGAGAGGACAGACTATCAACGCCCTTCTCTCCCTCAAGTCCGCCACGCCCCCCTCGCTGCACGATGAGCCAATGGCCTACTCGCCCAGCGCGCGCATCGTCGAGGTTTACGACATGCCGTCGTCGCAGATACTGCAGCGGGGGCAGCGGTTCTTTGATAAGGTGTATGGGAAGGTGAGTAAGAGGGTCATGGGGCAAATGGATAGATCTGGCACGGAGGATCTGGGGGTCGTGGCCAGGCTGATGTATGGGTATTTATTGAGTAATACGCGGGTTTTGAGCCCGATGGAGAGTAGTTTTGTGCTGTTGGCGGGGTTGATACCGCAGGATGTGAGTGTGATTCTGTTCTTGTGTCGGTTTTGCTATCTCAAGAAAAACTGCCATAATCATTCAGTTGCAAGAGGTGATAGATATGGAGGTGTGCGAAGCTCCGTCCTCACTCTGCGCTCGAAGATCTGAAGACATGCAATGGATGCTGACATGCCCGCCAGGTCAACCCTCAACTGAAAGGTCATCTGAAGGGCGCGCTTAATAATGGAGCAACTGTCGAAGAGGTACGCGCCGTGAGAGAGATTGTGATTAGGATATGTGAGGCATCAGGCATGAAGAAGCTGCCTGATGATGCGCCTCAAGGCTGGGGTTGGCGAGGTGAGGTTGCCAATCTTTGAACAACAGCTGTTCCTCTTCTGGAGGCATCATTTGGCATGGTGTTCTGGCATGCATTATTTCAGATCACGTGGATTATCAAACGGCTATAGCCAGCTCTCTTTCATATCATTCAGCAATCAACTGCGACACGGACAACCACCAGAGCATTCCTAGCCGTCAACATGAGTCGTTGCTTCAGTTCGCGGTAAATACACTCTCACGGAAGCAATCGGGTAGTTCAACGGCTTCATTGAGGCCGCTAACAGAAGGAACACAGCGGGACAAATGCGCGGCGTGTCTTCGAACTCCTCAACTGCGCCCGTGGAGTGGTGTCATTTACTATCGTCATTTACACACCGAAACCACCCCTTGAAAGAAAGTTGCGATCGCGGCTCAAGGATAGATCGAAGCAATCTACAAATCCAAAGCCTCGTTCTCGGAGCGTCCGCTACCAGGGGTCCCTGCAATAACTATCCCGTCTCTTCGGCGAATAAAAAGCAGGCTCCTCACCCTGCCGCCATCTTGGTTGCTGAAAGCGTGCACCCTGCAACAATCGCTGCCCAAGTCCGCTTCGTCGACTGATATGATTCGCAGCGCTACCCCTTCGAGTTGCGCGATCTCCGATTCTGTTCTCCTGCAGCATCGCTTAACGATCCTCCTGATTTGCTGGCTTCAGCCCTATAGGGACGCGGGAACATCAAGCAAGCTCCTGCAAGCCGCGGATCATCACGTCGAAAGCTTGTTGACTTGTGCACACCGCGCCCCCTTGAGGGCGCCAGAGGGTCCGTGGCGGCGGTGAGATGTCTTATTCGAACGGCTCCAGGCATTTTTTCCTCCGGAATATCCCCTGCCGCTCGCGCGTCGAGTCGGGCGGTTGCGGAGGCCTCTGGAACGACTGCGATCAGACCACCGGCACTTGACGCTCTGGATGTCCGGGACGGGCGGCGGTTAGAGATTCAAGTTCGCTCAACTGGAAGTCGGTTTCCGCGCTGCACGGGATCAGTCGATGCCTCTGCGCGCTTGCGGGCTGTCCCTCATGATTCTGCAATGCAGGAGGGCACCATCACTAAATCTTTCAGGCCAGCAGATGCGCGTGCCATGGCTCCCGAGGTCACATCCTGATGCGAAATGCGGGGGTATAACGCGGGTGCCGCCGATCACTCCAGCCCTACCGCAACCTCCCCGGAGACGGTTCCTCAGGCCAGTCGCCTAAGGTGAGGAAGGGTTCACTATGCGTTCAGAAAAGCTCTCCTGAAGATAATACTTGCAATTGACTCCCAGACGCTAGCTGGCACGCAAGAAGAACAGAAGGTCGAGCCTCGATCAGATGAGAATGCATGATGAAGGGGTACTGAAGGTAAATCACCCCACGCCAATGAAGCATGTGCATCAATGTGTTGTCCGTTATCATCGCTTGCTCGTGGCTTGTCGGCGGCCTCCTGGCGAATGCGGAGATCCTTGCATGCTGCATGGACGTGAGCTAGTATTCCAGAAGATGCCTCTCACTCTCCCTCTCCAGCTCTATCACGTCCTGCTCCAATGAAAGCACTCGCACGGCAGACGCCTTCGAAAAGGCGGAAGATAAGGCAGTCGATAATACGGATGGATGTTACTCCGACACGGTCCCTGAGACAGGAAGTTTCGCGCTGCAAGAGCGACAGCAGATACCAATTTCGGTTGGCTCAACGACATCGAATGAGACAAAGCACGGGTCGAGAACCTTTTGTGTCCTTAGCGTGCGGTGCGGAGCGATGGTCAGCCGAGCTTACGATCTGGGGTTATGAGGGGAAAGGGGAGGGCATCTCCGTCGACTTCGTCGATGACTACCTTGGGACCATGATCAGTTGCAAGACCAGATGCTCTGGTTGTTAGGGCTGCAGGAGCAAGAGATGCCCGCACCGATTCGTACCTTGAGCCAGGTGACCGGCGCCAACAACAGACTGAAAGTTGGTCCCAGTCGCGCCTCAAAATCAAGAATCCTTTCGCGAGAGGAGTAGACAGATCACCGATGTGCCGCAGAACCGCTCCCGCAGCACATGACTCCGGTGCCTGTTGGGTATCGCTTGTCCAGTCCCTAGCGTTTCACCTCCAGAGGCCGACGTCTCTTTCCAGACAATGCCAAGTCAGGCGTGGGGCTTTAGCTCCGCTAACTTTAGCATCAAAGATGTGGCTTTGGAGAGCACAAGCCCTACCCGACAGCCACTGCGAAAATCCAACGGGATCCACGGATGCAGGTGTCTTTGCCCATAAAAGGCTGTTCTTCACCACGGTCGCCGATACCGGACAGCCGTGGATAGCAGCTCGATGGCATGAGGTCAACCATTGTTTCCGAAGCCGGTCGCCAAGTGTACCGGTCCCAAGCCCGCTGCGTCGCTTTAATCGAGAAATTCACTCGAGTAGAAAATATGCACCTTCTCACTGGCGTTCGGGATCACCGATGCGTGAACAGGGGTGGTCTCGGTTTGACACACGTGTCGCGACGGGTGAATCAATGCGCTAGCTAAAAGCTTACTCTGATAGGGGTCTACGTGGCGCTGGCAACCTTATTTATCTCGGCGCTGGCAACCCGAGACGCCTGCAGGTGACTATTGTGTGATCAAAGCGACGGATGCCTCGTGGGAGTCTTGGTCCGGCGGTTGGTGCGAGCAACTGAGTCGGCCATCGGCCTTGTCTCGAGTCGTTCGCGATCTCATGTCGTCTGGTACGGCCCTGAAGGCCAGATGCATATTTCAATATCGGTACAGTACCTATCACGAGCCGGCCAAGAATAGACTTGGCCCTGTGTTGCATTTCCCTGGTATGAACAGGGAGTTACATCAATCTACGCTGTGCAACAGGAGTACTTGCAGTTGGAAGAAACCTCCAATGGAGTCACTCGTCGGTGCCACGCAAGGGCCCGGTGTGGTGTTCCTGTGGAGAGCGCCTTCTGTCATTCCATGGCTGGCCGCTGCCAGCCTTACAAGTATCCGATACAGTGGACGTGGGGATGGCATGGACGGAAGATTCCGAGTCGTGTCATTGCGAGGATGGACCATGGGAGGTTCGCCAAACAGGCATCAGGCTTGCCAGAATGCCAGGGATCGCGCCCGGGTGGCCGGCCTCATGAGGAGAGCACGGCTCAGTATGAAGTCTACACGATTGTATTGCTTCTCGGCTGCCAACCCGGGCGCTACGCTTTGCACAAGGGAGTGTATCGTGAGCAAGGAGCGGCATAAAGCATACAGAACCAATCCTGTTGGAAGAGTAACGATGGTCTTGACGGACCGTTACCGGATGATAAGAGTTCTCCGGAGGTTACTCTCGAACTAGTAATCATCGCAAGTATACGTACGACTCGTTGAGCGAAGTACTACGTTCGCCGTCACCATCATCAACCGTCACGACTATCAACAGCGACGCTGCAATACCTTAGTGTCGTTAAAAATGTCTCCTCACGCGGCGGAGTCCGAGGCTGTGCCCGAGGCTTTGCAGACCAAGCGCTCCGACCACTTCCCGTTCGGGCAAACGGCGCTGTAATTTTAGTCCACCCGTGTGTTTCTCCCAGGGGTCAGGAAACGTACCAACCATGATACACGGCCATCCACCTACCATTGACCTAGGAGCACAACTATGACAGACGGTGCCGCACTGAAGAGCACGACGAGTTTAATTAGATGCCCCCAGGCCGTCAATTGCACCATACGTAGGCGAGCACAATGGGAAAGCGATCTACGGACATGAGCGAGCACCGCAGCAGATCATTCTCCAGAACTTTGGTCCGGCGACGTGGTAGCGCCCTATCTTGGCTCTGTCGATTGGCGGTGCGGGCGTAGCGATTCCGCCAACCTTCCCGAGAGGAGACCAGCAGGGATAATCTTCCAATCGAGCGCGTCCCGTTGTAACTCGCTATCCTCAAGCAGCCAGAATTCGCTTGTCGAAGCCAAATCTGGCATCGAGTCAGCCAGCCATAGGCAACGCCAGGGAACCTCGCGCTGTCCACTTCTGGCAAGGCCGCAGAGACCAGAGGACTGGTGCGTGCAGACGCCGTGCATGGTGCAGCCGAGGGGCTCTGGCACCACACCGCATCCTCTGGCAGGCCGGCTTACTTTTGCGCGGTCGGAGCTCGCGATTGAGGCGGAGAGGCTCCAATAAACTGGCGGACCGCGCTCAATGCACCGCTGTCTCTCTTATTCTCCTAGCGGGGGTTCACCGTCTGCCCACACTCGCTTCATAGCTCACACGCCGTAGGGCAGGACTAGGGGCTGTCATGCCGCTCGTTTGTGCTGCTGCGTGTGGTTGTAACGGGCGCCATGAGCGTCTATATACAACCCACCTTCGCCCCCAAGTCCTGATCCCGAAGAAACTCAATCCAGAACAGATCAACACCGACCTGGAATATCTACGAGTTTATCAATCAGGCTTCCAGGCACGCAAATCCTTACTCACCCGGGCCACCCATCACACCCGGGATCCTACCCGTTCCCTGATCTTCGCTACCGTCCCGCCGGCCTTACCCTGGACAGCAATCATTGACACGGATACCACCCACAACAGCAGCACACGGTAGATCTCTAGCAAGCAGACAGGTCACGGTCGGAAGGCAGATCAGTTCCGACAGTCGCATGCAAATATCTCGTATCTCCCAAGGTATCACCGTAGCACCGCGATACGATCACGAGCCGGAAACCCCTATTTCATCCGCCCCCAAATGTGAGACCTCTTTCCCCTGTGTCACAATCCCTACAAGACAGATATTCCTCCGATGCAGCCAAGCCTTCGTCACAACAGGACCGCTAACATAGTTTTTCTAAGATACATCCCATAAGTCCTCGCTCTCGTTTGGTCGATCCATCACCGGAGACGGACATGGTTTCTTACGCTGAATATCCTTCCACAATGACATCTGGAGACTTTGATCTCTACCCACCGCAAGACGACTACGCAAATCTAGCCGCGGCAACGCAGTCGTACATACCTGCCACCTCTTACGCGGATGGCTCATATCTCACAACCTTTGACTCTTATCCCTCAGTGCACGCCTACTCCAATGTATCTAGCTCGCAAGAGCCCCATTACAGCCTCAGCGCACCATCTCACAGTATCGAGAACATGACACCCGCAGGTTCTCCAGCCCACTCGATGTCGTACTCTTTCGAGACCATGCCACGAATGATCTCAACAGCTTCAGAATCTGACGCATCGATTCAAAGCACGTCTTCATCTGCAACGGGCTCCCCTTCACAGCACCCGCACTACCAAGAGCCTTGGACGAGCTTCGACCAAGGTTTCAACGGTGCTGGGGCTCCTGAGTCTTTCGAGTCGTCCGGCTTCGAGTACCACGCCCTCGTCCCAGCAGACAAGCTCGGCTTTGTGGGTGAGTCTACAGCAGTTCGTTCGTCTCCAGAGCCATGTCTTTCTCCTTCTCCCGTTTCAAAGGCACGGCCGTCATTTAAACCACCTTCTTTGCCGGCGTCAGTAACCTTTCCACTATCACCCTGGAAAGCGATTCACAGGAGGCGTTCAGTCACTAGCTCTCAAGATTGCACGAGAAGAAGAAAAAACTCGCTTCTCTCGCACCAGATCTGGCCGGAGAGTGCGTCTCCGGAGGAATCTCAGTCACTTGCTTCTTCCTGCAGCTCTCAAAGTCACTTCTCATCCCCTTTGACTGGAAGGAGGAATGTTCTCGTCGCTTCGCTCAACTCTAGTTGGTCCCCTTTCCCAGCCTCGCTTTTCTTCAGATCTTGCTTCTGATGTTGTTGGTCTTCAACGCAGTCACTGACGGGTTGCTTGCACAGATCCCACTCTGATCCAGCCTTTCCCTTCGCCGTATCCGTATCCGTATTCTGCGCAATCTTACCCCGCGTCGCCGTACCCCGACGCTCAAAATCCACCATCCCCTCATTTCCCCTTCGTCGAGCAACCGCCATCACCGGCGACCTCAAGCACCTCCAACCAAGCACCATCGCGGCAGTTCAAGCGTAGCCAATCACCGTTCCTCCAGACTATTGGGTGGCAGCCATATCCCAACCTTAACGGCGGCCGAAGACCATCCCTAGCATCGATACATTCGCGCCACTCGCAGTCCAGCCGGCGCAGTGGGTCATTCGAGCTCGACGATGAGACACGGGAAAAGGGCATGTGCCCGATCCCAGAGTGCGGCAAAGTGTTCAAGGACCTTAAGGCGCACCTGTTTACTCACCAAAAGGAGCGCCCCGAGAAGTGCCCCATTACGACCTGCGAGTTCCACGTCAAAGGTTTCGCCCGCAAGTACGACAAGAACAGGCACACCCTGACGCACTACAAGGGCACCATGGTCTGCGGCTTCTGCCCAGGCTCCGGGTCCGCGGCGGAGAAGAGCTTCAATCGCGCCGACGTCTTCAAGAGGCATTTGACCTCCGTCCACGGTGTCGAGCAGAATCCGCCAAATAGCCGCAGAAAGTCGCCGGCTTCGGCCAAGAGGCCCTACAGCACCTCCTCCCAGACCACTGCCGGAACGTGCTCCACCTGCTCCGTCACCTTCGCCAACGCGCAAGAGTTCTACGAGCATCTCGACGACTGCGTCCTGCGCGTCGTGCAGCAGGCTGACCCTAGCGAGGCCATCAACCACAAGCTGCTCTCATCCGTCGCTGACGATGAAGACGTCAAAGCAACCATGGACCGCCACTGCCTCACCAACGAGACCGCCGCCGACTTCGCGCCTGCTTTCGACGAGGACACCGAGGAGAGCGAGGAGCTCGAGGACAACGACGACGAGAACGACGCCTCCTACGGCGTGCGCAGCTCCGGCCGCACTTCTGCCAGGGCCAGCAAGAGGACCTCGAGTTGACAACTAGCACACTCTCGGGGTGTGGCGGCTTCGCAGCACGCCGGGAGTGGCAGCAATGGAATCACCAAACCCAAGTCTTCGGGTGCGCGAGGCAGTGGGCGCGCAGGCCTCACCTACAGCAAAGGCGGCATCGGCATGAGCGGCGCCGGGCGCAAGAAGCGCAAGAACTACCCGCCTAGCTGGGGCTGTGCGACAGACAAGATGCGCATGAAGAAGAGGGTCCTGTGCGTCTATGACGGGCCCAGGCGCCTGTGGAAGGACGACATGATGCTCGATCAGGAGTTTGAGGTCCGGATGAAGCTGCCGGATGGGAAGAACTACGTCACGGATCTCGACGTGCAGACGCTGAAGCGGGCGGAGGCGATGCATGGAGCCACCGAGGAGGAGAGAGGGCCGTGGAGGCCGGATAATGTGCAGGAGGTTGATGTTGAGGAGCTGATGGCTTGAAAAGTTGACGGGACCTTGGGGATGAGTGTACTTGTATGACCTCGCATCCGGTCTTTTGCCATTCTTCTTTTGGTACGGGCGTTTGAAGGGAAAAGAGATACCAGCTGGGAACTTTGGTAATTGTTCTTTTGGCGCGTTGGATCGGGACGAGTGCATGACCGCTGTATGGCTATTGTAATGTCGATATGGACAGTAAGGGATAGGGATGAGCTACATTGGATAGGCTTGCCTGGATTAGCAGATCTACTACTTCCACCTGACAAACTTGGGCTTCAGACTGTGATCTGGTACATGGCAACCCCCGGTTTCGCATCCGTAACCTATGGATGCAATGTGGTTATGATGGTGTCTAACCTCCAGCCTCTGGGAAGTCCGGGTCATGTTTTGGCGAGTCGGAAATCGCCGATCCCAGTGTTCTGCCATCTCCTGTGGACCACGACTCCACACCACGTAACTATGTCAGAGGACGGCCAGAGAGGGCGCACGTGTGGAGACACGGTAGGTAAGAGAGATTCTATGTCTGTCTCTTGATAGTGGTGCGGCTGACACGTTTCCAGGTGCCTTGAAACGGAAGCCGTCAAACGCCCAGATGGTCCAGCGTCAATCTGTGGCCTAGTGTCAGTCTTCAGCGTCCATCTATGTGCCAGCTCGAGTAAGCACTCCAGCGAGCTCAAACCAGACCGCCTCCCTGTGTACCTCACTTGGTTTAGCTATTTGCATGTACCGTGCTTGAGCAAACCTTCAAAGCGGGACAGGTGGCTGGGAAGAATTAAGGGGAACTCATGAAGAGAGCGTAACGCGCAACCGGTGCGAATGCGCGGCAAACATCCCTCGTGTTCTCCGGAGCCGCTTGGCTCTGTCGAAGGTGGACTGGGCACGTTCAATCGGATTCGATTCGTGGGGTCTTTACGCTCGAAACCGCCGATGGACCTCACAAAGCGCAGCGGGATGCGGATTGAACAATACTGCTTCCCGGGAAACCTCAGTTTAGCAGACGATCTTGCATAAACAGGCTGCCCCTATGTTGCTTCGGATCTTGCGGCGAGACGCGAGAAGTGCCGAAGAACCGTGTCCGGAATGCTCAATCACCTCTTGTGGAGCTGACTGCCGTAGCAACCACGGGCTTACCTTCCGGCCAGTCGGAAGGCTCTCACGGTGACGGCCGGATCTTTGTGGACTAGGTATGAACTGAGGTTGGGCTCGCCGCGTGAGTGGAGGCCTGCAACCTTCATTGGCATCTCTCTAGCAAACCGCCTATTCCAGAAGCAACCTGACGCTCACTGGCTGTGTCAATGGTAAGTCTTGCGGTAGGATAGCTCAGTGCAATCTACAGACTATATATTGGGAGCACAACTCCCTTTCCGTGACACAGTCTTGCAAAGAGCCGCTGCTTTCTCGCCGTTAACCTCAATTTATATGGTTAGCAGTGAGCAAGTGTCCATCGTTATCTCTAGAACAAATTGCATCTTTCATTCCCAATTCGCGCATCTTCTTCGCAGAGTGATGTTGAGTTCGCGTGCATTCCACAAAGGCATGCCAGCACTCTCCGATCACAACAACACCCCTTTTCACGCGCCAATGCTGAGATGCGCCGCGCCTTCTCAATTAAAAGCGGCCATTCCGTGTCCGTTCATCTTCCGCACTGATCTTTTGTCACTCGTTGAAATACCTCCGCTCTCCACGGTCCTTTGAAAAGTAACCAGCTCCAACTCCGGTCTTTCTTACGTGCATTATATCCCATACCTCTTGTCCAGCTTCAGCAAGCTTGCTGCCTACACACTCATTCCACATCCAGAATCGTGAAGGGGAACGATCCACGCAAAAGTAGCCATGATCCGCTCTATGGCTTTGAGGCTCCTTGGCCTGCTCATATCGCTGCTTTTCGCCGGGACAGTATCTGCAGTACCCACTGCTACTGTGGAGGGCCTTTACGCTTCATCGACTCCCTTGTGCCCGGCCACTGGTGCTACCAACAACGGAACTATCTGGGTTGGCGCCAATGGATACCATTACGAGATAGGATGCGATAGGATGTATGCCGGCGCCGACCTTGCAGTCTCGACTGGGAACACTGATCTCAGCCAGTGTCTTACCCAGTGCGAAGCTTACGCGAATCGCGCCTGTGTTGCGGTCACCTTCGATGAGCTATCTGGCTCATCCAATACACCGCACGTAGTGGGAACGTGCCGCCTGAAGGGTTACGCCTTTACACCGCTTATTGCGGACACAAGGAGGGACGGGGCGTACTGTATTGACTGCCCAGATCCGTCGCGGACAACCTGCACTGCAGCAGCAGCAGCATCAGCTGTCACTTGCCCCGCTGGCACCCCGGCCGTCAATTTTCCTCACAGACCGTCTTGTCTCAAATACGACTACCACGTTTATTGCAGAACGGTTTTTGAAGGCCAGATAGTCAACGGCGTATCCTCTAATATCTTGTTAGTCACTGATATCACTCCGATCCAAGGTTGGACCTTTGAGACGTGTGAGAGACTGTGCGATGTCACTGCAGAATGTGTCGGTGGCAACTGGAACCAGAACCTCAAGAGATGCAATTTACGAAGGAATATCATCAACCAGGCCACTAATGGCACCACTGGCAATGACAATGAGTTGGGATTCTTGAAAGGAGCGCTCCAGCCGTCCGGAGGGGGGGCCGCTCAACCAACCACTACAACGACGACAACACCTTCTCCTACTACAACGACAACAACAACTGCCCCTGATACAACGACCACTACTACAACGCCGTCTCCCACCACAACCACAACAACAACAGCTCCTGATGCTACGACCACAACAACAACAGCTCCTGATACTACGACCACAACGACCACACCTTCTTCAACGACAATGGATCCTTCTGAAGGCTCCGTTGTTTATGTCACCATCACTTCAACTGCACCCGGTGCTACAGTGATTCAAACTCAAGTGGTGACTACCGCCGGCTCAGTCGAATACGTGACTGTGACTTCGACTCTACCGGGCAGCACTTATATTACTACAGTAAGTCGCCTGCAGTTTCTGCTCTCTGTTCCAAGCTAATGTTACCAAGGTCAGGAGCACCATTGTGTCCACAGCTGTAGAAACGCGAGAAATAACGTACACCTCGGTTTCGGTCTCCGCTGGACAGCCTGTCACTGTCACGGCAGTCTCGACCGTTGTCAGCACTGCTCCGGCCTCGACCATTATTATCACCACCGATACGGACGAACCCACCGATACCGCAACAGTCACGACTACACTCACGAGCCCGACGAGTGAATCGACTCCGTCGCCGACGAGTTCCATGGAATCCACTTCGTCTTCCTCGAGTGACATGTCGATGCCATCGTCTACTCCCTCGAGCAGTATGGAGAGCAGCATGACATCAAGCGATATGATGACGAGTTCTACGGAGTCTAGCAGCATGGAGCCGACGTCTTCCACCGAGTCCAGCAGCATGGAGATGACTTCTTCTACAGAGTCCAGCAGCATGCGTATGACATCTTCTACCAGCAGCGAAATGACTAGCAGCACTGAAATTTCAAGTTCGGAAATGATGTCCTCAACCACAACCGATACGAGCTCCACAATGTCCGAGCCTACATCCTCCTCCATGGTAAGCTCCTCCGCCCACTGATTTTCCAACCCAAGTCCCACCGCTAATACTGCCTCCCAGGAGCTAACATCAAGCAGCGCAACATCAAGCAGCGAGACATCGAGCAGCGAGACGTCAAGCTCGATGGACATGTCGATGACGTCGTCCTCCACGATGGAACCCTCGACGTCGTCTTCCATGACGGACATGCCCTCGACCACCTCGTCCTCGACGGAGATGCCAATGACATCGTCAAGCTCGATGAGTTCCATGTCGACCATGCCTGACAACACGCCCTGCACGGATGCGGTCACTGTGACTACGACAGCTTGGCCGAGCGGCTATACGCCGCCTGCGAAGGTTAAGAGAGATGTCAAGGAGAAGCGGGAGGAGGGGAAGCAGCTGGATCAGAAGCGGAAAGCTTGGTATTGAGGGAAGAATCTGGATGAACGTTTGGGGTCTATGGCTGACTAAAACCGTTGTTGGCTTGGTAAGTGGGCAGGAGGACTTGGATTAGAAAGATGTGTGGAGCGTTTCTGGTGTCGTGTTTCTCTTCATCAGACATAGACTCCGTGCTTCGTGGTGGGAGCTGGCTGTGCTTAATCATTTTGCTGTTTCGGATCAATGGGTATTGCGGTCGTTTCTGCGAAGACGGCTTATGGTGCTGTGTAGCAGACTTGTACGCGGTAGAGTAGCATTAGCGACAGCGTCTCAATCTAAAAGTCGGTCGAGAACACTGCTGTGGCCCTCTCTCTCCAAGGGCAGCACCATAGGGTTTCCGCTCTGAAGAGAAAGGCCTACGCTATCTCCCTAATATTGGACGTTGTCTCAGTGTAGCTGTTGCTTCGGTGGCCCACGATGATTCTCGATTGTACCATGAAGACTGCTTGTGTTAGCTTCCAGGAGTCCGATTGCTGTCATACGAGGGACAAGAGGGAATGGCCCGTGTTTGACTTTGTAGATAAACCGCACTGCATCGTGTGATGGCAGCACCTAGACCCTATCAGCATCCTCAATATGGATAGTTCTAAAGCCGACACCCTGGCGCTGCGGGTTGGCACGTCATGTACAGCGTCCACATCGACTACCACCACTTCTCACAAAGCACCCTCCGCTCATCCATCCCCTCTACTCCCCTCAAAAACTCCACAAACTCGTCCGTCATGCGCGCCGGCCCGCATACATACATAACCGTGCGCTCTGCTTCGCTCGGAGACCCGGCCGCAGCGGCTAAGTCTGCTCGTGCAATCCGCCTGTGGTGGATGACCCCGGGGAAGCTGGGCACTTCAAGCTCTGCTTTGGTGCCGCTATTGTCTGTGAGGTAGAGCTGCAGATGGATGTTCGACTTTGCTGTTGAAGAACTAGCCGCGAGGCCCATCAGGCGGTCGAGGAAGAGGATCTCCTTTGCCTTGAGTTTCGAATTGGCCGCTGGAGGGGGCTTCGTCGTGTACAAGAAGTGGACCTCCCCTGGCATTTCGCCTGTTCGTCGCAGATGCGCTAGGATGGAGATTAAGGGACTTTCGCCCGTTGGTATTAGTGCTGCATTCCCTTCCCGCAGAAATAAAGACAGGTGATCTTAAGCTCTTGATGGTATCAAAATCAAGACTTACTTGATCCCCACGCCTCCGGCCACAAAGACTACCTTATTGATACCTCTAACATCTATACCCGGAGGCGGCCAGACGAAGCTTCCCCCAACCCGAACGACGAGCCGCGCACCGAGGATCTCTTCAGCGGGCCGCCATAGCCACTTCGCCGGAGGGTTTGCCGTCTTCTGCACCGCGAGTTCCAAGTGCGGCGCATCCGCAGACGCAGTAGTAGTGCGAGGCGGCGCAGCCTCTGCAGGCGTAGAAGTGATGGTGAAACCACCTGCTTTTGGCAGACCGGGGATGTGGACGTCTAGCCATTGTCCTGGGAGGAACTATACTGCGGATTTCTTCTGTTGGCAAATGCTCCTCTTTTATCTTACTCGTTGACGTGGTTTGCGGGCACGCAACACGTAGAGCTGGAATAATCGACTTGGGAGTGACAGCTTGACGCGGAGAAAAGAGGAGAAAGTCATCAAACCTTGACGCCACGCTGCCTGTCGAAGACATTTAAGCGCAGAAGGCGGATGCTCTCGTTGATAGGCTCGATATGGCTTAGAATGACCTGATGGAAGCCACTGTCACGAGGCTCGCTCGCGGTGCGCTCTTCGTGGCTCATTTGCGAGCGCGGGATGGTCATGATGGGTATATTGCGGAGTGTGGCGAAGCCCTTGGTGTGGCGAAGAGCACGAGTAGCGGCACGAGGTATACAGAGCAACATGGCACAGATAGCTGCTGCGGGAGGTGCTGGTATAGATGGGGATGCGAGATGTAGCTTGGACGAGTCATGTCACGGGACCCGGGAGGCAAAGAGCTTATTTCTGACTAGAAGTGGATTAAGCCACCATCAAAAGCGTGGAGGGACATGATTATCACGAACTCTGTAGCGAAGGCATATGTGTGTAAGTCTAGCCCTGTTACGATCGCAGAAAGCTCCGCCAGCGCCTTGCTCCTTTTCCATACCGACGCAATGCCCATCCAAGCGCTTCCCCACGATATCCAAACGCCATGCTATGCTGGTATGCTACAGCTCTAGGAGAGGGAGAAAGACCGTCCATAATCGTCGGCCTGATCTCGCCTTCCCTCACTTGTTGAGCTTAGCCTTCTTCTTTGGCCGTTCCACCAGCTCAGGCTCAGGCTCACTCTCCCCTTCCGCGTCCGCATCTGCCATCTCCTCGTCGCTCCCACCGCTACTCTCATGCGCTGAATCGTACTCTTCAGCAGGGTCGCTGTCCGAATCGGCCCGGAAGTCCTCGTCTACGCTCTCATCGTCCTCGTCCGCGGAGCCTCGAGCGGCTTGCACTGCTTCTTCTTCGCTGGAGGCAAGGTCGTCATTGTCCTGTAGGGCTGCGGCTAGTAACGCGCCCGACTGCAGATGATAATATGTTGGTATACATAGTTTTGTATATAGTCAATAGGGGCGGATATAGGCTTACCTCGTCAAGCATCGCGTTCTTGAACTTAAGGTTCTTGGTCTGGAAGAAGTTCTCCAAAGGCGTTTGTTCCTCGCTAATCGTTAAGTGTCAGCGTGTTGCGTGCTTGCTGCTGTCACAGATATCAATGGACTTACCGGTTGATGTTGCTGAATTGGTGCTCGCCTTCGCCGTTCTTCAGCGTGATTGTGATGTCAAATGTGCGACTCGCAGATACTGCGCCACCAACTCGAGACAAGGTGATGAGCTGGATCCTGTCGAACGACACATATGTAGCTGGCTTCGGCACGAACATGAAACTCTTGTCCAGGCAGAAAAGGTGGCCTTCGTTCGCCTTGATGGAGCATTTCACGCCGGACTGTTGGTGGTGGCTGCTGAACTCTTTGGAAGGCGTGATGACTTTCTTGCCAGTCAACCCACGGAAGACCGATGCAATGACTTGGGCAACGGGTGCTTCATATCGTGTCTGGAGCTTGCCCTTGTACTTCTCTTCCAGAAGCTCGTCAGTCATGTTTAGCTCCAGGGTGATCTCTTCATCCCGCTTAAACTGCATAACCAAGAACGGATACCTGGTCTGGCCTTGCCGTAAAGGAGGATCCAGTCCGATGGTGATGAGCGTATGCAGATCGTCCGGCTTCGGTAGCAGCAGGAACTTCTTGATCGACTCATATTGAATCTTGTAGTCGTACGTCTTACCACGTAACCGGAAGGAGTTCTCGTACATGTCAATATCGAATCGTCCTCTGGGCGTCAGGTGCAAAATGTCTAGGAACGTGGAGTACGTGTCGCCGGCGACCTCCCCAATCTCAGCTTTCTCCATGAGGGTATCATAGAAGAGCTGTGCCGCATTGGTTTCCTCGACTTCCTCGCCATCTTCAGCATCCTCACCACCCTCCTTCTTCTCCTTCTTCGTGGCGGCGGTTCCGGGAATGTAGAAACGCATCTCCACCAGTTGGTCTACTGCGCCACCTGCCTTCTTGCCCCGTCCTCGCGCGCCTCCAAGGTGTCCGTTGGTGCCCGTGTCCTCGCCGTTCGCTGGCAGAGAGAACTCGACCGCAACTTCATTCTTGCCCGCTAGATTCGTGTTGGAGATCTCGCTGTACGGTACTTCAAAGGCTGGTCGACTCTGCACGTTGAATGAAAGCTCCGCCTTTCCAAATTCCGCCTTGCCCCAGTTCCAGCCACGTAGTGCATGCTCCTTGCTCTCGACGTTGATGCTGTAGTAGTTCTTGAAGGATCGCGCCACACGGTCGAAGTCCTGGTCGCATTAGTCTGGAACTCTAACACCGCAGACAAAAAATGTCTCACCTCTTGCTGGAAACCATCTAGCTGTATGACGCCAGCTTTGCGCGAGTACACTTTCAACTCGTAGCCTCGTGCTGCTCTACTCCACTGTGCCTGTGTGATGTCGCCACGGTCGAGTGTGAAGGTGTCGCCGCCGCCCGAGGGCTTCCAGCCCATTCCTGACTCTGCGAATCGACATTTTCCGGGCTGCTTGGACAGGTCAAGGTAGATGCCGTCGAAACTTTCCCTGTGCGACTGTTAGACCAAGGCTAAGGGCTTCAGCATTGAGAAAAGAAGTTGTACACCCCCGGAACTGGAACCGCTACTGGCATCTTGTAGCGTTCGGAAATTCCACCGAGGCGTTGCAACTGCGTGATGCTTCTGGTGTGACGCAAGAAGAGACTCACATGATGGAAACGGAGCGCTGAGGCGCGAACAGTGTCGAAGGAAGGTACGTTCGGCGTCCAGTCTGGCGATATAGAAGGTGCTGTTGAGGAAGAGTCGTTCGGTAAGGTAGGGAAGAGCGACTGGCAATTGTGAATGGTCTTGAGCTCACTGACTTTCGCGACGCGCCGGAGTATCGAATGGGGCTCTGCGCCGGATTAAACTTGAGCCGACGTGGAAGCCTTATGAGGAGAGTCTTGCTGGTCACGTGCTACTATCTTTACTGTACACCTGGGCAAGCAGAACATATTCACACTGCTAGTCAGACAGTGGTGAACTGCCCAAGTAGACATGGATCGCAAGTGGTAAGATATCAAGCAAGCACACAAACAGCAAGCAGTTCTCCTACAATTCCCGGGCTCACACTGAGAGTAGCGTTCTGATATCTCCTTAGCATTTGCCTAAATGTTACGTTCGGCACTTAAGGGGACAGTTTCAAATGCTGATGTCCTCATGTAAAGCCGAACTCTGATTGTTTCCAGTCACACAAGACAGGAGCCGCGGAACGTTCGAGCGGCGTAGCGGAACGGAGACCAGTTTTGCTGTCATCAACCCCCTCTGAGTCTTCAAGTTATTAGCTCACAAGTTGTGCAGCGAGGCTTCGAAGAGTGAACCTTCTCTCATCTATATTTGCGCCGTGACGAGAAGCGAGCCAAAGCCGCATCTACCAAACAGCCAACCAAATGGTCCCAGATAGCGAATGGAATCGCTCCTCAGACTAACGCTGTGGATATCTCAGAAGTAGATGGAAGCCTTTTTGCGCCTGGTGAAAAGCCATCCCATCTTCAAGTCGCCTCCATCCCTTAGCTACAGGCTGCCCCTTCGACTAGGGAACCGCACCCCCTCGACAGCAGCAAAGTCCGTAAACCAACTCACTCTCTCCTGCGCAGACGTGTTGATAAGCCCGCATGGCAGACTATGACCCTCCTCGGTGTCGAAGATCTTCCTCAGGATCTCCTTCTTGCCCCCGCCCGTAGCCACGAACCCGATCTTGATGCCGTGGCTCGCAACCGGCAGGCTCAGTGTGATGCGCTTCGGTGGCGGCTTCGGGCTGTTCTCAATCGGCAAGACCCACGCCTCCGTCTCACGCAGCAACGGCGACTCCGGGAACAGCGAGCAGGTATGCCCGTCCGGCCCGCACCCGAGCAGCAGCAGGTCGAACATGGGAATCTTAACGCTGTCCCGCGCGGCGAAGCTCTTGACGAGCGTCTGCTCATACTGGTCCGCCATCTCCTGTATGTCGTCCATGTACTTCGTGTCGATCGGGTAGACCTCCGGCTTGCCCATCTCCTCAGGGATCTTGTCCAGCAGCTCCTCCTTCACTAACCGGTAGTTGCTGTCTTCATGGTCTAGCGGCACGGCGCGCTCGTCGGCGAAGAAGACGTGCCATTTCGGGAAATTGACCTTGTCGTCGTCGCCGGAGGGGTTTGCTAGCAGCGCTTTGGCGAGGGTTTTGGGGAGGGAGCCCCCGGAAACGCCGACGCGGAACTTGTTGTGTCGCTCGAGTGCGGCGTTTTGCGCGTCGATGACAAAGGCGCGCAGCGACTTGGCCAGCTCGTCGGTATCCGGAAAGGTGTAAAGGTTTGGCGGTTTGCCCATCGTGAAAGCTGTGGGTTCAGGTGGAAAGCGTGCGTGCGAAGGAGTGCGTGAGTCGCGGGGTTGTTTGGTGGGGTTACTGGGCGATCACAAGCTTGAAGCTTGCGCGAATAAACAGGTAGAAGCTGCTGGCGGGAGAGGCGGCTACGGTGTTCTTGGTTAGGTTTTGGATGAAGCAGGTTGGAGGAAAGTTGCGGTAACCTTACAATTGCGGAGAATAAATGCTGAGAGGAAAAAGCAAGGTTGATTAAGAGCGCTGGGCCAAGTGGGATTCCGAATGGAAAAGGCCCGCATTCAATCAATGACGGAGCGCGTTGCGGCGCTATCGTGAGGCTTGGTCTCCGAAGCCCGGTCCCTTCACTAAGGCCGGGGGCTTCGTGCCAGAATGGGCGGTTTCAAGGATCTTATGCCGCTCTTTGCGGCGGATCCTCACGGAAACAGCGTCATCCTGTCGGTGATTGCGGCGGCTCAGGAAGCATCTTCTGGCGTGAGAACTTTCGTGTGGCATGTGCTTTTTGGATTTCTGTTAAGCATTCAGGAACGTCTCACGACGAAACAAGCCCGCAATGTCAACGCGCGTGGCCGTGCCGGCCATACGCCTGAAGCCAAACGGTCCGCCAAAATAACATCATTGGCCGTCCAAGCTGTCCGGATGAGTGTTCTCATGCTTCCTCGGTTCTCTCTTAGTCAGCACATGCTGCTCTCCCGTCCACTTCATTTTCCAGTCGTTCAGCTTTCCACTTCTTACAAGTCTTGAATCTCCTTCTGTTGCTGGATGGTGTGCTAACACGGGCATCGTGAGTGAATGTCTTTCTGTTGAGACGCGCAGCCGTCTCATCATTCTTTTTGTCAAATGATAAGCTCGCAGCTGTTATCTTCGGTACGGCTTGAGCCCATCAAAAGCATTTCATCTCTCAGCAGCCTCCTCTACGGAAGCATGTGACAAACGGGGAAGCATCATTCGTCAGCAGAGTCTTATGTCACATGCTGCACGCAGTGGCAGTGGGATCTTACTGCTCAACAGTCAACAGCTTGACTGTTATCGTGCATCGCCTGAAGCTAGGATCCTTTTACGATAGTCTTCGAACTTCAATGAAGAGTCCAACGGACCCGAGTCAGGTTTCGATGCCCTAGAGCAACCACATAGTTGTTGTCGGCATTGAACAAGCGAAATGTATGCGAAGGAAGGTCCGAAGGAAAGGATCCTAGCCGACGAGAACCAAAACTCGGCAAAAGCGCTGTTCGCGTATTGTTGCAGACTAGGAGCTGTTCCACATCACTTGATGAGCAGCACTACATTGACCCTCTCAGAAATCGGGATTATACGAAAGCCGAGTAGAACCCCGGACCGGCCGATGTTCGAAGAGCTAGCTACAGAAGTGGACAATAATCTGAGAAGGATACGGAGAGATCAGTGCGTTTGGAGCTGCATAGAACGCTGTCGAGAGCATCTCTCAATGTCAAGGACTAGTCAAGGACAGGTGCTGTAACTCGCACCCTAAATTGAATTTACATGTTATATCTGTTGGATGTCTTGCCCTAGCTACTATTCTCTTGGCTTTCGATCTTCCATCTCAGGACAAGCATGGCGCGACCAGCATCTTCAGTCATCGGATCGTACAAACATCATCTCGAACCCGTGAGATATCATGAGGATACGATATTTTGCCATGCCTGGCTCCCGAGGCTTTTATCTCTCATGCAAGGCGCATGGCTCTTCCGCCAAGGCAAGTCACGGGGTCGCCAGCATATCTTTTTGTCGTAAAGGGCGGTAGCAATAGTAATCGTGACTTCCCGCTACGAAAGGGAGCCATTTGACGCAAGGGCCGAGGATCTTTGAATAGCTGAGCGTCCAGAACATTGCTCAATATTAGAGCGGCTCCGGAACCAGTGCGATGCTCCATTTCCATGTCGATGGTTTGTCCCGATTCCTCCATACGCGCTGCGCGACAGAGCATGGATAGATATCTTAGGTCAAGAATGTTACGTGTATCTGGCTTGAAAACATGCCACAGGCAAGACCCAAAGGATTCCATCTACTGAAGCCACAGCGGCATTTCCACCGTTCCAGCCGGGCCTAAAAGACTGCCGAAGCTCTCTCTCAAATAGCACAACCCTTCCTTCGGCGATGTGGGGACGGGCCCGGGTCTGTTGTGAGCCGCGATGAGAAGCGGCAAGCAAGCAGACAAGGCTTATTCTGCGGACTCTCATTCCAGCAAGGCAACTGCAGCGTAGTTGTAGCACAATCTGTTGCTTGGACAGCCGAGAGCATAGCCAGATCGAAAGACCGGTCGAGACCACGCCTCTGCAGGCTCACCCTAAGTAATCTGAACATGCGCACTGGAATGGAGTGCCACTCACGGGACATTCGGCCGTATGCTGGCTGTGTGAACATGGTTCCTGCGATCGGTCGTTACTTTCACGCTTCTCGTACGTCTTCGCGGTGATTAGTGATCGGGTAACAATCCGCCGAGGGCTATTGGAAGTCTAGAACTCTTGCTAGCGGACCGACCCGGGCTGGTGCTGTATCATTAGTAACGTGATCTAGAGCAATTTCGTGTAACTTTCATATGCGGTCATCGGAATCTTACGTTTCGTACTGTCGAGCAGATTCGAGCAAGGAGAAAGACGGCGCAAGCAGATTGTAGCTCAGCACCACCCTTCCTGCTCGCCCGCTGCGGCCGCTGCGCCCGCAGGCAGCCGTTGCGACATCAGCAGACCGTACTTTGACCGGCTGCGGTTAGCTGCGGTTCGTGGCGATAGCCTGGAGGTGCGTCGTAACAACGAGCGCTCTGCCGTGACAGGTGGGGAGCATTGCGCCGTTGGAAGCTTTTCGAGACGCTGGCTGAGTCACGGGCCGGAGCGCTGGGAGTGGAACCAGAGTTGGAGAGTTTTAAAGTCCGAGGCCGACCCGATAATCTCGGCGTGGCAGCCTGCGGCTTCGAGTTGTCCCGGTGAGTCAAACCGCGCAGTGTGGAAAGCACAGCGATACTGAAGGCTACGTTGGCTTCTGACGCGTCGTCGCGATGCCGCGGCAGGACAGTCATCCAAGGGCCAGCGTTTCAAGCGTTGCGGTGGCCGCACTGCGACTGGCTGGCCAAGTGGTGAACGGGAACCATGGCTGTGTCACGTGTTCCTCTCGATCTCTGCGATCTCGATGCCCTAGGAGAAACGCCAATAGGAGGTTAGGTAGGCATCGAACATGAACCGAGAAACAGCCTGCGGCCAGATCCTGCTGAAGCCCATGCAGAGAGCGGCAACTCATTCTTGCATCTTCCAAGGTTCCCTTGTGCGGGGTTACGATCAAGCCGACATCTCACCCAGAGACGGGATTTCCAATTGCCCTCCAGGGTTGTCAGATGTGTTGCTGCGCCTTTTCACTCGTACCGCTACACGTAACGCCAGTTTCGCAGCCCCCGCTTATTCCCATCCACCGGGATGCCGCGAGGCAGAATGCCATTGCGGGCTGCGAGGCAGCTGATTAGCAACCGCTGCTTGCAGAACCAGCGCCAAAACGTTGCCGTTGCCCAGCACCCAGCACCCGCTGGTTCCGTGATCCCACTACCTAGATCGCTGCATCGCTCGCTCAGACGCTTCTTGCCTGTCGTATAATTGCATCCTGATCCCCTCGATCCCCTCGATCCCCTAACGACATTAGCATCCGACAACTCACTACTACCACCTTCCCGCACCATCGACACCGTCCCTCGGCATTCATGCACTACTCCACCAACATAAAGTGCGAGGCTGCCGCTCAACAGCAACCTGTCTGTTACTTCTCAATCACACCGGTCGTATACAGCAAAGCCTCTGAGCACTTCTCCGTCGAGACACCAGCCTGTTCGCCAACTACCGCTGCCTTCGATCCTGAGACACCGTCCGAGCCAAGCAACCCATTACTAGCCTTACGACTTCCACCTCCAACCCTCCTCACCGGCAGCAACATGGACGCCTCGAAGCTCATGTCTTTGCAAACAACCGCTGCTTTTTCACCAAATCGGCCAAAGCCCCGCCCAATCCAAGACGTGCTTGTCCTTGGAGAAAGCGACTCTTCTGAGTCCTCCACCACGAACTACTCGTCCGACTCCTCGTCTTCAACACCAGCTAACCCCATCACACGCTGCTCGCGCTGCCACCGGAGCAGCAGCTTGGGTTCCTCGTCTTCGACAAACAGCGGCATGATCAGCTTCGGCCCCAACTCGTACTACTGCCAACGCTGCGCGACTATTGTCGGGTATCTACGTTGAGAGGCCGCTTCTAACGACTCGCGCGGCTCGTGAGGCCATACGGGCGTCAGCATACCAACACATCGACTAAACGGCTGTCGAGCACTGCATCGATATCAGCAGTGGAAACATTTGTCCTGTTACACGCTCTGGCGTCAGCGGCAGCTAGGAGTGTAGTTTCGGTGCATTATCCAGCAAAAGCACTGCTTCAGTGTGAACATCACGGGGAGAGCAACGCGGGTGAAAAATTCGCTTCGCTAACGGCAATTGCACTCGGATTACACGAATCGGGGAAAGGCAATGGTTTGGGGTCCACCTGCTGGCAAGGTGGTATGGAAGGATGAGAGGCTCTGCCTGGCTCAGGATCGAAAAGTTTGAGACGGGACAGTCTTCTGCACGATTATGATACCCCAATAGCGTCTTGATGGTTTCGATGGGAGACTTCTCTATTCTTACGCGCGGTTCATTTTAGACCCTTATATGATCACTTGTCCTCTCATTGCAGAGGGGAAAGCTAGATTACAGCAATACCATGTCATTCACGGCCGTCCCTCACTCTACTGACCGCAATTCCCCATGATCTGTCCTCCCAGAGTTTCAACTCCCATGCCGTCTCTCGCGCTTTTACGGCTCACAGCAACGTATCATCCTCTTGCCCCTCCAACCCCTCCATCCATCCCTTCCCAACACGACCAATCACCTCCTCCTTTAAGCAAATAAGAATCCTTAGCGCCGATCCAGAGCCTGCTGGCCCCGCTAACGCTCCCTAGCGCAACCCTTGATCGACCGATCGTGCGGCAATAAGGCTGCTAGCAGAATGCCAAGCATTTCGGATACGGAGCGACGTCCTGAAAGAGTCTCAATGTACGCCCTGTAATCCGCGACCTTGGCGCCATCGGAACACAATTTAGACTGCTGACAAGAAAGAAAGAGGCGACGAGAGTCGCAGGCGCCAATGTGATCCCCACCGTATCAATTGCCACCTTAGGAGGAAAGACAAGGCATCACACTCCTCCAAGGCCAAGTCACCCACCGCCCAGCATTTCGCAATCGTATCCAGCCGTTGTTCCAAGTTAAACCCGCAGCGCTACATACCTGCACACAGCCACCACCATCGACGTTCCCGCAACTCTATCAACAATCAAACGAACCGTGCCCAAGGCCGATGTAACATGGCCGTCCGCGTTCGCGGTGAAGCGGCCGCATAGTCATTGGCTTTTACCCGTGTACATGCGAAAGTGCATCTTCGATGCGAAGACGACGTTGTATCTCTTCGATGCCGGGCCAGAAAAGATCGCCGGAGCCAGTGTGTCAAGCGTGCAAAAGCCGCTCTGCTGGATCGAGCCATCACTTCCCCTCTTCCCCCTGCGTGGCTTCGATTTCAACCGCAATCGGTCCTGTCTTGCGCTTTTGCCTTTGTCAGGTTTTTAGGAGCACACTGACGTCTCGGCGCACGCTTGGCGCGCTGCAAACCGATGACCAACCTGAAGCCCTAGACTGGCGCGAGAACAGGCGAAGTGGGAGCCCAAACGAGCGAGGGAAGGGGAGGGGTCGTGCTGCTGCACCAGATCGGAAATTGTGGGCTCGATAAAGTTGTCCTGCCGCCCGAGCAGCGGGAGCACGATCTTATCGGCGATCGAGTGTGGGGCGGGGATTGGGACGAAGGGGCTAAGGACAGCGCTGAAGTAGTTTATTATTTTGGTATGGGCGAGGGATTGTCGGTGACCGAAGATCGTCATAGATGCAGCTACTGTGAAGTTCTCGAAGCACGCTCGCTGAACAGTGCGTGTCCTTGGCAGAGGATAAGAGTTGAAACACCTTGGGGAAGGAGCTCCGGTTTGATCGGTGCAAGTCGTGAGCAGCAGGAAAAGGTCATCCAGGGCGCCAGACGCCCATGTCACTACGCTCTCTCTCTCTCTCTCGGTCAAGAACGTTTGGGTCGCCAAGAGTGTCAGGTCCCCAGTTTCGAGGCATCGAATGCCAATGAGTACAAAAGCGTGGTGGATTATCACGACTCCGAAGGACTACAGATGTGATATTTCGTTGCCGCCTTGTACGCGCCTGCATGAACATCATCGCACCTCCATAAACAGTTGTAGCTGTCAAATGTCTATCCACATTGAAAAACCCCTACCGTGTCCGTAATAAAGCCCAGTCAGTGTGCATGTAGACAGGTACACTGCCGGGCGTCCAGTTTGACATCGTTCACAAACATGTTCCCTATGCTGAGTCATACGAAAATGGAAAGCCATGACAAAACAGCTCTGCTTCCATCTACTTGCCCGCTCTGACCCATTACATCCTCAATCGTCTCCATCTTCGACCGTCGGAGCGGGAGGGTTAGCCGTGTGTGACTGCGCAAGCTCACTTGGTTTGTCGCGGAATGGCAAATCAGGCATCGATACGTCTTGCTGGCTCATATCTTGCATAGAATCCAAAGGAGACAGTCCAGCGTGCGTGGAATTGTGGTTCGCCTCCGTTGGTGTATGAGCTGCAGCCGTAGGACTCTGGAACAACGCGGTTGGTGTTTGCTGCGCTTCACCTTCTGACGACGAAGGGGGACTCGTTGGATGATACGAGTCGCTCTGTGCCGGACCTGTGGGTTGCAGCGGAGAGGGAGAGGAAATAGCGTCTGAGCTAGTTGGTAACGGAGAACTTCCCACGGTTCCGGCAGTGGTGCTTGGGGTCCATTCCATGGCGTTTGGACAGAAGCCTTGATGCAGCTCTTGGATCGAGCCCCGAAGGCACCTGAGCTGAATCTGAGTTTCCTGGGCTTGGGCAAGGAGTCCCTGTAGCGCTGAGTAGGTCCAATGTGACAACCACTCAGGCGGGGCGAGAGGGTTGGCCGAGAAAGGCACGGAGCTCTGGCGGCGGTCGTCGCTGGGGTCGTCGCTGTCGTTGCTGTTGCGCTGGCTACGGTCCACTGAGCGATGGCGAGGAGCGCGGCCACGATGTTTGAACCGGTTATTCCAGCCACCACCGTGTCTGGGGCGACTCACCACGTGCTGGATTGTTATTTGTACCTGCGCGGGCTGGTGTCGCGGTCGCCGGGCTGCGTGCTTCCTTCTGCCACGTTTTCCCATGTCGCTGTCTTCCTGTTTGAAAGATCTTGATACCGTGCTGGGCCCTACTGTATTTGAGCGAATCTCTGGATTAAATGGCCGGAAGTCTTGTCCCATGCCGGATTCTCTTGGGTGGCTCTGGCAAGCTCGCGCAAGGCTCACGAAACTCTGGTAATCTGATGGAAACCGCACTAAGCCCGGGCTTCCGCTACCAGTCTTTGTCCACGTTTCAGCGAACATCCTCCGTCCTGTCGTTAGCCCATCCCCATTTTTCTAGGAGGTGCTGGACCCTGTACTCCGTCGCCCATCCAGTGTCTTTTTCGATATCTCGTAGCAGTTTCAGGACAAGCCTCCTTTCATTCTCTTCTGAAAGCAACTGCCCCGCCGTGTAAAGCGGCTGCACGGAGTGGATGCGTACAGAAGCTTCCGGTCTTGACAAGGCGATGCCAACGATCGCTCTGCTATGCTTCTGCGACTCCAGCACGCTGTCACTGTACGATTTCGCGCGATCGTACACCGAAAGCCCGTCTTTCTGCGTCGATTCATGCGGTTTGTTGATCAGTAGCTGGACCTGTGCCATGTGGTAGGACTGCATTGTTGACGCGCACATGGAAATGCAATACCAGGCTTCCGGGACGGTAGCCTCAGCTTCGCCTATTCGAGACAGTCTGACTTCGGTGCAGGGCTTGAATGTTATGGGAAGGCCGTCGTACCATACTCTGAATTGGTGATGGAGGTGATGCCAATACTCTAAGAGCATCTTCTGGCTGACCCCGTGACCTGGCCGGTCAAACACGAAAGGCGAATCTTCGCCAGCTGCGAGGAAATTGACAAGCTTCGACATGAGCCAGATCAGGGCATTGGAGATCATGTCCTCCCTCATCATGTCAGCGCCTTCTGGATACCCGGATCCAGTTGTGTTGCTTGCCTGGATGAAGCCCTCGTTGTCTAACAGTAAACCAGCGTCTCTCCACATCGGAAGGTCCTCTGTGTCAAGGCGAGTATGAGTTCTGTTAATAAAGGCAGCAAGCATGTCCTGTCTAGCGAGATTCCAGAATGTCGCTTTCCTCGCCTTCGACAGCCCGGTTACGTGAGGTTGAAGGCTGTCCGGCGACGGCAGCTGTAGCGGCATCATGCCATCCTTTGCGATGTCAAGCAGAGACTTGGCGCCGTTCAAGTGTCTCGACCATTCCGGCCCAGACGCATCAAGGAATTCGTAGACGGATAAGATGGCTGTTGCCGCAAGCACTTCATCGGAATCCGTCCGAGAAAGTGGCAGGCTAGACAGTCGGCGTCTTTTATTGCGATGATCATCAGCTGATCCAGGACTGCGAGCCAAGGGTTGGTCCTGAAGAGCTTCGCGCAACAGTGAAAGCGCAACGTCATAATAGCCCGTCGCTTTATGGAACCAGTCGACGCTGGGTGCGTCAGGAAAGACCTCCGTATGCGCCAGATACGATGCGTTACCACCGAAGGTAGGCTTTTGGCCACGGATTCTGCCCAGCGCTTTGGCGGCGCAAGCCACGGCAGCGTACTTTAATAGCGGATTTGTTAAGGAGTTTGCAGGGACGTAGGAAGAGAAGTAGAGTCCTAGATCGAATAGATCCATCCACAGGCCTGGCCCTTCTGAGAAGTAGCGCAGCAGGTAGGCCAACTCATGCTGGATCTCCGGTCCGTTTCCCACGTGATTCGCCCCATGCGAGACCTGGTCCAGAGTAGACGAAGCTGACCTCGCTTCAAAATCACGTACCTGAGCCGGGAATGGAGGAGAATGCAGGTCCGGATCAACAGGTAGTGATGCCGGCGACGCCACCATGGGGTTTAGAATGAAGTTGAGGTTGTGTGAGTTCGCGGATCCAGGTTGGGAAGTTGGCGGATCTACCATCGAAGAGGCGGCAGCAGACAGAGCTTGCAGTCCATGGATCGAAGGACTGCCATTGTGATGAATTGACCCTTGCCATGGAGAAGCGATATAGGGCTCGAAGGACGAGTGTGAGTGGGTAGCAGGTGTGTCCACGAGGGGCTCCGGCTCTGGCGACGACGGTTCATTGTAGGGATCCGTCAGGTTCACGAAGGTCACTGCGCGCGGTCAGTATGCTTGTTACTTCCACCTGTACAGAGGGGACAAGCGGTACCTTGTTTCGGCACATCGACCCAAACGCTCCTCTCATCAAAGGTGTTCTTATACGCATAGAATGCCTTCAGCCCAGCACCCTCACCATCACCGTTCCCCTTATTCATTGAGGCATTATGCTGGTGTCTGAAGACTATACCAGAGCCGGCCACGCACTCTCTATTCGCCTTGGTGCATTGCCCGCATACCGGCTTCTGTTCATCGCATTTGAGCTTCCGCTGGCGGCATGTCAAGCAACCTGTTCTGGATCTCATCGCTTGGACTAGCTGCACTGCGGTTGCCTCGACGGTTCTGACCTTAGCCGCATAATGTAAACACTTTCGTTGCTGCTATAACGCTCATGACTTGCGGCAACAACTGGCGTCGGAGGAGCGCTGCTATCGAGGTGCGGGCTTTCGTGGCTCTCATCACAGGCCACCGGAGACCTTATCGTTATCGGAAACCTCGGCATGTCATGGTTACGAACTGAGCTCTCAGCCCTCAAACAAATTGACTTGGAAGGAATCATCTTTCAAGAATCCTATTCACATCGCCCATAAGAGCATTAGGAAACACAGAAACTACCTCTCAGCAACCCTTCCTCATATACCGCCTAATATCGAGTCCTAAGATGTCTTCCGAATCCTACACTACTACCGAAAGCACACATACCGTCTCCTCTCCAGACCCCAGCACCCTCTACACCAAGACCTGGAAACCCATCACCACCAGCCCGCCAACCGCCCTCCTCGTCTTCATACACGGCTACTCAGACCACTGCAACGCCTACGGCATCCTCTTCCCCCACCTCGCCAGTCGCGGCATCGAAGTGCGAGCGATCGACCAACGCGGCTGGGGCCGTTCAGTCCGGAAGCCCACCGACAAGGGTGACTCCGGCGGGACGGACAGAGTCCTAGGAGACATTACTTCCTTCTTGCGGGAGGTCATCGCGGACAACAACAGGGAACACAAGGATGTGCCAATATTTCTGATGGGCCACTCCATGGGCGGCGCAGAGGTCCTGCACTACGCCGCCTCGGGCCCGGAAGACGTGAAAAGGCATATCAGGGGTTATCTGGCTGAGGCTCCGCTTGTGGCGCTGCACCCGGCAACCAGACCGTGGGGGACTACGGTTGTGCTGGGGCGGGTGGCAGCGAAGATTGCGCCGAAGACGCAGAAGGTGAATAAGCTTGATGAGAAGCTGTTGTCGAGGGATCCAGAGGTGCAACGCGCCTTTGTCGACGATGAGCTGTGTCATGATACGGGGACGCTGGAGCAGTTGGCGGGGATGTTGGATCGGGGGCTGGCGTTGGAGAGGGGGAATGTGAGGATACCGAGGGATGTTAGGAGTGTGTGGATCAGTCACGGGACGGATGATGGGGTTTGTGAGTTCAAGGCTGCCAAGGATATGTTTGAGAGGATGGAGGTGGAGGACAAGGAGTTCAAGGCGTATCAAGGGTGGTACCACAAGTGTAAGTTATGCAGCGGAACTAAAGCCGGCGACTTTTCAACGCTAACGAGCTACAGTGCATGCTGAACCAGGAGAGGACAAAACTATCTTCGCTGACGATGTTGCGGACTGGATTCTGGCACGCTGCGACCAGCCATCTTCCATGCAGGCTAAATCAAAGCTCTGACGAACGCATAAGAACGAGCTCGTTGCCCTGTCGGCTGCCTTCCAACTCCTTACGTTTCTATTGCACGGTTGAATAGTACCGTTATCAGGTGCATGAAGCCGCTTACTTTCTGCAGCTTCTCGATCTCAGAGCTGCGTTCGCGTTCTCCAGATCGTCAATTCGCTTAGCCCTCTCCGCCTTCTTCGGCTCCAGGTCCGCCTCTTCTTTTTCAGCTGCGCCTTTTCCACTTCCAGTCGCTCCGCCGCCGTGCGAGCGGTTTCCGCCTCAATCTGGGCCTGTGTTGAGATCTCATTGTCAGCAGTGGTCCAAATTTAAATAGAGCCAGTGAAGCAAGATCAAATCGACTAATCGCAAGGGTCTCAAAGCTCTATTATTCTTGACACTTAAGCGGAGGGCGACAATCACGAAGTCCAGGACATAATGTACGACTCGCAATCTCTATCTGGGCTTGGACAGTGCCAATATACCTCAAGACCTTGTCGGAAGGTCGGCCTAAGGTAGTCATGAAGCTGGTATCTGCTAGGAGTCTCCAGACTCCGGCGCGGACGTGATCGGGGAGGGTAGGGCGCCCGTATTGGGCGGCGTGGTGGCGGCGGCTTGTCTATTGGTAGACATATCGAGCTGCTGGATGCTTTAGGCTGTTGATAGAGAGGTTTTAACGCGGCAAAGAGGCGATAAGACGGCTTGTGAGGGTTTGAAGCTGGGTGCGAAGGCGATGGTTGCTCTTGCCGATTCAATATCAGATAATTTATAGTAGGTTATATTTCGTAGCCGAGCGAGCCTTCACCTCATCTCCGGGCTTTCACTTCATTATCATGTGTGTTCCTTCCACCCCTAATCTTACAACAACATCATAACATCGCCACGTCGAAAATCACAACACCATGTCCAACATGAATTCGCCTTCGTCGATCTTGCTAGGACACCGTATCAAGGAGCTCGTAGTGCAATTCGCATCCGTAGACAAACTCGCCGAATCCTTCTACCGTTTCCTTAAGAAGTCCTTCTCCTCCTACGAAGACCTCCACAGCGCCTCCGAAGCGTACAGCAACACCACCGTCTTCCTCAACGCCACGATCAAAGGCGCAGAAGATCTGCGAAGCGAGCTGGAAAGCATTGTCCGCGACATAGACGACGTCCATTTTGGGGCGGTCTCTGAGCGCAATGAGGTGGGTCACGTGCATGCTTTGGCACATTGTAGTTGTCTAACCGCAATAGCACCGTCCACACAGCTCGGAAAGCTACTACGAAAAGAATGCTACAGATCGCACACCGCAAACTGCCTACGACAGAAGCACTCTCACGCCCATCGTCCAGACCCTGCGATCCCTCACGCGCTTCTGCTACGAAGTCTCCGCCACCCTGAAGCGTTTCGAGGCGTCCGTCAGATGTCAACTAGAGTGTCCCAACGAAGCTACACTGGAAACCGGGGCCAGTGCCATTTGCGAACGACTTGCCGGCGAGGTAGAGAAGAACAGGATGCGTCTCGAGAAGATGCTCATGCTACTACGGAGTTATGCCATTGAAGCGGAGATCCTGACACCGCCTTATCCAGCGGGCTGGACCGTGGTCACTGATGGGAACGAGCTTGAGGCTCTTAAGTCGGTAAGTCCGGCCTCTCCGTCATCATCGCGCTGCGTCCAATCACGCAAGTGGACTGAATACACGACTGACTGCGTCGCAGGAGAACGCGGAGCTCAGAGCTCGACTTGCAGAGGCAGGGAGCTGGCAGTCTGATGGCCCGGGCTCGGAGGACGGTCAAGAAGAACTGTTTCGGACGGGCTCACCGCAGGGGAATGGGGATTCCGGTGACAGGTCCGCCTTCAGGGCTTGGCTGCGTTCTATAAACTAAGTCTGTAAGGGCAATTTGGTCATGGGGGTTCTGGAGGGGAACGCAGTTGGCTGGGCGCTGAGAGCATGAGGCTGTGGCGTTGTAGTGCGACCTCTGCTTCTTTCCACGGACCTGCTTGTCTCCGTCGACTTCGATAGGCCGCTGGTGCTTGTCGGCTCCCAAATCATGGGTTTATACAGAAATCGCTGCCACTCACACCGGTTAAATGATCACAACAATGCAGTCGAAGAACATTGTATCGCTTGTTTAATTCCGTATCAACGTCAAACAAGTTTACAGCAAGTGCCAAAAGCCATACGGAAAGTTTATTGCCGCGTCCATGCTTTAGCTAATTTCATACCAGATTCACGATTGGGCTGGACTCGTGATCGTGTCGATTATAGAGCAGCGAGAACGGTTGCATGCGATGGAAAGCATAAGATGCGCAGCAGTGCAGCCCTTTAGTGCATTGATCACTCAAGATGTCTTTGATCTAGGAACTGCCCTTACATGCTACCCACATTCGGTGCGGCAACGAACTTTTCAGATGGCTCTTGTGCCCTCAGAGCTCAGAGCGGCATGCGGACATACCATGTAACAGCCACATGAGTATGTGAGGATGACATGCATCAATTGCACGGTAAGCAGACATAGACAGCTACATGTCCGGGGGATTAGGAGCGATCGATGCATGATAGCGCTAACTTGCTGTAGTGTTTTGAGTCCAGCTCCGTGCAAGCTTCGAAGCTAAGCCGGTCAAGTAGGAGGCGTCCCAAGAGCATTCCGATACGATCTACCCGGATAAGTCTCCACCTCACGCACCTACATCCTCCACGGTCTGTCTCGTATGCCCTCATTCATCACTCTAGAGTCTATCCTCTTCCTTGTGCTTAGATAACGGACATGGCCCAATCGACCTGCTTTGGGCTGGCCGTCGCTATTAGCTTGAGACACCAATGCTATAGCATCTGTTTGCACGTGTGCATTGCTGTGAGCATATAGAGCTCGATAGACTGCCAGTTCGATGTTGGTGCCGATACGCCATTCGGAGGACCACAGCGATGTCGATCGCCCGCTCGATTCCTCTCCATCCTCGGCGGTCTCCCGGACCAAAGACACTAGCCGCATGTCTCGCATATGGTTTCGTCCGGGCCCTGCTGCACTGAGCTTTGTACTGCTTTTTCGGCGGCATCCTTGTCGGTTTGATCGAGGTTGTGTGGTTTGATATGCTCTGACCTCTCCGGTTGTGCCTTGGTTGAACCTTTGCCGTGCTTGTCCGAATGTCCCAGGTCCTTTGAGGGGTCAAGGTGGTCGCGCAGGCGTTGCTTCAGTATTTTAGTCTCTAAGGTTGTGAAATGAAAAGACAAAGTCAGCCTCATGTTCGCCAACTAAGAACCATGACGGCAACTGAGGACGCTGTACATGTCGTACCTGGGAACCCCCCCTCCGCTTTCCTGTCCCAGAGTAACGCGTCCTTGATTTGTGCGGAGGGATTATCGACTCCCTTCTCAGGCTCCGTGGCGGCAGTTGCAGGGACATACGTCTGGCGATCTTCAGCCAAAGCCCGCCGAGATAGCGTTTTAGTGCTGCTTACGAGGTGTACCTGGAAGATGCCTCCCGTAGCCGGTTTGAGGGCGATTTCTCCGATGGTTGTTCCGAAAGTTGATAGCAGTTCCTGGGCAAACTACGAGGTACCCCTAGTGTCAGTACACATTATTCATACAGACGTTTAGATCCAGGAACAGCAAGGCTAGTGAGTCGAAGGAGTAAACGGAGAAGGTAATTACTCACGTACGCGGCCCGCAGCATCCACCGGCACTGCGTGCAATAGGTTATAACAACCCGCGGCAAAGATATCTGCGCGCTCTGAGACGCGCCGGATGATTCGTTGGAAGTCATTGTAATTTTTACGGTCGAATTTGAGGAGTTCGCGAGCCCGAGGAAGCGTAAAAGCTGGAAATCGTCAGGGACGTTTGACAACACCAAAGGCTTGCCCAGTGGGTTACGTCATACATCACCGTCTTCAACCTCAAGTTCCCACAGCGCACAGCAGCATCCACTACGCCATATCGCTTCATACAGTGGACTGCTCGATAGATACCATCAACAAGTAGTACTTTCATGGCGAAATCAAGTCTCGACGCACAAATGCTGCAGCGGCCGTGCCAATTGCTACCTAGGCGTGTCGTCCCAACAAATTGTCAGGACCTCCTTAGTGTGTGGTGATACCTTAACGGTTTTATCTCATGATTCGAGTTCTGTTTCGGCCAATCCGACCCCCCTACTCTATTTTCATCAAATGTTTTCGCGAGGGTCGATTGCGGTCAGCTTCCCCTTCGCCGCGGCGTCAAGCGTTTATCACAGGAAAGCCACTCATGATGAAGAATCACTGAGAATGCAGCGAGACTTCTAGTTCTAGGGCTACACAACCAGTTCTAATGCCGCAATTTTGTTATAGGAAGATGGTATATCGAAGGCTTAAGGAAATGAGATGCGCGGCCCTGAAGTGAAGACCCGGTGAAGGTCATTCATTTACCCGAGAGTCATCTGCCATGAAACCAGGCGGGACATTTCATTTCCTAGTCAACAGCCTTATAGCTTTCTTCAGCGCATCTTCCTCGTCCTAAAAAACCTACACCGTGAACACAGAACTACCAGTGGTCAATTTGTCCTCAAAAAACGACATCAACAACGGCATATAGGAGGTTGATGTCGTCTCCATGGTTCCAGCTCACGTCCGTCGCCCCATAAGGCAGCTTCGAGCAAACACCACCATTCCACCGGCTGTACGTCGCAATGTCGAACGAGTATCTCGGCCTCTTCGTAAGCTGATAGTCGCGCGAGATTGGGCAAGCTGAAAACTTTTTGCATGTGAACAGTCCTCTAGAAAGGCAACAAACCTTGTCGCGATCAGTTTCATCTTCCATAAACACCATCCGTAGTGGTTTGGACTATTGCTGGCCGTGGAAACGCACGCAGTGCGAGAAGGCGGCAACTCGTGCAAACGAGGCGCTAAAAGAGGCCCGGCAAGCGGCGGGAGATGCAGTCTCGGAGAACCAGCTGAAGATCACGCGGTTGGAGGCGCAGGTTGTAGATCTCACGGATGATAACACGGAGAAAGATATACGCATAGCAGAGTTGGAATATGTGAGTTTCTTCACTGTCATAACTACGCTACACATCTAACTGCAGGCAGGAGCTGATTGGTTTGCAAGAGAAGCACGATCGCGTGGAGGACAGATATTTGACGTTGAAGAGGCATATGGCGGATGAGGAGAGGAATCAGAAGATGGCCTTTAAATACTAGGAGCTCTGGGCTTGACTTTGCCGCTTTGTACAGCAGCAATTCCAACTTCACAGTTGATACAGGATAACTCATCTTCAACACACTTCCCCTGCACGGCGTGGAGGTCATGAGCGCCAACACCGACCGCCTTCACATCACTCCGGCATAGTTCCGCCTTTCTAGGGCTGTCGCTTGGATTATGAATCTCGTGTTACTTTGAAGCACTTCACACCGCATAAACATGTATTGCATCGCACCGCTCACGTTTCACACATCCGCCCAGTTGCTTGAAACGTAGATTTGTTGACGGCGATAAAGAAAGTGACCGCACCTGGCATGCAGCACCTTTCCTTCCGGTGACCATTCACGAGAAAGCTCAAGCAGTCTGGCACAGGATACCTACTTCAATTGACGATGAACCTGTTCCGTGACTGTGGCCGGACCAATAGGGTTCTGGTACACACACGTTGAACGGGACTCGTGAAATCCTGTGGGATGATGCTATACGCATTCACCAAGGTTCGTGCGCATGAATGTTCTTCTCCAACCCGTCGCCTTTCTTCTCCCAACAGACCCCACAGGCGGTCCAGGACAGGCGCCAGATTTCGCTTCGGAAACACCTTGGAATGTCCAGCAATTACTTACCGTGAGTCCTAAGAGGAGTTCCCGTACATATCTAAAACAAAAAGGCCAGACCTTCCAGTGAGGTACAGCGCGTCTCCAACATTGTCGGCGGCGGCCCGGAAAGGTGGAATACGGATAGAAGGAGCCCTTCGGCATACCACAAACGCTTGCACAAGCCTTGGAGTGGCCCGATAGGCCCGATATCTGTTGTCCACCCGGACTATGGATCCCATAGAAGACCTGGTTGACCGTTTGCTGCGGCACGCGGAGACAGTGCGCGCCTTCTCCTCCGACAAGGCAGCGCTCGAAGCGGCAGAGAAGGAACTCACGGAACAGAAAGAAGCTCTGAACAAGGACAAAAAAGCGCTTGCACAAGACCGAACATCATTCGCCGCCGAGCAGGAAGCATGGAAGGAAGACAAGGACTCCTTGGCCAAGGGTATGGTGGAGAAGGAACGGGAAACCCTCCGCAAGGACGAAGCACAACTCCGCCATGATCAGCAACTCTTAGAGGCGCAACGGCAACAGGTTGATCGGGACAAGAGGTCTCTCAAAGAGAAAGCCCTGACTGAAGAGAAAGCGGCTTTCGCGGCTGAGAAAAACAGCTTCTTTCGCACCCGGAGCGCGGAAGCGGAAGAGATCGTCAAGAAGAAGCTGGCTAAGCAGAAAGAGGCACTCAAGCAAGAAACAGATGCCTTCTATGAGGAGAAGCAGCGCTTCATTGACCGAAAGGCAGAGCAAGCGGCGGAGGCACACGTTAAGGAGAGGAGGGTGATAGAGAAGCGGGAGAAGGCTCTGGAGGAAGAGAGGGAGAAGTTTAGAAAGGGGCAAGCCAAAGAGGCGAAACAGATTCACTACAACGAATGGCAGGAGGTCAAATCCCAGAGGGTTGCCCTGGAGAAAGCCACGGCCGAGGTGGACAGGATGGCGAAGCAATACGGCGAGGTTTCCAATCTAGCTGAGAAAGAAGCCAAAGTAGCGGCAGATCTCAAAGAAGCCAGGGATATCAAGGCGGAGTACACCAAGCGGAACACGCAGCAAGCCATCAAACTCGCCAGCGTAGTAACAAAGCTACACGGCGGGAAGTACAAAAAGGAATCCTTGGAAGAGACGGTAGACATGCTCGCAGCCGAGGTAGATGTTTTGCTTGCCGACAAGTCCAAGTATGGAGCCGAGGTAAATGCCTTCCTCGCGGACAAATCCAAGCACGAGGCTGAAGTAGATGCCTTCCTCAATGACAGGTCCAAGTACGAGGCTGAGTTAGCTGCCCTCCTCGCCGACAAGTCCACGTTTAAGGCCGAAAAGAAGAACATCGCAGCGTCAGTTCAGCGAGTGGTTTCACAGAAGAAGGCCGATCTAAACAGAATCATCTATGGTTTCCTGCAACAGCTGCACGATGGAAAGGTGCCTGTCCAAGAAACCTCCTATGAGGCAAATTTCTCCGCTCTGGCAAGAGGAATACAAGATTTCCTGGAGAAGAATGCCCAGTTTGTAGCAGACAGGGATAATTTCTTGGAGGAGAAGAAGAAGTTCGACTTAGAAAAGCAGTCGGTCGAGCAGGCCAAAGCTTTCCTAGAGGCGGATAGGAAGTACGTCCTGGCGCAGAGCGCAGCTCTAAACAAAAAGAGGGAGGAGCTGGCAGTGGTAAGATCCAACCCTCTAGTATCTCACCCAAAAAGCAACGAAGGTGGTCCGTTGCATACCGCCCAAATACAACCGCTGCCGGTTAATTCAAAATTCGGCACTTCGAGAATACACATCAACACTAGTAGCGCTTCTCAGCCGCCTCCACAAACCGCTCCTCTTGCGCCATCTCGGTTCATTCGTAAGTTCAAAGACCTTCCATTCACGTCGATAGAGCTTTGTCGCTGATTCATTCTCGTAGCTCCAGTTCCCACGAATACCTCGGTGCCACCTTGTGCAACGGCCATAACCCAGGGTCCACCAGTGTCGTTCACAAGGCAGCCGCCGGGCAACAGCAACGACTTCTTCGAGCAAGGTAACAGTAATCCCCTCTTCAGGCGACCGCCCAGCAACAACTCTGCGCAGCCGCCCACATCTACCTCAGCCACCAAAGTCTCGGGAGCAAAGGATCCCTTCGGGAACCCTCATGCTTCAAACAACTTCCAAGCAAACCCAGATCTTTCATCGTCCACGTCCGTCGCATCGCAGATACCTGTTTTGTCATTGGATCAGCAGCTTTTATCACTAGGACGGCCTGGCAACCCGTCGACCTTCTTGCAAGCAGCGCAAACGCCTAGCACATTCAGGCCCTACACCGATTTCCTCCAGAAGTACGCGTCTCGTCAGGCTTTGGCAGCGGGGACATACAGCTCTGCTCCTCTTGCTGTACAGCAGACGGTCTCGGCAAGCGCCGGAATGTCTGAGGCAGATACCGAGGACGATGATGGGGACGATGGTGTGTTGTCAGAGTCGGAAGCGAGCTTCCACAGCTGCAGCTCGGATTAAGGAGCCAAGTAAATGGCGGGTTTGCTTGAAGCAATCGTAGGGGTTACGGTATACATTGGAGAGAATGTGCTGCATCGTGCTGTTTTTTTCGGCAAGCTCGCGCCCTGTGAGTGTTTGGCAGCAATGGATTGAGGCTCCTGAGACTGGTTATAGGCGTACGCGATGGTTTGGAAGAAGTAAACGATGTGCGCAGACTGATTACCCTGAGATTGCTGGAGATGTTCATAAGGTGGAGTTGAGATAGGGTTCAATGGAGAACTGTCACGTGACCATAGCTTTCTAGATGCGATTGGCCGCACCTTTAGATACTGGGAGTAAACTGTATTTTAGCACCATTATCGCATACAATTACGGCCTCACAGAGTCGCAAGGAGATGAGTATGGAGACTGGGTCAAGGAATAATATTTTCCTCGCAATGGTCGGAGAGCATTCCACGCCCGACAACAGCTGACATCCCTTCTTTCTGTTGCGAGACGGATACAGATTATGGATATTTACCTTCTACGTGTGCGCGGTTACAGCAGCTACTGTCTGAAGATCGATGGGAGACGCGGCAGAGGACGCCAGAGGGGCTCTACCGTAGAGCAATTGCATCAGTTGATGTGCCTCCGCTCCGCCTGCAAGAGGGAGCACAAGCTGATGCTGCGAAGAGCTCTGGACAACAGCCTAGGCAAATGGCATCACGGGCTGGATCTGCTACCGACTAGTGAAGTGAACAGATGAGGACAAGCAAGGTCAGGCTGCGAGGCGACTTAGCAGCTATTAAGAGGGCAGAGAAAAAGTAATACCTCTATAGGCAAGGGGTATAAGATATTCAGAGTTCTGGCAGGTTGACCAAGGGAGCCACCTTACCGTACCAGGAATGATAGACAGATCCGAAAAGGGCGCGCCCGACGGCATGACGCTACGGCGGCACCAACGGTTACGTAAGTCTCTCGAACTCGTTGCGGTCATTCTGGCTGCTTTTGGCCTCTCCTACTGACTAGATTGCGGCAGTGCAGTTCAACGGCTGATTATTGTGGAGCGGGAAATTGCTACTCCGGGGCTTGTATATGATGCGAAGGATGAAACCGCGGTGGAACTGTATTTCTATGCATAGTAGTCCCTACTACGCAGACACAATCTGTCAGGACCAGTCCAGGGATCTGTCCTATCGCTTCACTGTTTCACGACAAGCGCCATTGGAGAGACGATTGGGAGCACTCAATGGTGATCGGAATGTATTTGTTGGAAACCGCTCTGGACGAGAGGCCAGACTTCTCGCGGGATCTATTCCTTATGGACCCTACTCACAAAGCGTTGGCAGGAGCAGCTTTTCTCGCAATTCGGGACTCTTCAACCTCTCATAGCTAGTGCTGATTCCATTTCCATCAACTTCCCACATGCCATCCTGCACCAGCCTCTGCCAATGTCTCAAGATCGCCCCCAGCCTTGCTTGATGTCGAGGCAGATACGGACAGGGCCCATGCTGAAACTCTGGTCCCCACCGTCCAAAGAACTTTTCCGCAGGCGCCCATGTCATTCTTTGCTTTTCATCGGGATCCATAGGCCAGATTAACGCTGCGCTGTCCTGGTAGTCGCTGAAGAATCGCAGCAGACTGAGACCAAGGTGATGATCCGAGTGCAGCGGAAAGAGCATCAGCTCGACATCGTATTTGCCACTGTCTTCGAACCCCTCAAGGTCTTGACGAGTTTTGGGACCAATCTCAGTCATGAAATCCTCAGATGGGATGGTCAAACCTGGTGCCACGAATTCAAAGTCCGGCTTGCGGGCTTGACCGAGGAATGCGCCCACAAAGCCTTCAATACGATAGCAGTCCAAGGTTTCCTGTTTAATCAGCGGCTCGCTGGATGGCGATGCCCTGTGCCCAGGGATCTTGCTTGCAACCAGCTCGATATAGTTCTTCCATTCTTTCAGCGTCTCTTCAATCCGTAGCACAGCGTCGTCGGCGAACTTCCACCCCGTGGGCTCACACTCGTCGCCCTTCTCTTCCGGACTCACAATGTACTTCCCCTCCTCGATCAGGTCTACCCATCGTTGGAATGCGTGATCAAGTGGCACCCACACATTCTCGTCCTCCGGCGTTGGCATAAACATAGCCTCTGTGAAGGTGCACGTGTTCGTCTCCGCGTCGAAGAAAAGGCCAGGCTCAAGCTCGGAGACAGTATCATGGTGACTATACAACTTAATGGCCTTGCCGTAGTCGAAAGGATAGAACCCTTCGCATAGGTGCAGGAGCCGTCCAGGTTCCGGGAGCCCGCGAATGTGCGGTGTCAAAGATAATTGGCCCCAGTCGACAACGTTGATTCGCTCTAGAAATTCGAGTATGGGATCGCCTTCGAGGGACTCGCGGGTACGTTCTATGGATTCCGTGCTGCCGTTATGCGCGACCTCGTGCGCCGTCCAGTATTCGAAATAGTTCTGCTGCACGTGGATGTGCGAGTTTTCGGGCGCGGCGAGCGCAATGCTGAGGATGTGGTTATGGAGTGCGACACACCTGTCGACGTCCAGCTCAAGGGGCTCCACCCTCCCGGTGAAACTCATGGTGAATTGACAATGACCCAGCTCTTAGTATCCTCTTGTATCAAGAAGTTCAGGTGCAATGTTTGGTAAAGGTCTCGACAGCCAGCCCGAAGCCTGCTAGCTGGAGTCGCGGTTGATGCATCGGACATGGATCGATGCTTCCACCGCTCGTCCTTCCTGCGGCTCCAACCTCAATACGGACCTAGGGCGCTGGATCCTTGCTTGGGACATGCTATGGGATCCGTGGAGAGCGATAGAAAAGGGTCATCATGCTGTTACGCTCCGGTCGTGAAGCGTTGACGCCAATTGAAGGTCGGGCCGCGAGGCGACTTGGCAGCTATTAAGAGAGAAGAGAAAACCACTGCCTCTACAGGCAAGGGGTACAAGTTGATCAAGGGAGCCACCTTACCGTACCAGGAATGATAGACAGATCCGAACAGGGCGCGCCCTACGGCATGACGCTACGGCGGCGCCGGGTATAGCTGAAGAGACATGTAGCACAATAGCGAGCTGCGTTGAGAAAGACTCTTTCGGTAATCTACAACAAGGGCTGGCTGATAATGGCTTAAGGCGGGTTTTTGATCTCCACACGTCTTTTAGTACAGCCTCATTCATTCTACCCATACTCAATGTAGTCTAGCTCGAATAGATACTCCAGCCCTGGCGCCCTTTCGGGCAGCTGAATCTATGTATAGGGGATTTCAAAAAGTAAAACACCGTCACAGCAAGAATGGAACGGATGGAATGCTGTCGCCTCTGCTCTCCCACTCACGCGCCGGCCCACATTCTCTCCCTTCCTCCGTCTAACGCTCTACTTCTGCTATGCAGTCTTCGCTCTCCTTCACTTAGCCAAGAATATGCACCGCAACACAAGACCCGACTCCATGAATTCTGCTTCCGCTTGAAGGCGAGATGTATCCCCGCATCAACACCTCCGTGCCCCGCATCATGTCTCCACGCGGCCGTGGCTCCCCAATAATACCGCAATGGCTGCTCTCGCGTCCGGCAAGCCGCGGCTTGCTCAGCGGCTCACGCATCAAACTCTTCTTCCTCGCGTTACTCTGCATGGGCCTTGCCTACACCGCCGTGAACTTATGGAGCGTGGACAGCTCCATCGTCGACACCACCGCTGCAGATGATGGCTATGGCGAACACGCCAACAGCTTCCGGACCTCCGGTCACGAGACATCATACGTTGGAAGGCCCGCAGGCGCTGCATTGATCGAAACGACCGAGTTAAACAACGGAACGACGACGAACAAAACAACAGCATCCGGCGGTGGCCGGCCCAAGAAAGCAGGAGCCCACTCCACCTGGACCGACAAACTAACCGACAAGCTGCACGCCTGGACGTCCTGGCGCCACGGCGCCGGCAGCGAGAACTCCACCACTGTCTCCGACTCCACCTTCTTTGAGCACGTCACGTCATCCGACACAGGCCGCATCTCATACGAAGTGCTCGATCCCGGCGTCAAGAACATGGGCGAAGGCAGCGTGCAGCGCGTCGGAAAATGCACGATCCTCTTTGGCGCACGGAACCCGACATACGAGCGAGCTTTGCAGACGCACATGGCGCACAACGAGGCGCACGGCTACCCGCTGCACGTGCTACGCACCAGCATGCTAGACGATGTGTGGAGTAAGCCGGCGTACATCCTGCACCTGCTGCTCGCGGAGCTGGCCAAGCCGGCGGAACTAAGGCTGGAGTGGCTGCTGTGGGTGGACGCGGACACGATCATTTTAAACCCATTGATCCCGGTTGAGGTCTTCTTGCCGCCAATGGGCGAGTGGGACCACATACATATGCTTGTAACGAACGACTGGAACGGGCTCAATAACGGCGTGTTTCCCGTTCGTGTCTCTTCATGGAGTGTGACGCTGTTCAGCGCCATTGTTGCCTTCCGCTATTATCGCCCGGATGCGCGTTTGACGTTCCGCGACCAGTCGGCTATGGATCTGTTGATCCAGGACGAAGGATTTAAAGAGGGCGTGGTGTACGCGCCACAGCGCTGGTTCAACGGCTACCAGGGCGAGCACAACGAGACGCTCGCCCCACATCAGGTTCGGCGTGGTGATCTCTTAGTCCATTTTGCCGGCGTCGGGAATAGAGAAGAACGTATGCGGTATTGGCTCGAGAGGGCCGAAACACACGATCCCTCCTGGGAGGTCGATGTCAAGCATACCACGTATCCGATGGAAGTTAAGGACTTTTGGGCTGGCGAGCGTGCTCGGCAAGCGGATCGGAACCGGGAGATCCAGACCGTGAGGGCCGAACTCGAGGAGCTGATCCAGAAAACTGAGAGCAGGTTGATTGAGTTCCGGCCGAAGTTGGACTCAAAGGTCGCGGAAGACGTCAAGGTCAAAATAGAAGCCGCGATAGAAGTGATGGATGATCCAAAAAATAAGATGAAACCTGGCAAGTTCAGGCAGACGCTAGAAAGGTTGCGGAATGTAGGTGCTGAGATTTCCTCCACGGTTGAGCCAGGCAGCCTCGACTACCTGCTTGGGCTCTGTCTCAGGTGGAGGAGCGTGTGCTGACGACACATGTACTTAGGATGTTAGACCAATCGACGAGAAGATCAAAGAGGCGAACAAAGATCTCGTCAAGCAGGCTCACGACGTCATATTTGAGGTGGAAGTGACGACGCTGGATGAGGAACTCCGCCAATTGAATGTGGCTGCGGAGCTCGCCGACGTCGAGTCAAGGATTGCCAGATTGAAAGAAGAGACGTACCGGGAGCAGCCAAACGAGTCTGTATTGAAAGATCTCATGGACCAAGTAAAGTCGACACACCGGGTCTTGAAGAGCAAGGCCAAGGCGGAGTACGAGAAGAAGGAAGCCAAGAAGAAAGAGGAAGAAGAGAAAAACAAGGAAACGCAGGCAAGGTGAATTATCGTGGCGTAGCTGGAGCAGGTTTCTTTTAATGTGTTATAGTGCATGCTGTTGGTTTATGATTCGATATAGGACGTAGAGTAGCCGCGAATCTACAACCATCTGCCCACTATAAAGGCCATAGCTGACCCAACTGCTGTCACTAGTTTCTAAGTTGCAAGCGAAGAGATTGCTACAGTGGTGCGAGACTGTTTTATGTGAAGAGCCCATCCGTGGCTTGAATGCAAGAGGGCTGATAGAACTCAGAGTTCAACAGTTTGATGCGCAGCGTTTCAGTCCAACGAAGCGGGTTTCCCATAAGGGCGCAGCACGTGACCAGACTTTCTACTCTACCTTACTCAACACTGCTAGGTTCCAGGAACGCGCCGTATGATGGAATGGTCGACAACGGTCCACGGAAAAACGGCCACCTGGCTCTCCTTCGTGGAGGCTTATCACACTTTTGCCGGAGCCGGTCATGCAAGAGCCATTCCAGCAACGGGCGCTTCTGCGGAGGGCTGCAAGCTTGGAATGACCTGAAACACGCTTGACAGGAAAGAGTGGGATCGATGATGAGACCGGATTCAGACGATTGCGCGGACATGATACCGCGCATTCGCTGGTGGACATCTTGCAGGTGGTCGTTGAGTGTCAAGGAAAATATCCCTGGTATGCTCGGAGTCCGAGCGGGGAGTTTGCCGGAGCCCGCAACACCACGGCACGGGCGGTATCTGGCACCCGCGCTGGGTGTTTGATGGGTGGTGTCATGGCTAGATACACTGTATTGCTGATTGAGATATCTGCCAGAAGGTTCAAGGCCGTTCAACAGACACTGGAGATGGAGAGAGAGAAGAGCATTGCCGTCCTTGGACGTGGTGACGTTCAGTCTCGGGACGCGCAATCCTGGCTCGAGATTTTCCGGGCGGGTGTTCCCGCTGCAGAGCTTACAGGCGGATTCTTCTCCCAGATCGAACACCCATGTGTTCTTCACGCGATCGTGCGATGATGTTGTTTCACAGAGTTTGGAGATGCTTTTGGGGACCATTCTCTGCAGTGCTACCTGCTTTCCAGCACTCCGTTCTCTAGCGGCGCCAAACACTGAAGAGTGTGTGCTACGTGCAGAGCGTCATGGCGAAAAGCCGCAAGCTGCGTCGCGCAGGGCCGTGAAGCCTACCATACCCTCAATCACAATCTACATCCGCGCCAGTAAGAGTGGAGAATGTCGAAATGTGGGCTGTCGCCAGTAGGGACGACGGTTCTTTATGAGCGTCCGCTCAGAAACCCTGATGGCCGGAGTCCCGAGGTAAAAAAGTCTGAAGAGATGCGAAAGCGGAGGTGGCGTGCTGGTCACGTTTCTTGATGGCTTTCGTGTTCCATAGTGACACAGACGACGCACATCGACATGGGCGCATCTCTGACATGTTGGCTTGTAGAAGGTTGTTGAACGAATCAATTGCGCAACACGACTCTGCATGTGTTTGAAAGCGTCAGAAAACACTTCTGTGGAGACTTCTGCGCCTGAGCGACAGGACCAGCACCAAGCAAGGATGATCTCCGCCGTCGATCCGCCACTGACAGCTTAGCACGAGTCTAATTGAGCTAATCGAGACGCTTATTTCTCCTCGATCCTGGGCGCGACCGTGCAGGCGCATCGAGGCCAAGCGCCTCTTCCTATCAAGGCATCACGAACGCCATGCAGTTCAGCTGAAAGCCGGCTGGTCGCTACGGCGTTCCGGGTCAAGCGTGAGCCAATCTGCCAGCTCCGAAGCATCAGCGAAGCTCTTGCCAGCACCTGCAGGATAGAAGCATTTCGTGGATTGCGTATCCAAGGGGGTGGTTACAGCATCAAGCTTCATCACGGTACATCTCGAGATCACCACGGCCGGCAAAGCTTGCAAGCCGAAAAGCAGAACACGTCAAGGTGCTCCGATGGTCCTACAAGATTTATGTCCGGATGTCCCGCCGGCTACCCAGGGTCCGGGTTCAGGTCCAGGCACCCCTAGCTTTCCCTACCAGAAGAGCCTGGATCGTCGTAGTTTAATGGGAGACAGCAGGCCAGGCGCAGCATCTTTGTGCTAGGACTCCCGCGATTTGTGTTCGTGCTCTACCCGAACCAAGTTGATCTGCAGCATGGCGTCCGTATTACTACTCGGAGCCTCAGACAGGCTTGATAAATCTGACAGCTCTTCTTCCCTGCGACTTGTACAACAGTACAGCTGGGCTTTTGGCGACACAATAACCAGCATAGGCGAGCATCAACACGCAGTTACAGCCACAGCTCGCTCGGAACCCCAAGACGCAGCCAACAATCAGCACCAAGAGCAGGATTGTGGAGGTCAGGAAGCGGGGAGGAACCGGGCCATCGAAATTCTTCTAAAGCTCGAAGGAAAGCTACCGGATATACCGGAAACGACCACAGCTTCTCCTAGCTCTCTCGCCGCAGCACCCTCTGTGGTACCAAACTTCTCTCGAACATTCAAGACTCAATCGCTGCCAGCACGCAAAATGCAAAACCGAGCATCGATCAGAGTAGCAGCTGCGATGAGGAATCCTAATAAGTCCTTTCCGGTCAAACGATGGGATGGCGCAAACAAGACGTCTAGCGATTGGGATGGCCTCAGGAGGGTGAGCATACTCAGCCACAGAGCATCTACATCAGCTAACCGGAGTTAACATTGCAGGATTCTGAACTCTGGTTCGATGACGGTGACTGCCTCGTGCATCTGTACGCGAAAGGCAATTCGCGACGGGGGCCCTCGATACGCGTTCCCTTCGCCGCAATCCAGGAGGCACGATCCGGTGCGATTTTTGACATCTGCTTCGCACAGTTGACTCCGCAAGCGCAGTCAGATTATTACGGCTTTGGGGTCCATGATGAGGCCGAAGTTGCGCGAACAGCAGGAAAGTACGAGCTTTATATCCCCGCGCCCGAAGATGCTAAGAAAGAGGATGCTTTCCTATGGCATATCACTACGCGGAATTATTTTGCTTTCCTGGCCGGCAAGCCCCTGGTAGGCTCTCACTTGGGAAGGTCCCTAGTCGATTTGCAAGAAAGATTACACCTGTTCCGGAATGGCGACGCGGACAATCACAAGGACCTCATGGCATACATGGAGGACATGGGGTACCTGAACTTTGTCCATTGTCCGGACCATGCGTTGGCTGTACTTTTCTACGCCGAGCATTACCAATTGCGCGATCTATGGATAGACGCGTTCGCCCACTGCGTCGGAATGAATGATTTATTGTGTTTGAGCACCGAACTCGAGGTAAGTGCCCGCTCCACAGCAATTAAAGTTGGGCTTGAAACTCACGTCTGGCAGCCTATCTGCAGAGTCACCAAGGCGCTCATTACCCGCGCATATCTTGAAATGGACCTCCACGTCGGTCGCGTCGAAAGAGCACTCAGTACCTTCCTCGAAGACGATCTGTCCGCGAGTCGTCTTGGCGTAAGTCAGGGAGCACGGAATCATCTTGAGCGATTCCGCTCATTCCTGCACTCATTTTACGTCGAGAAGTTTAGCTACTGGCCTCCCCCGGAGGGGTCATCGTTCTCAAAGCCTCTATACCGCTCGATGTATTTCGACTTCCGCAGTCTGTACGACTTCCTCGTCGACATGGAATCGTCCGACGCGCTCATACACCAGAAGCCCGCAAACGGCGGCATCTGCGTGCTGCAGAACATCCAGGCATTTGACAGGCGTCACAAATACGAACCGCTGCCCCATCCATTACCACTTATACCCGAAATCCCTCTCGAAGGTCGCAGCAGACAGTCGCAACGATCGTTGATCGCTTTCAGACTTGAGTCGAAGAACGCCAAGAATGAACGACAAACGACGGTACGAGCCATACTTTCAGCGGCCACGAATACTAGAAATACATCCATCTTCAAAAGCCCTCTCGTACGCGCCTACGCCCGCTTCGAGAGAGAGTGGTCCGTGAAGCAAGAAGAGAAGGTTTCCATTGCGGACGCCAGAAGAGTGCGTTGGATCATGATTTACGCCATCCTCCAAATGCTCGTCTCGGTCATGCGCGCGCCGAAAGAAGTGCGCAACTCGGAGGAACCTTCCTACCTGCTTTGCTGTCTGACAGCTGGGTGCCCGCCTTGGAAGGCACGTGACATGTCCAAAGTACTCAGCCCTGCTCTGGAGGATGCGACGCCCAGGGTCAGTAAATTTTTGTGGCTTATTGTGGTTATATTGAAGCTAACTTCCTGTGCAGGCTGTGCAAGTACCGACAGTTCGCGTTGATGCCATGCCTTCGATAACAGACAAGCCGCTACCGGCAACGCCTTCTCCTCGCATTTCCATCCATCCCGACTGCGAGGTCGACTACTTCAGCGGATTACACGGAGAGCCACCTCTACGACCTCTATCCATCGACATCCCTGCTCCTCTTCGCATCACTCCCAGTGGTTCTACCCCGGCGTCAATCAAACGTAATGACTCTATGAGCGCAATCAAGACCCTCTCGTCTGCCTTCTCTTCTCGCCGCAGCAGCGTTGTTGTAAAGCCTGCGCCGTCGCCCTTTCATGAGATCATGATTCACGGTTACGGCAATGGCACACACCCTGTTGTTGTCGACCCTCCTTCGGCTACCAGCCAAGTGCTTGGTTCACCATTCCAACGGCCCGGATTCAGCTCACGGCCATGGACCTCCGGAGCTGAAGAGGGCATTGAGGAGCCTCTCGCTCTCCACCGGCTCCGTAGCCAAGACTCCGCCCAAAGCGCACCGAACAGTCGGCCATCGAACCTGCGGATCAGCACCGCACCAGCGCTTGAAACCCTCTCTCGGTCACCGATCCTGGAAGCATTCCAGCTCGACCACATCCACGAGTCAACCACACCGGCCCTCACGGACTCGCCCGTCAGCGCCAGCATCAACGACCACTATAGCTACTCCAGTGCGCCGCTTACCCCGATCTGGTCGAGCGGTTCGGAAGATGGGTGCAGCCTAGCGACCGGAACGACAGCGTCGACTAGCAAGCGAAATAGTGTGTCGTCGAGCCACTACGGCACGGCGCCTCCAACTCCCGTCATTGCTTCTAGGGAAGCACTCCCAAGGTCCTGGACGTCGGCGCTTGTCAACGACGAGCAGCTCCGTCGCAAGGAGAGCGAAGAGCTCTTCACGAGCTACAAACACCTAGTCGTCATCCGCAAATCGGTATCTCTTGAGTCGCTGCGTCTTGGTCGCGAGGATGCGAGCAACGCCGAGGTTGACATCTTCTCCGCGCTCTCGCTTCTTCCTGAGAAAGAGTTCCCAGCCTTCATGCCGGCGCATGCTCGGCACTCCGCTGTAGATCTCAGCGCAGCACGAGCGCCGGCTTTGGATATGAGTCTGCTGCAGGACGAGAACCGGTCGATCATGTTGAAGGTGGGCGATGTGGTTCGGGATGTGAGTCAGGTCACGCTGCCGATCTCGAGGATGATGGGGAGGGAGGCCAGGCAGAAGAGGAGAATTACTATGCGCTGAAGACTGGTTTCGAATGATCCCAGGGTGATCACTGTTTCCTTTGTCTGTACGCAAGGAGTCACAATCTGGAAAAGTTTGGATTCAGTCGTTACCGGCGGCTTCAACTTTCAGCGTAGGAGTTATGGCTCAGCATCGGATACCCTTGCAGTTACTCAATCTATTTCTTTTGTTGATGTTTGAATGGTTTGCGCACGAAGTCTCAGTGATACGGCTGTTATCGTGGTTGACAAACCTATCTATCATATCTTCGGATGTTCAAGAGATACGTCTTCAATCCATGTTATGGCATACTTGACACCAGATGTCCGCAACAAATGCATAACAACCCCGCTCATGACCGTTTTCCTTTCTCTCCCTCTTTCTGGCCTCTACACACTCTCACCACAATCTCAATTGCCTGACCTCGCCACTCAGCGCACAGCCCATGCATCACCTCGGCTGCGACACAAAGACCACAGCACCGAGCTCGCCTCCATTCTGGCACTTTCTAGCGCGCCTTCTAGAATAGTGGTACGCCATTGCGATCGTCTTTTCTAGCGTCCATGCAGCGCAGCCACGACCCACCGATCTCGAGCCGAGGGCCGGAGGCGCCGCCGACGATATGATCTAGGCTCTCGATATACGAACCAGGGTTCTGGAACGGATCTGAAGGCTGATCGATGGTTGACCTGCAGACGTGGATTACGTACAGGGCTGGTACCTGAATCGCTGTCTGGCTGTTCTAGAATCTTGGAAGATCTTTAGCACACATCGTTTACTCGGGTATGATTGCGAAGATCGGCTTTTGTCAAAGCAGATCCTTTTGGTCGCGATCGCAGGGCTGATGGCAGGGTTCCTTTTTTCCAGCTTAGGCACACTGAGGAAAGAAGATCTACGACAAAACTGAGGATTACGACATCTACAGGGCTGGTACCTGGACGTGCAGGGTCTGGATGATGCCGGTCATTCCGCCGATTGCGACGCGATGAGATGCATATTCCAGCCGCATCGAGGTAGTTGCTGTGGCGGGCTAAGTCGAGTCGCTTGTGTTGGTGGCGAGTTTGCAAGAAAGCTCGGTTGGGGAAGATTTAGGTTCTCGTCGCACTAATGGGAGATGATGTCAACAGATGTCTAAATTCATGTCGAAGCAGAATCTAGTCGGCTATGGTGCTCCTTCAAAACATCGACTGCTCTATACTTCCTGCTTGCAAATGCTCATATCCATCGATCCTCTGCATCTCGAATCTTAAATCAGAAGACCAAAGCTAAGTAGCGGTGCCATGCTACGCTCATACCCATCTTGACCCCGCCCCAGAACGCCATCGCCATGCTCACACGCTCGTAAAGGTTTCCTGATTCTTACAAAGAACCGTATCACGTGCCGGTCTAACCTCGACTCATCCTTAACCTGCTTCCGCCAGCCATCCCCTCCTCGTAGCCTTCCATGCCCCCATGCATCTGCGGAGCTCCAGCGTTGGTGTTCTTCGGAGCCCTGAGCTCTAGCCCCGCGTTTAGCATGTTGAGTCTAAGCAGACGAAGACGCAGGTTGTGTTCGTACGACGCGGCCATCTTCAGCGCTGAGTCGTGAACATCTTGGCGGGGATGTGAGGGAGGCGAGAGAAGGAGCTACGGAGTGGTCAGCGTTTAAAAGGTCTGTAGGACTGATGTACACCGGAAATGTGCAGCACCTACCCGGTTAACGAGATCTATACGCGCATTAAGCGTGCCGTTCTGTATCATGTCGACCAGCTCCTCCTCGATCGGGACACCCGAGCCGCTAGAAAACGCCTTCCCCATCTCCTCAAGCGTAACGCACGCGAATGGGATGAAGTACTGCACGATGCTCTTCCGCCTGACCGCGCCATAGATCGGGGCCACATGGCCCTGCAGGTACACATCCAGAAGGTAGTCCGTCCTGTAGCTCTCCAGAGTCTCTAGACACGCCGAGTACTTCGAGCTGCAGAACAGCGAGACTGCGCGCCGGATGTGCGGTTCCAGCTCCAGAAAGTTGCGGAATGACGACGAGCCCAGCACCTGATTCTGTAGCTCCGCCCGGTCCATAGACGCGAGCGCACAGAGGCCGCCGTAGACGGCGATGTCGTTGCCCGTGAGCAAGGCGCGCTGCCACGTCACCCCAGCCGCCGGCCCACCCGTCATGAACTCCGGCTTCGTCTGTAGGAACGCTGTGGCAGCCTCACGGTAGTGGCCGGTAGCCATGTATGCGAGACCCAGGCACGCGGAGAGTATAGGGTCGATCTTAGCCTTGTCTTCGGCCTTGAGGCTCTGCGACTGGATCTTGAGAACGTGGGTTTGCACGGTAGTCCACGCGCGCTGGTGGATGGAGCACAGGATGAGCTTGAGCGACATGTCGGCGATGTGCTTAGGGGATGTGCAGTAGTCGCGCATCTTGTAGTAGGCTTTGTAGGCAGCATTAAAGTCGCCGATGCTCTGGTAATGCGCGCCGAGGTCTTCGTTGCCCATCTGGTTGATTGGGAGTTGCGCGTCAGCGAAAGCTTCCATACAGGGAAACGAGTTGCTTCAGAAGCTCTCACTTACTCGTATGCTCTCCTTAATGAGGTTGTTCTTGTACTGCTTCAGCTCATGCTCCAGCCGATCCGTCTCGGCCTTGATCTGCTTCATCCTCTGCTCCACCCATCCCAGGTCCGGCATGCTTAGAGGGTCCTCCGGCACTATCTGTTGTAGGCATCCTACGATCGACATGTAGATATCTGTGTCCTTGCCCTGCTTGGCCTCGGCGATGGCGGCGTGGAAGGCATCAATGGAGAGGTAGGTAGAGGTACAGCCTATAGTGATCAGGCGGTCTAGTCGTGTTCGATCTGTCCGGGAGATGAGTACGGATCCGAAGGTTCCATCGCGCATCCTCGCCTTCTGAGGCCAGGCGTACCTTCATAGTTCGAAATGTAGGATTCGAGGTCGAATTTGGGAGCATCTGCGCAATGTCAGCGGACGGCGCATAAACATAGGGGACTTGGAGCGCACCTCTCACTATCAAAGCTCCAGCATTCTTCCTCCGCTGAAAATACACGGACTGTTCAATATTGTTTGCCATGGTGTCTGTTTGTTTGAAGCCGGTGTCGCTGTCGATGGTGGGTAGTGGGGAGCTATGGATTCGGTGTGTCAAGCAGATGAGATAAGATAAGATGCTCAGACACGTTGTCACGTGCGCGTTAGCCAAACGATGGGTGTGTTGCAAGATCTGGCTCGGCTCGGCTCGACTCAGTACATCAAAGATATCAGAGCATTTATTGCGTGACAGTACTTGTAGTCTAACAGAAACTTTGTGTATGCTGCGGTGTACTCTAGCGGGTACCGGTTACCAGTACCAAAGTGCTCGACGTGTCCATCCTTCATCAAACCCGCCTTTCCAAAGCCTCAAATGCGGTGACAAACTCCCAAACGCTGTCCTCAAACGCCACCTCCAACAAACCAAGCCGAGTACAAGCACGTTTATTGCTCGTCCTTCTCCTGACTTGGAGCCTGTATCTTCTGCATCTGCTCAATGTCCTCCATCGTCTCGTTAAACGCATTCCTCACCGCGCCCGCCACCAGGTTCCTGTTCCACTCCCCCTTCATCTTCCACACCGCATCCATTAGCGCCGCGTTGACCTGCTCTAGCTGCTCGACGCTCAGTCCCGAGCTACGCTGCACCAGCTGTTTATGCAGTATCGTCATCGTCGTCTCGTCGACCAAAAGTGGTGGCCGCTCCGGGTTCAAGATGCTCTGTATTGCCGACGGGCCTGACGACGCCTGGTGCTTAGCCGGATGCGGCGGGGCCGGAACAGGGAACGGCTGCGAGGATTGGGAGGGCTGCGAGTTCGACTGCGAGGATTGGTACACCATTTCTACAACTGAGTCAGATATGGTTGAGCCAAACGAGGACGCGATACCATGTGCGGAGGTACCCTTGGATGACGACGTACCCTGCGTGTCCGGCAGCTCTGAAGCCCCGCCAGACACCTGCTGCATGGCTGTAAAGTCGGGATGGTGGCCGGTGCCGGCACCGTTGGTGCTCTGGGTGTTGTAGTTGTACGGTCCTGAGGAACGGTTCGATTTGTCCGAGGTCTTCTGGCCGGATGTGGTTGTGGATGCACTGTTCCGGTAGTCGCCTGGGTGTGAGCCGGGTGCGAGCTGGGTGTGGAAGTATTGCTGTGATCGCTGCGTAGCCTGCGTGTTGGGCGCACTGGGAGTAGCCATGATTTGGACTGGGACTCGAACGTGTGGGACCGATCCCACTTCTTGACTATCGGTCATGTGTACATCTTCGTATATACGCGAGGGGACTGTGGAGCCGTTGCTCTGGTGCGTGTGGTGGCCACCCCCAACACTATTCGAGTATCCGTTGGACAGTGGACTGGGTCCGATAAGCCGACGAGGCGTTACCGGCGGCAAAGTCTGGTGTCCAGGTACGGGTACACCGAGCACAATTGGTCCTGAGGTCTCTGTAGTCGTGCCAGATACTTGAGGCGGGACGTTTGTGGCTATCAAAGGAACATCATGCCCTTCTGCTGCCTGTTTAGCTGCCTTTTCAACAGCTTGCCTTTCACGTTCCTTCTCTCGGAGGTAAACAGCTTCACAGTCTGCAGCGAGCTGAGGATTGCCCTCCTTTAGGTGCACCATGTCGACCTCAACGTTGTTGACCAACTCGTTTGCGTTGAGCGTCCGAGCTTCATCGCCGCTTGTGGCAGCATCTTTTGCTAGGCGTCTAACGTCGAAGAGAAAGTCTGCGTGTCGCTTGTAGTACCCGTTGGATAGCCGCTTCTCTATAGTGTTGATGTCAAGGTTATAGTAGAACTTGCCCGTCGCTGTCTCAAGCAATCCAGGTACGCCTTTTGGATCTGTTGCCATCTCGAACGGACGATGCAACTGCTGCTCCTGGCGTTGTTCCTCATCAAGATCCGTGGTGAGCTTTTGTGGGTCTTGCTCGTCGAAGAGATATCGAATACGGCTTTCATCGATGATTGGATGTCGGAAGCGTTTGTACTTCTTGAGCTGCTCCATGACGGGTGCAAGGTTAATCTTCAACAGATTGAGCGTGTATCTATCACGCTGCTTCTGAGCTTTGATGTCTTCTTTGGAAGGCGGCACCGGCTCTGGCTCCGGCGCCTGCTCCAGTTCAGGCAGTTTGCGCTTCTTGCGGTTATCGAGGTCTGGAAATGCAGTGGGCGCTGCGCGGATGTACTTGATCAAGCTTTCAAAATATTCCCTGCGAGCAGGCTATGAGGCGCATCAGCATCAAACAATTACATGATCAGTAGTGTGAACTGACCTCTGTAGGCCGCTTCAGAGCGAACACATTTTTGACTGAGAAACCAAAAAGGTCTCGAAGCATGTCCGGGTCTAGCTTCTCGTCTTCTTTTGCAGTATCCAAGATGCCAAGAACCAACACGGGATCATTGGGAGGCAGCGCGCGCAGCATGGATGTGAAGGTCTTGATGACAGATGGCGCGACCGTCTGGTACCAAACGTCGACGTTCGGGATGTAGACAACACTAGGCTTGTGACGACGAACTTCTTTGAAGAGCTGAACGACGGCTGCCTCTGCCGATCGGGCAGAGTCCTCGAGTAAGGTAGGCAAGTCGAACGACTGAACATGGAGTCCTTCGAACCTGTTCAGCAAAGCTGCACCGATATACTGCTGGCCCATGCCTTGCAAGCCGCGGATGAGGAGCCGAGGTCGAAAGATTCGGGCGGTTTCGAAGTCACGTTGCATAGTCTCGCGTTCGAAACCTCTGTCATCGTCCCGGTCGTCATACTGAGCTTCCTCCAATGCGGTAAGCTTTTTCTTCTGCGGAATGACTTCGTCGAGTATCGCTGCGAGCTTTTGTAGGGACGTGCGTAACAGTGGCTCGATGCTCTTCGTCAAAGGTGCCGATGTTGACGAGCCCGATCGTTCGGACGACGGAATCATCTTATTGACAGATATCATGAAGTCCTTGGCCAGTACCGTAATCTTGCTAGGATCTATAACAAGCTTCTTCTCCGAAGTGTAGATCTGTGGGTAGGTGCCTTGGACAGCATTGAGAGCCGCCTCTGTGCAGAGAGCACGTAGATCTGCACCACCGTAGCCCTTGGTCAATGCCGCCAGTTGGTCTTTAAACTCAGGCTTCAAAGGAGGTTCCCAGCCCTTCGTATGGATGTCGATGATAGCGCGCCGTGCCTTTTCACTGGGAAGAGGAAAGTAGAACTCGCGATCGAATCGGCCAGGTCGTCGTAACGCAGGGTCGACAGAGTCAGGCCGATTGGTTGCACCTATCACAATGACTTGACCTCGACCATCCATGCCATCCATCAGTGCCAACAAAGTAGCGACTATGGATGCATGGATCTGTTCTTGCTTGCTCGAACGTACGGGTGCAAGTCCTGCAAGCCAACATCAGCAACTCATAAGACACAGCTCGAAGGCCCTAAGCTTACCGTCGATCTCATCGAAGAATATGATGCTGGGCTGGTTCTTCCGCGCCTCTTCGAACAACAGTCTGAGCTGCCGCTCGGCCTCACCAACCCACTTGCTCAGTGCATCTGCACCCTTCCGCATGTAAAATGTGACTTTTTTGCCTCCGGAGCTCACGCTGGATGCCAAAGCACGAGCAAGCAACGTCTTACCAGTACCAGGCGGACCATGAAACAGAACACCTCGAGGTGGGGTAACGTGGAAGCGGTGGAAAACCTCTGGATAGAGAAGCGGCAACAGCACCATTTCCTTCAGCTGGTTGATGTGGTCCTCTAGTCCACCAACCCCTTCAAAGTCCACATTCTGATCGACCCCAAGTGGGTCAGCGTCCGCAAGTGCCTTCTTATCCTTGACTTTGCCTAGTACGCCGGAAGTCGTGCCGCCTGCTTGCAGTGGGTCTGCATTGTGTGTTTGGGGTAGTAGTGGCCTCACAGCGGATGTCGGTGTCATGCCCACGGTGCCGCCGTATCCCTGAGGCATCCGCTGTTGCATGTCATCGTCGCTGCTGTCTGAGTCGGCTCCCCCGGCGGCAGCCACACCCCCTGGGCCACCAAAGAGAGGCGGAGGCCCGCCTGCTCCCCCAAAAGGTCCTTGAATCGAAAAGAGGCTTCGGTAACCGCCGCCACCACCTCTCTTACGTTGCGAGGGTTCCACTGGACCGGCTTCGTCCTCATCGAGAGTTTGCACCAGTTCAGGACGGTAGACTCGGTAATCCGGCTTGTTGCTGCGGCTGCGGAGGGTTGGCTTGTCGTCGTACTTGATTCCGGTTTCTCTATGGTTGGAGCGTCGTGTCCGTCTTCGCTTTGCGCGGTCATCCGCCAGCTCCTCGGCCTCTTCAGCTAACTCGTCACGGTCAATCTCGCTGTCAAGGTCGTCCGAAGCCGGACTTTGTCGACTTCGTTGGGAACCTCGGGTCCGGCCTGCGGCACGACGAAGCCTTCTACCACCTATGCTTTCACTCGTGTCAGTTTTGTTGCCTTTCTTCTGTGGTGACCCGTTGGAACCATCTGAACCTGACATGTTCTCATCTTCCTTCTCTTCTTCGTCATTAGGCGGCTCGAAGTCGCTATGGTCTTCGCCACTACCTTTACGTTTCTGAGAGGTTTGTACTGCTTGATTCTGGCTCCGTTGAGCACGAGACTGCAGTATTGTTAGCGGTTGTTGAAGTTTCAGCCGAGATGACCGAGTTATCGGCGGAGGGTATGTAGGTACCCTTGTAGTTCTTCCAATCGGGCCTTCGTCAGAGTCTTCTTCGTGCACCGACTCTTGCACTACAGCTTCGCTCATCTTGATGTCATCTTCCTCTTCTACTTCGCCAGGTGCGTCAATTTGAGTATCTGAGCCCGCGGCTGCTTCATCATCACTGCCCTCCACTTGCGGTTCGGCAATGGGACTGTGTGCAGCTTCAGGGCTTTCCGGCTGCTCCATGACGATCTCTCCAGCTGGGAATGATGCCTCCTGTGACGCCTCCATGATTGCGCTTGGAGGCTTCTTCAATCCCTTGCTGCCTCGCGTCGGCCGTCTCGGTGGTGGCTGAGGTTCCGGACTGCGCGTACCAGGCCGAACAATATTGGCATGCTTGCCAGACTCCGTCAGAGCCAGCATGGGCTCAGTCTCGTCGTGCGATATCCGACTGCTCCGCCTTGTTGCCATGAGGTCCGGGGTAAACCCCTGTCGTGTACTTCTGCTGCCACGGCGCGGCCGCATATTGCGTGCTGGGCTCGGGGGGATCCTCAGTTTGACGATCAATGACTTCCGTTGCGGTTTGCGCTTCGGTGTTCTTGAAACTGTGGCCCGGTCGTCTCCAGTATCCTCGATGTCGTCCTCGCTTTTTTCCTCGTACTTTATCTGCTTCTTGGTTGCACTTCGCACGCTCCTGCCTGTGCGTGGATTGACTTCGAGAGGTTCTTCGGACTTTTCACTACCTGACGCGAATGATTCTGCGCTTATTTCATCATCATCGTCCTCTACCTCCTCATCGGTGTCACCGTAGACGCGGCGCTGTCGCTTTTTTGGCTTCCGTCCCTGAGGCTTGATGTGTTTTGATCGTTTCGGAGGTCCTGGCGAGGATGCTCCGTAGTCAAGGTCGTCGGAGTCTGACTTGTTAGGGTCAAAGTCGTCAAGCCGCCGTTTTGTTCGGGTTGACATCGGGGTTGGGCAAGGCACGAGCGTGCTTGGTGGTGAAGGTCGACTATCGCTCTGGGTGTCAGCGATGCTCGCTCTGTACGAGCCGGGGTATGTCGAAAGGTGCAGCGCATTTCAGAAGGATTACACACGTAGAAACAGCAGAGAGTTATTCGACAATCAAGAGTTGTCGACGAGAATTCGACGTTATCATAACCGCAGCAGGCTCACTCGGCGGCGCTTGATGGGCACTCTCGCGCAACACGATGGAGCGCTCTGCACCGGGCTTGGAGCGGGTTGCTAGGCGGACGCGCTGACGATCCACCGGAACAGAACCAATCAAGAACACGAATACTGATGTACACCGGAGCGAAGAGATGGACTTTGCGACCGAAGAAAAGCAGTGTGAAGTGCTGCCTAGCGGGTGAGCGACTTGGGCGGGAGTCGAGGGTGAGGGTGAGGATGAGTGGGTTGCTTGGGGTTCAGTGTTGCTGTGCACGGATCACCGCCGCTAAGTCACCCGCTAACTTTTGCATCCAGATTTCAGGATCAGTTGCGCGTCTCCAAACTGCTATTGTACAGCCCAGCACAACACGCCCCTCAAGGATGGAATTCCACCGAAAAGCTCCTGAATGATTGCGGATATCCACCGAAGCAGATTGCGACTCTTTTCGGCGCAAAATTTCACCTGTTACAGCAGATATTAAGATGCTACGAAGGCATCAAAGAACATCTCTTCCATCATCCTGCCATCCCAGCTGCTGCCCGGCAGACCGTCACGCCTTGCGGCTCCTAAAAGCTTAACCTCCGGGCCGCATGTGTTGCCGCCGCTGGAACACATCACGTGGTTCTCCGCACCGTGCCTGACAGGCAACCAGGGTTCGCTGATCTTCCATTCTCTTGTCGTTCTTCGAAGCCAACACACTTTACACTTCTTGAACAGATAGACCAATCGATATTACACGTTTCGCTTGTCGCTTCGGGATTTGCGGCTACGTTTCCCAAACTACGTTTAACGATGAAATACTACTTAAAGGCTTTGCGTTATTCTTCAAACAATTGTCCCACTCGTTCAACGTCCCGTACAGACATATATCGTACCGTTCAGGCAATCTTGTGATGAACATCCTAAGCGTTTCCTCAGGATCATGCTTAGTGGAGCAGAAGATCTGATGAAGACAGTAGTGCGGCGGCATCTTCCGGCTAGCTGCAAACCATCACGTGACTTTGTCTCCTGAACTCCCGCTGGCTCCCCTCCTGGGTACCAAGGTAGGTGTGCATGCACCCTTCAACTCCAGGCATTGGCCCTTGTAATGACACCTTTGGACAAAGTAACACCTGGACTCGGCGGTTGTTCATGCGTATCCTCCACCGGGACGTGGGAGGCCTCGTTGGCTTGAGTCAGCAGCTTAGCGGCCATGCATTTCAGACAGCAGGGAGCTTGGGCATCACCTCCCCTCCAGCTGGCGATGTGACCTTGTGGGAATTGCATTGGTCGACTTGTAACTTGCCGCAATCTGGACCGATCTGAGCGGAAAGCGGCCTAGAGTACATCCTTTGCTGTACAGATTTATCCCATTATCTTCTCACCATCTGCTCCTTAATCATATATTCGTGAAAACAATCACGTCTTCCCGGCGAACAGTCTAGCCAAGAGGTGGTTCTTTTCACCAATCTCTGATTAGAGCAGTCATAGGCCCAAGCCCAAGCCTAAAATCCCTCTAACGCGCCTGGCAGCCATTCGCGCTCACGGTTGCGTGCTGAGATCTGAGCTCTTATCTCCATAGCCTTCTAAGGAGATGACAATCACGTTACAGTAGAATATTTACAAGATTAAAAGTCCTCCTGCACAGCGACTCTTCATCGGCTAGACCTGACAATCTGGTCTAGAACTGCGGGAGCCTTTGTTAGCAAACGCCCACAGAAACTTATGCGCGAGCGTACCTTTCCCATCTTCCAAAAACCATCCCGAACCGTCAATTTTCAGCTGGAATCGCTCGCCCTTGACGTAGAGGGGCGAGAAGCCCAACCCGCCCGCCACTGCCTGGTTGTACTGGAAGAACCTCAAGGCATTGCGGCTCAAAAATCGGCCTAAGCGCGTAAAGGGTTTAATGAACATAGGCTCGTTCTTCGGCCCAAGTTTTGCGCGCCTATAAAGCTCCTTCCGGTATGCGACGTCTATTACAAGCAGTCGCAACGTGCCTTGCACCGGTTGGCTAACGTTTTCGACGGGAACCTCTAGGATTCTGCTCTTCAGAATGGGCACCAAGCGCTGGATCTCGATTCTGAGGTCCAGCCTCGGCTGCCTATTCCGCTGCACCGGGACAGCTGTGATCGATTTTACCAGTCCTCGGGAAGCAAGGCCGTAGTTGAGTGCCAGGGCGATGAGCATGACGACCATCGCGAAATATGCAAAGCCGGTGTACCAATGCAGGTCTCTGACCTCCAGATAAATGTATTTGTACATCCAGAGTCCGCAAACAATAAACGTCGCAGCGGACGCCAAGGACACGAAAACATAGAGCCGCTGTGACGGGGCTTTGTAGAGGAGCGTCGGTTCCTCAAGAAGCGCTACTCTGTGTACCGGTTGGCCCACGAACATAGTAGAGGCAGCCGTGGAGGCACCCTTCGGCGGCGGTCTTTGGACTGTCGTTGGAGTGGACAGCGGAGCATTGGACGGGTTTTGAGTCTCCGTCGCATCTTGAGGTCTGGGAGCAAATACCTTCCGTGCTATCGCTGCCTTGCTCAGCTTTTTTGCTTTCGCGTACTTCCATATGGACACGGAGAAGAAGCGAGTGTTCTCCAGAGGGCAAAGGATATGGGCTCGATATTGAACAGCGGACACGGGAAATGATCGAGGTAGCTGGAAGCATGTCCGGCCATGCACGAACGCTGTGAAGCCTCGAGAGAAGGCTGCCATCCTATACTTGGGTCAGTGTATGCTTTAGATGTGATCTTCCAAGCAGACTTACCTGGATCACTGCAGAATTTGCGCGACGGCAGCGCGACGGCAGCGCGACGAGCTTGTCTGCGTCTGCAGGACGGCGCATGGCGCACTGCCAGCTCCGCCGGCGCCGATCGACATCTCCGTCAACGCCAAGTCCGACCCAACAGCTCAACTCTTGAACACAACGCAGCCTCCTCCAGCTGTCGCCGATCGCCATTGGCAGTCAGCAGCATCTTTCCAGCGGTCGTTATGGCCTCGATTGCCTCAGCATGTCGGGCCTCTGCGCGGGTCGCCGGAAGACAACTAAGAAACCATGGAGCTTCAAGAGGTAAACCGAGCTCCCAACGCCGAAGCTCACAATGCTGATATATGGCAATCGTAGGCTTCCGGACATCGACCTCAAACCTGGCCGCTCACAGTTTTCCCATGCCAGCACTATCTCCGACCATGACCGAAGGAAACATAGCAAGCTGGAAGGTTAAAGAGGGTACGGCGCAAGAACAATCCGCAGCTCGGACCGGCACACGAGCTGGAAACATTGCCATGCACTGACCGCTTTTCAGGCGACTCCTTCTCAGCTGGCGACGTGCTGTTGGAAGTTGAGACAGACAAGGCACAGATGGACGTCGAGGCTCAAGATGACGGCATTATGGCTAAGATTACAGTAAATCCTATTGGAGCTCTCTGGCGACATGCAATCGCTGAGACCTCATATAGCAAGGCGACGGATCCAAGGGAGTCAAGGTTGGAGTCCGCATAGCGGTCCTGGCGGACCCCGGCGACGACATAAGTAGCCTCGAGATACCTCCGGAAGAAGACAGCGCACCGAAAGCTGCAGGTAGCAAGGAAGCCTCGGAAGGCGAAGCACGGCGAAAAGACCGCCCATCCCCTCAGGAAGAGATGGCTTCCGGTCTCGACCCTACAGAGAGCTCTCCGTCAAGCGCAGAAGGTCCTCCATCCTCCAAGCCAAACGCAGACGCCAGTGCTGGTGGAGCAGCGGACACAGCCGGGAAAGGCAAAGACAGCGCAGATACGAGCAAGGCCAGCAGCGGAGGAAAGCCTCAGAAGCAGAAGTACCCGCTCTACCCCGCCGTACAACATCTCATCCACGAGAACGGCCTTTCCATGGAAGACGCCGACAAGATTCCTGCCACGGGTCCAAACGGTCGTCTCCTGAAAGGAGATGTACTCGCCTACCTCGGCCGGATCGAGAAGTCATATTCGGCAGAACAGTCGAAGCGAATAGCGAAGATGGGCCACCTCGACCTCAGTAACATCAAGATAGCCGAGCCAAAGAAGAAAGAGCCGGAGAAGGCCAAACCTGCTGCGACTGAAGCGGCCCTTCCCATCGTAGAACCGGACCTTGAGATTGCTATGCCCATCTCGCTCAGAGCCGTGCTCGAGTGCCAGAAGCGCGTAAAAGACTCAATAGGCGTCTTCTTACCTCTGTCGACCTTCATCGCACGTGCGTCGGAGTTGGCGAATGACAATTTACCGCGGTCAAAGGCCTCCAAACCAACCGCAGACGAGCTATTCAACGCCGTACTCGGCCTGGACAAGGTTGCGAAGACTTCAAGAGGGCGCTTCATCCCGCTAGTAACCGCTCTACCACCCACGCCGATAGCGGGAAGGGCCAAAATGGCGAGAAATACGCCAGACATCTTCGATATTCTGTCCGGCAAGGCTATACCGGCACGGCCGGTGAAAGCCAGAACTGCGGCTCCGGCTTTGGCTGGAGTGGTACCTTCAGCCGATTTAGCCACGATTAATGTGCTTACTGTTATGGCACCGAAAGGAGACGAGAGGAGGGCAAGAGTTTTCTTGGAACGGGTAAAAGACATTCTTGAAGTGGAGCCGGGACGACTTGTTGTATGATTGGAAAGACCAGAAGCGCGTTTGTTCGCTGTTCGAGTACATGGCTCCCTTTCCCATGGGATAACATGACTTTTTCCGGCGTGATAAATATAGCACTTATACTATGCTGCTTTGCTGTGAACGACCAGAATCTTCACCAGGCGCACAAAGTGCTCAGCAAACCTCGTTGCGAGTTTTAATCGTCGTACTTAACCCAGAATACCATATATTCGCTTTCCATCGTTGTCGACAACCTGAATCGGTAGCGCTCTCCTGCATCTTGAAAGGCTGCAGGATAGTCATGCTCGCTTTCAGCCCTCGTGCCCCACGTTCCAGTCACCAAACTTTTGACCGCATATTCACGCAACAAAGAACAGCTTTCTAATATTCGAACAACTGAACTCCCTATTTGGCATCGATCTACTGTGGATCTCAGCCTACTATTTCGAGCTTCTTAGCCACAAGTCACCGCAAAAGTAACTAATTACACGTCGCTCGGCAGCATAGGTACCTCACAACACCATGAGCATGACCCCATAATAGCTTGAGCACTCAGCGCACATACCTCTTAAGCCTGGATCTTTTCAGACTCATGAGCATAGCCGACAGTCTCCGCGAGCTTCCTCAACCTGTCCTGAGTCACAAATAAGCTCACATCTGGCGGTGGATGATGGACTCTCAGGTACCAACGCCCACACGACACACTCAGAGGCGCTGCACTCTTGTAGCGCAGTAAAGAGAGCTTGCTGAGAACTATGGCTGACAGCGTGTCTTCCACTTCAGATCGAAAATGCCATCAACATCGCCTGGAATCCTGCAGCAGACCCAAACCTCAAGCAGCAAGCTTTCGAATACCTGAACCAGCTTCGTGCTGAACCACTCGCCGTGTGGCAGTCATGCTTCTCGCTATTCACCCGCGCCCCTCGGCTCTCCGAGATCGTCCGCCACTTCTCTCTCGAGATCGTCAATAATGCCGTCCAGTCGCGGCGGCTCGACGCGCAAAGCTTGGGCTACATCAAAGACGGGCTCATGAGCTACATAAGAGATACCTACGCCGGAGCATCAGGACGAGATGCCGTTGACACCGCGCATATCCAGAACAAGCTCACGCAGACCGTGACATACCTCTTCACGTCGCTCTATGCGTCAGGCTGGGAAACGTTCTTCGACGACTTCAGGGCTCTCGCTAGGGATCACGCTACCATAGGCAGAAGCAACGTTCCTGCAACCGTCTTATACCTGCGCATACTGGGCTCTATCCACGACGAAATAGCCGATGTGCTCATGGCTCGAACGAGCGAGGAGCAGAGACGCAACACAGAACTGAGAGATCTTGTCCGCACACGAGACGCTCAAAAGATCTCGTTGTCCTGGCAAGAGATACTTGCACAATGGCGGCAGACGGACTTGAACGTTGTTGAGATGTGCCTCAGAACTATCAGCCGATGGGTCAGCTGGATAGACATCTCACTTGTTGTTAATCAGGCGATGCTCAACTCACTATTCGAGATCGCCGGACAGCCCGGTGCGCCGTCTTCAGGAAGCCCCGAAGGCAAAGTTCGGGACGCGGCAATTGATACTTTCACGGAAATAGTCGGCAAGAAAATGAGGGCAACTGACAAGATACAGCTGATGGATTTCCTGAATCTGGGCGACGTTGTTGGGCAGTTGATTGCGAGTCCACCCTTAGCTGAGCTTCGAGCCACATCAAACTACGACACCGATCTAGCTGAGACCGTAGCGAAACTTGTGAACACTACAGTATCTGATATCGTCAAAGTCCTAGACAGCTACACTGGTGATGAAGCGACGTCACGGCGAGCGGACGAGCTGCTTCAAGTCTTTGCTCCTTATCTTCTCCGCTTCTTTGGCGATGAGTATGATGAGATTTGCTCCACAGTCATTCCATCCCTAACAGACCTCCTTACCTTTTTCCGGAAAATCGTCAAAGGGAAGAACACGTTGCCAGCGCACTATGCCCAAACCCTACCTGCGATCCTAGAAGCGATCATCGGCAAGATGAAGTACGATGCCACAGCGTCGTGGGGTGAGGAAGATGAAGAGACGGACGAAGCAGAGTTTCAAGAACTACGCAAGCGGCTGCACGTTCTGCAGCAGACGATTGCCACTATTGACGAGAATTTGTACATCGATACCCTGAGCAGAATTGTTGCAGAGACCTTCAGCAAGCTTGAAAGCGGTGGCGTTGACTGGCGAGAGCTGGACCTGGCGCTTCATGAAATGTACCACTTCGGTGAGCTGGCCGTTAGGAATGGAGGCCTTTATCAGAAACGCGAACCATCTTCCGTCGCAGCATCACGACTGATCGAGATGATGGCGAAGATGGTAGAATCTGGTAAGGTTGCAACGGGCAGCAGCAGCTGGGTACAGACTGACTTTGCCAGACATCGCCTCCTACCCTCACCCTGCGATCCAGTTGCAGTACATGGAAATATGCGTCCGCTACAGCTCGTTCTTCGAGCAGAACCCCGCGCTAGTCCCTAAAGCGTTGGAGAAGTTTGTCACCCTGACCCATAGCAGTCATGTCAGAGTGCGAAGTCGGTCGTGGTACTTCTTCCTCCGTTTTGTCAGACCTCTCCGTAACCAGCTTGGAAACGTCTCCCAAACGGTCATCCAAGCGATCGGCGACCTCCTCACAGTCAAGGCGGAAGTCCCGGAAGACTCCGGAGACGATGACATGTCTTCGGACGAGGCCGACAAGTCTGCGGATGCCATGTTCAGCAGCCAGCTCTATCTCTTCGAAGCGATCGGCTGCCTCTCCTCGCCTCCATCAGTACCTCTTGAAAACAAGATACTATACGCGCAGTCGGTCATCAACCCTCTCTTCGCAGACATCGAGCGCAACCTGCAGCGGGCGAAAAACGGTGACGAGCAAGCTCTTCTGCAGATGCATCACATTATAATGGCACTGGGCACGCTCGCCAAAGGCTTCAATGACTGGACACCGGGCGCATCGGGCGCACCGCCACGGAGTGAGGTCTCGGACGAATTCGGACGCGCATCAGAGGCTACCCTGATAGCATTGGAGTCCCTGAAGTCCTCCATGAACGTCCGCTCGGCAGCTAGATTCGCCTTTGCCAGATTCCTCGGCGTGCTGGGCGCTCGAGTGTTGCAGCAGCTGCCAAGGTGGATAGACGGTCTGCTGTCGGAGAACTCGACCAAAGACGAAATGGCCACGTTCTTGCGGCTGCTGGATCAGGTGGTCTTCGGGTTCAAGACGGAGATTTCTGGCATCCTCGACACGCTTCTAACGCCGCTTCTACAACGGGTCTTCACCGGCCTAGCCGAACCCGTCACAGGCACGGACGATGAGATCCAGTTGGCAGAGCTTCGACGCGAGTACCTCAACTTTCTCCTTGTAATCTTGAACCAGGATCTCGGGCCCATCCTGGTCAGTGGCAGTAAGTGTCGGCCCGCCCTCAGAGTATCCAGATACGTATGTGTTGAGCTGATTACATCCTCAGCGAACCAACCCATCTTCCAAACCATCATCTCAACAATCGAGCACTTCGCTCGCGACCCCTCCGACTACCCGACCGCCCGCCTTGCCATCTCAGTCCTCACCCGCATGACCGCCGTCTGGGGCGGGCCAGACATTCGCCTCCCCACTTCTCCCACCGCTCCCTCATCCCCAACGCAGCAACGGCAACCTGCACCGGCCCTTCCAGGCTTCGATCAGTTCGCCATCACCACATTCTCCCCCCTCGCGTGGCAGATTCCGGCGTCACAGGGCTTCGACCCGAGAGACGCACAGGCGAGGCAGGTGCTGCTCGAGCTTGCGGGGTTGCAGGCGGAAATCCTGAAGAAGAACGGGACCGTCTACCTCGAGGCGCTTAGGGGACAGTTGAGGGGGTCTGGTGTCGACGAGCAGGGCGTGGAGGAGTACGTCAACAGCATCGTGAGGGCGGGAGAGAAGGCTTGGAAGAATTTCTTTGTGCAGTTCATCTCGAGGTATACGCGGCCGTAAAGGCGAAGCCGGAAGCTGAATAGCGGGTCTAGCATGACGGAAGCGGGGCGCATCAGGAGGTGTCTTGGCTGGCCGTCGATTCCTGAGGCCTGGTGTCTGTGCGGGTTTTTGCATAGGGGTGAGAGGAAGGGACGAAAAGGAGGTGCGCCGAGTGCTTCATGGCAGGGCACTAGGCTTGCATGTAGCGTGCTCGAAGAAGCATTGTGCTGGTTGAAGAAAGCGCCGCTTTCTTGCTGTTCAGGAAGAGATGCAACACGGCTCATAGTTGACTACCTAGTAGGTGACAGCTGCCTGCGCGTGCGTGCTCTCACAACACAGTGGAGCGAATGTCCTCTCACGTGACGACGACGACGACGACGACGACGGCGAAGCAGAGCCTCACAGCTGTCTCACAGCTCACAGCTCACAGCCAACAGCCAACAGCCAGGTGGTCCGGGCACATTGGCCGTTTGAGCCATGCCGGATCAAGTTCGGGCAGTCGCCGCCCGGCTCGGCGGAAGATGCACCGCCGATCAAGATTTTTGGTCCCTGAACGGGGCTTGGCAACTGGGAATTTCTTCAACCCTAAGCCGTCGCGCGAGACGGAGCAGCAGCTGCGACGCCACTTCGTCCTTGCCTTGCACTTGCTGCCAGGACATCTTCGCTGTCTGCAAAACTACATCTCTCACGCTTTCCTTAACCCCCGCGACTCCATTGCCCCCGAGGCGCTACTCCTTACCTGGGTACCCAGTCGATCCCCCAGACCAAATTTGCTCCAAGCTTAGCTCCTAGCTCAAGCTTCGCGCCCTGACCACGCTTCCATCTGACCGCGATTCCCTTTTGCGCCTTCCTGTCTCTCTGCAATTCCCATCCATTGCCGTGATACCTTCCGCCAACCCTGACATCCTCGGCATCGCCACTCCCTCCCTTCCGCAATGGCGTCCGTCAAGGAAACTGTCACCGAAGCACTCCTGGGCACAGAGCAAGCTCCGGAGCTGTCGCAACAGACGAAAGCTGCTTTCCTGCAGCACGCTGTCAAGGACGAACAAACAGGAGATCTGTACCTGGGCGAGGAGCAGTTTGTGGACGCGGTAGCGCCACCAGCGGAGGACTACGTAAGCTCGCCTTGTCAAGAAAGACCACGAACGCCTCACTCGCTGACGCAGAAGCTCCCTCCAGCACAAGATCAAGCGCGATCAGTATGGCATCCTCTTCAAAGTTGCCGACCGCCGGAGAAATGGCAAGGTCACCATGTCTGACTGGGCTACTTTCACGAACCTCCTCGAGAAGCCGGACGCCGAGTACGAGATGGCTTTCCGGCTCTTCGATGTCGAAGGAACGGGCCAGGTGAGCTTCGAGGACTTCTACAGGATATACTCGCAGAACAAAAGTGAGGATAGCTTGCCCTTCGACTGGGAGTCTGAGTGGGCGTCGCTGTACCTTGGCGGGAAGAAGAGGCGGCACAGCATGACATACCCTCAATTCTCGCAGATGCTCCGCGGATTGCAGGGCGAGAGGGTGCGGCAAGGCTTCATGCACCTCGACAAGAACGGTGACGGTTACATAGAGCCAGACGACTTCCAGCGCATCATCCTCGAGACTGCACGGCACAAGCTGTCGGATTATCTCCTTGAGAACCTCCCTACCCTTTGCAACATCACCGCCGGCAGCAAGATCTCCTACGCCAATGTCCGCGCCTTTCAGAATATGATCCGGGAGATGGACCTGGTAGAGCTGATCATCCGCAACGCGGCAAGAAAGAGCACAGACGGCAAGATCACCCGGACAGACTTCCTCAATGAAGCAGCGCGGATAACACGGTTCTCTCTCTTCACGCCTATGGAAGCGGACATTCTCTTCCACTTCGCTGGCATGGACGAGCCGTCCGGGAGGCTAGGACTACCCGATTTTGCCAAGGTACTGGATGCGTCGTGGCATACTGCATATCCGCTAATAAGCGATGCTGCCGAAGCGGTATCGGACATCGGAGCAAGGGCATTCACGAAGACAAGGTCACTGATGCAGGACATCCTTGAATCCGCCCACCATTTCGCCCTCGGCAGCGTAGCGGGTGCTTTCGGTGCGTTCATGGTCTACCCGATCGATCTTGTCAAGACGCGGATGCAGAACCAGCGGAGTGCGCGTGTGGGGCAGATGCTGTACAAGAATTCATGGGATTGCGCGAAGAAGGTGGTCAAGAATGAGGGCTTCAGGGGGCTGTACTCTGGTGTCCTACCGCAGCTTGTTGGTGTCGCCCCGGAGAAGGCTATCAAGCTGACGGTGAATGACTTGGTCCGGGGAAAGTTCACAGATCGGAAGACGGGCAACATATGGTATGGGCATGAGATTCTTGCCGGTGGTGCTGCTGGTGGCTGTCAAGTGGTACGCTTTGCTTCCGTGCGCATTTTGCGCCAGCCACCATGCTAATCTGCAATCCCAGATCTTCACCAATCCGCTCGAGATCGTAAAGATTCGACTACAAGTGCAGGGCGAGGTGTCCAAGACGCTCGAAGATGTCCCCCGGAGATCCGCAATGTGGATCGTGAGGAATCTTGGTCTCGTCGGCCTCTATAAGGGCGCGAGCGCGTGTCTGCTCCGCGACGGTAAGCCCACCCGTCCCTCCTCCTGAAGTTTTCACTAATCCACCCCCAACAGTCCCCTTCTCCGCAATCTACTTCCCTACCTACTCCCACCTCAAGCGCGACTACTTCGGCGAGTCCCCCCAAAAACAACTCGGAGTCCTGCAACTCCTAACCGCGGGCGCCATCGCCGGCATGCCCGCCGCCTACCTAACGACACCCTGCGACGTCATCAAAACGCGCCTTCAAGTCGAAGCCCGCAAGGGCGAGACCCAGTACACGACGCTGCGCCACTGCGCCAGGACAATCTGGCAGCAAGAAGGCTTCCGCGCCTTCTTCAAGGGCGGACCCGCGCGTATCATGCGCTCGTCTCCGCAGTTCGGCTTCACGCTTGCGGGCTACGAGGTCCTGCAGGGCCTACTGCCGTTGCCGGGAAGCCACAAGGAGCCGAGGGGGCATGCGGAGCCTGCGGTCGGGCTCAGCGACGCGAGGGCGCCGCTGCCGTATCTGAGGAGCAGGAACGCGCTGAAGATCATTCTGGATCTGGACGAGAATTTCGGACGGCCGAAGATGCCAAGCGGGAAGAGCTGGATGGGGGTTCCGGGCTTTGGGGGTAAGGTGACGGCCGCGTAGGAGCGGGCGACTGCGGACTGCTAAGTGAGGTAGGTATGTGGGGGCATTTTGAGCGGCGGCATATGGGGCGTTGGCGCAATAACGCTTGACTGTTTGTTGCTTTGTTGCTGTTCTGTTAGGGTGTTCTTCTGCATGGCGATTTCATTTCCTTTGGGGCGGGCATCGCGCTGCCCTGCTACAGACCCAGCGTGAACCGGACGCACGTAATCCTGAGGAACGCTCACACCTGCGCGAGCAGCGGGCTGTTGGTCCTTTCAATGTCCTCCGCATACGAGTTGTCGCTTGTATCCATGCATTGTAGTAGATATAGATAGAGCAGCTGGGAGTTGGTTGTAGGATACGGCGCCCTGGAGGCAATACGTCATGGGCTGCGAATTCAGGTTACCGTCTTTACGGAATTCCTTCCGTTACTTGATCGTGTTGATACTAATCGTAGAGTCGTGATATCAATCACACTGCCGAGAATCGGGTTAGGGAACACCAAACCACTACAACCGTACCCCTGGTCGGCTGGACCTAAAGTGATGTAGTGGAAACTTAATGTATCCTGTCAGCTCTTACTAAGGTCCACGCTTTACAAAGCTTTGTGCGCGAGTCTTTGGGTTTTTCTCTCGCTTTCCTTTGCCGCAAACTTGCGTCTTGATATTCGCAAGCCATCGGTCCGGCCATCAACCGAATCTCCGTATGATTGATATCGCGACTCTAGGTACGATTATTGAATCGATTAGGACAATTTCGCACCAATCCTTAGAGGGGTAAACAAGGGCCACCCCTTGGTTTTTTTTGGCTGGAACAGGTATAGCGGGCCAAGGCTCGTGGCTTCCTTGGCCCTCAAGGGTCAGCTCAAGGACTGACAATCCTTTGTAAGGAATGTCAATCTCTTCAAGACTCCTCGACCAAGTAGGCAACGCTTCCTTATACAAAAATCTTTGGATTCCACCGCACCGAAGACACTCCCACCAAGGTACCAAGAATCCAAGCTTTTGCACCTTGCAAAAACCGCAAGGGTTGGCTCTCATTTACCCCTCACCGCGAAAGTCATGCTTATCCATGCCGGATCCCACAAGAACACAGAAGAACTTCCTTAGTAGAGGTGTGGATATTAATGATATCAGCATACCACCACGTTGGAAGTTGGGAATAGGCGAACTGCATCCCATCACGCCTGCAGACAGGAGATACAACTCGTCGTCCTGAGGTTCATGATCGGGGCACGCACTCCCCCCTGTGTGCGCTTCGTGCGGGATGCTCGTGGAGTACGAGTTCACAGGGAGCACGCAATCTTCATAGCTAAGGTACCTGGTAGTGAGCATCTACTCATCACGTGCAGCTCGATAGAGCCGCATAACGATGCACAAGCGCACATAGCGCACAAACGACGCGAATCAAGCGGAAGTACCTCCTCGACAGTGCGCGATTTACTGATCTTGTGGCATGGGCTTGGTCATCGCATGGCATCAGCCGCCCTCGATATGTTGGATAGCTCCATCCAGCCCAATCAGAACATCGCCCCCAATCACCTTGCGAGAATGCAAGCAAGCTCGACTTTATCCGCACGGTGAGAACGCGGGGTCTGCTCGTAACGGGTGCAGCCTCAGGCGTCGGGGCGTGGAGCTATCGGAGGTAAGGGCTGGCTGGGGTTCGGATTCGGTGGGCAGCCGCAACACCAAACCGTAATCGGCGAGACGGCAGACGGCAAGCGAAGCGGCTTAACAGAATCCTGCGCTGGCCAAGCTGAGAGCCTCACTCGTGCAGTACCCGTGCTAGCACACAAAGATACGGAGCAATTATCTCACCCGCAGCTGCAGCCCCCGGCACACTTGTTGACGGGAAGGAGCTGTAGACGCGGCCGGTCGACTCTCCCCTCCGCTTCCCGTTCCCCATCTCCCAACCTCCAAATCCTACCGGCAGCAGCACGAAAAGCGACGTTGTGGATCGTGCGCTTTGTGTTCCAGTGCTTCTCGCGCCGGAGGCTGACTGGCTACGAACCCTGCATGAGACGCATCGCTCTCAGCTCCCCGGCCGGCAGCCGACTTTCTCAGCCTCGTGGAGATAAGTTACGACGTACCGGAGAGCTGTCTGCCCCACGGCCTGTGTCGGCCTGGCCCGCCCAGGGCTGCTTACCTTACACCACACTCTCCGCATTATCAGCCTCAACCTGAGCTTGACCGCACCCCGTCTATCCTACCACCGCCTGGAAACCCTCGAGCTCTTGACCTTACCGTCCAAGGACCCTTCCGAGCACTGCCTTCCTGGTGCTTGTTGATCGCTCTCTCGGCAGCCTCGGGGCTCGTTGTTCGCGTCGCACGTTCCTGCCAGCCTAGCTGTCGAGCACCCCGCCGATCAAGCTTCCGACCGCTTTGAGGCTCAAATGTAGCGGAGTCGCACGCGCTTGGTAAGTACCCGTCTGCAGCGTGCTTGCGCGTTCGTTTCCTTGATCAACACCATCGTGATGGCTTCATCAGAGTCTGAGTTCTTCGAAACTTCGCAAATGTTGACATGTGGTCGTTGTGAGCACTGCCGCAATTGACCGCGGCCCCGGCAGCGAGACCCTCACTCCCGCACGTGTTGCAATGTTTCCAGTCCACCAGCAAAAACAAAGTTCCATCTTTCTTAATCATCAGTCTCTTTGTTCTCAGCGATGTATGGAAGATCGCATCTCCTACATGAACTAGTTTTGTGGACTTCGCGGCCAAGACCGTGCTCATTTCTCCGATCTGCAAAGTTTCCTTGCGATCCCTCCTCGCCTTACTACGGGCTATCATACGTGTACGATTTCATAAAGAGAGGCGGCTGACCGTATCAGCGTCGAATGCCGAATCCCGAGAAGGAACCCCTGCTGTCACCCGATCGTCACTGGCAGCCACCACTAGAGCATCACGAAACGCTGCGACAGCGGCTGGACGATCTACTTGCTAAATCTAAACAACTACTTGCACGAGGCTTCGCTTGCCTCGCACTCATGAACCCGACAGATTACTACGACGACGACGCGTACGCTCCGAGGTCACCTAAACTCCAGGCTGTCATAGTGAAATCAAAACCCTCACCGTCTCCGCCTCCATTCATCCCCAGGTCAGCGCGTATACCGACCCCTGACCCCGTTAGTCTCCACTCTGCTCACACTGGAAAGCGTGCTAAGAAACGCAAGACCCAACCCAGTCAAGGGGACGCCGTCCTGGTTGGGTGCATGGACCCTAATCGGCCAGATATTGCCAGGCAAGCCGCCGTACAACCATTGAACTCCGGCTCGGACTTGGACGAAGATTCTGCCGAGGATATGGATACCGTTGACGGTGGTCCAGTCGCGATGCAGAGAGCTAGCCATGCAAACAGTATATCCACTAATTCAACAAGCATAGCCCAGGTTGTTGCTGAGGCAGCTTGCAAAGCTATGGAGAACATGGACGGAGGTGATACTGTTCTCCTTTCAGCGAGGCCTCCGCTCGATGGAGAAGCCAAGCAAGTTCGAGAAGACAGACCTCCAGACGACAAGGGGAATTCGGACGTTGTCATGGATGGCTCAACGGATCCTCCTCAGCTAGACGGCATTACGGGAATGGCAGCTGTGCATCGACCCAAAGAACGCGCCAACTCGCTCTCCCAGAGAAACAACGACAAGGCAAATCGCACGATAAAGCCCCGGACAAACTCATTTCCGAGGAGTTATCCTGTTGAAGATACACTCGCCACATCGCCAAACCTTGGCGGATTCACCATACCTCGATCGAAAGGCTCTCCTGGACAGACTTTACGACCGCTTCAAAGTCCACTCTCATCTCCGCGAGACGGGCAATCACTGCCACCCTTTAGCGAGCTTGTCGCCGATGCTGCTGGAGGTCGAGCGCCTAGCTTCCCGCACAGACAATCAACCTCCTCCAGCGTAGGTTCCCCGATCCTCAACAGCCGACCGTTCCCGAACGGCAACCAGCACTCGCCTCCTCGACTACCATCAATAAGCCAGACGTCGCCAACAAGCGACGGTTCGTCTCAGCTCTCACCGTCCGCGACCTTGCAGCCAAATCCGTATATGTACGACCGACGGCCGTCGACCACTTCGCCGGACGGCTTACCGTATCTTACTCCGTCCACCGAAGGCTTCAGTCCCGGGTCCAAGCATCCTAGGATGAGCCTGGAGGCGGGCCGGCCGCTGCTACCACCTCCGCAGCCCTCGAACCATCCGCACATCTCGCACGTACCGCCGCATGGCCTTGGCGGCTTTAAGTGCACGCATTCAGGGTGCACGGCTCCACCGTTCGCTACACAGTATCTCCTCAAGTATGTCGTCTCCCCTCCGTCCGTTCATGGCAGCGGTGCACACATTTCTTCGCAATCAGCAATAATTAACGCATTTTGACCAGCTCTCACGCAAACGTTCATTCATCGAACCGCCCGCACTACTGTCCCATTAGCAACTGCCCCCGCGCGGAAGGCGGCAAAGGCTTCAAGCGGAAGAACGAGATGATCAGACACGGCCTCGTGCACGAGTCGCCGGGGTACGTGTGTCCGTTCTGCCCGGATCGGGAGCACAAGTATCCGAGACCGGATAATTTGCAACGGTACGTCTTCTCCAGCTTGACGCCTTCTTTCCATCTTCGACGTTCCGTTTTTCCCCTCGTGCAAGACACCTGCCCACATATAGACGGTATCCACTTTTTTTTTCCTTTACTGACCTGTGCTATTTTGTATCACGCAGACACGTCCGCGTCCACCACGTCGACAAGGACAAGGACGATCCAGCGCTGCGAGACGTCTTGGCGCAGCGAGCGGAGGGCGGCACAAGGGGGAGGCGCAGGCGGGTCGGCACATAACCCACTTCCTCCCTACTTCCTCTCCATCTTAGCCATGTGTACTGTTACAGTGCCTTCCATCCCGCGCCATTTCCTCTGTGGATTTTTTGAGTCCTTGTGCAGCATCTCGTTCTTAGCCTCTTAGGCTCTCTTACCGGAGTTAATCGGAGTCACGGTACCGAAGTACGCTTCGCTTGCGAGCAGCGCTGTTGTGAGCGGGGCAGGCGGCCTGCTTGGCCATGGAGTTTTACAGTTCTATTGGGGGTGGGTAGTTGTAAGTCTTGTTGGTCTGTCTCGACTGTCTGTCGCTTCTGACTGCTAGTACCCATGCGGCGCCTAGGCGTGGGTGCGATATCTGGGCTGTGGCCTGTGAATTCGTTTGATATGATAGGGAAGCCGATAGGGCTTTCTAGAGCTTAATTCTTGCTTTGCTTTATGTTGCTCTCCCTGAGTAGGGTTTTGCAAGCAGGCTAAGGATGACGGGGTTGCCAACGAGTGGATATTGCTTGCGAATCTTGAGTGGTATGCAATCCAAGCATCTATGCGAAGTCCTTTTGCTTACTGCTCTCCCATCTCCTTTTCCTCCTAATGCCGCCGCTTTCGCCTCCTTGTTATCTCAAGCTTGTGTGAGGGCTTTCCCTTTCTCGAACACACCGCGCTAATATAACCCACCAATGTCCACCGGAGAACCTGAGCCCGCTTCCGAGACTTGCGCTAGACTGCCATCTTAACTAGCTCTCGTGTTAACCTCCGTGAACGTGGACTAAATCCCCTCAAACATATCGGCGCCAGCTCAATGTGGACCTACTAGTTCGTAATGATGCAAAACTGCGCGGAGAAGCACGGCTGGACCAAGTTCATCTCCATGCAGAACCATTACAGCTTGCTCTACCGCGAGGAAGAGCGCGAGATGAAGACCACCCTCGCACTCGAAACCCCTGCTAACGCAATAGCAGCCCCTGAGTGTGCGAATGCTGTCGTTCTTAGGTTAATAATGTTAGCTCGAAGTCTCCGCCCTGTGCTAAGCACGGAACTGGCCTCTCGCGAGGGAATCAAGAATGAGAGTTAAAGGATGCCGAGTTGGAGTAGTGAGAAGAGGTGTTCTGCTGGAGGTTCAATCAGTGTTCTCAATCGTCCGATCAAAGCAAAGGTGGCGAACGCCATTGCAGCTTTCGGAGCTTCCGAGCCCTCGCATTATAACTTGAAGGGCAATTTTACTCGCTTACTACTGACATAACTTGTAGTACACGGATCCGAAAGCTTCGGATCGTATGACGGCGTTTGCCGCGTTTGGTCCAAACGGACGATTGAGAAGAGTGGGTTTAATCATGATCTACTCGCTCAAGTATGGACCGAGACCTGCGCCATGAACACGCGACTGGTCAGTGATCTTGCAGAAGTAGACACAACGCTCATACCCGAGGCGCTACTTGAACCGGCAGTTCTAGTTTACAGAGCTTGGGGAGTACCGTCTGCTTGGGGAATGTTCGACACCATCATGTAATGGATAAGCTCACTACATCAGGTGTCTGCTGTAACCCAAGGAGGGCGCATTCCTGCAACTGGCCTGTTTTGGGCTCAGCTAAACCTTGCCAAGGCCAGAAGCTGATAATTCAGCTCCTGGCAGACCAAGCCGAGACTAGAATAAAACTAGGTGCCACCCAACGTACAGCTAGCGTCGAGCTGTCCAGGTCGCCTCGCACTCACAAAAAGCAGTCTCTAGACCCCACTGTCAAGATTGTGCAGCTTTCGGGTCAGACCGATAACTCAGTAAAATTCTGGGTTGATTCATTCCTCGACCATGTTATAGGGGGCCGACTCGTAACCGATCACAACCACCACAGAAGCAACTCCTGAACTCGTAGTCCTCATCTAATGAGCTCTTGCTCAATCCCTTATGGCAGACCCTTTTACATGGGGCGGAGTGGCGTGGGCGATTGCTTCAGGAGCGATCGGATGGATTGGTTCGAAGATCATGGATGGTCTGTTTGGGACGGGATCGGATCCTGTTGAGCTTCAGGCGGAGTCGATCAGGCGACTAGCCCTTGTGTTCCAAAAAGCTCTTGAAGCCGAGCGGCTTCAAAACGCCACCGATAAGCTAAGAAGCCTGCTTGACAACATCGCGGAGTACAACAACGCACCATCGACAAGCTTGTTCCGGCTAGAGGATGCCACAACGGACTCACTAGACCTACTTTCCACACTTGCCGGCTTGGAATACCTTGGACTACCCTCTTATTTCGTCGCAGTGAGCGTCAGAATAACTATTCTGCAAGAGCTACATCTGGTCTCTGGAGACAATGGGGAATTACTCAGCATCCTTCGCCACATCAAGCGTTCCAACGACCAATGCGAATATGCGTTGGCAAGAGGCTTCGACCTATACAACGGCCTGATAACTCCTCCGAAATCAACCGTGCCTGGGTGGATTGCGGCATTCAAAGACCAGTTTTTCATCGCACCCACGCAAGCGGAAGTACTTGAACAGGTAAGAGAAGCGAGCCGAGCTTTTAGAAAGGCGGAGATAGATCCGAATGAGGATTTATACGACAAGTTGCGCTGGAAGTGGTCCGACGTTCGTGAAGGCGCGTTAGAGCGAGCAAAAGCTGCGGGCATCGAGGTGCCGCCAGGATTATAAAGAACTGAGGCTTCGAGTGATCTCAAGAAGCGAGGTGAGAAAGAGAAGGAGAAAGAGAAGGAGAAAGGAGAGGTCTGGGTAGTGGCTGGTGGGGTCTTTCCGATATGATGCGGGGAGACGGATGAGGGTTACTAAATGCTTTGTTTTGCTTTTCCTAAGCGGGATTCCATGGAGGGACCTGACAGCGACCGTTTTGCTGACGAGCGGATACTGTTTTGAATGTTCCGACCCTGAGTGGTGTCTTTTCCACCATTGTAGCTAACTCTTTCGGCTTTCGCCCTTCCTCTCTCCTCTCTTATCGTTCCGGTTTCGTCCCTTTGCTGCCCAAAATGCAGGTCAAGGCGTCATCTCCGCAAATCCATCGTAATGATCCACCAGGCTCCCCAGTCCGCTACTAATGTCACCCAGCAACCTATCTCTGTACCGTATGAAAGAGAGGACTAGCCTTCCGCGAGGGAACCAGACGTGAATGGATTTCGAGTCGAAGTAGTGAAGACAAAAGAAAAGTCGCCAGAGTGAACCATGATCCACTTTCCTTCGCAGAAACGGAGACGAGGCGACGTAGATACACCATGCTAAACATATATATCTTCCATCAAGTACTAAAAAATTCCTATTAACATTACATATATCCACAAAGCCATCCCAGCATCGCGCTCATTCCGGGTATATCGATGCGGAACCCAAAGCCAACACCAGCAAAGAGCGCCCGAAGATCCCTGACACTGTACACAACCAACCACATCACCCGCATACTTGCCCCTCAAAATCCCCTCTCTAAACACACCATTCATCCATCACCCTAACGCAAAGGAATCTATACTTGGCTGCCCACTCCCCAGCCCACTAATCGGCCGCCCATACCTCCTCTCCCTCTCGTGCTCACTCGTCCTCGAACCCACCCTAGTTCCGCCGCCGAAACTGCTGATCTCGCTCGGAAAGTCTCCCTCCCTTCCTCGATCCCTTCTCCTAGGCGTACCCTCTCTCCTGTGAGCATCGTACCTCTCCTCTCCCCTCTCACGAACCCCCTCTTTCCCTCCGCCAATGTGGTGATGATTCCCAATCGTGCTCGGCACCGGCGGCGCCATCCTGAACCTCCTCCCCTGACTTCCGTCGCCGTCATCAAGCAGCACTACCATCCACACCCCGACGGTGCCCGTGTGGCCCAGCAGCGGGGTGCAGTGGATCCAACGCGGGCGGCCCTCGTCATCGCCGCGGCCGGACAGCCACCTGACCTTGGCGGTCACGCCGCGGCCGGCTGCAAGCGCGGCCTCGAGTTCTTCGTGCACGCGGCTGGAGCCGCCGATGCGGGATAGGAAGGGGGATTGCAGTATCCCCGGAACGCGGAGGGATGGAGAGGTGAAGAGGATGCGGAGGGAGGGGTGGGGGCGGACGAGGAGGTACTGGTGCGGTGTCAGTGGGTATTGTCATGATTAGCAGGGGAGGAGGGGGAAGGAGGGTGGTGGCCAAGGGCAGAGGTTCAGACTCACGTGCTGGTAGATCCCCTCAAGCTTCCCGTTAGGGTTCGCGGAGTACTCATACGTCTTGATCTGGTCGTTGCTCGGATCCTTCAGAAGCAGTCGAGGGCGTCCCGCGCCAGAGGTCCCGTCGTCGATTTCCTCGATGTGCTCCCGGTGCATGCGTCCGCCGTACTTCCGGACCGTTTCCAGCTCGCCCATGTTGAACATTTCGCTGAGCTCCTGGAACTCGTCTTTGTGCTGAGTTTGCTGGCCGGTGTCTGCGCCGTCGCGTTCCTGCTGCTGTTTTGCGAGCATGCGCTGCAGGCCTTCGAGATCTGTGCAGTCTTTTGCCAGGCCGCTGACGTCGACCTGCGCACCGATGAAGTAGCGTAACCGGCCGCGTGAATCCATCAGAGGCGCCACCATGAGGAGGTTCAAGAAAGGTGAGCCGTCTCGCCGACTGCAAGGTTTCGTTAGTCAAGCTGTGCCTAGAGAGCGTCGCTGTAACATACTAATTCAAGAAGACCTCACTGGTCTCTTTGCCTGCCTCGACCGCTGCTCGGAGCCTTTGTATGCTGTGTGGGTTCGTTCGAGGGCCCTGCAGGAAGCGACAGTTGCGTCCGATCGCGTAGCTGACGCCGTACTGAGTCGTGCGGTGAAATTCTGTCGAGGTGGCACGCGTCAGCTACGTTACCTGCGCGTTAAACCCCAACTGACGTACCTTCTGAAGCAAACACGATGGGATTATCCGGGCGCGAGACATCAGTGAGGCAGAAAACCTCCGCCAGGCCCTCTGAAGCTTCGCGAAGATGTGGAGGTAATGTGCCTGTGATCCTCCGTTGTATGCTCGCAGTGACAACCTGGATGAACACATGCGTGATGTAAGCAGGCAAATCTTCAGCTACCATCGCTTCAAACGCTTCGTTTGCTTTATTCTCCAGGACAGAGTTCACAGTCGCACGCGCTGGATGTTCGGTAAAGTCGTGTTCCGGTATCGGTTCTAGGGCTTCCGCGATAGCGTTGGCGTAGTTGATCGCTCTCAGCGCCTTCAGCGCATCGAGATAGTAGATGAGCAGCGGGACTGATTTTGACCTTGCTGCGCTGAGAAAGGAAGTAAATCTAAGTAGCAGCGCAGGGTCTGCAAATATGGTTTCGAGATGCTCACGAGAGAACATCTGTTCTGAGCGTTTCTCCAGTTGGAATGACCTCCCAGGCTGCGTCTCTGGCTCCGCAAGCAGGTCGAAAGATCGCGGATCATCTTCCAGCAGCGGCTCCAGGCGATCACCTTCATCGAGGGATGTTTTGACTTGCAGCGGGGGCAGCGGATGACTGATCGAGGAGGCACTGGTCTCATATGAGATTACAGAATCTCCTGAGCTTCTTTCTCGTGTCTCCGGTGTTGAAGGTACTGAGGATCCAATTTCGCGGCCGATGTTGGGCGCATATGACCTTTGGCCCACCTTTTGTTTGCTGCTGAAGTAGGAACGTATGTTAGCTGGACTCTTGCGGCGATGGAGGATGAACTTGCTTAGGAAATGCATTGGCTTGCCTGGTGCGGGTCGGTATATGAATACCGCGTCGCGTGAAGTCCGGAGGCGCTGGCGCGCTCTCATCGTCTCCATCTGCCGAAGACAAGGAAAGCTGATTCAATATGTGCGCGGTTGCCACTTGCGGCGTTACTGCCGCGGAATATGGGCTCGCTGGTGGAGTTTCCGCAGGCGTAGTTGACTGCTGCGGTTTTGGCAGATAACGATCCTGAAAGTCTTGGACGAGCGGCTCGCCAGCGGCGTCCCCTGGGCTCTCGACTTCGATCTTCACGGGCGCAGGCGCTGGAGCATCCGCCTTGGGAGCAGTCGGCGGTCGAGTGGTCTCCATGCTTCTCGTCCCGCGAGTTCGACTTCCCGGGCGCGAGGTTCGACTGTCCGGCCGTGGGGGCTGCACCTGCGGGTACTGCGAGTATACATTGTAAGATGAATGCTTCTCGAGGAAGGCGAGGTGAGGATAGGGGGTCATGTTTTGTTGCAGTCACTGATCACTTCCATTGCGTATCCACGGCTGGGGAGGGCTTGCATTTCAATTGAAAAGGCGGATGATGACATGCGCTGGTGTGCGCTGAAGTGCAGCTTAGCTCGAGAACGTGCACTTACCAACGAGTATTCAAACGCCATGTCGGAGCGTGGCCCAGCAATTGGGATCGGTTGCGGCTGTCGTTGGCTTACCAAGGGCAGCTATTTGGAAGTACGGGTGTAGTGCCGTCTCGATTCCGCGGTACGGGGCTGTTAGGCAAACCGGAGTAGAGCTCGATCGCCGCAGCAGCGGGTTCAAGCAAGCAATGAGAGGAGAGCGATCTGGCTTCGGCAGTCCTTGGAGGTGCAGATCAGAAATGAGCTGCGGGAGTATGTGCACGGTGCCAATGGAAGATAAACTGGGGGTGCCCAGGTGCGCGATCAATGCAAGCTGAGCAGCGGTCGGCCCGCCATCCGGCAGCGCAGGAACCAGACGTCAGTGGACAGATGCGAGTCAAGCTTTAGTTGATCGTGGGCCTTCCCTGCTGCATTCTGCGCGCGCAAAGATTTAGGTTCCTGACGGGAACTTTTGCTTGCCGCTGACGTGGTTGCAATATTCCCCGGGATGCCATAGTGTGCCGAGGTTGCCCCTGAGCGCAGACACTGCGGAGAGCAAACGGAGGAAAGAGCACCGCCCGGCCAGACCCCGAGCAAACGAGAGGGACAGAGCTTCCAAACCTCCCCTGAAGAGCGCGACATCTCCCCCTGGGCAGGGCTGTCGCGATACGCTAAATTAGGGGGGCGCGGGTCCCTGTCAAGCCTGGCTGACGGGACAGCGGACTGGGGCTGTCGACCAATCCTTGCGCCGATCGCATCCACCACAAGGATCCCGAAATCGCGTCCGAACTGCTCAGGAGATCGATGCACCACCATCTCTCCCTCGGACCGAGCCGATCAGAGCCAGACGGAGTCACGCATCAAGGGCCCCAAGCAGCACCTGTTGAGTCCCCTCGAGCAGTATTCAAAGCCTTCACCAAACGGAGTAACATGTCTTTCGACTCTCGGAGCTCCAGGTGTTGCCAGTCCAGGCGAGACCAACCGAGACCAACCGGAGCTCCCAAACTCTCGAGAAAATGCCGCTCCCTACGTGCATTCGTAGCCCTCCTTGGCTTCGCCAATGGTGGCGTGGATGCCGTTATCGACGGAAGTGCAAGCGAACATCCGCCACGAGCAGAGGTGAACCTCAGTCTGAACCCAGACCATTTTGAGTTTACAGGTACAGGGATACGCTGGCGTCGATCCCGACTCCCAAGCCATCACCTCGGTCTCACTCCGCGACGTGAAGATCTGATGTTCTCACAGTCTTTCAAGGCCACAACGACGTACCTAGGTTCAGCCTGAGCCCTTACGGTAACGGCTGTATCCTGCATTGTCCACCATGAGAAGTCGATCACATGACGGAGGATAGCCGGGTTGGTGTCTACGGTGACATCTGTCTAAAATGAAGGTGAATGTCTGCCTGCCGTAGGTGTAAGGCCTCGTTTTCGCTGTTCAAAATTCAAGCATAAGCCCTGCCGCTTAAACACGTCCGAGTATCAGAGTTTCGGAAGAAGAGATGTGGTATCGTAAACACTGCTGGTTTCTCCGAACAAAACTCTAACGGCAATAGCTCGCATCTCAGAGTAGGGGTTTCCCAGCAACGAAAAGCTACTGCAATCAGCTCCCGTTATGACGAGCAAGAGACCGGCATGTTTGACATACCCAAGGGTCAATTCCCGTTCAACTTCCGCCGTCTATGTAGACCGTCCACCTCTGGCTCACGTCTCCCTTCTTCATCGCCCCGGGATGAGCTGCTGCTCTTCGTCCTCACTAGCCTTGTCTTCGCCGGCCGGCCGGTACAGCACGTAATGTTGCGTGATGAAGATAACATCGAAAAACATGCTGACATTGCTCAACAGAAATTTAGCCGGGTTGCCCGTGATGCCCGACCAATCCGCCTGGAAGCTTGCGTCGATAATAAGCTGGCAGAGCGAGAGGAAACCGCCTGAGAAGTCAAGTAGAATCTGATGAATGTTCCAGCCTGTGGTCGACTTTCGTTTGTAGTTCATCCACACTTGGGGCATGTACTTAACGACTGTAACAATGAGTTTGATGTAGCTGACAGCGTAGACCTGTCGGGTGACTTGTCAGCGATCGCTCCGTCCTTGTTCCATCGCAAGGCTGTGATGATGCACTGCATAGTTCTTGCGATAACGTTCACGTTGAGCCCACGGCGCGGAGAAAGCACATACCACTTCTATCCAAGCCCATCCGCGAGGATCAAATCCACCGTCCTTGCCGCGACTCAGGACTACGAAAGCGGTCACAAGCACGCCAAGGATGCTCCCCCAGAAGATGGCAATGATGGGGTTGCTAGTTCTTTGCATGGGTCCAACCTTGAAGCCCCACAGTCGAGTGTAGAACTGACTGTAAGTGATGATACAAAGCACCGCGCCATGGAGCGCAAACAAAAAGTCGTTGAAGCGCACTGTTGGTTCCGGCGCAGCCGGATGGCGGAACGCATACTGCGATCGGATGGCAGGCGAATAGAGAAAGGCCCCTGTGGAGATGGTGTAGGCCGTGAAGCCCAGCATGTTACATGTGGGATAGTCTACAGCGAGTCCCAGTGTTGACTTTCTCCGGAAGTTGAGGGTGGGTTGCGGATAGAAAGATATGGACCAGCAAAGGAAGCTGTGCGGATCAGCATACAAACAACAGAGATGCAGCAGGCACGCATACTATGTCCATCCCAAGAGCCGTGACAGCGCTCTCATGAAGTATCTGAGCTCTGAGTCCGCCATGGCTGCCAAACTCCGATAAGCCCTCTCTCTATCTTCTATCTCTAAATCTGGACGCTGTGCCTGACAGCGAGGTTGAGCGATGGAGGCGTTGGGGACAATGGAGCAACCACGACTACATGGTGCAGCATAAAGACAGAATCTGCTGAGACATGAGTGTTGAGCTGCTGGTCATGAAGACACTGACAAAGGCACCACAACCCGTGATACAGACCAGGCCGCACCCACAGGGCTGAAGCGCGACGTGCGGGAGCTTATTCTGGCGCTAGCGCCCGAAGTGGAAAGGCGCAATCTAACCCACAGCAACCTGGCACCTCGCGGTCACGTCTCAGACACTCCCCAACGCGCCCGCTCACATCACCTGTATCAACGTATCAACACGTCGCATCTGCTGCTCTGTTCTGAGCTGTGAGCTCTTGCATGTCACATGCTTCTCAGTCACCCTCTCCTACCGAAGCGCGTGTGCGTACTCCTCACTTGACTTGATCCCTAGCAAGTCTTGGGGAGCTTTCACCAGCAAGGAAGCGCAGCGCAAGCTTACACCACACCCCACCCCACCCCACCCCACCATCCGCACTTCCTTACCGGAGACCTCCAACCACCGAGAACAGCCATGGCACGCGCGACTGCCTCACCTGAACGCCGCCCAGAGCGCCGCCCACCCCGACCGCGTGGCCGTAACGGCGAACCTCCCAAGAAGAGATTTCGATACGTTCCAGGCGGCCCGGGTGGCGGTGGGAGATACGTCGATCCAGACACGGGTCACGAAATTGCAGTTGGTGGCACAGGACCAGGCGGATACGCCTATAGCGGGCCCCGAGGACGGATCGGGCGCGAGAATGCTGCCAACGGCGTTATACCTCCTACTCCAGCCCCACCATCAAGACCCCAGACTGCCGTGCGAGATAGGCCGCGCCGCGAACGGCCGGAGAGAACGCCTGCGCTGCCCAGATACAACTCCACAGCGGCGCAAGCAGTGTCGGTTGCGCAGAGTGATGGATACAAACCTAGGGAGGAGCGTGGATGGGAGGAGTTCCATCAGGATCTGGACATTGATGCGGATTTTATGGTCTTCAGTGCCGCGGAGGTGGATGGAATCGCTTCGCCTGAGCTCAAGCCTGCGTACCTTGGCCAGGATCTAGGGGAGCATGGTCAAGCATTGGAGAATGGCGCATCTTCACTTGTGGACGAACCTGCGCCGCCATATGCACACCAAGGCTCGCCAGAGCTTCTCCGTCAAGCGTCGACCGCGTCTCTGCCGAATGGCGACACGATCAATCTGAATGGCGTTAATGGAGCTCTCACAACGCCGCTTAAAAGGAGACCCGGGCGGCCGGCGCGCCGGGGAGAATCTATGCTTGCTGGCCTGGGTTCGCCTCCCGTGCAGAGGATCCGTCCTTTGCCTTCCCAGAATCCGAAGGAGAAGCTCAACTTACCCAAGCCGGTCTACCGCAGAGTCGATACGTTCACATCCTACGAGCAGGATCAGAAGGTCCAGGTTAATTACGTAGACAAGTCCCTAGCGAATGTTGGGTATCAGGAGAGCGACATCTACGTGCGACCCGAAAAGACTCTGATCCGGCTAGCTGAAGGCTCGATTGAGGAAGACCTTGATCTGGCCATGGCGTTGAAGTCTGATGGCGATCTTGCAGCTCCAGGTCTGGGTGTGGGCCGAGTTGAGTATGACATGGACGAGCAGGACGACCGATGGCTGGAAGCGTATAATGAACACAGAAAGGAAGAGCAAGTTGATGCGATCAAGCCTGCATTGTTCGAAATCACCATGACACTGATTGAGAAGGAGTGGCATGCTCTCGAAAAGCGTATGTTGCTCAGCGTAGAGGGGTTGACGGTCAGTCGCTAACATTGCGCGTCACCAGGTATACCAAAGCCGAACCCGAAACCTCCACAGACACACCGACCGCGCTCGAGCTCTGCGGCAGCCGTCAATGGTGAACCAGCGGGTGCGGGCGAAGAACAAGACACAAAATGTGCTATTTGCGACGACGGAGACTGCGAAAACACGAACGCCATCGTCTTTTGCGACGGTTGCGATTTGGCGGTGCACCAAGAGTGCTATGGGGTTCCGTTCATCCCGGAGGGTCAGTGGCTCTGCCGCAAGTGCCAGCTGATAGGCCGAGGAACGCCCGTAAGTGCCTGATGATCTCATGCAGCCCTACGAATCAGTTGCCGTGGACTAACATCGATTACCAGACGTGCATCTTCTGTCCAAATGTCGACGGCGCTTTCAAGCAGACGAACACATCGAGGTGGTCACACCTGTTGTGCGCGATATGGATTCCAGAAGTCACTCTCGGCAACACCACGTTCATGGAGCCAGTCATGGATGTAGAGAAAGTACCGAGGCAACGATGGAAGTTGACCTGCTACATCTGCCACCAGAAAATGGGAGCCTGTATCCAGTGCGGCAACAAGAACTGCTACCAAGCCTTCCACGTCACATGTGCGCGACGAGCAAAGCTATTTCTCAAGATGAAGTCCAGCCACAATGGCTCTTCAATCATGGATGCCAGTGTGCTTAAAGCATTTTGTGATAAGCACTGCCCGACTGACTGGAGAAAGGAGCACGATGTAGCTACAGCGATCGAAGAAGCCAAGGATTGGTATCGTGCCAACATGAGGGGAAGACGGTGGGCGGACAGTCAGCAATCCGCGCTGGCACTCACACCTCAACAACTAGCGCCATCATACGATCTTGTTACCGTCAACGGTCTGCAGGATGATTCCATGACGACCGCCAACAACAAGCGCAAGCGAACAGGGCCTCCGAAGGGGATGTGGAGGTTGCCTTCCGGCGCTCCTATCGTACCTCAAGCCGTGTTCCACAACGTCGAGAACTCACTCATCCGGTTCGCGATTCGAAAGCGGAAGGAGTTCGTCGCAGAAGCCTGCAAGTACTGGACCTTGAAGAGGGAAGCTCGCCGGGGTGCCGCTCTGCTCAAACGCCTTCAACTTCAGATGGAGACGTTTACATCTATGGAGATCACCAGGCGTAACTATGTAGGCATGGGTGCAGCCGGACGACCCAGACTACATAGACGCATCGAGTTCGCCGAGAGGCTCGAAGATGATATGGAGCAGATACGCGTGCTTTGCCAGAGAATCAAAGAAAGAGAGGCGGAGAAGCTCCGCGATGTGGAGCTCTTGCGCGAGCTCATCGACACGATCTACTTCCCTATCCCCCCTCTACTATGGCCGGCGCTCGAGCGGGCCCAAACGCTAGACAACAAAGGCTTCTTTAGGGAGGGACTGGATACCATGCAAGCTAAGCTTGAGGAACGTCATTACGCTTCGGTCTCACAGTTTGCCGAGGAGCTGGTTGCTGTATTAAGCACTGTAGTCGCTCGGGCCCCTACTACCACGGAGCTTGCCGCGGCGCCGCTCAGTAGCGAAGGTCCTACCAGCAGTGCGCTCTCAGCCGACCAGAAGGACAAGAGGAAACTGGCCAAGCGCATCCTCAAGGCTGCAAAAATGCACCTAGAGATCGCCATTAGGAAAGAGTCTGACCTCGTGCGACAGCCATTGCATCTGCCTGATCTTGACGCCCTCATGGATGCAAGTATCCGCTCAGAACAAGAGTCAATTCTACCTGCCTCACACGACGGATTCTTTGCGGCCGATGGTGAGGGGCGACAGAACAACGAGATGGAAGCGGATCCGACTCTGCAGGAGGGCATCCCAATCGACCCTAACCTCTTCCTACCTGCAGACATACTGGTAAGTCTTGCATCCCAAAAGTTTAACAGCATCGATTACGGCTATATCCTACATACTTGCCCATGAACCTGCTAACCCCAAACTAGTTACAGCCGGCCGCCAACAACGCCTCCGTATCCGCCGACGAAACGACCGACAACGCCGTAATCCGCCTCCAGCTTCAGCCCCACGACCCTAGCTCCACCATCCCCATCGGCAACGCCAACCCCATCCCCTCCGACCTAATCGACCCTGCCCTTACTTCCACGTCCACCGACCAGCCATCGACAAAACACCAAGCCCCGCTTACCCCTCCGCGCTCGGAGAAAGACCCCTCCCCGCTGGCGGGCGGCGGCATACCCTGGTACCTCGAAGTCTTCGACCCGGCGGGCACGACTGTGTACGAGGAGCGCTGGACCGGGCGGGAGGTGCTGAGGGGTATGAGCGAGGAGCTGAGCGAGATGGGGGATGAGGAGCTGGATGGGATGGGCGAGGAGGAAGAGATGAGTATGGGCGAGATGGCGGCGACTAGCGCGGCGGCTAGTGTGGCTGAGCCGGCGGCGGTTAGGGAAGAGACGCCGGTTGCGGAGGAAGCGGCCGTTGTGAGGAAGGGAAAGGGGTGGCGGAAGGGAATGAAGGGGACGGGCAGGAGGAGGTGAATATGTTCTGTACTAGGTAGCCCGGGTCTGTAACGGTATTTTTGCGAGCAGTGATGCATGGATGCTGTGGATTGCACAGTCTTTCTAGCTCGGAATGGCGTTGTTGTTAGAGAACCCTTGGATGAGTCTTGCATAGGAGTTAAGCGTATAAGCTATTGATCACGTAGTGAAATCAGATGCAATATGATCCCGTGCCCAACGTAATGATTCAAAGGGCGAGGGTCGATCATGCAAGACATTCCCGCATCGGTTAAACAAGCTAGACTCAGGACGCGTCTCATTGTCTTGCCCTTCATTACCTTGCACCGCGAGACTGTAGCAGCTCTACTATATCTGCATTCCTACTCTCTTCGGCCAAGCCCAACGGCGTTCGTCCCTTTGCATCTTTCAGCTCGATGTTTGCGCCTTTATCTATCAATAGCTCGACAACCCCCTTATGACCAGCGCTTACTGCCTTGTGCAGAGCGCTGCCCATCTCTGCTGTTTCCCTCTCATCGGTAGGGTCTTCCACCCCGATCTCGTCGATATCCGCACCGTGCTCCAGCAGGAATCTAACCATATCCTTCTTCCCCGCTTCAGCAGCAAGCACGATGGCGCCGCTGCCCTTCAACCATGCTCCATGTTCGAGCAACAGCGAGACTATATCAGTTGTACCACTCTCTGCGGTAACTGCCAGCACGGGTTTGAACCCATCAACCATGTTGAGGTTTGGATTTGCGTCGTTTTGCAGGCAGAACTTGGCCCATTCGTAGTCACCGGCTGGAGCAACTACCGCAAGTATATCGCCGTGCCACGGGATCACACGGTTGACGTCAACTGCCTTTGATGTAACGAGGAGCTTATGGGTTTCGAAAGAGTGGTTGCCAACCAATGCTCCCATAACGGCGTCGGTGACTGAGCCGCCTTCTCGGAGGCAGTATGCGACTGCGTTCGCCCGGTCCCTCGAAGCTGCGGCTGTCATCATGGCGGACAATGGAGGGCTGTAAGTGGGGTTGGCAGCTCGGCAACGCTCGATTAATGAGGTGATGTCCTCTAGCCGGCCCTCTTTGCAGGCTTGGTAGAGTTCGTCGCCAAGCTGGTTCTTCAGCCGCGCTTCCATTGTGTTGACCGAGAAGAGCTACTTTCCTGCAGAAATGCAGCTATGTGATAGTGTCGACGACAGGTCTCGGTGGCCCTTTTGGTAGATAATTGAACAAATAATTGTAATGATCTAACTGTCGATTACAGACGGTTGCACAATCGAGTGCAGTGAATCTCATGGGATAAATCTCTCGAGTTGGTGTACTCGGCAAGGACTGAGCTATCTAGAGGTTCCGGATCTTGATATAGTGGTGAGACAGGTGATAGAGGATGAGAGCCTAGAGTAAGTTGATCCGCACCAATCCTACCTTATCTCATCCTCTATCACCTGACTTCTTAGGCTGTAAACCTTCTATACAAAGAGCTGCTTGAGTTTAAACACCACGCGCTAAGCGTCACGGACTGCCTATTTGGGTAATCCGGCCTCGTCCACCGTCCGTCGAGCCCTCTTAGGTCATCGTTCGACCGTCTACGTGCCTTGCACCACCTCGTTCGCCCGTCAGGAGGCCTTGGACGTGGACGGATAGCCTAATGACCACCCTAACACAACGGCGTTGAAATACAAGCAAGCCTGGATGGCCTTGCTACCGGTTGGAAGCCCTTCAAATCCGTTAATGTACTAACAAGAACGGCGTGCATCCATCCGCGTTTTTGCGCGAGGTCTTAGGTCAGCAACTGACTTGAGCTGAACCTGGGCTGCCCCTAGACCAGACATGAGCACACGGCTGCTCACAGTTTTGCTGATATCTTACCAGCGGATTCCAAAGGGCTTTGAACCGGTAGCAAGGCCACCCTGTACGCACCCCCCTCTGGATTCAGAACGGAATCTTACGTGCATAGCCATGTGCGAGTAAGCAAATCGCCTCTTTTCTCAGCTCTCTGCATCTCTACTCATTCTGTAGCAACTTCCTTTGATGGATTCCACGTTGTGTAGCGACGCTGGCTCGGCCTCAAGTGTAGCCGCCAGATATATTTATAAAAAGTGTATCATCCCAGCTTGAGTGAACATATAGCATCTTCTTCAGTCCACTCATCCAACAGATTTGCCTGTCTTAAGCAGTTATCATTATCGTACCTTTCGACATCCACCAGCATCTCCCAAGATGCATTGCCTTCAAGCGCTTCGCAGGACTCCCGTCTTGAGCATCCTAGGTGGCCAAGATTCGTGTTCTCACTGAACTCGCATATCACGTGTTTGGTAACCCTCCCATGACTTTCAGCAGTCGCAGCAACGTTCGGGGTATCCTGAGATTAGCCTCTCGACTGAGATCATAACAGGGATACGCTGAATTTCGGCATCCGCATAGATCAAATAGATATCTCTAGACATTCGTTCACAACGATAGAGGTACAAGCAGCGTTAGGCAGCGCATTGAGCCTCCATTGTGCTTTGCTCGCTCTCAATTGCACCAACCCGAAGGAATCACAAACGGCGGCATCTCACGGAGGGACATCTCGGCGCACTAGCCGCTTCACTAACGTTCGGAAACCAATCCCATCCGCAAAAGTAAGAATCTCATTTACATGTACACTCTGGCAAACTCCAACCTCCTGACCTTCTCCAACACTGGCGTTCTTAGACCCATGGCCCTCATATCCACCAACCTCTCTTCCGTCGCATCCCTCAGCTGAGAGCCCGCCGATATACCTTCCTGACGCATCGCTTGCATAAGAGTGCGCTCCTCGAACCGCGGAAACGGCCGCCGCATTGACGAAGGCGGCTGGGGCGGGTATATGGGGTTAACAGTCATGTCGGAATTGAGCGGCTGCGACGGTGCTGTGAGCGGACTCGGAAGCCCTTGGTAGGTTAAGAGGGAGCGGTGTAGTAGTGTAGGCGCTTCTTGCACCGGCGGCGAGGAGGTGTAGGAGATGGTAGGCTCGTAGGGTTGGGTGTTGCTGTTGAGGTAGAACGCTGGGTTAGGGGTGTAGGGCACATTAGGTGACGGAAATAGGCTCTGTGGGGATGTGGTGAGATGGGTGTTGGAGCGGCATGGTGGCGGCGTGGAGGAGAAGCCTGGAATAGGGAAATAGGCGGATGGTGAAGAGTGCTGCGAAGTGGTCGTGGTGTAGGGATGTCGAGGTGAGCTGTAGGTATGGGAGCTATCACGGTCTGCCGACGGCATCGTGTAGTACTGCAAGATATGGTCGTGAGGAGAGGGAAAAGCGTGTAGGTCCTCTTGGCCGCCAGGCTGGTCGGAATTCATGAGGCGAGCTAGCTGGTTGGCACGCTGATGTAGACCTTCGGTCGGATGTGCTTCGAGGTCGAGGCCGAGGTCGCCGGCTGTGGCTTCGATCATGTCGAGGAGTTTGGGCACCGAGCTCTGTTCTGATGACAAATGTGGCTTAGGACCCGGCTGAGCGTGCATGGTGTTCTCTCGCCATAACCTTGGCTCGCACGTACCGTCGTCTACAGACATGCATGCGAGCCTCCGCGATAGTTTGCGGGCCTCTTCGAGCTTTGGAGCGCCGTCCTGGAGGTTCTTGATGACCGCCTCTAGCATACACCTGTGCTCCACAATGATCTCGTCGATGATCTGGTCGATGCTTGCAGCGACGGGGTTGCCCACGTGCCAGTCAGCAAAGTTGATGGCACGCGTTGGTCCCGAACTACCAGTCGGAGCCTGCCCCATGCTTTTGATATTGCGTAGTGCTGGTGTGCGAACCGCGGCGCAAGTTCCTGATGCGCTCCCAGCGTTGTTCAGCGTTCGCGGTTCTGCCGCGTGAATGCCGCCGGAGGCTTGATGTTGGAGACTGCCCACATGCTGCGCCTTAGCAGGAACCGCGTCATGTTGCTGGCTGAGGTCCCCTGCAGTCGGTGCTCTGGCACCTCCAGCAACACACTGCTCAGTCTGCATCTTGCTCCAGTCTGCGGTTCTGCCCGCTGGACATGCGCGTAGCTCCGCTGTTCGCTTGGCATAACCGCCTCGGTCCTCGAAGTCTTCAGTGTCAGAGATGTCTTCTTCTATGTCCTCCTTGACATCAAACGTTGGCTGTGTGACGATCATCTGCGGCATGGGTGATTGGATATCTAGGTCTTGCGGAGCGTATCGGATCGTTACGGACCTGCGTGGCTGAGGAGGAGAGGCGTCTTTGCCTCGGCGAACGAAAGGGTTCTTGCGCTGAAGCGGACGCGGTACATTGGTAACCTCGGGCGTGTCCTGCGTTAGGGGCGCTGCCGGAGGTCCGACAAGGTCGTTGAGCGACTTTATACGCGCGAAGACGCTCCCCTTGCGGATCTGCTGAATACCCGGCGAGGCTGGTGGGCGTGGTAGAGGCCCGATGCCACTTTCCGTTCTATGTGGGACGCCGATCGATGGCGAAGTGCCAACACTTGCCATGGCATTAGCACAGGGAGATTAGAGATAGTAACGACAGGATTGTGGGGTATGCCTTGCACGACAACATCAATGAATCAATGTAGAAGAGCTTGAAGTTGGCGGACTTCCTCTGAGGAGGAAGGTGCAACATGCTTGATTTACTGTACAGAGCATCCGCCTTCCACGCAACTGCCATTGATGTACACACTTGCTTATTTCATCGCGGCCTGAAGACTCTCCAAAACCTCCAGTTCGATTTTCGCCTGAATGTATTAGATTAGGTTTTGTTGAAACGCGCATTCTCCTCTTACCTCTGCGATGTCCTGCTCGCTGCCAGAACCGCCTGCAATCTTTTGTGCTTCTGCGATCTGATTCCGAACCGCCTAAACAGCTTGTTTAGTGCCACACCGTTATATAACTAGGGCGAACAATACCTCTGCGCTGAAATCCTCCAATGCGTATGCCTCAACACAGTTGACCGACAGTTCTGAACCAGGCTGTACCACGGCAAAGCCTCCGCTGGTGAAGTATGACTTGCTCCCGCCTTGCTCCTCAATAACTTCGATCAACCCTGATCCGTATCTTAGTATCTGGGAGTCACAAGTGTGGAAGCGAGCAAGATTTACCAGGACGCAGCTGCTCAATGCTCGGGACGTGGTTGGCAAGGACACCCATCTCGCCGGACTCCGCTGGGATGTTTACTTGAACACTTTTTACAATCTCCATTAGCCGATGCTTCCGAACGGTAGCGACTGACACCTGAGAAGCCATCTACGACGGTAGAGTACAGTGTGGTTCAATGCCGTCGGGACAGGGTCGATAGCACAAGCGAGGGGTGCGGCGGAGATGCGACGGAGGGTGGAGTTGGTATTGAGGGAGAAGCGCTTACACGTCTGAAGACTTGTAAATAGACTGCAATCTGGTTAGCTTGTCTGGTCTCCCAAAGTGAGTGTAGAAGAGCGGAGCGGCTTCAAAGCATGTGAGCGTCGGCTTCAGGGTGCACGGCTTATAGCTGGTCAACCAAGTCCGCCGAGCCCCAGGCTCATCAGCGCTGGCTGAATGCGCATTGGAACCGCCATGGCTGCGCGACATCTCCGGTTCTGTGCTGATTGATACTCAGGATGGGCGCATTGGGCTGGGTCGTACCTGGTGAGGGAGAGCCATTGTCAGCTTTATCTTGTCGGAGGCGACATCTGCGTAGCCCCTCCTGAGCGGCGCCCGAGCAGTTGGGCGGGACCTGAGTGCTGAGCGAGCAATTGAGCGGAGCATGGTGCTGGATGTGGGTGCTCTAATGGCTGCAATTGCAGATGGTATGAGTTGTCTGAGGTTGCTGGATCAGTCCTGGAGCTCAAGAGCCAAGAGCGTCACGTGCCTGGCAGATTCCCGTCCGCCTCGACTCCAACGACAACCACCTGATATCAATGCAGGTGCCCAGTCTTGTGCTTTAAACTTTGCTCAGTCTTGGTTTTGCCAACAATGAACACCACCAAGCTGTCCGTTAATTTCTAATCGTGCGGCTGCGAACAATGTCACACCCCACAGACGGCGAAGTGTCATTCACTGTCCATCCGGCTACAGGAGGGTTCGTGACGCCTTGGTTCAAGTTTACTAGCTGTACCTTTCACATAGCGGAGAGTCAAGAACATCTAACGATTGAAAGCGCCGGTGTAGCTCTTAGTTTACTCTCCCATATAATCAAAGATGTGACATAATGTTCACCTGCGTGTCTACAATGGGAGGACATCCATCTCATATCATCCTCGCCGAGCAAGTTCATACCTCTCTTTTCGACACTTCATCATCCATGCGTTCATGTAAGCTCTCTCGCATCCTGCCTGCACCGACTCCCACCTTGCAACATCGGAATCGTACTGGTCCCGCAGTTTCCACTCTTCGTCCGTTTTGCGCTCGCATAGTGTCATCCGCGTGACACCGCCAACCATCTGCATCTTCTCAAATTTCTCCATGCGGGACTTCATGGCGTCTTTTGTTCTCTTGAGGTACTCACACCACTTCTTTTCGTTCTCTATCTCATCAATCTCAGGCTCAAGAGCGTCGGCATCTAAGTCCTGTATTTCATAGATTAAACGGCGTTCATACCAGTGGCCCACTCTCGTGATATAGTGACACGGATCCAGACCGTACGGATCATGCTCGTTGTAGGAACGGGGTTCCGAATCATTCTGGGGAATTTGCAAGCTTCTCAGGGTCGCGCAAACCGCCAGCTCGGACACGAGCCTATAATGCCATATGACAGGCTTTTTCGTCCAGTTTACGGCATGATTCCTGACCGTGGTCTCCGTCACGGTATTATCCAGCCTCCAAGCGAGATTGTCAAAGTTCGCCTTTAACTCCATCAGCCTCCACGCCTCCAGATATAATTCTTCTGGCCGGCCACCCATGCACAATTTCAATAGTCTCATCCTGGGGCCATTTTGGATCCGTGACAACTCCGAGGTGGACAAAAGTTCGAGTGCGGCCGGCATAGATCCATCGAATTGTTTGATGGTGCCAGTTACTGGATCTGCTTCGAAGTCGCTTGGCTGCTCGTTGTAGCTATGCTCCGCTTTCGCTCTAGCCGCTGCGCTAGCCTCGTCAATTTTGTTGATCCTCTGCAACCACTCAATCTCCGCCTTTGCGTCATCGATCTTGCTGCGTAGTTCATTATACGCCTTCTTCGCCTGGTCTATTTCCGCTCGAGTCGGCTTAGGATCATTGTTGTGTGACTTGGGGATGAGTGTCTCGAAATCGTACTGCTCCCACCACTGTCCGTCCTTCTCATAGAATCGGCCAGTCTTTCTGATTGGATCATTGACGGTATATGGAGGTGGCAGTGCGTTGGAACCATGGATGAAGTTGAGTGGAGGGCCGGCTGTTTTCCGTTCTTTCCACTGCATCGGTTTCTCCTTCCAATTTCTTGCGGTTGTTTTGGGGATGGTGAATTCTGGCTCCATTTTGAAGGCTGCGAGATTGCGTCAGGAAGTGTGTGATAGAGCCTCGGGAGGATTGTTGGTCCGGAGGGCTTTATATACATTAGCAGCTTCGCGAAACCCTTAGTGCTACCAAGATTTGTGCTAGCGAGCTCGTTCAGCAGCGCGAGTAACGAACCATTGCACGGAGTCGGTCCACCCATGGTAGGTTGAACCGGTTTTGTGAGCGTCAAGTCGTGGAACTACTCATATGACCTCGTGGTGATGCGGAGCACCAGCCTCAACACCGTGCCAAGACTCGTGGTAGCCATGGTTCCACATGTTGAGCTCAGCACACAAAGCTGGATACCTTACCACTGCCCAGTCCGTTCTGGTGCGTCGCCATGGCCTATAATTGCAAACCTCCAACATCATCGTTCCGGCGGAAGCGCAGCGGATACATCTCTGAGGGATTATCTGCAATGCGCCCTTGGAAGTATCACATTGCGCTTGGCCAGATCACACTTAGCGTCATGCTGAGAAGCGGTGGTCTCGGTAGAGGCCACGTAGACTTGGGAGTCGACATACAAGCCTGGTGAGTAAGGTGGGTATGTGAGTGTTCTTCAGCGGCCTGACTTTAGAAGCAAGAGTGACAGCGTGATCGCTTGTGGGTAGAGAAGTTGATGATGTGTCAATTTGAACAGGAAACAATAGAGTAACGAACAAGACCATACGAGACATTCGAATGTAAAAGCAGCATAGCCGTAGACTATGTAGTAACACTTGACTGAGGAAACCAATGTAACTGACTGGTCGCTGCGCCAGCGCTCTTCTGCTCTCCTCTGCAAGCCTCCAACAGCGTGGGCGACTCAGCCTAGCACACCCAGTGACATCGCTCGGCTGCGCTCCTGAGGTCAACGATGTGGAGAAGCGGACAACAGTTTATCAGTGCATTTCCAGCGTAGAAGAAAGGCACTGAGAGGAGGTCTCCGAAACGCTTGGTCTAATTTATGAGGCCAGCACGGGGTTATGTTAAGCACGCGCCTTGAGAGAGTTGTCTTGCTAACCCTCATCAATGCCGTCATAAGAAGGGAAGGCTTTGCGAGACAAGATATGAGTCTCCCAAAATCGCTGTTTTAGAGAGGGTTCTTTCGGATCCGACCTCGCTACGGCACGATGTACATACCTACATAGCCACCCGCCGCCCCGAGCGGCCGCGATGGGCAGGCAGGCAGGGAGCCCTAGAGTATGAGGTTTGAATACTGCCGACCCATTTCCAATTCGCATGCTGTCAAAGGCAATCCAGTCTTGAGAAACATGGAGTCACTGATGTCCATCGGTGAACGGGATGTATCACGTCGTACTGAGGCCCCCGTCATCAGCCCTCGGGCGCATGATCATTGTTGCATGAAGTAGGCCTAAGAGGCCATGTCGTTGTGTCTCAGATACTGGATACTGCGAAGGCGATAGTGCGTTCGCACTTTTGCTTTCAATACCTCTCGACTATACGAATTATGAACAAGCTTCTTCGCCTCCTTGCTTCTGCGTTGCTGCTACTGGCGGGCAGTGTTAAGGGCGTTAAGATTGTCCAGACAGCGTCATTGCAGCCCGTATAGAACGATCCCTGCAGCTTCTTCAACGGTCGAGGTGCCTAGATCACAATCCATCATTACCGACATTTCAGGTGAAGCTAATGATCGCACAGTTGCGCTCGTACGGAACCAGATCTTTTTCATGGGAGGGAGCTAGGGGAGTCAGCGCAACCATATCCTTACTCACTCAACCTCAACGAGTCGTTCTCCGTGGGCCGCCTGCTCCATCACAGTTCATTACGAAAGACGAAAATGCCACAGGCCGCTCCATGGCAGAGTGAAGCTGGAGTCTTCTCCCACGACAAAACTACGCTGTATCTCTATGCCGGAGTGTCCATGCAGACTGAACCGGACGAGCTGTGGGCATTCAATGTCTCCACGAGCGAGTGGAAGACCGTGACGATCAGAGGAAAAGGCTTTTAGAAATACAACCGCCTCTTAGGTGAGAGCATTCTAGGCGTGGCCCAGCAGCGTGCTAGCTAACTCATATAAAGGATCTCATGAGAGCTATCCGCCAGGTGGCTCGGGAGTCTTCTCCGGAGGAACCGAAAAAGACGAGATCGACCTACCAGGCCTGCTTCTTTTTAACGCTTCTGATCCTCAGAACCGGGAATGGGTAAACAAGTCGGTTCATTCAAGTTTAAGCTCCATGGGTCCCCATCGCGGAGGTGCTGCCGTGGCATACCTCCCCATGAGCGATGAAGGCGTCGTCCTTTACATTGGTGGATTCAATGTGAGTTGTGAAACCGAGCGACACCTGGAAGCTTTCCGCTGACTGTCTTAGACCACTAGAAGAATGTCCACAACCGACGGGGTCATGTGGGATGATGCTCGCCTAGACAGCGTCGACGTATATGGTGTTCATTATGGAAAATGTTATACCATCCAAACCAGTGGAGACACCCCTCCTGACCGGCAGGAGATGGCAACGTGGATGTCCCCAACGCTGGACTGGAGCTCCTTCTAGATTACTATATACGGAAGCAACAATCATTTCAATAACTCCGACGAAGCCATCTGTAAGTGCAGCTGACTTGAAAGGCGACTTAGCGTGTTGCTAAGGAGACACTCTAGACGTACTCAGTGTCCCCACGTTCACATAAACGAAGGTTCAGGACATCAACACTATCGAAGCCGCACAAGGAGGACTTCAAGTAGGTCGCGCACGGCAACGGGGCGTTTCGTGGCAGGACCGGTATGGTTTTGTGATCGGTGGAAACGTCAAGAATGGCGGAGCAGTCGTGAACGAGGGCTCCTGCAATGCACTGTACCCGCCAGTCAGACTCTAGGACTTGACGACCTTCGAGTGGCAGAACGTGTACGACCCCGACAAACTCACAAAGTATCAAGTCCCTAAGAGCATTGCATCGGTCATTGGAAGTGGGTTAGTCTCGATTGGTTTCGCTATCCATGCGTGCATCGTGCTAATATTCTTCCTCTCTAGCACGAAGACCAGCCCCAGTGAGAGCTGGGATGATCCAGAGCTTGCCGCAGTTTTCAGCAAGAGAATGCCTCGGTATGAGTCGCCATCGAACCACTTCGCACGTTCCTCATCAGATCTCGCGGGGCGACCTTCATCCCAAGCCGTGCCCGGTCAGCCCAGCACCTCAGAAGGAAGCTCCGGCAGACCGAAGAGTTCATCAGCATCTCTCATCATTGGAGTCGTTAGTCAAATCGCAGTCTTGGTTCTTGCGGCAGGTGTGTTCTTTCGGGTACGCCGGCGTAAGAAATAACTGAGACAATGGAAACAAAAAGATGCGAGTCTCCCGCCGGAAATGAGTTGTCAAGATAAGCTACAGCCTCCGCAACATCCTGGTGAGCTTCCAGGGTTGACGCCAGAGTACGAGCTTTCAGCCTCGAAACGGCTCTCGAAGGACAGGAAGTCACAGACGGAACCCCGGGCAATATATGAATTGCAATAGACAGGAGGTATCCTTCGTTCAGCGGCTCTTGGCTCTCTCTCAGTTGGGCATTTAGAGGTAGATGTAGACCATGAGAATCTAAACTCATGCAAACGATGAATAGAATGACAGCTCGGCCCCCGTTTACTTCATAAGGGTCCAAGGCAGGAGAGACGTGCAAAGCTGAGAAAATCACGTGCTGGTGCAATCGAGAACATGACTGTATATGCCAACAGAAGGCACGTCTCACAAACTACGCCGCAGGTGCCTTCCACCAATACTCTGACCATATACTAGAACTGGCAGTCTCCGATTGAAAGATGTATTATACCTGGACATTAAAGAGGTTCAAAACGGTTTACAGCATCCGTGTCAATCGAAGCTTGATGATGGCAAGCCCGGCGTTACTTCGGAGCTGGAGTCGGAGCTCTATCGAAACATTGCGCAGCGCCATGGCTATTCCGCCTATAGACACCACAGATATGAATTTAGGTGACGAAGGGGGCTCGCCATGGGACGGTGAATCTTTCCGCACTCCGTTGATGGCGATCAAAGAGCTAACTCTGGCGTGTAGACGTTCCCTCGCGCTCGCATTCGAACCAAAACCTCAAGGCCGCTGGTGAAGAAGCACAGGACTCAGGTAATTGTGTTGCGCTTATTTGGAGCATGAGCGAGCCGCTCACAAGGCACAGCTCGACCGGATCAGCAGGATGCGCCAGCACCCAGCGCATCAACGGTCTCCAAAACAGGCACTACCCGAGGGAAGAGGACCATCCGCCGATACGAAGCGCAACCCACAAGTTTCCAACCTGTAGACGACTCGCTAGGACCCCTAGGGCCGCTAGGAGACAGCTACAAACCTCCAGCACAAGATGAGCCCCCAGCGCCGCCGCAGAAGGAGCAAGCCTCCATGCGGAGCTCGCGGCCAACAACCGCGACGTCGCAGTCCTCAGTTCGAAGCATGATGGACTCCGTAAACCTTGACGATGACGACGATGCGACGCCTTCGCGACCCAGGATACCGCCGCCTGTTCAGCCACCTAGTAACGACACGCCGCGGCGGCAGACACAACCGAGCATGTCGGTGGAGCAAGCAGCAAAGCCGACATTCCAGATTACCGTGGGAGATCCGCATAAAGTCGGAGACCTTACAAGCTCGCATACCGAGTACCAAGTCAGGACGAAGGTAAGCCATCACGCCCCGACCCCTATTCTCTACGCGCACGGCTAACCGCAGCCGCCACGGCGCTCGCAGACCACCTCGAAAGCCTACCGCACAGAAGAATTTGCCGTCTCCCGCCGCTACCGCGACTTCCTCTGGCTATACTCCCAACTTCACGCGAACAATCCCGGCGTCGTTGTGCCGGCGCCCCCGGAGAAGCAAGCCGTAGGCCGATTCGACGCCGGTTTTGTAGAATCGCGCCGAGCAGCGCTGGAGAGGATGCTCAACAAGACCTGCGCGCATCCTATACTCCAGCACGACGGCGACCTCAAGCTCTTCCTCGAGAGCGAAGCCTTCAACGTGGACATCAAGCACAAGGAGCGTAAAGAGCCGATGCTGGGCTCCGAGAGCAAGGGTATGTTCGGCGGCCTCGGACTGGGCGGCGGCGGTGGGAAGTTCATCGAGCACGATGACGTACGATCTACCTTCTGATTGCCTCCCACCGACTCAAGCTGACTAGCTACCACACAGTGGTTCCACGACCGGCGCGTCTACCTCGACGCGCTAGAAACGCAGCTCAAAGCGCTCCTCAAAGCGACCGATGCCGTCGTGATTCAGCGCAAGGGCCTGGCGGAAGCCACCGGCGACTTCTCCGCCTCTCTGCACTCCCTCGCAGCCGTCGAGCTCTCGCCTTCCCTCTCCGATCCGCTCGACGCGCTTTCCGTCCTCCAAACCCGCATCCGCGAGCTGTATGAGAGACAGGCGCAGCAGGATGTCCTCACATTGGGCATCGTGATAGACGAGTATATCCGGTTGATTGGCAGCGTCAAGAAGGCGTTCGAGCAGCGCCAGAAGGCGTACCATGCGTGGCATGCGGCCGAGTCGGAGTTGTCGAAGAGGAAAGGTGCGCAGGATAAGCTACTTAGACAGGGAAGGAGCCAGCAGGATCGGCTGAATCAAACGAATGCGGATGTGAGCGATGCGGAGAGGAAGGTGCATGCGGCGCGGTTGCTGTTTGAGGATATGGGCCGCCTAATGCGCGGGGAGCTGGAGAGGTTTGAGCGGGAGAAGGTCGAGGATTTCAAGAGTGGGGTGGAGACTTTCCTGGAGAGCGCGGTGGAGGCGCAAAAGGAGGTGTGTTTACCAACTCACCATCCCCAGTCCCCCTTTCGTTCTTCCTCCCAGTCTCTGGTCTGCGAAACGAATGCTAATACCGAACCCCCAGCTCATCGAACTCTGGGAAACATACCTCTTCCAGCTCGACGACGAGGAAGAAGGCAAGCCCTTCGGCCACTCGATCCCGCCCGCTGGCATCAAGGCTGCAGGCGCTGACGCAACAACTAAGGATGCAGCAGCACCGCCTGTCGACTCGGCCAGGCCCTCTACGGGAGACGATTCGCGGCCGGAGAGTCAGGGAACCGAAGAGACCGAAGGCGGGAGTATCGAACAGGCGAGGGCGGCGGCGAGTGTTACGAGGGAGGTCGAGGAGTAAGGATCAAGGGGTCAGGGTTGGGATCTGTCAGTACAGAAATGGGTTTTAGGGCGCGAATCAACATCAAAGGAGTGGGATATTGGTTGCTTCAGTCGTCTGTCTGGGGCCGTAGGGGAACGGGAATTCCCAATGTACTTTCACAATTTGCAGTTGACCCAAGAAACCAACTCAGTCTGCTGCACATGGGATCGAAACCTCGTGAATTGGTCCATAGCCCAGAGATTTTTAGTATCAAGCAGATAGCGAAGACACTAGACTTAGAAACGCCAACCACATGCCCACGCGCCCGCTCGTATGCAATCGTAAATCCAGGTCCTTGCTCAATATGGAAAATTCCGTGACATGGAAAGAGAGAGAGCAAAGACGTAGCTACAAGGTCAGCTTCCTGTGACCTTCCTTAGCCAATTCCCGTCCTCTTGAGCCAGCGACTCAGATATCCGCTATCGGAACAGCACTGCTGAAGCACGCCTCGAGAGGTGTCGCAATCGTCCGTCTGAGTTCTCAAAGCGCGTTCCTGGAACGGCATGGAAGGCGTCTGGCTGAAAGCTCGAACACAGATGTCGTGGCCGCAGCACAACAATTGCTGCCAAATGGAGTAGCAGGTGGCGTTCTCTTCTCTTGTCTCTTCTCTCATGGACCCTTATCCAGCCAAATCCACAGCTAGATCTTCTCCCTCTCAGCAAGCAGATATCCCACCTCCCAGCCCCCGATCACCGAATAACCCCCCACGACTCCACACCTCCCAACCCCCCACCCCTCTCCTTCTTCCTGAACGCGTTCCAAAACCTCAACGTCTCGTCCCCGGCGCCCGTCACGATGACCTGCCCATCCGGACTCATCGCAAGATACAGGACTCTGTACGTGTGTCCCGTCAGACTGACCACCTGCTGCATGCTCGGATACTTCCACACGATGATCTGGTTCTGGCTGTACCCGTGCGTGCTGACCAGCTCATTGCTATTGCGCGACCACGCCAGATTGCACACCTGGCTCCCTGTATCAAGCGAGCTGAGAAGGTTGGCAGGTGGCGGCGTCGCCCTATCCGCGCCCACGCCACCAGGACCGCTCGCCGCAGCCGAAGCCGCCGCAGCCGTACTCGCGATGCTGCTATGACTGTGCGGGCTGAGCAGCGTGTTCCAGAACTTGATGGTCCGATCCGCCGTGCCGCCTCCACTCGCCAAGAGGCCCCTCTGGTGCGGACTCCACGCAATCGCCTTGACCGCCGCGCTGTGCTCGGCCCACTTGAACGTCGGTTCCGCATTCAGCTTCTCCCAGACCATGAGCTTGTTGTCGTTGCCGCCCGAGGCCAGCTGGCCGTCCTCGGAGTTCCACTTCAGGCCGCAGACCTCCTGCTTGTGGCCGACGAGCTTGCGGAGCCACTGGTCCGGCTGCCGCACGTCGCGGTGGTAGATGAGCCGGTCGCGCGAGCCCGAGGTCAGGATGTGTTCGTTCCAGGCCAGGGCGCCGACGCGCGCCGTGTGGCCCGTCATGGTGCGCAGACGGCGCTGCGTCGTCGCGTCCCAGATCTGCACGAAGCCTTTGTGCGTGCCGATTGCGATGTGCGACCCGCGCTGGATCCAGTTCACGGAGGTGACGGTGTCGTCGGGGAGTTCGCAGAGTTTGGTCACACGCCCGGAGGACGAGTTCCACATGTAGACGCATTGGCCCAGACCGACGCCGAGGATGTTTTGGCTGCCCCAGTCGACCAGGTTGAGGTAGAAGTCGTCGGCGAGGTCGGGCGCGTCGAGGACTTTGTAGGGCACTTTGGAGACGGCGCGGGGGGTCTTGCGGGGGGAGAGGAGCATGGTTTGCGAGCTGTGTTTTACGGGGCTCAGGCTGTAGATCTCGGAGCGGGTGTCGAGGTTGGGGCCTTGCCGGCTTCGGGGCGTGCGGTTGGGGGTTGGGTTGCCGGACAGTGAGTGATGGCGTGGTGACATGTAGGAGAAGAGGTTCTTGTGAGGTGTGGAGGGTGTGAGGACTGGCGCGGGTAGGCCGGATATTCGGGTTGGTGGTGTGTGTGAGCGCGTCGGGTCGTGGAAGGTTGTGCCGTAGTTTGTTGGTGAGAGGTTTTGTGGTATCGACTGTGGTACTGAGGATTCGAACATCTCTGAGCGGAGGAGAGTGGAGTATGTTCGGTTCGCTTCTTCAGTTCGCTGGAAGTGAAGCTCGTTGTCGGGTATCCGCTTTCTTCTCGAGGGCGTCGCGGGCGATCCGTCGTCGTGTAGCAAGCTAAAGCTAGCTTGCAAGTCCTGGCCCGATCGGTTTGGAATGAATCTGTCCCCATACACGCGCTGCCGTTTTCTGCTTGGACTTGCGGCTGGGGTGTGCTCTCTCTGCCTTCCAGCCTGCTCGAATTGCTCCAACGCCTTGCTCAACGCTGTCGCATCTATCGGCTCTGAGCCTCGGTTCGTCACTCGCGGCTCGCTGTGCTGGCGTTTGTTTGAGACAGTCGGCGGCGTCTTGGATTCCGGCGGTGATATCAACGTCGGCGTGTGCACATCCTCGACCGTGCGCGTTTCGGTGTGTGTGATGGCCAAGCCGATGTCGAGCTCCTCGGTGCGCCGCATTGTCGATGAGAATCGTTTATGAGGCTTCTGAGACGAGTGTTTGGATATGTAGTCGGTGCAAAGAGTGTTTGCGCAAAGATGCAGGCTCGGAAGCTAGAGTTTGTTGGACAAGGTTTTGCGACATTCACGTCACTGGTGGAGAGTGACCGTGGTATGAAGTGAGTGAATGCGGTGAAGGTGAATGCGCCGTGTAAGAACAGCAATCCACCCCTTGGGTCGTTGGGTCCTTGCAGCGACGGGATGCGACAGCTGCTGCCTCTAGGTATTCCTGTTCCTAGCTCTTTCCCTCAATCGGTCCGTCAGCGCATTGCGCAATGTATTGTAGCGACCGTCAGGCGATGGTGAGTTGGTGTGCGACAGGAGGCTTATCGACGGAATGCGGCCTTGGTTGATCGACGTTCTGGTCTTTGGTGGAAGCGGCGCCAGGAGAGTCAAAGCGCAAGGCAAGGCACGCTCCACGGCAACAATCGATGGACCCTGAACACGGGCTGCGATGGCGATAGCGACGAGGAACAGTCGACGCAAGCTGGCGCGAGAGCTGTAGAGAAGGAGGGGAGGTGTTGAAGTTCGGAAGTACAGATGTAGCGCTGTTTGGCAGTGTTTGGCAGTGTTGTGATGCGGGCACGTCCAGGGCGGTCTCTCCATGTTTTGATTCTCAATTGACGCGCATCGCAGCCTTCGATTGGCTGTCGGAGCTCTGTTTCACAGGGCTGAGCTGTGGCTTCTCCGACAACGTCGCGAGCTTGTCACGACCTCCGACCACCGCCCGTCACAGATCGCAGACCTTACCGCCGGCCTGTTCTATGCTAAAGCCCTCTTTTACCTGCGCCGGTGTACTGCAGACTAGCTCAGTCCGTACGCGTAGTTGCAGAACTGTCTTGTGCCGGACGCGTTCTCTTCAGACAATGCCCTCATCCAAGGTGTCCCTCCACCAGGCGGAGGCCTTCCTGTCCTTCGTCAACGCGTCTCCTACCCGTACGCGTTATAGACAACTTAGATCAAGCTTCGCCGCTGACTGTGACGCTCAGCCTTCCATGCTGTCAAGTCTGCCAAAGAGCGGCTAGAAGGGGCCGGCTTCAAGCAAATCAAGGTTGACAGCCGCTCGAATCACTGAACCTCTGTTCTCACGCTTATGGATACCTTTTAGGAACGCGACGCCTGGTCTTCGACGCTGCAGCCGGGCGGCAAGTACTACCTTACGCGTAATACCTCATCCATTGTGGCCTTCGCCGTTGGCAAGAAATGGAAAGCCGGAAACCCCGTCGGCATGATAGGTGCCCACACAGACTCGCCCTGCCTCCGCATCAAGCCGGTGTCCAAGAAGCAGAACGAGGGTTTCCTGCAAGTTGGCGTCGAGACATACGGCGGTGGGCTGTGGCATACCTGGTTTGACCGTGACCTCAGCATAGCTGGGCGGGTCATGGTCAAGACCTCGGATGGGAACTTCGTGCAGAAGCTTGTCAAAGTTGACAGGCCGATCTTGCGCGTGCCATCACTAGCCATACATCTCGATTCGCAAGAACCGTTTCAATTCAACAAGGAGACGCAATTGTTTCCAATAGCCGGACTGGTAGCTGCAGAGCTGAACAGGCAGGGCAAGACCGGCAAGGAGGAACCGTCTAAGTCCGAGAAGGACGATGCCAAAGACGGATCTGTCGAGCCTCTGAAAGCCGTCACCGAACGGCATCACCCCTACATTGTTGATATCATCGCTGAAGAAGCCGGCTGCGAGGCGTCCGACATCCTTGACTTCGAGATTGTCCTCTACGACACGCAAAAGTCGTGCATCGGCGGTCTCAATAACGAGCTTATCTTCTCTGCCCGCCTCGACAATCTGATGATGACCTTCTGCAGTATCGAAGGGCTGGTCTCATCCCTCTCCTCGTCCTCAGCTCTCGACAACGACTCCACCATCCGGCTAATCGCCTGCTTCGATCATGAAGAAATCGGCAGCCAGACTGCGCAAGGCGCCGACTCGAACCTCCTGCCCGCCGTGCTGCGCAGACTCTCAGTCCTCCCCTCCTCCAGCGAGTCCGAGTCGGACGCATCCTACGACAAAGTCGGCGTGAGTATGGACGAGGCAGCAACAGCCTACGAGCAGACTCTGTCCACCAGCTTCCTCATCTCAGCCGACATGGCGCACTCCGTCCACCCCAACTACCCCGGCAACTACGAGTCCTCGCACCGTCCGGAGATGAACAAGGGCACCGTCATCAAGATCAATGCGAATGCCCGGTACGCCACTAACTCGCCTGGCATCGTCCTCCTGCAGGAAGTCGCACGGAGAGCGAAGAAGGCGTCGTCGCCTAGCGCGTCATCAAGCTCGGAAGGCGTGCCGCTGCAGCTCTTTGTCGTGCGGAACGACTCGCGGTGCGGCAGTACGATTGGCCCGATGCTGAGCGCGGCGCTGGGGGCGAGAACGCTGGATCTGGGAAATCCGCAGCTGAGCATGCACAGTATTCGCGAAACGGCGGGCGCGTGGGATGTAGAGCACGCGGTTAATCTGTTTGAGAGCTTCTTTGTGCATTTTGCGGAGGTGGAAAAGAAGATTTTCGTGGACTGAACGCTGTGGTAAGTGGGGGCAGTAGAGCTTCGAGGGTCTGCAGTTGTAGTGAGTCCATGGTTGCCTGCGAACCTGTATCTAGGGACGAGGAAGCATGCGAAAATTCCGTGCAGAACAGGTGGGAAACACCCTATGAAGCTCCGCGGAAGTAGCTTGTAGTTGCCTGGCTGAACCATGGTTGGGGCTCATTTTCTATGGTGTAGATTGTCATCTATCCTCTCTGGACACTTGGCAGCTCCCCGTCGTCAAAACTCAGGCAGGCACAAAAAAGCGTACAAAGTCTTTCTGCTCAGAATTCCTCAGAACTCTAAAATATTTCCGTTCCTGTGCGACTTCTTACTTGCAAGAATCTCCCTCTGAATCCCGCACGCACGATACCTACAAAGCCCTCTCCATCGAACAATCTCGAATATCAAAAACTCCCACCGTATCCTCGTAACGCTCAGCAACCTATCTTCCTCAACTCACCCCAGCTCTCCTCCAATTCCCCTCACCGAGACCAGCCCACTATCGACCTCCACAGACACAACCCTCGCCCTACCGATTTCGCTCATGTTTCGCGCACTTCTCCATCACCTTGGCCGCCTTGCCCACACCGGGCCCGCCGTCCGCGCCGCATTGCAACAACGACTTCCTATACTCTCAAGCGCCGCCGAAGCCGCTGAAGCCGTCTCGAAGGCTGTTGCCACTGTAGATGCGACTCTGGGCGCTCATCAGAAGAGGATGTTGGAGGTGGAAGCGCATCATCAGCAGAGCCTGAGGATGATGCAGGAAATTCAGCGGATGATAACCGAGATGGCGCAGGCTACGAACCAGATGGCGCAGGTTGCGCATGAGTTGGCGACGATGGTTGCGAGGCCTTTGAGGCGGGATTCTGGGGTGGGATTTTGAATCAGGTGGGTGTGTTGTGGGATTTTGGATGGCTGTGGTTGGGCTTGGCATTTGCGTCCAGGGGGGCGTTAGCACCACCAAGCTTTGTGCAGCTGTTTATGACGAGAAGTATTACCATCGGATCGAGCATGCAACCATCTCTATGTGGAATCAGGTAAATGGTCTTTCGCTCAGACAAGCTGCACTTTCGCGCGCTGGTACCGTCGTTGTGAGTACGCTAAACCACAATTGAGGCCGAAATGTGTGGAATCAACCTTCGCTACCATGGTTCCAGAGGAATGTTCTCTTTGACTCTAACTTCATCGCGCAACCGCATCAACTTCGCTCTCACAGTTGTATAACTATCATCATGCCCTCCTCCATTCTGCACCGGCAATCCAATACTGTCCAAAAAGCACTTTCTCAAACCAAAACTGCAAAACACACATCACCAACCAAACTCAACCATCATCACCAAATAAAATCTTCATCAATACCATATCACCCCACCAGCCTCCCCACCAACCCTCCAAGATGTCACTCTCAAACATCGATATCCACATGGTCGACAACTTCGACACCCTGGCGACCCACCTCATACGCCTCACTATCCTCTCCCTCCTCCACCTCCTGAACCTGACCCCCCTCCTCCACCACCTCGACTCCCTCTCCGCCGCCGAGCCACCCGCACCGACCACCCTCGACACCCTCATGGCGGCCGGAGAAGCCCGCCTCGCGGCCCAGCGCGCCTCATCGCAGACGCGCCTCGCCGCGCAGAAAGCGGCACTCGACATCAAACTCGCCCATCACGAAGCAGAGAAGGAGCGCCAGCAGGCGGAATCAGAAGCCCGGCTCGCGGCCGCGAAAGCGGCTGCCGCATCCAGGATCGAGCACCTGCATGCGCCGCGCGCCGGTGCCAAGTCGGGGAGCGACGTTCAACCCAAGCTGCGTGTCGGGTGGCTGCCATCGCCAATTCTTGCTGTCAGAGTACAGCTCGACGTACCCCGCGCGCCGCACCGCGAGGAGCGCAGGGGGGTTAGGGAGAGGGCGCGCGAGGCGCGGGGGGTGTGTCGGGAGGTGCGAGAGACGGTTCGGGATGTGCGGGCGAGTGTGCGCGGGATGAAGGAGAGGGCTTGGGAGGGGATGGAGAAGTTGCGGAGGAGGAGGGATTCGGGGTGTTGGGAGCGGGTGCCGGTGATCGAGGGGTGGGATGTGGAGTATGAGGTGCTGAGGCGGCGCGAGAAGGAGGGCGTCAGGAGCCGGAAGGAGAGGTTTCTGTAGATGCTTTCTGTTCTGGGTAGTCGGCTGAATGTAAGAATGCCTCCCTGATACCCATCTCTGCAAACTCTACTCGAATGGAACAAGCCCTTCCTCCTATCCATTCCGCTGGTCAACCACAGATGGCTCCGACGATCGCCACAACCCTCTCCATCCTCATCACGGACACGGCCGTTCGCTGGGGAATGGAACGTTTCTACCCCCGCAGAACGGAACGAGAAACCGCAGTCGAACATCGGGAGAAGATAGTGACCATCCGGGAACGGACGTTAGATATCCGCGAACACACGCTCGACAGACGGGAATGTAGCCTGGACATCCAGAAAATGGTGCTGGAGATGCAGCAAAAGATACTGAGAGCAAGGTACTCGAATGAGGAAAAGCCTCGTGCTGGTGATGCTATCAAGGAACTGTGACTTGCTCCTCGCATTCAAGGACTTCATTAGGAAGGTGGACATAGAGGGCCAGAATAAGGCTGGAACCAAAGGCTCCACCAGCTAAGCATGTTGGACAGATGGCATGGAGTTGTGTCTTGGACTGAGTAGCTGCGAAGCATCATCACATGGCCATGGATTTCGTGTTGTTGATGGTTGTAGCGCAGACTTGTGTGACCGAGTCCATCTGACATGTGAAATAAGGGCGAGATTGTTGTGGAGATCTGTATCACAGCAGCCGGTTTCCATCTCTTGGTCTAGACTAAGATGATTGCGGAGAGGTGTGTGACAGAGCTCATAAGACATCTAGATTGAGGGCGAGAATGTTGCGGAGACATGTGTGACAGATGGTGATTTTATCTCCTAATCGGGAGTGAGGATAGAGAACACCTCACAATTGCCGTTTAGAGGTTGGCCTAAGGTCGCACCACGTGACCAGCCCTTGCCGCAGATCTTGAAACGGGCGGTAACGGCGGGAAAATGCTGGAAACGGAGGGTTCCCGAGGTTGGCCTGGACCCTTGAACGAACGCCCTGGAGCAACCCCCCAGTCTCTGCGCGTCAACTTCGCGGAAATAATAGATAGACGCGTGACTGAGGTGTTGTCAGCGTCCAGCTTATTCCAACAGCCAAAGAGCTCACTTTGAGGCCGTTTCATGTGATCGCCGCCGCCGCCGTTTGTACTCGCATGAGCGATATGACTAGTCTCAGACCCGGGAAGCGCCTTGGCCTGACCCGCCGATCTGACTTCGGGCCGAACAAATCTCTGCCACTGCCAACCCTCACCGCCCACCGCCATCAACGTAACGCAACGGCTCTCGTTGGTCTCCACGAATATGTCTGAAACTGTCGGCCTCAAAGATCGTGATGGCTGGGCAATCGCCGTTCACTCGCATCAAGGCGAAAATCCCTTCCCGTGTTCGAGCTAGCGCGACGCCTCGGACACTGACCGCCCTGCCGACTCAGCGCCTCCCGTTCGCAAGAACCACCGAGGATGCACACCTCGACTCAGCCTCGCAGGCAGGACCAGGACAAACACGGTCTGATGACTGCGGCGCTAATGCAAGATGAGATCGTGCCCAGTGGGAGGCTCCCCCATCGGTTTCACAGAGGGCTTATTTACGAACATGCCTTTCTTGTGCTTTCCTCTCATATCCTCCCTCGATCCTTCAGATTGTACCTCGCGACTCCCATATTTATAGCTCGCCATCTGTCGTCCCTTCTCTGGTATCTCGCGTCTTCTCTGCAGCCGTTGATCCTCACATCTTTCCTCACTGTCTCTAACGCGTTTGTTGCATCATGGGTTCAATTCATGCCCCCGTTCACCGCGCGTGGTGGAAGGAGGCGTCGGTCTACCAGATCTACCCTGCTTCCTTCAAAGATTCGAATGGAGACGGACTCGGTGATATTCCCGGCATCATCTCCAAACTCGACTATATCAAGGCGTTAGGCGTGGACATGGTCTGGGTCTGCCCCATCTATAAATCACCGCAAGTCGACATGGGCTACGACATCTCCGATTACGAAGACATCCACGCACCTTACGGCACTCTTGCAGACGTCGAGAGGCTCATTGAAGGTCTACACAGTCGAGGAATGAAGTTCGTGATGGACCTAGTGGTCAATCACACCTCTGATCAGCACAAATGGTTTCAGGAGGCCAAGAAATCTAAAGACAGCGAATTCAGGGACTTCTACATCTGGAGAAAGCCAAAATACGACGCCGCCGGCAAGCGCCAGCCGCCGAACAATTGGGCAGCAGCCTGGGGAGGTATGTTGGAAACCCAGCACGGTCCATGCGAGCATCCTTGAACAGGATGAGTATGGCTGACACATCCGAACAGGCAGTGCGTGGGAGTATGACGAGGCATCCGACGAATATTACCTCCACATTTTCGCACCCGAGCAACCCGATCTGAACTGGGAGCACCCTCCCGTTCGTGAGGCTGTCTATGCCATCATCCGCTTCTGGCTGAACAAAGGGGTGGACGGCTTCCGGTGAGGGCAAGATACGTGCTTAGGCTGGGACATGTCTGACGTCTTATCTCAGAATGGACGTCATCAACTTCATCAGCAAAGCCCCCGGTCTCCCCGACGCAGCGGTTCTGCAGCCAGGAAAAGAGTTTCACAGCGGTGCGGAACATTTCGCCTGCGGTCCAAGGCTACATGAGTATCTGCAAGCGATCGGCAAGATTCTCAAGGAGTACAATGCTTTCTCAGTCGGAGAGATGCCGGCCGTGCACGATCCGAAACAGATCATCAAGGCTGTTGCGTTCGACCGCCAGGAACTCAACATGATCTTCCACTTCGAGATGTAAGTAATGCACTGTCCACCACTTCCGTGATTGTCAGTTAATTTTAGTGTCAGTGTCGACATGGATCATGGGCTTGGCGGAAAGCTCACCCCCAGACCATGGGAGATGTCGAAACTGAAGGAGATTGTCAGCAGATGGCAATATTTCATGATTGACAACGACGGGTGGAACGCCCTTTACCTAGAGAATCACGATCAGAGCCGATCAGTCTCCCGGTGGGGCTCCGACTTACCAGAGTTCCGGGTCGCTTGTGCGAAGATGTTCGCGACGTTCCTCGCTCTCCAGTGCGGAACGGTATTCGTTTATCAGGGCCAGGAGCTGGGCATGACCAACATTCCGAAGGATCGAGACGTCAGCGAGTACCGCGATCTGGAGACCTTGAACTGGTGGAATGAGTAAGTTGACCAGCCCGGAAGCTTCAGTGTCACGTGCTGACAAGCTGTCAGAATGCTTGAGAAGCACCCCGATGACAAGGAGCTCCACCGCATCACCAAAGATGAGATTCAGAAGAAGTCGCGTGACAATGCCCGAACACCCATGCAGGTGAGTCGGTGCTGTCATTGCAGTAGAGAGCTATGGCTAATTCTGGTAGTGGGATAACTCCGAACACGCCGGCTTTTCAACCGCAGTGCCATGGCAACGCGTCAACGACACGTACCCTGATTGTAACGCCGCGGCACAGGTTGGTGTAAAAGGCAGCGTTTTCGAGTACTGGGCCAACGTTCTTCGGTTCCGCAAGACTCACAAAGACATCTTCATCTATGGTGATTACCAACTCATCGACCCCGAAAACAATGATGTATTCGCCTACACCCGAACCTTTGAAGACCAGACGGCCGTTGTTGCCGCCAATTTCAGAGCGAACAATGTCGAATGGTCCCTTCCGAATATCACTTTACAGAAAGAGAAGGTCTTGATCTCTAATTACGGGGATCTGGTCGTGAAGGATGGTGTGGTGTCGTTGCGGCCTTTCGAGGCCTTCGCTTGCCCGCTTGCTTGGTGAGGGGTACGACTAGATGTTTGGGCGGAGCTGGTAACACTGTAGAAGTATAATCCATAGACGGTCGGGCCCTTATGTGGGAATGGGAGGGGGGCGTTTCGTGGGCATGTTTGAGCTGGATCAGAGCACGTTCATAGGGCGCGTAAAGCAAGCTTCTTGTCTACATGATGCAGAGAGCAGTTTTGATTTGTGGTGAGGGGCCGATTGATTGATACGGCCTATTGTCCGCTCGAGTAGCACAAGTGTCATGCGGAAGATGCGCCGCCGCATCGTGACTGTAGCTTGCTCGATGCCGGATCCGTGATTAAGCTGAAAGCGTGGCCATCTCAAGGGTAAAACGATGGGACCGCTTCGATTCGATAAAAAAGAAACCCATGAGATGTTCAGCAGCTCCATTCTTCCGCGGATCGGTAACTGAAGATGTCTTCAATCTACAAATTGTGTCCGAGTCACCCATCTTGATGTTCATAAGTGGCTTTCAACGCGGCAATGCCTTTTTTTTCCGAAGGACCAAGGCTCACCCGGAAAAATGATGGCCACGCAAAATGGCCGGAGGCACCCTACCTTATACTGACCTACCTAACATTTATACTCAGACATCGCGCCCAAATTTCTATAGGTTCATTCAAGAATCTAGTTACATATAGAAAGGGCAGAATGGCATTAGTTCAGCATTAGTTCTGGTACTAATAAGTCCATATAATAGTATTGCTGAGTGTTGATAGATTTGATACAGTTTTTGCGTGGCCACGATTTTTCGGGTGAGCCTTGGACGGAACCTCTGGAGAATGGGCTGAGCTAACCCAGTCTAACCGCGAATAGCTTACCATACTGCTAGTTCGTCCATCAGTGAGCGCAGGCTGGGAAAGCAGCCGATCATATAGCCAGATATGGGTTTCCCAAACCTAAGTGGGAAAACCCTATTGGGCTACGTGATCGGTTCCTTTCCAACCTTGTTCCGCGACAAGCTGATACCAGGATGGTAGCATGTCTGGTACTGCAGACAGTTTCCTCTCAGCCCCACTTCCGTCGGATACTCGAGCAGTCAACATCCTTTCGAAGGCGGTTTTGTTCTTCAATTAGGAGCGAAACGCTACGGAGCTCTGCCATTAATGACTGGTAACTCAGCTTGAGCTGCATACCTGCCTTTGTCGCAGAACAAGAGTAGAAGAGAACGCTCGACCGCCGGAGAGGGAAGGAGAGTGCTCTCCCGCCATGGAAGGCCTTGTGTCGTGAGATCAATGACGACCTATCTAAACTGCTTGTAGGAAGTAGTGTCTGTCTAACCGACTGCAGAGACGATTCAGAGCTTGCCAGTAGCCTGAGCCGGAGGACGATGGTGATACTAAGCCTTTGTCTCAACACTTGACCAACCTTCGATACATCCGCGGTTCGGCAGCCTGAAGCCGCCACACTGAGCTACCACTCTAGTAGCTCTTGAAGGCGGCTCTCGTTGTCGGTTCCTGGATGACTAGGCGTTGAGCGCGCCTTACAGTATAAGTTGCTTCAATAGTAAAGAACAACTGTTCATGATTGAGGGAGGGGTTACATGCAGCACGCTATCTATATACCTCGCGCGTTGGGAGCTTTATAGGAACGTGATCAAACGCGGACGATACGCCTTACCGCAATACCCTGCAAAGCTACAGACCGCAGTAAGAGCAGTACACCTACCTGGAGGTGTAAGAACATCCTTAGGTCACAATAAACTCAAGATCACCTCAAGCGTAGTAGTTACCATTTAGGTGGTCTCTAGCAACCCGAGGTGGGTGTCTAGTGCTTCACTAGGTACGAAAGGCGTTCAGACTCGTCACGATCTTTTTGAAGTAAGATGAAAGTCGCGATTTCTCATCCTCCACTTCGCCTCGGCTACCCGCTCCGTGCGTGTTGATTTATGCTCTAAACCTCTACGCTCTGGCACTCATGAGGATCGCAAAAGCATCATCAATTCCCGTGTGGTGGTAGATCCCGTGGCCTCCAGCATGGTACACGGGAGTGCGCGAGTAAGTGCTTGGTCTGCTCGATTGAGGCATGATCCATCAAAGACGCTGGTTGGCTACATGCTCGGTCCTTGATGGCCACCCAGCCACCGGCCTGCTTGACCATCCTAAACAACCTATCCAAAACTGCGCCTTACTGTCTACCTTACTGTAAGCTTCCATTTCCTTCTGAGATGATCCTGGTAATTCAACTCAGCCTTGCAGAGCTGGGTTAACACGGCAACCCTACCCTACACGCGTTGTTCGCGCTATGAACATCTTTTAAGCCATTCTACATCCTCACATACGATAAACCAAAGTTTTGCTCATAATCTTCCCACAAGACGCTTGACTAAAATCCGCTGCATACAATAAGACTGTCAAGACATTCGATCGTACCGTCTCTCACCATCTCGACAATGGTTTTAGAAGCAGTAGCAGGACTAGGACTTGCAGCACCTCCTACTGTCGTGTTCTTTGCCAAACTGATCAAGGGAACGCACAACATCAGCACCATCTACAAGAGATCAGCGTTGATATTGGAATCCATTGAACATGAGCACGAGATCACTCGCATCATACTCGACGGAATTCCATATCAGTTATTAAATTTTCCAGACAATGCTTCCGATGGCATGCAACACCACCCTGAGTTTTCACGAGGCCTTGATACGCTCGTCGCACAATGCAGCAGGACCCTCGGGGAGCTTGACAAATTGGTTTCTGAGATCCACGAAGCTGCAGGCGGAGACTTCAAAATTGGACAGCAGCTGAATTCCAGAGGGAAGCTGAGCGTATTATGGAGAAATGACGAGATGGAGCAGTTGTTGTCTCAGCTGCGACATCACAAGAATGATATCACCACTCTCTTGCAAGTCATTCGGATGTGAGTCCAAATCCATTCCTCGGATCTACCCATAGCTGGATCATATTCCAGTCATCCTAGGAACGACTCCAAAATCGTGCTCAACAACCTCTCTGAACAATCTGAAATGTCGTTAGAGAGGACATCACCCCCAACATACGCTTCTCTCCCGGAAGCAGTTCAAACAGAGGGCATCACTTAACGGAGCACAACGTTGGCTACAATCAACTTCGAAGACGAGCTGACAACTCTCGGTGCACACAGACGCTTGTTAATATCTCCATCGAATACTACCGCGCCTGGAGATCCCTCTGTACAGTCTGAACACGGGAGAACCGCCACGAGTCTGCCTTTGGAGAACGCCACGCGTTATGCTCCTAAACCAGATTCCCTTCAACAAGAAGCCCCTCCACAACAGAGCTCGGGGTATCAAAGATCAAATATCAACTCCTCTGTCCTACCAAACCACGATGCATCCGGCGACGACGCCACTGCCGTTGTCTTGCACAAGTCCTTACACACAACACCCGATAAACACCTCGAGCGGTGGCCTACGCCAGAAGAAGGAGAGGCAGCATCTACCACTGGGATGCGGTTGGCATCAGCAAACACGCTTAGCCGGTGGCTTCGGCGCGGTCGGAAGATTCGACAGTAGTCATGCGCGCCTAAGCAGACGACATACGCTACATCGGCGTTGGGGTGGCCGAACCGCCTCATAGGCGAAGGTGGTGAGCTTCCCCACGAAAAGCAGACTTGAGCTCACCTTCTGCGCATTTTGACAATTTTTTTTTATCATTATAGAGCCGTGCTGGCGCGTGCTTGGGTTGTTAGTTGCTGTTAGTGTTCGTTGTTGCGCGTTGATCGCCAATACTATCATTTATGAATACTCAGATGGGCGGTCTCTACAGAGGGCAGCACGTTGATAACGTTGAGGTGATGTTGATTGGAAGAACCACTTAGATGTGAAGAGCTGAGGGCGTGAGCGTTCTAAGCATTTGTTTAAGTATGCAATGTAGTTTTCCTTTCGCACCTGACAACTTAGCTTATAGAGCAAGTCTGACAATCAAGATTGTGGGACCAAACCCCATTTCCGCTGTGGACGATTGGTGAGAACGATCTACGCTTGGCGCCCTGGTGTATACTTGGGCGGCTGAGAACACATTAGGACAGGCTTTATAGGCCATGTAGATGCGCCAGAACGGGCTAGGCCTAACATAGCTAGCAGAGTCTGCCAGCTGAGCCGGAGGATTCGACGTCAGTGGGACACTTGGAGCAGTGGATAAGAGTACTGTGCCAGTCGTAAATTGAGCCTCGGAATCTGATGTCGAAGTATTCGGATCACCTCCAGGGCTGTCGTTGCGTCGCTGTCCTGCATAAATAAACTTGATTCACTAGTGCCAGGAGTGACCTGTTGCATGTTAGGAGTGACCTGTTGCAGCTCTCAACAGGCGAATTACTCTGTGGCGTAACACTACAGATTGAAATGCCCGAGGGGCCGGTAACACCGTGACAGAGACGGTGCTGACTCAGCTTCTTACTTTGCGACTATTTGCTTCGTCGGAAACCACGTTGCTGACATAGTAGCACGCTATGGGAGGCTAGCAGAGGGCAGGCACCGCTAGCTGTCGATTGTGTTACTACCTTCAGTGAACGTAAAATCAATCGGGAATTGGCTAAGTATGCTTCTTATACACACTACCTTATTGGAGGGATTCGTGAGGATCTAAGTTAGTCCGCTCCCACTTATCTTCAGTGATGTCCACACTCCAGCGCTCTTAACCGCCGCGGAAGGCGCAAGTTCTTAAGATATTACGTGCAGTCGTGTAAGACAAGACAGACAGGGCACCCGTACGAAGCTTCAGAGAGATAGGCATGCCTTCATCAGCTGCGCTATCGTTACCAGCTGAATGCGAAAGCCACAGAGAATCTAAAGCCCCCTACTCCTCCTCACTCTCCTCATCACTCTCCGCCGCCCCACTCATCAACTCCTGCATCATCTCCGCCTCAAAGCCCGCTTCGTCGTCCTCCACATCCACCTCCGCCGCCTCGACCCTACCCTCCTCACTCTTCCTCCCCGCCCCATGAGCCGGCGGCCCCAAATCCATCGGTTCGATATCCTCGTCCCCTTCTGCATCCCGCTCGCCCTCGTCGTCCTCACGATACCCGTCGTCCTCGTCGGACTCATCTCCGCCGACACTGGACCCGAGGTCGAATTCGGGGACATCGTCGTGCTTCTTCCTGCCAGGCAGGGGAGTGTTGGCCGCGCTGTTGACCGCGCTGCTGGCGGCGCTGCGCAGGGAAATCGGCCCGTCTGTTGCGGAGGCTAGCGGGACCGTGGTGCTGTAGTGTCGCTTCCGGGGCGCGGCGTCGCCGAAGTCGATCTGGAGGCCGCCGTCGGAGAGCTCGAAGCGGGCGGGGCCGTCTCTGGCGCCGTCTGAGTCGTCGGAGGAGTGGACCAGGGGGTCGCTCTTGAACTGAGAATCGGGCTTGACCTTGGGCTTCGTGGAGGGGCGGGCTGCGGGCTTGAGGTCGGTGGGCCGGGTTGAGGCGCGCCGATCCAGGCGGACGGTTGGGACCGCAGCAGATTTGAATGATTTGGCGGCGGTGCTGGAGGGCTCGGGCGTCTTGCGCTTGCGGGAAGAGGCCGCTTGAGATTTTACGGAGCGCGTGGGTTTCGTAGGCGGCTCGCGGATGTCATTGTTCATTATGGGTGTCGAGCGTCCATGTTCAGAGCGCGGCGTGCCTGTCGCGCTGCGGAAGGGCTCGTTGGGCGGGCTGGATTGCTCGGGGACAAGGTGCAGGAAGCGCCGGAAGTCGTAGGGTTTGGTTGGGTCGGGCTCTTGGTCGCTTCCGTCGCTAGGAACATTCGCTGCTTCGGCTTTACGCCCGCTCTCATCATCTGAGCTCGTCTCCTTGAGTTGTCGGTATTGTGTCTGGAGCTTGCTCTTGGAAGACTCCCATGGGGTAGACGTGAGATTGAAACTGTATGTGTCTTCGAGCGGTTCGAGCGAGCATGTCTGCTTGTCTTGATTGAAAACGAGCACGTAGGTCTTCTTGTGGGATTTGCGGACCCCCTCGTAGGTATACTGTTGCGGCTCGGCAGAGGTCGGCTCTTCGTCGGTGATGCTTAGCGAACAGCTTCCGTCGTTGTCAGCTTTGATGGTGGTGTTTCTCTTTTCCGTTGACTGCGCTGGCTTGTGATTGTCTGCCCCAAAGAGTGTCAGCGCTTGATCAGCAATCTCCGGGGAATGTAAGAGCCATCACACATCTGACCGTGCTAAAGGTACCGCTCGAGCTGGAAGTGCCGAGAAGCTTGTCACTCAGCTGCAGGGTGTAGCGACCATTCTTAGAGGGATCAATAACGCTCGATACCTGCGGAGAAGCCATGGCGGGCGACAGAAAGAGCTTAACAGGCTGTGGGAAGAAGTGATATGGTGAAGCGGACAAAGGAAGAGGGCTGAGGTTTGCTGGGCTGGGGTTGAGCTGGTCTAGCCCCGCAGATCTTCCGAGCTGCCAGCGTGCCGAACGGCCGCTAATGCACCCCACAAAGCTGATTGCGTTAGACGGCTTGGCATTGCAAGGCCCTCACTGCAACTAAACGAGGTTGAGGAGATGCATGGATGCTTGATGGATCAGCAGCAGCAGACATCTCGATTCGGAAGGGGTATCTAGCAAGCCCCATAGTAGCCTATAACTCACTAAGCGCCTCAGCAAATGCGTCCACCCACTCCTGGCTATGAGCCAGCCCCAACCTAAAGAGCCTCAAGCATCGCCAGCTGCCTCTTAAGCATCACAATTGCGCCCTTACTAACCCTACTCAGCCCATCCGCAACCCCACCATCCCCCGCAGTCTCACTCGCAGCAATGACGCGCCGCACATGCTGCATCGTCTTCTGCAGCAACCTTGGCCCATTCGCATTAACATACAGCCACCTGATCTCGTCGCCAAAGCCCTGCGGCGGATTCCTTAGCGCATGCTCAATAAACCCCCTCGTCCTAAACAGCGCGCGTTCCGTGTACAAGCGGCTCGGGACCACGCTCTCCGCCGTGCCCTGGCGAGAGCTATACCCAGCCTCATTGAAGTAGGGCTCCGGCACCAGCACTAGACCCAGCAACGACACCAGCACCTGCAGGACCGTGGACTTGCCGGCGCTCCACGCTTCGCCTTTCTCGTCTGCATGCCAGGTCCCGAGCAACGACAAGCAGATTTTGCCGTCTTCGTAGAGGTTCGGGTTCACGGGTCCTTGGCCGTGGGTCCAGCTGTGGAAGTAGGCCGAGGGAGGGGTGGAGGGGAAGGAGGGACCCAGATGCATGTCGATAAGGAAAGGGGCGAGAGCGTAGGGTGTGTCGAGAGGGCCGAGAATGAGGATGCGGAGGAGGTCGAGGCGGGACTCGAAGGTGCGGACGTAGATCCCAGGCGGAAGGGAGGTGGAGAGAATTTTGTGCTCTTTCCGTATACGGCGGGTGCGTGCCTGGTTATTGGCCGATGACGATGGAGTCGGTTCGGAGAGGTAATGGTGGTCCGATGGGGGAGGGGTGTCGAGAATAAGGAAGGATGCGGGCGCGTTGGGAAAGCCTGCGAAGTCCAGTACCACGTTGTCAGGCGAGCTTGGATTGCTCGTTTTCGCACTGGTGTTCTCAATTGTAATGGCTCCTGGTGCATTCGTCTTGATAGAAGGAGGCGCGTCCGGCTCCGGCGGTATGGAGTCCGGCGTGGTCCGCTCACCCGTTGGTGGTGTTGTATTGGCTGTATCAACGCCGCTTTCCAGATCTGGCATATCGGCATCGCTGTCATCAGTAGACCAAGCCTCGTCATCGGTGTCTTGATCAACCCGTTCCCCGCCGTAACCCTGATATTCGTACTCATACGTTGGCTCCACCTCCTCGCTTCCATCTGAATCATCGTCCATATCTTCGTCATCGACGTCGTCGAAGAGCTCCGAGGATTCGCTATAGTGATCACCGTGGAATACTTCGTCCATGTCGCTGCTGTATGCCAACTGCGCGTACTCAGGCGGAATCCTGACGTCTAACGGCTCGCCTTCGAGTGCGCCTAATCGTACTACAAGCTGCCCATCGAAGCCAAGATCGACGACTTCACCAAACCATGTTATACCGCCCCTCTGCCGCAGGAGATCGTCAAGATCCATGGTCCTTTGCCTGATGGTAACAAAATCGCCGCGTCTCCTGTTCAGGGCTGGAGTGGTGAAGATGTCGTACAGACTGACCTCCTCGACTGGGCCGAGTGCTGTGCCTGTGCGGGAATCTGGTAACAGATCATCCCCGTGGAAGCTCACAGAAGCACCGAGGAACCATCGCAGATGAACGATGCGGTCCGCTGATTTGACAGACTGTACGACGCCTACTCTAGCAGGCTCATAGACATCGCTCTCGCCCAGGTTTCTGGCCTTTCGTTCCTTGCTGCATACGATCTCCCCTGGCCACACCTCATCCTCGTCTGTGACGTTCGAGTCCGGTACAAATGAGGTAGAAAGGCCTTTTGTGATCGTTTGGTCTTGCCACAATACGGTGATCTCCGATTTAGTCTCCGCGACTATGAAAACATTGGTGTCGTAACCGCGAGTCCGTGTTCGGGGTATGCGGGTGATGTTGTACTTGACACATGCGCCTGATAGGTCATTGAATCTGACACGGTGGCCGACATCCACCAGAGCAGAGCTTATGGTACGTGTCTGAGGTGATCCTGGTCGATGCGAAAGCTAATTTCAAAAGTCAATAATATGCGCTTACGAACAGATCGTGCCGTCCTCTCTGCGCCACGAAACATTTCCTTTACAGAAGCAGATGGAGTGGGGCTACGCATTCACCGAGAACAGGGTTGGAGGTGATAGCACTGGGAACTCACATTCGAGGCCGCTTCCTGTGCTGGCCTTTTGTCCAAATCGTATACGTGAAGTCTATCACTTTCTAGCACATCCACATCCAGTGTATCGGGAGGTTCATCGAAATCTGGATATGCGCCCGGCATACTCTGCTCCACCTGTGGGAAGATGCCGCGGCGTAGCCAATGCACCGAGAGGCTCGTGGTCCTGACGTGCACCACCATACCGACCGGTGCGACGTTCGGTTGGTAGGCCCCGAATTTCCATCTTCCTCGCCGTAGGACTCCCTTCTTCGTTGTCACAACGTCGCCTACATTCAACCGGTCCACGAGCGGATCGTTCGCAGTAAGCTCTTCAGAATCTTCGATGATGACCAGGCTGCCATCGCTAAGCAGGACGGCGACTTCGTCGAATGTCTCGTCGATACGCCCAACCCAACCATCGTATAGTATTAAAGCTCCTTCGTTGTACTCGTATGTGGACTTGAGCTCTGATGAGGGGACGTCTTCCAAGAGGGGAGCGGACTCTGCCAAGGATACGAGAGAGGTCTGTGGGCCGAAGTCAGCTTTTCTGTACCCTCTCAAGATGGTGCGCCCCAGCTTTCAGATGGGGACTGTCAAGCCTCGTAGTGGCCCAGAGAAAACTTCCTGGGAAGGCAAGGAGGCATAGAGCCCCCAGCTAGCCGATAGCATCCGCCACTACCTACAAGCAAATTCGACGCACTTACCGGCTGTGCGAGCTTACACCTCTTCTCCACATTTATCACCGTCCCGCTCATCGCACTCCGAATATCCCGCTTAACGACATCCCCCACCAGCAGCGACCGATCAAGCAGCACCAGCTTGCTCTCCGGTATGAGCTCCGTCTTGAACGCTGTCTGCCATGACACAAGCACCGTACCTGCGGGCGGTATGCCCGACCTCAGGAACGACGCGAATAGTATGGGGGAGACGTCGCTGTGGCGTTCGATGGCGTTGTCGTAGTCCTGCTGGGGATCGGGCTCGTGGGTTTCTACGTCGCTGGGCGTGCGGTCTACGGTGCCGATGCTGGAAGGGTGATCTGCGAGGGCGCAAATGTCATCTGCGTAGAAAACTTGCTCGGTCATCGTAAGGTCTTTGCCTCTGAGGGTTGAAGGCCTTGTTAGAGGTTGTAAGGAAAGGCAAGGCTTCGCCGCGGGGGGTTTTCGTCTTGTTGGCGGACCGGTGGGGCAAATGAGACTGAAGGTGCGCGTGGAGATATTAGCAGTGAGTGAGCGTTGAGGGCAGTCGTGTCTAGTACGCTGTTCGCTGTTTGTAGGTGGAAGGGAAACGAAGGGTGGGCATTCGAAAGTCTCATGTGAAGTCAAGTCAACGCCAAGGAGTAGAGTGATGCGGCGTTTCCCCGACATCCCACCACACCTCCGCGATAGTCGCGAATAAGTACCTACCCTTGCACCCTTCGGGGTAGACTATTTACTCGCTGTTCATGTCCCGAGCATGGCCGACCCATTGTTAGAGCTCCTCGTCCCCTACTTCGAGACCCAAGATGCCGTAGCCGCCAGACCAATCCCCTCCCCCTCCGATCCCGTCACCACGAGCTACCTAAACCGCCTCACCACCCTCTCCTTATCCGCCCTCACTAGCAGCGAGCCGCAATCTCTCCTCCACTCAAACCAATCCATCCTCCGCTCCCTCCAAGCCCTCTCCAAACGCTCCTACAAATCCATAATCGCCTCCTCAGATCAGCTCTCAAGCCTCAACACCACCCTCCCCACCCTAGCATCCCAAGTGGGCGAGCTCCAAGATGCACTCCCCACCCTCGAAGACTCCGCCACGAACTTCGCGCAGAAATACAGCAAGACGACCGACAACCCCATCCTCGACCGGCGGCGAAAAGCCATGCTCCTCGCGCGCAACGTCGACCGCGTCTCCGATGTCCTCGACCTCCCGACGCTGCTCTCGTCCGCCATTTCCTCGTCCACTGGCTCGGCGCAAGCAAGCACGACAGCGAGTCTGAGCTCTGCAAACGCGAGTTACGCGTCAGCGTTGGACCTGCATGCGCATATCAAGCGTCTGCAGGCGCTGTATCCCAACATGGACCTGATCAAGGATATCTCGGCGCAGGCAGAACAGGAGATGAAAGCCATGACAACGAACCTGATCACAAGCCTTCAAGGCCAGGGCATCAAGCTCGCGGGCGCCATGCGCACGATTGGCTGGCTCCGACGCGTCGCGCCCGAGCTAGACTCAGCATATACATCCCATAAAAGCGCCAACTTCGGAAGCAGCGAGGGCGCACTAGGTGCGCTGTTCCTGGTTTGCCGGCTCGCCAACCTCTTGAACATGCTCGAAGCGCTGGAGCCGTTACGTGAGCTAGCGGACCAGGAGACCGTGAGAAGGGTGAGCGGCGACGGTAGGGATACTGCCAAGGACTGGACGGGCGGCCAGCAGACGGAGCGGTATCTGAAGCGGTATATCGAGATCTTCCGCGAGCAGAGCTTCGCCGTCATCTCGACGTTCCAGTCTATCTTCCCCGCTGCGCTTCCGGCGCCGGGGGCAGGGACTGTGGGGGATGATTTGGGCGCGAAGCTGAAGTCACCTGCGCTGGACTCGCGGCGTGCGAAGGATGGCGGAGATGCCAACGATACGCTGCAGCCCCTGCCGTCCGCGCTGGCGACTTTCCCGCTCCATCTGGTTGAGCTGCTTTTCGAAACTCTGAAGCATTATTTGCCGAATGTGAGGGATAGAACTGCGAGGGACAGCTTGCTCACTCAGGTGTTGTACTGTGCGGGTAGCTTGGGGAGACTGGGAGGGGACTTTGGCATGATGCTTGCACTGCTTGACGAGGAGGATGAAAGTGAAGAGGAATCAGAAGATGGGCCGGAGTGGGTGGACGCCTTCAAGAAGCATCGTATACAGGCCAGTCGACTCGAGCTGCTTGCCAGCGGTGTCGGCGCGGGCAGAAGTAGTAGCTTACCGCTTAGAGAAACATCACCGGCTAGCTCTGCTGGCTGAAGGGTTTGAAGCTGCGCTCAGTTCGTGTTTCCGCTTACTGAATGTTTGATGATTCCAATCATGATACAATCATGGTAGTTACAAATGCGACCAGTCGGTATTCCATACACAACAATACCTTACTCACACAAATGCTCTACACCTCCCAAGCCCAGACCCAGCCCCCTATAAACTGATCTCCCCCCTCCACGTCGCCTCCGTGAGCCCCAAGGTCTCAATCAGATGCGTCCACCGCGGCCCCGCCCGCTCCTTCCTCCGCATGTATGCCAGTAGCTTCTGCCTTCTATGCACCAATAATCTCAGATTCCGCTTGTTGACTTTATCCTGCTTGCCCCTCGTGCCCAGGAAGTTCGCCAGCGTCCGGATCTTGGCCGTCAGGATCGCGATCTGGACTTCACTGCTGCCCGTGTCTGGGCCTGCGCGCTTGCCCGAGGCTGCTGCTGGCGAAAGTGTCGATGAGGTCCCGTCGGCGGCCTCGGTACTTGGCGCTTCGGTGCCGTCGGCAGGTGATAGCGTCACACTAGGTGTCGATGAGGTAAAGAGGGTGCGGTCGGTGTTGTGCCGGCCAAAAGTGCTGATGCAGCGCTGCGTGTTCACTTGAGTCCGGTCCTTGGAGGAGGCGTTCGCGAGGTTGACGATGCGGCGCAGGGCTGTGGCGCGGTTGTGATGGTCCATGGCCAGCTCCCTTGCGTCGTCGGCTGCCACTTCGGCAGCGGAGCGCGTCATGTCTGCATCGCGTGGTCGCTCGAGGTAGAGTGCCGCATTAATGAGTTCGGAATGGGAGAGCGATTTTTCAACTTGGGCCGGGGTGAGGCCGTGTTGGGCGTGTTCGTCGCGGGGGGTCAGAGGTGTGTCCTGTGTGCCCACCTTTTGAGCGGGGTTTCGCGACTTTGATAGCGTGTCTGGGGTAATAGGAGGAAGGCCAGTGTCGAAGGATTCGACGAATGGCGTTGTTATGCCGCGGACTGGATCGCCAATGGATGCGGAACGCTCTTCGCGGAGGACTGTCTGCCGGGAGAGGTTGGCGGCCTTGCGAGCGCGAGCCTGAGCTAGGACGTATGGATCGTGAGACTTCCGCCTATGTGTCGCGGTGGACGCATCTCGGGAAGGGGCTGCGGAGAAGGGGCGGAGGAGAGCGCTGGGGCCGGTTGAGCAGTGGTTAGTAGCTGTGGAGCGTTAGCGATCAGGCTTCATGACTGATAGAGCTATGGACTCCCGTACCGGTCTGTGCCCGTAGACAGGTCAATATGGGTATTCGGGGAGGCATAATGGACGACGCTCAGTCTCTCCACCAAGCTCTTGATGTCGCAGTCTTTCCAAAGCTGTCGGCGGACAGGTAACGCCGACCCGCTGTTCGCTTGGCTCAAAGCTCGCACCGCCGAAGAAATCCCGGCTATCCCACCATCAATTCCGTTCCAGCTAAGCATCGTGAACTTCTGTCTGGAAGCGCTCCTTCAAGAACAGCCATTCCGCTTGACATCGCGCAGCACATCCGATATCAAGACCTCAATATGGCCCCCGCAAACCTTCCCGCGGCATTCAATGCCACCAACCAGGATATTGAGATGATGCTCGCAGCTCAGTGCCATCTCGGCTCCAAGAACTTGCAGGTGCATATGGAGCCGTACCTCTGGAAGACTCGCCCTGACGGTATCAACGTTATCAACATTGGCAAGACCTGGTAAGCTCTCTCGTCATTTCCAGTGGTACCCGAACTTGGCCGTCTGAAGCGCTTGCATCAAAGTCTTCGTCCAGGCATCAGAAGTATACATCAAAGTTAAAGACTAACATTATGGTCCTCCAGGGAGAAGATCGTCCTCGCAGCCCGCATCATCGTCGCCATCGATAACCCCGCCGACATCGCCGTCATCTCCGCACGTCCCTACGGCCAACGCGCCGTGCTCAAGTTCGCCGCACACACAGGCGCCGTCGCCATTGCCGGGCGCTTCACCCCGGGTAACTTCACCAACTACATCACCCGATCCTTCAAGGAGCCACGCCTGATCATCGTCACCGACCCGCGCACCGACGCCCAGGCCATCAAGGAGGCCTCCTACGTCAACATCCCCGTCGTCGCCCTCTGCGACACCGACTCCCCGACCGAGTACGTCGACATCGCCATCCCGACCAACAATAAGGGCCGCCACGCCATTGGCCTCATCTGGTGGATGCTGGCGCGCGAGGTCCTGCGCCTACGCGGCACGCTCGCTTCCCGCGAGACTGAGTGGGACGTCATGACGGATCTGTACTTCTACCGCGATCCTGAGGCTGAGGAGAACAAGGACGCTTCCGGCCTTGACGAGGCTAAGCAGCCCGGCGCCGACGACGTTGGCCCTGCTGCTGTCGAGTCTGGCTTCAACAATGAGTGGGAGGTCTCGGGCGGCACAGCCGGCCAGTTCGCTGCTGCTTCGGCTCCTGGTGCCCCGGCTGCGGGCGCGAGCTGGGATGCTGCTGATGGTGCTGACTGGGCTGAGGGCGCTGCGCCGGTGGAGACGGGTAACCAGGGCTGGGACGCTGCTGGCGGGAACGAGAACACCCAGTGGTAGACATGCGACCGGATGTGAAGCATGTATCGAAGATTCCGGGGGTCCGTCGTTGAACTTAAGGAGCGGAAATAGAAGGGAAGGCAACTTCAGATTTCTGTTTGCAAGGAATAAAATCGAAAGCGCTTATGAGGGAAAGATATCCACTGGCGATCACTCGTTCTTCGTCTTTGGGGGAAAGCCCTGTGCTGGAGATCCTGGGTGTATGTAACAGTCACTCATCCTTGCAACAAGACTGACTCTGCCTTGGCCTGCTTGCGTGAAATGTACTGTGCTGCTCTTACCTATGCCTCTTGATACCCGACACGTTGTATCCGTTCAGCCTCGCTCTTCATACCGGGTCCTCGATATTCTGTGAAGCGTACTGGACCTACTGGGAATGGCACTACAATGGAGCCTGGTCTCCGCGGTAGCTACAGGAAGCCTGATTGATGCCTCCAGGCTGCGCATAACAACACCTGTTTCTCCTCTCTATGCGCTTCTGGAGGTCTCGATATGGTATGAGTTTAATTTGTCTAGCCTACCTCGATGCCCTATCTACATACCGCGAGATAGGCAGGGGCAGCAATGTTAAGAGAACTAATCTCACGTCCGGACGGGAGTAATGACAAACTGGAGCCACGAGCCTTTCTGTTAGGTGCGACGACAAAAACATGAGCTCCAGAGCCGCAATGGACTCCGCCAAAGGCTGCTACAGCGGGACATCTGGATTCTGCATAGTGGCGCCAGACTGACATCACAGATCTTTGAGGTCGAGGGTGGGACTCAGAGCTCAGTAAGTCGCGGATGACGGGCAGAGGAAATACCTAAGTCGGTGGCAGCTACTCATGGCGAAGGCCGGGGTGCTGTTATCTTGCAGCTCTGAAATACAAGTGCTGCAGCCGGCAAGACGCAAGAGCTTCATGGTGTCTAGGCATATGAGTTTCAATCCATCGCCCTGGGGACGACAGATCTTTTGTCACCATGGCCAACGGACAGTGAGAGGGATCGCTTAACCAGAGACGGATTGTAAAGGCGGACGCTGCCGTGTTACCCCTACACGTCCGAATGCGGTAACAGTGGTGGTTGCGTAGAACGTCGCGTGTGAAAATGTGAGCTGTACGAAGACTAGGTAGGTAAGATAGCGCAAAAGTGAGGTACGAGTAGGCAGCGAAGATCAGGACGAGGTGACAATGACATTTGAGCAACACTTCACAAAGACGAAGACTGACAAAGCCTGTGCTGATGGTCTGAGACAACCTGCGTAAAGCCCATGAGGGACTTCCAAGCCCAGCATCAGTGTAAAACGGAAGCGACGGGCAGATCGCAGCGCCGTCGCAGGGCTGGAGTTTTCGTTCAGGTGCCTCATTGCCAGCATCGTGGCGAGTGATTGAGCCAGACCATGGCTTGCAGTCAAGCATCAATAGGTGCTTAAGTCCAGCCACATTTTTGGGACTGCTCCGTCTGGTGCTGCGCGTCCGGCATGTCCGACCCGAATTCTGGAGTTCTATACATCTTGTGAGCAAAAAAGTCTGCGGGAGGTCCCATATCATCATTGCAGCGGCTACCAGTGTACATCACGCGCTGATGCCGTTGACTACCGCTAACCCTGATCATTACTACCCAAAACGCGAAGTGTACCGGCCCTTGTTACTGAACCGCCACCAAACATACACTGTCCTGACGCCAAAGTTACCCTAACGCCTCACACCAGTTAAAGTTGCCTCCAGCTCCTTCCATGCTTGCTCCCATACCAAAGATGCAGGCGCCGCGTTCGCATCGTCCTGACGCACCTTTGTTCTTCCCAAATCCTCAGCAGCTCGCTGGAAAAGACTGGAACGCGTCTGCTGCAGTGACTCTAGCCGTGCAGCAGCATCGCGCAGACTAGGACCTGGCGTTTCGACCGGTGCCTCCTGAGGCGCAGGCGTGTCGATCCTAATAATCGGAGGCGGCATTGTCGCGGTCGGAGCTAGACGGTGGAGGTTTGGCAGTGTTGGCGAAGCCGAGAGTGGCGGCAAGCCTAAGAATAGCGGCGGAGCTTGCGACGATCCTATCCCAGACACCGATGGTTGCGACAGCAATCTTGGGTCGATGGCGATATCCGGGGTATTCCAGTAGGGTTGAGACGGTTGCGGAAGGCCACTAGGTGCTTGGGCAGCGTATACAAGCCCTCTGACTGCGCGCGGATCGTGCACAGGCGAGCCATCTTGGTCCGTGAAAAGTTTGCATTGTGAGCATCGGAATATGGAGTCGTGATCTGGCAGAGACCCTCGAGCTGGTAGGATTCTCAGGCATGGCTGGAGCCTGCTTGTCGGGCAGCGGATGATGGAGGACTGGGAGCTGCCACAGTTGGCGCATGTCCAGGAGTAATGACGGCACATGACGTTGGATGCGTGGTTTAGCAGTACGCGACTGGAGTGGCTGTATTCGAATTGGCTAGGCTGACCCTTACGGATGGCTGAACCGTTGGTGGGAGCAACACAGTGGATGTTGTGTGAATCTAGGTCCTTAGACGAGCTTACCGACGAGAGTTTTGTACTGGGGGTGAAATGCACAGGATCACGAAGAAATGGTGACCTGCCGCTTCCCGCGGATTCTGGACAAGGCAGGGCATTTGTTGTCAGTTGTGTGTACTGGAACATATCAGCTTTGTTATCTTATTCGCTGGCATGGCCAAACGGGAAAAAGGGAAACAATGATAAGAAAGAGAATAATAGAAAGCAACAACGTCTCTGAACGGAAGGATGCATCTGCTATGGTCATAGAGCGCATAAGCGGCAGAAGATGTTTGGATGAATTGGAGAACTCGAGAGCTCTGTCTCCAAAAGGCATTGTGAAAGATCGGAGTGGTAGGTCTTCGATAATCGATCATAAGAACCTGATCGGAAATACACGCCAGGGGTAATGATTGCAGATCGTGGACCGCCAGTAGTGAGCCAGAAGTGTGCAGGCGATGAAGCCCTATTGTGAGAATATTGTAGTACAGTTTGATAGCGCTGATGGCAGCATTGTGTGAGTTCCACCAGTTGTTCCGATACGTCCCGGCTAAGTCGTGCTGTCATGCTTGGTGGGTAGACACGAATGGATAAGGGCGCGGCGATCGAGTCTTCTGACAGATCTGTTAGCCATGCTGTCTGGGAGAGTTGTCCTTTCAAGCCTGGGTCTTTTGGGATGCCTCTATCCAGCTATGACAGGAGCTTGCTTGAGTCGCCTCTAGCAGCGGAGGGCTGATACAGAGGCATAGTTTGGACCTGGGCACAGCCTTGTCCGACGATGCTGAACGGGGGATTGGGTAGTCATCCTTGCAATGTAACAACACAAATGACGATCATACTGCTGTATGGATACGAGAAGCTTGGAAGACCACTATGGAAGAGGGGAATCATCAGGAGATGAGGTCGACTTAAGGATTCGACAAAAGCTGCCAGACTAAGAGGATCGACTGATCGACAAGTGGACAATCGCTCGTTTGCCGTTGCACTGGAACTCGTGCATCTCCAATCTCGCTCCAATTTAGCCGCCAGGCCGCCCTAGGATGCGGTCATCCACATCAGCCTCAGGAACGATGTCATATCACTTCTGCGTGCCACAAACACCAGCCGCATAGGGGAGCTCGGACCGTCGCCAATGCTTGGACAAGACGAGCGATCGGCGACAATCTCTTCCCAGATGGGCTGTTCTCTATGCTGTTCGAAACGTTTAGTGGTGAAATGACGATGTTGGAGTCTTGCCCTTCGTCTTCTGTGCCGTCTTCATCGCCAGACCCTTGAGCACAGCGCCATAACCCCGACGCCTCTTCAGCCCTGCATACAGAGTAGGACAGCGGATGCTTGCCCGTTTTTGCCCTTCGCCGAAGCATGGCAATTGCGAAGGCCGTAGAGGACGTGGATGGACCGATGACGGCAGAGTTGGCCGCCGCCGTCGCCGTCTCAGCAAACGACCAGAGTGCCTGCCGAAAGCTCCAGACCACGTGCTTACCGCAGTCCCTCGAGGCTCGACCGCTGGGAAACGGCGCGAACAACGGATCTTCTAAGAACATGGCACAATCCACCGGACACGATGCAGAGAGGCGGGATCGGCTGGTGGAATAAGCATCGCTCGCGGACGAGGAAGAGTTCCAACTGAGGTTTCGCGGGTGTACCACGGGCGCTGGACCACCCCGAGGCTGAAGAGCTGAAGAGCTGATGAGCGGCTCCTCCGCTTCCGAATGGCGCTGGCGAGGCGATTGCTCTCTTGCTCGAACGTGCCGAAAGCGAATGTGCATCAGCTTGCGATATCGAGCACGAACGACGGAGCACGTAAGCGTTTAGTATTCCTGCCGCGGTCGTTGCGACAAGGGCGTCACGAGACACGACGCTGGACTCCAACGTTCGGTTGCTGCCGCCCAAGAAAAGCTTCGGCTTGCTGCCACGCGTTTGCACGGGATGCATGGATGCCATGGAGGCGGCCTCAAAGGCCGCGCACTAAGTGCTCACGCTCACGGGCTTTGCAAGCATGCAGCTGGCAGCTGGTGAGCCTCATGCGGCTTGACGCGGTTTGGCAGGAGTCTCGAATTGGTTGGCCATTCATCCACGTTCCACGTTCCACATTCTCTCCTCCGCTTCCACGGCGAGCAAGATGTCGAGCAGATGCGCCGGCGGACGGCCGGCAAGGCTTAGGTGATAACTACTCCTGCACAACTGACAATGGCCTCATCCGAGGAATCAATCTGTTGCGCTAATCCAACAGTCATTCGTCCGAGATTCCTCTCCACCCTTGAAGTGGCTTGGCGATAGCGCGCCACAAATTCTATCCTACCCTGGCGGTCTAGAACGCCGGCACACGACTGCGCTCGCTGCTGCATCCGCTGCGAGCCTATGCCCAGCGCTGCAGAATCCACCGTCCGACCCGTCCGCTGTCGTTCTCCTAGATTACTTCTTTGACTCCAAGCACCGAGACTGCCGACCGCACGGCACTTTGTGGTTTCGCTAGCAGCTCTGACAGCAACAATCTGGCGTTGCGTTTCGAGCTCTCCCAATCCGCCCTCGTCTGCAGGTGTTGGCTGCCCTCCTAAGCTGCGCGTTTCAAAGTCTGCAGCCCACTCAGAAACCCAAAAGGCCTGTGTAGCACTCACGCTCGGACTCCTGCGTTCCACACGCTCCCGCCCGTGTGCTTCGGTTGTCTGAGACTGACCTGAGATCTGGCCCAGTCGGCATCTCGCCAGTCCGGCGTCCACATGGGAGATCTACAGTCCAATCCATTGCTGGATATGTCCGGTATCAATCTACCCTCAGAAGCGTCTGGCAAACCTGACGGACCGCCCTCACTTGACTCTTCCCTGTTTTGTTTCCCTTCGCCGGCTGGTGAAGACTTTCCTGCGCTGAGCCCTCAAGATGTCGTTCCCAGGTACCTCCAGCAGCCGAACTGGCACGACTCGCTTCTTGGAATTGCTATCCCAGAGCCGATAGCGCGGCCCACCGTCGGACGACTGCCAACTGACACTCCCGCTGCAACCCCCAGAGGAGAAATATACCGTGAACTAGGTTTGACTGCCTTTGGGGGCGGCGCTTATCTTCCCTCCACCACCGCTGCCTTCCCAACCCCGCCAATCGTCAAGGCTGCCAACAGCCTTCGGCTGCCTTCGTTTGACCTTCTGGGCATCGCCAACCCACATCCGGATAGATTCACTCAGAACCACGATCAATACTTCCCCGGCATCGGGGCAGGGCCGCTCTCCAACCCAGCAGATCCTCTTCATGCGCAGAGCCCCATACTGAGTCGGGCGCGACTTCCGGCTGAAACTGCAGCGGCGGAAACACTGCCAGATCCTTCCAAGGCCACCCAAAGATCTCTCCAGCAGATTGTTCACACCTTCACACCGCCAGACGACAGGGGCACGATAGACTGGAGCGCCCTGCCTCATGTTAGGACGGCGGCGATGGATTCTCCTGCCAGGTCGGATCCCGAAGCTCGATCGCCGGGAACAGGAGAAATCTCCAGCAGCAGCAGCACAGCACCCCCAAGCCCCGAGCCTGTATATCCAAGCGCAGAACAAGCAAGCGAAAAGAGGCCTTGGCTGCGTGGTGCGCTGGAGGCAGTTAGTGAGTGCCCTTGTCGGGCTCTGCATTCTCGCTCTATAGGCTGACCTTCAACTTTAGTCGAACATATCGACTCAGAGGGAGGAACCAACGGTTCGGTCAGAATTCTCACCCATGCGCTTCCCTGCCCCGTAAGCGCTGGCCACGTATTCCCTACCGTTATCAACGCAATCCACGCCCGAATACCGCCAAGATCAACAGTTTGGATTAATGTTTTTCACGCGGTGCCTGGGCGCTTCAATTTGGCCGACCTCCCATCATCACCTCCAAGCACGCCGGGGCCTGCCATTGGAGGAGACGACTATTTTGCGACAAAGGTTTTCGACAGCGCTGTCGCCGTCGCTGATTACCAGAGTGATGGCCAGGTACTTTCCCGGCCCCACCCCGTGGTTCCTCCGTCGACGGTGGATGTCTCGATCGTGGAACGGTACATCCCGCCTACCAGCGTCAACGAATTCGCCGAGATGTTCTCGTCAGGAGCCCGTTCGATCCTTCTCGATCGGCTTGTCGAGCTCTCACATCACGACGGCACGCTGGTACTCATTTACCCCACAAGGACTGGCGGTCGTACCTTCATGTCGGAATATTTGGGGCCCATACTGGATCCTCTACTGCGCGCGATGACAGTTGTCAATGAGCTCTCTGCGGACCTGGGAGTTCAACTCGGCAGCATGTCAGCAGTTGACCAGCTGCTCGAGTTCGATCAGGCCAAAAGCAAGCTTGAACGCTACCTACGTCATCTCACAAAGTACAGCAGCATGCTGGAAAAATTCCATAGCAAAAGGGCCAAGTTTGAGCTGATCCACGCATCGACCCAGGAGGTGAAGCTGGAGCGCAAGGTGTGGGCGACTGAGTGGTGGATCAAGCAGGAGAAGGCAAGAGTGAGGGCCACAGTCACGAAGTACTTCAGACTTGCACACAAGCTGCCTACGGATTCTGAGATCATGCCCACGCATCTCATTCAAGAGATCTTGGACGGGGTCGCGTCAAAGCCGTGTGCTACGGAGCCAACGAAAGGCGTGGAAGTCGGTGTCTTCGTAATTAAGAAAAGTCAACACGCTTGATGACCGTGCCGCAAGGTCCACCAGAGCATAGGCGCTGCTGTGGACGGAGAGTACCACGACGCCCGAGACGAGTCCGGAAGCGCATGTTTCAGTTACAGACGATGCACAGGCTCAAAGCGACCAGGCTTCGGCAGGCTTCCCGTCCTCCGGTGAGCAACGATATGAAATTTTGTATCCGGAAACGGCCCTATCACGACCATTACGTCTGGACGACTCTGACGCCATCGATTCTATTCACTGTTGCTTTACAGAAGAGTCGTCTGCAGCGGTCTCTTGCGTGGTGTGTCGAAGCTTCGAAGCTGCTCGAGCACAAAACAAGCTTGCTACTTTGATCCAACGACTTGAGCAGGTTCCTTCTATAGTGTACATAATGCGCCCTGACCCGAGGTATTCTCAGCTATTAGCATATATCTGGGCTTGTTGCAAGGCAGCATGGTAACAGGCGACCCTGAAACACTAGACGCCATCAAAACCACAACTGCAGACTATCTAAGGTGAGCCTACAATTAATTACTCAGCTCCAACAGCAACATCCATCAGTCCCTTCCACCGAGATATGTTACATAGAAGACTCCCGACGGCGCAAGCCTGATCCCGGGGTTCGACCGAGCCTTCTCCGGGAGCCGCAGAGAAAGCCGCAGATTGATTTTGAATCAGCAACAGAGCATTTCATCCACTCACACCCGACGTCTGCTTTAACATCGGCGCTACATGACGGCCAAGCTATGATCTTCATTCCACGTTGCGTGCTCGCCCAGATGTGTCAGCGACGCTCCCTTCATTGGCCACTCGATCGGATGAGCGGCTGACAGGGCTGACAAAACGGTGCGCAGCGCGGTGGAGCGAGCCTCGGGAATAATGGCATCATCGCCGCAAACTGAGGGGATGTTGACAATAGCAGCGATGGCGTTTCTAGAAACACTGACATTAGAAAGCATCTCAGCACTATATAACCGTCTCAATACCGGCTGAAAGACCACCTAACAGCGTTCAAGTACTCGAGTGATACCATACGACAATCGCATCCCTCAAGACTCGACCACCCTACGCGATCGGCCCAACTTTCTAAAGCCAGCACCCTCAGTCCTCACTACGTTTGCCAGTCGAGCATTCAGTACTCTAGCCCGAATTACCTCAATTAGATCGGCTCCTCACACGTCCTCTATTTTCAAAGCCACCATGACGACCGCCGCCGCCCCTCTCCAATTGACACCCACACCAGCCGCCGAACCCCAAAGCCGCACCAATGGCACGAGCAACGTAAAGACCGCCCATGAGGGCATCACTATCCCCCGCGGTCCCGTAACCTCGGAGCTCCAATTCTACTCCGCGCCCAAAGACGGCTCGGCACCCTACCAATACGTCGAGGCCGCCCCATCAGGCGAAGCGCAGCGCAACTTCGGCGAAGAGTCTCACGAGGTCACAATCGACGACATCCGCGGCAAAGAGCACACCTTCACGCTCAACGACAACGCCTTCGAAACCCTCTCCGGCATCCAGAGCAACGAGCACGCCTTCCAGGACGATGAGCGCATAAAGGAAGTCTATTACCCGGAGGTCGAGAAGCTGGTCCTCGACAACGTGCCTGGCGCGCATAGGGTGCTGCTCTTCGACCACACGATCCGTCGCGCGCAGCCGAACGCGCATAGGGCGCCTGTTACGAGGGTCCATATTGATCAGACTCCTGCGTCCGCTGAGGCGCGCGTAAGGCATCATCTGTCTGACGAGGCGGACGAGCTGCTGAGAGGTCGGTACCGCATCATCAATGTGTGGCGCCCGCTCAATGGGCCTGTTGTTTCGTTCCCGCTCGCCTTCGCGGACTCTGCCACGACGCGTGATGAGGATCTCGTGGGCATTCAGCATCGGTATCCGCACCGCACGGGCGAGACGGCAGGGGTGAAACACAATGAGGGACAGCGGTGGTACTACTGGAGCGGGATGAACGATAGCGAGAGGTTGTTGCTCAAGTGCTTTGATAGTGACGAGACAGCTGGGCGGCGGGGACGGGTGCCGCATACCGCATTTGTGGATCCGAGGACCCAGGAGGGGTGGCCGGCCCGGGAGAGTATTGAAGTGAGGGCGCTGGTCTTTGGTTAGAGAGTTGGAAGCCGGTAAACTTGCTTTCTTGGGTTGATTTGGTTAGGCATAGCGTTGTTGGCGCTAAGGTATCATAGTTCTACGACTCGAATTCAAAACACGATCTGTGTCTCTTTTAGCATGTCTTTTTTTAAGTCTCTTGCATGGTCATGCCTTCTTTTGCTGTGCAGGGTCTTGTATAGACAGAGAAGAACAATGAATTCAATCGTTATCTCAGCTTCCCTTCAGCGGTGCGTCAAATTCCTCCATGTCTAAGTATGATTACCAAGTCTCTAAATTACCTCGCAAGGAGGTTAAAAACAAATCGACCTAAGTTCTCTATCGAGTAGCCCAGAAACGAGCGCCTGATCGTAGGCATGTATTGGCCAGAGCTTCGAACTATTTCGTGAACTTAATCTTGGGAATGATTTCTCTTTCAAAGCGGCCTCTAGACCTCTTCTCCGCAACTATCAAGAGTACTCTTGCGGACTGCATTCCCGAGCTATACGCTGCTCCTCTAGTCATTGCCTTATATAACTCGCGATCATTCTACCCCGTGCAATGCTTACACCTCTCGTTTTTCCCTGTGAAGACACCCTACAGAAGCGCACGCTCACAGCCGCGGCCGGAATCTTAAGAAATATCCGTATCCGCCGATAGACTCCACGATCCTACTGCGCACTACTTGATAACTTCAAACATTCCCAAGCCCTCCAAGATCTCGCGAAAAGTTCTACCAGCTCAGCCAGCGTAGCCTTCCACCAGAACGTAGCATCTCCTTACAGCTTCACGCCATCTCCTCGGAGTCAGCGTCACGACTAAGTCGAGCGAAGCCCCCCAGCGAGTCCCAGCGACTTTCGAACCGCCGAACGACCCTCCGTGAGACTAGGGGGTGTGGTCGACGCAGGATCCCGCCTACGACGTTCCACGCAAATTGCGCGTTGTTGCTGTTTTCGGATCCAGTCCTGCGTCGGGGACTTCAAGCTGCAGCAGGTGACCTTCCGGGTAGTAAGCTGTGGGGAGCTGGGGAGGGGGGTTAAGGCTTGGGATCCCGCCTGCGACATTGTACGATGGAGGGCGGTGTTGCCGGATTCTGAATTTGGGGCAGGAGGGGCGTGGGTGGGAGCGCGGCTCGTGCGGAGGACAGGCTGCGTGTGTGTCGAGTGTGAGCTCGTTTTTGCCCTTCTGATCGGACCTGGAGGAGGGGTTGGATACCGCTGGATGTTGCTGAGACATCTGGTGCTTGATATGAGCTGTGAGCTGTGAGCTGTGAGCTGTGAGCCGTGGGCTTTTGGAGGCGGGTTGATAGTCATGGTTGCGGTCGTGATGATATGCGGTGTTTGCGAGGGGAAGCAGTGGAGTGGACGGCGGGCTTGATTGCAGTCACACTATGCTTGTATGCGCTTTCTTGACTAGATAGGATAGGAAGCCACTGACGATTCCGCAAAGCCTGCCTCAATTCCTCTGCCACAACAACAGCTGGAATCCCACATGCCTCCCTCCCATCCCATCCCATCCCCTCCGTACCCCATCCGCACCCTCTCAACTCCCCGCCCCCTCCCCCAAACACCCCACGACAACAGCAACGATCTCTTCCAACTGCTCCACCTGAAACCTGTTCTCCGCCTCCTCGATTAGACACTCCAGAGCCTGAACATCCGTCGGCCGGTGGTTGACAATATGCAGCATCTCCGGCATCGTGAGGTTCTTCTTCGCGAAGGGCGGCATCTGCTCGAACACGGCGCGGAAGGCCGCGTCTGTGTAGGCGGCGCCGTTGGCCGGGGCGAAGGGCTGGGTCGGGGATGTGAGGTAGGTTTGGGTCTATAGGATGGTGTAAGTAATGGGATTATGGGGTTGGATCAGAGAGGTGATGGAAGAGGGGAAATGGAGAGGAGGTTGAGGATAGGGAAGGACGATTGACGCTAGGCTGGAATGGAGAGTGAGGGGAGCTTACATCTTTGAGGATTGCGGCGAGGTTGGAGGGCATGCTTGCGCGCGCGTTGCCTATGGGGTCTCGTGCGGCGTAGGATGCTTGCACGGCAGTGATGTGCTTGAGGACGTCGTAGTTGCTGAGAACCTCCGACTGGGTCTCGAGGATCTGTGGGGCCTAGTGAGTGGGTGCTGCAAGCTCAGGCTTGGGGAAGGGAGGCTTCACCTTCATCGTGGTGGTTGAGGTGGGGATAGGTTTTTGGCTTGGATGGTTTGAAAGGAAAATAGCGATTGAGCGGACTGAAAGCTGATGGCAACGCGTGACTAAGCTTCCGAACCTGTTGATGAAGAAGAAGTTACGAGGTTCTGGATAGAGAATGCTACGGTGACTTGGAGACGGATGGTTGAAATGTCGATTCCAGGCGAAGAATTTTCACGGTTGCTTTTTGTGGTAGTGGGAAGAGCCAGAATTCCTGGTTCGTGAGTGGTTCAAACTTATCATCATGCGGCCATTCACAGTGTCTGCTGTTCTCGAAGCCTATTGTCACCACGCAGTGTGTGGTGGTATTGTCCAGTGTCAACAGCCCCGGTGTTACAGTAGGTGTCAATGCGTCACGTGCGAGACAAAATCGTCTTCTGGGCGGCAATATATGGATACGAGATGCGCAATGGCCATAGTTCGATTACAGAGGTATCCCATTGCTCTATTAATTGCACGGTAGTACGTTGTAGATCACCTCAGTTCGCGGAGGCTGTCATGACAATCACGCCCAAATCCCAAGCGTCCAACTCGCCCTATCCCCCTTCCCTGCGGGTCCCAGCCCCGACCTGGCCCTCCCAACGCCCTCCTTCTCCACGACACTCACTTCCTTCGTGACGCTCGCACCCGCCAAGCCATGCGACAAGAATCTATCTCTCTCGATCTCAACGATGCCCTTTGTGCGCAATTGCGCAATGAGACTTGCACCCGCCCATGCCCCTAGTGTCTCGACGCCACGCACGACACCGGTCACAGACGGCTTCTGGCCTTTCGTGTTGAGTTCGTGGATCTTTTCCGCTATTGGATCGCGCTCCGGCGGTCGGAGTGCAGCAGGTACGGATGCGGCATCAGTGGCGGCAGCGCCGGAACCTTCTTTGCTAGGGCTCGGTGCTGGTTGAGGATCCGTGTTTATTTGATGATTCTGGTTACGCTCTCGAAGGATTGTCTGGGGGTTCCTCGTGGCGCTGCCGTACGATTTGACCGGATCCCAGCCTCGCTCGGCAACGACGGCGGAGACTTCTTGAATGATGCGGCGCTTGATACCTGGGAGGTTGGACACACCGCCAGTGATCAAAATGCGGGACATGCAAACTGCGCGGGCGTCTGAGGGAAGGGATAAGAGGGCTGTGTAGGTGAGTAGGCCGAGGGGCTGATCGTGGTCATCGAGGTCTGTGGGTGGGGTTGAGGAGGCGAGAAGGGCGGTCTCTGCGGGCTCAGCTAGGCGTACGAAGGGAACTTGAAGAGAGAGCGGAGGATCTGCGGCTGGGAGCGGTATCGACATTGGTGTATCCAGAGCGTCGTTGGCAGTCGGAGGAAGATCCTGGGCTGACTGAAACCGCTTCGCTTGCTCCCTACTGAAGCACCATCCCACACGTGTAAGGACTTCTTCTGCCTCGTCGAAGCTGACACCGTCAACCTCCTGCGGCTCCGAGCGCCCAGCCGTCTTCGCGGCTTCCCGAGTCAGCATCTTGCCCATTTCCTCGCTGAGCATCCTCCCCGCCCTCACACTTCGGCGCTGATGCACCTCGCGGTACTCGTACAGTGCAGTCACGGTCGTCTCCGCCCATCCAATATCGACCACCAAAGCCGATCTAAGACCTGCGGCAACGGCGGCCAGTACTGGAGTCGACACAAGCGTGATCCCCGTTGGATGTGGAGCGAATCCCGTGAAAAGACTGGTCAGGACACACGAGAGAAGCGGCTTAGGCATAGCCGGCGGCGTGGCAAGCACAATCCTCTTCTGACGGCCGTCGAGCATGACGTGCTTGTGCTGGACTTCGCGCACTGCGCGCTCGAGCTTGTCCGTCACCAGCCCAAGGTCGAGGTCCCGCAGATCCATCCGCCAAAGCTCGTACTCTTGACCCCATTCCTGCCCCCTCTTCCGCTTCCGCCTCTTCCTTGAGTACTGTGGATCCCACTGCCTGTAGTCGCCGACTCTCCGCTGTTCGTCGGGCCCGAAGCTCAAGATGCAGCGCGGCGAGCTCTCGCCAGCGAAACCGGCGCGCAGATGTCGTGCGCCAATCTCGAGGACCATCGTATCATCGTCGCTCCGGTAACTGGATGAAGGCGAGCCGTAGATGGAGGATAACGAGCGTTGGCCGACAGGGGTGTGCGGTGACGGGGCGCCTGTTGCTGATGAGGACTGAACGACGGACGCGGTCGGCCGGGCGCGGTTGATGGTGAGCTTGTGCTCGGAACGTTCTGGCCTATGGCTTGCCATTGCTGTGATGAGTGTTTCGGGCAGAAGCCCTGTTCTATTTCCTGTTGTCACGGCATTGTTGCGATCAGAGTCAATAGTCCTTGCATTCTCCCCAGAGCCAGGCGGCCCAAGCTCCGGAGGCTCTCACGGCTCTCTCGCTTGGCGGCTAGCGCAATCCCGCACGCAGAGCTTCCGCGCCCGAGCCAGAAATTTTTCCGAGCTGGACCTCGACGACGCAGACAGCAGCCCACTACCGCTCGTGTGCCCGTACCTTCCTACCTTCCTACCTTCCCTACCACATACCACATACCATACTCGGCATACGCTACACCCATCATGACGCTCTTTATCCTTACCGAGACCAGCGCCGGCTACGCGCTCCACAAGGCGAAGGACAAGAAATTACTCAAGCATGACCTCCCGGAAGAGGCACACACGGCCGAGGGCATTTGCAGCTTGCTCAAGCTCAAGTCCTTCTCCAAGTTCGATTCCGCAGCCACGGCTTTAAACGAAGCTGCGGCGCTCACAGACGGCAAGGTACGGGGTTTTGTATTCGCAAGTGAAGAAGCGCCTGTGCCCCGTCGCGATTGAGGAAAGCACAATTCGAGGCCTTCGGTGCAGCCGCCTTTAACCACCGCTCCTGCCAAGTTTATACTTCGTCGAGCTTCTCACTCGCAATTCATTGGTTCACAATACGTCTCGATCGACATCTGACCATTTTTCAGGTCACACCCATGCTCTCATCTCTCCTAGACTCTCTCAAAGACGAGAAGAAGGCCTCTCTAGCCGTAATGGACCCAAAGCTGGGCAACGCGATCAAGAAGCTACCACAACTCTCCATCACACCGATTTCCGACGCATCTACCGCCGATCTGTTCAGAGCTATCCGCAGCCATCTACCGAGCCTGATCGCCGGCCTGACACCCAAAGATATCGACACGATGAGCTTGGGTCTCTCGCATTCCCTATCACGACATAAGCTACGATTCTCTCCCGACAAGGTCGACACTATGATCATACAAGCTATCGCATTACTCGACGACCTAGACAAGGAGCTCAACACATACGCCATGCGGGTGAAGGAATGGTACGGCTGGCATTTCCCCGAGGTCGCCCGTATCATCAACGACAACGTCGCATACGCAAAAGTCATCCTAGCCATGGGCATGCGCACCAACGCCTCGAATGCGGACCTGACGGAGATTCTGCCGGAGGAGATTGAGGCGGCTGTGAAAGCGGCCGCAGAAGTCTCCATGGGAACCGAGATCACCGATGAGGATCTGGAGAACATACGTGCTCTTGCTGAGCAGGTCGTTAGCTTCACGGAATATCGCGCACAACTTGCAAATTACCTCGCCACACGCATGCAGGCGATTGCGCCGAATCTCACGACTTTGGTCGGCGAGCTTGTGGGTGCGCGTCTCATCGCGCATGCCGGTAGCTTGATGAACTTGGCCAAGAGCCCCGGCTCGACCATTCAGATCTTAGGCGCAGAAAAGGCGCTATTCAGGTAACCCTCAGTTCATGCGATCACCGTCGAGATACCCACTGACGTCAAACACAAGGGCTCTGAAAACGAAGCACGACACGCCCAAATACGGCCTGATCTACCATGCCAGCTTGATCGGTAAGTACCCGAGTTCTTTGGGCTTTGCGCTCTGAATGAATGACGCTAACCCACCACAGGCCAAGCAACCGGCAGAAACAAAGGCAAAATCGCCCGCATGCTCGCCTCAAAAGCCGCCCTCGGCCTGCGCGTCGACTCCCTCTCCGACTGGGGCCAGTCCGGCGAAGGCAAGCTGGCCGAGCCAACCGAGGAAGAGAAGCGAGCAGTGGGCGTCAACGCGCGCCTGACCATCGAGCGCCGGCTGCGCAACCTCGAAGGCAAGCCGCTCCGCCCGACCGGCGCGGCGATCGGCCCCGGCGGCCAGGCCAAGCCGGGCAAGTGGGAGGTCAAGGAGGCGCGAAAGTACAACCCTGATGCGGACGGCTTGGCAGGCGATGAGCCGGCGGCCGCGGCGCAAAGTGCTCCTCCGGCGAAGACGAAGGATGTGAAAATGGGCGATGCGGATGCGGGGGCTGAGGACGATGACGAGGAGGATGAAGACGAGGATGAGGAGACGGAGGAGTTGATCACCAAGACGCATCTTAATGGCGATGCGGAGAGGGAGGTTGTGAAGGCGGATAAGAAGCAGCAGAAGCAGGCGGAGAAGGATGCGAAGATTGCGCGGAAGTTGGCCAGGGCTGAAAAGAGGGAGCGGAAGGAGGCGAAGAAGGCGGCTAAGGAGGCGAAAAAGGAGGGCAAGGAGGCCAAGAAAGAGAAGAAGGAAAAGGACGATGGGGAGAGTGGGAGGAAGAGGAAGAGGGAGGAGGCGGATGGTGAGGAGAAGAAGAAGAAGAAGAAGAGCAAGGCGTGAGATGTGTCTGACCTTTGTTAGTGTGGTTCGTCTGGACTTCTCTTCGGGAGACCTCTCCGTGCTGCTTACGACTGTCTGCTCGGGGTTGATGGCAGAGCGCTTCTCTCTGTACATCGGCGATCGTCCCTGTTCTTTTCTGTCTTCTCCAAATGCTCTGTGCACACATGCTCTGCCTCTTGGCTGTACCTGGCATTCCTGGCGTCTGGGCCGGACGGAGTAGTTGTGGCGTCACCTCTTCTTGTTCCAATTAGATCTGGTATGTAGCATACCCAATGACAGCACGCTGCTGCCTCAGTCACGTCTCTCCATCTTGCGCATGAAAGGGGATGTCATAATGCACCTGCGCATGTGCACATGGCTGCCACTACAAGACGTCCTGTTTAGCACTCTCGTCGGTTGCCACTTCAGGTGATTTGCTCTGGTCCTCCTGAGGAGGAGGCAGCCCGCCTCCTGAACTTCCGGCCCCATCTCATCTCCATAAGAGTATGCCTTCCACCTGGCGGAAGTAGTAGGCTCAAGCAGACGGGCTCGTTCGCCGGCGCTGAGGGGCGGAGCAGCCGCCGCCGTCTGCTGTAGTCCCTTCATACTTCGGCGAGGATAGCCCAGGTAGCTAAATGGGCTTTCCAGGTGCATTTTCAGCGGCGAGAAGTGGTTTGCGGTATCTGTACGCTGCTTTTTTTTTTTTCAAAGCCGGTATGTACGCATTGCATGGCTCTCCGGGGGGAGTGGGGCGCTGTTGGGTAATGGAGACTTCAGGCTTGGGGTTTCTCGGCCTTGCGAGGTACAGGTCGTCCAACGATCGGCGCCTGGTGGGACCTACAGTACTTTGCTCGAGCACGCTAAGCACGCTAAGCACGCGGAGCATACCAAGCACGCGGTGTAATCGGCGTGCTCAGAGCTACACGCGGATAGTTTAGCACGCTCAGAGCCAGGTCGGATGCATCAGATCTAGCCGCGTACAGCTCAGATCTAGTTGATCTGCGAAACAAAACGCCGGTGCAGCTTGTCCCCTTTGTGATATAATCTCGAGGGAAGCGTTCAGCAGCAAAGGCGGAAGTTACTTTTAGGCATCTGAGAAGGAACATACTAGGGAATTCAGGGCTGCCAAGTGAGAATTGAAGGCGTTATGAATGATCTTATATGTAAAAGAGCGGTTTGAAAGAGCACAGCATCGAAATTCTCGGAAAACACTTTGTTAAGGGGCTTCTCGCATCGAGCCGAGAAGCTACTGCTTCACTCTCCGAGTCGTTGAATCTTAGTGCTATATACATCCTGCTTGGAACGTTTCTGTATCTGCTAAAAGTGAATACTACGGAACTACACTGTAGTCAACCTTTTCTAACCATGTGTATATCAATATCACAGTATATGGAAGGTGATTTTGCTACAATTACCTTCTACTAAGACCCTAGAAATTTGTTCCACTCAAGTAGCAACAAAGCAGCTACAGATTCCAAACGGTAGAGAGTACAAAAGCTCTAGGCATCAAGAGTGCTATTACACTATAAGTTGTTTCGTCTCTATAGCTGGCGATGTGACATGTAGCTGAAACATCCCTCTTGAGGAGTTTGTTAGATCATTTCCAACGTACTGCAAATTGAGCGAGAAGACAGTGAAATATGTTGGTGACGATTGATCTAATGAAAGTAGAAACAAGCCTTCGAGCGGAACAATCATACATTCGCGCACTAATCTCTCTCACACTCAGGTGCGAAATCAAAATACACTTTCCCAGCGTGATAGAGTGTAAAGTACGCCTTGTGCATCGCTATATTATCTAGAGTGTCTTTTGCGTCTGCGTCGCAGGATTTCAAGACATCCGCCATCAAGTTTACGTCTCATCGTGTGTCAAAACGAGGATGGCAGCCCGTGGTTATACTTTCAAGCGAACATGTTTTACATAACCACTACTGATCCTTATGTAACAGACAACACATGGCCCTACCTAGTTTTTCTCGCACGAGGTTGATTCCAGTCAGGCTGTACCACTATGGTAAGATGCTGTTCTAATCCTCAAGCCTTATTGCATCTCAGATTACGGTGTTGTCCTGATACCGCGTGAATACAGAGCCCGATCCCATGATCGTCATCGCCGTTCCTTCACTGATGCCACTGTGCTCTAACATCTCCAGTTAGCGACTTTGGCGCAGCTTCTACCGGTTTGAGCGGTCAACAATACGCTTGATAAGTCCGTCATGATGTGAGATCGCGGATCAGAAAGGCGCATCTGTTCAAACCTATCGGTCATACACTCGATTGGACGCATAGGTTACGTGCATAGATTAAGACGGAGACAATTTCCGTCTGTATACAAGTCGTTTTCTGTCCATATCCACTCCAAGCTGTGATGGGGAGCACAGCGAATATATTACCTTGCACGACTGAAGCTACCGGTCGTATCAGGCTCTTACAAAGCACGAGTCGAACGAGATACTTTCACAATGCTTAGGCCGAGACTCTCGACTCATGGGCGTTGCAAGCTTGATGGGCACGATATCAGGGGGTCTACTCATGAGTCATGTTATATGAGCCGTGAAAGTCAAACCGAGGCTCGTGCCAGACCTTAGAAGGCCTGGTTGCAAGGCGAGTATCGAAGTAACACTTCAAAATCTTCTAGTGAGGCGGTAAGTTGCTGCCCTGCCTTCCGACCTGAAGGGACTGTCTCATGAGACGCACTCTTCCTGACCCGCTCTCCCTGCCCCACACGCAGGATCTGCTTGTGGATCGCCGGGGGAGATCGGGTAGAGCGCCGTGGAGGTCTTAAGATCGTGCTGAGAACTCGCTTCGTGCGTGTAACGTAGGCTAGAGGTTTCGCACGATCTAACGTGATAAGGCTAGCGTTTTGACTACTTGAGCAAAGCGCTTCTGAGGCCTAGTCTGGGTAAAAACGTGACCTGCATGGATAACTTGCGGGCCTCAATCATGCAAAAATCCCTGGCCTGCGTTATCCGTCGAGAGCTGTCACTCGAGACTCTTCTCTGGCGTAAGAGGCTCAGGCTGTGCGCCCCTACTCTCATCTCTGGATTGCCCGGCTCCAGTATGCACAAGCATCAAGTGTAGAAAGACTAGTTAGGAAGGTCGAGTGGAAATGGCTCCATAATCTCCCCACGTGAAAGCGGAATTAGGGTGGGCTCGGGAATTTGCTGGTAGATGCGAGATGATCTCGTGGTGCAGCAACGGTCTACGCGCAACGAGCCGGAGGAACTTATAGCGAAGAGGCGTCCGCAGTCGGTAGGAAGCGGCGCCGCTGCGCAAGTCCGACCTGCTCCTGCACATGGACGGCTGAAGCTGCAGGCGGTTGGTGGGCGGGTAGTATGCCCGGACCGCATACGCGAGGAGTAGGATTGTCATGGGAGCCCCGGCCGCGACCCTACAGCACTGTCGTCGCACAAGGAAAAAGGAGGATACCTGGATACGGATGAGTGGATGGGGACGGTTGAAGCAGTATGATTCCAAGCAAGGGCCCGAGGCGATGCTGCACGTCCGGGGGGCCATAACCTGGTAGGACGGTGCTCGAAACCCTGCGGGTGAGCTAAGGTGCAAACCGTTTTTGGCACATGGAACGTATTTTACCAAAGCACGATAGTCGTATAGGATTCGGGGTTGTTTCGGCTATGACGACAGTCAGGTAGCAGCATGTCCTCTGAAGAAGGAAAGTAAACAAGCGGTCAGTGAAAGATTGGAGTAGTTAGACGCGCAGTGATACTCATCCACAGCAAGCCAAGCGGTTCTAAGCGCGCTGGACGCCGCGGACGGGCTCAGAGCTCAAAACACTGGTTGCTTGTCGGGCCAATTGGAAGCAAATGCCATGTGCGGCAAGCTCGCGTAGATATGTTGCGCCATCCATTTCTTCGTATTTCGCCGTGGCATAAGCCTATGAGGAAACGAAGGGGGCATTGTCCACTGAGGGGTTCTGCTGAGGCGGTATTCAGGGGCTGACCGAAGTTGTAGTCGTAAGACCTCCACCTCCACTCTAGATACCTTGACGCAATCGCTCGTGCTGTGTTAGTCTGGTCCATGCAACATCAGTCTCGAAAACCGACAGTCGGGCGCGTAGTTCTATCCGCGAACGCCACTGGCGTAATGCGTTGCCTGATTTGCGTAAACCAGCCGATCCGAGCGACCTGAATGCTCCTGGCTAGTTGGCAAGGCAAGACGGGGATGCGGGCATGCGCGTCCTGATTTGACCACACATTCTGCCTCCGACCAAATAACAAACGAGATCTGCATGTTAGATCGACGAAGTCCTGACAGGGAACAGCATCGCGGTTGGCTACATGCATCCACACGCGGGGATTCACACTCTTTTTTAGTGAACGCCTCCCGACACGTCAGGTTGTTTCCTGATCATTGATCATTCATAGGTTCGTATTGCTTTTCTACATCCCTGAGTTTTGTATGATCGAGTGAGCAGATAGAGTGAATAAGCAAGGTACTTTTGCAAGGCTTTTCGCCCCGTGATCGCGCCACATCTCCCGAGACTAAGATTTTCAACTACGGAGTCCGGCGCCGGCACGAACCGCCTAGCGTCTTCCCTACGGCAATGATATGTTCAGCACCGCCAGATGAGGATATAGTGACTTTACGCACCCTGTTTGATCCATCGACTACTAGAGGATTTGGCGGTGTCGCAACAGTCGTCGTCTCTCGGGCCCATCGCACGTGGATTCTTGTTCCCATATGCTTGACATTGTTCAAAAGATTGATGGCGTTCGATGCCTCCTCTCTTGTCGCAAAAGACGCCGTTCCTGAGCCCCTGAATCGCCCAGTCCTCGCATCCTTTGGGACATCGACACGTATCGGATTTCCGGCTCGCCTCAGCAGATTTTCTACCTCCGTTGGCCCTGCCGCATAGCTTAGATTACTTAGGAAGATCGATCTAGCCTCGGTTCTCACAGCACCATTGCTAACGTTGACTGGCGTTCCATTCGCAGCGGTTGTATATATGGGATGGGGTGTCGCAACATAGGGGGCTGTGGAAGCTATCGGGACGTAGTGTTGGTACGTTACTGCCGCGGCGTAGGGCGATTGTCCCACTGGAAACACTGCAACAGATGCGGACGCAGGGACTGCAGTATAGTTGGGGATAGTTGGCGCGTATCTTGGTAATGCTGCATTCAGAGATTGCGCAAAGCTACCACTCATCAATGTGGATGTTGGTGCAGCGGTATAAGCCCTGGGATCGAATGTTGGAGGTGTTATTGCTGAGCGATCTGAGTGACCAGCGGTGCCGAAATATGTTGCGCAATTGCACTTTGCGAGAGTGACGGGGTTCGTGGATGTGACGAAGTGATGGACGAGAAGACGTCTCCCTCCGAAAGCGGGCTCTTGTAAAAGTTCTAAGAGAATTAGAGTAGGAACACAGTGTTGTTGGAGATCAGCCATCTTCAACGTACTGTACACGCTTTCGGCGTCTTCGTCAGTCCGAACTGTGAAGTGGGCCTGTACATCCGTCTGGTAGCCTGTTGGACGACGGACGTCAGTCCATCCTGGTTGGGTTACCAGAACTGTCCTGATGTGATCTTTCAGTTTCTGCCAGTCACAGTTTTCCGGCAACTGCGAGGAGTTAGTACAACACCCGAATGAACCAGCTGTACATGATTACCCCAGAGACGATGAAAAAGTGTCGTTGGAACTGCGCAGGCTGACGAGAGCTCATCTTCCCAGGTAATCGGATGATTGTGCTAAGAATACGAGCACGTCAAGCAGCTGATCATAGAGAGGTAGGCCTTAAGCCGCAATGCTTTAGCACTCAAACTCTGCCAATCCGTGTGAGCCTTGCTTACGTGTAGAAAACATGCACGAGACGCGCGAGACACACGATCAGCGTGTATATGGCTTCGCTCAAAGTACGATAGACCAAAAAGCCATCCAAAAATTCTGTACAGACAAGAACTCTGAGATCTCGTGTAGGGTCGAATCACGGCATAGCCCTCCGCTGCTTCTATATACGGAGTTCGCTCAAGAAGCATGTCCGGGACAGTTCCAAAGGTGCCTCATCCCGACAGTCTGGAAAGCCCAAGACCCAGAACTACATGCAAGTTGGAGTAAAGAGTGGGTATAGATACACATCGCTGTGCGAAGAGCAATGTGATAGCGCGTCTGCACCGTTGCTACTGGAAATCAACACCAGTAGATCTGAAGCCCAGTTACAGATGTCGAGAGCAAGGGTGGCTTTGTGATCTGATGCAGCCCTTGGAAGTTGATAGGACAACAAGCTGCTTCCTCGTGCCGTCCCGAAGAGGGTGAGGCGACTAACCCGGTAGATGCATAAAAAGGCAGAACCCAGGAACTGAGTGCCGCTCAACAAGCGGATAATTTTCTTAGGGGACCCAAGTGCATGCCTTGTCAGAAAGTATGGACCAGGGGCGATGATGACTGCAGGGATGAATGGTGAACGCGGCGGGGTTTGACCCTAGACGCTAATACCGTTCCTCCTGTAATAATGGCGGGGAGCGGGCAATGTTAGAACCTGCCGCGTTCTTTTTAGATCGCCCTTGGACCGCGACCCTGAGAATTGACAAAGAAATATGAGTGTGACTGGAGGAGAAGAGAAAGCGCCGGTCGTTACACTGACAGGATTCGATGCGGAGTGGAGGGCGCCGTGTCCTCCATCGCAAAACGGCTAACAGGGAACCTCGTTAACGCCGCAGAGCTGCAGTCATGGGCCCGCACTCAGCAGCCACCTTCAGTTGTTGATGCTCGCGTAGCTGTTCAGCAACGGCAAACTCGAGTCCGACTCCGCTGGATGTATGGCTTTTGAGAGTTAGAAAAAGTGGGGTTGGCTGGACATTGAGTGGCCGCTCTTGATACTTAAGTATGCAAGGCTGTGAGAGTGGGACCCGAGGGCTGTGCAGATCATTTCAGATCGCCCTTGGGGACACAGCTCCAATGCAGGAGCGCAGGGAGCTCTCTGCTGTACGTTGAGAGGGTGTGGTCGGGCTCTGGTTCGCAAAGTATTGCCGATGTCACGTGCTTAGACGCTATGGGGGAACGCAAATGCACAGGTTGGACAGCATCAGAGGTATGCGATCGACCAAGATAAGGTAGGCGCTACATGCATCCACGAGAGGGTCCCGCAACTCCAGTGCACAATGGTTAGGCCGACCTGTTCTCTGCTCTATGTTTAGGCAAGACATGCGGTACCAGAGCACGCGATGCCGAACCACAAATCCCTCGTGGGGAAGTCTGTTTCCCTGTTCTCAGTACACAAGACGTCGACACGGCTCGTTTGATGCCACGCTGGCTAGGTCGTTATTCTGATCCATATATTGCGAGTATGGAGTAAGGTCACGATCAGCTATCAGGTACGTTCATTGATCGCATCTTCGCGGTCAGAAGCCCTTTCAGCTCTCCACAAGATCAGCCGCTGGTCGAAGCCGCCACTGACAAGCAGTTCCTCCTTCTCGTTGTCTCCATTGCCACCATCTACACACCCTGCCCAAAGACAGCGTACCTTTGAGCCAGCGACATGGCCTTCGAGGTTCGCAACGACCTTACCTGTGCTAACTTCAATACCCCTGACAACCCCGTCATCACTGTTAACCCACACGCCACTACCGTCAGGTCTCCAGGCAAGAGCGGGAGTTGAGTATTGAGTCTGAGGCGCCAAAGTATTACAGCTGATGAGGATAGCCGCTGCTTCTCGGTCTTGGATCGCAAGAGCAGCTCGTGCCTGTGACGCTTGGGTCGGCCTTGAAAGGTCCTGCCGGTCAAGAATCGAAACTGGGCTTGTAGGTATGACGTTGACATCTGCAAAACTAGGCGGCACTGTTGGACCCTCGGACTGGATTGACGGAAGCAGTAGCCGTACGATAAGGAGCTTCATATGAGGAACGGTAGATGTCGCTACCGCAACCACGGTCGGGTCGGTTGGACAAACAGCAACGGCCGAAGGAGTGAAAGCGACCCATGCGTTTGAGTGAGGGGCAAGGTTTTGCTTCCCAAGCAGCTGAAGCGTGGCCGGTAATCGTCCGCTGTCTATTGGCAAAAGTGGTAAGGTGTAGTAGTACATGAACGTGGAGTCCCTCCGCGTCAAGAGCAACACCGGAATAGAACTCTCCGGATGCTCCACAAACAGTAGTGTTTCCGGGTTCGTTGCAACTGTCAGAGACGCGACAGGTGCACCAAGGGAAGGTGCATCATCTTGCAGCGCAACGCGGTACAACAGAACCTTGGCATCCCAGCCGGCCGTCGCTATCCATACACCTTCTTGATCCTGCCAGCCGACGACCTTAACCACATATTTCATGTGATCGCGTCTTTCCTCTATGATGGCGTCGTTGTGGCAGTCAAAGATTATGATCTTGCCTGACATGCCTGCGCATACAACATAGCGCTGCTGCAGCACGAGACATGAGAGGATCGGCGAATCTTGCAGATAAGTCAAGGACCCCAGCATGCGGAACTCAGGTCCGTCTGGATCGATAAAGTTCAAGCGCCTATCCGCTGTCGTTGCGGTGATAATGGACCGAGCATCGCTTCCGCCGAGTGCCAGCCGGTCCGCAGAAACGTAAAGGACGTTTGACGAGGTCGGCAAGCACTCGACGATCGAACTCGTCGACGGGGCTATATGAGTTCAGCACTGCTTACACTAGTCCTCAAGGAATTACTTACATGGCTTCCGCCAGGCCTTGTCTTCGTCATCTATGGCGGTCTTCTCGAACCGAACCGACAGGTCGAAAGATTGCTTCTCATGTAGGATTTGCTCTATCGTCAAGTCTCCTCTAGAAACGGTGCCAGCACTTGGCTTCAGGCCCGCCTCCTTGATGAAAGCAGAAAGTGTCTATGCATCCGCAGCTTCCGTCAGTTAGCGGACAGTTCTCGGAGATTGTGTATAGACTCACCTCATCGTAGCCGTTTGTTTTCAGATACCGAGCGACGAGGGCAGCAGAGTCTGACATAATCTCGACTTGATAGAAGTGCGTGTTAGTAGGTACTTGGCTTCTCTTAGATTGTGAGCATCACCATATTTAACGAATATAAAGATGCTCACAAGAGTTGACTTTCAAATACGTCACTTATCGATAAGATGGCAAGTCGCTGACATAATAGCGTGGACTCAGAGAATTTCAACAGCACATAAAGTCCTCAATAACCACTAGATGCCACCCCTATTTATAAGTAAACTAAAGCTGAAACTTTCTTATATTACACTTAAGGTCCTTTCACACCTGTTGATAATATTCAAACATTTTAGAGTACGTTGTGGTTGATAAAATAGTGATTCAAGTGATGCTCAAGTGGCTCTGAGTCTACGCTATTATGTTAGCGACTTGGATGGCTCTCCAGTTGCTCGGTGCAGACACGTGATTCGGATGCCGGTGCATCTGATACTCTCCCTGCCGAAAAGTAACAAAATCACGTGCCGTCTTAACAAAAAGACGGTGCAGTAGATATTAACGACATCTAGGCTGAACTACGTATACACTCTTATACCGACTCATTATATCGATGTAAGACTTTCCTATAACCGCTTCTTAATAAGTGCCGCCTCTCGAATAAGATTAATACGACTGTAGAGAGGGGATACGTGATTCTATTACTTTTCGGCGGGGAGAGTACAATGAGCGCCGGTCAGGAGAACGAGATTAACCGCTCGAGCGCCAGTGTGTATTATCGACACGGAGCTTCTACTCTCCATTGTGGATCCTCTTACCCGAAGTACTCTCGAGGTCGGAACCATATACAGAAATGGCTAGACTCCCTATTGTCAGAGATGTGAACGAAAAGCTGTGCGGTCTCGGAGGACAGATGATCACAACTTCAATCTCAAGCTCGCTTCGCAGCTGTCACCAAATGCCTTGAACCAACATGTCAGGCACACAGCACCTCGAATAACATCCGCCATGTCCATGAGCGTGGCTCCTTCATTCCTTGGGCTAGAGAACTGGATTGTTTCATGATCGGATTCATTGATGACTGGACGAGAGGGAGGCCCTCGCCGCTGTGATTGTATCTGCAGAGAACCCAAAGAAAGTGCCACCGGGAGACCTCTTGGCCTCCAATGCAATGCAACGCTGAGCAAAATCACGACTAACGACGGACAGGGCGAGGAAGCAAAACAAAAACGTCGCTCGATGCCAAACTTGAGGGAACCAAGCGTGCCCATAGACGATGTAGCAACCGCTATGAAGAGTCGTCAAGTGCGAAAATTCGCGCTGGGAAGAACAGATGCCTTGAACTAACAAAATTCGTGTCCAAGAGAATTACAAAACAGCTATGAACAAAACGTGTGCGAACAACGGTGGCTGGCCTTCGTCCTAACTCAGCTAAACCGATGGGTATATGTACAAAGTGAATGCGATCTCACGATCTAAAGCGAGCCATCTAGCCCAGCGAACCTATACGGTGCGCCAGAGCGTCGAGTGCAGCGACCAGCGAGCCTTGACACCCAAAGCTCGACAAAGTGCCGGAAACCCGGCGGCGCTACTCTCAGTACGACAGCATATGAACTTTCTGAGGTTCCCAAGGCCCCTTACTCCTGCCTTTGTTGTAAGCATGCAGCTCGAGGCCCATCTCCCTCATGCGCTTGGCGCCCTTGCCGGGTGGCGGGCGGCGCTCCTTGTCCTTGCCGCTCTTGCGGCAGTGCTTTTGGTAGAGCTTCTCCTTCCTGAGCTGTCGCTTCTTCTCCAGCCCTTTGACAATGTCGATGGCGCGGCGGCTGTGGCCTTCTTTTGAGTCGCCTTCGAGATCTTCGAGCGGATCGCGGGAGATGACGGTGGGTGTGCGGGGAAGGGATGAGGATTGGGTAACTTGCGGACGCTCGGCTAGGGTCGCAAAACGCAGCTTCAATTGCGGGGGCTGGCTGGGCGAGGTGGTTGTGGAAGTACGGCATGTACCCGGCGGTGACTTCAAACGAGCAGCTGGAGGGGGCGAACGCAGTCGTCTCGGGGATTGGCCAAACAGGCGGCGTGGTGGGGGTGAGCGGTGAGTAGTGGTACGCTTGGCCGGTGGAGGTGAGCGCAAGCGCTTTGGTGAATGTATTGGTGAATGTTTGGTATGATAGCCACGTGCGCGTCGTCCACGTAACTCTCCATCCTCCTCTGGTTGACCGTGCATAAATATGTGGTTCTCGCTTTCCTCGGCGATATCTTCGAATTCATCGACCTCGTCCTCTTCATCCATTTCGGGATCCGAAGCCGGGAAGGTAGGGTCAATGTCTTGTGGTGTGATCTTGTGCCTTGCAGCTCTGCGCCGTTCGAGGTTCGACATATATTCTTCCTCCCGCGGTCGATCCTCGTCAAGCGTGCCGCACACGAAGTCGGTACTGTCGGGGAGCTCGGGGCTTTTCGAAGAGATCGTGAGAGCGCAGCGCCTCTGCCTCCGAATCCTCGACGGGCCAAGCGCCTTGCGAGACTTATCAACGCTATCGACTGACGCAATGGATGAGTCTGAGATACTGCGGCGGCCGCTCGTGGGACGGATGTGTGCAGCGGACGGAGGGTCCAAAGAAGTTGCGGCGGTTGATCGGCCTGCTGGCGCCCACCAGTTGTAGTCGGAGCCCGCGTCGCTCTCGTCATCAGACTCGGCAAAGCCTTCCTCGTCATCTGTGTCGAAGCCGGCATCGGAAACGTCATCAGAAGCGCCCACACTCGCGGAGTCTTCCTCAATTGCCTCTTCGTCATCGAGGTCTTCATCCAGCTCCTCATCTTCATCATCATCTTCATCGTCGTCGTCTATCAATAGCTCTTCCTCGTCCTCCACATCCTCCAAAGCTTCCTCTTCCACTTCCTCTGCCAACTGTCTCAAGCCGTTCTCCAGTTTCAGAGTATCGTTGACAGTGAGTCGGCTCTTGTGACAGGTCGACTCTTGGGTCCATTCCTCCACCTCTTCCTCTGAGCTCGCAAACTCGTGGAATCTGGTCGCGTCAGTTCGTCCGATGTCAGAGTTGATACTAAGCCTTCGCGTGCGGGCAAATGGTGGTGCTTTGCGCACGCTTTTTGGAGATTCATTGCGCACGGTGGAGTCAGAGCCCCTGTGAGACCTTGACGATGGTTTGGGTGATATTTGAAGTGTTCGAGTCCGGGGAGGCGGACTCGTGGCACGAGCAAGTCCGGATTTACTGCCGGCCTTGGTGTTATCCGTGGATACTTTTGCCGTGCATGCGAACTTGATGGTAGTGGGGCGTTTCAGGGGCTCGACGATTTTGCTGTTGTCTTGTGCCTTCGGCGGACCAACGCTCTCGGTCTTGTTCTGGTCTTTCCTCCCGCAGGCGAATGTAATACAGCGCCGACGGCCCAAGTTCGCTTCTACCGTCTTCTCATCCGCGACTGCAATGGGTTTTTGAAGGGGACCGATATTTTCTTGGTCGTCGAGGCGGACGGCGACGTCCTGACTGAAGGGCTCCTTGAAGGTGGATGCGAGGCCGCCAAAGTTCGCTGGTGGCAACGGAGGACTTGGCGAGCTGGCCCTTGTGCAGGGACTTGCGAGACCACCGTCGCTGGTAAGCTCGGCCATTGATGCCGCGCTGGTGTTGCTCCATGTTGAGGCATTGGACAGACCCCGCGACGGCCCAGATGATGGTCGTCGTTCTTCTTCGGTTCCAGACATCTGGAGCGCCTGGGTCAACAGAGACTCCTTGCGCTGGAACTGTGGTGCCATGGCCTTCTCAAATTTCGGCATCACTGATAGTGTGGGTGGATGTGGTGTCTTCTCTCGTTCGTCCGGCGGCTCGTCCGAGTCCGACAGGATCTCGTCACCAGCGCTCAACGATGCATCCAGAGTCGTTGGCTGGTTCTGCAACGTGCGGCCGTCCTGCATCGCTGCTGTGTTTCCAGTATTTTTCTGGTCAAGAAAGTACATCTGTCGACAACAGATACTCCGCAAATCGCTTGTGTGGAGCCTCTCGTGTATTTTGTGTGATAGCGGTAAGGTTGTCGAACTTGAATCGTAGCGGACGTTGTATAGTGTGAGAGATAGCGGCGAGGATGTCGGACTCAAACTGTGTTGGGTGTCGCTCAATCGGCGAGATGGGTGTCCCAGAGGGACTTCCGTTGCTATAATATGCGGATAAACATGGTGGAGGTGGTTTCCGAGAACTACTTCTGGGCGCGCTGGATGCTGAGTGTCGAGAGAAGAAGCCAAGAATACGATCGGCAAGGTCTACCTTGCGAAGGCTGAGGTGCGCAGCAAGTAAGTGGCGATGAGGTGTTGGATTGCGGCGTCCTCCACGCAGTTAAGTGAGCCTCTCTCGTGCAAAGGTTGTTGGGTTCTTGTCTGCGGGCGCGGAGAGGCACACTGCACGCGGCAAAGCCGTCACAGTGTGGTTTGAGAATGGGTGAAGAAGGAGGAAAGAAGGGCGGATTCTGTTGGCGTTTATTCGGATAGTGCGCCGGGAAGCGCCCCCGAAGCCTCCGAGGAGACCAGTGGGCGACCAGGCCAGTGCAATCTAATCCCCTGTCACGTTCCGCAAAACCGTCGTCGCATAAAATCCAGTCGAAATCAATTCTTTCAGCGTGGGGGCAGGGTCATTGTCTGTCTGCATAAAAGCGCCTGAAGGCTGATGGAAGGCTCGAGGGTGCAGCTGACAGCCTGCAGCCAGGTTCGCATTGTTCCCGTCGCATCCACGCCTCAAGCGGCAACTCAGATGCTTGTTTCATTGCCGGTCCTTTCAGACTGCCTAAGCTGACCGAGTCTTTCACTCGGCCTTGTGTTGCAGCTGATTGTCAAAAAGATTACGGTCGTAAGCCGCCAACGCAACAAAACCTGTTGTGGTGATTTGTAGAGCGTCATCATTTTCCCTCATGTTACCCTGAGGACCCTTGGCTTCAGTCTGTCCGCATCCTCTGATCTCCCGAGCGTGAATGATCCTCTCCGTCCGGCCGCTCGTGCTGCTGCAGGTTTGGACACCTTTGTCTAGCGTGCAGCACAGCAGAGGCCGAGGCCCGTCGTCCTCCATCCACCGACGGACGGTGCTTTGAGATTGAAGTCCTTCAAGCGGGGTGCATGCAGTCTTCTGCAAGTTGGTGTGTTGCACCCGCAGCAGAAAATGCCTCGTGTGCCATTCCTGCTTGAGAGTCTGCACGACCTTTTCGCTTGCAGCAGCTCGGGTCAGGTCTTCCAGACGAGTAGAAGCACAGTCCCTGACTTCAGCCGCGCGCTTTTTCCTCAGTCCAGCTCTCACCGCTCTGTCAGCACGGCTTCTTCTTGCCCCTCGTGCCACAGCAAAATCTTTTCAGAAGGACACTCTAGAGACTCTCCACCGCTAGACCGCCGGCCAGACTATCCTGTTACTCAAACGATAGCAAACTCCTTTGATACGTCGGTGTCTAGCTGGAACTTTTGACACAGCACGATCCATGGTAAGTCCAATTAAAGGCACGCGCCTGTGCCGTGAGAAGCGCTGCATGGCGCGATCTGTGTCGAACGGCTCGACTTGGCGTCAACTCTTAACCCATCTTGGCAGTTTTTTAGAGCGTTTCGAGATCTTCCGCAGAAAGCGCCTCAGCCGTCCAATGATCGTCGCCACTCCAACACGAGAAAAGCGGGGTGGAAAATGCTCCTCGTACCCAAGATGACGTTGGTGCGCGCGATAACTTCCACAGTCTAGAGTTCTGATGTGCAAGACTAAGCAAAGACCAGAAGGTGGGAGCAGAATTAGAAAGAGAAATCCATAGCTAAAGAGCGTAGATCCCGTAGCATCGCCTGGGAATACCGAGGATAACCGCGAATTACATTGTAGCAAGGCTCTTGCAATCAGCAAGCGGACAAGAGCCAGGTGATTCACGAGAGATTGCTTTCCACGTAAGCTATGTAATGCTTCTCGAGGACAGCGCGAAGAGCCGGTCTCAACGGCATCCTAAGAATCATCGAGAGTTGTCACTGTGCTTGCTGACAATTCTCATTGGTCGGAAGAAAACCCCGCTTCTGCAACGATCCGCCCGGCGCTCCCGCCCGGCCGCCGCAGATTCGATGTGCAGGGGTGTTCGTATCACCGTGAAGACGGGAACTTACCGCGGGCATCTTGCGTGGCCGGTGCTGGTAATCACGGTATTCCCGGTCCAGATTCCAGAGACCCTCTTTTCAGCTTTCCTAACAGCAGCTTCTACCAAGCCATGAGCACAAGGCATAGGTAAGCGACTGGCCGCGACAGTGCGCCAAACCACTGGGAACCGTATTTCTCAATTTCCTATGTGTATAAGATGTAGAAGTCGATGCTTGCATGGCTGGCACGAATGTTTCTTGTCTCTTGTAACCCTTCCCTGCGTGGATAAAGGGCCACCCGAAAAGTCCGTTGCCGCGTTGAAAGCTCCTCATAGTCTTGAAGATGGGTGGGTCCAACCACAATCCACAGATCAAAGACATCTTAGTCTGTCGACGCATTAAAGAGCTAAACATCTTTTGGTATCGATCGCATGGAACTGGTCTAGCTGGTCTAGCTGGTCTATGATCAGTAAAATCATGAGTCCATTCCGATCGTGAATCTGGTATTGAACAAGGTGGATCGAAGATGCAGCAACGGCCTTTTCAGATAGGAGTTACCAGCGGAAGTAGTCACTCAACCATGGTTTACTTGGGCTTTCTGGCTCATCGCTTAACAAAATTGCAACTTTCAGAACTTCATCTAGAACTGCACCCATCCTGCAAGCAAACTGAACTCCATTCCCGAAGGAATTCCGTTGTCCAGCGTAGGCCACCAGCATCTGCCTCGCATCGCGCTCTACCCGAAGACTCTTGTGGTTCAGTGTCAGGACAGGAAATTGTAGACACGGCGGAGCGCGCGTAGCTGAACAAGATTTCCAACAGAGCCGAGGAACACGTCGGGCTTGCTGTCAAGCCATTGGATCTCGGCAGCAGTCCTGAGGAAACGGTCACTGGTGGCGTGGTTGGGTCCTTGGTGGCAGATGCGGAGGAGAAGGAGGATGCAGTTACAACAGAAGAGAATGTGAAGGAGTGTTAAAACCAGTGGTCGAGGCTTTGAGGTAGTTCTGGTGCGCGTAGAGGAGCCCATTGTGCGGGAGGTTTCAGATGGTTGAGATATGGGAGCGACAAGAAAGAGCATTCGAGAGAAATTGTGGAACTAGCAGAGATGATGGCGATTGTGAGGGTGTAGTATATAAAACGGCATCAAAGTATTCGCCCTGCTTTGGTAAGCAAAGAAGTGGAGGTGACGGTGTGACTGGACTTGCAGGCCATTGTCGGCGATACAGGATAGGTCCAACTTACGCCAAACAGTCCGAAAAAGACTATAAAGAGTAACGTGTTGGAAACCTTCAAAAATAGCACACAGGCGAGGCCTGCGCCGCCTCCGCCGGAGGGCCTGTTGTGTCGTGTTGTAAAGTACACCATTCTCTCGGTGCAAGGCCACCCTCACAATCCCACATGCGGACAAGACAATTGGTCGACATTGATGACACTAAAGCAGGCCTTCCTCGTCCGTCAGTGACTAGTTATAGGACCGCCGATAGCCTGGAGCATTTTCCAATGCCTCGTGAAGCCCGTCCGTTTGGTGGTTCTAGCGCATTGCGAGCGGTGTGCGGAAACACGTGTATTCATTGTTTCTGACTCCTCGAGGTTCTAGTTCTGGCAAGAGCCCTAAGCGCATGAGAAGTCTCTAGCCGTCGTTCCCTTAGTTTGAATGTTGTGTTGTCTATCGAATGTTGGAGGCGTCAAAGCTTGTGTCCCAAAAGGGTAATCTCAGCTCTTCCGCAGAACGTCGCAGACCGGTGGACCAAGGCGGATTGTGGTTTGAACATGGTTTGAACATGGTCCACCCCCAGCGCCAAAATCCGGTTACTCATCAATGCCACGAAGTCTTCCGCGGACTTGATGATGGATTCTCCAGGCTCGGTGATGTTCTACAACTCCCTTCATGGCAACCGCACCTCGGTCGCTTCATCACACTTCGCGGCTAGAAAACGTCCTGCTCGAGCGATGGACCAGCACTCGACATGCTGGGACAGCGTTCGACAGTTGATTTGATCTTCGACTGGATCGAGAGTGGATTTTGTCGATGCGACGTTCTACGCAAAGCGACCACATGTCCTAAAACGGCAGTGTCCCTTTCAGTGTTTGGAGTGGTAGTTCATCACCTAGTACGGAGTACACGAGCTGTTCTTTGCAGGCCCACGACACCATCCGTTCGCCTGAGGACAAACTTGTATTAGTGCTAATTAGTATCAGGAGGAGACCCAGCGAATCAAGTGATCAATATGAATTCTGATTCCTAGGAGTACGCGAACTCAGCATCTCGATCTGCTTCATAGAGGACCCTAATACCCTAGTAGAGCATCAACAACACCCGATTGCCGTGGTGAGCGCCCCCCCTTCATAAAAGATATCCAAAGTCCTATAAAGCAACACTAGACCCAGAAACACCCATACTATCATCGCTCGTTTGTCTCCCCGCTGTAGCCCTCCTCGCCCAGATGTTTCAGCAGGAAACTCCTCTTGAAGTAAGTATTCGGATGCAGTATCGTGTCCAACTCCGCCTCGCCCCAAACGCCCTTGTTCTTCACCTCCTTGATCTCGCTCTTATGCGCGTACTCGAACACCCTGTTGCACGCGATATGATATCGCTGCCTCGCCACGTCCTCCCTAACGCCCTTGAGCGTCTCTCTATCACTCACGCCCGTCTGCTGCAACATCGCCACCAGATTATCCACCGTGAACGTCCGGTACGGACACCCATGCGTCATGCCCGGCCCGGGCAATGCTTCCGTCAGCAGTTTCTGGCAGCTGTACGGCGTATAGCCGCGGCCGCGTCGGTTGGCATCCCCGCCCACATCGCCGTACGCGTGGCGGACGTTGTATTTGTACTCCTTGGTGAACTTCTCGTCGGTCATGAGCTTGAAGCTTCGGCGCCAGAACATGATGCATTCTTCAAGGCTGAGGCCGATGCCTTTGAGGAAGAGGGTGTATTGTAGCCGCCCATAATGCTTGAGGTGCGAGTTCTGGCGGAGCGTGCGGTGTAGGTGCTGCATGCAGAGAGGGAAATGCTGGGAAAGGGCGTCAATGTTTTGGTGGGTCGGTGCCAAGCCGGATGGGGATGAGTCGGCGTCGTAGGTTGCTTCGGGCGCGGTGAAGGATTGGGAGAGGTGGGCGAGGATGGGGGAGAGGCGGTCGTCTTCGTCGAGACGGGGGAGGGCGCGTGCCGTTAGCTGTTTGAAGCACTGTCAGCACAACGGCACCATTGTAAAGAGAATCAGGATCGGGGAACCCGACTCACCTCCAACGCAGCATCCAGCCTCCTCCCGAACTCGGCTACTACCAAGCTCTGCTGTTCGCGAACAGGCACATAGGCCTTTCCCCGCTTAAGCAGCACCTTCCGCGACTCGACCAGCTCAGGCACCTTCTCCCAGTCCACTTTGAACCACCCCTCGTCCTCCCCTTTCTTCGCATAACCAGTCGCGGCCCTCAAATCCGCCCCAAGCTCCTGCACCTCGTCCTCGGATACCTTCTCCCAGCTCATCCCCATAGTTGCGCCCAAGCTGTCCACAAAGTTTTTCCTCTCTCGGGCGTCCTCCTCCTTATATCGTAATCGGAAGAGCATGGTCTCAAGCCTGCTGAAGCGGCGCCGCAAATCCTCGGTTGCGGAAAACGCGAGCCGGAGGATGAAGTGCGAGTAGTGGTCTGTCTTGCGCTCATCTTGTGCGGTTGAGGAGCGTGATGGATTGAGTGGCATGTGTTTCTGGAGGATTGGGGTCATGTAATTTGTCGTCTCTTCCGGGGTGCGGTTGCGGAAGGTACAGGATTCTAGCTCGGAGAGGACTGCGGAGAACTATTAGTGACGGTTCCTCTCATATATACGCTGCGCCACGTCCCGAAGCGCCGATTCGAAAAGCTGGCAAAGGAGACGCGCTTGGTGGGAAGGAGTGTAACGGGACTAGAACTTCTGGACTACCTCCCGGAGCTCAGGCATACATACCCTTCAGTCTTGCAATCGCCCATTCCTCGAACTCTTCAAGCGTGATCTCAGCTGTCGGCGGTAACACGTAGAAGTTCAGCCCATACTCGTACTTCTGCTGCTGCCATTGCGGTTGCGCGAATTGTCGTTTTCTGTGGTCGAGGTTGTTGCGCCGCTTCGGATCGATGCGCGAAGATGCCAGCATTTTATGAATTTCTGATAACTTTTGTGGTGTTTCTCTGCGAGCAATTATCGGCGAGCGTTTTGCGAGGTTCTCTGATGTTTTCCTGGATGAGATGGCGGGCGAGGGTGACGCGAGGCGTGTTGAAGCGCGTCCGATTGCCGAGGAACTACCGGCACGACATCCGAAGCCTGATGCCGTTTGCCTCCAAGGTTCTATGCAAAACTAAATGCTCCTCTTCTTGTCAAGAAGCTTGAGAGCACACCACCCTTCCGATCCGAACTGGGCTGGTAAGGATGTCTAATGCAAAGCGAATGTTGCCTGGCGGTCCACAATATACGCGGTAACGTGCTTACATACCTTCAATACCCAGAATGGACGGAAAATGTCTGACCCGCGGGTCTTCGGCAGCAGAGGGGTTTATTCGGTGCATAACTGAACAGGGCCGTCTAATCTATCTAACAAGAAGGAAATGACTCGTTGCTGAAGTCCCCTAGATCAGCCCATCAGATCACCCAGACTATCCACATACGCAGCCGGTACGATCGGCTTCCCTTCGCCCAAAATGTCTTCCTTGCTGTTGACACCAGTACATACCATCAGCGTCCCTCCCAGCTTCCCCTCGATCCCAAACTGGATGTCCGTATTCAGCCTATCTCCAACCATACACGTCTTCTCACGATCGACCTTGAACTTCCCCTCAATCGCATCCATCATCGCCTGGCTCGGCTTCCCCAGCGCCAAAGCCTCGCGTCCTATCGACTTTACCAACGGCGCACCCACTGAGCCGGCACCGGGGAAGAATGCGTGCGCCATCGGCAGCGTCGAGTCCGTGTTCGTCGCCAAGAACTGTGCTCCTCTCCGCAGATATGCGAAAGCGATCGCAAGCTTGAGGTAGTTGACGTGGAAGTCCAGCCCTGAGAGCACGATGCCCACGTCATCGTCTAACATACTGCCATCAGCAATGGCGGCGAAATCTTCCGGTGTGATGTCTCGTCGCAACGATGGGTCTGTGCCGCCGACATAGGGTACGTTTTCCGACTCAAGCTCGGCTTCAATGCCGGACTCGCCGAGCACGAAGACTTTATTCTTGGGAGAAGGGAGCGAGAGGATGCGGGAGATGTAGATTGCGGCGCTGTAGGAGGAGCCAAAGACTTCGTTCTACGGAGATTGTTGGCGTCAGCGGGTGAAGAGGAAGGCTGCGGGTTCCGCTCACTCACCACTTCGGCGGGTATACCCAGCTTGTCGAATTTCTTCTTGTAGTCCGCTCTGGATTTGGTGCTGTTGTTCGTGACGAAGACCAGCTGCTTGCCTGGACATCGAGCATTAGCCGAGAGCCTACTTAAGAGCAATCGAGCATACCTTTACTCCTCAACATCTCCAACACCTCTGGCACCTTCGGAAAGAGGTGATCTCCTGACCATAGCACGCCTACCCTTCATGTGCGATCAGCTTGCAGATGCTTCGATATCCTGGTACGCCTGAAGCTCTTTGAAGGCCCGACATAAGGATATTGCGCGCAGGTGTGAGGTTCGGAGCGAGTATGTACACACCATCGCAGTCGAATAGGAAGGACTTGAGCAGCTTATTAGCAGCTTTTCTTCAATTGGATGGCCGGTACTTACGTCAAACTTGTCAATAAACTCCTCGATGCCAGCCTTGTCTCCAGTGAGGTATCTGGGCTGCGCCATGTTTTCGTCTGGAAGTAGCTGTTCTTCCGGTGGTTGTGTTTCGTTAACAGGCGAAAGTGATTGGGACGAAGTGGGATGGTGGGGTGAGGGCTGACGCTTGGAACCGGGTTGTTCGGAAAGAAGACCGCATTTCCAAGTCGGAAGATTTCGATACACCTATGCAACGAACCAATCAGACCGGCACAGGAATGAGCTCTGCACACATCGCTTCTAGTATCTCATAGTCGGCAATCCCAAGAGGCTTCGATCACTCTGCAATAGGCCGACGGGATGGAAGCTCGATGAAGAAGAAGTAACAAGCCGTGCCATCAAGCAAACTGGGAAAGGGATTCTGTCACACAGAAAGCTTGCTGTCTCTGTTTAGGCGTGTTGCTGATGCCTTCTTCATATTTTCAATGTCTCCCAATCACACCAGTTACAATCGCAAGTCAACACATAGATTAGCAAGGAATGGCTTCATGTTTACTGTACTGCGGCTTTATCGAAAGCGACCCTTTCTGGTCCCTTCCCGCCGCTCACTAGTACCACAAGATAGATCCGCGTGACATATACGCACAGACGCCGAAGAAGGTGCCATGGCCGAGGCCGATGCTATCGATCTGGCGATTAGTATTGTTTGTGTCCGGCGATAGAATTGCTTGTCTTTCTTGTACGTTACTACTCACGCAAGTGACAGAAATCGCCGGACTCGTAAACTACTAAACTTACAACTCAGTCCCTAAGTTAACAAATTCTATTAGATTTACTATGTCTCTAAGGATCTTTACCTAGCCATCCTACCTCCAGGTATAGCTTGCACATATTTATGTGGCAGCATACCATGAAGGGTTATGCCTATTCATAACCTCCCTAAGCTGACTAAAGACCTATATGTTTTTCGGAGTCCGGCAATCTCTATCACCCAGGTGCTACTGTATTCGCTCCTTTGGCATGTTCTCGCTTTCACGACCAATCAAATCTACACCGCCATCCGTGCTTTCCTCTCCGGAAGGATTTACTGACGGATATTCAAGTCGTCTCTGCGAGCATCTGCAAGCCTTTCGACATCTCCTGTCTCCTTCACCAGCGCTCTTGTATAGGTACTGGCTTCTCCAGCTTGACATGGGCCATCAGAGGGAGCTATTCCGCTGGAAGCACGCGCCTGTTCGAGAACCAGGCGTATGGTCCGAAATCTACGCCTATCTAGGGTTGGAAAAGATTGGTGTTCTGGTATACTAGAAGACATCGCTCGGGTAATAGTGCGATTGAGGATCCAGTAGCTGGTTTTCGGCTGCGAATCGAAAGGGGTACTTCACGTCGTCTTGTCGAATTTGTGGGCTGAGGGATACCAGTGTTTCCACTAAGTAGGTGGCAGTATATATTTGTGCCCAATTGGGAAAAACGATCTAATACCGCCGGTATTTCGGTGATTTGCCAAGCACCCAAGGCAGTGCTGGTGAGAGTAGTCCAGATGTTAGCCTACCTTACTCTATCTAGGTGCTAAACCTCGGCTACTTCCTTAGCTAATTACCACTACGATTATATACCGGTCTCATAGACCTCCATTAATAACACTAGCCAAGATCTTTAATACCATGGTTCGGCAGCTCCGGATAACCTCTAAACGGCTAGCCGCAGTACCGCCGCTATTGAAGATCCAGTACCGGTCCAAAACAATCCAAATATTCAACGAGTCGGCACCTACTTACTGGAAACAATGAGGGATACAATTGAGGCGGAATGAGAGGTAAGTCTTCGTCTGTCTTGCGTCGAGCACTGCGGTGAAGGCTGATGCGGTACGTACATATCATAACACGGAGATGGAACGAAGCATCAAGTTCCGGTGGTGAAGAAGCCAATCATGGCGTGATGACAGACTGCGACTGACATCGGAGCTTGAATTCCGAAGTTGATAAACGACGGGGGAAGAGGCTTAAGAGTAGCAAAGGATGTCCTCGATGTCTAACTGAAACAGCCGAGCTGACTGGCAAAGGTGCGCGGTAAGGCATGGAGAGGAAGGAGCAACAAGGAAGGACCGTACCCTCATGCCCACTCGCCAAGTACGGCACACGAGAGCGATGATATTCGCAAACCCGGAAGAACACGGTTTTCGTCTCAGTGGCATAAAGAGCCGCAGAATCGTGGTGGCGGGAAGCGGAGCAAATGCGACGAAGACTATACCCATCAAACTGCCTGTGGAGATGGCAGAGACGAAACGGTGCTACGGTTCTGTATCTCAAGGGGACTCCTTAGCCTCACGGTCAAGCTGTGATCACGGAAAGCTGCGGTTGCAGGCCCTCAAAGAGCTTTGGACGGAGAATGAGGAAGAATAATGGCGGTCCTTATTACAACGTGCGTGTCTGAAGCACTTTATAGATTTTTAACAAGGTTAAAATAGGACGCATCATATAAGTAAGGCGTAGAGAATTCGCTCTTTTAGCCTATAGCGACGAACGAGCCCTAGGTCAGATCGGACTATAAAAGAGAGGGCATCTGGATGGTAGTCGCTCAAAACACGGACTTCTATTCTCTTTTTGCCAGCAGACCCCATGTATCGTGTTGAGGCAGGGCATAGCTATATACAGGACCGCCTCGGTGGAAGTACGTCCGAAGCAGTTGACCTCATAACATAGAGTGGCACATACTTTTATCCGGCGCCCATAACAGCAGCCTACAGCACTAAAAGTCAGTAAACGTCACAAGTAGTTAAACTATTCCCAATGTGACCAAGGTCCAGTCACTCTGAGAAAGGTGCACTCACTCTAGCAACCGAATACAACGGCGTAATCCCCGTCCAATGTTGAAACTGATAAACCCCCTGCCCAACCAGCACCTCAAGCCCATTGACCGTCTTCCAGCCACTATCCGTCGCGAGCTGCATCAACGGCGTAACCGGGGGCTTATACGTCATCTCCAATAATATCTTCCTCCCCTCCCCGATTCCCGCCTGACCACCCTTACCACTCCCACCACTACTCCGCTGCTGCTCCTCCCCACCCCTCTCGAACAACAAACAGAGCGCCTCCCGCATATTCGACTCGATCGGCTGATCCGCCGGAATCGTGCCGATAGCGACTGCGGGGATCCTCTCCAGTTTCCCCACGGCCTCGACATCCGGCAGCACGCGCAGGTTGTAGTCCTCGGGAAACGACTCGATCAGCTTCGCCAGCTTGGCCGGGGAGCGCCCAATCAGATAAACAGGCGAATACCCCATTGAATGCAGTGCGTAGATGGCCGCACGCGCTGTCCCGCCTCCGCCGATAACGAGCCCACTCGACGTGCCTGTGCTGCCCTGCGCGCCGGAGTTGCGCAGCACGAGTACCATGCCTTGCCAGTCCGTGTTGCGGCCCACGAGGCGGGTCTTGATGTTGCCCTTCTCGTCTTTGATTTCCGTTGGTACGATAGTGTTGAGCGCGCCGATGATTTCGACTTCCGGCCCGACGGTGTCGAGGTAAGGCCGGATTTCCTGCTTCAGCGGCATGGTGACGGACGCGCCGCCGAAGTCGGGAGCGCGGATTATGTCCTTGACGGACGCGGCGTTGGAGGTTTCGTGGAGGCTGTAGTGATGCGGCAGGCCGGTGACACGGAAGAGGGTGTTGTGCATGGGTGGCGAGCGGGAGAGGCCGACGGGGTATCCAAAGATCATGAATTTCTTGGGCGGGATCTCGCCGATCAGCGAGAGGCCGCGGCGAATGTCTGCGGCCGAGAGCTGGCCGGGAGCGGCGGAGTTGGGGAGCTTGGGGTGCGTGACGGGTGTCATGAAGTTATTGATTATGCGGCTGAGCTTGCCGTGGATGCCCATGTTGATGGCAATGACGGGTTTGGGGTGTGCGCTTTCAGCCCAAGCCTTAAAATCTCGGAGGGGGAAGTTGTCTTGGAGGCTGCGCGCAAGGCCGACGAGCTTGATGACATCGCCGTGTTGCAGTGCCTTGTTGTAGTAGGGTACCCAGGACCCATTATCCCAGGCCAGCTCGCCCTTGGGGTCGTGGTGAGAGGCAATGATCTTCGAAAAGCCCTTGTTGTCGGCGACCTCCGTGAGTAACTCATCCGGCCATGTCATCTCGAGGTCGATGAAGTCGAAACCAAGCCGGAGAGCTTCCCTGTAAAGCTGTCGTGCTTCATCGTAAGCTTCATCGGGGAAGTTGCCGCCTTGGCTTTTAGTGCGCAGGGTAAAGATGAGAGGAAGATTGACGTGGGACCGTAGAAGTGCGACCTGATCGATGAGGTACTCTGCCGTTGCTATGCCGTCAGTGGCTGTCGGGTCCTCCAACATGTCCACTCGCAACTCCACTGCGTCCGATCCAACAACTATCTCCAGTAAGTCGTTCATTAGCGGCTGTACAGAAGGCACCGCAAGACACACGAAGAAAGACTGCTTCTTCTGCTGAATAGTCTCCAGCGCTGCACCCTTCCCAGAGATCAATGCCAAGAAGCGAGAGAAATCTTCCAGCGTGTTGAGGAGACCCTCGGCGTCTACGGTTTGACTGTGGAACTGGAAGTTGCTGCATTGTTGATACCAAGGTTTACGACGTAGCCAGACGCCGAGCATGTCCTCCACGTACGCAGGTCTTGTCTTGTCGATGTTCAGGAACTCCATCACTCTCGCTATGTCCCGGGTAACCAGCAGTACCGTGCCGCCTCGCGCCTTGTAGTCCCCAAGAAGCTTGCGTGCGCCGGACATCTCAACCACGCCACCGCCACAGGCGAGAATGTGGCCCGTGGGCTTTTCCCGCATAGTTCGTTCGAGTAGAGCGAGTTCCTCATCACGGAAACCTTCCCAGCCTCGGTGCTTGATGAGTTCGGGTATCGTCATGCCGACATGCTCTTCGAGTGCAGTGTCCAGGTCGATCAACGGCCAGCCGAGGATGTGAGCTGCCCAGCCGCCAGTGGTGGTCTTGCCAGCACCTCTCATTCCGATGATGAAGATAGACTTCGCTACCGTAGTAGTCGTACCATTTGTAACTTCATGATGCGATGGCGGCGGTTCCACTCCTTCCAGCCGGGCCTTGAAGACCTGTGACATTGCATCCCACCAGCCTGGCCATGTCTTCGCTGTACAGTCTTTCTCGAGGATCAGCGTCGGATACGGCGCCACTAGCGCAAGCACGCTGAAGCTCATGGCGACACGGTGGTCATCGTAACAGTGGACGCCGCCCTTGGCTTCTTCTAGGTCGTAGCCTCGACCATCGATTTCTATACCATCGTCGAGCTCCCGACAAGTAACTCCAAACTTCGCGAGCTGATCTTTCATTGCGGCTATGCGGTCGCACTCTTTTACTCGCTGATTGGCGATGCCAGTGATCCGCGTGGTTGCATTGCCTTTGCTAGGGGTAGCAACAGCTGCAACTACAGATGCAGTTAAGAAAGCATCGGTCATAGGCTCCATGTCCACTTCAGGTAGTGGCCTAAGCATGCCGACAGGTGGCCCGGTCACTGTTGTCGAGGTCGCCGTTTGCTCGACAGAGCAGCCCATCGGCTTGAGCACATCGACTGCGAAGCGAGCGTCTCCTTGTAGGGACTCCGATCCAATGTTAGGTACAGTGCAAGTTGTGCCGGTTACTGCTGCGATGGCCAGTGGGTAAGTTGCTGAGCTCGCGTCGCTCTCGACTTCGTAAGAGGAAGGATTCGTATACTTCTGACAGGGTATGTGATATGTGTTCTCCTTGCTTTGGGACTCTTCCACCTGAACGCCGAATGAAGCCATCATGGCAATGGTCATATCAATATAAGGTTGCGATATTGGCTTCCCGCCGACCAGCCGCAATGTCACAGGCTTCTTAGCGTACGGCGCGCACATCAGGATTGAAGAAACGTATTGCGATGAGACCGTAGCTGCAAGCTTGATCTCGCCACCGGCAAAGCCACCTGCTGCTGTAATGGATAAAGGTAAGCTGCCCTTCTTTTCTAGATATTCGATATCCACGCCATTGGCCTGCAATGAATCCACAAGAGGCCCGATCGGTCGCTCCTTCATCCGTGCGTTGCCGGTCAAGACGGTCGATGCGACTTGAGCTTGTTTTGCCAGTGTCGCCACAGTTGTGAGGAATCGAGAAGCAGTACCGGCATTGCCCAGGTACAGCTCTTTCGGGCTCGCCCTCAACTGACCTCCGTTGCCAGTAACCGCAAGCACACGTCCGTCATCCTCCCAGGAGAAAGTTGCACCGCCTAGCTTGCCAATGGCCGAAAGCATGACCTGGGTGTCATCCGAATGCAGCAGGTTCGTTATCCTGCATGTTCCTGTGCCGAGGGCAGCCAGTACAAGGACCCGGTTGGATATACTCTTGGAGCCTGGTGGTGTGCAGGATACTTTAGAACCGGGCGCAACCTCCGGGTGGACGAGGATGCTGGGCGATAATATCACTCGAATGTCCTGATCTGCCACGATGCTCGCTTTCTGCTCGTGAGTTCTGCCAATGGCTGACAGAAGCACAATCTTCTTCTTTGCGCCGTCGTTCTTCTTGTCGACTGCCATGATTGAGATCAACCCGTCAACCGGGCAGTGCTTGTTAGCTGAACGCTTCCGTACATGTTTGTCTACAAGAGACACAGGTAGCCCATAGCTCGCGATACACTGTGTCAGTCGGGCGACTGCTCCGGCGTCTAGCACGCCAAGGTACCTGGCCAGCTCGGCCTCCTTGACCATGCCTATCGCAACGCATTCTCCATGGAGAATCTGAGGAGTGAGTATAGCCTCCATTGCGTGCCCTATGGAGTGTCCAAAGTTCAGCAAGTTGCGCAGCCCACCTTCTCTTTCGTCCTCGGACACCACATGCGCCTTGACCTTGATCGAACCGAGGACAATCTGCTTCAAAATCGAAGCTATGCCCGCCATGCGCCTCTGTCCTTTCACAGGCTTAGCATCCAGCGTCCTCATAATAACCTCAGCATTGTCCTCCAGCGACGCGAACTCCTCTTCGTCCCAGATCGCCGCCGTCTTGACGACCTCTGCCATGCCATTGACGACCTCCCTCTTCGGCAGCGTCTCTAGGAACTGCAGATCCACGTATATGCGCTCCGGCTGCCAGAAAGCTCCGACCAGATTTTTCCCAGCTGGGGTGTCAATGGCAGTCTTGCCGCCAATCGAGGAGTCCACCATGGATAACAGCGTCGTCGGGACTTGTACGAAGCGAACCCCGCGCATGTACGTCGCGGCGACGAATCCGATCATGTCCCCTATCACGCCGCCGCCCAACGCAATGATCACCGTGTCTCTTGTGCATCCTTGCCGCAGTAGCCAGTCCTCCACCGCAGCCTTCGTAGACCGGGATTTCGAGTACTCGCCGGGTGCGACTTCGTAGGTGAGCAGCCTGGAGCTCGAGGAGAGCTTCGATGCTTCGTCTTGGAAGCTTTTCTGGAAGGTAGGCGTGTAAAGCGAGCCGATGTTGGTGTCGGTGATCAAGACATAGGTGGAGGATGGGATGCTGGAGAGCAGGTCTCGCGCGACGTAGCTCTGCCACAGGCCATAGTCGACTATTATGGTGTCTTTGCCAAAAATCTGGACCTTTGTGGGGTTCTGCATAGCTTGGAGCTCATGCAAAATACTTTTCGGGCGCGTCAATTGGGGCTTCTGCGCCGCAGAAACGGAAGTCCTTCGAGAGGGGACGCGTTATGATACAGCAGCTATGGGCAGACGTAAGATGGGACGAATTTGTGACTTGTATACAGCAGCTCATACGTCAATCGCTTCCACAGCTCCCTGAGTCAAACTCAATGTCATTTGTCGCGGCCGGTGTCGGCGCCGGCCAGGCTGAACGCTGATCCGATGCCTTGGCGGCTCGAGAATCTGGGGTCACGTGACTATATGTCAGGGCACCCTGCGCTGTTATGATACTCAATCTAAGTTTGTGGTTGCAGGACAAAGACAGGAGATTCTCCCTCTGCAGCCAGGTCTATATGTGAGACATCAGCGTGTGGCTATGAACAAAGGGCTGTATATCCAGAAGTAAAGTAGCCGAGACATCTACCGCTAAACCATGAGACACCGGGCGCCTGTGCTCGCTCGTATGCTCATAACCCATGATCGCATGCAACATAATGCCAGAACGAAGCACTGCCCTCCCAGCCACAGAGACGTACAGTCGGCTCCGAGTCCAGTGATCAAACCACCAAACGCGCTCTCCACTCAAGCAACCTCTTCTCCCCATCACTCCCCTTCAGCAAGCTGGATGATAAGCCGACTCGCAACATCCAAGAATGGGAACGGACTGGTTGCCCTCTTCTCATTCTTGACCCTCCCCGCGCCAACCCACCTCTCCTTAACCCTCACAACTCCATGGCCATGCTCATCACCGCCCAGCCGTCTCCACTTCCCTTCCTCATCCTCCTCGTCGAAGCCCGCGCCATCGCCGCCACGTCCATGCTGCCCATGGCCTCCGTGCCCATCCTCACGCTCTTCTCCATCCACTGCCTCAACCTCGGTACCATTGACCTTGATCTCCCTCACCAGCTCCCTCACCAACCTCTCATACCCCGCGCACTTGAAATCCACCAGAAAAAAATCCCTCTCGATGCTATACAACTGAATCGTCATATACACCCAGACACTCTCGTCCGGCTCCGGGTATCCTCCCTTCCCGTCCCCTCCCGCCACTCCCGGCCCCGCAAACGCCGCCTCCGCGCCCTGCATCCCCATCCCATTCCCCAAGCTCGTCGCACTCCCCCCCGTCGCACTCCTCCTCCTCAACTTCCCCGCATCCGCCAGGTCCACACGGCTCGAGTGCGTCGAGGACGGATGCGCAACGCCGGGGGGAAACATCCCCGCCTTCTTGAAGCGCGCGTTGATGACCCACGGGTCCTCAGGGACAGCGTATCCGTAGTCATTCTTAGGCCCATGCCGCACACGGCGACGACCTCGACTCGGCGACTCCGAGACATTGTTGCGGACGGAGAGCGGGCCGCGGCCGTCGCCGTCGAGCTGGGCGGAGTTCGAGCGCACGGTGTCGGAGTCTGAGTCCGAGAAGCTGCGCGGGCGAGCGCGATCCCCGCGGTGGGTCGAAGATGCGGAGGAGGAGCGCGAGCCGGAGTGAGAGCGGGAGCGGGAACGTGAGCCTGAGCGGCTGCGGGAGTGGGAACCGTGGCCGCCTGGGCGTCGGGCTTTGGGCACTTCCCAGTCTGCGTCCATGGCGCGGAGAGCTTTGTAGATTGCGAGCATTGCTTCGGCGGGTGCGTTGCGGCTGCGGATCCCGAACTGCCATTTTGTTGGGCGAGGCTTCTTGGCGGGGATGGGCGTCATGCCCTCGGGTTTCGCGCCTTTTTCGGAACCCATTGGGCTCCTGCTATGTGGCTTCAGTCTTCTTGCTGTAGCGGCTTGCTGCTCGCTCGTTTGGTGGTGGTCTTGTGGGGATGAGGTGCTGCTTTCATTCTGGAGGTCTAGCTGTTGGGAGGGCTTGGGATGACCTTTCATGTAGGCGCGGTGGAACTCGGTGAGGGAGCTGGGGAGAATGGCAATTGTGTTCGCGGGGTTGCGAGTGTCATTCGAGACGGAACTGTGGCGCTGGCGGTCAGATCCGACAGGAGGTGCGGGAGCTGGGCGCATGGCCATCGTGGTAGCTATAGGAGCGGGGTCTATGGGGCCGTGGGTCGGTGGGGATTGCGCTATGAATGGCTGGAGGGCTGGTTCTTCTCGGAGGAGAGCTATCGAGTTGGTTAGATTGGATCCCGCTTTGGGGCGTACCCCTGATATCTGATAGACTGCTGAAAACTTACGATTCTCCTTCATGATCTGATTCTCCCTCACAATGAGATACGCATCTTTAATGGCGCTCGGCTCATCTTTCGCAAGCGCTGCCTGGACGTCCTGCTTTGCATAACCCATCGTCCTGCCGAGCTTGTCGACGACCTGACCGTGCAGCTTCTGCACCACAGCAGCCGGTTTCGACGGGCCAAGATTACTCGGATCAATCGCCTTGTTTGGATCCACGCCGGTGTCGAAAAACTCCTCAGGCGGCAGCTGTAGATACGGAGCGAGGTCCTTGGTAAACCAGGGGTCTTGCCTGATGTCCTGAATGGTGATGCGGTTCATTGGATTGACGACCAGCATCTTCTTGATCAGTCGTACTGCGCCGGCAGACAGGTAATTCGGGACGGTGTAGTTTCCCTGCGCGATCTTCCTGAACAGAGCTGGGATGTATTCATCATCGAAGGGCAGCCGACCGACGAGCAAGACGTACAATATGACGCCGCAGCTCCACACATCGACCTCTGGGCCCGCATACAGCTTGCCAGAGATGACTTCAGGTGCCGCGTAATTCGGGCTACCGCAGCTAGTCTTGAGGAAGTTGCCGTCCGTCATGATGTTGCTAAGACCAAAGTCGGCGATCTTAACGTTCAGGCTCTCGTCCAGCAGGAGGTTCTCAGGCTTCAGATCGCGGTGTACGATCTTGTGTCTGTGGCAGTACTCTACTGCGCAGACGATCTGCTGGAAGAACTTGCGCGCTTTGTCTTCGGGCATGCGGCCGTGCTGGACGATGTAGTCGAAGAGTTCATCGCCGGCATATTCGAGGACCATGATGATCTCGGTACTTGTTGTAATGACAGTGTATCTGTTCGCAGAATCAGTCAGCCTTCGCTCCATCTTTTCCAGGGTCTAGCGCGAGCTCACAGCTTGATAATATGCGGATGCCGTAGCAGCTGTAAGTATGATATTTCCCGCTCGATTCGGCCCGCCATGTCCCTCGTGACCAGTTTTCTTCTCGAGATAATCTTCAGCGCAACCTTCTGCCCCGTAACCTGATGCACTGCCAGTTTGACCTTGCCAAATGACCCCTCTCCTAGTGTCCTGACAATGTGATACTGGCCCAGCCTGTTCTGTGCCCGCTGTACTGAGGCAGATGCCGGAGTTGGTGTCGGTGCGGGTACGGCAGGCCGCACTGTGCTGTCTGAACCGACATCGCTGGGTCTGTTCGAGCCGCGACGGGTGTTGGTGGTGGAGATCGAGATCGACAAATCTTCGTCGTCGAGGGCTGAAGTCATGGCGGACGGCGAGGCTGTCGATGCTTCGTTGCCGTCGGCTCAAAGCTGCTCGGGGGGTCGTGCTGGTTGGGGGATGCGCGGTCGAGGATGGAGAGGTTGGCCCACTGCTTGCTAGGAGAGATGTTGTCGATTATGCCAGCGGGAAGAAGCTTGAGTTCAAGGATCTGCGGACATATGCTGGAGGGAAACAAGGCGTCAAGAACTATGCGGGCGTTCCTTCGCGCTCTTCTGACCGTATGCGCCCTTCCAGGTCTATGTACTGTGTCCCAGAAACAGCTGATGCCCCAGAGTCGCCGGCTAAGGTACGTCAGCAGCACCCCGTCACAGCGAGCACTAAGCGCCGGCGCGGGCCGTGGATCAAGAGACGCCGAGAGAACTAGCAGAGAAGCTCGCGTGACGAAGTGAACGGCGGGGGGAAATGCTATGAGAAGTGGAATTCCTCGCTGTTGCAAGGCAGCGCCTTCGGGATGGATACGGCTCGCAGGAAAATGTCAAGGGGCACGACAGTCATGCAGGTGCCCTTTGCGCGGGTCAACCTAACGCTCCCGATGCCGGGCGTTGAGAGCGTCAAAGAAGGGTAGAGCGCGAGTTCGCTGACGGCTGGCAGCTTTAACTCAAGGGTGCCTTAGCTGTGCTTCGCCGCCGCTGACGGTCGCTTTCTGACAGTGGTGGTTCCTAGACCGTGGATGCGGTGTCGATGGAATCAAGACGGCGCACTCATTCCGCGCGCTGTGACGATGGCGGATGTTGGCGCGAGCTGCATGTGAAAAGTGGAGAGTCCCTTGGTCGTGTGGGGAAATTCTCAGCCCTTCAACCTTCCGGCATCCGGCAACATGAGTCTTGATAGCAAAGCGAGATACAAACGTATACTCCTCACATTCCATGCTACTGTAGACCCTCAGCTGGCAGCCAACTGGCACTTGTCCGTGGCCTTACCTCAATGAAGTGACAGAGCCAGACCTTTCCCCTCTATTAGAGCATGACCCGTAGGTATTGATCTCAGCTCCGTCATGGTACCACTTCAGCCCGCCACGAGACGCCCTCAGGGAGCGTGACGAGGGCATGGACGAGGCGGCAAGGCTCGAGAACTGGTCTCACTTTTTCCATTTGTTGGTGTTTCTGTCCTCCCCTAGCAATCAGCTTTGGAGATAGGAGTATATACGATTAGTAGGCTTGCGTACAGCTCCCCATCATCCACCCCTACTGTGACAAAGCCAATCATTAACCCACGTCCACAGTCATTGTCATCTGTTTCCGTTGTCCGTCATATCTTTGGTCCTAACTCTCATGAGCTTTCTGGCTATGTTTCCTCACGATTCTTTAGCACCCTGGCTGTGGTGAGCTTCGCTGCTCAGAACGTCCACGCAGCAGCTATCACCAACGATGTCTATGCGAATGGCCAAGTCGTTGCATTACTTCATGCCATCTTTCTCCCAACATACCGTTCAGCCTACCAGTACCGCAGCACCTTGCTTAGCATCCCTACGGTCACAACAACTATTGCCACGAAATACCCCGAAACCACCGTAGCGACTGTCACACCACTAACGACCACGACCGAATTGATGACCGATATTACCGCGGAAAATGTGACAGAGACTGCAACCATCACTCAAGCTCCCCAATAACGGGCCGCTAAGGTTGAGAAGCGGGGCCCTATTAACATTCTCGCAACAAAGGCCTTCGCTAGGGAATTCAAGGCCCAGGCCCTTCATTTGGATGAGGTCGTTATTACCAAGAGTCTTTGAGGGGGGCTAGTTTGGAGGGGCGTTGCCGGTTGTTCGACTGGCGAGTTTTGAGTCTTCTTGGAGCCGCGTTCTGTATGTGTAGGCAGAATAACATGGACATCCAAGAAGTTCATTTTCAAGTTGTAAGTTGTATGATTAAGGCTCTGGTGTTTTTCTGAGGGGCACATCGAGCGGGAGACAAGCCTCACCGCATGGAGCTATCCAGCGTTCTTCCATGCACCCACCGCCTACTTCATAAAGTCATCCCCGATCACCCACTTCAGTTATTCTCAGATATGAACGATAGAACGAAATAGCTTGGGTTACCTGTTCAGACTGTATCGTGGGCATTGCATTGACCGTGAAGGAAATTTATCATCGGTAAATTCCTAAGCTTCGACCTTCGCGGTGAGGCTTGCTTCCCTTGGTGGCACGCCCAGCCAAAGATCATTCCTAGCTACATGTACGGTCTCAACAAAGTGTGATCTTAACGACGAAACCGGCCATATGGTCCAGGTCGTTGGAACTTCACCTCCCCGGAGGCACGAAGGGGGCTCTTCTAATCCCGCTCTTTCCAGTTCGAGCCTCGTCAAAGTCTTAATTCCCTATTTCCCATCCAAACAAAAACCTGCCTACCTGGCGAGTTTCCTTGGAGCGGCCGCCAAGCGGTCGTTAGGTTTTGGTTGTTTGTTTTGCTAAATGACTTCACCGCCATCAGGTGCGTTCAGCCTCCATGATGATTCTATTTCGTTCCCGACGTTGGAGGTCTTCAAAGTGAAGCTGCGTCCTGAAAGTCCGGGCGCTACGTCGTAGGGGAGTGAAGACGAAGAGGCTGTCGACTGAACCAATCACGTGCCTATTTAGAGCTGTGAATGCATTGCTTCATACATAAGACTTAATCTCTCAGTCGCAACGTTAAGAGCGCTTTAAGAACACCACGAAGTACTTTCTCACTTACATTTGGCAATTACAGGTCCATAACATCGTGATCCCGGCTCTTCATATTGCAGTTCAACGACCTCTCGGATACTCAGCTGAAGTACAACGTCGACCATATCAGCCACAAACCGTGCTTCGTCTTTGCTCTACAAATCCAGCGAAGGTTATGGCTCCAACTCCAGCACCTCTCCTAGCTCTTCCCGCCGAGATCCGCAACCGCATCTACTCGCTCGTAGTCCTCGATCAACACGATCCAGCGAAGCCCCAGCAAGATACAACAATCCTCCGATTCCTCCTCACATGCCGTCAGATCCATCACGAGGCCTTCCGCCTCGCTTTCTCCAACATCGTGTTCACCACTTCCCAATGGAACTGCGGCGGTTTTGGAAGCACGGAGACCACACTAGCGAACAAAGTCCATCCACTGCGACCAGCAAAGCGCCGCGCGATCCGTAACATGACTCTCAAAGCCTCTTACTACATGTATGGTGACGACCATACAACGCTTCTCCACCTATTCGGTCACCCCCTCACGAACTTTTATCGGGCTGGGCTGGATTTGGAAGAGTTGCGGATCACTCTCGACCCTCGCGCCCTGGAGGACTTCGGCGGATCCCACGTTCACAGCCGCATTCTGCGTGACGTTTCAAGTGTGGTAGTGGATGCGGTTGCACAAATGGGGAGGTTGAAGCGGGTCTTCGTGATCCTTGTGAATAGGGTCCCGGAGGATACCTACTTGCGGCTATATAAGGAGATAGAGCCGCTCGTGAAGACTAGGCTTGCAAAGAATGGATGGATCACCACCCAAGATTCGGCAGGGAGGATCATGATTGTCGACTTGAGGGAAGATAGGGTGGAACAGAAGAGGGTGAGGGTGGAGTTGGTGGCTGATTCGGCTTCGTGCATCTAGCAAATCTCCTCCGCTGTCTCACACCCATTTGACCACAGGACATTTGGAAAGCCGAAGACCACTTTCATGAATTCGGAAGGATACAACCAAGCGGTGGCATGAGAGTGGAACGCACAAGGGACGTTCAAAAAGGCCGTTGCCGCCTCGTAGCCGCTACCGTTCTCAAGATCAAGTCACCACTGAGCTGGATTTAGTATCCTTTTGAGTGTATAAGAACCAGACCGGCTCCATTCGATAAAGACTGTGAGCCATATAGCTGCGTCATACTCTCATGCATCGATCACCCAAAGACGTTTGTGAGCTTGGAACTGCGTTTCGGTTATCCACCGTGATGTTCACGACTCGCTTTCTATGCGGCAACACTTTTTCTTACTAACCCTTGGCAGTTGAGCGCAAGGATTGCTTGCATAAAGCCGGACTTTCTCCGATGCAGCTCTAGCCGTCATAGCTCCAAAGCCGTTCTTGAATGCTGAAAGAGGCAGATGGAATGAAAGACGCCAGCTTCAATACTCTTTTCCCCTTCAAGCTGTGATGTCTACACTAGTGCTGAATCGCCTGTCCCGAGCCATTGCTCGAACAGCTCCTTTAAAACCCATCCGCAGCATATCCACCCTCCCAAACAGCCCACATATAGTAAGCCATCCCACTCCCCCACCACCAACGCCAACTCACACCCGCAGTACGTCTTCCCCGACACCACCAGCCCCTCAACCTCCCACATCCTCTCCCTCCTCCCCACAAACCCCCCAACCCGCTCTCTAGCAATCGGCACCACCACCGCCATCCCACCCACGCCCACCAGCTTCACCGAGAACCACGACTTCCTCCGCGTCCTCGACTGGGTCCTCTCCGAGCACGCGACCCACGATCCCGACGTCCAATCCCAGGCCGCGGCCTTCGCCTCCACCGCCGGCTCGTCCCTCGGCAGCGGCGGCGTCTTCTTCCCCGCCAACCACCCCTCCCGGCGGCCCGAGCGGCGGCGTCGCGGCTCAGGCGGCGGGCCTGGATACGGCGGTGGAGGCGGCACGGGCGGTGATGGCGCGGGCGCGGCGAGCGTGCAGGGTGGTGCCGGTGGTGCTGGGCGCGGGGGGTGGCTGCATGTGAGCGATCAGCGGAATCCGCCGGATTATGGACGGATTGCGTGGCCGGAGGATATCTTTGGGAGTGTGGAGGTTGATGGAGAGGGGAAGTTCGTCGGGGGAAATGGGAATTATCAGAGTAGTGGGACGTATCGGGTTGTTACGAGGGAAGGGATTTTGGGGCTGAGCAAGTATCTGAGGGAGAAAGTAGTGGAGAAGTTGAAGGAGCTGGAGGCGCAGCAGAAGGAGAGGGAGCGGTAGAGAGGAGAAAGGAGGGATGTGTGGGCGTTTCGATGGGATTGAAATGCAGATCAAAATTGCATGGAGGACCAGCGCATATTGCGATGGCGGAAGAGGATGGAGTACTAAAGGCTACCGCAAGTGTACAAACTGTAAGTAGGATTCTCTAAGCACCAGCCGTCGCTGTGTCTGTCTGGATGCAGCACAGTCCATATTGAATGCTCCAACTAACGTTGACGTGTTCCAACGCAGTGTTCATCGCACATGGAACGGCGAGATTACTCAACTGGCTTCTGTAAGAACCTCGAGTTGTAGCTCAGTTTGGGGAGTACGGTTGGAACAGTGCACCGCCGCACGACGATCCTGCCGTTGTTGGTTTGTAAGACTATCACGGCGCCGCGGTTTCATCCACGTAGGAATGCCTGGGAACATTCTGCACTGCAATATAGCCAAGGCAGAGACACGAACACGTAGTATGGTCTATGAGGCCGGGCCTATGCATTCAGGTAACAGAGGCAGTCTCCGAGTGTCCAGAAACGTAGACGATCACCAGTAATGCACCCATAGGTCCTTGCATCGATGTTAGATACTTGTAAAACTACAGCAAGGAGACAAGTGTCATTACCCCCGCTCCCGCAAAACACTGTAACTCTCAAAGAGGCATCATACTTCACAACTCCCATTCCTCTTGCACACCGGCCCTGCCAGAGTAGCACAATACACGCCCAGAATCTCACAGAAGCTATCGAACCTGTCACAGGTATCCACAGCTCCAGGATCCACCATGGACTCGGTGGTTATCTCCTGCTCCACAGACGCCGTACACTCGTCTGCCCGATTCGCGCAGACCTCCGCCGCATGGATACAAGACGCCTTATCCGCCGACGAAAAGTCCGGAATAGTACCGCAGAAATACGGCTTCTTGAGCGAGACGATACAGGTGGGCTGAGCGGCCTCTATAGGCGTCGTACCGTCCCCAGTCGAGCATATCCCGAACTCTGGTACGCATTGGCCTGGGGCGCAGTAGTCGGCGGAGCTTCCGCAGTAGCCGTATTTGCTGCAGCATTCGCCGAAGCCGCTGGTGTCGCAGTACATGTCGTCGTGGTTCGGTCCGCACGTGCCGTCGATGCTGGGGTAGCTGGAGCCGTGCAAGAATCCTGGTGTTGCGGCTGCGTCTCGTTAGCGTTCTGGACGCTGGCGGCTTAGAATGGGTCGAAAAGGTTCTTACATGGGGTTTCTGAGCTCGTACTTTCGCTGGTCTCCGTTGGGACACCAGTAAATGGATCCACGCTTTGCTGCGCCATGGGTGCTGGGACTGGTGCTGGGAGACGGGCTCGCAAAAGACTGAAAATATTCAGCTCTGGAGAAGGCCACGCAGAGGCAGAGGAGATCAGGGATCCGATTGCGAGAAGATTATGCGCTCGCATTGTGATATGTTGTTTGGTTGAGCAGGAAGAGACCGAATGGAGAAAAAGAGCTCAGAAGAACGGGCAGAGTGCGGGAATTCTGGCAACGGCAATCAAACGATATGAGGGTGAGACGAAGGATCAAATCTATGGAATGTATCATGCAGGAATGCGGGACGTATCTCGGCACAACAATGCTGGATGAAATTACCAACATGGACGACCAAGGTTCGAAGGGCAGAATTTAGATTTTCAGACTTGTAAGTGCGCGAGAGCAGTTCTTTGAATTGAGTTTGTTCATACGCACTTACAGCGTCCGAGGGTCATTCGAGAATCGCGTTGCCGCAGTCAATCCATCGCAGTTAACCTGAAATTGGTTGACATAGAATAAGGATTCCAGGTAAAGGAGATCTTGTACGACGGATCAATGAGTCGTTTGCACTGCTGGTCGTCTTACTATTCTACTCGTACAGAACTAGTTCCTATCTAAACCGTCCACACGATCACAGATTCGGTTCAGCCGCGTCTCTGTATGTCGACGGCGCAATTTTCAGTACGGCGAGAGACTTGTTTGAATGACGCTTGGCCTACATTACCGCCCGTTTCCGGAGATGTCCGCATAACCCTTCTCCGCGCGAGAGTCTAAGTTCCCATGATTGACGTTCTCGGTACGCTGCGATGCACTCTTGCCGTGTGGTAGCATGCCGCTAGCCACGCTGCTCCGTCTCCGCTCTTCAAAATGAGCGTGCTCGGCAGTCGTTTCATAGTCGATCAAAAGCTCGCCGTTCTTGCCGTAGCGACGCGGTTCGTTCTTGGCGACTTTGACAACGGTGAAGGTGTTCGACTTATGGAAGATGGTGTCAAGCTCTTCTAAAGAACGGTATGCGGTCTCTGGATAGAAGAAATAGACGACCGGGCAGATAAAAGCGTTGCTACGTGATGCATCAGTACTAAGATGTAATACAGGGGGTTCGGATAAACTTACATCACAGCAAAGATGATGTATGTTTGGTAGCCGATGTTCTGCGCATCTGATCAGCAATGAAGTTGGGCGCAGCGGACGGTGTACCTACTTGGAATGCCACCGGAGTTATCATGACGACCATGAAGTTAAAGGCCCAATTGGCAGACGTACTGAGCCCATTTGCCGGAGCTCTGATGCGCAAGGGAACGATCTCAGCCGGGTAAAGCCACGTCATGCCCAGCCAGCCGATGGCGAAGAAGGTATTGAACAAGAAGAGGAATGCCGCCGCTACGATACCCGGACCAGCCCCGCCAACATAGGTCATGATAGCCAACATGACCATACTGAAGCTCTGTCCAGCTGCGCCGAATAGCATGAGTGGCCGGCGGCCAATTTTTTCGATGATGAAAACAGCGATCCAAGAGGCGAGAAAGTACTCGGTACCATTCGCGGCAGCTAGGATGCGGCTGATAAACGGCGTGAGGCCGATTTCGTTCTCGTAGATGTAAGCGGCGTAATACGTGATAAGATTAATGCCACTGATCTGCTGAAAGACTTGGTTTACGTAGGCCAGTATAGTTCGGTGCAGATGGCGATCTTTGTTGCGCGCAAAGAGATCTCTGAAGCCTCCTGCTGCCATTTCGAACACCGTGTCCTTAATAGCGACAAACTCCGAGTGGATGTAAGGATCATCACTAAAGCTCCGAGTTAGTACTCAGCGTTTACACAGAGAGAGCGGCGGAAGTATTACGTTGACTTAGCGCTCAGGGCACCGAGCACGGTCAGAGCCTCATCCTCCTTGCCTTTCAGGATAAGCCATCGAGGCGATTCCGGCAATTCAAGAATGAATGCCAGAATTATGAGGGCGAAGAATATCTGGAACGCGATTGGGAATCTCCATGAAATCGTACTGGGCTCTAAGAAGGAGAAGCCAAAGTCAATCCAGTAACTGAGGCACACTCCACCTGTGATCAATGCGCCCTCGATCATGACCATCTGACCACGGCGGTGACTCTTGGAAGTCTCCGATTGCCAGGTCGGCACCGTGCTGGTATTGAGGCCGTTGCCAATGCCAGTAATAACACGACCCGTGATAAAGTGACCGAGGCTGAACGCTGAGCACTGCAAGATGGCCCCGACTGTCATAATGGCAGACCCAAGGAAGATAGTCTTCCGCCGTCCCAGGAGGTCCCCCACCCAGATGCAAGCTATCGCGCCGGAGAAGCAGCCTGGATGAATCAGCCTGAGGCTCTTTTGATTCGCTTTGTCTGACTTCATACCGAGATTATAGCATGCAACAGAGATACCCTGTATGGTTGACACATGGCTCTGCCTCTCTGGCGGCGCAGCAGCGACGTCAATCTCCGGGAAAGTCTCGAGAAATGAGGGGAGTGTCAAAAGGCCTCCCATAACCCCTTGATCGTAGCCGAAGAGCAAGAAATCAATTCCTGCGATGACGCCGATTGCAATATTGAGCTTGGTGCCTTCAAGGCCAAAGTACCGACCACCAAACATGATGAATGACGACTCGTGTATGACTCTTTGAAAGAAACAACAACAACCAAACGACTCCGATGCTGATGGGTTTGGGGAAGCTAATAATCTGACGGTTGTTCTCTAGATGGGTATGAGGCCCGGGTCAGGCCATGTATATACCGTTGTCGAAAGGTTATCCTGGACTGTAAGACCGCAACAAGCGTGACGTCCCATCAGGCTTTCGAGTTGCCGAGAGTTCTGATGCTGCACCTATTGGCCAGCTCCGCAGGCTCTCCCACGATCTCGGTACAGAACCTCGAGACGAGGAAGTTGATCCAGGACGATGTAACCTAGCATATGCTTGTGCGGATGAACTCCGATTGAATTCACATGCGGTTAGAAGGCCGTGATGCCGTGACACCCGTTGCTGCGCTGAAGATACCATGTCAGTCTCCGCGATCAACTTGGCTGCATCCCAAACCGCTGCGTTCGCTGCTGATCCCCCCCACCTGAACGACAGAAGTCGCTGCACTCCCAGAACAGATAGGTCTACAGTCAGCTTAGCAAGGTCAAGCAAAGAAGCACCTCCTCGTGATATACTGCCTCATGAACCTGTTCAAGCCATATCAAGAGGTGGAATTGCCAGAGCAAAGATCTTGAAAAGATGGTGAATTTAGCAGATATAGGTGATTTGGGAACAAGTTGGGAGTCCATCAATTGACGAGTCCGGCGATTTCTGTCATCCGCGTGCCCCCTCACATTGGCAGCGGTCTGCCTGTGAGGCAGGGGTTAGTGCTCTGCTTGTCGGCCAATGGCCATGTGCTGAAACGTCGCTGTGAAGTGAATGCACTGCTGCTTCGCTGTAACGCCGGATATGTAGGGTGGACGTGACGATGTGGACTTACTCGTGAGTGTCCTTGTTCCCAAGCATGTTGTTGGCTATCTGCTTGTGCTGAAGTCGCTGCATGTCACGTGGTCTGATCCTCCGGTTCTAGCTGTCGAGGTTCCATTTGCTTTGTCCTTTCGTGACTTCCATCCACACTGCTCCGCGTGTAGATCATCGGCAACAAGCTCTGCAGATGCCACATCCTGGAGTCCAGAGGGCTTTGCGACGTGAAGGCCTGAGAGAGGACATGGCTATCCAAAACACTGGCGGACTGATCGCGAAGAATCGACCGCCATGACGGCGGTTCAGCGTGCTGGCTCTCCTGAACAGAATTACACGGCCTCGACCATCCTGTCGAGAAGCGTACATGCGTGTCAGACGCGTATGATGCTTCTAGCAGCGCAGCAGAGAGACATAATGAAACCATAGCGCATACTACCAGAGCCAACTCTACCTGCGCGAATGCTCCTTTCTCACCCTGGCACGGCATTTGTTTCCTGGACACGATCAACGAGCGCCGCCTGGCCATCATCGCGGCGGGCAGCAACGCCGTTTTGAATGCTGCATCAATCTTTGGGGGCTTGACTACAATGGTGAACATTGTCTCTCATGTCTTTGCCCAGCGAGCGCTCCTCAACCAGGAATAGAAGGAGCTCCAGTGCGCGCGTGCTTCTTTCTCCAAACAGCGCGCGACTCGGACGCTCCCGGCTGTACTGCTGCTTGCGTAACATGCCCTGAGACTCGGAAGTCACGAACGACCGCGTGCGCCGGACGAAGTAAATTCTCGACAGACCATAAGGGAACCAACGGATCGAGACGCCTTCGACGAACGGCACGATTAGCAATGTCGCCTGTTGAGCAGCCTTTTCCAGACTCTCGCTGGCTCGCAGAAACGGAAGTCGACCACCAGGCCGTCTCTCAGCGAAACTCTGGGACCAGCAGCTCTTAGCGGTCCCTCTCACACACCAGGCCACCCGTTCAACCAGCACAAACTCGTCTGCTCACCGCGCAATGCGAGATTGGAAAGAAAAACTCTCACGAAGCATACAGCATCGTGCTCTTCCGCCGCCATAACACTGGCGCATCCTCTTTCAACAGCATGCCGCGGCATCGTCGCACCTCGTCCCAGAGCAGCCTCTCCAGCACCACCAGCCGCACATGCCAGGAGGCAAACACGGCAAACGCAGCTTCAGCGGCATGAGGTCTCCTAAGCTGGTCAACCGTACATCCTCGACACGCCTCGTCATGACGATCCGAGGCGCTCCGCCGTGCTAACTCTTTCCAGTGGAGGAGGCATGTGAGGAGTGGTGCTTGAAGGGCGTGAGTTGAATGAGCACCTCTCTGGTCGCGGGAAGCAGCTTCGTGCTAGATGGAGGTCTGCTTCTTGAGACGCGTCGCGTAAAGTGCCTTGGCGTACTTGGCTGTTTCTGTGGCGGAGCAGACTATATAGAACAGCGAGTTGTATCAAGCCGTGAGGTGACGGTTCATATCCGTGAGAGGTGCCAAATCCAGAGGCTGAAGAGCCCCGAGCTGTTGGCGCCGTGATCAATCTTGAGCGTATGCTGGATTCTCCTCCTGCCAGTGGCATGTGGCGAGTTTGACGTGTACAGTATATACTTGCATAGTTGTATTTCCATACAAATTATCAGTCTTATAAGTCGAAGTCGCGTATCAAGGCTTCTGGGTTTAGCTAAAGTACAAGTTTTGTGTTCCGCAACCCTCATCTCAACGGACAAATTTCCATCCATCCATCAAAAGAAAAAGGTCAAAGAAAGAGCCGAGCGCATTCCTAAATCCAGAGCCTGTTTTTCATACTGTCCGCGATCGGTGTGTAGGAAGTAATCGCAGAGTGTAAGGGGCCATGATAGCCAGCATCGGTGAGTATCGCCACCAGACGAGTGTGGAGATCCTGCCGTGGGGGAGTCATCTACCAGGAGCTGTCACCGCCGGCGGCATCTCCTCCAGAGTTCCATGAATTCTCGCCAGTGACCGCGGCACCGCCCCAGCCATCTCCACCAACATCGACGGAAGGAGCATCGATGAGAGCGCCGCTGTCACCATCGTCGGCAACCTGCTTGCAGCGCTTGATGGTGTGGCCCACTAGATCATATCAGTATCATTGAACGACCTCAAGTGTACGAACATGGGACTTACTTTGGCCGCATTGGCTGCATTGGACCTTGGACCAACCCTTTGGCTCGGGGCAGTCACGCGAGAAGTGACCAACTGCTTGTTCATCAGCAAGCAACTCAAGCTTGAGGCGACTGAATGCTTCTTACCCTTGGAACAGTTACGGCACTCCACGTTAGCAGCGGAACGCGGCTCTTCGCATTCCTTGCTCATGTGGCCTTTCGTCTAGTAATCAGTATCGCGCAACTCGAGCCCGCTACGACACAAAGGACACTTACCATCCTTTCCGCAGTTACGGCACGTAATCTTCCTCTCTTGATCGCAATCTTTTGCCATGTGCCCTTCCTGACCACAGTTGCGGCATTCGCGCCCTCCACTCGTCGGGCAGTCCCGAGCGAAGTGACCGGCTGCGCAAAGCATCAGCACGATCCAACGACAACGACTAAGGGACGGACTTACTCTCTCCACATCGCTTGCATTCTACTCCTTCCGCGGATCTCGGCTCAGGGCAGTCGGCGGCACGGTGTCCTGACTGTTTACAGTTCCGGCAGGCGGTTGGATCGATGCGTTCTTGCTTGCAGTCCCTCGCACGGTGACCGACCTCCTGGCAGAGTACGCACTTGACCTCGATGCGGTCGACGGGAGCGGTACGCTCCTCCTTGCAAGACTTCGCGATGTGTCCCATCTCGCCACAGCGGTCGCATTTCGGTACCATACGGTCCATGACCATGCCGGCGTCCTTCAGGCGTTGGATGTTCTCCTCCGGAGATGGCGGCCAGCCCTCGGCAAACTTCTTGCGCTTTGGGTTAGGAGAGAAGTAGTAGCCGACGACGTACTTGCAGTCGATCTTGCCCTTAAGGTTGACAATGGTCATGGTGTCCGGGATCTCCCTTTCCTGTGCAGAGGGTTCAAGGTCAGCGAGGGCTCAGCTCGATGAAAGGTTTTCGGCGTCCGCGAGACTTACAAGAGCGATCAGGTGGACATTCATCTCCTCCGAGCGAAGAGTGTGCTCAAGCTCGGCAAAGTCGACGGCGGGAACAGCCTGGGCGTAGACCTTGACAGCGGTCTTGAACTCGTCGAGACCACGCTCCGTGTCAGCCTTCTTGAGCAACTCCCAAGCCTCCTCATCGTTCATCTTCGGCACGCCGAAGTCGAGCTTGCGCGGATTCTTGCACTCCGAAGTGACGTGGCCTTCCTCTTGACAATTCTTACAGACCGTAGGACGCTTCTGGGGACATTCGCGGGCGGGGTGACCTTCTTGGTTGCAGATACGGCAAGTGCCGGTGAACGGACGCTCGACGCGAGGATTGGTGCAGTCGGCCTTGTTGTGTCTGTGTAGTTGTGTCAGCCTCAATCTGTCATGATGCGGCAGCGACAGCACTGGTGTAACGCACCCAGTCTCACCACAGTTGAAGCACTCGCCGGTCATCTTCTTGGGTTCCGGACAATCGCGTGCGAAGTGGCCCGCGTTACCACAGCTGTTACCCTGTCAGTGAGGGATTTTTGAACGTGGCGGCAAAGTGACTTACTTGCGGCAAGCCTCGCCGTCAGTACCACCGTTGGCACCACCGTTGGCACCGCCGTTGGTCATGCCATCAGTGGCTCCAGCATCACCGTTCCAGTCGTCTCCACCTGCGGTGCCATTGCCGCCACCCCAGGAGTCGCCAGCAGTGTCACCATCGAAGGTGGCGCCACCAGCAGCGCCGGTGTCCCAGCCGCTGTTCTCTGTTCGAAGCCGTCAGCATCGAGATTCACAAGGCGAGGTGAAGATGGTGGTCGATCATCTCGTGAGTGCAATGATCTGATCTGACGACGGCGACGAGAAGCGGAGCACTCACCGACGGTTGCACTCGTGTCCCAGCTCATGATGTTCTTGAGCTGGATAGTTGTTTATGATTGAACTAGAAAGGAGTTAACGGTTGCGCGTCTTCTCTTAGTTGGTGGACAAAGGAAGGATATTTGGAAGCCGTAGTGAGGTGAAGACGTTGGAAAGACGCGTCGGCCTAGTTGGCATGAGCTTGACGTACCTTGTGCAGTTGAACGAAGTTGCGAAGGATCTAAGAGGCGGATGTCGGTCAGCGTTGTTTGAAGAAAGCCGGTTGAGTGAGGTTGAAGCGCGGCGTAGATCTAAGGGGCGTGACCACGACGTGCCAGTTCTGAAAGGTGAGCGCAGCGTTGGATGAGAGAGACTGATGCAGCTTGCGAGTTGCAACAAAGCGAACGAACTGGCACCTCAAGCTTCAGACGAAAGGTTGTTGTCTGAAGGGTTGAAACAGCTTGGGCGGTGTTGTTGTGGCGAAAGAAGATTCGGCGCACGGGGTTCCTTTTACGCGCAACTCTCACGATAGACGGGACCGGAGCTTCGGCCCAACGCTGCCCGGCTCACGAGAACAAACGCCGAGTTATTCCGGACGCTTCTCGAAATCTGAGTTCAAAGAGACGGGAGCGATGTAAGGCAGTTGGCCGGTCGGTAAGAAAGACAGCAAGCAAGGCCACTAGTGTTCGATCCGATTCTCAGAATGCCACGGCCCCTTTGAGGAGTGCACCGAGGTATCTCTGCACGTTCAACGCCTCTATCTTGAGGCTCAGCTTTGAGGAACAGCCTCCTGCTAGCTGAAAGGCACAGTGGCGGCCTCGCATTATGCCCATCATGTTTCTGAATGTAGTACCTTCAACCGCCCATCCGCCGCCAATCCACGGAAATGAAGAACAGGTGCTTCTCCCGACCTCGATACTCTTTTCGGCTGCCCGAGACTGCACACATGCTTGATCGGATCGAGGCTTGTGCCCAGGAGGGCATCTCGCCGGGTGACTCTCACTCCCACAGTCCTGTATTGGGGGTACTCTGGTAGGTTACTGCTGCCCGGCATACGTCTGTTTGTGCCTGCCTCCCTGTACTGAGGAAGACATAGTGCCCTGAACTAACTACCTAGTGGCACTTCCACATCCAAGCTATACACCTTTCAGTTGCCCTGGGTAGTTCTCGTTCTTCGTCACCTGGACTCTGGCTAGCTACAAACTATCAAAGAATTCAGGAAGAGGAGGAATACGTGAGTCGTCTGTTTGAGGTTTCAATAGCTCGTGACTCGCGGGCGAGCCACTGCAGAGGAGAACCGGCAGTATCATGCTGTAATGCACAACGTTGTTGTACAGAACAATCCGGTCAAGGCGGCGAAGAAGCAAAGGCAGAAGAGGAAGAGGGCGGCGGCTCGGGAGGGAGCGGGCACATGAGTTGTGTTTGTCTCGTGCACATGTAGCATTAATAGCAACAATTTGCTGTATCGCTTGATGACAGGTCGTCCTTGCCGTGACACAAACTCATAGCCATGACTGGAAGCCTGACAGCTTTCAAGCACTGCGGCATCCACCACCATTACTACGCAGCCTCACATCCGCCAGACCATGAGCCTCGGGAGAGCTACTGCCTTTACCACGCACCCCCGTTGTGAGTGTTATGGGGGCACAAAGACGCTTGTTCAAGGGCTGTCTGATTGGTTGGATTGGTTATATCTGGTGATGCTTCTAGGAAAACCGATGTCACCCGTAGATGAGCTAATTCAGCAAGTGGCTGCCAAGGCCACCAGCTATCCCCCTCTGAATGTTACGGTATCCAGCAGCAAGGTGCTGGATACCTAGATCAAGATAGAGTCCGAATATCCATGCCATATTGACTCTGCTAGCTCTCTACTGAAAGGCGAACTTCTTTTATCGGCTTGTAATCTTCGTCCGAAGCCTCATTCTCCAATAGCGGCAGCTTGTATATCGTCTCTTAATCCTTCTTAAATTTGCGCGGCGAACCCCCCTTTTCTGAGAAGTCTTTCTTATTGGAGGTTAAGACCTTATGCCGAGTCTATTGGTCCACGATGTTCTTCTACGCTAGTGCCGGTTATAGGGAGTTTATCGCATTGTTGTTTCTTCCTCTGTACTGAGATCCATATCCTCCTATTCGTTCTTACAGTCCTTGACATTTTCGGTAGTTTAAGTAGCGGCCTGCTCTCTTAATACTACCGTATAGCGTCCGCGAAGCTTTATTGGTGCTTCTATCGGAAATTTCAGGACGAACTTAGGCGGGACGGCTTCTTAGTGATCGAAAATATGGTCTACGAGAGCCTAATAGCGTTCCTCGTATAAGGCGACGACGTACTTAAGGTCCTCGATTCTCTTAATTAGGATCTTATCATATTCCGTATGCGCAATCCTGGATGCTCCTTAACTGTGCTCGACCTCGAAGTGTCTTTCGACAATCGCTTGTGCCGCTGTCTCTAGTTTGGTCTAAACTGCTCCTATTCACTGTAGTCCTAGCTGCTCTGGGGCGACCTTCCCATCTTGAATTGCATAAAGGATTGCCATCTTCGCATGCAGAGGGTGGCATTTATACTGCCTGATGGGATCAAATCCTATCAATCAGACACCCCTTAAACAAGCGTCTTTGTGCCCCCATAACACTCACACCGTATTCTTCGGAACCGGAGCCTTGCCGGGGCCACTACCACTACCAGACAGCTTCCTATCCGCCAGCTTTCAGGCACATTGGCGTTCATTACCAATCCTGTTCAGTCATTTATCCGCCAGATTCTGAAAACCGTAGCAACAATTACCACGCCTGATTAGTTTCTTACATGCCACGATCGAGCAACTGCCATAGCCACCGCTACCTTCATACATCCTCTCATCCGCCAGAATTCGGCCATTGAAGCAGCTGCTGCTATTCTCACGCAACAGCGACATCTGCCCTGACAAGGCCGTTGCACCATGTTCGGGAGGCTTCTTTCATACCGGCGGGTAGCCTGTCTTCACATATATCGTACACGCCGGCTTTGCATTTCTGCAGGCTTGAGTGGCAAAGGCACTCGGTTGACCTTGATATGACGCACACCTGCGGCTGCTTACCTCACTTTGCGGTGGAGCGGAACGGTGAGAGCATGCAGCTGCAGGATGCTTCAGAGGGTTGGCGACGCTCGCCGACATTAACAGCGTGTACGCTATAGGATACTATAGAACGTGAGGGAGCTCATCGGCGGTGAGGGCATGGAGCCATAGGATACTTCAAGGGTATGACGAAGCTCGCCGATAGTGAAAGCATGTACCCACAGGATACTTGAAACCCTTGGCGACGTCCGGAGGCAACAAGAGCATGTGGCTACAAGCTACTTCAGAGGGTTGGTGAAGTTCGTTGGCAGTAAGGCATTGCGAGCCAATCTCCTGGCATCTTCCGAAAGCACGATACCGTGAAGCATGATGAAGCTCTTCTCAGATCCTAGCACGAGAACTAATGAGACTAAGAGCTATGCACGACCAGGACAAGCTCCTATTGATCGTTCCACTGCCGCGGAACTGGGAAACCGACAATCAAAAGACACAGGTGGCTTAGCATGAGATTTTGTTGCACACGGACAGTAGCTTTTAATTGTACTCAGCTTCCAACACGCAGGGCCTAATAAGATACACTCTCGCCCAGCTACCGCTCCTAATCACAACACGCCGTGCACACCGTGAACGCTTCGCACGTTTTCTAATAAACAAAGACAAACAACAGACTGCCTGACCAGCCAAACCTCGCCTCTAGAGCGTACCAATCTGGGGATAATTCACCTCATCACGGGGCTGCCGTCGTACAAACGCCGATGACCGTCGAACGAGCGATTGTGGAAGTGGCAGTGCAGGAGCTCACAGTGGTTCGGGCGATGGTGCTAGTGCAGGCGGTCAGGGTCTCGGTGACTGTCGTTCGCGCTATGGTGGTCGTCACTATGTTCGTCAATGTGTTGACTACGGGCGGAAGGGTGACTGTTGATGCCGGGAGGGTGACTGTTGATGCCGGGAGGGTGACTGTTGATGCCGGGAGGGTAACTGTTGATGCGGGGAGAGTGACTGTGTCTGCTGGGAGGGTCACTGCGGGGAGGGTGACTGTGGATGCAGGAAGAGTGACCGTGTCCGCTGGAAGGGTAACTGTCTCTACTGGAAGGGTGACTGTCGATGCCGGGAGAGTCACTGTGTCCGCCGGAAGCGTGACTGTCGATGCCGGGAGAGTGACCGTGTCTGCTGGGAGAGTCACTGTCGCTGCCGGAAGAGTGACTGTATCAGCTGGTAGGGTCACTGTGTCCGCTGGAAGAGTGATAGTATCCGCTGGAAGGGTGATTGTGTCTGCTGGAAGAGTGATTGTGGATGCGGGGAGAGTGGTAGTATCCGTGACTGGCGGGAGCGTAATAGGAATGGTAACGGTGGTTGCATCGGTGATGGTAGTTGGCACTGTAAGCGTGGCAGTGTCACACGATGCGGTAGTTGTCGTTACAGTGTCCTCCCCTGGGAGAGTTATAGTAGTTGGAATAGTGATAGTGGTCTCAGTGTCCTCCCCTGGGAGAGTCACGGTAGTTGGAATCGTGATTGTAGTAATCTCTCCCGCGCCTGGAATCGTAAGTGTTGTAACTTCTCCGGCACCTGGCACAGTCAACGTGGTCGGAACCGTAATAGTGATGGTGCTTTCGGTATCCTCTCCTGGAAGCGTGATCGTGGTTGGAACCGTGACTGTAGTGTCGTCTCCGGCTCCCACTTGAGTGGTTGTCACCGTAATCGTAGTGGCAGACTGAGTAATAGTGGCGGTGGAGGCCGGCTGAGTGACAGTGGCTGTGGGGCAGCTACCAGCAGGTGGGGTAGAAGGCGATGCTGCCGGTGTCGTGGTTGTCGTCGCAGTACCCGTGGCGAGACATCTGCACGCTGAGCTGAGTCGGGAAGTGCTCGAGGCACAGGCACTAAAGTAGGCTGGCAGGCCAGTCGTCGTCGTCTGGACGGCGGTGGTATAGGTCGCGCAGAACGCAGATGCGCCCGAATTGCCTCTCAAGGCACGAAGACAGTTGTCCGCATTGCAGACCTGATTTTGCCTTTGAACAACGGCGGCATCTAGGACGCTGGAGAGTGCGGCGACGGTCCAGAGATAGCGCTCAGCACGGAACAACATCGTGAGTGGAAATGATTGAGATTGTACGATCTGTCACAAGGGAGTTCTTTTTATATAAGGTCTGAAAAAGACTGACAGTACTTGAAGAAAAGGATCAACTCGCAGTGCTGCAGGTGAGACATAGACTACGGAATGGCTTGCAGATCAATGTTGTAAAATCTAGCTTCCGGCTTTCTTTCATTTGGAATCCATCGACGGTCGGCATGGGAGGTAACCAAGCGCCCAATTGCTGCTGGAGATCCTGGCTCCTAGAGCGACCGGTCGTCAGGCCGAACAGCCACGACGTTCAGTGACCAGATGCGGCTACAGCAGTCTCGACAGTCCGGTGGGTCCAGCATTGTAGCGTACGCCTGGTACACGGAATTCATGCTGCTAGCACAGACCCCAATTGGTTGATATACGCATTCTTTGAGGTCACGGCCAATGAACAGGTTGTGACAGGTTTCGCTGCGCTAGACTGTCCCCCTGTAGACTACCCATCGCTTGCGCGGAGTTGATGCACTCGCATTTTCTTGACAGTTCAGGCTCGATTGAGTTTACGTAGCGGCTTTAACAGGAACGTGGCGGTCTCTCAAGAGATGGCGGGTCTTGGCAGGAGATGTGGCGTCCGGGGTGACATCTTGGATGTGGAGAGCAGCAGGCGATCTTGCTCATCAGGGGCGTGCACTTGAACAACTCGCGGGGGAAAGCTGGGGTTGAACGCAATCGACGCCGGCAAGCGAGCACGTCAGTGCCAAAAAAACACTCCTACCAAGACTGATCCCCACCAACTTCACGTTGTTTTGATGTTTTCGAGCTTGATAGAACAACACACTATCAGCTAAAAGAGCGTGTAGGTATAGTTGGTAGAGTGTTTAAGGTTTAATAGTCACTTTAATGTGTTTACCGATGTTTCTGTTCCTGGGTAAAAGGTTGATCTTGGTTGGAACGGTTTTTTTTTTGACACCGACGTGGCGAGTTCCTGAAAGACTGGGGAGCGGGAAAGATTCCGTGGGTCAAGGGGCGATCAGCCGCGATGGATCGACGCTTCGGCCCCTTTGCCAGAACCCTAAACTGGACATGTCCAATGGTCACCTGGTCAGTGCACTTATTCCCAGGCCTGTTCCGCATGCCCAACTACTGGAATACCAGTCTGCAGCGCAACTGCAGCGACGAACAAGTGCATCGACTTTTGCGCCATCGGATCCGATGTCTCCAGGTGTGGTGTGCATTCACATTCGATTTCGGCAGCGATTGAGAGCTGAGGCAGTTAGCCCACGCCGCTTAGACGGAAGATAGGAGTCTCGAATGTGATGCAAGCCAAATAGAGTGAGACCTCGGTGGCAGAGAAGGAGGCTACAAGCTGCGGCCGATACAATCAAGCGCTGGTGAAACAGAACCGCATCCCTCGACCGGAGACCGCAGTTCACTTAAGCATACTCGGAGGAGCTGCGATCTTGGACACGGGCGACTTCAACCAACTTGGACACATGTTCAACGGCGAAGGATGTTGACAAAAGAGACCTCTGATCAGCTTAGCCTTAGGTTTGACAGTCATGGATGTCAACGGAAGAGACCTTCACGGTTTTGTTGATTAAGAACTCGCTTATGATCAGTGGTTTGTTCCCTCCTGCAGCTGGCTCCGTGACGTGATTCACAACTGCTTGATTGCCTGCAGGTGTTGGTTATCCACCAAGCAGTAACAGCCATGCATGCCTGAGGAGTGATGGGAAGAGAATTGAAGGCGTCTCTCAGACATATCAACGTGAGTTTGAGGGTCATGACAAGTGACTTACTTGCTGAGATGAAACACCGAACTGTCGAGTGGAGGCGAGGAGGGTTACTTAGGGTTAGGTTGAAGACAACCATATCCAACTCGTCACGTGCCTCCGCGTTTCATGGTAGCGGCGGATCACCATCTCACCTCTAGCCAGCACCATGACCCTGCCGCAACGCACATCCTCGACTCGCCATGTCCGACAACCCAGCAGACTGAATGGACAGTCTTCTCAACCCCAGGTCTCACCCATAGTTCTCTCCACTGAAAGAAGTCCAAGCAGGCTAACCTCTCAAAGGGCCAGAAGCCGTTGTCAACACAACTGTCCGCTAGCGATGTAGACCCAATAGATGAGATCCGCTCCCCTACGCGGCTCCCGCAACCGTCTCCAAGACCACTGCAGCAGAGAAGCGACAATGCCATAAAGAGGAGGAGTCTGCTTCCGCAGCCTAGTGAAGGACCGTCAAATGGGCTGAAGCTCGCATCCCGGCTGTCACCTGTATACAATGGGGGAGAACCAGCAGGCTTGGACGGGACGCAAGAGCACGATCACGAGTCCTATCCCAGAACAGCACCCAGCAACGGTTCTAGCTATCAACCGCCCGCTACCAAAACTACGCATGACGTCGCACCTCCGAGTGGAATAGCTGGCGCGCCGCGTCTTCCGCAAGCCAGAATTGACATGCCTATCAGAAGGTCACTGCTAGGCGGCGCTGCCACTGCGGAACACTCGGAAAGAGCTAAGAAGTCCTCAATGCCGCCTCCGTCAGGGATAGGAAGATCTCAATCCGTGCGAAGACCAGCGCCGGCCCAGCAGAGTGATCGAGCTACTAGCACTAGCTCACACGCTCGCACGCAGTCGTCGAGCATCACCAACGGTGTGTCGAAGATTTCGTCCTTATCGAGGCACTCAGCCTCCAAAGCCGACCTCGAGCGCAGCAGCCGGCCGCCCTCAGTAGGATCTTCAACGTCCGCAACCAGCATCAGCAGGATGCCTCCGCCCGAGCGGCCCAGCGCCAACACCAGGTCGATAAAGCCACCTCCAAGTGCAATGACAGAGCCTCAGCGTACAGCCAGCTCCACCGTCACACCGGCACCCTCTTGCCCCCAACCAGCCGCCCCCAAGCCGTCCACCCATCGCCGTAACCTCACCCTCCCCTCCGCCTCCGACGTCCCAAACCTCTCGCGTCCTGCATTCTCGACCCTCCAACAGCACTACTCCCCCAAGAAGTCCACCGCGCCGAAACCACCTATACCAGCAAGCACTACCCACACCGCCTCTTCCGCCTCTATTAGTACAGCCGCCAACGACACCGCCTCCTCAACACCAGTCCTCCGCCTTCAAGCCGAACTCCTGCAACTGCACCTCCTTCACGCCTCCTCCGCCAACATACTCCAGCAGTGGTCACAGAGCGCCGAGCGCGCACTCCAGAGCCGCTTCAACGCGGTCGGGGGCCAGTGGAAGCGGATGCGGCAGCGCGAGCGCGAAGTCACCGAGCAGACTAACCTCCACGCCTTACTGGAGTGGGGCAAATCTGGTACGGCGTCGTTCGGAGGCGGCCTAGGCGAGAACGTGGCTGTGCTTGGTGGGGTTCTGCAGGAGCTTTGGGTGCTCACTGAGGGCAGTGATGGTGGTGGCGGGGGGAGGTATGTGAGGCTTGTTGGGGGATTTGAGTCGTGGCTCGCTTGGGTGCAGGAGATCTGGGAGGGCAGGGGGAAGGGTGGCGACGAGGGTGAAAGTGGGGTGGAGCTGGTAGATGCGGTTGCTAACGGGCTGGGGGATGCGTGGAAGGAGGAGAATAGGGCATTGGAGAGGAAATTGGGGATGCTGCAGAGGGAGATGGAGGGGCTGACGGATCCGGCTGAGGGGTCGGATGCAGCGCGCGTGGTGAGGAATTTTAGGAGCCTGCTGCAAGGTTGCTTAGAGGAGTTGAAGGTGATGCGGGATGTTGAGGCTGAGGTTGTGGTGAGGGAGAAGGGGTGGGTGGAACAGCAGCTGCAGCGAGTGGAGCGGGAGATTGACATGGGATTGCTGGAGGAATTGGAGACGCGTGATGGGAGTGAGGCGTGGCGGTGCGTATAGATATTCAGCAAGTGAATCAGAACTTTGATTGAACGTCGCCAACCGTTCATAGCAGCACGTGATCCATATAACCGGCTCTAGGGTGTCAGACGGCCCTTCCATGTTAGAAATCCTAAAGAAGCCCGTCAACATTTCACCGAGACTGACAACAGCCAGACAGCATAGTGCCACTGATGCTTGCCTGGCGCGCAGCGGGAGCGCGGTGTTGGTCGGAGTGAGGGTGAGGAGGAAGACGGAGGGGATGGAGCTGGTCTTGTCCGTTCTTGATGTTGAAGAAAAGTTGTGGTGGTGGAGAGGAGGTAGGTGGATTAGCAGTTGGCGATGATTATTGATGGTGATGATGGTCGTTAGTGATCATAGTTGTTAGCGATGATGGTTGTTGGTGATGATTGTTGAAGGTAAGCAATCTTGTGATATTGATGAAGATTTCTTGTGATGATGATGGGGAGATGAATATGGTGGTGAGAGGTTGGTGCTAGGAAAGATGGGAGGGTGAATCGGAGGGATATGTATGGGCGTGGGCAAGGCGAACGTTGTCAGATTGTATCATTTCGTTCCTAATAACCGCCCATGCGGTATAGACACCGCAAGAGTCGCGTTCTCGCCTACATCTAATCGTACGTCCACAGCTTTAGCTAGTGCTGATTTTCACACCCAGCCCCCAAAGCAAGAGCAAAACGCCCCGAACTCCACGCTTCCCCTTTCCCAATCCGAACGCCAAAGCCAAGCCTGTTCTCACACACCGCATATCATGTGGGCGCAACAACCCTTCCGCCATCCACAACCACCAACTCATCAAGCCTCTTATCCGTCTCTCCCCACTCCAACCTCTTCCACGTCCTAATCTTCGCCTCGTTGATGTCGACTTCAAACATCCTGATCCGCCTGTGATACCCTCCATAGCCGCCATAGCCCCCAAACCCGCTTCCGCCCGCATAGCACATCCACAGGTCCCCGTTCCCACTTTCAGAGTTCTTCTTCGAGCTCAACGCGCAGTAATCATTCGCGTGATCATGACCGCACGAGACGACAGGGACGCCCGCATCAACAAGCACATCGCGGAAGTGCGTGTTGAAGCCCGGCGCGGTGACGCCCTCTGGATGCTGGCCTATAATTGGGTGATTACTCCCATCCGCATACTCCGGCAGTGGAATGTGAATAAACGCCATATCAAGATGGATGTGCGTATAATGCTTGTGGCTCTCCTTCAGCGTCGCCGCCGTACTTTTAAACCAATCGATCTGCTTCGGCTTGAGCCAGTCGTAGCCCTTGAAGCGCGTTTCGTCAGGTGAGTAACCGTGCGTGTCGAGGAGATATATTGTTAGGGCGCTGTGCTGGGAGTTTCCGGGCGCGAGGACTTCAACGTAGTAGTTGCCGACGCCTTCGATGGTGTTGGGGCCGGCTTCGGAGAGGGAGAAGGGGAGAGAGGAGGTTAGGGACATCTGGGCGGCGCGCGAGAGGGAGCCTTCGTCGTCGTGGTTGCCGAAGATTGTGGCGTAGGGGATGGAGCGCTTGATGAAGAGTTCGGCGAACTTGAAGATGGCCTGTGTATGGTGTCAGCAGTCTCACCAGTCGAAGTGGAGCAGGGAGTCTTACGCTCTGCGCATCAGGTGCCGTCTCCCCGTTGACCTGATCCCCCGACAGCACCACCAAATCCGGGCGTTCATCATCCAGCAAGCGCCCCACAAACTCCAGCGTCCTAGTATCCGCGTCACACTTCCCCCCATTCGCACCCTTCGGTTCCGGATCCCTACAGACCCCAATCCCGGTACTAAGATGCAAATCCGCAACCTGCATAATCTTGAACCTGCCCTCCTTCCCCACTCTCGGCGTCGGCCTCTCGACCTTTTGCGGCGGCCCCCTCCTAACCGACAACCGCGCCTCCTGCCCCTCCCCTGCACTATCCAACAGCAGCGGCGTATCTCTAATCTCCCACCCCGGGCGGGGCTCCACCGCGTCCGCGCCAAACAGCACATCGACAGCCGTGATCACCGCCTTGCTGTCGCTGTCCTTCTTCTTCCCGCTGCGCTTCAGCCACAGCCCGCCCGGCCGCGCCTCCCACTTCTCGGCCGCCTGTCCGCTCTCGCCGACCGCGGGGTCGAGCCGTCCGATCCGCACGTCGAGGACTACTTTGTCGGTCCCTGTGAGCTCCTCTTCGCGCTTGCGCTTGATGTGCAGCCAGGCGGAGCTGGTCCATCCGGTCGAGAGATAGAGGTCTTTCTCGATGCGGTGCCATTTGTCGGGATCGAGGCGGCAGGTGGAAAAGGGGTTCAGGGTGTTGCAGGTTTTGAGCGTTATGTCTGTGATCACGAGGCCGGGGGTGTGGAGTGGGAGATGGTTGTGGAGGGATTGGGGGAGCACGCGGTAGCGGGTGTCGAGGAAGAGGACGCTGAAGAGGATTATGGTGGTTAAGAGGGCGAGTTGGATTGCGGTGCGGACCTGGAGGAGGTTAGTGGATGGGTGCTACAGATTAAGGAGTGATTTGGAGTAGGGGGTCGTTTACTATGCGGCGTGTCATAGTGATTGAGGTGCCTGCCGTATGGCAGCGGTGCGGTTCCAGTCCTGGTCAATATAGAAGCTTGTATGGCGAGGCACAGCCTCCACTACTGGTGTATGCAGCTGCAAACCATGCTGAGAGGTGGTTCATACAACAGAATCCATGGTGTTGGAGAAATCTCCGGTGCTCGACTCCGGATCTCCTCCGCATTCGCGGGAGGCTTGCATGGCGTCCTTGGCCGCTTGCAGACCCTGGGCACGCGACTCCCGCAATCGCAACCTCGTTTCTCGGGCGGGACTGCTGCACACTACAATGAACATACAGGGGATGGCCTCCAGAAGAGCATTGTCTGCTCTCTCGAGAAGCCGCCAATACGTCAACGTCTGTTTCCAATGCCGCCGCAAGCTGGCAACAGACAGCAAGGTCTTCGCCGGTACACACGCCCGACCTTCCCGTACTACTCCCCCTATAACACAGTCCACTAACTCCACTATAGAAGGCGACATAGTCCTCCTCCGCCAAAAAGACGACCCCTCGCACGCCGGCATCCTCACAAAACCCCTCCGCCCCTCCGCTCGCATCGAGACGCATCGGGGTACCCTTCCCCACGCTTCAATAATCGGCCGGCGCGTCCGCGACATCGTCAGCAGCAGCAAGAACGTCGCGTACCGGATTCATGAGCCTACGCTAGCTGAGTATGTGCGCTTGACGCCGAGAGTGGTCACGCCTGTCCGTCTATTCCCTTGAGCGTCGAGATGCTGGATGTTTTTCTGTGAAACAAGCATACGGGTATAGGGAGCAGCGTTGATTGTGTGCACGCAGATATACCCAGGCGATGCGAACTTGATCGTCAGCTTGCTGGATATCCACGTCTCTCCACCTTGCCCAACCGATGGCGCCACGTTTCCGCTCGAAATACTCGAGGCGGGAACAGGTCATGGCGCGCTGACGCTCCACCTCGCGCGTGCAATACACGCCGCAAACGCGCCGCCGCCTTGTTCTGCGGCCACCCGACCATCGTCTTCGTCCGCAGCAAGCGACACCGAGACCACCAGCTCCAGTACCATTGAAGAAGCAGAAGAAGCGGAAGATGTTTCCTACGACGCGCCTCTCGCTGAGCCCGCAACCACCGCAGCTGATCCCTACGAGGCATGGCGCAAATCGCGCAGAGCAATCATCCACACCATTGAAATATCAGCTAAGCACTCCGAGCAGGCGCAACGGACCGTATCGCGCTTCCGGCGCGGCATGTATGCGCACAGCGTTGACTTCCACGTCGGCGATGTCTCGGATTGGATTACGTCGCAGCTGTCGTCACATGACACGACGGGACGGGGGATGGAGTTTCTGAGTCACGTGTTCTTGGATCTGCCGGCTGCGGAGGAGAAGCTGGAACTGGTGGCCAAGGCAATGAGAGTAGATGGCGTGTTGGCCGTCTTCAACCCTAGTATTACTCAGATTGGCGAGTGCGTCACAAGAATCAAAGAACTGAAGCTGCCGTTCCAGCTAGAGCAGGTGGTTGAGCTGGGACCGCCGAGGCTGTGGGATCTCAGGATCGTTAGGCCGAGGAGTGTCGACCGACTGGAGAACGCAAGAGGCGAAAAACGCTTGAGCATTAAAAGCGGTGAGGAGGGCGTTGAGCGCGCAGGCGAAGAAGGCGATGAGGGCAGTGCGGAGGGGATGAGTGATGGCGACGTCACGGCGCGAGACCTGGAGCAGGCGGAAGAATTGGAGAAGAAACAGGGGGTGTGGAAGATGGTCTGCAGGCCGAAGGCTGGGGAAAGGGTCGTTGGTGGCGGCTTTCTGGGAGTGTGGAGGCGAATGCGAAATATGTCGACTGATGGAAGCTAGGTCGATGTGGGAGGATGAAGTTCACTAGCTGCATGGTTGTCCAGTGCGTAGCAGCAATGTTGATTATACGGCAACAGCCGCCGCCTACTCTACCATCCCCAAAGTTACGAACAATATCTTGTCCAGCAAGATCAGATCAGATCATAATATATCGGTCGTAGCTCGTAATATTATACTAAAGAAGAAGACATGCTGGGTATATTATACTGTCAAGCGACAAAGAGAAGACCTCCAAAGCAACAGTCATAGGTATAGAGCGAGAAAGTAAGATCGTAAGTCATAGGCCCATAAGAAAAAGATGCGAACAGCCTAGCAGAGGCAGAAAGGAAGAAATAGAAGATGCTGTAGAGGCTACGGAGGAGGTCGAGAAGGAGGTCGAGGAGGAGACCAAGGAGGAGACCGAGGAGATCTCTTCAAGCCGCAGCGGTTATTACGTGAGCTACAGGCTCCGTGGGCCTCTGGTCCGGCTTAGGGTTGACGATGAAGCGAGCTCCTACCTCCGGAGGCTGCTCATCTTCGTTCTCCCTGCCTGGACGGGTTTTATCGAGGTGATGCCGTACTGCAAAGTCGTCAAAGTCTTAGTCGGTAAGTAGCGTCAAGATAGAAAATGAATACCCCAAATTGATAAGAGTCATAAAGCCTGGCATAGAGCAACGGAGGTCACTTTAGGGTCTTCCATGAGCGGTGGCGGTCTCCTGTCCTTTCACGTCCGAATGTAGTAACCGTAGTATCCCGTAGAATGTCAATGATGAGCTTTACGAAGCCCAGGCAGGCATGGATAGAAGTCGCAACAAGGCAACCAAGGCATAAACGGGTCAGAGACGGGATCACGCGCGTGCTTCAAGAAGGTGTGAAAGATTAATTAAACCTGCGGTGACGGTCCGACACGATCCCTGAGAGGTGCATGAAGGACTCTTTGTGCCGACACCAGCGTGGCAGGACTCGCTGCAAGTGCCGCAGCGTAGAGTGGAGCTTAGACTGTGAGTTCTTTGAGATGTCGGCAGGTGCATGAGTCGAGCCACGTTTTTGGGACGGCTTAGTCTGATTTGGGATCTAACCATTTTTAATCGCAAATGCCATGATATTACTGAAAGCCCTTCAGCCTGATACATAGCAAACGCCGTCGTATTGCAGACTTTTCCACAGGCCAGTCGTTTACCGCGTAGCGAGTGCTGCGTCCATCCCAGCGCAGTCGCTAGAATCCGTATCTCTTGCAGGGATAAAGGAGATCCTCACCCCGTTTGAAGTTCGACGGCTTTATTTTATAGTCGTCATGCGCCTGTACGTCGCCCGTCGTCATAAGGAAGTGGCTGTGTTTACATTTAGCAACACCATCAGGCGGAAGTCTCTTCTGGCAATCTCGTCCCGCACATCCCTTCGTATGTTGATTCAGAATGTCCCGAGAGCCGAAATCAGTTTTACCGCAGAACACGCATCGCAAGCACTCTCTCAATTGGCAAGGCTTGCGACCGCCTTTGACAACGCGCTTGGAACAGCGCAGACATGTGGGCTCGATCGGCTTGACAGGGGCGCGAGCCGTGGTTTTCTGACAAGGATCAGCAGGGGAAGCGCAGGGTAACCGCGCGCCTACGAAACTTACAGACGGAGTGCTTGGTGTTGACATTGTAGCTGTTGAGACGACGACAGCAAAACGCAGCTGGAAAGTAGAGTGTGTCGAACCTCAGAAAAACTGGGAGAGCGCGCGATATTTATGCGCTCGCTAAGACTCACGATTTACTGTTTATCTACCCTCACGAGCTTATTTCCCGTCATGGCCTCATTTCCATTTGCTTCCATATCGCCTGCGGTGACGCAGCGTTTTCACGTGCTGCAAACGGAGGGCACGACGGCGACACACAGGCGTATCGCTGGCTGAGGACAGCCGCGCAAGAAGGGGGAGGCAGTTGTAAGACACAAAGGGAGCCTCAGGCCAGTCCCAGGCTTTCCGCCGGATGTGGCGAGCTAAGTCGTCGGGGTCGCTCGCAACGTAGCCGTAACAATTACGGCATCCCTTTTCGAGGCAATTGTGATGGGGCTTGGCTTCGGTATGGCAAAACACACAGTGGCTGTCGTTACCACATTCTGGTGATGCGCATGCGGTGTGCAGGGCGTGACAGATGTGGGCCACTTTGTCGGACGAGAAGAACTGGTCATCTCCACAACGCTGACAGGCCGTGAGACATTGGTGCTCTAGCGGGTACCCGTGGCGGACGCCGCAGTCGGTGCAGCGGTTCATGGTGCAACGAATTTGTAGGTGTTCGAGGATCTTCGCGGGATAAGATCTACAATACGGACACCGTTTGCGCGGGTCATTTGTGATAGCGCGCCGCTGAGTCGGTGGGGGTGTACACGAGTGCGACTGTCTCTTGCACAAGATTGTTCGAAGGTCGCTCTTCCTGCAGCGGTGGCATTCGGGAAGTTGCGCATGTTCCTACAATATGTCAGCCTTGAAGTCTTCATCCCTAGTACCTCGTATCATTACCCTGATAGATGTGGCGGAGCAGTTGTGGCCGCTTCATTTCAACGTCGTTAGCGGGACAAAGCCAGCATTTACTTGTTGCGGTAGTTGACTTCGGTTTGAGCTTTATCGAAGTTAGTGTTACTAGTTGTTGGTACATATACACTACTCACCGCCTTGTGAAACACCCGTTCAAGGCCATCAGAGGCCTGCTTCAGCTTGCAAGGCGGTTCGTGTTTGTTGCAATTGCGCGGGACAATCCCCAGCTTCGCTTTTGTTGCCTTCGCGGTGTTACAGCATCTCTGACGGCGCTCGTTGGTCATGCGACTTTCTAGTACGATGTGTGCCGGGTTGTAACAAAAGAGCTGGTGGCAGGTATGCAAGATCTGTAAATGACCTTCTTGATGCCTGACTGCGGAATCGATACAGTCCGTCAGAGTCGGGACAAGTCTCGCTTTCGTTGCCTTGGCGGTATTGTTGCATCTCTGGCGACGCTCGTTGATCTGGCGATTTTCCAGTACGATATGTCCCGGGTTGTAGCAGAAAAGCTGGTGCCAAGGTATGCGACATACATGGGTTCGCATAGATAGGATTTTCTCTTGTACAGTGAGGTTTGTAAGTCCGTTTTCCTGCATACACGGTATTCCGGAAATCAAGTGTATTCCTGTTATCTCTTAGTCTTAAACCCTTTGTCCCGAGTGTGTTGTTACATTACTAACGCAATAGAGGTGGCGGAGAAGCTCTGTTCGCTCCATATTAGTGACAGGAGTGGGATAGCCGGTATTTCGAGTTGCCATAGTCGCTATGGATGGTTAGTTCGGTCGCTGTTAATGTTAGCGTTGCCATTGAATAAGTTACATATACTAACACAGCTGATGGAGAGTTGTAAATGATGTACTTTTGTTACAAGTCTCCCCCAAGGAGCTCGGTTAATTGTAACACTTCACGTTACCTTAGTTATAACACCAGATGTATAACCTTTCGGAGGCTTGTTACTGCTTGTTCAGTAAGGCAAGAGGGGCGTTGGAATCCAGACCGTACAAGACTATCGCGATTAACTCTCCATCGATCATGTTACTCACCGCACTTTGCAAAGCCCACGTGAGGCTGTTGAATGCCGGCACGGGTTGCCAGGGCGGACTACGCTTATTGCAGGTACTAAAGTCTTCTCATAACCCGGCCCTCGATTCAATCATCACTAGTGACAACATTACTCAACTCGCTGGCTGTTCTACTCACGGCCGGCCTCTCCGCCACCGCCATCAAAAGTGCCCCAATCAACACCTACGCTCCACGTTCTCCCCTTGACCTCAATCTCCCAGCTCGGCGCCCTCACCCCAACCATATCTCCTTTCTGAACCCTCTCCACATTCCCACCTCTCGCCTTGCCCGTAAGCACAAGCCTCTTCTCCTGTAGCAGATCATTCCGATTGGCACTCAGCCCCCTCAGGAGCGTCAAGCCATCAGCAAGTGTAACGTTGCCCACCTGTACATTTACCACAAACTCGGAATCGCCGCGCGCCCTCCCTGCCATCCTCCCCGCCCGCCCTTGCCCAGCGCTGCTACCGACGTCCATGACCCAGCCGCGAACCACGTCCGCCATGCCTCCCGGCACGAACTTCTGGCCCCGGCGGTGCGGGGAGAATGTGTCTGGCAACGGCTCTCTGCTTCCGCTGTCCAGCTGATGTTGTTGGGGCAGACGGAAAGCGGGACGTCGGCTAGCCGACTGCTGCTCATTAGTGATTTGTGAAGATGCAGGTTGAGAGGGGTGCAGGAGGAAGCGACTTGAGTACGGCGCTGGCGAGGGCGCCGATACGGGTCTCGTGGGAGAGCGGACAGGAAGGCGCAGGTCTGGTGGCGGGGACAGGCTTGAGGATAGTCGGCGACGCTTCGCACGGTGTTCTGGAGATGCGAATAACATCTCTTCTGCACCTTCGTCTCGATCATGGTGGCCCTCTCCGTCCTCTTCCGGCTGCGCCGCCGGCTCGTCTATCTCGACGGTCTGCTGCATTGCAGACGCGTCCAACGCGTCCAGCATCTCTCTGTCGCCATCCCCGTCTCCATGATCGCCGTCCTCAGCCTCCTGCGACGCATCTTCAATGCTTTCCGCACGCGTCAAGGGCCTTAGGCCCCGCTGGGGACGTGAGGCGGGCGACGCGGTGGACTGCGGGGTCGGCGGCGCATCATGGCTTCTGGTCTGAGCGAAGGAGAAGCGGGGAGTCTGCGCAAACTGCCGCGAAGATGTACTTGGCGTCGATAGTGGTTTGGGAGTTGGGCGCGGCTTTGGAGTTGAGGTGGGTTGGCTGGCGGGGTTGCGGCGGCCGGGTGGGGGTTTCGGTGGTTGCTGAGGATCGCGCTTGAGGACGAAGCGGTGGGGCGTTGGTGTCTAATCTTATGATCAGAATGAGGTATGGTCTCGCCGACTGCGTGATCGCGATTAGCAAACACTTACAGATGGTGGAGGAGGCATGGTCGATTATGGGGTGAGAAGCGAGGCCGGATAATCATCATAGGGCTGAGAGCGCGCACGAACGTCATGCTGTGTTCGCACTCTGACGGAACAAATTGCAGTAGTAAATAGTCTATCTTTAGGAATCCAAACTGGCAGAATCTTTCTTCAATCTATCACATCTCGTGGTATCTAAAGCGGAAACTCCGTTGCCAGCAATGTGCTTGTGAAACCACTCCCACGATTTTAATTTCCCCCCCATGCGCGTCCCCGCCTTAACTGAATACAACAATCTACAGAAGTGTGAGACCGACAAAACCAATAACTGCAGCGGCAGCGGCAGCGGCAGACGCCTTAAGTGCTTGGCGCCGCACCATGCGAGGAGTAATAGCAAGGCCGCCCTACAGCTTCGATTAGCACGGGACGCATCGCGCAAGACGATATCCTGGACTTACTACCGGCCGCAGCAGCCTTGGCCAGTGCAAGCCTGGCCGTTGGGGCAGCAGAACTCGTTGGCGCCAGGCCTGAAGCAGGTGAGCTGGCCGGGCGGTTTGCCCGAGCAATGACGGTAATCTGACCCAGCACGTCCACAGCACTGCTCAACGCTATCGATGGCAAGGCATTCCCACGTCTTCAGCGGCTTCGGCTTGGACGATGCGGCGGGTTTGGTAGCGCTAGGCTGTTCCGTTATACCTCCACCCTACGACGCCAGTCAGCAATGGCTTGTCGAAGACGATGTCTTCAAGGGTAAACGTACCACTCTGCCGCAGCAGCTCGTGTCTTTGCCAACGCAGAACTCTGAAAGAAAGGGATCAGTACTCGCAACTGGGGACGACCGATTATGCTGGGGACTTACCGCCATCGGCGCAGCACTGTTCGCCGGCGCTAGGGTTGTAGCAGCTCGTGCCGGTGATCGCGGTGTTGCACACGACGTTGCCGAGACCAAAGCACGTCGCACACGTGCCCTTGCAGACACCGTCTTGCCGCGCAAGTAGCCTTGAGTCGCTACCAGGGGTCACTATCAGTTTTATGTCGTTGGCAGCAGCGAGGCCGATCAGGAGGACAACAAATGGGAGCGCGTTTGCGAAAATCATCATGGCGGAAGTAAGGTGCAGTGAATAACCAGGACTTGGTAAGTAGCTACCTGGTATATAGCTACGTTGAGAGATGAAATGAGCATCTAGTTTAGACAAAGAATCAATTGGCTCAGACAAAGAATCAGGTGGCTCCAAAAATCAACAGATCAGGTGTGAAATATGCGACGACAAAGAGGAGAGAGACATGCTTCTTTTGTGTTCATCTTAAGGCCGTACGAGGTGCGCAACGGACCGTTCACGGCTAGCTCGATGAAGCTCAGGGCGAGGGCGTTATGCTAGGGCTTGCAGACATAAGAAGGACAAAGCGAAGCTCCCTAAGACTCGGCGCCGTTCTGTTTCGAGGCAGCGCCTCTTAGTTAGTGATCCGGGCCTGGCCGTTGAGGCTGTACCCTGTGAGTGGTACCTGACCAAACAGGATGGAAAGACGGGAAGTCAGGTTTTTGGACAAATGCAGACCTACACTCTTCGTTTCAAACCGCTTTCTATACAGACATCGGCGTCAGGTAAGACGGCAGATGATGCTCTCGTTGTCCTCCCCAGGTGTCTAAATAGAGGCCGCGTGTCGAGACATCTCAATACCTGCTTACTCTCTGTCATCATCCAACTTGGAAGCTCTTTACAGTTGGCGATTTGGTGAGTTGGCGATGAGACGCGTAACCACGTGACATGAATGTTCTCCCTCGCGTCGGACCGCGGTGCTGGGCGATCCCGTTGCTGCTGGCGGAAGCTAGCACCAGCCACCCAGCCACAGCGCGCAAGCAACCGTCAAAACACAACCTCTGCATCTGCATCTGCAGCTCGCTGCACGCTCGACACACTCACGCATAAGCCCATACATACGCTCGTTGACATACCTTACTAGTTTAGCTAACTCCCTCTTTCCATTCAATGTCTGGAGCTTCTTGAGATTGGGTATCCCTCTATCTATCGTGACGTATGCTCGGAGCTCGACACTGCCCCGGCCTTGCACGCGCGGCTTCGTCCTGTCCTCGAAGCTTTGGCCGACGTCCATACCAATTGGTCCCCCTGACCTCTCCGCTCCAAGTGACAGTATCTCTCGTCCACAATGGCTACCAAGACTGCCCGGTTAGCTGGGTTGACCGGCATGCACACTGCGGGTATTTACTCGGACATGACGGTAGATGGACCGGAGATTGGAACTTTGGTTGTTGTCTTCGACAGGGCAAAGAACCTGCCGAACAGGAAGACAATGGGCAAGCAAGACCCGTACTGTGCCGCCAGGCTGGGGAAAGAAGCGAAGAAGACAGAGACAGATAAAAGAGGAGGTCAAACACCGAAATGGTGAGCAGGCTGCCTACTGAATCTCCTCGGACGGTTGACTAAACTCTTCACAGGGATCAGGAGATACGATTCACAGTCCACGATTCGCCAGACTACCACAATCTCAAAGTATCCGTATTCAACGATGACAAGAAGACCGAGCTGATCGGCGAGACCTGGGTGAGCTTGGAAGCTGTTGTGGTGCCTGGTGGAGGCCAAAATGACCTATGGCACAACCTCAATTGCAAGGGCAAATATGCTGGGGAGATCAGGATCGAACTCACGTACTACGACACGCGGCCAAAGACGGAGAACCCAGCATTAGACCGTAGAGGAGAAACCCTGCCAGTGGACGTCCAACCCGGACAAGCCCCTTCCATGACCGGTCCGCGAGAGAGCACATCTGTAAAACGAAGACCCCTACCAGCCGGCCCGGCCATCTCATCCCCTTCTTCGGCCATAATACCGGATCATGCCCTTCCTGTGCCAGCTCCAGTGTCGGCTCCCCGAAGCTATCACACTCCTCCTAGGCCGCTTCCTCAGTCTGCAGCTCATTCGGAAGATCACACACCTTCCAGTCAACGACGCACATATACAAACGATTACCAGCCGCAGCCAGTACAGCGGCAGAGCTCATTGCCACCTGAAGATGCCTCGCCGTATCCGCTGATCCCACCTTCGAGCCGAACGCGTCCGCAGTACCAGCCAACTCAGCTACCCGACCCGTCTCGGTACGGGTATGGTTCTCCTGTTGACCGGCGATCCCCACGCCCGCCGGTTGAGGACTTGAACGGATACGACGGACCACGAATACGGGATCAGCCTGATGGTTACGCAAGAGAGCCGTATGCAGTCCGACCGATTGAGCCGCTACCAGCGCAGCCGAATGCTGGCCATCGGCATCGTGCATCCGTCGCTATTGGGTCCGAGTATAATAACGTTGCTCGAGCTCAATACTCGGTTAACAACCGACCCCACAGCCAAAGCGATCTGCCGCACTCTCATTCCGCTCCGGTGATAGTTTCTTATCAGACCCTGGAGCTAGCCAGACAAGAAAGGCGCGGTCATAATTATACGCCACCGACTCAGCGGGCCTATCACGATCCTTCCGTGGACGCTGGCGTTCACCAAACCGCCCTCAGTCACTACGGCGCCCCTTGTTCACACGAAGCTAGCTATCCCGCGCATGTCCAGACATACGATGAACCAGATAGCTTCGACCCAAGTGGTCACCCTTCTCAACATTACGGATACCATGAGCATTCTCATGCACCGAGCGCGCATGCGCCGGCTTATATGCAGCCAACGGTGGAGGATGAAGACGACGTCGCTCCTCCACCGCCTCCTGTACACCGTAGCAGTGCACCGGCCGCCGTGCCCCAGGTCTCTTCGCGACACATGAGACACTCATCAAACATGGCTCCCGCCCCCCTGAGCATCGCGACAGATCGGCACAGGCGGAGCACACATGGTTCCTCACCACAACCTCGCCATCACCAGGATGAATACTCTCCTTCCCCGCTTTCCAACCATCAAAGCTACGCGCACCACGGACATGCAGTGTCACCAAGTGGAGGATACGTGGAGCCACTTCGCCCGACTTCCAGCCACTCCAATATGCTAGAGTCCATTGAGGACAACCCCCACAGCCTGCCGCTGAGCCTTACGCCGGGCTACGATGCTACTGCGGTCGACCTGTACCACCACAGCTCAAGGCGGAATAGCCGATTGAGCACAGGCAATGTCAATCTCATGTCAATGTCAGGCCCGTATCAGGACGCACGTCCGCCAGCCTACGATACCCCTCCACGGGCACCTCCGCTTTCTCAGCAGCAACATATCCCAGACTATCAGACACCACCACGTCCACATCTGTACGATCACCATCAATCGCCCAGCCCCCATCCCTATCCCTCCGCCGAAATCGCACCAATGATCAAACCTCGCGCCATCTCCCCTGACACGCGCCTCTCCCGCGTCCCCGACCGCGCAACCCCTGTCCGCAAATCCGTCTCGCCGCGGCCCTCGTCCTCCGCCGACCCCACCGAGCGCCGCCTCTCCGGCGCGCCCTTCTCCCCGGACTCCTTCGACGCCTACAACCCGACCCTGCATACGCCGCACGCAGCATCCCACTCCCCAGCGGCCGCGACCCCAAGCCCAGATACCCACCGCCCAGCTAACACCAGTACCGATGCGAACGGTACCGGCCAGGTCGTCACCTTCCACGGCAAGCTCGTCGACCCCTCGGACCACCTCCCCGTCGAGGCCTGGGCCCCGGAGCCGGAGCCCAAGGGGCCGAAGAAAGACAAGCCGGCGCGCGAGCGGATTGGGTTGACGGGCGCGCGGGAGCCCGTGCCGAGCGGACAGCGCCAGCGCGACAGGGATGCCGCGATTAGGAACGCGGTGCATGCTGCTGCGGGCGTTGCGGCGAATGCGGGCGTCCCGGCTGTGAGTCCACGGCTGCCGGGAAGCGCGCAGGAGGGCGCGGGCAGGAACAGGCTGCAGAAAAGGTCGCCGAGGCAGAATCCGACTGGCGGGATGCCGTTGGCGGAGAGGGAGAATGTGGGGGGCTTTGGATACGGTGATGTTGATGGCGGGATGGGGTATGCGGGACGGGGAGGCCCACCGCCGATCCCAGCGAAGGTGCCGTTGGATGAGGGGATGATGGGTGGAGAGATGAGCGCGCTGAGCAGGGAGTTGAGCAGGATTGACATTAGTGCGCCGTCGGCGGGGGCGAGGAGGGGGGACGGAGCTATGCGGCGGTGGAGGTGAGGTGGACTGAGACTATAATGAGGAGCTTGGCCGTTGCTGACGGGAATATGTCTTACATGCACGGGATTGGGGGTATTTGGGCTGTACAACATGGGCGGACTTATTCGTTGGAGTACTGATCGGGGGCTTGGGTGCATTTATGCGGCGTTCGGGACGCATACGGCCAGTCATAAAGGCTTAGTTGTATTGTAGGCATAGACGGCCACGCAGCAATGGAAACCGATTTGAAATGCCCTGAGAACCGGCATGGCCAGTATGTTTTCTAATTGCGACTTTCCTGGGCTTCCACCTCACTGCCTGAGTCTGGCTTTTCCCATGCCTCAGCTGGACGAATTCAATGCTGTGCTCCACGAGACTACATGCGCACACCAACGTCCTGCATCGCCTACTTGGTGCTATCCATCTTGCCCTCCTGCCTGATATTCCCCCTCACATCATCATCGCCTCCATGCGCCTCCGCGTGCGCCTGGAGCTTGTCCTCAGGGCCGCCGAGGCCCTCGAAGTCGCGGGCTTTCGTGGGTCTACGGAAAGCGGAGACACATTAGCAGTGGAACAGCGAAATTGGCCTCTGAGACAGGGCAAGAGGAAGGAGCGGGTAAGGACAGAAACGTACCCTCCCGTCGCAGGATTGACAGCATCGCCACCCTCCGACTCCGGAATCTCGCGGTTGTCACCTGCACCAGATGCCGCTGAGCCGTACGTCACCTCTGCGCCGGGGAACTTCTTCTCGACGTTGGCGTCGACGCCGGATTCGAGTGCTGTTCGTTACTCCATCAGCCGATATGTCCACAACTCCCTCGGATACTCTACTTGGGATACAACAGCCTAGTAGCCCATTGGCAGAAGGCGCCCAAGGCCTCAACGGCCACGTGGTGGGAGAGGAGAGGGAGAGGGAAGGGGGTGATGGTGATGGTGATGGGGACACACTGGAGTCGCTGGCCCCCTTCCCATGGCCTGACGAGATGTTGGCATCGTGGCCGTGCTTCGCGGCGTGAGAGTTTAGGTCTGCCTCTGCTTGCTTGGCGATCTCGAGCGGGTCTTGGCCTTTGTATTCGGCGGACATTTTGTGGATGTTGGGTGGGCGATTGAGAATTGAGAGGTTCAAGTGTCGTCAGGAATCGGGGAGTTTATGGAGGACGTGAGACGGCTGGGTGTGTGGTTGAAAGTTCAGATGCACAGCTAAAATACGATGTGGGGAGTTTTGACAGAAGTGACAAGGCTACGTCACCGTTTTGGTGGGGTGTGTCGAGCGCCGGGTCGACCGAGAGCCGCTGGAAATGCCAGGCACGGCAATCACATTCAGGCATCAGGCAGGCGATCAAAATATCACTGTCTTGCAGTCCAGGCGGTAGATGCGGATAATGGAACTCGTCAATGCTACTCTACCAATATCACCATATGAATGATTCCGCAACCAGGCGGATCAAAACAGTGAATCAATCCATCAAGCCGCTCCCAGCTCTTCAACCCCACAAACCCACGTCCCTTCTTTTCCATGCGTATGCGTCCCTCTAGTCCCTTCCCAAATCTATGACCGCATCTACTGCTGCATCTTCGCATCCAAACCCCCCTGCAACTCCTGCTCCAACGCGCCCATCGCATACTGTCCCGAAAACGCCTCATGCGGCCGCGGGTCCTCGGGCGCCCTGGGATCATAATGATCCGGAATGGGGACATTCTGCTGCTGGCTGCCCGGCATGCCCTGCGCCTGTACGGGCTGCGCCCTCACCATCTGCCGGAACCTGTGCACCTCGGCGAGAATCATCTTCTTCATCTCGCCAATGTCCTCGACGACCTCGAAGTGGAAGTCGAAGGTCGTCGGGCAGGCCGGCTCGTCCGAGGCGTCGTGCCAGATCTGCAGGTAGCGGTGCTCGAGCGCCTCTTCGACGGAGATGCGCGAGCTGGGGTCGAAGGCCAGCATGCGGTCGAGGAGGTCGAGCGCGTCGGGGTTGGCGGATCGGAAGAGGGACGTGAAGGAGACTTTTTGCATGTAGGGCAGGTTGCGTACGTATTCCTGCGCGCGGGGCGAGCCGATGCGGGAGAGGGTCTCCTCGTTGGGAGTCCCGAGGTAGTGCAGGATTTGGTTCAGCTGGTCGACGTAGTCCCGGCCTTTGAAGAAGGGCTTGCCGCCGAGCAGCTCGGCGAGGATGCAGCCGACGGACCAGACGTCGACTAGGGGATGTTAGTTGGGACTCTTGGGGATGGTAAAGAGGGGGAACGTACTGGCTTTGGTGTAGCTCTGGAAGCTGAGCATGATCTCGGGCGCGCGGTACCATCGAGTAGCGACGTACTCGGTCATGTATCCTGCGTTCTCCTCCGGATCCATGGAGAAGCCTCGCGCGAGACCGAAGTCGCAGATCTTGAGCTCGCAGTCGGCGTTGACGAGCAAGTTGCCGGGCTTCAAGTCACGGTGCAGCACGTTCGCGGAGTGGATGTATTTCAATCCACAGAGGATCTGATAAATGAAGGACTGGAAGTGCGCGTCGGTCAAGGGCTGCCCTGACCTGATGATCGCGGCCAAATCGCATTCCATGAGCTCTGCGCCGGCGTCAGCCTTGTTGAAGCCAATCGTGACCCTCGTTCTCACCTTCGTATAGGTAGCACTCGTTGAAGTTGTCTGGTCTCGGGATATCCATGTCGTAGAGGCACGTTATCTGCGGCGGTTCTGTTAACGCCTGGGCCTGCGGCGCATAAGGGACACGGTATGTATAGGCGGGGGCTTACGTTGCGATGTCCTGCGGTGACTGTCAGCTTCTGTCCGGACAATTGCTTCCATCGCAAGGAGCAGTCTCTACCAAGGCCATACCTCTGAAGTGCTGTAACAACTTGATCTCTCTGAGCGCGCGCTTGGCGAGAATCTTCTTGCTGAAGACATTGGTGACCTTCTTGATTGCAACCCCCTCGTTCGTCTGTTGGTTTGTGGCGGCGCTGCAAGGACATCGTCAGCCATGGACAACTTGGTACCCTGAGGACAATTCTGTAAAGTATACCAGACGATGCCATAAGCGCCCTGCCCTAGCTCCTTTGTGACATTGTATCGTTCGTCAACAATGAATTCCTGGTTGAAGACCTTAAATACTTTTCGACCCTGAAGGTCTGCCATAGTTGGTTGTATAGGGTATGAAGGATGTTTGGGGCGTGTGTAGCAAAGTGGACGCGCGGTGTTCTTCGCGGTTTGTTTTAGGCCACCGAGTCTCGAAGTGGGGGGACAGGAGTCGAGATGCGTTGGAGTGGCGTGGAAATCTTCACTCAACAAGGCACGAAGAGATACAAGTAACGAGTGATATATATTGCAGGCTACAGCAAGGATGACAACAATATTCTCGAGGCGCAGAAGACCCTCAGCCTTCGACCCTCGAGGAGCTGAGCGCTTGTGGAGGGGCATCCGGTCCGCCCGCGTGTCAGCCCTATCCCGCGCTTTGAAGGGCCAAAGGGCGGTAAGCCAAACCCGCCATCAGCCTCACCAGCCGTGGTTGGAGCACATGTTGTTTCGTAAATTTAGACGTAATTCCCAAACCTCAGCCTCCAAGTGAGAGAGCTGCCAAGAACGCCTTTACAAATGCTACAGTCGTTACAGTGCACCTGCATTACGCCGCCATAGACTCCCGCATATCCTAGCAATGCATTAATCCTCAAACGAAAACCTCCTCTTTACCACCGTCCCCTCTTCGCTGTTGTCCAGTGGGCTTAGTGGGCTTAAAATCCTATCCGACCCAGATCCTGCTGTTGGATATGCAGTCACTGGCGAAACACGCTCGACATACTCTCCTGTAATCGGCCTTATATCCGACGGCGAGACTGGCGCCCGTCTCCTGTTACTCTCGACCGTCGGGGTGGTAGGCGATGGAGCGGGAGTGCTGTCGACGCCGTTGTATTTCTTTTCTCTAAACATCATCCCTTCTTTCTCGGATAGCTGGCGACCGTCTGCTTCTGGGCGGGCCGGGATATCGCCTTCCATTTCGAATACTACCTTCTGTGCGGCTTCGACCTCGCTGGGGTAGGGGCTGGCTGGCGTGCCGGGGGTTGCTAGGCCATCAGGAGCCCGATCGAGCTTCGAAGTGCTGTCGATCTCGTGGCGCGAAACTTGAGTCGCGTCAAGTTCGGCTTTGGGAATCACGTTGTCGGTTTGCTCTTCAGGTGGCTCTGGAGATTCTGAGGTTGATGAGCCATCGGAGGACGCCTCATCCCCAGGCTTCGGCTTCTGCTTCCTACGCCTCCACCAAAGCAAGAAGATGAGCAGTGCGATTAGGGCTGTGGCAGCTGCCGCACCGACGGCAATGCCGACTATAGCGCCTGTGCTGAGAGATGAAGAGGTAGAACCTGGAGGCTGCCCGCCGGTGCCCGCATTCGAGGCCCTCTCGAGAGACGGGATGGCGATGATGTTCTGCGCCGCTCCATACTCCCAGACGCACTGCGAGACGGAGAAGTTGGATCGCTCATGGTCAACGGTGATGTAGGCTTCTTGGAGAAATGCTCGGCCCAGGATGTACTGTGTCTCGTTCTGCGCCCGTCGGAGTGGAAAGTATTGTGTCGCATTAACAAGACCCTGATAGTATGGCAGAGCCGTGAGGTCGAACGCTGCATATGGCAACGTAATGTTGACTACTTGATTCGCTTCCGAGAGAGTAGTGCCAAGCGTAAAAGCAATGCTGGCGTTCTGCGCTAGCAGAGTCTCATGAAGCGTGTCGTTGACCAGGTAGAGTTCCGTCACGTCATCGTATATCAGACCAAACGCGTCTTCAAATGCTCGGCAGGCATCGATGGGAAGCCAGATCTGCGAGTACGTTGAATCGATATACGTGTAATGCGGTGTCGGCAGGAGGTTGACGTTCTGTCGCGTACTATCGCTCATGGAAATCGCCTGGAGACCGACCACTAGATCCCGCTCGTTGTCCGGTGCAAAGGTGAATGAGACACCGTTGGGCTCGAAGCGCGATGCATCGTACCCGCCGAGCGTGAGGCTTGCCAGGACCTTTCGCAGACCTGTACCCGTTAGAAGTCTTCATTTAACCTCGTTTGTAGAGACATACGGTACTGGTTCCCCGCTGTATAGCCGTACGACAGGCTAGGAATAAGACTTTGCTCCTTCAGATTGCTCATATAACTTGGCGATGGCTCGCCAAAGGTGCTGAAGTTGGTCGGCTTTGGGTGCAGGCCGAAAACGCCCAAGAAGAAGTCCTCCGATGTGTAGCTTCCCACAGTCTGGTTCAACAGTGTGGGACCTCCTTCCCCCTCCATTCCCAAGCCCACAGTGTCGTATCCATAGGTAGCGATACCTTCCAGCCCCAGATTGGCCCCAATCCAAAGATGGAAATTCCCTATCTCGTTCCAGGTCGAGGATGCGTTTACGACAAAGTCATCGCCTCGAGCCTCTCGGCATTGCTCACGATCGGGGTAGTTTTGACATGCTTGTGGCAGTACCACCCAGGTCTGCTGACTGCCAGTCGATGCGAAGACGCGGACATATTGCGCCGGAGTGCCTACACGCAGTGTGAACGACGACCACGGCCCGTCGATGCCGTCCCAGTTTTGGTCGGGTGCGAAAGATATGGGCGATGGAGGAGCAGCCGCTCTTGGTTCGAGCGCAACTGCGGTGGACAGCGAACATAGCGAGAGGATGGTGACCATCAGATACCATGCCGCCCGCGGCCGGCAGTGGAACATGGTGATGTCGAAGTGGAAGGCAAAACTACCGGCACCCAATAGGGCGGTGGAGATGGCGGCTCATGCCCGCTTCGGAACGCTTCAGTTGCCTGCGCGCACAGCACGTACATACGTGTAGAACGACCGCAAGTGGAAAATTGGGGTTGAGGCTCTGAGACGAGCCGGACAGGAGCGCCCTGCAAGCGCATCCGAGTGCTGGTGACGATCAATCAATCGGATCAGCATCAGTCTGGCAGGTGGTCGGGAGAGCGGCGCCCTTCCCGGCTGGCGGCATTCAACTAATCTCACAGCTGCCAAGCATGCAACTTGCGCTGTCGGCGGTACCTATCTGAATCAACCCCATGCTCGGACGCAAGGCACCTCATTAGCGATAGGTACCCGTCTCTGTCCCACCAGGAATGCTAAAATTGATGACGAGATGGAAGAGCGAAGTAGCACAGCACTCGGCATCACTCGGCATCACTCGGCATCACTTGGCAGCCGACAGCGTCCCGACAGTTCATCCCGGCGCCGATTCAGATAGACGGGAACCTTTGGCCGGCGCGGCTTCGAGGACTGTGTTTTTCCGGTCTCGTCTGCCGTGCTGGGGCGGGGTCCCCTCCACGACAGAAGCCGAGAGACAAGGCGCGGTGCTGACCATCATGCTGCAAGGCCCCCGGAGGGAGTTCAGCTATGTAGGCCGCAATGCCTGAGAAGAGCTGGAGCTGGAGCTGGAGACGCGCCGCGCCATCCAGAAAAGGCCTTTGCGTCTGATGTCTGGCCAATTCTCGTTAGCGTGGCGAGCGCGTCAGCAAGCGGGGAGGCCGGAGAAAGCCAGCAAACGCATGTCAGACCAGCGACGGCCAACGAAGAGCAGCAATTCGAAGCTTTATTTCACCGTACGCCAATCAGTCGCCGCTGCGGGGAAATGTGCCGCCACGCCAACGCAAACCCGAAACAGGCTCGCTTCCTTGCAAGGTTGCGAGGAACCCTGGCGTACCTAGGTAGCTTGGAGATGGGGCCCCTTGGCCTGTCGCCACCGTCCCGCTGGGCTCGTCACAAAGTCCGTGCAAGTCTCCCGGCGATCAACCACCCGGGCATGAGCGCTCCCCAGCGGCGTCGAGCGCCTCTTCCATAGCCAAGGAGCGAAGGTTTGAGACGTGGCTGGCAGACCGACCACAGCAACGGTCTCCGCCGCGCGAACAACGTAATTACTCTTCCGAGGACAGCGCATCTCGAAGATGGACCTCTGCTTCCAGTTGCAACCCAAGCGAGAATGCGTCCAAGGGCCCGTCGTGTTACCTCGCGGCTGCCAATGTCTTGCCTGCAGGTCGGCTGAGCCGGAGATCAGGGTTCTGCACCAGCTGCTTCCGCCTTCGCGAAATACGCCCGCTCTCAGTCGTTTTCGGAGGCTAGGCCGCGCCCATCCATCCCAAACGTCCACTCGCCGTAATCGACGTGCAGCGCCGAGACCATCCAACCGTGATCTCCGCCTGAACCTCCATCTCGCCCTCCGTGACCTGATCTGTGTATTTTCGCTCTATCTTCGTCCGTTGTTCATTGTAGCATTGCCTTTCGTTGTCCCGGCGGATGTTGTCTACGCCATCTTCACTGTCTTTTAGCGGAGAGACGCACGATGCGCCAGCATAGCCTGATTTTGGCCTGGCTATTGGCGGCTCTTGCATGTGCTTCTCCCGACAAATTCAGGCTTCGCCGATACGAGTCCATAGGTAAGGCATTGCACGTCGATAAACGTACCAGCCTGTTGACCTGTACAAGGAAAACAATGGAACTCGAGTACGCCCGCCGACACGCCAACGTTCGTTGCTCCAGAGGAATCCAACTCTCTTTTGACGTCCAGCCTGTCTGAATCTATCTTGGCACCAAGCTCGAGTCCGAGCCCGATTGAAACTTATGATGAAGCGAAGACCATCTCCTCGACTATTATCGAGGTTTTTTCGAGCTCCTCAACCCAGATAGCATTCAGTTCTAGCAGTACTGTTAGTAGATCCGCCGCAGACACGCCAACCAAAGCTCCAGAAGCCACTCTTCCGGCTTACTCTTCAGTGTTCACGTCCACAACATCTTCCGCAACCCCTTCCGAATCCCCTTCCGATCTCTCTGAGACGTGGACTTCCACATCTACTACTCCCGACACAGTATCCTCCACGGCAAATGAAACTGGCGTGTCTACCTCAAGGATAGAGGCTGCGACTCTATCAGAGCCTACTGCGGACTTTACTGCAGAACCTACCGTGGAGTCTTCGAAGAGTTGGGCTGCCAACTCCACCACGACCGATATAGTGTCTACTACGACGAGTGGTGCTAGCGCGTCAACCTCAAGGACTGAGACTGCGTCATTTTCGGAGCCTACCGCAGAGCCTACCGCAGAGCCTACCGTGGAGCCTACCGTGGAGCCTACTGCGGAACCCTCGAGGAGTCGAGCTGCCAACTTTACCGCGCCGGAGTCTACCTATCCTGCGGACCACGGAACCGGCAAGCCTGATTATACTTCAGCAACCGCCGCTAACACCTCCTTAGAGTCCGCTACTGAGCCTGCGCAGACCTGGGCTTCCAACTCTACGACAACCGGATTGAGCTACCCTACGGAGTCTGGTCCGGGCACCCCTAGTTCGAGTAGAGTCCCCGAGAACATTACACACGTGGTTCCCAACAGTCCATTGAGCGGATATTCCAGTGCTTCCGCCCCGTCCTGGAACACGTCCAGTACTCCGACGACTCCCATTACGAGTCCAGGAGCGTGGAATACCTCCAGCTCTTATGTGGACACAACTGCGAGCGATATCAGTTCCAATGCCTCAAGCACCGTGTCCCAGATCGATTCTTCAAATGCTCCGTCTACTGTTTCAGCACCAAATACCGCTTACTACAACGCCTCAACTACCGCTCGCCACACCGCTTCGACTAGCCCCTACTACCACAATTCCACCACCACTTATTCTCATACAACGATTACTTCATCGTATAATGTTTCAAGCACCGCCCAAGCCAATTCATCGACCAGCGCGGCGAGCAACGACACTTGCGGAGGTTGTACGATCAACATACGCAATGCCAAGGTGGATTACTGGCACACAACGTCGTACGAGTACGCAGAATCAATCCTTGCGATCGGAGACGACAACTATGTGACCGCTGTACCAAATGATTGGCCCTTTGACGTAACGGAATATCTGGAGCAGCCGACAGATTACGTACCAGTCCCTACATACGACTCTTACTGGAATTACTCTTATGTCGCTTACATTCCTGTAACCCCACCTATGCCTGTAGCGGCAGCTACATCGATCATAACGAGAAGCGCTGTCAGTCCGTTTCCTACGACCGAGGTTGAGCAGCCCTACTATGGCGACACTCTCCGGCTCGATCCGCTACCAGAAGCTACCGCTGTTATTACTGAGGCGGCCACTACAGTGTAAGTCTCCCGCCTCGCTGAAATGGACTGATAGTTGACATTCTACTAGTACATCAGCTACGCCTGTCATCTACTATAGCGTGTACGAGGTGGTTGAGAAGAAGCCCGTCGTCGCGGACGGTAGCGTCTCCTGCTTGGCATCCACCGCGACATACGATCTCCCCACTCCGTATATGCATGAGTACTTCCAAAAGGGCATAGATAGTCTGTCAGTGGTGACGGGGGACATTCCTGCGGAGTTCCTTACTGGCTTACCCGAGTCGTCGTGCACTCTTGGAAGCTTCGAAGCCTCGCCAACCGTTCTGATCGTCGTCGATATCATCTATTATTGGGCGTTCACAGCCCGCATCGGTCATGTGGAGTCTACCGCCACTGAAGACCCTGAAGCGCCGTGTCCAACATGCGGCTTAAGAGTACATACTGAGAGGCCAGCGCCCGGTCCCCCCGATGTTCCCGGCTTTGTCACGGCTGAGAACGTGCCCGGAACAACGATAGTTGAAACAAATCCAGGTGTGCCAACAGACAGCGCGACTAGTAACGCAGGGGCCCCTCGAGCGGGAGTCCAACCAACAGCATCCAATCCGCAGGAAGTTGATCCCACAGCTCCGAAGCCTGGAGGCGTCGAAACCCCTGTCAGTCAGGATCAGCCAGGTGAATTTACGCCGATTGGCGGTGATACAAACCCTACACCAGCAGACAATTCGAGGCCTACAGCGACATCCGGGCGCCCTAATGTGACGTTCAATATTGGCCGCATAGAGCAAACCGTTACAATTGACCCGGCGACGACCAACGCTCCTCCAGTATTGACGGCAACGATAGGCGGGCAGACGACCATACTTACTCCCCAGGGGCCAGCACCATCGGGAGGAAACGCCCCGTCCGCTGGGGACAGCGTGCTTACGTTCGTTGTGGGACCCACTCGAGTTATTGTCAACCCAGCCACCACGACGCAGGTCACAGCTCTCACCGTAAACGTTGGCGGAAGCGTGACTGTGGTGGCTCCTCTACCTACTGCTACACCCTCCGCGGCCGCAGTTGCCGGTAACCTTGGAAGCCTCCTTGCGCCATCCGTGGAGACCAGACCTGCAGCCGCTGCAGCCGGAAATCTTGGTAGTGTGATAGCGGAGATCACCCGCGCCGGCGCTGCCTCACAGCAAGCTGGTCCCTCAGCCGTGGGTCAGGTACAGGGCAATCAGGCGGCAGCGCCATCGCGCAACATCGTCGTAGGCTCAAACACCTTCGTCTTACCGAGTGCGCCCTCGGCCCCCATCGTAATCGGTGGACAAACTCTAGCTCCGGGTGGGCCGGCAGTCGTTGTCGACAACATTCCTGTATCGCTTGCGCCCTCTGCCACTGCAATTGTTGTGGGCGGTCGTACCTCGCCCCTGCCGCAAGTCGCGTCACCTGTTGCAGCACCACCGTCTGTGGCCGCACCACCGCCTGTCATCCCGATTGGCGGGAACACTTTCACGCCCAATGCTGCGACACAGTACTACCTCACACCTGGTGCAACTCTGACACCAGGTGGCGTGGCTACGCTGAGTGGCACGGTCATCAGCTTGGGCCCTTCGGCTTCCTATGTGGTGATTGATGGCAGTACCCAACCACTTGCCAGGCCAGTACCCGCGCCTACCGCAGCCCCAGCTCGAGCGCCAGCTCCGATACCAGCGCCCACATTGACCTTTGGTGGATCAACCTTTTCTGCCGTACCGGGATCATTCATAGAAGTCGGAGGCCAGCCGTTGGCGCCCGGTAGCGCGGTCACCGTCAATGGCAATACTATCTCGCTCGACAGCTCCGGTTCCAATGTCGTGGTTAACGGGGTCACTCAACCGCTTGCCGCTCAAGCTACTACGCCATCTATCCTGACTTTTGCTGGAGGTTCTTTTACCCCCAGCGTTGGTACCTCGTATATCATCAGTGGACAGACCCTTCGGCCAGGAGCTGCTGTAACTGTTGGCGGCACGATGATCAGTCTGGCGCCTTCCGCTACCGCAGTGGTCATCAATGGCGTTGCGCAGCCGCTTGCTCCACAAGCTACTGCTCCTCCAATCCTGACGGTTGCTGGGAATACATTCGCCCCAAGCGTCGACAGCTCGTTCGTTATCGCTGGCCAGACGCTTCGGCCGGGAGTCGCCATTACAGTTGATGGCACAACAATCAGCTTGGCTCTATCGGCATCTGCAGTAGTGATAAACGGAGCAATTCAGACGCTCAGGGCCGGGGTTGTAACCCCAGCAGCTGCTGTGACGATCGCTGGAAGCACTTACACTGCTAGCGCTGGCGCCCCGCTAGTTGTTGACGGGCAGACACTGACGCCTGGTGGTGTTATCGTAGTCAGCGGAACCACTGTGAGCCTGAGTCCGTCGGCATCAGAGGTCATCGTCAATGGCGTAACGCAAGTCTTGAGGCCTTCGCCTGTGGTGACCCCTCCGCCCGTTCTTACTGTCGGAGGCCAGACTTACAGCCTAGGTTCAAGCTCTGGGCAACTGTTTGTCATCAATGGACAAACACTCGCACCCGGAGGTGTGATCACTGTCAGTGGCAGTACAATTAGTCTAGGTCCATCCGCTGCTTTTGTTGTTATCAACGACGCTACGCAAGTCCTCGTGGAGTCGGCGGTCATCACGGCGGCCCCTGTCCTCACGGTTGCCGGGCAGACGTACACCGCATCTGGTGGAAGCTTTGTCGTTGCCGGGCAAACGCTTCGGCCCGGCAGTGTGCTTACCGTAGATGGGACTACAATATCTCTCGGCCCCTCAGCTTCCATAGCAGTAGTCAATGGCGCGACCCAGACGCTTGCGCTTGCTCCTGTCATCACCTATCCGCCGATTCTGACGGTTGACGGACAAGTCTTTACGGCAACAAGCGGCACCTTTGTTGTCGACGGCCAGACTCTGACTCCAGGTGGAGTAATTGTCGCTGACGGAACGACGATTTCACTGGGACCATCCGCTTCTATAGCTGTGGTCAACGGGGTCACCGAAACTCTTGTCTTCTCTCCTACAATCACACCTGCCCCTGTTCTCTCAGTTGACGGCCAAGCTTTCACCGCAACAAGCGGTACCTTCGTAATTGACGGGCAGACTCTCACTCCAGGCGGAGTCTTCACGGTTGACGGCACCGTCATTTCACTCGGTCCCTCCGCCACCGTAGCCGTCGTCAATGGTGTAACGACAATCCTTGCTTACGCTCCTATGATTACCTCTCCTCCTACTCTAACTATCGCTGGCGAAGTTTATACCGCCACAAGCGGTAGCTTCGTCATTGATGGTCAAACTTTAACCCCGGGGGGAGTTCTCACAGTCGACGGGACCGTAGTGTCACTTGGTCCCTCAGCCACCATCGCGGTTATAAACGGTATCACCTCCACCCTCGCCTACCCAGCTACCATCACCTCACCCCCCACCCTCACTATCGCCGGCCAAGTCTACACCGCCACTTCCGGCACCTTCGTCATCGGCACCCAAACTTTAACCCCCGGCGCAATCCTCACCATATCCGGCACGACTGTCTCTCTGGGCCCCTCGGCCTCCTTCGCCATCGTCAACGGCGTAATCTCCACCCTCGTCTCTCCACCCACCATCACCGCGCCGCCCTTCCTCACAATCGGCAACACCGTCTACACCGCCACCGTCAACGGCGCCGGCACTACCTACGTCATCGCCGGCCAGACCCTCACACCCGGCGGCGCCATCACGGTAGACGGGACGCGCATCTCGCTCGCCGCCTCCGCGACCGCGCTCGTCGTCAACGGGCGCACGACATCGCTTTCCCCAGCCACAGCGGTCATAACGCTCCCGCCGCTCCTGACCATAGGCCCGAGCACCTACACGGCCCTACCCGGCGGCGGAACCACGTTCGTGATTGCGGGCCAGACCCTCACGCCTGGAGGCGTTATTGTGGTGGATGGCACGACGATCAGTCTGAGTCCGAGCGCGACGGCGCTGGTGGTTAATGGAAGGACTACGGCGCTGTTTCCGGCGACGAGTACGAGGGCGAATACAGCGATGACGACGAGTACGAGTGCGAGGCCGGGGGAGAGCGTTGGGAGCGCGAGTGCGAGTGCTACGAAAACGGGTGCGGCGGCGGGGAGGGCTGGGAAGGGAGCGGTATGGACCAGTATCCTCGCGGGTGTCATGGCGACGGTGGTCTTAGCAGTGGTGGGGTGGCTGTGATTGGACGGGGGGGGAAGAGGAGGATAGAGAGGGAAAAAGGAGGAAGAGGAGGATAATGATGTTACGACGTAATGATGCACCAGCCAGGGCGTTTTTATATCTGCAGGCTCCCTCAAGCCGATGCTGCGGAAGGGGATCTCGGGCGCTGATTTGGATGCTATAATGATTAGGGTAATGGGATCTTTGTCTTGGGACGGTATACGCGGAATTATAGAGACAGCACTTTGGACCAAAATGGAAGCATAGGACCTGGGAATTGGCTGGGATAATGGGGAACGGGTATCTGGTTAGCATAGCTCCTGGGAGGGGGAAACGGCCTGTATTTATGGGCACTCATTGCCATTTCAGTGGCTAGCTTGGCCTCGCAATCTGTCGTTATATAGAGCAAGCGATTCGAATAATCTGTTGGATAATTACCATTGGTTCATGTTTACGGGTCAATCATGCGATAGCATTACTTCTGTCTGTGGATTAACATAAGGGGTGAGGTTGAGAGAGCATGGTTGAATAAGTAACATTGAACCGAAGGGGGTTTCGTAAAAGCCCAGTTAAAGTCTCGCAACCACCACAAGATGACGCACGAGACGGTTGTCGGGAGCTGAGATGAGTGTCCTCAGCATGCGCTCAGAACGGTAGCGAGATTAGAATTCTGGAGTACTTCATGAACTTGACGAAAGGGTAGAGGCAGTGGCAGAATGCTCGACCGACTGCGCCCCGGCAGTATGGAAAGACCGTGTTCAAATAGACGCGCGAAGAGGTCCGTGGCCTTTACGGAAGATGGAGGGAGCAGCGAATCAGTGATTGCAGTGAGTGCTCTGCGTCTGGCAGCGCTGAGGCCCGACCATGATTTCAAACTAAAGGTGGATGGGCGTGACGATCGGACGAAAGCCAGCTTGACCTTCTAGCAACCCAGCACGGAAGGTGAGCTATGGAATTCGACAAGACTTTGAAGTACATCATAAATCGACACATCACTGTTTCCACAAGCTACAAAGCCTCGGCTGTACGCCCAAGCGCTCTTTTCCGAATCCCCCACGTCGCCGTTCCCACTATATATCGGACTCGTAGCCACCACACGAGCCCAGGAAGCCACAACGAGAGCTTCAATCTTCGTCCTGAAGAAGAAGAAGCTCCTCATCTGACTCCCGAGCCACCAGACCCCCACCGCTCTGAACGCCGTGCCACATGGGGGTCGAGAAAGTCTGAACGCCGAAGAAAGAGAGCGCTACCAACAAGATTCAGGTCTACAGGTGCACGTCAGAACATCATCAGGAAACACTGCTGCACGGGCTCAACCACGCTGCATCTGGCCCTGCTGCACCTGGCCGCCCATAGGCATGCCCATTGGCTGGCCCGGCGGTGGCATCGCCATCCCGTACGGGTTGGCGTGCGTGTTGATCTGGCCGTTTGGATCGCCAATGAAGCTGTGCATCGCCATGCCGCCAAGGCCCTGTTGCTGAGATACAGGACAGTCCTTGTGTGCAAGAAGCAGTGTCTTGAGGTTGACAATCTCCTCTCGTAGCTGCGTCACTTGTGCGGACAAGTGATCATTCTCCGTTGTGAACAGCTCGACTTTGGCTTGCAGGTTTGCGAGCCATTGCTTCTTGCGCTGTCGACACTTCAGGGCCGCAACTCTGCACGAATGTTAGAGATGATAAAAACAAAGGTGTGCTAGGACGAAGGTAATGTTGAAAGCATACCTGTTGCGCTCCAAAAAGTTCTTCCTTTTCTCTTCGTCGGTCATCTTCTTGCCGTTCTCTCCGAGCTCTTGCTTCGGACTGCCTTCTTCATCAGAATCCATGTCAGCCATCTCCTGGTCCATGTTGGCCATGTTGGCCATATTGGCCATGCTGACAGCGGAGCTGTTGTTCCTCGGCTTCTTGCTTGCAGGCGATTTTCCGGGAGTCTCCTCCGCCTTCCGTCGATTGTTGTTTTGAGCCTTGCTGGTTGAACCCTTCTTACCACGTGATTTTGCTGTAGGCTTGGCTTGTTCGCTTTGACCACTGTCCGAGAAATCGCCCGTTTCTATTGAAGCGATGGAGTTGTTCTTCGTCGGTCGCCGGCTTACAGGTGATGTGTCGGCAGACTGGGGTGGTCCTTGATTCGGAACTTGCCCCATGTTGTTATTGACAGCGTTGGGGGGCTGCTGTGATAGTCCATAAGGACCATTAGTTCCACGCATACCGTTCGCTTGAGTCAGCAAGAACAGGCTGTTGGCCGCCTCGTTATCATGCTGACTAGTGTTGTCGAATGGGTTGTTGTGGCCTTGCTGGTGATGATGTTGGGGACGATACTGTCTGTGATCCATTCCGGAAGGGCCGCTCTGATCCGGCGGCTGTGATGTCGGTCCGTTGCTGGTGACGTTAAAGTTCTGCTGCTTAGCGGCTGCAGCAGCGTTCATGGCGGTGCGGTGGAAGTCTAGAGTGCTTGGTGTGGCGCCACCACTTGCTAACGAGTTGAACAACGCTTGTGAGTTAGGACTTGGCGCGGGGAACATGGAACCCCCTCCACCAGGCGTCAGACCAGTGCGTAGCGATGATTCGTTAGGCGTTGGAAAGCCACCTCTGAACGAATCACCAAAGTAGTCGGTTGCTCCCGCGGGCCCAGCGAGCATAGCAGGACTCAAGGGTCCCGACCGAAGCGAGTTGGGCCAGCCAGGCGTACCTCCGGGCAACAGGGAAGACGGCGACGTCAGATTTGCGATGGGCGGTAGCTTCCCTGGCGTTTCCGATGACGGGTTGCCGAACGATTGCTCGAACGGGTTGGGTTCGAGTTGTAGATGGCTAGTATTGCTGTGCACGGTATTAAAGTAGTCGGGCGTATCTATGGGATTGTTCTGTACAGGTCGAGGTGGAGGCGCAAGAGGTTGTGTAGTATTGTTCGAGGGAGCAGTAGGCTTTGCATCAGGTTCCCCCTTGGATGAATGGACGGCAGGTTGATGCTCTACAAAGGGTGAGTATGCTTCTACCAGGCCGCCACCCAGCACGGTATGCGCCTGCTCCTCGAGAAAGAGCGTACCTATCCGTGGAGGTGACGCTCGCCGCGCATCTTGGCTGTTGTGTAGTGGGGATTCTCTTCTTTGGTTGTCTGGATCAGTAGACTGATTAGCCATATTCTATTCATGATGCGACATGGTAAGAGCTATATAAAGATGGCATCGGGTGCTCGAGTAAGACGCAGGCCTATGTCAAAGTACATGCGCGCATCGTTCAAAGTAACAACTGACCTTCGTTCTTAACTGCTATTGTTCTTTTCACATCCTTCGGTGAGGACATCCTCGTATTCAGATGTGGAGAGTTGTTTGAACTCAGGTTGCTCACTGCGGCCATCTGGGCGGTGACGTAGGGGTGCTGCTCGGAATGGTGTCGATCGCTCCTGCGTTCGCTTCCACAACCAAGCTGTCGAATCCACAAATCCGCACTCTCTTCTCGTCGCAGGCGCTCGTCGCACTTTTGTTGTTAACAACCTAATAAATTGTCGCAAGCATCAGCACAGCATTCAAGCCCGCTTTTTAACTGCACGCCTATGCGCAGGGAGCGTAGAGGCCGAAAGGCGGCTCTGTCGCTGTCGGGTGGCGAGAGGCGGCAAGACTCGACTTACCGCGACGACTCCGCACTCAATGGCCTGGGAGTCTCCTCGCAGGCGAAGCAGGCACCGGTATGCGCAAGTGATGCAAATTGAGGCCTCCCAATGCGCAGTCAGGGCGGCGGCGACAGCACCTCTCGATGTCTGTCTACCCAACTCAATGGAGGTCGAGTCGGTGGCAGTGACGCAATGGCTCGAGGCAGAAAAAGGAGACGCAGCCAGTCAGCCAGTCAAGGGATTCTTGCAGCGGCCAAGCGAGGGCCGGTATGGGAATCGAGCTGATCGGCAGCGTGTGCGGATATGATACACAAAAATTATGAGGCTGATCCGAGGCCTGCACGCCCCCCCGTTCAAGATACTGGATACGGCGTCCGAGGTTGCGATGATGATGTCGTTCTGAGTCGCGAAGCCCAGAAATGACGATTGTGCCAAGCGGCCAGCAGTTGTCAGCCGCGCTAGCTCCTCTTGGGCGTGCAGTCAGTCACGTGGCTCCCCGCCCGATTCCTGCCGGTAGTCAGCGAGCCACAGAACCCGGATGGTGCTGCATGTTCTACTGGTACTCTACTCTCCCAGCCGAAAAGTAATAGAATCACGTGCCGTCTCTCTATGGTCGTATCAATCTTATTTGAGAGGCTGCAATCATTAAGAAGCGGTTATAGGAAAGCTTTACATCGATGTAGTGAGTCGGTATAAGGGTATATACGTAGTTTGGCCTAGAAGTCTTTAATAGCTACTGCACCGTCTTTTTATTGAGACGACACGTGATTCTATCGCTTTTCGGCGGGGAGAGTACAACTGAATGAGACCGCTGATCTCATCCAATTGAGCGCGGTCGCAAGGCGCAATGGCGAAGGGCATGCTCCAACAGGCAGGTCGGCGGTCTGGCATCCCTCGAGTGGCTGGTATGGTATACGTTGCTCGAGAGTGAAGGAAGCTGATGACTGCAAAGGGATACCGGAGTAAGGGTCTCTGTGTTCAGCATCAGTACCTCTGCCACACCAACAGAGTGCATCTGTGAGCCTGTGAGGGGTTTCTGCGGTCAATCTAGCTCGATACGTGACTTCTATGTATACCTGACGCGCGATGTACGATTGGATAAAGGTTCCGTACAAAATCTTCGAAGTCACGTTCAAGAGGCTGTTGCATCAAATCAAATAAAACCACCTGTGCAGGTGAAGGCGTCGCTAAGCTTCGTCCACAGCTACTTCCCACAAGAGTACAATGCCGCTCTAAAGCTCAAACGCAACGTGAGCTGTATCCTACCGCCCTGCGCGAGACTCACGCCCTGAATATACGCCCAAAAAGCGTCGCCGTAACGGTTCCCGTAGCAATGACTTCTCACACCACTCAGACGGGTGCGGCCTGCACGCAACCGTACATCACCATGCGTCCAATTCGAAACCTCAAACCCCCAAACTCCACGCCCCCTACCCAATTCTCTTCCCAAAGCTCCTCCCCACAACCGCTCCCCCACAACCACCCCTCTCCCTCACAGTTCCCATCCATACTACCCACATCTCCCCTCACGACCCCCTATAAGTCGTGTAGCTAAACGGCCCCACCAGCACGGGGACATGAAAATGCTCCTTCGCGCTCCCCCCACGCACCGTGAACCTAACCTCGACCTCCTCAAAGAAGGCCTCGACCCCGCGCTCCCTCCAGTAGTCCCCGACCGCGAAATTCAGGCTCCACTTCGAAGCCTCGCCGCGCTCGCTCTGCAGCCTGAAGAGCTCGTCCAGAGGCGCCGAGCCCGAGCCGGTGCTCCAGGACGTTACGCGCCCGTCGCCGTTGGTGAGGCCGGCGAAGCGCTGGCTGGCGCCCGCAGCGTTCTCCGCGTCCGAGATGGAGAGCAGGGTCAGGGTTACGGGGATCGAGGCGCCGGGCCGGCCCGTGGTCGTGTCGAGGACGTGGCAGGTTATCGGGGGGCGCGGGGGGGTCATTGTGGGTTGTGGTGAGGAGTGAGCGGTCGAGGAGGAAGCGTTTGGGGGTGTGGTTGCGGGTGAGGGTGTCGAGGGAGGAATCGTCGGTGGGAGGCTCGAGGGGCCGGTGTTTAGGTGGGAGGATATGACTGATAGGCGGGCGTGTGTTCGTATCTCTGGGTCGGGGGAGGTCATGGACGGATGGTGGGGTTGGAGGGGTAGCTTGAGCGCGGGAGGGAGGTGGTAGGTTTGGTGATTCGGATTTCACTTGAATTTGCTCCGAACAATAGGTTGTTTTATGTCTACTATTCCGCCGAGGCTTTGGAGAGTTCAGTTGATCATTCGAAGATTGAGGGTCGGATGCGGCCGAAAGTCCACGCCAGTCACCGTCTAGCGAACATCACGCAAAGATTGGAGATGTCCGCCTTGCCTACGATAAGCCCGAGAGTACCGGGCAGCCACAAAGCTTATTTGGAAGCAGACAGAGCAGTGGACCCCATGAGATATTTCTGGATAAACCCCAGCGGAGAAGAAGTGTTGGTATACGGCCACAGGACTGAATGTAACTGAAAGAGCAGTGGTGGTCGAAAGCAGATGCCGTAAAACCACGCGATAGATTTTGAGCGACATGACACGAGCACAGACAGATACAAATCCCCTCCCTCCCAATTCCGCCCAGGCATATGACGCTGAGTTCTTGCACACGAGCCCTGCTCTGTGCTACCACTCCACGTAGACGATGCAGGAAAGCTTCGCCCATTCACCGCTGGTCCCCGTCCTAATGCCATGCTGCCCAGAACCGCACCCAACGTGCAAGCGTACCAATTCCATGAAGCCCTTGCGGATATCACCCCCCTGGAAAATCCCTCCGTCCCAGCGAAGCCGAAATCCTACTGCTCAACAGCATGCTCATCCCCAAACGGACTCCTCGCCCTCCCCCGACCTCCTCCGGCTGCAAGACGACTCCTATCCTCCTCCTCTTCCACAGCTTCCAGGCCCCCCTGGCGTCCCGCATCCGAGAACGGACTGATCGGCAGCGCAGGCGTATCCGCAATCTCCGTGATCTGGCTGTCCCTGCCCAGCAGGCTCATCCTCGCACGGTCGTGGTTCCCCTCGCCCTCCGAATCGCTGTCGTCGAGGAGGTTGTCGGACTGGCGAGCGCGCCTATGCGCCGTCCCTGCCGAAGAGGTCGAGGCTTCGGAGACATGGGTTAAGGGCCGGCTGGCGGATGGCGCTAGGCCGATAAGGACAGAAGGTGACGACTCTGTCGTCTCGGATGATATGACGGTGTTCTGCGACTGCAGCGTATCCGAGCTGGTCATGCGCACCGGCGCCTTCTCGCGCTTGATGATGGTGAGAGCCTTCGGTTTTCCGACCGTCTGGACGCTCCTGATGGAGCCATGCGGCGTGGAGCGCGCAGAGGAGGCGAGGGAGTGCGGGATCTGGAATCTCGAGGGGCCTTTGCTGGTGAACTTGGAGTAGTCGATGCTGGGTACAGGCGGCGTCTCGGCACCAGGTGTCCCGACAGGGCTGTTGCTCTGGGAGCTCTTCACGCTGACGACGGCGGCTTTGCCGCGCACGACTGTTTGTGCTGGCATTGGATCGACGACGGCGTTGTTGCGGTAGACGGTGCTGGCGACGGAGTTGCGTGCGAGTGATGGTGTAAGGCTTAGGTGGCGGTAGCTGCTGCGGGCGTCGGAGCCGTCTGTGAGGCCAGAGTAGGTGGAGCCACGAAGGTCGCCGGGGACAAAGAAATGCTGATCTTCGGTAGAGTACGGCGAGCCGCGGATGGAGGGCGAGCCCATTGCTGATGGAATCGGAGGAACGGGCGGTACGAGAAGGTCTGGCGAAGCTGGTCCGTCGCGCGTTGTCACGCCGGGTATGAAGGCAATCTGGATGACATTGGAGGCGCGTGTCGCGATGGTAGAGGCCAAGGATGCGACTGTATGAGTGGATGCGCGAGCGTCCCGGCGCTTTGTGAATTCGTCTCCATCCTTCTCCACAGGCGCATCCGCATCATTCCAGTCGTCGTCCTCGTATTCATCTCGCCGCCTCTTAATCCAGAACTTCCAGATAAGCCATGTCAGTATAGCAACAATGGCTATTCCGCCTATTACTCCTCCTGCTATGGCACCGACGTTGGAACCACTATTCTGGTTCTTCTCCCCGTTCGGCGATGTGGACAGGCTTATCGGCACGCATTCCGTCCTGGCGCAACTGTCGCAAGACTCGGCGATCTGAGAACACACTTGGCCGCTCGGGCACACAGGACACGACGGATTGACTAGTGGACACTCGACACATCGCTTGAAGATCCGTCGGAGGCTTCGATCCATTACTGCTGGCCGTCAGTATCCTGCGCGAATAGATAAGAGCATAGAGTCTCTACCATTGCCGGTGGCTGCCATCGTGGTCGTTTACAAGGTCCGGCTCAGTCGTCAGAAAAGTAGCCGGGTCTTAAGTACAGAAGTCGGACGCAATCAGCCAACACAACGCCCTGCAAGCCGGCCGATTAGAAATGAATCAGAGCGTGCCCAGCAGCGAGTCAATTGTGCGCAGAGCAGGGCGGTGACAAAAAGGCGCAACTGTCGCTGCTGCGGTACTACGGCACTTGACGAGCAAACAAAGAATGGAAGGTTTGGAAGCGTGCCAGGAGTCGGAGCGGGTCCCAAAGCCAATCAGAAAGGAGAGTTCGTAAGGGTGCGTGAGGTCGAAGAGGTCGAAGAGGTCGAAGAGGGCGAGTTGTCGAAGAATGTAACGAGTGACAGTAAGAGGGAAGTTGGCGTGGAAGTGGTACAGGGCGGGAGACGGTGGGCGATGGCTGGTTAGAGCGCCTTTGATGGTGTTGAGGACGGGAGGTGGAGGTGCGCGGCCAGCTGGGCTGCCGTAAGCGGGCTAGAGCGAATCCGCCTATTCAAAGGCCAAACAGCAGTGGATTGTGGATTTGCGGCTTTGTTCGCTGGACCGTGAAGTTGAGACTCGTCGCTACCCTCAAGCACTGCTGCGGGTAGGACTCGATATTATTTGCATGGATCTAAAGTCGCCGCCTTGCTGGCTTCTGCTCCCCTTCGGCCAATTCAGCCGGTTGAGCCAGTCCAGTTCGAGTGCAACATGCACTTGCCGGCGACCCTGCACCTCAGGGCTTTACGCGTTGCCCGAAGCCGTTAGTATCCCGGGATAGTGCAATTTCTAATTTATCTCCCGCAACGAAACGGACGGTCTTCCAGCAGGTCGTTCTTCAGCAGGTGCGCCTTGAGCTTAGCAGGTTGTCTAGGTTGTCTGACATCTTCATCGCTGGATGAGAGGATCTAGTTAACACTGAAGAGACCTTGTGACTGATGTGGGAAATGCACCATTAGGCTCTATTGGCAGACCTGCATTATTGAATTCTTCCCTCTCCTCGGATCGGCTGCACGTGACAACCTCCACTCAAGTGGAGATCAATTCGGGTCGGGCTGAGGAAGAGGCCTCCAGACTACCAAGTGCCCATCATCGGAGTTCAGAGACGAGTCAACTCTTCCCTTTCAGCGGGCTGTTGGCTTAAGGCTTGTCGCAGCCTCATGTCTGCGACCACGCCCAAAGCCCAGTGAGCAGCCCTCAGTCCTGTGCAATTTCCATGGCCAACCCTGCGGCCTGCAGGTCCAGCTGAACTTTCCAAACGGCTCCGTGCTTGATTGACTGGGGTATGGCACGTGCAATCGTCTCGACAGAGCGGAATGGCCGCTTGGTGCCATGTCGTGCAGCAGTCGGTGCTACTTCATCGCCAGAGGTGGGTGATTTTTTCGTGGTCGAGTACCTTACATAGGAGATGAGTAAATAGGAGGGCGAGTCAACTATCATCCATTTGCCTCTTCAAACCTTACTACCCAGCGGGGATCCGTTAATATATTTTACAAGCGGGCCGTCTCCCGTTATCTACCAGCTCTCCAGACAGGTTACATCGAGGTGAGGGAAACCCTTTCACCGCTCTGAAACCTCTCCACATGGCTCCTAGGTAATGATCGAACATGAGAAGAGAGATAAATACAAGGCGAGAACGCGCGTTTTTCAGGTGAGCCAACTCCGTTCGTGCACAGCTACAATGGGTAGATTATCTCATTGGAGGAGCGGCGCCGATGCCTGCGCCCATATGTTGAAGCCGGCTGGCCAGCTGCGGGTATTTCTCTTGCACCTGTGCCATCTATGTGTCAGTATGCAGCTATGCATGAGTGGGTCGCGTAGGTCTCACCTCAAGCTGTGTCCTCGTGGCCTCAGCGTATGAGAGCGCGTTGACGATCTCGCCCTCGGTTCTCGACAGCTCTGCTGCGCGCTCGAAGTACTTGAGCGCCTCCGGAACCTTACCCTGCTGGAGCAGGAGCTGTGCCATAGTTGCGACGGCGATGTCGCACTCGGGGTCGACTGAATTCTAGTCAGCATAGGACCTTACAACCAAGCAACAATTCAAAGGAAGCAACGCACTGATCAAAGCCTTCTGGCACAGCTTCTCCGCCTCGTCGAAATCCTGCTTCCACTGGAACAGCGCCAGCGCCTTGTTGATGATCGGCAGCACGTTCATGCCCAGCGGCTTCGTCTGCTTTTCCATGTCGACCGCAGTGTCGAACTTCTCAATCGCCTCCTGGAACTTCTGCTGGTCGAGCAACAGCTCGCCGTAGTAGTTGTACACGTCCGGCACCTTGTCGAAGTTCTTTATGCATCGGCGGAAGGTGGCCATGGAAGAGGCGATGGAGCTCATCTTGTATTGTGTCACGCCGAGCTGGATGTGGGAGAAGATGAAGTCCTTATCGAGGTCGATAGATTTCTGGTAATCCTTCGCCGCTTCGGGGAACTCGCCCAGGATGAAGTGGAGTTGGGCGCGGTGGTAGTAGATGTCGGGATCGTCCTTGTTCTGTTCCATTGCCTGCTCAAAGTCCCTGGCGGCGGCTTCCCGATTACCTAATAAGGTCGTTAGAAGCGGTGGTCGGTAGGTGTCGGTTGGTACTTGCCTTGCTCCAGATGCATGCTTGCCCGCTTGATGAAGCTCTGTGTTAGCGAAGGTTGTAGCTCCACGCTCTTAGTCAGGTCATCCAGCGCTTCCTGGTTGTCGCCCTTGAGATATCTAAACGTTCCGCGCATGTTGTACGCGAAGGCCTCGTGCTCGCCGAGGTCATCAAGCTCAATTGCTTTCTCGAATGCCTCTGCCGCTTCATTATACCCGTCGCCAGACTTCCTGCTCATAGCGATGAGACCCTTTTTCAGCTGACCCTTGCCTGACTCCTCATCGAGCTCCGCGTCCTCTTCCAAACCTGCTGGTGGGGGCTTGGGTCGGAAGCTCTGCAGGTAGTTCGTAACGAATGTTGGGCTGGGTAGCTTCTTCTCCTTGCCAGCCAGGATAGCTTTGCCCTTAGCCTCTGCCACCTTCTTCAGCAGCCGCTCCACGCTCTGTGCGCTTGATTCGTTGCGGAAGGCATCGATTATGCAACTGGCCGTGTAGTCTAGAAGCGCCTCGCTGTACCTCTCCACCTGCTCGTATGCGTTTGCCCTCCGGTTGAGAGCCTTCACGTACTCGTTATCCAGATTGATGGCGGCAGTTGTGTCTTCGATGACCTTGTCCCAGTTGGACATGGCATTCCAGCAAGCGGCGCGGTTAGAGTAGAAGACCGGATCCTGTTTGCATAGGATAGCCTTGCCGTACAGCTCAATCGCCTTGTTGTAGTCCTTCGAGCCATAGGCCTTGTTGCCCGCCGCCTTGAGCTTTGCCGCATAATCCTTCCGCTCCTGCTCTGACAAGCTGGCAACGATGCTCTCGTCCACCTGGGGAAGCTCATCTTCGCTCTCAGCCGTGACGGTAGCTTTCTTCGGCTCAGGCTGCGGCTCCGGCTCCTTCTTTGCCGCTTCTTCGGCCTCCTTCTTAGCTTTCCGCCTGTCCTTCTTGCTCTTCTTCTTCGACGCCGCCGCACCCCCCGCTGGCTCCTGCGTAGCTTTGCCCGAGTCCGAGAAGTAGTATATGGCGCCCGCAGCGGTCGCTACCACAGTCACACCTGCTATTGTGTAGACCACAGCCTTGTGTTCTGATGCCCATGTTGATATCCGGTCCCAGAGTGATGGATCGGGGGTGGGCACGGAGGAGCTCGTGAGCATGATCGGGGCGGACCGAGGGACGGGACCGGCGTTGACAGACATTATGGAGGTTAGGAAAGGTATTACAGGAAGAAGATGAAATGAATCTGCGGCTTAGGAGAAGGTCACGCAGAAAGTTAGATGGGATGGCGATGCGACGCGGAGCTTCGGTGTCAGACTTGTCAATTTTTGGAGCTTGGTCCAATGTCCAAGCATTCGTGCAGCCGAGTCCGTGCCACGACGTCGACACTTTTGACCCTTCGGAGAACGAGCACCTGCAACGCTTTTGATGTTTAATTACTTCTGCGAGATTTCTCGTCACTTAGGAACAGAATGGTAAGTTCGATGGCCGTTTGTAGTTGTCTCTGCTGTTTGTTGTCTCCGAGTTACTTTTCAAAACAGAAACCATTTCTTAGAAGCAATACCACGAATATGTAATTGTGCAGAAAGTAATATATACTGATATATTCCCTAGTCGAATTCAGAAAGTGCTTCGGTGGATTTTGAACTATTCACGTCTCTTCGTTACGATCCAGTCTTATTAGACTGCGCCGAGAACAGCTCTCTTACGCTAAGCTTTGAGCCGCCGAGTCCATTTTACATGCTTGTCTACCACCGAGATCGCATGCTGGAAGCTGCTCAGTACTTCGACTGGGACAACGTCGCAACCAGCTTGAAAGATGGCGTAGGCTTCTCTCGAACTTTGCTCTCAGAAGTGGAAAGATATCAGGCAGGGAAGGGCTCTAACGGTGAGCCCTTGAAAGTACGCACACCACAAGTCGACTCTCAACAACCACTAAGCCAAAGAAGTAGATACGCGTCCTCTTCAACAAAGCTGGAGAACTCAAGGTCGACTGCGTGCCTGTGCCACGTGCACCATTAGAGACGTTGTATCCTAAAAGTCTCGATCCTCCGTCGAGATCAAGTGCGTCGGATACTCAACAAGCATCAAACCCTTTTAAGCCGTCGCCATTGACCGGTGGCGCGCTCGAGCTGGGGCCAGGAGACCACGTCATCTCTGGTTTTGCGTCCAAGCCAGCGCCTCCGACGTGGCTGTTGACTCTCGACACGGAGCCAACGCCAAGCAGTGCCCATACGGCGCTCAAAACGACGCACAGGCCGCACTACGACGCAGCTCGAGCTCGAGCACTTCCATCTTCAAGTTCTCGCTCGAGTAAAACGGGCGCGCAGAGTACGACTACGGGCACAGAGATGTACGAGACGTTGCTCTACAACGAGTGCGATGAGATGACCGAAGGGAGCCTGACAAGCGTGTACTTCTTCCGCGGGGGACGATGGGTGACGCCGCCTGTTGGTGTTCCGGCTGATCTGTCCCGGTATGCCGATGACCTGGAGTCAACCTCAAGCAAAGATGGTACGTCAAGTGCCGTGCGAGGTGAAGGCAGCGCCCAGTCCTCTAGGAGTGATAACCGGGATGAAGGGGAGCTTCGCAGACCGTTTCCTGGCCGCTGGGGCCACAGCGTGCGGAGCGAGAAAGTCGCTGGGGGTGGTGGGCAGAGAGGCACGACGAGGCGGTGGGCGCTGCAGAAGGCCTTGTGTGTCGAGGAGCCTGTGAGCAAAGACACAGTAAGAGCCGGAGAGGGAGTCTGGATCAGCAATGGAGTCCGTGGCTTTGGCTACGGTACTGTCATCGAGAGGTAGATGTGGATAAACAGTATAAAAGTACGGCCAATTACCTAGCTGTAGCAAGATTCTATGCTTTGCGTGATAGCATCTATCGTATCTATCGTATTGAGCCGCGGCATGTCTCTGCCTTAGAGACCGCCGCCTGAAATGCACCATAAACTTCCACAGAACTCCCAATCCCAAAGCTTTACGGAGCACTTCCAGCCTCGAGAACTCCTGCAATACCATGCCGCTAACCGATACCCCAGCACCGCCTCCCTCCCCTCTCACGACTTATTTAGCTCGTCCAACGCCCCCTGCTCTTTCTTCTCCTCCAAGAACCTCAAGAACCCCCTCGAAAACCTGACCATCTGCTCATACGCAATACTAAACCCATCCCTCGCGCCATAATACGGATCCACGACCTCCTCCCCCGGATTCCCCCCAAAATCCCCCCACAGCCCCACCTTCCCCAGCCTCCCCGCCTCTTCCTCGCTCATTCCCTCATTCTCAACAATCTTGCGCCGCATCTTGACCAAATACTCCAGGTTATCCTCATCCATCGCCATGATCCACTCGAACTCCCCAAAATCCCTGCGCGTGAGTTTCCGCGCGCGGTGCCGGTAGGTTGTTATGCCGTGGTCCTCGAGCACGGACATGGTGCGCGGATCGGGAGGGTCGCCGATGTGGTAGGCGCCGGTGCCGCAGGAGTCGATGCGCGTGATTGGGGGATGGGAGGGTGAGGAGGCGAGGAGGTGTCGGAATACGCCTTCGGCCATTGGAGAGCGGCAGATGTTACCCAGGCAGACGAAGAGGATGGAGGTTGGTGAGGAGGTGCTGGATGTGAGGGAGGGTGTTGATGTGCCGTTGGCGGCGGTCATGGTGGGTGGTGGGTGGTGGGTCGTAAAGCCGGCCTGAGTGTGATGGTAGAGCGGGCTTGAGGAAGGCTGCTGTCGTGTTGTATGCAGAGAGACTCGAAGAATCTTGTGAGGGTTGGATATCTATGTGGCGTGGTTGCTAGATTCTACAAAGTGTTGGTGTTGAGGGTGAGGCTCTCTCGGGCAGTCCGGGCAGTTTTTCGAGGTCTGGGGAAAGAGCCCTGGCGACATGGGGTTGATCGGCAGGGGCTTTGCAAGGCTGAAGGCCGCTTTACTCGCTTCGAACAGCGAATCGTCGCGTTGGGGCAGCGCGCGCTCAAAATAAGATCAGCTGCTGGTTTAGCGTGCAGAGCTGAGCACGGGAGAGGCTTCGTGGCAACGGCTTTGTTAGTCTGCCCTGTTCTATGGGAGTTGGGAATGCCTTTGGATGCTGATTCATTAGGGTCAGTGAGCCGCATGGAAGACCAGAGGGACGCTCGACAGTCCGGCGGATATGACTTCAGCGTTGCGTTGCGGCGACGAGTAAAGAGTGCGCGTCCACGGGGGCTGTGGTGCTCCAGCGCAACCGCAAAATGGCAAAATGGCGAAACAACGCGTTGCGGGGGGTTTTATCTCATCAAAGCCTCAGGTCCTTGGCGGCTTCGGGGCTGAATTCTGGCGACACGAGCGTTAATAGTTCCTACGGCTGAGTCTCTTCAGCGCGACTTTATCTTGTGCTCTTGTCCTTCGCTGCAGCCCCTTGTAGGGAGCTTGTCCGCTGTTCTTGTCCCTCCGACCCCATCGCCGCTGCCACTCGCTGTTGACCGGAGTAAACAAATCCGCGTCCACCACCAGCTGTATAACCACCTTGCCCTGAAACGACTGCCCTGTTTCAGAGCGCTCGTCGCCTCATCGATTGCCGGGTGCACGCGTCTAGGATAGCAAGCTAGCGCCCTGCTTCTGCTCTTTCTGACAGGCCGTCAAAATATTTCGCCGGCAGTATAACCAAGCCTCGAGATGTCGTACAACCGCCTAGGTAGGTTGCGTACTTCTTTCTCGAACTGCGAAGCGCTGCGGCGACCCGCTTGACGAAGCCTGAACAACCATAGTCAGCGCGTGACGAGTGCCCCTTCGTGCTGATTACATTCCAAAGAGAGCTTGGCATGTCGAGTGTGTAAGACTCTATTGAGTTGGCTCTCATTTACCGCCGCGCAACGTGCTCTAATGTTGCGTAACTGCTTTCGCCCACCTCATTGTGTCAAACAAGCTTCCCGCGGAAATTTGTCTCTGACAGCAGTCTGCAGGACCTCAGGGCGGGCCCCTTGACCCCTTCGACGACGAATACGCCGATATGGATCGTCGGAGACCCGTACCTGGACATAGCCCGTCACCAGGCTCTCAACTTCAGTCCTACCAACTCGAAGACAGGTCGTACTCGCCACATGGCGCGCCGCTAGAGATACCCATGGGCCCTGGGCCCGGTCCCGGCACACCAAGCGACAGACTGCAATCGCAGCCAACGGTGGGTGTTGGAATGAGGCACAAATGCGAGACTGAAGCTGACTGCATCGCGACAGTACTCCGTCGAGAACATCAACAACTCCTACGGCCATAATGAAGCCTACGACGCCGATCACCGCTACACGCAAAGGCCGCCATATCACTCAGAGAGCAGCGGCGACTGGGCTATCTCCCCGCAAGAGCACCACGACGCCTACTACAACCCGCCATATAACCCCTCTCCGCCTGACGAGGACCGACCTTTGGCACACTACCCTGGCGAGGCTGATGGCCGATACTGGCAGGATGAGGAGGACGACAGGCCCGTTCTGCAGCCGGACAATGCGTATGGCCCGGATCCGCACAACATGTTGCCCACTCCACAAGACGAGCATCCGCCGCAAGGCGCGTACCAAGATGAACCGCACAGACCTACCCCCAGTCCAAAACCGATTAGGAGGTGGAAGACTGTTAAGGAAGTGCAGCTGTTCAATGGCAATCTCGTGCTTGACTGTCCAATTCCGCCACGACTGCTCAACCAAGTGCCGCATGCGCAGCCTCCTGAGCGCGACGAGTTCACCCACATGAGATATTCGGCGGCGACCTGCGACCCTGGCAAATTCTTTGAGGAGCGGTTTACTCTGCGCCAACGACTGTTTGCAAAGCCTAGGCATACGGAGCTGTTCATTGTCATTACCATGTACAATGAGGAAGATGAGCTGTTTGCTCGAACCATGACTGGTGTGATCAAGAATATTGAGCACATGAACTCAAGGACCAACAGCAAGACGTGGGGTAAAGATGCCTGGAAGAAGATCGTTGTCTGTGTAGTCAGCGATGGCCGTGCTAAGATTAACCCTCGAACAAGAGCGGTGCTGGCTGCTATGGGCGTCTATCAAGATGGCATTGCTAAGCAGCAAGTCAACGGCAAGGATGTTACCGCGCATATTTACGAGGTAAGCAGATATTCGAGGCCCACAGGGATCGCAGCTGACCCTGCCAGTATACCACGCAAATGAATCTAGAGATCAAGAAAGGTGTGGTCAATGTCAAGAAAGGCAACACGCCAGTGCAAATGCTGTTCTGCCTGAAGGAAAAAAACCAGAAGAAGATCAACTCCCACCGCTGGTTCTTCCAGGCCTTCGGTAGCGTGCTTGACCCGAATATCTGCGTTTTGATCGATGCCGGTACCAAGCCAGGCAAGGACTCCATCTACCAGCTGTGGAAAGCCTTTGATGTCGAGCCAATGTGCGCGGGCGCGTGTGGTGAGATCAAGGCTATGTTGGAGCACGGCAAGAAACTTCTGAACCCTCTGGTCGCGACTCAGAATTTTGAGTACAAGATGAGTAACATCCTCGACAAACCCCTTGAATCAGCCTTTGGATTTATTTCCGTACTTCCGGGCGCCTTCTCAGCATACCGGTATATCGCGCTACAAAATGACAAGACCGGCAACGGACCCTTGGAGAAGTACTTTGCGGGCGAGAAGATGCACGGCGCGAACGCAGGCATCTTCACGGCTAATATGTACCTCGCCGAAGACCGTATCCTCTGCTTCGAGCTCGTGTCAAAACGCAACTGCAACTGGATCTTGCAGTATGTCAAGTCTGCCACTGGCGAAACCGACGTCCCGGTCGAGATGGCCGATTTCATCCTGCAACGGCGAAGATGGCTCAACGGATCCTTTTTCGCCGCCGTCTACGCGCTTGCGCATGCTCTTCAGATATTCCGCAGTGGCCACTCCTTTATGCGGAAAATGATGTTCCTGGTTGAATTCTTTTACCAAACTATCAGCATGATCTTCGCTTGGTTTAGCATCGGCAACTTCTTCCTGGTCTTCCGCATCCTGACACAGGCGCTCGGCGAAGACAATCTCCTTGGTACGCCTGGTAAGGTCCTGGGTGTCGTGTTCCATTGGGCATACATGGCTACACTGATAACATGCTTCGTCCTTGCGCTAGGAAACAGGCCGCAGGGGAGCAACAAGTTCTACATGACAATGGTGTACTTTTGGGTGCTCATCATGGCGTAAGACCCTGACTTCCGGGAAGTGTGCGTTCTTGCTGACTGGTCCTGCAGATACCTGTTGTTCGCCTCATTCTTCATCTCGGTCAAATCTGTTCAATATGAACTCGCCGATGGCCAGTTCAAGGTCACCGACCTCTTCACCAATACTCTCTTCTTGACGTTGATTGTCTCCACGCTCTCCACTTACGTCCTCTACTTGCTCGTCTCCATCCTTTTCCTCGATCCCTGGCACATGTTCACCTCCGTAAGCCAGCCTTCTTCCTCCTCTCCGTCCTCTCCACACATTATCAGCAAACAAGTTTTAACACCCACAGTTCATCCAATACCTCCTCCTAACACCAACCTACATCAACATCCTGAACGTCTACGCCTTCTGCAACACCCACGACATAACCTGGGGTACAAAAGGCGACGACAAGCCCGAGAAGCTGCCCTCTGTAACCACCAAGCCCGGCGGCAAAGTCGACTTCGACGCCCCCTCCGACGATGCCGACCTCAACACGGCCTACGAAAAAGAACTCCTGGCCTTCTCGACGAAATACGTCGAGCCGAAGAAAGTGCAAACCGCCCAGGACAAGCAGGAGGACTACTACAAGGGCTTCAGAAGCAGCGTGGTGCTTGCGTGGATGTTCTGTAACTTGGCGCTGTGTGCGGTGGTGCTGACGACGGCGGGATTGGGGGTCACGATCAAGGAGGGGGAGGAGGAGTCGGAGAAGACGAGGAGGGCGACGTTTTATATGATGGTCGTGCTGTGGAGTGTGGCTGCGCTCAGCGCGTTTAGATTTGTGGGCGCGATGTGGTTTTTGATTGTTAGGATGGTAAGTTGTGCCGTTCTGTTCATTGGCCCCCCAGTCAATTTCGTCTCCTCAAGTCTGTTGGCGCTTGCTCTGAGAGGCTTTATTCAGAGTTTGTGCGAGCGGATGACTAACAGCTGTGACAGTTCCGCGGCGTATAAGCTGCTTGCGCAGACGATCTTATGGAGCTCCGGTTTGGCAATTGGCGTCTTGGATATTTGTCGCGCGACTGCTGCGTCGGGTTGCGGCGTGCCGTTCTCTAGTCCGTTAATCTGTACAACTTTCCATATCAGCCCAAAGGGAATTCTCTCAGCAAGACAATCGAGCCTTTTGAGTTTCAAATCTCGCTTCCAGCCCTCGACCCGCGGGGAAAGGGCTATATAGTGCACCCGTGGGGGTTAAATTGCTAACTGCTCTAGATACCTCGCCTTTACGTCACCTTCATTTCTACGGCCTAAGTTCGAACCACACCTGTCATCCCTTTACGGCAAAGAAACTCCCTGTTTGACACTTGGAGGGTTTTCTCACTAAGGTACCCGGCCCCAGGGGTAAGAATAAAGCGGGGCCCGGGGGCGAGTTTTTGCTTAGAGGTTAGCTGGTTCTTTTTACTGTAGCTTTTACACAGACATTCCGGATCTTTCTACGTCTTGTTGTTTATGCGTATCTCTTATTTGACTGAAATGTTCTTAGTTTGATCTCACGTGTAGTCACTACAGATTTTTGCTGACAGCTTCGGCGTAGGCGTTCTACGCTGATGCGAGGTGCGGTGTTATTGACTGCCTCATCGTCCAGTCATGGAGATACTTCTTGCCTTCGCGCTGTCCAAGAGTGTTGGTAGACGACCGTCCGGGAGACTTACAGCCCTTCGAGCTCCCGCTAATCAGTCTTATTGCAGTAGAGTACAAGCTGGGCTCACCGCATCGAGAGATACATACAGCCTGAAGCGCATGCGAAGTGGAGCGGCTCGCCCATCGGTGTCGTGTTTGGCTGCAGTAGCTACGCGCACATGATTGGAGTAGAAAGGCCCATGCTAGCGCAGGTCGTTATATGATAGAACCTTTGGTGATTGTTGCTAAATACGCGCTCGGGGTTTCATCCCGACTAAGGTATCCCCCGTAACCCCGCTGTCCAATGCCAACGACAACGACCCAGAAGCCACCTCGAACTCTGGTTTTGACTCAAGTAGGGAGCGAAAAGGCCGGCCCAAACATCGACAGATGAACGAAAACGCCGATATCCCGCATCGGCCCGCCAGAAAAGAAGATTCGTGAGCAGTTCGTTACTCCAGACTGCCGCGCACAGTCCCCAGTCCTACCCACTCCAAATGCAATTTCCAAATAGCCTCAACATCCGGAACTTATATCCCAGCCTTCGACTTGACGAAAGCAGCAGCGGCAGCGGCGTCGTTGCGGTACGTAAGATGCGGGTACAATACCAAGACGCCACCATCGCAGATGTTGTCGCCCCAGTTGCAGAAGATCTTGACCTTGCTGGACGGAATGCTACCGAAGCCTCGGTTCTTGAATGGGTCTCCGAAGGTGACGACTGCGGCCAGGGTCAGCTAAAGGCACTCGTGCATAAGAATCAAAACCAACATACCGGAGCTGACGAAGTTCGCGGTGGCGGCGCTCAGCTGCGCAGCGGCATTGTGGACGACCTGGGCGCCTTGGCTGTTCGATGCGTTAGCATCCCGGCCTTAAGAAGAACAAGATTCAGGAGCCAGTGTGGAACTCACCTATACCCGCCCAACACCAACTTCGTCCTCGGGCACTGCGTCACGGCCCGCGCCGCCAACTGCGCCATCAACGCGCTCCCGGCGCGATCACCGCCCGCCAAAAACCCGCCGACATTCGCCGCATAGTTGACGCCCTGGACCGCAACCCTGCTGGGGCCGACCAGACGCCCGAGAGCTTCGAAGAATGGCGGGCCAGTCGACGTCCCCACGTTGCCGTCCTCAGTCGTGCCACGTGCGAAGATGATAGTGATGTCTTTGCAGGGCGAGCCGTTGGTCAGGTCGTTCTGGGTTGCGTCGCCGAGGGCGCGAATGGCGAGGTCCCGGGTCTGGAGGTCCTGGAGATCGGAGAGGCCGGTGAGGGTTGGTTCGGCTTCGGGAAGGGCCTCAGGGAGTGCGTCCGCCTCGGGAACGGCGGCTGGGAGGGCGGAGATAAGGGGGAGAAGGGAGAAGAGGGAGAGGAGGGCTTGGGTTGGCTTCATGGTGGTGAGTGGGAGGTAAGGGTTTTGATAAAAGTAATGGGTGAGAGAATAGAAGTAAGAAAGAATGGCGCCGCTGTATTGGGCCTTTGAGGTTCTTCTGGAGGATGAAGGTGTTGCTCTTTGTGGTGGAATCGAGAGGATCTTATATAGAACTCCCTGCTCTGTAAACACCCTCTCGCGCGGAGGAAGAGGACCGCCCCCTCATCGCGACTTGGTCGACTTTCCAATCCTCAGATCATCGGATGCTCACAATGACTAGCGTGAGGAGGGCGAAGCGACGTGCATAAGCCTGGTGTGGTGAAGACAGCTCTGGGCGCACGTTGAAACCAGTCTGTCAGGCACATTGTGTGATAGATCCCAGCAGGGGCTGTTGATGGCTGTTGATGGCTTATGCCCCTAGATTGATCAGGTGAGTCTAAGGCAAGTCAGCTGGGAGTAAGGATAATCTGGGGTAATTGATGGCGGGAAGTGTTCCAGGGGTTAGGTATGGCACCCGCAATTAGTGGCTCGAAGTCGAATGTAGCGGCTCAAGTAGGTGCCGCACTAGGCGTTTTAAGTCAAACGTCCGGGACGCGTGGGATCTTGAAGACGGCCCGTAAATGCAGTCCTCGATCCAGGGAGGAGCTTATTGTCCGCATGGGTGAGGAAGCCTTCTTGCTGCCAGGCCGGATGCACGGATGACCTCGTAGACCAAAGTAGGTAGTTGAAACGCAACCCAGAATTGCACACGCCTCATAGGGAGCATTGACAACGAGACTTTGGCAATAGGAGACGATGTGCAAAAAAGGTGAGCTCTTGAAACACTGGTGATAGTCGGATAATCTGCCGAGGTAAATCAGGGTCGTGCAAGGATGGTGCAAAGACTGCTTTCCGGTCTCCGCTCCGGACTTCTTGCCAGAAAGACTCTCCTCCGCTGCAAGAGTATGGGGAAGCGCTGGGCACGTTGCTGCTGCCGCGTGGTCCCAGAAGAACGATAGATTGCGGAGCCTGTGCCGAAGATTAGAGTGTGGAGAACCTTGCTTTTGACTGCATATCATCCCAGTGACAGTGGGAAAGCACTGACCACTTTTGATATGGATGGGCAGCTTCGACAGCGAATTGGGGTAGAACGGAGGGCCGGCGTGTAGGGCGAATACGGGAACAGCAGGAGGAAGCTGTAGCTGAAGCATGGCGAACCGACTTTCTGGTCAACACCATCAACTTGACTAGCCACACTCCTGCCTCAATATGTTCCCATGGTACGCCAACTTTCACTCAAGGCGCTGGACGAGTACGATCTAATCCCACGGCCGAGGCATTGAACGGAGGCATAGATGGAATCCAAGATGGCGGGGGATCGCAACCTCAAAGCGTCATGAACAGCTCCATCATGATTGAGTAATCATCGGGAAGATACCGATCTGTCGACATTGACAGTCAGCAGACATGAGGTATCGGGCATGCGAACAGATGCAGTAAGGACGTGAAGAAGTTTTCAATGCAGGTGTTCTTCGATATGACAGGTGTAGACCATCGCTAACTCTTGGTGATCGCAGTTTCCCGCAAAGATTTGTAAAGGAACCCAGAGTCGGCACCCTGCCGGATACATGTCCGGTATATCGGCTAAAGTCATGGCCGCTCTCGTCGTTGCTATGCTACGCACTCTGACGGATAGGAAGCTGGATCCCCCGGCCCTTATCGTACTGTGGACTTCTCTCTCTCACAATTATAGACATTCCCTGGAGGAAGTGCCATGCCCACCTAGAACTGTGTGACGAAGAAAGTGTAAGGCGACCCGTAAGTCATCACAACTCCTTAAAACTTACGGACGACGGAAGGGACTCCAGCACCATCACCACAATAAAGTGCTAGAAGAAACAACCGACAGAAGGGGCGACAGAGAAAAGCGCAACGTCTGCTAGGTAGGTAGTTGAGGTTCCCTCGACGTCCTATTAGCAACCCTGGAATTCGCTTACACGACATCGCTAGAACTCGTTGAGTTCATCTTCCGTCTTCCCCTACCCTCGAATGTTTCATTTGGCTACGACTTCCTTCTGTCACTATGTCACACTGCCTCCGCTAGTTCCTTATCTATCTCTATATTCTCAATGACAGGGATCACGGGCAAAAGAACGCGCGGGTTCAATTTGGTAGAACATCCTAAAGCAGCCATTTTATCAAATATAAATTTGAAACAAAGCCACAGACTTCTCACAAGATGGGATGAACGGCCGGAGAGAGCTGATTCATTACTACGATGGAAATTTATAGCTGTCGCACCTCAAAAGCTGACAACCCTTTGAAGCTGAAGCTGAAATTGAAGGCTTGTCGTTTCGGCATAAGATAAACACCAAGTACTCTCTTTAGCCTCTAGGGTGGTGCTTAAGCGTACTCGAGAACATTCGCGAGCTTTCAAATCTCTAGAATCTAGATGCTTGCGCCTACCTGCGCTCTCTTCGCATTCATGGCCGGCCTTTGCCGTTCTAACATCTTAACCACTTCCGGCAATACCTGATCCGCACTCTCACTGAGTCTAACGGCTTCTCTTCCTGTATTACTAGGCGGCACATCAGCGAAGAATGTCTCTTCACCCCTCACGCCGCCAATGTTAAGTATTCCAATCGGCATCCCATTCTCTTTCGCTTTCTTAACCAACCTCCAGGCCGAATACGTCGCCAAACTGCTCCCAATCACCAAGATGCGAGAGGACGTATCCACAGCCTCTTCCGCAGCCTCCTTGACCGGGCCCGGTATAGACTCCCCGAACATGATAACCGCAGGCTTCAGTATGCCCGCTGTGCTGGAAGGTAACCACCCACCATCTTTGTCGGTCTGTATCCTCCCGCTCATCTCGTTGGCCAGGCATGTCGGACACGCCGGATACCTGAAGGTACTGTATGGTGCACCGGGTATATCCACATCACCGTCTGGGTTCGTCCTCAAGCCTTTCTTGCGCCGCTCGTCGGGGTTCTCAGTGTCAAGCGCGCCGGATGCGAGGACTTCTTGGAGGAAGGCTGCCCATGCTGGGTTTAGAGTGGATAGCTGGCGCTGGAAATCGGCGCGAGAGTACTCATTGCGGCAGGTTAAGCAGACTAGCGAGCGGAGGTAGCCGTGGAGCTCGAGGGTTGGGAGGTGAGGGTGTGCGGTTGGGTGGAAAGAGTCGACATCTACACTTGATGTGTCAACCGTGTACTCTTCGCATGGTGTTTGCTATGCACCTTGTGTGATCGTACGAAAGGAGAGTAGAGAACTTTGTTCAGAACGTACTTTGTGTAATCACACCGCCAACCTTCCCTAGCTCCCCTAGTCTGCCAACAGCATAGTGTGCAGTATTCGGCCTCGCCTTGTGCAAGTTGGTCCAGCCCAGAAAACTCCGCGCCCAGTACCTTTTCCTTGCTTCATGATTCGAACAGAACTCATTGAAGTAAATTGGTCGGTACGTTTTGTTCAGCGTGTAGGTCCCGTTCTTCCCCCTGTAATCCGCTAGGCCCGATGCTACCGATATTCCTGCGCCCGTAAGCAGAACCGTCTTGTCATTACGTGCCTCATCGTGCTTAAGATGGCGAGATGGTGGCGCGGTTAAGAACTCTATCAATGGTTGGATTGCTCGGCTGCTGGTATTTGCGCTGCGTGGGATTATGATCGGCGGTGGGAAGGGAGTTGTGTACGGAACACGGAGGAGGTTTTTGGACATTATTTGAGGCGGTCATCTTGCGGGACGGCAGTATCTGGAAAGCATCTGGTGGTGTTTAAGGCTCGACCGCGCCGCGGGCGTCATTGTCGGCGATTTGAGGAAAGGTGCCGAAGAGGTCTGTGCCTGAGGCTCTTCAGTTCTGACGACCAATCATGTGCAACCTTCAGCACCACAACCATAAGCCTATCTGAATAACTTTAGCGGAAGGGTGGTCGACGTAGGACCGGCAATCCGTTTTAAACATGCAAGAACAAATCAAGAGTCGAGTCTGACAAGACCACCCAGTCTGTTTTCGACAACATGCACGGCAAGCGCCCACCTCAGACACCAAGACAGTGAGAATTTCCAGCCCGCTCATGCTCCCATTCTGCACCTGAAAAATGCTCAAGAAGAAGATACATTCCCACCCCCAGATCAAACTCCAGAAACACCATTGGCACCCAAATCAGACAACTCCCACTACTGCTTCTCCGTTGGTGATGGTGAGAGCATGGACTGAATGCTCGGCCCACTCGTCCGCTGCTGTGGGATATACCCCAACACCTGCTGCTGGACCGGATACGACGGTGGCGGCGCAGCAGCGGACGATGACGCTGAAGCTGACGCTGACGCCATGCCAACCAGGCCGTCATCTATTTCGTTCTCAGCGTCTGAGCAACCGATGCCGCTGTCTCCCTCATCATAAATACCTCGCTCTTTCCTTTGCGCGGAACGGCTGGCCGCTTGGAGGTTTTTGAGGCCTTTCTCCATGCACTGTAAAGGGGCAGTATCAGCGTTGCGCCATGGGATTTCGCGACTGGAGGCAGTTGCAGCTTCCTAGAAGACTATTTCGGGGACGTACCTTAGCCTCGACCATAGTCCACTTCTCTCCGCCTAGACGCTCGGCAAGGATGGTCCACATCTCTTTGCGAACGTTCATGTACTCCTTCGCCAAGGTTTCCAGCTTGACGCCGTTCCACTCATCGGCTTTACCACGGTCCATAAGCCTTTCATGCCGTTTCCGGCACGCGTTGGCGGTTTTAGAAGGGAAGTGTTTGGTTGCGATAGGCTGCCAATTCATTCCAGATTGCCGTGCGGACATAAGAACCTCATCGTCCTGTGGCGTCCATGTTGATGCTACTCTTGTTGAGTTGGCGTTGGTCTGTGGAGTCGCGGCCATTGGATTTGTTCGGTAGTTGCTTGAGGAAGCGGTGATTTTCTTCGGCATGCCGGAACTCGAATCGGAGTTGGATTGGATGCTGCGGTGAAAAGATGACAACTGTGGAAGGAACAGAAGTTGCCAATGATGGTGGGTTGCAAGGGTGAACAACGATTGGATTTGTACTGTCGATGAGCGAAGGTGAAGACAGTAAAAGTACAGAATTAGTTTTAGGACTGAAAGAACGAGGTGACAAGTCCAAGATTCTCCGAGACCTCCCTAGACCAAGGAAAAGACACAAGGAAAGAGGAAGAAAAAGGGAAATGCAAGTCAAGGAAACTCGTGAGTCTCGTCGGCGTGTCTGAGTGTTCTGCAGATCATGAGAGACCATGCGGCCGTACTTATGGACAGTGCTGTGCCACATCAATAACAAAGGACAGTTGGTCGACTGTAGTCAATGTTCCAGCAATTTGGATCGCGAGGCCATGAAACTGTACTCAGTTTCTCTAATCGCTCACAAAGCTCAAAGGGGCCTGATCGGGAGATATTGCAAGCTCTGAAACAGAGCGAAGGGGTTCGCGCTTCATCAAGTGGTTCGGGGAGGCCTCGTTTGGGGCCACGTTAGTGGCCGGAAGAATGCGGCCATCCCAAAACTAACCTTACAGGTGGTCTCCGTAGAGGTTTGACTGGTGAGGCGCCAGTTTGAAGTATTTCGAGTGTACCCGCCCGGTTGTTGTCCGGAAGTTGTCAGATGGGCGCGTAACCACAGGCCCAGCCAGTCCGGCGCTTACGCTTGCTTCCAGCCGAACTCCTGCGAGACCGACTTGTGTCAATGCGGAAGAACCATCAGTGGCGTCAGTTGAGGCTCTAAGCGCTACCGGCTCTACAGGGACGTTTGGTCCAGGTGCGGCCAGTAGGGCTGAGACCATATTTAGACCGTTGTCTCCGCGGGCCGGTTTCAAACATCGCACACAAGTCTTCAGCCGCCTCGGTCATCGGAGGCCAACGGTCTAGGGCATTGTCGTTGAGGACGGGAGCATATGTGAGAGACTTCGATACTGTGAAGTTTCCTCAGCAGTTGCAGTTCTCTCTGTTGAGAGCAGAGTGACAGTCGTTCGCAAAGGGAGAAGATAGGTTGATGCCGCTAAGCCTAAACGGGATGGTATCATCAACTCTGACTTAACTTCAGCTCCCAAACCTCTAACAGTTCTGTAACGGAATTCCAATGCAGGGGAAATACCCGTCGCCTGTGCTACGGACCGGTGACATGGGAGGGTCCGATCCGCCCGCTTGTAAGACGAGAGATTCCGTCTCTCAGCTCCTGAGCAACAAGCGACAGGCGCCGTGTTCAAGCGCAGAACACTCCGAGGCCGGATCAATTCGATCATGCTCGGTCTGCTCACTGCTTTTGGGCGCATGGACCGAGCATCACTAAACTGACCCGGCCTCTCATGCAGCCTCCGTACATGCCTCCCAGGAAGGCCGAAATGGAAAATCCACTCGAGGATTTAAAGATAGGGACTGGTATCGAGGGCGTCTTTTCGCCTCGTCTTCATAGGTAAGCGAATGTGTGGTGCTGATAAGCGGTACTAAAACAGATGGCGCGAGAGTCCCCTCAAAACATCGAAGTACAAGCAAAAGGTATGTTGGAGTCAATGAGCGTGCCCCGTGATTCCTCCAAATACAAGTCCTCCGAATACAAATTCCTCAAACTCCGCTCCTTGCGTCTATTACCGAATCCCCAAGTCCCGGTTCCATCAACGTCCAGCCCATCCGTCCTATTCATGAGCGCCAATATAAAAGCAACATCTTGGGTATCATAGAAGCGCAGAGTCCCCCCAGCTCCATCACGGCTGCGGGCCGAATGCTGCCGTCCCCAAGTCCTGCACCTGTATCACGTATATCCAAAACGCCAGCAACGCCTGTGGTTCTATGTGAGGACAAACAACCTGGAAGTAAGACATGAGAGCACGGAACGGAATGGCCGTAAAATGATAGTGGCAAAGAAGGATAAAAAACGAAAGCCATAGAGTGGTAAAACAGGCGCCGACGAAGTATTGCGGCCAGAAGAGGACAACCTTACGCAGAATCCGCGAGATGTTAGAACAATGATGGGGGTAAGAAAGAAGGATGAAAGGATCAATCGAAAAGAAGGAATCACGCGTAGCACAAAAGCCTTCGACTCCCACTGCCTGCTCGTATACACCTGTGCAGCTTGCCCAATGAATTTCCACGCGATCAACCCATGAAAGGATTCTCAAACCCCTAGTAACCACCTCGGCCAGTAAAACCCTCTTCCGGCCTAGGATCACGCGCGCTCCTCTGGCCCTTCTCCCTCTTCTGAATATACAGATTATGCACATTCCGCTTGTGCTCGTTCAGATGGTCCTTCCTCTTGAACCCGGATGCGCCTCTTCTATTGCACCCGGGAAAATCGCAGTCAAACAGTATGACGTTCTCTCCGTGCACGCTCATGCGGTGTCTTGTGAGGTCAGCGGCGCGCTTGAAAGACGCGTCGCAATGGCAGGTATGTTGCACTTCATTGCTGGCCGAGGACCCGGGGCTGTGTGGGGTGGAAGTCCGGCGGCCGCGACAGGCTTTGGAAGTTGAGCGCTGGAGCTCGCTAGTCTCGCTGGTAGCGCTGGTAGTTGTGGTCATAGGGAACGTGGAGGTCTCAAACGAGTGCTGGTCGAAAGGCTCGGCCAAGAAGGAATCATCCGTGTCAAAAGCAAGATGGTCGTGCTGCTGAATGTAGTCTGTCGCAAATTGGTATGTAGTTGTCACATGACTAGTGCCGGAGCCTCGGTTGTGCTTACGTTGTCTTGTTGGCGAAGAAGTGAGCTGATCTGTGCTCACTGTCGTAGCGGCCGTGTAAGAAGGGAGTATGTGGTGAAGGTACGGATCTTGACTGAAAGAGGTCGCCGCGGAGTATTGCACCGGGAGCGAGCTCTGTGGACTGTATTGTTGGGTATATTCTGCGGCTCTTTGGGAAGTTATATAAGGGTGGTCCGCGATGTCACGGTAGGTAAAGTCCGCTCCAGAACCGTGGGTTTGAGTGACTTGGCCGAAGGAGTACCCCGGGCTCTGTAGTTGATCCACGTCCTGGCATGCTGTACTTGCAATAGAATGTGAACGAGATCCGGAAGGTCTGGAATGGCTATAGGTTTGCCAGGCGATTGCGTCGCTGTTCACATCTGCGGAGCGATAGTCTCGGTCACCAGAGGTGCAGGTGGAAGAGGGTGTGTAGGATGTAGAAGGGGTAGCCGCGGGCGAGTAATCCTGCCCAATAGAAAGAGTGGTAGGGGTGTAATATATTCCGTTCGAAGAGCTAGAGATTGTGTGGTGCTCGGATGCCTACAACCAGGACAAAGTCACCAAACCGACTGGCAAATGTCCAAACCTAAGCCCCGTACCTCTTGTTCGGCGTTGGAGTGAGGGATGAGAGGGACCCGCATGATGCTGGCGTTCGAGAACTTCGTACAGCGGGACGTTGGTTGGGAGTCTAGTATAGTGTGCATCAGTAACGCGGAACGCTTATGTATTGATGCCCATGACCACCATACCAGCTAAGGATTAAGGGCTTCGAGTGTCTTAGACTTGCTGCGTCTTGTCCAATTGATTGATGTAGCACAGTGTAGACTATAAGTATTGAGCGGCTCCTTGTATTTATGTGTTTCGTGCTACGCCCTTTCTACTCTCCGAATATCGCAACGCCTCCACTACTGCTGCGGTGCTTCGCAGTTGCCTCTATCCTCTCGACGACGGATGCCTAAAGAACAAGCTGTCACACGCGGTCTGCTCCTGAGTCCCGTGAAAGACTTAATGCCAGCTGATCGGTGGTAGGATCAGATCTCGGGCTCCAAATAGTTTTCAAGGCAGTCAATCGGAGTAGCGAATGCAAAGCAGATTCTGCTACAGCATGAGAGGTGCATTAGTGTGTCCTGCGCTGTACAGCACCTGTAGTTGCATGCCACGTGTGATGGAATCGGAGGTTTCTCGATGGGTAGTCGACGGTGGTCAATACGAATGAGGCTAACTAGCCTTCAGAGGTCACCATAGTGGTGCAGGTGGCCGCCATCCCGGCAATTCTGTCGGTTGGAATCGGGATCTAAGCGTCGACGAGATCTGGGAACATCTCATATCTGTTACCGAAAGTCTTATCTGTCGCCGTTGTTGCACGGGCTGGATGGTGGTTCTCGCCGTGGAACTACATCAGCTGCTTCGCTTCGGGCAGCATCACTTTTTCCCGATGGATTGATATCCTTGCTGTATACACGGAAGCGAACTCAAGGAGAGCGGCGTGGAGTTGATCGGTGATTGTCACAGGCACAATTGACCAGGCTTGATTGGCGGCCAGTATAATTGAGTTGCGAAGCGGTGATTCGAGACCGGATAGGCCTACCAAAGTGGGACGGAGAGACCAGACATTGACACGCCGGAACCGGCTAGAGAAAAGATTGCCTTGTGAGGCATACCGAGACCGCATGCGGAAACGACAGGTCTCTTATATCAGTCGAGGTGTGAGGTGTGCATGTGTTGTCAGTCCTGCCGGCGGGACGCGCCCCGAAGCGGGGGATATCGACGACGTGTCTCTTGGCATATTTTGCCTGGTTTGCCTGCTTGCTCTCTCACAGCCGACACTGCTCTTCGAAGCCCGACGCAAACAGGCTGGGGTGTCGGTGTGGGTGACGATCTCTCGTGAAGGCTGCGGTCACTTACGAGTACCTTGAACAGTGTCGCTGCTGTCGTCAGGCTGTGATCGGAACTGAAAAAACTTTACCCGAATACCTGGGCATCTCTCTCAACTCCAATCACGTAATCAATCATCCGATACACTGATACACTGAAGGGCGATTATCAGGTTCCAGGCCTTATGAGCGCTCTGGTCACTCAGTCGAACTGTGAGAGCAGCAATTGCGTCACAAATCAAGCGATCCAATTGGACTGCTTTCGCTTTCATTGGAAGCTACCTTCAAGCCAAAAACCCGGCTCATGCCTCCCAGCCGCCAGGCTTCCTCTTTCGCCAGAACCCCAAGCTGCAGAACAATTGCATCCGCCTCATAGATCGTCTTCTAGGAACTTGTACGCGAAACGAAAGTCCATCTTTCGCCGATTCATCCTAGACATTACGAGATTAGTCCCGGTCCTTCTATCAAAACTCGTAATTAGATTGAGAGGGGCATGTCGCATACCATGTACTTTCATAGTCAAAGAACCGATATGTCCCTTGCTCGTAGTCCTCTGTGATGCTCTTCGGCTCTTCATGCCGTTGGAACCACGTTTGATACTGCTTATGGAACCGCCAGCTTTGGCTCTTGAGCGCTTTCGCCGCGAGATATTGCTGGTAGGTGCCTTGCCTGTAGTAAAACGCGTAAAAGAGGAAGTCCGTATCCAGCCTGCTGTATAATCGGGGGTCATCGAATATCGCTAGCGGCTCTTGAGGGTAATGCGAGGGAGTGTACTGGTATGGTTGGAACGGCCTGTACGGTCGCGGTCGTTCGGCGTCTTCCGCTGTCGGACAGGAGGCTTGAGAGGTGAGGAGAAGATGTTCAGGAGAAGGCTTGGTGCCGGATGTGAGTTCCGCCTTGGTGGCTTCGAAGGATTCGAGGAGGTCGGAGAGGCTGGATGGTAGGTGATAGACAGATTCATCCTCTTCAGCATCAACGTGGGATTCGCCATTGGTTAGGGCAGGCGTCGGCGGCGCGTCGCTGGCTTGGCTTTGAGTTTGCCCGGACTCCTTTCTGCTGTCCGCTTGCTGCGGCGCCTCTTCCGTCAACGGAGCCTTTTGGGGTTGTGCGGTCTCTAATGCTGGGGTCGGCGGCGCACTGCTCGCCTGAGTACTTGGTGCCGCCGCACTTGAGTGACTGGGCGCCGGTGACTTGCTTGAGATTGGCGCTGTCGACCCGTCGTCGATGCTACCAGAGACTGAGGCAACGGGTTTCTGTTGCGGTGCCACCAGTTGCGAAGGCGCTGGGGATGGGGATGTCGCCGCACTCGGCTTGGCGCTCGGTTGAGCGCTTGGTATAGATGCGGCTGTTTGTGTTATGAGTCCGGCATTTGGCCCTGAAACCGGCGCTGCGCCTGGTGGAGGAGGTAACGGTGCAATTCCGACACCGTTCTTATCACTCGCCGCCGCTGCCGCCGCTGCAGATGCATATTTTAAAGGTTCGCCCGGTATCCTCTGTGGTATCGGCGCCGGCTTCATGTTTATTGGTGGCACTCCATTCGATGTACTTGGTAATGGTGTGTGTAATGTCGCTAATGCGGGAAGAGGCGATTTCAGTTGTGCTGAGGGTCGCCTCGCTCCTGCCACCGCTGTATCCGGTACTGAAGGTTTCGACTTGGCAGCCGTAGGTGCCGTCCGTGTATCCAGCTCCGGTACCTCGTCTTGTACTGATTGTGTGTCTTGCGAAGATACCCGGTCCACCTCGTTTGCCATGCCGTATAGCCCCTCTTCCTCGTCCAGATCCAAATCATCATAGAATGTGTCATCTTCTTGGAAGTCGACTTCCTGGTTGTTATTCACGTAGTACTCGAGAGAGTCCTTCAGGGCGTTCACTTGTTCAACCTCCACGTTGTCATTCTCTAGCGCTCGGAGAATCAGCTCCAGTTTGCCCTGATGCCATTTGTGCCGCTCCATCACCCTCTCGAGCTCCGCTATTCGCATGGACTTTGTGTTGTCTTTCTTGCCCTTCTTCATACTCGCATGCATCGCTTCGGCCTCAGCCTCCTTGTTCTCCACCTGCCGCTCCAGCTCCTCCACCATGCTCTGTAGATATTCGGAGGCATCCGCCTTCTCTTGCGCCTTTGGGTCGAGTTTCGCCGATTGCGACAAGCCCTCTTTCGAGTAGGCTTTCGTCTTCATCTCCTTCTCGACCGCCTTGAACTTCTCCATTTGCTGTGCTGCGTCAGCACGGTGAGCTGCCAAAGAGGAGCACTGCCGGAGGTGGACGCACTGATTCGATGAGTTTCCTCTGCTCGACCAGAGGGCCTTTGTCCTTGATCTCGTTGCCGGCGCACCATGTCTTGATCTGATCGCGCAATCGCTGGAGCTTCTTGATCTCCCTCTTGAGGGACTCTTCTAGCTTCTCCTTCTGCGACGCATTTGTCGTCTGGCTGATCTTGTCGTGCACCGACTCGAAAGCGGCGACGCCCAGTTGGATCTGTTTGAAGCATTTGTCGACCTCTTGTGCAAGCTTCCGGGCGGCCATGGTGGAGGGCTAGCCTTGCAAGATAGCGAAGTGGTTCGTTCGCGATGCGAGGGAGTGTCGTGAGGTCGGAAGGGAGTGTGGGCGTATGAGGGAGTTGCGCGAGGTAGCGGGGGGGAGGGTCCAATCCACGGTTCGGGTGTGGAGCATGGAGAGGTTGTTGTCGACGGATGGGAGATGGGATGTGGTTGGTGATGGGCCGGGTCTTGGCGGCGCGACCTTTGTGCGCGACGGGAGAGCGAGATCACCGCGGTGCAATCATCAATAAACAAGATGCACACATCCCATCTGTCACTAGATAGATCACCCTCCGCGAAGGAGAACGCGAGCCGCGTGGGAAGCCTTAGGCGGATAACCCACTCATTTCATATCCCGCTTGAATAACTAGAACTTCTCATTGTCTCCCCCATTTCAGCCCTACGGACGCTCTCCCGCCCCACCACGGATTTCCGATACGTGCAGCATGAAAGGCAAGACGGCAGCGAGCGTTGCTTCCACGCGGTGGAGCTGACTTTGCCTACCTAGCTGTTCTACAGCGGGTCAAATCCGCGTCAGTAACCGTTGACGGAAACCTCATCTCTAGCATCGGCAAGGGCGTCCTGGTCTTTGCTGCTGTGGCCAAAGATGATACCCAGAAAGACGCCGAGACTATGGCTGGAAGAGTCCTAAAGATGAAGATGTGGGATGATGATGAAGGTGGCCGAGTACGTTGACGCTGTTGTGCGTCCCAGTAAAGGCAGTTGCTCACGTGGCGTTGCAGTGGAAGAAGAGTGTCCAAGAGGTTGGAGGCGAGATCCTCTGCGGTATATCATCCGTCATCTCGACCGAGAACGCAAACCCACTGACCCGTCTCAGTATCTCAGTTCACGCTTCTCGCCTCGACAAAGAAGGGCAACAAGCCTGATTTCCACAAATCGGCCAGCGGTGTCAAAGCAAAGGAGCTTTACGCCACCTTCTTCGAGAAGGTGCAGCGGCTCTACCAGCCAGAAAAAGTCAAAGATGGCGTCTTCCAAGCGATGATGGATGTTGCCCTCGTCAATGATGGACCGGTAGGTGAAGACCAGCCCCCGAAGGATCCCAACGCTCCGGAGTACGGGCCCATGGGTGTTGAATACACTTGCCTGGAAGACGAGGTACACCCTCTATATCCTCGATATTTCGCAGCTCCGGACATCACCCGCGACCATGCACTAACCCGTACAGGTCACCCTCGAGATTGACACAGATCCGCCTAAGCCCAAGCAAGACTGGGACCCCAACATGCCAGGGGGCGGAAAGATGTTCACGCTGGACGAGCTTGCAGGTGTCATGAGAAAGTACAACGCCGAGTTTGTACTCCCGGCGGAGCTTCTAGAGTAGCGTGGAGCAGCAGCGTGTGTGCATTGGTTGGCGTTTTACAGCAGAGATGGGTTCTAGCTTGGGTGCCTCCCGGTTCATGAAAGCCTTCGCGGACGAGTCCACCGCCTTATAGATGGAGTTGTGCCTTAGACGCTCGGTATCATCAAGTGACTCGCCTTAGAGTGCTCATTTGACGGAGAACATTAATGCTCAGTCTACGTTGCCGCTTGCCACTTGTTGCATGATTAATGCTCACTTATCTTTGGGTCCCTCGACAGGCAGTTTACACTTATGTCAGCAATCCAGTGGACTCCACTGGTTTGATGTATGTCCAGTGCTGGTTCAACAACTTGAAGGTCTTGGTGAAGCTGCCCCGTGCACGAAATGTGGATGTGCCCACAAACAACCACGCACGTCGAAACTTCTAGGCACACACACACCCCCCAAACCCTAAGTCAGCCTCACCACCCAGTCTCCCAGTCTCCCAGTCTACCAGTCTACCAGTCAACCAACAGCTTTCCGTCTTGTCACCAGTAATTCGCACCCCACAGACCGCCCACAGTGCTGCACACAACCTTCACGTCCGCAATGGCATCTCCAAGTACACCCCCACCTCCCGCTGACCATGCCCCTCATAAGCTCACAGACCCCACAGAGCGCTCCCGCGTCTTCTTCGACGTGACTCTCGGCCGCAACCGGCTCGGCCGCATCGCCTTCGAGCTCTACAATGATGTCGTCCCCAAGACAGCCGAGAACTTCCGCGCACTCTGCACGGGCGAGAAGGGCAAAGGAAAGAGCGGCCATCCGCTGCACTATAAGGGCTCGTCCTTCCACAGAATCATCAAGCAGTTCATGATCCAGGGCGGCGACTTCACTAGAGGCGATGGCACGGGCGGCGAGAGTATCTATGGCGAGAAGTTTGAGGACGAGAACTTTGTTCTTAAGCATGACAAGCCGTTCTTGCTTAGCATGGCGAATGCCGGCCCTGGTACGTACTCGATCTGCTAGCTCTCCGTTGCGTAGCTCCTCCGAGACACTCCGCTTCACCGCGGAGCCCAAGCCGCGTGAAGCCGGGAGAATCTACAAACGAGCTCGGCACGCCAGAATCGTCAGACCGTCAAGCTAACAACCCATCGCACACACAGGCACCAACGGGTCCCAGTTCTTCATCACCACGGTCACAACTCCTCACCTCGACGGCAAACACGTCGTCTTCGGCGAAGTTCTCTCCGGCAAATCCATCGTCCGCGCCCTCGAAAACACCCCCACAGGTCCCAACGACAAGCCCAACGCCGAGGCCACAATCGTCGACTGCGGCGAGCTAACCGGCGATGCTTATGATCGCGCTACAGATAAGACGGCGGCGCCGGACGTCACGGGCGACCCATACGAGGACTACCCCGAGGACGAGAACGATGGGCAAGAGTGGACCCCGCAGGCGGTGCTGAAGATCGCAGGCGAGCTAAAAGAGTTCGGAAATAAGGCGTTTAAGAGCGGGGATGCAAGGGTCGGGCTTGCGAAATATCAGAAGGGGTTGCGGTATCTTCGGGAATTCCCTGAGCCGGATGATGCTGCGGATGGAGAGGCGGGAGGATTGCAGAGCGAGGCGAATAAGTTGAAATTCACCCTGCACTCTAACAGCGCGCTTCTGCAGCTCAAGCTCTCCGCCTATGATGACGCGCTCTCCTCAGCTACGTCCGCACTGGAGGTTCCGGGCATAGGCGACGCGGAGAAGGGCAAGGCGCTGTACCGGCGGGCGCTCGCGAAGGCCGGAAGGAGAGACGATGACGAGGCGATCGCGGATCTCGAGGAGGCGCTCAAGTGCGTGCCGGGCGATGCGGCCATCTCGAAAGAGCGCGATGCCGCGAAGAAGAGGGTCGCGGAGCGGAAGAAGAAGGAGAAGGCGGCGTATTCGAAGTTCTTCTCTTGATGGAAGCGAGGCGTTGACGGAAGAGTTGCATTAGCGAGGCGCCGGGGTTCAAAAGCGAAAGTCGCATGACTGCGGAGGATTGGCTTGGGATTTGCACCAGATGCTGTAGTGTGGATTTAAGATTTGAGACGCCAGTACGTAAAGAAGGAACGAACCAGCGCCGAAAGCTTCCTCCAAGTGCTTCTCTCTTCCATCTCAAATTACTTTCGTTCACCCTACAAGAAACTATCCCAAGTCACCACCTCCACCCCCTCTTATCCACCCTCCTCTCAGTCCCACACCCAGAAACTCTCCTCCCAATTCTCACCACACCCCTCAAGCAACACCACACCTCCATCGCAAGCCACCAAACCACCCACCCCGCGAGCAGCAACCAAAACGGCGCCCCCGCCGCGCCCACAACCACCAGCGCAATCTCCAGCGCCGGATACGTGCTCCTTAGCACCTGCCCAACAAGCTCCAGCATATCCTCCTCCGGCGGCTCTGCCTCTTCCTCTCCTCCTTTCTCCCGCCCCCTGTCCCCATCCTCATCCGTTCCGTTCCTAGTCCTCCAAGCCACCACGCCTCTCTTAACACCCGCAGCCCACAACCCGTCCCCCTCCCACCACCCACACCTCCTCTCCGTCCTCCCATCCACGATCACGAACCCGACCTCCATGAGCGCTGAGCGCATCCGGCCGGGGTAGACGATATGCCACTGCGTCCGCACGAGCAGCTCGATGTCTGGCCGGCGCGGCGAGGCGAAGATCATGTGGCCCTGCGCGGTGGGCGGGTGGCAGCGTGTCGTGTTTCGAGAGTCGGTAGGGCGGGAGATGTTGGGGGGGATATAGTGGATTGTGGGCATGTAGCGGGGGTGGTGGTGCTCGCTTGGGTGGGTGAGCGCGCAGGTGGCGAGGATGAGGGAGGAGAGGAGGGTTAGTGGCTTCATCGCGGCGAGAGAGCGCGCGGGTTGCTTTGTGCGGGGTTCGATGGAGATGTAGGATGGGAGAGATCGTGAAGGCGTGTTTACATGTTGTGGGTGGGTGTCAGTGAGGAATGCTTGGCGTGGATATCACCATCGCTCGTGTCTCTAGCAAGTCTGCCGCGCGTGCGGGCGGGGTTACGGTATGTAGAGCTCCTGTTGTGTCTGTTAGCAGGTATCAATAGATCCTGGTACTGATGATAACGATCCGGGCCGCTGTGGAACAATGGTGGAGTGCCGGATTGCAGCGGCGCGATACTTTGAACCTTGGCTAAAGTTCCCCAATGGCTTTTAAACGAACGCTCGAACTAGATTTTTAGACCCTAAACAGAAAGCGATAGCGCTAGGGACCACATTGTTGTCAGCGCTAAGAAACAAATATGGGGAGTTGTGCACATCGTTGCCGAAGCAATCATGATGTTTCTAGAATCTAGATTGGACCAAATGCCGAGCCGAAGGTGCCACCAGATGTAGCTTATCAGAGTGACTTTCGTTCGGATTGACCTACGAAAGACCTGAAGAGACGCACAACAGGTGCCAGATGCAGTAAAAAATCAATCGCCACAGACTCAGAGAAGACACAAGACCGTTGATGGCTAGGACCGTTCATGTTAGCAAGCAAAAAAAAGCTCAGTTTCATATCCTCTCCCTCGCATCGCAGCACATGCCAGATGCGTTTGAGGCTTTCGAGACCATCGGAAAGTTCGCACACTCTAAGGACGTCCATCTCGCACATCCGCTGCATCGCCGTCCAGATCGCACTCTTTCGCATAGACAACTCACTCACAGCTCGTCCCGCCACTTCTCCACAACCGGAGTGGTGCTCCTGCTGACATCAGCGGATGTAGCAACGTCCCCCTCTCCGCTCACAGCCCTCACACTCGGCTTCGAATTCAAAAGTTCCGTGAGTGGCCGAGCGGTTGATAGTAGCTCTGACGAGCGCCTCGCTGGCTTCATGTATCTCAGTGCTCCAGTTTCGAGTCCCATCTCCCGCATCGCGGCCCTAATTTCGCTGTCATCTAGCTTCGGGTCAAGCTTGTGGTCGCGGAGAGCCTCGTCGAGAGTGATCTGGTCAGAGAGGCGATTTTCATTGAGAGCGTTCATCCGGTGGAGTGGACCGACTGGCAAGGAGATCTTAGGCCGTCTGGGTGATGGAGAATCGGGCGGACTGGCGCGACCGCGTCGATTGGCGGTTCTGAACCACCTTTGGTGCACAGGTGTTCTGACTGGAGTCTCAGGGGTGCCAAGAGTACCGCTTGTCAGGTCGCGCACAGGCAGGTCGTAGTTGCTGCAAGAGTTAGCCGCAAGCTCGCTATCGGTTATGTTTGAAATTCCGGGTCTCGTGACCGCAGTTCTGCCACGGGTGGGTGTGCGAGGAATCCGGGGGCCGCTGCGGTTGCCGCGATTGTAATCGCTGGTGCCTCGTTCGAGACGTGAGGGCATGTTCCCGTAAGGGTCAGTCTCCGACTTTATCCAGTAGATTGCGTACATCCAGAGGGAGAGTGCGCACGTAACTCTAAAAGGATCCGTCAGCCTTCAGTAGCGTGTGCAAAACGCATCAGATAGATATCACGCAAAAGGATGAGGAGGGCTGGGGTTCATATACTGGAGCGCACACCCAATAGCATTGATACGCCTGATATGCTCCCGGTCCGCGTGATTGAGATGCGCATTTTCCACTGAAGCAGGAAGCACCTGAATAATAACATCCACAACGTCGATAACGAACAGAACGAATGGTGTCCGCGAAAGGAGGCGGTAGCGGCATCTCAGTACAAAGTAACAAAGACCGCCTGCGTTCAGGAACAGAGCCAAGCATGAGGGTGCGAGCAGGGCAATATACAACCTGGAAGTGTCAGCTTAGTTCTAATGGCGTTCCTTCGATATGGATGGGATGTGTTGCAAACAACCCCATCGGTGACTTGTGCGGGACGGAATGGAACAAGCTGCACTCACTGTTTGTCATTTGCCGTAGTGAACGGAAATCCTAGACGCAGGGAGAGCACAAGAAGGGCGAAATAGTGGAGCAGCCACCACAACTCGCAAATCAACGTCCACCGGTAGTGGCGATCGCCGTCACTCCACTCAGACCAGTATCTTGAAAGGTTCATCCTCAGAGGATGCTCTTCTGCTGCGTCGTCGGCGTTTGTTATGTGCCTGCAAATGTCCCAGGTTCCGCAGGAGACGTGGGCAGATCGAACGATGAGAAGGACCACAGGAGCGGAGGCAGAGACTGAGATCTGATAGTGTTCGTGGATGGTTCTTTTGGTGACGAGGTCATGGGAGCAAAATTCGTCACAATGGGAAGAAAGGGTGAAGTGAAGTGATTTGCGACTAAGTGCCTCATTACATGATTTCCAAAATCCACGCATACCTTCGAATTTTGTTGGTGCACACATAGATTGATTGAAGATGAGACTGGAATAACGCTCCTGTCGCAAGAACACAGAACATATTGTGAAAATTTGCAGACTTTCAAGAAGCACGGCAAGAAGTCGCGAAGCCAAATCATATCAGCAGGTTATTCATGCCTTGACTGTCATAACGCTGCCGTGAAACTAGTCAGTACTCATCATTGGAGTGAAGCACAACCGAGCGCTCATCAACATCTTGTTGTTGTAGGCAGTGTTCTGTCAGCTCACTCTTAGTCAGGCCACCGACAGACAGATGATAATAGTGCCTACGCTTCTGTCAAAAACTCTAGGGGGAAAGGTCTAGCTCCCTCAAGCGGCTACTCAGAAGAGCGAAAGAAGAGTCCTCTTTGCATGTTACACGTCCTCTCCAGACCGGTATATCATAGGGCAGCGGGCCACAGAACGGCGCAGAGTCGACAGGACTGACCGTGTGTTCGCTCAAGCCAACTTGGGGGCCTTCGAACAATGTAGGTGTCTAGGGGCGAGTGAGCTAGCTGTCAGCGCAAAACGCGTTCGACACCGCCGCGGCGGTCCCGTTACTGTGTTGGCCAAAATGACGCGCAGCGGTCCTCTACCTTCAACATAGCGCGTCCGTATCGGCGAACGTGCATCACGTCTCTGAGACCGTGGCCAGCCTTTGAAGACGAGGGCACTCGGAATGGCGCGGCAGCTGTCTTTCAGCCCAGCCAGAGACGCGCCATTGCGGCTGACTCTTTGTTCCAGAATAGCGTGTGTCTATTGCAGGAACGCTCAATTTCCACTGCAGATGCCGGAAGATTTAGTGGGAACGGTGGCCTAGCTGAGTTGCTAGCCTGGGGCTTCTCAGTCAGAACTCAAGCTTAAAAGTCAAACCACTACGGCAAGGTTGCTGGTATCACTTATCCATGAGGCGCTTCTCTCCGCACAGAGTTCCGCTTCCTATCATTCGCCAGCACTGCGGGTTGATTGCACGAACTACAATGGTGCTCCAAGTAAGGGCTAGACGCCCCCCGACTCCCGTCCCGCCTGCATTAACAGGAGGTAGGGACTTGAACGGATGGAAGACACAGGAATACTCGAACTCCGGCAGAGCTCCACAGAACTTAATAAAAGCTGACTATGCAGTTGGTTGAAGATTTTGCTTGGCACAGGCAGCGCGCGTATGCGGACCGGGGGGGCATCCGGCCCTTCCTTGGAGTACCCTCGTAGGGGGATCCAGGCCTACTGCAGTCGCTGGACAAAGTTTATGGGCAAGGGGCGACAAGGCTCTGTAGCACGAGGCGTAAGGCGCTTGTTGAACTGGAGCCTCCAAGAACAAGCTCCGCTATAAGGACACAGGAACGTGAAGACTGGTAGCGGACTACCACAGGAGAACTTTAGTCAGCCGGCGGCTTGAGTTGAGGAGTTGAGGTCATTGTGCTAGCAAGAGCTGGGGCCTTGGCAAAGTTCTCGACGACTTTACCGCCTTATCCAGCTGTCGTTATCCCTCGCACGGGTTGCCGCCTCTCCAAGCCAGGTTATTATCGGTGCGCATACAGCCTTGCAATACTCAAGGGAGCTAGCAAATGGTCGAGGAAGAGATGCAAGTGCTGCATGAGCTTGGAATAAGTTGGAAACATGAACCGGGATCCGCGACGGGGGAGGTGCGGGACGAAGGAACGCCATCGGGAACTCGCTCGGGTAGCGTCAGGGGTAGTAACAAATCATTGTGAGGGGTTGAGTCGGCACTTTTATTATCGCCGATCCTAGATTCGTGGCATCAACGTCGCTCCCGTTCATCGTTCTCTCCTCAGTACCACGGACGCTACTATGAGCATCAGGGGGCCCGAGACATCCACAAGGAGCAGGGTGGGCCTGCCGTTGCCCCTCAGCCCAATCTTCCTTCGCGCGTTGGACCCGGCCCTGCCGAACAGCGCGGCTGCAGTGGCTGCGATTCCAGACAGACTATCTTCCACTAATGTCCGTTGATTGAGTTGTTCCTGCTCAGCGGGAGTGGCCTAGCATGTGGAAGTCGTTGAAGTGCGAGCCCAGTGATTGCCATCATAGACTCCGCAAAGTGGACCACGTACCAAGGTTAGACATATACAAGCCGATCATGTGGTGGGACTCGCCAGGAAAGGCCTGCCATGAGGGCCACAAAGGATGGGGTCAATATCAAAGCAGGTCCTAATGGAGACACAGGCTAAGGACTAGGCATCCAACTTCCCTTCAGTCTTCAAGCCACATGTGTTAGGCTCCCGGGTTGTACTGAGACGCCGGGAGCCCTTTTAGTAAGGCAAGGCGCGCTTCAGGCTGGCTGAGAAGGCTAATCTATCGATATCATGAAGATGTTCTTTGTCCAAGCCCGGTAGGGTCCACGGCGGAGCTCTCGAGCACGTACTTTATGACTCTCTCAACCCACGTCCAATCTTTTGGGAAAACCTCTCCTGCACACCCTTACTGTTGCTGGCTTCTTCACTCTAATCTCCCTTCGCTCTTCCTGACTGTACTTATTTCCCCTAATTCTCAGACCGACTCTGTCTGCAATCTGCAGTTCACATTCGTTACACTCTCACCAGTCCCGAATACCAAAGATCAGTTGATACACACAGGAGCATTCTTCGTTACGAACATTAATAAAACTGGCTTTCCAGAATTGAACTGAGGAAGCACCGCAGCTCTCGCGACGGTCTCAAGCTTGTCCGCCACTCAGCACAACTAAGGGTTGGTGTAATATTCACTAAGAAGCGCGGAATTCGCCGCGGGGGCTTGAATCCGCTCTCATTAGATTTCCATCTTATCACAATGTCCGGAATCAAATCGTATTTCGCGCCCGGTCGGGGCGAGGCTCACAAGAGAGAGGAGTCGGAAAAGACGGTGGAGATGGTAGAGACGCCGCGGGTACCATCCACACCACGGGCAGGAGACTCGACGCCAGCATCGCCGTGGGGCTCAAGGCCTGGATCGATCTACCCTGTCGGCGACTTTCGCAACAACGCCATGGAGGAGATCAACGATATCAAATGTGATGTCATGGTGAACTGGCTACATTCCAGACAAGAAGAGAGGCTGTGGACCTCTGGCGAGTACGAGGAAGGTGTAGTGCTCAAGAAATCTCGGGGTGCATACACATGCAGTCCCCCAGACCTGGCTGTAGAGCGTTACGGTTTCTTCAAGGCCGTGGAAACTCTCAACGTTCGAGTAAGCAAACTGTGTACCGTACTAACTGCGTCACGCGTCTGACTCGCTCCAGGTTGCCATGACTGTAAACACGAGGGTGATCAAGATCCTACTTCACAGCAATCAACACCCTTATGTAGAGATTCAGCCTGGCTTGCGAATTCAGGTCCTGCCCGATATGTCCTACCTGCCGCGGTGTCAGAAGCATCAGTTCGCTGCTTTTATTGCCGACAGGGGAATCTTAGTCGTGTGGGACGACGAACCGAAAAAGCTGATTGGTCGCGTGGAGCGGTTGGAGCAGGCTCTGATTCAGATGATCTGGGGCAACGGGGACGCATACCCTGAGGAGAAAGAGGAAAAGCCTGCGCAGGTGCAAGTACAAGAACTCGAAGGTCACGATGGAGAGATGCTCCCTGATGAGAAGCCACGTCGTGTCGTCCTAATTCAACCAATACTCACTGCCTGCACTTTATTACTTACCTTAGCCGCCATCGGATCTGGTTGGCGGCGAGTTGCGATAGAGATCTTCGTTGATCACAACTGGATTCGACTGGCATTCATTCTGCTATTGATTCCTCAGATGTGGCTAGGATTGGTAGGGTATCATCAATTCTCGGTCATCAAATGCCAGCTAACTAATTTGTAGTTCTTCTTCCAAGCTCTTGCGGGTAACATCGCACAATGCATTGGTCCGATCGGCCAGATGAAAAGAAACACGAAGAACTATTCTGGAATCAAACCGCGCCGACTGAACAGGGAACGGGGACCGCTTCCGCACGTAACCATCCAGTGCCCAGTGTACAAGGAAGGCCTTCATTCCGTTATCGAGCCCACAATTCGCTCAATCAAAGCTGCCATCTCGACGTATGAGATGCAGGGCGGTACTGCAAACATTTTTATCAACGATGACGGTATGCAGCTGCTGCCAGACGATGAAGCACACCAGCGCCAAGACTTTTACGACGAACACAACATCGGCTGGGTTGCTCGGCCAAAGCACAACTCTAAGCCGATTGAAGGAAGCGACGAGATATTCTTGCGCCGTGGAAAGTTCAAGAAGGCTTCGAACATGAACTACGCTCTGTGGGTCAGCAACAGGATCGAAGACAAGCTTGCCAGCGGTGTCCGACCGGAAACCTGGAGCCGAGAAGACGAAGCCGCGGCATACACTCAAGCACTGAACGAGGTTATCGCTGAGGACCGCGGGATGACCTGGGCAGACGGGAACGTTCGCGTAGGCGATTATATCCTGCTTATTGACTCCGACACCCGTGTTCCCGTAGATTGCTTCCTGGATGGCGTCAGTGAGATGGAACAATCACCTCAGGTTGCGATCATGCAGTATTCGTCGGGTGTCATGAACGTTACAGACAGCTTCTTCGAGCGAGGCATTACCTTCTTCACCAATCTCATCTACACTCAGATCGAGTATGCCGTCGCAAACGGCGATGTCGCGCCCTTTGTTGGACACAACGCCATCCTGCGCTGGTCGGCCGTTCAAGACATCGCATACGACTGCGAAGATGACCACCGCGAAAAGTACTGGTCCGAGGCTACCGTGTCCGAGGACTTCGACATGGCCCTACGCCTCCAATCGAGCGGCTATATCCTGCGACTCAGCGCATATGCAGAGAAAGGTTTCAAGGAGGGCGTGTCATTGACAGTCTACGACGAGCTCGCCCGATGGGAGAAATACGCCTACGGATGCAACGAGCTGATCTTTCATCCTCTCCGTTATTGGTTTACTAGAGGCCCCTTCACGAAACTCTTCCGCACATTCATCGTATCCAACATGCCTCTCCCATCCAAAATCACGATTCTGGCGTACATTGGCACGTACTACGCGCTAGGTTCCGCATGGTTACTCACCGTAGCCAACTACTTCCTTATGGGCTGGTTCTCCGGTTTCCTAGACCACTACTACGTCGATTCCTTCAAGGTCTACTTCTCCATCGTTATCGTCTTCAATGCGCTGGGTAACGTCGCGCTCGCCTTCCTCCGCTATCGCACCGGCGAGCGCAGCTTTTTCTCCAGCCTCTGGGAAAACTTCAAATGGATACCGCTTCTCTGCCTCTTTCTCGGCGGCATCTCCATACACGTCTCCCAGGCCTTGCTCAGCCACATGTTCGGCATCGATATGAACTGGGGCGCTACGGCGAAGGAGGTGGAGAACATTAGCTTCTTCGAGGAGATTCCGCGCGTGCTGAACCGGTTTAAGGGGACGTTCGTCTTCGTCATCGTGTCGACTGCGACAATGATCGTTTGCGCGACCGTCGTGCCGGATATGTGGCGCATCAGCTTCTTCGCGGCCATCTGGCCGCTCAGCGTGCTGGTGTTCAGCCACCTCATGCTGCCGTTTGCGCTGAACCCAAATCTGATGCTGTTTACCTGGTAAACGCTTTCTCTACAAGCTCACGTTCGTTTGCTCTACGCTCTCATTGACTACTTCTCTTTTGTATGCACGACTGTCACTGCTGGAGTATGGGGATAATGTAAACATTGTGGATAATCAGCATCCATCATGTGCGCTCGCTCATGTTCATTCCTCTACACTTGTTATACAACAGATTGTCTTCTGCATTTCGTGTACCTTTCCTATATCTAATGATCCTGAAGCCTGCATAACTGTCTAAAATGCGGGGACGGCGGCGTTCGGTATAGATAGAATTTGCATAGGAAGTGGACGCAGGAGGAACGCTACGAGGCGCAGCAAAATCACTTAGTGTCTATCCATCTAATTTACACCACGGCAAGTGATACACATCTCTCTCGCGCCCTCCGGCAACCTCCAACGCAGAAGAGGCCGAGTCTCAGCTCCCCCTGACCCAGCCACACATTGGCCGGAACCTTCACTCAGCCAGCCTCAATTAGCTTCAGCCAGCCACAGCCGTCCAAGACCAAGACCACGATAATGACCACCAGCGTGAACCATGGAAACGCGACAGATTTGGAATGCACCAGCACGGTCCAGGAGGCCGTTGTTGGGTAATGCGCTAGGGGCGCGCCGGTGGGATCTCCTCAGGCGCACGGGCAGTTCCACTCTCTAGCCCCGATAACTGAGCCATGGTACCGGGTGCGCGCTAGAGCATCACTCAGAAGAGGTGAATCGGTGGCTTTTATCCAGGAACCGGATGGGGGGCAGGTGTGTGAGCTGTTTTTAGACAGGAAACTTGCATGGTTTGTGCGATTCGGTCAGAGTTGCTAGGCTGAGTCGGGGGGTTGTAGCGTATCATATTGTTGTGGGCTAATCTGCTGGCGTTTTCGTACAGTGTCATGCTCGTCCTTGGGCAAAAGGAAGCTTTCAGAAGTGAGACAGGGAAGGTTGGCAGTTTTGTGAGCATCAATAGAGATGATAGAATGGATGGAATAGGCTTCTAACCTCCACAGTGAAGAGAGCAGCTCCGAAAGGGAGCATATGCTGAAGTTAACCTAGCCATTTATTATCTAGTTAGCAACACCGCTCAAAGGGCTGTTCATGCCATCCATATACCGGCAGAGTGCAAACAGTCCGGCCGCCGAACACCAACGCAATGCACATGCAGACAACGCAAGCAGTATCTATCCCCGCCCTCGCGCGATCCATATCCCATGAGTCCTTGGCTCACGCCGCCGCCGCAACATTCTTCATCGCCTCAAAACAGCCCCCAAATAGCGGCTCACTCTTTCCCAACTGCTCCTCCTTCAGCCCCAACGTCCTCACGACCTTAAACGCGCCCGTCCCAATACTCATACTCTGACCCATGATGATACACTCGCTGACGCCCTCAATCCGATCCTTCTTCATATGAAACGCGGCATCAAACAGATGATCCGGCGTCTTCTCAAAGCTCGCAAGCTGGAGGACACTATCCCGCATCTTCGCCAGACCATGACGGGTAATCCCCAGAATCTCGCCTTTATACGTCATGACGTCCGCGAGCAGCTGCATGTGTCGGGGATCGATGTCCATGCCCTTCATGACCTCGTTGATTTCGGAGATGATGGTTTTGCGCGCGGCTTCGATGCCGAGGACGTCTTTCGTTTCCATGACGGAATTCGTGCGGGTTTTGGTGCCCTCGATGCCTTCGGTATTCATGCAGGCGAGGAGGCCGTAGCCCTCGACGAGCAGCGCGACTTCCTCGATGCCGTTCGCGTTGGGCTTGTCGTCCTTCTTGATGATGGCGCGGGTCGCTTGCGGGTAGCCCTTGATGATGACGTCGGGGATGTTGCGCTTGAGGTTCTGCACCACGACGAAGTACTCTTCTTCCTTTGCCTTGGCGCTGCGGCGCTTCGTGGCGTTTTGGGGATCCCCAATGTAGACGCGGAAGTGGTTGGCGAAGGTCTTAATGGTGCTGCCTTCTGGGAGCTTGAGGCCCTTGGTCCGCTTGATGGCGCGCTGAATGTCGCTCATAGTGATGTCGAGAGCGAGCTTCTGGATCGTGCCTTGGTCGACACGCATGTTGAGGTAGCAGCCTTCGCCGTACCAGACATCTTCGATGTAGGCGATGACGTCGCGCAGGTATGTCTTCTCGATACGGCTCTTGACAATGCGCGCAGCTTGTTCGCTCTCCTTGTTAGAAAGCTCGCAAGAGATGACCGGAGTACTGATCTCCGTCGAAGCGTTGATGATTTCCTTGATACGCGGCACACCTTGCGTGATAGACATTCCGGCAACACCAGCGAAATGGAAAGTCTTCAAAGTCATCTGCGTGCCTGGTTCACCGATGGACTGAGCGCCGACTGCGCCTACTGCATGGCCCGGCTGGACGATTGACCGCTTGTACTTGGTGAGGCAAAGCCTGACGAACTCGTCCAACGCCCGCCACGAGACTTTGGCGATGGCGTTGGCGGCATTCAGTTCGACAGGCAACCCCGCGTCGGCCGTGTCCCAGTCTATTCGGTCATCATACTCCAGTGCTGCCCACATCTTCATGCGTCTTCGGGTTGCGGCGAGTCTCTCAGCCTCGAATCTGATGTGCTTCTCAACAGAGTCTAAAAAGTCCCGCTCGCTATCATCCTTGTCGATGCCATAGTCGCTCTTGTCCTTGTAGTTCAGGATCTTGCCGAAGAGATCTGTTCGCGGAAGTCTGTGGCGTTCTCTTTGCAATAACTGGCCAGCTATCCGGAGGATCTCAAATGGAAAGAGACCCCTCTCACTGTTATCCCATGTCGTCGTGATGGCTTGCGTGAAGGTCCGCTCGAAATTGACAGGTTTTGCCTTGCCCTCCATATCTACGGGGTCAAGCTTGTCGTCTCCGTACTGGAATTGTACAATACCGGAAGAAGAAGTTCGGACGGTGTTATCGTAGTTCGAAGAAAGATCCTCAAGCGACTTCATGAGACGGCGAGACATGTACCCGGTCTCGGCCGTCTTGACCGCTGTGTCGACTAGACCTTCACGACCGGACATTGCGTGGAAGATGAACTCGGTCGGATTGAGACCCGTGAAGAAGCTGTTCTTAACGAAACCTTTCGAAGGCGGTTGACGTGCGGCTTTTGGGAAATGTGGCAACGTTCGATCCTGGAAGCCATTGGTAACACGCTTGCCACCAATGATTTGCTGTCCGACGGCAGCCACCATTTGCGACACGTTGATGTTGGAACCTTTCGAGCCGCATTTGGCCATGATCAACGGGGAGTTCCAGTTACTGAGTTCGGCGAAGCAGATATCACCTGCTTGTTGACGAACAGCGCTCAGGATACCTGAAATGCGGTTTTCCATAGTCTGTTCTTCGTCACACCCTGCGTCTCTTTCCAGTTTGCCGTTCTTGAGGTCGGCGATGAGCTTATCGCACTCTGCGTAAGCTTTCTGGACCAGCTTCTCCTTTTCCTCCGTAAGCCGTCCGCTGGGCATGACATCGCTGACGCCAATCGAGAACCCCTGATTTGCCAGCCACCGAGCGCATAACTTCGCCAGTCGATTCATGGCTTGTACTGCGTAGTCGGGACCGAAATCGCGCATCATGACATAGAATACCGAATCCTTCTTTCCGTCTCCTACAGTGGCCTTGTCCATGCAGCCGCACATGACTTCGGAGTTCCGAATGACAAGATACGCATCGTCCGGATTCATGTCCGCAGCCCACTTCTTGCCGTCTGATTTGAACTGCTTGCACTTCGCATCTAGGTTGATAAGCACTTTGCAGCGGCTGTTTGGACGCATGAGGACATTGAAAACCTGCTTTCCCGTCCATAGCCTCTGGGGTTTGCGAACGGCGGGAGGCGGCAGTTCGATACTCATTCGTTCCCCAGTGTCGGGATCGATGATGCTGTCGGCATTGAACATGTAGCCGCATATGTGAGCGAACGTCTTGCGATCATAGAAGTTGTTCTTGCTGGAGAGCAGGTAAGCCGCGGTGATGAAGTCCTGGATGGCCGCGATGATCGGTGTTCCGTTCTTTGGAGTGGCAAGGTTGTGTTTGACGCCCATCAACTCGATGGCTTCCGTTCGGGCTTCTTCTGTCTGCGGCACGTGCAAGTTCATCTCGTCGCCGTCGAAGTCAGCGTTGTACGGATTGCAGACGCATTCGTTGAGACGGAACGTCCGCCACGGACGAATCTTCGCTTTGTGACTGAGGATACTGAGTTTGTGTAGTGAGGGTTGACGGTTAAATAGTACGATGTCTCCATCTTCAAGATGTCTCTCAACTAGATCGCCAATCTGTAGCTGGCGGGCAGGTACATCGAGTGTTCCCCGCCGAGCGTGGACAGCGAGAGCCTTTTTGTCGCCAGTGGCCTTCTCTACGATGTAGTTCGCTCCAGGATGCTTCTTTGGCCCTCTGCGGATGCAGTCTCGAAGCTTCTCGATGTTGTATCGCGAAACACGCTCCGGGTAGGTGAGATTGACAGCTACGCGCTCAGGAACAGCAACCTCATCAATCCCAAGGTTCGGGTCAGGACCAATGACGGTGCGGCCTGAGAAGTCGACACGCTTTCCTGAAAGGTTGCCTCGGAACCGGCCTTGCTTTCCCTTGAGACGCTGGCAGAATCCTCGCATGTGTTTTCCGACGTTCTGTTGCTGAAGGCCGGGCAGGTCGCTGTTGATGTACATAGCAATCTGCAGCTGCAAGAATTCCCACTGTTCCATCAGCACCTGAACAGGCTGACCCTTCTCCAACCCCGCACGGATCAGTGAACTGATCTGGATGATGTCGCCGAGCTTGTTGGTGATATCGTCTTCCGTTGTGGCTGCCTCTTGCTGCACCGAGGGACGAATAGGGACTGGCGGGGCTGGAACATATTGCCAGATGAACATCTCCGGTCTTCCCTCCTTGGGGTCCATACCGAGGAGTTCGCAGTCGGTGTCTGAAATCCGGCGGAATAGGTTGAGCGCTCTCAGGGGGTTCATATCATCCACAGCCTTACGCAGATGCTTCTCCAGTTCGGGGTTGTCTGCCTTTGCCGTCTCGAACGTCTTGTCAAACTCAACCTTGCATGCCGGTGCAACTTTGGACTTGGCGGTTGACCTGAGAAAGGAATCGTATTTGTTGTGGACGATTTTCAGGGGGTGGTTTGCCACCTTCCTGACGGGGCCGTTGATGACTCCACAGTAGGGACAGACTTTGCACTTTTTGGCCTCGGCGGCCACGGCCTTGCATATCCCAGTCCTTCGCAGGTTGTCGAGATGCGGCATGCGTAGCCTTCTGAGATAGGCCCGCCGGCTGCTTTCTTCTAGTAACACTCTTGAACAACCCTAAACAGTCGCCGTCAGACCATGCTCCATTTCCGCAGGCTGCCATGCCCATACCTTGCAGATACAATGCAGGATCTCAATGATGGCGCGGAAGTATCCGATGTGGAAGGCCGGCAGCGCAAGTCTGACATATCCGAAGTGACCGTTGCATTCCTTGAGGCCCTCGCCGCAGGTATCGCAGAGACCTGACTTGCTCGACGTCCCCATGCGGCCGTCCATGGGACCATGGCGGGTAACGGCCCTATTCGGTCCCGAACTGATGGATTCATAGACATTGCGGTCGGAGATCTCGAGTACGGCTTGGTTGACAATGTCCTGGTTGGACCTGGATGCTCGTTAGCATACGCCGCCGAGGGTAGGCCGCGGTTCCATACAAGATGCCAAACTGAAGCTCCTTGATGCGCTTCGGCACGCTATCCACCACCTGCTCCTTCACCTCGGCCACAACGGTCGCCGACATGTCCAACAGTCGCTACCGATGTTCGTGCATGTATCTAATAGTTGAACCGTCAGAAACGTCGATGGAAGCTAGTCAGACGCAGGCGTACGAGGCTCCCGCGCTGCTACTGCGGCTCTTCCGCTCAGCACGATAATTCAATACAGCGCTATGTACCTAGGCACCTAGGTAGGCATTTAGTGAGGAGTGAGGCCGCTTCACTTTGAGTCACTGCAGCAGTTCGCAGTTCGCCGCAAAATTTTGGCGGGGGTGAGATCCGAGGCCCTGCGCGGCTAGTCCTGAAACGTGCAAGTGTGACAGGGGTAGCTGCGATAAGATAGCGACCAACCTGGAGCCCCGCTGCGAGTACGAGTAGGTAGCTCTAACTAGTCCTCACTCCTCCCACTCCTCCCACTCCTCCTCACCCCTTCACTTCCTCTGTTCCTCATTACCTCCGCTTGCCCTCGATACCTGCGGATGAACTCCCATCGCATCCCTCGGAGCGCTCAACAGTTTTGCGGGCTTCCAAAGGCCAGCTGCTAAGTGGAACTTCACCAGGTACGTTGTCAGCCTCGCCGAGCTGCGGCACTCCATTGGCCTGCTAGGCTCCAGTCACCCACACACCTTCCGAGCAGCGCTTCCGACCTTCACCTTCACCTTCACCTTCACCTTCACTTGTGAAGTGAAGACGCTTATATCTTGCAGTGCCCGCCTTCTACAATTCACTCCACCACCGTTCAAGATACGTCGCCGGCCGCTGAGACACCTACTCCTTTCCCTCACCCGAGCCGGAGCCTTGCACACCAAAGCATCTTCAGCAGAGAGCCACCGCGATGACGAACACGGAAGAGTCGGCAAGAGCTCTAAAGATTGAGCTGAGAGCTTTGCACGACGACAGTGGCCTCACAACTCGGAAGCTGAAGCTGCTTCCCAGCTCTTCCCTCCTCATCGCACGCTCGTCACGGAGCAATTCTAAGCAGCTTATTGCCGCCGCCGACAACCTCGTCCTCGACAGTCCTATCGTCTCCAGAGAGCACGCGCGTCTGACCACTGACTCGGACTGCACAACTCTCTTCATCGAAGACCTCGGCTCCATGCACGGCACCAGGGTGAACTACGTGCAACTCGGAAAGCACGTTGCCTACCAGCTGAAGTGTGGTGACAAGCTGCAGATCGGCAACGAAGTCATTCGCGGAGAAGGTGCGTTCCCCTGTGGAGAGGCATTCCAGCACTTTCGACCTGTCTCTCATATGCTAATGCTCCATTCTATTGTTAGAGAGCTTCTCTCCGCCGAGATTCGACATTTCCTACGAGCGCATAGAGACATCGCCATACTCCCGACCAACCTCTAGAAAATTCACTGTCCCAGAGTACGACTCTGATGAAGACGACATTTCCCACAACGAAGAGAGCGGTGGTGAAGACGGGGGTCAGGACTCGCAGTCGTCGCTTCTCGATGAATCTTTTCATGCTGCTATCAGCATCGTGGAGCCTGAGCCACGTAAGTAATCCATGAGTGCTCCGTGTCACTCAGGTCCTTAATATTCGTCCAGTGAAGCGTCTTGGAAGCCAGCAAAATCCGGTCCAGATCGTGGATGATACAGAGGTCATCCACGACAGCATCCTTATCGTTGATGACAATGATGAAGTTCGAGCCGAAGCCCATCGTTCTGGTGACGCGGTATCGGATCAAGCCGAGCATGGAACCACTGGGGTGGCTAGACGACGCCCTCCCATTCTGAACTTGACTACATCGCCTACTGCGGAGGAGTTCTCTTCCGTACCACTAGCAACTCCGAGTTTCGAACACCTCAACCACCTCACTCCTCTTACACCTCGCACATATGCGCTCAGTCCCAAATACACGCCTGTCTCGCCCGGCTCGCCTAGCGAAGACTACATGTACGACTCGGAGAGTGGTGAAACCGACTTTCACCCCGAAGTTGACCAGAACGACCTTGAAGAAGTGACCTCTCGAGCAAGCTCCGACGCTGGTCATCTTGAGGATCTGTTGTCGTCCTCTCTTCGTGGTACGCCGGCCGCGGAGGATGACATGCTCGACGGGCATGAGGACGGTAGTCTCTTTGACACTGATGATGAAGATGCAATTGCTGCTGCTGAGACTGAGGCCGTCTGTCAGAAGTATGACGGCGCAAACACGGAGCAGATGCCACCACGGCTGAAAGTTAGTGATGTGGCAGATAGCTACAAGGATCAACTTTCCGAGGAGCTCGGCACAATGGACGACTGGACTGGGATGCCTTTGCCGTCAACCTCGAAGCTGGTGGCGGGACAAGGACCACTGAATCGGTCGTTTGAAATGCCGTCTAACCCTCCGGCACAGACTCATTCGTTCTATGCCTCCTCCGGCCCACGTGTTTGCAACTTATCCCGCAATCCGCCGGCTCTCCACCCGGACACATTCACGTTCCAAAGCCCAAACAGGGCGAACTATGGACTTTTCCAGCCGCATGCATTCCCTGGTTCTGCAAACGTGTACGACACATGGAACACGCACAACTTCATGCCAAGATATGAGAGCGGGCCGTTCGCGCACGCTGCTCCGCTTCCGACTCCACTACATGGCTTTGCTCACACCAATGCAAATTCTCGATTCCATCCAGGCCCTGAGATCTCTCACCCCAAGCCCAGCAAGACGAAGACTGGGTTTTCTATCCAGGAGATAGTCGACAGCGCTTCAAGCGTAGAGGCTGGCCCACTTGCTGGAACGAAGAGGAAGGCAGATGAGCTTGTTGGAGAGGAGTCCACCGCGTCTGTTCCATCGAACTTCACTACTATAGCTTCCGAGCGTCCCACGCTAGCTGAGCCCGAACAAGAGGCACCGGCGGCGGAGGCTGCATTGATTAACAAGGATGCGGAGGTTCCGGTCGCAGCTCTTCCAACCCTGGCGGCGGTCTCGTCCGAGGTCGCAGTCGTCCAAGAGCGTCCCGCTAAGCGGAGCAGACTGAGCTATGCGGCTACCGCCGTCGCTGGTGCAGTCGTTGGTAGCATCGGTATGTTCGCAGCACTTGCCTTGTCTCCCGAGCTCTAGTCCCGCATGGCAAGGCTTGCGCGACTGAAGATTGCTACTTACGAAGTCATTTGAATGGAAGTTGTTTGGAGAATTGGTTCTGGCTTTCACAAGGAAGGGCACGGAGAGCTAGCAGGACTGGTCATGGCAATCCTTCCTGGAGGCTCAACGCTGGGCTTGACCACATCGTAACACGCTCGACGTCGCCCGATGTTCTGTTTCCAGGTCTACAGGCGGTGGGGGCGGCGCAATATGGGTGGGGTGTAGAAGCGGCAGGATTTCAAGGGCGATGAAAGGTTGCTTTTCTTTGGCTATCCGGTTCACCGTGGATTTGCTAGCATGCTTTGGGAATTTGGCAAGGACTCGCTCAGCGTTGCATAGGTAATGAGCTTAGCGGATACACGCTTCTCCGGGTCTTTAGGTTAATGCAATGCATTCCCCTCTTCGCCATGCTTACCAGTCCAATGTCTTTCGTCTTATCATACCGCCGCAGTATCTTATTGTTTTCGATATTCAACCCCTCTCCCGATCTTGTTCGGTGCTGACATCGCCTTCCTCAAGTGACCTTCTCACCAGCCACTCGACAAAGGAGCCGTTACAGTCAGCCAGCTGGAACTGTGCGACAGGACAGTCCTATCGCCGGGTGTTCCATGCTTGGAGGGCCACCTGGCTGACGCTTCAGAGTGACCTGCCGCATGATCGGTGTGACTCTACTTCAAACATCGCTTCGATTACCTCGCTTAACGGATTTTGCTCCGCAGGAAGACAACGTTCACGCCACACGCTGGCGTCTAGAGGTTCGATGACCGTCGCATTGGGGCAAGCAGCTGTTCCCCTCCATAGCATATTACAAACAATGGAGTGTGTACCTCACGAAATCGTCTCAGCAACGCACCTGAGATACCATCGTACGAAACGTTCCCAGCGCGCCCATCTGCACGTCGTATTCTATCTCACAGGTCGCTTCGTGTTAATGTCAAGCTTGGAATACTTGTAAACCAGTCCCCGAACCCTCCAGAAGCCGGTTATCTCGGCTCTAGGGAAAGCTAATCAGATCACGCATTCACGCAAGGTATGTAACACGGTGGCTTGCTATACGGCTGCCTGTCATGGCATGACTGACACGATGCAGGCAACCCTTCTTTCGGCAGTCGCTGCTTGTCAACGAGTGCTCTCAGTGCCGCAGAGCGCTGTCAATGCCGCAAGTGCTCTTCAACGTTTGGCTGATGTTTACTCGATGTCAGGCACAACATAGCTAGCGCACGGTAGATTCAGCCCAGCCATTGCAATGACCTGACAGCCGCACCACCATGTGGCTATACTACGCCAGGAGTATCGACTACCCCAAACATGCCACAGCCGAAAGCGGAGGACCTTCGCTAAAGTCTGATTCGCTGTCTTTTCGATGCCCGCACAACATCCAGATCGCTATCACCGCTATTTTCAGCTGATGCAGACCCTGTGTTTCAATGTTCATTCCGACCCTAGGGTTGCAAAAGGACTTCGGGACTTTGCACGAGCGTGGCACCTGCCGAGCACGTTCTCTGCGCGGACGTGTCCCCATCCATTCGTCCATCTGCGCTCACATGCGGCAAGGAGCCCGCTCCATCCTGGCCGCAGCATAACCTGGCTGGCCCCCTGCAGTAGTTCATTGCAACAGCATTCCCTATTTTGGACGGCCCACTGGAACCACACGACAACGTGTCTACTGATGTCTCCTCTCGGCTCAGCCAAAACGCGGGGAAGGGACGCTTTCGGGTTCAGCAAGACCTCGGAGACAGGCGTATCTTCCAGAACTTCAGCTCCCGTTGCAGACGGTGATACGAAACTCTATACACCGCTAGGAAATTGACCAAGAAACCATCGTCGATGACGATCCTCTTGGAAGCACGCGGAGAACTCTGGAAGTATAGATGTAATGCGCTACAGCCCGCTACGACAGATGGGACTTCACTCGACACAAATTACTCTAGAAGACAGTCACCGAGAGAACATCTCTATCTTCTCAGCCGTGTCTAAACCATCTCTTTCCCACTTGCGCAATTGGAGCCGACCAAAGCAGCGATAGGCCTCTCAAATCTGTCCTCATCCCTCTAATCAGCCACACAAGCCCGCGATGGCGACTCACTCCCGCTCCACCGCCTATCAAGCAACGGCAAGCGCACTACCTCCCGCACAGCAGCCGCACAGCTGCATCAACGGGCTGTCAATAAGCACCTGTCCCGCCTGCGGCGGCCATCCGCGAGGGTAAGCCTGCACTAACCCCTTCTTCTCGCCAACTCTGAAACTTCCCCCGGCAGACTCTCTTCGTTCCACATCTCAGTTTTCATATACGACACAACGAACTGACAAGGCCTCCTACAGCCTCCGTCCCGGCCACAGCATCTGCACGTGCTGCAAGGGAACAGGTACACTCTACGTGACGTGTGGGATATGCTTTAGTGCCTCGATGGGCTCTTCTTCTGGCAGCTCGTCGGCTGCCAGCTCAAGGGACTCGTCGCCGAGGGATGGAGCGAGGAGGTAGCGGGGCGCTAGACAGGTGTCAACTGGAAGGGTTGGATCAGGGACGGAGCATCCTGGCCGACGCTTGGCCTTTCGTGTACCAGATGTCTGGGCTGCGATGGGGAGTGCATGCGTATCGGAGCCAGCGTTCCTGCTTCACTTGCTATCTGTCACATTTCTTTCTGCGTTCGTGCCAGGCTGGCGCTTGGTCCATTGCTTTCCGTAGCATCATCTTGTAGATGTTCCTAGCATACGACGTATCATTAGCGATAGCATGACTACCATTCCTTCGGGTGACCGCCGCAAAACAAGATTTGTTAGTGTGGACACTAGGGCAAGGCGCAGGGCAACCGCTGCACGACACTCGATCATGCGGGTACCCGAACAGCTGGCTGCTATATGGCCGGCTGCTAATCCGAATAGGCTGGACTGCGGGAGCCCTTCCGATGTTGCGAGTTGCGAGTACCCAACCACCCACTGTGAACAGACACAGACAACAGTGTTTGCGGCCGAGTCGAGCGAAGGTGCCAGGAGTGATAGGGGGGGGTGGGCGCATGATGCGGTCTCTCGCATCGGGCTAGGTGGACGAGACCTAGCTTCGCATCGGCTGCTTCCGAGGACCCCCGGCAGGAGCTGGCCCCGGTAAGCATACCAGCAAACAGCTAGAACCCCGGAGTACACCGTGATCAGCACAGGACTAGTCACATGCTGCCTAGCGTGCCAGCTCATGGGCCTTGGAGGATGCTGCCGATGGACGCTCGCGATCCCAGCCTTGAGACCACAGACTACCTATGCAGGCGTGAGCGGGTTCCTACGTACCAGCATCTCAACTCAGAAAGGAACTGCTGCAGGGAGCCAGTTTCTGCCTCCTTCCAGAGTGGATCAAGGCGCGCAGAGAGTGCGTGGCCATTAGATGCTGGATAGAGACTTGCCATCAGAAGGCTCCATACGCGAGTATCAAGTTGTGAAGCAGGTTTATGACAGCTTGCCACAAGCGGGTAACTGCGCTGCGCAACTGCCCGATCGGAAGGGAAAGTGAAGATGTGATCTGTTTGGTCGAGCTCGAAAATGTACGGCCAACAAGAGGCTGAGGGAGTGATCGAGAGCGACCTTCAGCTTGGTGACTGATAGAGTACCATCCCTTGCCAATTTCTTGGGACGTGATGCATTAGTACGGGATTGTTAGCAACGTGAGAAGATACACGGGGAGCTTTGGCGGGGCTGCAAACACTGCCGAGTCCTCGAAGCATTCGAGAATCCTTCGAGTTGCGATCCTCTAGCAACATAGGGTCTCTTGGCACTGCGCCCTGCCGCCAGTGATGGCTTCTCTCAGACACTGACAATGGGCGCAGCTGTTTGTACTTCCTGTCAGGCATCTGTTGGTGACGTTTGGAGGACATGGACCCGAAGCTGCCGTGAAGCCACTCAACGGTTTTCAGCTCCCTGGCGGATTTGTTCTATTCAGTTGTCAGTTGGTGACTTGACGAAGAAGCTGATGCGCTAAATGATCTGTTTGAAACAATTATAGCATAATCACAATCACCTCATCCTGTACTTTTGTGCCAACCGTCCCTCCAGGGCAGGTCGTTCCGCTTCCGCATGCGGCGTACTAATGCTGGTAGAACGTCGCGCGTCAGCGTTTCCGGACCACCAGTACTGCAGAGTAGCAGCAACGCTACTGGCAGATAATACCAGCAGCAAGATCGACCGTGAAGAGCGTAAGGGCTCCAGCGTAACAATGCAGATCGAGAAAGGCGAAACTGACGTCGACTATATTGAGTACTTTACCAGCGGGGTCTTGATCAAGGTGATGCTTAAGGATAATCAGGTGTCCTACGGAGAGCGCAGACGCCATCGGGTCCGTAAGGATAAGGTCTGCTCCGCAGAACGACGCGAAGGGGGGGTTGCAGGGGCGCAAGACCGCGGGGCAGGAAAGATAAGGGAGACAGGGGCAGAGACAGGAACAGGAACAGAGGCGGAAGGACCGCTGCGGCATTCTACGCAGACACCGTTGCTACCGTATTCAGAAGTCGCAGAACAACTCCGACTTACGAAATAGTATGACTTTCTGCGGCAGCTTTCTGGCCTCAGCGGTTGTACTAGCTTCCGCTACTGTTCTTGCACTTTTGCTTTCCGACCCGCACGGTTGTGCTGTTTCATGCCAAAACGTTCGTGCAGGTCTGGGTTTTTTGTAAACACCACACAGCCAGTGCTGACATAGCACAAGCCTGGGTAGTCCACTCAGAACTGCACTGCTGGAAGTTTACTTTAATAAGGAATCTCCGGTCCGGTTGCGAGTCGATCTACAAAATCTATGAAATGCTAGAGATCGTGAAATTTTGGAGAACTCGGGTAAGGGCGTCTTCATGAAGCGGGCAAGTTGGATTCACGAGGAATGACAGTAATGAGCCTGAAGTTTAGCACAGACGTGTAACCTAGTGCACTCAGCTCGATGTGGTGGATTGTTGAAGAATTGTGCAACTAGAGAGCAAGTATGGAAACAAGATAGAAGAGTACTGCACCTCCCTGCGGCATCCTTCAAATTCCATCGAAAACGTCCGGAAAACTCCGCGTAGCACTAGGTTCCGGAAGAAGTGTTCCAGCGCAAAGGCCATCCTGTCTAGTCCCCAAGCCTACGACAGTTGTTAGAAGGTAACATTCTACCGATGAATAGCCAAAGTTCATACCTATAGCTGACGAGTGTGTCTACTCTGTGATTACTGGTACTGAAACTCCTCAACTGCACCTTCTCACCATTCTTGATCTCCTTGGCATCGCTATCGCCCCACTCAACAGGCACATCTGAGTCTGCATCTGCGTAGACGAGGACGTTGAAGGTGCAGTTTCCATCTAGCATCGGCAGAAATGTTACAGAAGCCGTGATCTGCCGGAAGATGGACTGTATTTCGGACTGTATCTCTTGCTCGGTTTTCTCTGGTGGTGCGTCGGCGATGCTTTGCAGTGTCAGTGCCGCATTCAGCCCCGTCAGTATAACGCTGAGATGTGCATGACCTACCCTCGAGCGGAGTTCTCCTTATCGGCCGCCGTTCTGGATGATTTGCTTTTCGCCGACTTATCGAATATTTGTACCTTATTTTGTCAGAATGCAACAGCATTTCACGTCGAAGAGCTCCCTACATCGAACTGCCACCTTTCAACATGCTCACCCGAATCCTTGTCGGTGATCACTATCACAAGTTTGGAGATCTTGCTACCTTGCATCCACTTGCTGAGCTGAGACATGATTTTTTTGATGTAGGCCTTGACCTGGTCGTCTGCGGTCACCATCATGGTCAAGCCATATTTCTTGACAGCCGTGAAGTCCTCAGCGGGGTATACGCCCCGCTGGAAGAGGATTGTGTTAATGGAGTAGTCAAAGAATTCGGAGACAATCTTAGACGACCCCTTTAACGACAGTTTGTGGACCTTGGACTTGTCTTTCTCGGATGACATATTGACGGAAGATTTTGGATTTGAATGTGGATGTTCTTGCTCACGTCTCTTGGGATGGGCCTCCATATTGGCCAGGCGTTGGCTCGGTAACGGTTTCTTACAGATGCGGCTCTGACACAACGCCGCTCCCGCCGAGAGCTTGATGGAAAGGTCTCGATATGGGGATCACATCCAGCCGTCCGGAGGGACTCTTGCATATGCAGCATTCCACAATACTAGTAGCATCGCCAGGTGTCCGGGACGCGGAGGAGGAAGGTCGATTGCGGAGCGGAAGAAGCCGAGGCCAATGTCCAGAAAAGTTTCAGCAGCATCACCGCCTCCCTCGCACCATGAGATGAGCCGACGACAACGAACTCATGCGACAATGGACGAGAACTGCGCACGCCTTTCTCCAGACATGCCGTGCGGGCTCTCGGCGTCTGCTCCCACCACCAGCTAGCACATCGCCCGCACTCGGCCTTCGAGCCTTTCGAACCACTCCCACTCCCTTTCGACCTGCCCAAGCCACAAGAGCCGAGCTCGAGAAGCGCATCGCCGACATACCCATCGAACGCTTCCGCAACTTCTGCATCGTAGCACACGTCGACCATGGCAAGAGCACGCTCAGCGACCGCCTGCTCGAGCTCACGGGCACCATCGAGCCCGGCGGCAACAAGCAGATCCTCGACAAGCTCGACGTGGAGCGCGAGAGAGGCATCACGGTCAAAGCACAGACATGTACGATGATATACAATTACAAGGGGGAAGACTATCTATTGCATCTGGTGGACACTCCTGGCCATGTCGACTTCCGCGCTGAGGTCTCGAGGAGCTACGCCAGCTGCGGAGGAGCGCTGTTACTCGTTGATGCGAGCCAAGGCGTACAAGCGCAGACTGTCGCGAACTTCTACCTGGCATTTTCGCAGGGTCTGGAGTTGGTGCCTGTCATCAACAAGGTGGACCTGCCCTCCGCGGACCCGCAACGAGCGCTTGAGCAGATGAAGAATACATTCGAACTGGACACGGAGAAGGCAGTGCTGGTATCGGCAAAGACTGGACTGAACGTCGAGGCTATCCTTCCGAGTGTCGTCGAGCAGATCCCCGCGCCTGTTGGTGATCATACAGCGCCGCTTCGCCTCCTGCTGGTGGATTCGTGGTACTCGAACTACAAGGGTGTCATCCTGCTGGTCCGCATATTCGAGGGCCAGGTCAAGGCGGGGGATCACATTCGATCGTTTGCGACAGGCTTGAAATATACTGTGGGCGAAGTTGGCATGATGTACCCAGATCAGACCCCGCTGTCGGTACTGCGCGCCGGTCAAGTCGGCTACATCTACTTCAATCCAGGCATGAAGCGGTCACAGGAAGCCAAGGTTGGCGACACCTATACTACTGTCGGCTCTGAAAAACTCGTAGAGCCCCTACCCGGCTTCGAGGAACCTAAGTCAATGGTTTTCGTTGCCGCTTTTCCAGTCGACCAAAGCGACTACGAACATCTCGAAGACAGCATCAATCAGATAGTCCTCAACGACCGCAGTGTCACAGTTCAAAAAGAGTCCTCCGAGGCCCTCGGCGCCGGCTGGCGTCTAGGCTTCTTAGGCACCCTCCACTGCTCCGTCTTCGAAGACCGCCTCCGCCAAGAACACGGCGCCAGCATCATCATCACACCTCCCAACGTCCCCTGCAAAGTGATCTGGCGCGACGGCACCGAAACCATCATCACGAACCCCGCCGACTTCCCTGACGACGGTTCCGTGCACATGAAAGTCGCCGAGCTGCAGGAGCCCTACGTCTCAGCGACCATCACGCTGCCGGAAGAGTACATCGGCAAGGTCATCGAGTTGTGCGAGGCGAACCGCGGCGAACAGAAGGAACTTAGCTTCTTCACCGCCACGCAGGTGATTCTTAAATACGAGATCCCGCTCGCGCACCTGGTTGACGACTTTTTTGGCAAGCTCAAGGGCGCTACAAAGGGCTATGCTTCGCTGGACTACGAGGAGGCGGCTTGGCGTCGCTCGAACATCACGAAGCTTCAGCTGCTTGTTAATAAAGCCCCCGTCGATGCCGTCGCGCGCATAGTACATACCTCGCAGATCGAGCGGCTTGGGCGCGCTTGGGTCACAAAGTTCAAGGAGCATGTAGATAGGCAGATGTTCGAGGTGGTGATCCAGGCCGCGGCTGGGAGGAGGGTAGTGGCGCGCGAGACGCTCAAGCCGTTCAGGAAGGATGTACTGGCCAAGCTGCATGCGAGCGACGTGTCGCGGAGAAAGAAGCTCTTGGAGAAGCAGAAGGATGGGAAGAAGAAGATGAGGGCTGTGGGGAACATCGCGATTGATCAGAAGGCATTTCAGGCGTTTTTGGCAAAGTGAGGGACGGCTTATGGCGCTCTGGTTGGAGGTGTATCGTTTCATGGAGAGAGCTCTTGGGCTGTACAGCAGCAATGGCATCCACGCACTTTGAGCTGTCCTTCTAAGCGGCTTCGTGTGTGGTGCTCTTGCATTCTAGTACTGGTCAACTTGTAGAGCATAGCGCGGGGGCAGTGCCAAGCCAGCTTCGGCGCGCAGGAATATATCTCCTTTGCGTAGACAACACTGCTGACATCCAAGCTGGCACAGACGGAAGCGTCGAGCGGTTGACTTCAAGCAGTGGAACTCTGCATCACCTGTGGAGTAGTCTCTCAAGACTGAGCCTTATGATGGATGTGACGTGATGCCAGACCGCCTGCGGTTGTCGCGCATGCCGATGATCAGCTCCTGGCAATATATTGAATTCGCAGAAAAGGGCCTTTGAATACGAGCAGAGGTCAGCTGTCTGTCTATCACGACATTAGCGTGACAACCATAAGGGAGGGGCAGCGAGGCCACGAGAGGCTGAGGGGCAGCCACTATCTCGGAGAGAGGAACGGGGGGCGCCGTGATCCGGGAACTTCATAGGCAGTGCTCTAAACCCATTTCTCGGTTCAGTAAGGTCTATTAATAGCAGCGAGCCTCAACGCCCTGCGCAGTTGCATCTGCCTGTCATCACGCTGTAAGGCTGAGGGCCAGCAGATTGCGCATGAAGACGACAATCATTGTTATTGGATGCTGATTCAAATGACCCAATGCAGCCACAGATGGTCTAAACTCCGATGACGCGATGCTCCAAACCAACAACGATGCAACAGCGCCCCCAAAATCCAACATGCCTCTATACAATTACCAGGTCCCCTAGCAAAATCTACGATCTCCCGTCTCGTCTTACGGATACAGAAACCTCAGCCACCCGCCCAGTGACCCAAGCCCAGTCATCGGCCTCACCGATACCAGTTCCCAGGCGCATCGCCCAGGCACTCGCCAACCGTCACACCTACACCAGGCAAAAGTCAGCCGCAGCTCGCCACACGACGCCCAGAAATCAGCAACTCACCTCTAAGCCCCTTCTCGTTGACATAGTTGACCATCTCCTGTGTCAACACCTTTGCCGTCCACGGATGGATGTCATGCGCGAGCGACAACCTGCCGCCCGCATCCACCTGCTCCTTGAACATGCGCACGCTCTCCCAGATGAGGTCTTCCTCCTGGTGCGCGTAGTCCTTAGTGTCGACGTCGCACTGGATGATGTAGTAGCCCATTTCGCCGAGCTGCTGGACCACGTGTTGCGGAGAGTCGAAGTACGGCGCCCGCATGTAGGTTGGCGATTTGCCGGTTATGGACTCCAGGGCTGTGTCCAAGTGCTGCATCTCGTCTGTGATCTGGTCGCGGCTGAGAGAGGAGAGGAACGGGTGGGACCAGCTGCAAGGGGGGTGTTAGCTGGGGGAGGGGGCGGAGATTCATGCGTAGGTGAGGGGATAGTACAGGAGGGGAGATTGCGCTGTGAGCTCGTCTGCGAGACTTACGTATGCGATGCCACTTGGTGCCCCGAGTTCATCATCCGCTGCACAGTAGGCTGGTAGTCGTAGATGCTCGCCATGTTCTGGCCGTTGACGAAAAAAGTGCCCTTTACGCCGCCAGCATCGAGAATGTCGAGGATCTGGTTGGTATGCTGGTAGGGCCCATCGTCGAACGTCAACGCCACGGTACCAGGCGTGGTGCAGTGGTAGATGATCTCCCCAACAGGAGCAGCGGAAGTGTGCCAGGAAGGGGGCGTAGGCGTTGGGTCGTCGCTGGTCGGAAGGGCAGCCGCGAGCCCGGTGGCGGCGATGAGCCAGGCGGCGATGAAGCAGAGCAGACGAGCGAGTATAGCCATGTCTGTTGTGGAGAAAAGAGGATTGAGAAGGTGAGGGAGGGAAAGAAGACGTGAATCGAAAGTCTTATGCTATATATAAATGTCACGAAGTGGGTCGGGTGTTGCTCCGTATCACCTTCCTTGATAGATCAATCACACGATACTGTGCAGCAACGACGGTGATCGGCTGCTCTTTCCTCGTATGTGGGCTTTGGTGGGGTTAAAAGAATGGATACCACGCGGGCAAGTGTTACTTTTATATTAAAGGATGTGGGTGTTGCGTTAAACTTCCGGTAGCGAATGGGTCGGAACCAGAGTTCAGGCATCAATAGAAATCGCGCTGGTTGGAGAAAATGGTAAATGGGTAGATCAGCTAAGCGCTGAATGCTTAGCTGCGGCGCAGGTGGCCTTTAGGAGCCACGGTAACTGTCAGCGTTGTTGAAGCCACCAAGGTACGGAAGACCTTGCTGTCTGCGGACAGGAGATAGTGTTCATGGAAAGCCCTGTAGAGAACCTCACTTTCGAGTGTCGGAACTACAATCGACTATGACACAAGGCAGAACACATGTTCCGGATCCTTTGTTGGCCTCTGACCTGGCTCCAGCATCCCTCGGTGCAGCTTACCGGTTCTCCATGTCATTGTGGTCGGCGCCCCGTACAGCAGAAAACGACTCGACGTGGACGTTAAGGTCTACAGCGCCGCTAATGAGCTGGGAAGAACGATGCGAGGTCGCCAGGCATACAATGTGACGCATTTCGGTGATCAAGTCATTTAGAAGGTGATACGCAGGATGCAAGGAAGGATAGCGTTGCATTAGCCACAAGACTCAGAAACTCGGTCAACGGATCTCTGTACTGAGAATGATCAGCTTGCAGCGGAGCGCACGAGAAACTGTGATAAGCAACAACCAAGGGTCAGCGTTGATCCTGGCTAGCTTCGGGACAGAGTGTCCCACCTGGGCAGGCATTCCTTGCTGACAAAGCGCTTCGGTGCCGAAGCAGGCCTTCTCCGCAGCAGAAATCTATGGATAGAACGATAGAACTTCAGGAACTGTAGCTAGCGGAACGGACCCAGGACTGCAGCGCTGATCTCCGAAGGAGCCGCTTAGGATATCGTTCCACAGCTCTTGCTCAGAGCTAAATCTTGCAAGTCTTGGCGCTTGTATTGGAGCCCCCCTCCTCGTTTAAGCTGTCGCAGACGAAAGCTACTGCTTTCTCTGCCATGGCTGCGGTCATTTCGTGGCCTGCACCGTCGAATACGATGTCCTCCAGCTCGCAGCACCCAGTCCGACTTATCTCGTTCTTCAGGTAATCGAGAAACGTCACCCCGCAACTGTATGGCACCAGCTTGTCCGCTCCGCCGCTCATGTTAAGCAACCGCTTTCCTCCCAGTCTTTCCCTCAAGAGTGTCTGCTTCAAAGCAGTATCTCTGTCGCCATCCTGAGTGTGGTTGGGGTTTGGCAGCGGTAGCAGGAGACCTGCCGGATCGAATTGTCCGACACTTTCGACAAGCGCGGGCGGAAAGTCTGCAGACCCGATGAACCGAGAGCCTGGGGGCGATGAGGATGTCCAGGAGTGCAGCCTCGACTTCTCAGCGCGGTGCTGCATCAGGCGGGTATAATCAGGACAGCCGATTACAACGACGCCGGTCGTGATGCGCGGATCGGAGAGGAGACAGTGCCAGACAGAATGGCCGCCCAGAGAGATGCCGAGGGCGAGGTGAGTCGTTACGGTGAGATGAAGCGGAAGATAAGCGGGCAAGTAAGACAGGAGATGCGAAGTGTCGACTGCTGTGCCATGGTAAATAGAGAACATGTCCTGCGCATGGCGCGGGTTGCCGCCCCTCCAGGCTTCATTGGCGACTTTGTCCACTTGCCTTGAGCCGTGGTTACGCTGGTCGAACCCTACAGCGATGAGGCCCTTGGGTGATGGCCCAGCGCGGCCATCTCTTATCCGATTGTTCCACTGGATGATTGTTCGCGCTGCAACCGGGGCCATGCATTCTTGGGTCTGGAGGCGGGGGTGAAGCAGCCAGAGGCAGGCCACCTCTTGCGTGTCTCGAGATAGCTCATCGAGGCCATAGACGGTTGTAAGTATGCCGGCGATGTGGTATGTTTGCTTCGAGATAGAGGAGGGATGGGAGCTGCCGTGTGTTTTCTCGAGTGGATTCGGTGTAGCCATTGGGAGCTCAGCAGCAGTAGAGTGTTCAGGTGGGAAACAGGAGGAACAGCAGACGGAGCTGCACTAAATGCGAATACACCCGTTTTGCGCCGTCGAGGATGTAGGTGTGTACTGAATCCATTTCGAGGTATGGGTGTCTGTACTTCAACACCTTGAGTGATCATCACTGCCTCGGCCAATTCCCCGCGCCATAAGAGTGCTCCAGAGTCACGTGCCGTGGTCTGTGGCTAGTACTCTGCGGCTCCCCGGTTGATGATCTGCGTCGATCATCTACCGCCGCAATCTCTCCGACACTGCCCCCCCCCCCCCCACCCCGAAACCACCTCCAATCCCAAAGTAATCCTTACGATCGAACGTCCTCCCCACCCAAGGCTTCTTTCCAGCTTCTTTCCAGCCTCTTTCCAGCCCCTCAAAGTCTGCCCACATCCTCAATAGCCACTCACGTCCAGGCCGCTTCCCCCTTTGGAGCCGAACGCCAACTCACGTCAGCCTGCATGCCTTCTATACACTCATAGTACGTCGAGTGCGAAGGGCGCACAGCGCCTAAGGGAGCTGCCCGAGCGGGCACCGCTCTGCTACCTCATCAACCAAGTCGGGCGCAGCCGTACCCATCCTCGCTTGCAATGGCCGAATATTCCGACAGCGTCTCTCCGTTCACTCGTAGTCCGCACGAAAGCCCGCGCTCTGCTTCTCCGAACAATACCAAGATGGACTCTCTCGCGACCCGTGACGCCCATGTGCGCGTGCAATCGCCCTTGCGGACAGAACAGAGAGCAAACGGGTCAATATCGTCCTCGACTGTACCCAACGGGGAGCCTGTAAGGTCCAATTACGCTGCTTCGGGAACCGGGGGTTTCCCATTCAATGCGCCTCCTGGTGCGGTTGGAGAAACCCCGACCAACGAGCTCGTAGCACCAAGCGGCAGCGGCGCTGCTACGCCCCGCGATGCAGTATCAGACCTTCCTCCAAACGGTCCGATCTCCCGGAAAGCCACGAGCGAATTCGGCGTGCCTACGCCTCGTCGCAGCGTGCAGTTTGCCCGATCCTCCACTCAGGAGAATGCGCCGTCATCCCATTCTCACCCCCACTCCAGACAGCAGTCATGGGATCCGGAGGATGGAGAGCCGCCTACAGTTGGGAGGCATGGGAGCTCGCTCTTTTCGAAGCTAAAGGCACTGGCAACGCCCACGTCTTTACATAGTCATGGGCGGAGCACGAGCGGCTGGATGGCCGGAGATTCGGCAGCGGACGAGAGCACAAATCAGACGCCCACGGGCCCGCGCTCTCCAGACTCAGAACGACTCGAGCCGCGTTACGATTACAGCAGTGAAGCGGATGCGGATGCGGACGCCGAGGAAAGCCCTGCGGAAGGTGCGTCAGGCAGGCCTCCTCGAAGGAGAAGGAAGGGCCGCCGACTGCCTGATGGAGGAATTCAAACTGCGCCCACTACGCCAAAGGCTCTACCAAGCTTTCTCAACGACTCGCCGGGTAATACACCCACTTCCCCCATGGGGCAAAGACCCGCTTTCATGTCAAGGCACTCAACCTTGGAGAACCTACCTGAACACCATAGACAAGGATTTTCCGAGGACGAAGGTCGCGACCGGTTAGAAGGTGGTTGGAGAAGAGGATTCTCTCATCGTGGACTCACTCACAGCGGTCATCGATACCACGACAGCGAAGGGACACCGGACAACAGAAGACCAAGCAACTTCCGACGCATAACAGGCTTTGGTGGCCATCATGGTGATGAGGCATCTCCATCGACATGGCGACGCAACATTGGAGAGCGAGCAACAAGCGTAAGCGCGCAGAAGTGGCGTTCGATGAAGAATGCTCTCAGACTGCTTGGTAGGCAAAGAAAAGAAGACAAGGTTGACCACGCCAAATCTGCGGAGCTACTTGCTGAGCTTCTCGCTGGAGCGCCTGCGGCACTCTTTCTTGCAAGCAACTTCCAGAGGGATGAGCATGGTCGGAAGAGAGTGCCAGTATTACTCGAGCAGCTCAAGGTTCGCATTACTGATAGTGCTCGCACCGATCCAAGGGGCAAAGAAAAGCAGCCGGTCTTCCGCATTGAGCTTGAGTATGGCAGCGGCATTACCCGGATGAAGTGGGTCATTAATCGCTCCGCCCGCGACTTTACGAACCTGCACCTGAAGTACAAGGTGCAGAGCAGCCAAGAGAAGTACCTCAAGTTCAACACGGACGATCCTGGTCGCACCAGACTGCCTCGTTTTCCTAAGAGTGTTGCTCGAGACTATGTACCGGGCGTCCTCGGAAGCTTCGGCGACGATGATGATGAAGAGGAAGACGAAGCCAATGCCGACCCCACAGATGGAGATGACACTGAACGACCTGGCAAAGGCAAGAGGCGGCGCTCATCTTTCGGTTTCTCCAGAAGGAAGTCTAGCACAACAGGGCCTTCAGCAGGCGGCGCGAACGGTGGACTTACAGGACGGGCAGGGAGCATTGTCGGAACAGGCGCTTCAAGCAACCGGAAAGAAACTGTTCAAGAGCGGCAACGGAAAAAACTCGAGCTATACCTTACGCAGTTGATCACGTCCTTGATCCTCCGGCCCGACGCCAATCGACTGTGCAAGTTTCTCGAGATTTCCGCTCTAGGTGTCCGCTTGGCCGCTGAGAACAGCTACCATGGCAAGGAAGGATCTCTGATGATTAGCACTGGCAAGGGTGTTGACTTCCGCAGGGCATGGAGACCCGAGCTCATGAAAGCACGACATCAGCCGAAGTGGTTCCTCGTGAGAGACAATTACATTGCCTGCGTCGATTCGCCAGAGGAAATGAACATCTATGATGTCTTTCTTGTGGATCAGGACTTTACCATCGAAGCAGAAAAACGACTCAGAGACATGCGTGATCAAAGTGGGAGAGATATAGCCAGGAAAGCAAAGACCTCCGCGGCGCATCCTAAGCATCATCGTCTGACGATAACCAATTCGGAGCGGACGGTCAAACTGCTAGCCAAGAACGAGCGCATCCTGCACCAATTCGAAGACTCCATCACCATAATGCACAATTTAACCAGCTGGTCCAAGCCCCACAGATTTGATAGCTTTGCTCCTGTCAGACAGAACGTCTTCGCTCGGTGGCTAGTCGATGGCCGAGACTACATGTGGAATGTCTCACGTGCAATTGAGATGGCACAGGATGTGATCTACATTCATGACTGGTGGTTAAGCCCCGAACTTTATATGCGACGGCCTGCTGCCATTAGCCAGAAGTGGAGGCTTGACAGATTATTGCAGCGGAAAGCGCAAGAAGGGGTCAAGATTTTCGTCATCATATATCGCAACATCAACACCGCCATCCCCATTGACTCCGAATATACAAAATTCTCTCTGCTGGACCTGCATCCCAACGTTTTTGTACAAAGATCGCCCAACCAGCTCCGCCAGAATACCTTTTTCTGGGCACATCATGAGAAGATATGCGTTGTGGATCATACGATTGCATTCTGCGGTGGTATAGATCTGTGTTTCGGGAGATGGGACACTCCGGACCACTCCTTAACCGATGACAAACTGACCGGCTTCGAACTCAACGACGTGCCGAAGGACTCGGAACACTGCCAGAATTGGCCGGGCAAGGACTATTCCAATCCCAGAGTGCAAGACTTCTACGCTCTAGACAAACCTTACGAGGAGATGTATGACAGAACCAAGGTCCCACGCATGCCGTGGCACGATATCGCCATGCAAATCGTAGGTCAGCCAGCAAGGGACTTGACTAGACATTTCGTACAGCGATGGAACTTCATCCTACGTCAGCGCAAGCCATCGCGTCCAACGCCGTTCCTCCTTCCGCCCCCGGACTTTCTTGAGGGCGAGCTGAAAACGCTGGGGCTTGACGGCACCTGCGAAGTTCAGGTCTTGCGATCAGCCGCCTCTTGGTCGATCGGCACGCCAAACAGGGTCGAATGCAGTATTCACAACGCATACATCAAAATGATCGAGACTTCGGATCACTTCGTCTACATCGAGAACCAGTTCTTCATAAGCAGCTGTGAGGTTGAAGGCGTGAAGATCGAGAACAAGATTGGCGATGCGCTTGTTGAGCGGATCAAGAGGGCACACGAGGACCAGGAGGACTGGCGGGCTATTGTCATTATCCCACTCATGCCTGGCTTCCAGAACACGGTCGACCAGCAAGACGGCAGCAGCGTCCGCTTAATAATGACATGCCAGTATCGCAGCATCTGCCGAGGCGAGACGTCAATCTTCGGGCGCCTGCGAGCGGTGGGTATTGAGCCGGAAGACTACATCCAATTCTACGCTCTGCGCTCGTGGGGCAAGATTGGCCCAAACAAAGCTCTTGTGACAGAACAGCTGTACATACACGCCAAGTGCATGATCGTTGACGACCGCGTCGCCATTATCGGCTCGGCAAACATCAACGAGCGCTCCATGCTCGGCGGTCGAGACTCCGAGGTTGCAGCTGTTGTCCGAGACCACGCAATGGTTCCATCTGTCATGGCGGGTGAAGCTTACAAGGTCGGAGTCTTCCCCCATACACTGCGTATGCGCCTGATGCGTGAGCATCTTGGCTTTGAAGTCGATGAGTTGGAAGCCGACAGCGTAAGCGGGAGGCGAGACCGGCGTACGTCAGACGCTGCTTACGAAAGCGACAACTCCATGCCGGTTCCAGATCACGTCACGGAGCAGAAGCTCGCCGATGCGAAGCACAGGTGGCAGGATGAACTTCTGGCTAGGAACGAGAGAATGCATTCGTTCAATCACGACGTTGACTGGGAAGAAGAGAACAATCCGAACCTCATGAGCAACAAGAGACCCACGGCAGACGCTCGCGTTACTAAAAACCCAGCGCACGAGGCTGATGTTGCCGGGCTTGGAGTAGACCGCATGGTCGAGCACATCGGTGTCGATGACCTTGGCAGGGATTCAACTGTATTGCCCAGCGGCCGTGAGGTTTTGGTCTCGGATGTCGCTGCTGAAGGCAAGGGCACAATCGTCTCACCCAGCAAAGGCAAGCAGAAAGGACGGGCTAGAGCCAAATCCGCGGCAACGAAAGCAAGCGCTGCTTCCTCCGATCCTTCAGTAATCGGCAATACCGGCTTGCCTCCCGCCCGGATTCCCCGTATGGACACGCAGGCTCTCGGTCTAACACTGCTCTCCCAATTGCCGGCCCTACCAGTGCTGGATGATACGGATATTGGCGGTCCACCACTGCACCGGACGTTCAGTTCGACAAGCAGCAAGATCATCCATCCGTTCTTAACGGACATGAAGAGGCCGGTTGTTACTCCTGACTGCATGCGTGACCCACTCAACGACTCCTTCTTCATCGACACGTGGCAAGCCATTGCCGAGAACAACACGAAGATCTTCCGCCAAGTGTTCAGATGCATGCCAGACAACGAAGTCAAGACATGGAAGGAGTACAAGGAGTACGCTGCGTTCGCCGAGCGCTTCTCAAGGGCGCAAGGCCAAGGCAAGAGCATGGAAAGGCGAGAGCAGGAAGCACATGGCAAGACGGGACCACCTGGTACAGGCACGTTGAAGGTGGTTGGTCATATGGGCGAGAAGGCTGGACAGCTGGGCGACGGTGTTCAGGTGCTATTCGAGAAAACGGCGAGCAGAGACAGCGAGAAGCAGGACAAGCACATGGGTTCGGTGGCGCAATGGGCAGATGAGCAGGAGAAGTCGAGCCGAGAGGGAACTGCCCACGGGCCCAGTGACACTTCCAACAGGATATGGGACGAGAAAGCGGCGCTGAAGGCAGAAGACATGACCCCACCGACGACCGCTCAGCTCACCACTGCAGCTACAGCCCCAGCATCTTCGCCGATGCCACCGTTTATCCCAGAGGCCGCCGTTACCGTCCCCACCAATGACCTACCCGCGCACGGTGCCACCAGCGAAAAACTCAATGTCCGCCGCCCTCGCACCGTGACCTACTCCTCTGATATCCCTCCACCCGGCGCTCAGATATCTACACCTGATATCCCTTCCACGACGTTCAAGAATACGAACAAAGGTAAGGGCAGCACGAAGCGACGACGCCGCGCCACCACAAAGAGTTCCACAAGGCAGTTCCACGCAAACGACGACAATATCTTATTGGACAAACACGATGCGGAGACACTGCTTGAGCTTGTGCAGGGCAACCTGGTTGTGTGGCCATATGACTGGTGAGTTCTATTTGCGGTTAATTTCTATGTAATACGTAGATATACTAATGTAAATACAGGCTAGAGAAGGAAGAGAGGGGCGGTGGGTGGATGTATGCTGTTGATCAGCTCGCGCCGCTGGAAATCTACGATTAGAGCCCTCGATTCACTCTGTCGTTATTTATTACCCACATTACATTTGTAAGATAATACTGCTTTGCGTTTTGGCATGGGAGCATAGCGTATTGGTTCACCCCTTTATATATACCTCTTTCTGATCTCGCACTGTACGTTCTCTTTGGTTGCTTAGATTAGGATACCGCATTGATTGTGGCCTGGTTAGAGAAGTCTGGCGTTCGGTTATTAGGCATGGGCTCGGAATTCTTAAAGTCCCCTTAACCTTTCGTATGTCACAGTCTCGCTGTTGTAGATGGCATGAAGTATTAGTCAAACCACGAGTTTTGCTTCCGATTCGGATTTACTAGCTTTGCAACTCGCAGGTATTGTACAGAATCCAGGCGAGAAGCTGTTCCCGCCATCCTGACTGCAAGGCAGTCATTTTTGTCCAAGTGCTGTCCTCCAAAATCCAATCCTAAGCCAACATGTCCCAGCCGTGCCAAAGCCTCCATTCACTCACGAGGTTTTCCAAGCGCGCCCATCCATCTCACACATCGTAGAGCTTTTCGCGAATCCATTGCTGATCATGCACCAGGATTACCCTCTGCCAGACCCGGCCCCTCAATAAGCCTAGCACTCTGCCTAACACTCCGCCTCGGTTTCTGCTTTGCAGGCTCGGCGACGCTCTCATCGTGATCTGCATCGGCGCCAGACTTCTTTCCCTTCGCCCTAGCTGACTTGGAAGTAGCTGTACCCTTCTTCCCACCTATCCCTTTCGGTTTTGTCTGAATCCCCGACTGCACTTCGCCCGCTTCGCCCGCTTCGACGTCCGCCTCCGCCTCCGCTTCCGCTTCCACGCCAGACTCTTGAAGAGCAGCTGGAGTCCCCTCACCCCTGACAGTAACCCGAGCCTTCTTCCTCATAGCATTCGCGCGCCTCGTCTCCCAGCCCCTCCTCTGCGATGCTCCGCTATTGACTTGAGCGGGCGAGAGTACACCCGATCTGGCCCGGGACGGTGGAGTGGTTGCTACGGCAGGCAGGTCTGGCGGTACTTTGCGGCCGGCTGAGGGCGTCGCCGTATCCGAACCCCTACCGCGGCCAGCCTGGTTGCGGGCAGCTCCTGCAGCTGTGGTTGGCTTCGTTACCCTGCCCCGTCCGTGCCCGCTGCCACGGCCTCGAGCGGAAGTTGTCTGCGGTAACTTCTCGGCGCTTGGTTGAGTGTTTTCGACGGCTGAGGAGAGGGAGTCAATGGCGTCCGTGATGGCACTGCGGATGCTTGTCTTCTCGATACTCGACGGGACGTCAGAAAGAGGGCTCGATACTGATAGGTTCCCTACTTCACCCGAAGCGCTCTTTCGTTCTTCCCTATTACGCTCGACATCATCGTCCCTAACTGCGGGCTCCTTATCAGCCTGCTTGCTCGTCGGTGGCTCAAACGCTGGAGCCACAGCCTTTGTGCCACTCAAAGGGCTCTCATCTGCGTCGTAGAACACTTCTTCATCAGATGTCCGTGGCCTGATATGCGAAGGCGAAGACGAAGTGCCAGTAGCATAGCGAATTTTTTCAGATACAGCAGCCTGTAGCGTTCCTGTAGAGTACAGTACTCCCGTGCGATTGCCAGGGGCCGCACGGGTTTTCGGGGTAGACTGCGGTCCGGCTGGTGAACTTGCCCTGCGCTTCGTTCGCGCATCGGGTGTAAGAGAGTGTAAAATTGATGGAAAAAATGTCTTGAGTAGCTGCGTACATTGCATCGGTAGATCAGATCCCATATGTGGCTGCGGAGTCGCGGCGCCAATAGCCAGTGGCCCCGGTTGAGCGATTGGCAAGTCTGAAAACGGAGCAGTTGCGACATAAGGGGTGATCGGCGAGACTGTCGGTGCGACAGGCGAACTGAACGAGAGAGGTAGAAGCGGATGTACTTGTGAGCCGTCAGATGCATTGACGGGATGACGCCATGTTTGATGAACCTGTTGCCAATGTAGTTCCGGTAGCCAACCATCTCTATAGCCTTGCGCGGAGGTTCGAATATCTGGCTGTCCAGCTTGCTGGGTAGGACCCAGATAGTTTGAGCTGTACCAGGGCAAGTGCGGTGGAGGTGGAGGGGGCGCCGCACCCAAAACAACACCAGCTGTTGACTGGCTGTAAGAAGCCAGCAACTGCATCAGTTCACGTATTTGAACGGGATCCGGATTTTCATCAGACCAGAGTGCGGCTGTAGCAACCGGATTCGGTGCGGGCCCTGTAACGGGATAGAGAGCCGGCGGCCTTGCTACACTCACACCATGCCCTTCGCTCATTGTGGCGTTATAGCCATGGTGACCTACCGAATGTCTCTGAGAAGGCACAACAGGTACTGGAGAGAAGGCAATAGGAGGATGAGAGCGCAAAGGATGGTATGCCTGTTGAATCTGCGGTCCGATTTGGCTCTGAGAATTGTACTGGGCGGAAGTAAACGGCCTTCGAGCAGCTGGACTGCCGTAGTCCAACGCATCTGCTAATTTGAGTTCCTCTTGTGATGGGTCAGCTTCTTGCTGCATCAGCTTCTTCGGGTCTTCGGTCCCTTCTACATGATTGTTACGGCCTTTGATGACTTTCGCGTTGGCCTGCTCCGGGAAGAGGAGTGAGGTATCTGTGATTTCGTTCACCAGCTTAGTGCCCTCGTAAGATCGCAGCGACAACAGGTCGGTCGGCTCGTTGCTGACGTCCTGGTAGTTTGGCGTGTCCCCTCCGCCGGCCCCATCAGTATCCATCATATTTCCGAGATCATTAGACTCTGCCGCCGCTTTATACACCTTCGTCGGGTATTGCCCGTGCAAGTATCGCTCTGGAGCTTTCCGTACCGATGGAAAATTGGGAGATCTCACGTTGATCGACCCGTCTTTCCGCGGTCTTCCACCACCTCTGCAGATATCCTCTGGGCTATGTAGCCTCGACATCGACACAGGTATGGTGCTCTTTTCCGGTGAAGGATTGGGACTTCGCCTAAGCGCGGGAATCTCGTTGAATGTCGGTGGCTTCAGGACGCGCTCGAAGGAATGGAGCTCCTCCATAACTGTGGGAGAACGTGATTGCGTCGCATCGTGGGCCAGTTCATGGTTCTCAGGTGACCGAACAGAATCGTTTTCGAACGCCTTACGGACTAGCTGTTCGGAAGACTTTTGGCCAACTGCCATAACTGCTACAGCGTCTGCATGGATATCGAAGCCACGCCATCTGAGCGGTTCACTGCTCAACTCGAGTGCCGCGTTCTGCTCAACCTTCGACTGGGAGGATCTAGATGTGCGTGGTGTGCAGGGCGTCAAGGCGTCGTTGTCGAATATCGAGCCGCGAGGTGTCTGTGGAGCTTCCGGCTCCATTAGAGAGTCATCCGGCGCGTTAGATGCAGGCTGCACAGCTTCCGGCGGTGGTGTTTGGACGCCGATCCCGTGATCTGGTGCGAAGAGATTTGATATGCCTAAGTCAATAATAGCTCCAGACTCCTCCGGGGGGAGCGCTGATTGTGGTGTCTGAATGGAGGATGTCACAAGCGGATATTCGTAGATGTCTTCAATGCTGGCATTTGCGTCTGAGCTGGGGACCGACTCCTCTGCAGCGAGCGTTTCACTGAGCACGTACTGATCGATGGTAAAGTCTTGCATCAGCGTATCTTGGTCAGCTTGGTAGGTTTCCTCGTCAGACTCTTGAGGACTATTCGCAGCGGCTGAGCTCTCAGAAGTCAGTTGCGGAGTTGAAATCGGCGGGTCGCCATCGTAGCCTCCAAAGGCTGTCGGAAGGCTGCCCTCTTCAGTACACTCTACTACGGGTGGGCTTTGCTTGGACGCCTCTGTAGTTCTAGCGGGAGACGGCGGCAGATCTTCTGATACGTGAAGGAGAGACTCAGCTGAGTTCTCTTCACCGAGGGTGGGTACACGTGAAAGGCTTTGGTGAAAATGACCGCGCGACGCTTCGTCCGGTTCCTTCTTGGCCTGCGGTTGGCCTTGGATCTGAACTTCGTAGCCGGGAGACTCTAAGAAGAATTCATCGATGGCGACCAAAACCTCGTTATGAGTTATCTTCGTCCAGCCCTTAATTCGTGGATCATCGTGGAAGCTGTAGCTTTCGCAGTTGTAGACGTTGCCGGCAATCTCGACGGTTCTCCGGTCCCAGGAAGGATCTTGACAAGCAGTCATCATGGCCGCCGCATGGAGAAAGACGAGTCCAAGAACGTACACTCGCTGCAAGGTCCACGACGAGTCAGGTGAAGAAACGAGTGGACCTTTGCGGCTTCGACGTTGCCGTAAGCAACCACGGGATTGGCGAAAGTAAGAAACACCTGTGTGGCTACGAATGCATGTGTCCGCCACAGTGGGAGCTTCAGATTGGTAGATGATCCGGAAAGATGTTTGGTTGGATCTGCATCTTTTCAGTGAATGGTGTGCTCTGAGACTGGGCTTGGCAAAACAGATAGACGGCTCTAGAGAGCAGCGTAGAAAGGCTGTGAAGTCAGGTTGACGTTAACGAGTGACAGCCAGATAAACTACCAGCGAGGTGACTCTTCACAGCCTTGTGCGTGCCGGGCGACTCTCACCCACTGCGCCATTCACTGTGACTGTGTTCCGATTCAGTAGTATCACGAATGGAAAACAGACTTTGATGACATTCATGAGTTGCAGACAAAGCTGGCTTGGAGAGAGGGCTGAAAAGCCCTGGATTCTGCTTTTCGGCCAGCTGCAGTAGCGAGGATGCCCCTCCCGTTTGCATGTTGTTATTCCAACCTAACACCTGGATATGCTTTGGAATTCGCGCTGCCACCAGCCCAGATAGTTGACGTTTCTAGAAGACTTTGAACAGACCCGCAAGGTGGATAATTAGAACCTCAAAACCAGTATGCCTAAAACTCCACCAACGCCGGGCCTCGTGCGCGATCCACCGCTCTCCATGGAGTTATTATGATCGCGCCGTGTATAGCCACGCCTTCTACAACACAACGCCGAAAAGTCTACATTGAGGTGTCCAGTAGTCGGGAGGTTCCGTGAAGCGCCCGCGGTCATATGGGTATGCAATTGCTAACGGCATTGCCTGTGTCCACAGGCGCTGCGAGCAGCTTCTTCCCCGTGTCGGTCGCGCAACAACAGCAGAGGAGGGAGAGCGGCCAGCAGACAATCTTCAGCAGTACATTAGCGCCAACCTTCGGCAAGCCCGAAGAAATATACTGACAGCGGCGACAACCGTGGTTGCGAATCCTAGTGTTGGGCCGACTATTTTGCAGTGGCATGGATTCTGGTCACTGTGCAGCTGTCAGCTCTGTTGAAAGAAGCGCTTCGATTGGAAATATCCGTACGTTCCACATTGGATACAGAAGATTGGAAGAGGTATGCAGTCCATGGCGAAATAATTCGTAGGCTTCGAGAAGGAGGATGTTTGATGAGTAGAGCGGCTGCAATGTGTGTGTTTGATGTGTTCGTCCTCACAAGCGATGCTCGAGGAGAAGCAAAAGAAGCCAACGCTCAACAAGACCAAGTTGCAGTGTTTCACCACAATAGAAAGAAAGTTGAAAGTTGATAGCGAAAAATGGAAACTTGGCAAGCATGTAATGTGACGTCGTACTCCTCGCGGCTTCCGCTGGAGAGCCGGCCGCAACACCATTGCTGAGGTACTCATGGAAAGTACCTAGGTACTATGGTACCGGCTGCTGCTTAAACTCAAACCGGTTTGTGCACATCGACAACAAGGATAGACAAGGCCTCACTCACTCAGACAGCTCCAGCGCGATGTAGAACACTAATCAACAAACCCTGTGTTCTAATCCTATCATGGATGGCGCAGTAGGTAGCGGCTTTAACGCTGTCAGATCCAAGGAATCAAGGCCCTCCGATTAGAAGGGGAAATCCTTCCGGTCGTTGAAAACTTGTATATCAAGTATACGCTACGCTGAAGGGGAACGTTGCAGAAACCTTAAGAGCGCTGAATCTGGTGATCGCTTGCGTAAACCTCGATTTACTGTACATTGTAAAGCAGAACCCCTATCGAGCATGGCTATTGAAGAGTAATGTACAGATCCATCTCTCGGACTAATAGTTCTCAACTTAAGAGAGCCTTTTTAGATCCAGTTCACACCTAGCTGTACGCTGGCGGCGGCGGCATGTTCTGCGCGGCAACTTTCTCAAACGCCTCCATCCGCACCCGCTGCAGCTCTATCCTTGCCGCCTCCAAGTTCCTCGAAGCTGCGGCCATCTCCTCCTTCAATGCATCGAGCCGGTGGTTCGCCGCATTCTGCTGGGCCGCCAAGTTTTGCTCAGCCCGTTGCAGCTCCCGGTTAGAGTCTTCGATTTTCTGATGGAACCTCATGTCCGAGAAGACGTTGTCGAACAGCACGTCAGACAAGATGTTGCCTTGCGCGACGTTCATTGGGCCGATTGATTGAATCTGCGGATCCATGCGCCGTGCTTGGTCAATGAGCATCATGACTTGCTGCACTGCCGACTGCGCCTTGGCCAGGGCGGACCGCTCGGCCATGTCTCCGAAGCCTCCGCCGACTCCCCATACATCCATGGAGCTGTAATGGAGTGCCGCTTGCGTGTTAGCGAGCGCAACACGAAGAGCACCGCGCGCATCCGCCAGACAACTGACAGCTTGAGCTTCGGCGTTGAGGCGCTGCTGGATTTCTCCATAATGCTGGCGAGCATTATGGACTGGCCACTCCTTCTGATCTTCCTCCGGAAAGTCTGGAGTTGGGCCTGCGAAGATGGACTCGTAGAGAGCGTCGAGCTCCTTTTGCGCCTGATCGTGCTTCTGGGCCGCGGTTTCGAATTCCTTTCTCATCCTCATGGCTTCGTCGAGCCGTGCTTGGAGGACGTCCCGCTGGTCTTTGGCAGCTTTCTCGGCCTGCACAGCCTCGAAGTACTCCCTTTCCTCTTTGCTGGCTTTGGCTTCAAACTTCGCCTGGCCCTTCTTTCCGCCGAGGCGGTAGGTGAAGCGCTTCATAGTGCTGTCGCGGTACTTCTCGTGGTCTTTGAGCTCGGTTTTGGTGATGGTTTCAAGGTGCTTAATGCGCTTGTCGAGCTCAGAAAGCTCTTTCTGGAGGTTGCTGATGTACACACTCTGCTGGGCGAGTGCCGGAGGAGCGTAGTCTGTTTCTGATAGCGTTTTGAGCAGGCGGTTGTTCTGCTCGACCGAGGAAGCGATCCTGCTCTTTATGTCCGACATTGTGAGAGGAGTTCTCAGACTCTCTGACGTTTCGTTTATGACAGTGGAAACTCAGATATGCAGGAAAGCCTTCTCTACAGAAGGTCGTCGAACGATATAGGGAAAGGCTCAAGGGAATCTGAGAAGCGTTATGATGATTATCCTCGAGTGTGTCACGACTCGGACCAACAATCTCAACTGACGTCAGCCTTGATGTTTCCCAGAATTCAGGCGCTGCACTGGCAATATATGAAGCATGAGAGAAGATCACTTTCCTGGTCGATACCTATCTTACGTCTTGGCTGACGGCATGACATTCGTGTTGAGGCTGTGTAAAACCCCCACACGTGGGCCGGTTGTCCAGTCGACAGCGGCTGCGAGCGTTCAGATTCCTTCAGGTTTCTTGCTTCCTTAAGGCCCCCCGTTCGCTGGTCATCGGTGCAGGTGGACGCCGTGTGCTGTAGCATTTCCTCGGAGGATGGGGAGAATCTTGACCTGGAAGGCGCGGAAGTCCCTAAGAATCCCTAAGAAATCCTGGTGTGGCTGTGGTGGCTGTGCGTCGGCAAAACCTGTCCTTCTGGCATATGGGTTTCCACGAGAACCTACCTACCTACCTCCGTACTTCCTACCTACACAGCCATGATGTCCAAAGAGCCTTCCTGCATAAGCCAAGGCATCCATACTGCGCCTCAGCCACTATCAGGAAATCGATCAAGGCGGGGATCGGCAGCAGGTCTCATTCACTGATACAGTAGGTAACTAGGTATAGAATCTCTGCTTTGTACGTTATAGGTGGCAGGCACAACGTCTGAACTCGCACGCATTTGTGGATTCAATATGAAAACTGCGGCTTTCCCTAGCCCTATAGCACGGACTGACTACAGTCCACCTGGCCAGCTGCCGAAGCACATCCAAAATAACATGTCGATGAGTACAATCAATTTGAACGTGAGGTTCTGTGTGTTCAATTTGTAAATTGACACCCACAGCTCCGGTACATGCTATACTGACCTTCAATCCATGACTAACGGAGTCAGCAACCCTCATATGCCTGAGCGGGTCAGCAGTTCCTGTCTCTTGCCATTCTTACCCTTTCAGAGGCCTGTGAATGGATCTGTGACCACCTTACCCCCAACCAACGGCACTGGAACTGCGCTCTCGCAAAAAGGTTCCCAGCTGGGAGCTTCGAAGTTCGGACAGTCCCCCAAAGACTTCCATTGTCACGTGACGGCCCTTTGGGAAGTGGCTTCAAAGTGGTCCAGGTGCATTCATACAGCAGCCTGCCTTTGTTGCTGCAAGATTTCCCTCCTCACCCCCTCAGCTGCAATGCTGGTCTCCACAAGCCGTCCTACGCCCTTCTTCCAGCCCTCCTCCAGCCCTCTCATCTCTCCAACTACCGCTTCCTGCTGGTTGCGTCGCGCGGCTTCGACAGCCTCAATTGAATCCTTGGTAGCCGCCAGCTCGGCTTCCAGGTCGCGCAAGATAGATTCATTTTGTGAGTTCGATATGAGCCATGCATTCTTGCCGTACGCCTCTAGGAGGCCGAGGTTCGTGGAGCGCGAAGAGAGGAAGGAGGATGTTGCGTAGGCTTGGCGGAGTGCGGATTTCCAGCCCTCGACGTCGGAGAGGCTGGAGGGGGCTTGCGGCTCCTCGTAGCGGCTTGTGTCGATGCCTCCGGGTATTTTTGAGGCGGGATCGGCGGAGAGGCGGGCGTGTTCGGCTTCGAGTAGGGCGGAGAAGGTCGGCTGGTAAGTCGTAGGTACGGAGGGGTGGAGGGTTGCCGGATAATCGGGATGATGAGAGGAGGCTTCCAGATGGATCAGTTGGCGTATGGATACGATTGCTTCGGCTGGGGCGGGTTGGTCGATGTCTGGGAAAGGTAGTGTTAATATTAGTGTTATGGGCAGAGATGGTTTGGGGGACCACGTACAGGGGAGGTCGTCGCTGGAATCTTGAACAAGCGGCATTTTGAGACGCGTCTTCTAGAAGAGCTCAAGGGATGCGCGGCGCTCTGCAGCTTTATACTACCTAAGTATATACAGGTGGTGGGTTGATGGTGCTCGGCGCATTGCTGTGCCGCGATTGCAGTGAGCATCTTCCACCATCAACCTTGAACATCACGCGTCAGTCACCACCAAACAGGTCATCGCACCCATGACACCAGGCTGACGGACAGAACACAGCTTCTCCAATGCCAGTCTATCTCTATCACGTCGCCACCCTCCAACACATCCTCCTAAGATGGCACGACAACATATCGCAGTCGCCCTAGCGGCCGCGACCTTCGCCCTACTCATCATCCATCAGCTTACCCAGAGCTTCGGCCTTCCCCGGCTGGATTATTGGCATTGGAAGAGCGAGGGCACTGAGCATGGCCAAACTGCATTACAGCAACCCATCTCTCGGATGGACGGACTGAGGAACCATGCGCTGGAAGGCGATCAGTACCTGCTTGGTGTGGGCAAAGCAGACATCACTGGGTTCATCCTCCACCCCATCTATGGCGAGGCAGCTCGAGGTCTAACATGACACTGCAGACCGGTGGTGGAGCTCAATCTGATGGGCTACGCCAACACGAGCCAGATCGGATCAGGCCTTCGCCAGCGTCTCTATTCGCGTGCTTTCATTGTCGGCTCCCCCACCGACCCTTCTGCTCGCTTCGTGTACCTCGTACTCGACACCCAGTCCGGCGATACCGCAGTCAGACATGGCATCCTGGAAGGCCTGACCTCTATGGGCTCTGAGTACTCAGTGTACCAAAGAAGCAATGTTGCAGTTACAGGCACACATAGTCATTCGGGGCCTGGGGCGTGGCTGAATTATCTATTACCACAGATCACCAGCAGAGGCTTCTCCAAGCAGTCATACCAGGCGATCGTGGATGGCGCTCTCCTCAGCATCCGGCGCGCCCACGAGGGTCTTACTGAGGGTCGCCTCGCCATCGGAGCTACCGTCATCAAGGATGCAAATATCAACAGAAGCCTCTACGCTTACCTCGCGAATCCTGCCTCCGAGCGTGAGAGATACGTCGACGACGTCGACAAGAACATGACATTGTTGAGGTTCACTAGGGAGAACGACGGCAGAGACATCGCCATCTTGACTTGGTTTCCTGTCCACGGTACCAGCATGCTCGGCAACAACACCCTGATTACAGGAGACAACAAGGGCGTAGCCGCCTATCTCTTCGAGAAAGACATGGAAGAGAGTGATACCGTGGCACCTGGATTTGTGGCGGGCTTCAGCCAGGCTAACGTCGGAGATACCACACCCAACGTTCTGGGAGCTTACTGCGAGTGGGGACCAGATGAAGGCAAAGAATGCCGACTGGAAGACAGCACATGCAACAACTCCTCACAGCCTTGCCATGGCCGCGGACCATTCTTTGGCTTGGACGACCACGGCACGAAATCCTGTTACGAGATCGGCCATCGCCAGTACGCTGGCGCCAAAGACCTCCACTCTCGCATGTCATCCTCTTCTACAAAGGGAATGCCGGTGACAGGTCCGACAATATCAAGCTTCCATGTCTTTCGCGACTTTTCCAATTACACCTTCACGTTGCCCAACGGAACAGAAGTCCGCACGTGCTCTGCCGCTCTCGGTTACTCCTTTGCAGCCGGTACGTCTGATGGACCTGGCGCCTTTGACTTCCGCCAAAACACGACGCATGAGGGCGAAAAGAACCCCGTGTGGGCCGTTGTTGGAGGCCTGCTGCATCCGCCAACGGAAGAGCAGAGGCGATGCCAGGGCGAGAAGGCAATATTGCTCGACGTAGGCGAGAGCAAGATGCCGTATGAATGGAGCCCGAACATCGTTGACATCCAAGTTTTGCGCGTCGGCCAGCTCCTCATCATCGTAAGCCCAGGAGAAGCCACCACCATGGCAGGGCGGCGATGGAGAGAAGCCATCGCTCGACAAGCCAAAGCCCTCGGCCTTCTCGTTACTGATCCCGGAAACGCAGAGCAGGATCCTGTTGTTGTCCTGAGTGGCCCAGCTAACACGTATACTCACTACACCGCCACGCGGGAAGAGTACGCTGTGCAGCGGTACGAGGGCGCGTCAACGCTCTACGGCCCGTACACCCTAGATGCTTACATAAATGCGACCGCTTCTCTCCTACCATACCTTTCGCCGGCGCTATCGGGAGATCTGCCCGCGTTGGAGAAAGGCCCCGACCCTCAGATTAACACCAACCGCTCTCTCTCCTTCATACGCGGCGTCGTTCTGGACTCGACACCCTGGTGGAAGAAGTTTGGAGATGTGGTGGCAGATGTGGAGAGAAGTTACAGCCGCGGACAGACGGTCAAAGCGACATTCCAGGCGGCGAATCCGAGGAACAACCTCCGGCTGGAGGGGACCTATGTCGCCATTGAGCTCTTCGATCCAGAGACAAAGAGTTGGCAGATGCACAGGGATGATGAGGACTGGGACCTATGGTTCCGCTGGAGGAGGACAAGCACGCCTTTGGGGTGGAGCGAGGTCGATGTATTTTGGGAGACTGATCAGGAGACCGAGGCGGGGAGGTACAGAATCAGGTACTTTGGAGATTCCAGGGCTCTGAGCGGTACCATCACACCGTTCGAGGGGGCGAGTGGGATCTTTGATGTGGTGTGAGATGGATTTGACCAGCATTTGCGGCGGCAGGGGGGAGACAGCAACGCGCGGCACATGCTTAAAGTTCTGTGTATGCGCCTGGTTCGAGTGCTTCTGTTACCGCGACGTTGCATAACATACAGTCACCCTTATCTGCTATGCACTACAACCGTGAACTGCAGACAATACGCGAGAACAGCATGATGTGTACATGGAGCAAGGGGACAGCGTGCCGAGGCTGTGCAAGAGCTCAGCACGGTTCTTAGTAAGCTTGCGGCATGACGTCGTCAGTCGATCCGCCGCTGGATCTGCCGCCGGATCTGCAGCCGCACCGCACCGTTCGGCACTTTGAATTGAACTCTGGTGCCTGCCAATCTCCACCTCGCCCTGTCATCTTGCCGCGCAGTTGTATTGTATAATCTTCCCAGGGCTGGATTGGTTTCAAGATACGAAGCCCCAGCGCCCACTGCAACACCCGAGGCTTCTGACAAGTTGATGGCTAAATTGATCTTCGCTGCGGAACTCAGAGCTCTGTCCCACACATCTTTCACCTTCCATTGGGATTGTAGAGTTAGCTAGGTACCTGGATTGATAATGGACCCTTCTCTCGAATCCAGCGTCGACGTCATGCTTGCAAATTTTCGGTTGATGTCAAGCTCGTGCAACTGATATATATGTTGCTATTTCGCTACAACCCTTTAGCCTTCCAGTAGCATCACTCAATCAAACACCACGAGTTCAGTTCAAGCCATTGCTACTTCAGAGACCTAACTTACCGACCCTATCACCACAATGCCCTCCTTTACCGTCTTCAAAGGCTCCAATGATGGAAGCATCCACAAGTCCTCAACCACCCGTCCTGACCTCAAAGATGACCAAGTCTTCCTCCGAGTAACCTCTTCCGGCCTCTGCGGCACCGATCTCCACTACCGGCACGCCGACATGGTCCTGGGGCATGAAGGCTGCGGTGTCGTCGAATCCGTTGGACCTACCGTAAAGCATCTCAGGGCCGGTGACCGCGTCGGCTGGGGCTACCAACATGACAGCTGCGGTAGATGCGATCAGTGCCTGAAGGGTATGGAGACGTACTGCGCAGAGAGGGCGATGTACGGCTATGCGGATCTGGACCAGGGGAGCTTCGCTAGCCATGCCGTCTGGCGCGAGGCCTTCCTTTTCAAGATTCCAGATGGCATAAGCGATGTGGATGCGGCACCCCTGATGTGCGGTGGTGCCACTGTCTTTGGAGCCCTGGCAATCTATGGCGTTCAGCCGACGGACACGGTAGGTGTTATTGGCGTTGGCGGCCTTGGACACCTCGCCATCCAGTTCGCGGCGAAGATGGGCTGCGATGTCGTCGTCTTCAGCGGCACCAACTCGAAGAAGGAGGAGGCGATGAAGCTCGGTGCGACGCATTTCTATGCCACCAGGGGCGCCAAGGAGATCAAGAGTGAGAAGAAGATTGATCACCTGCTTGTTACGACAAGCGCGCAGCCAGGTAAGCTCTGTATGCCCCTTGTCACTCATGACAACAACACGCTAACGATCCCCATGTAGACTGGTCCCTCTACTTCCCGGTCCTCGCGCCCAACGCGACCATCTATCCGCTTTCCGTCGCTGACGGCGATTTCAAGGTCCCGTACATGCCTCTCATTTCGAACGGCCTCAGGATACAGGGCAGTGTCGTTGCGCCGCGTGGCATCCACAAGAAGATGCTCGAGTTTGCTGCGAGACACGATATCAAGCCTATTGTGATGAGGTATCCCATGACCGTCGAGGGTATCGAGGAGGCGATGAAGACGCTTGACGAGGGCGGAATGAGATACCGTGGCGTGCTCGTGTCTGAACAGCAGTCATAATAGTATCCATATCACGGCCGTCCATGTACTAATGAACCGTTTGAACTGCCTTTGCATTTTAGCGATGTTGATGTTCTTGGAAGCAGTCGTCTGATAATGGAAGCCTGGAAGGGGGAGAAACAAGGGTGGAGTGGGAAAGTATACTAGACAGCTGTTCATTATTTGTCACGATACTACGTATGCCCGTCTCATTCTGAAATTGCACTGAGTTAGGCGCCCAGGTGCCGACAGGTCACTAAGGAATTGTTCGACGACAAGCTTTGGTGAATTCATTAGCACCATCTTCTTCATTTACGCTGACCAGGTAGCTTTGAGCACGGCTATCACAGTCAGAGACTCATCCCCCGCATGGCGGCAACTCTTCACGGACACTCATTGAGCTGGTCGTTGAGAATCTCTGGTATCAGCTGCGTACACTTGAATCAAATAGCAAGCCATGCGCCGCTTTCGCTATCTGCATCAGGTCCTCACTTCTCCTGTCCCGGATGCCCCGACTTGTAATCTTGCGAAAAACACTGAATATTATCCCCACCACCACACAACCCCGGCGTCTTAGTCCCTGTACACGTGGACACCGGCTCGCATACCCCCGACTTCCCATCACACGTCCCGTACGTGCAGCACTGTACATTATCGCCCCCGGAACAGAATCCCGGCGTGCTCATCCCCTTCAATCTCTTGCAAATGCTAGAAATTCAGGATTCATCGCCTTAGGTTATACTGTATAACTGCGTCTCACAACTTCTACTTCTACCTCTGCCTATCTGCCAGCTCGACTATACATTTAGGTGGAAGCTCTTGCGTCAGTTGTATACTAGTGCCAGGATGCTGCCTATTCCACATTAGCGGTGCCGTGACCATGCTGCTCCTGCGTCTTCAATCCTTTAAATATCTTCTTTCTCCATACCACCCGGGCAAACACAAACCCGAGTCTAAAGAAGAGTAAAGCTCCAATTACAGCGCCGACTCCAATACCTGCCCTTATACTAGTCAATAGTTTAAGTCCTAAGGTAGATACTATACTAATGCTTAGAAGCGCAGCTGTAGGTATTAAGGTTAAGATAGTAGATTCGGCTAGAATTAAAGGTACTAAAATAGTATTCTAATAGTCTAGCTAGATAGAATAGTAGCTACTACTATTATAGCTACAGCACTATTTTGTAGTATTATAGGTAACGTAATAGAAGGTTAGACTTAGAGTATTCTAATAATAAAACTTGCGTTAAATATACTTCTATCTAGTAGCTATACTTTAAAGAAAAGAATCTAAAATAAGGCTATAAAAAAACATCTATTAAGTGGCTACTATATATATCCTTTAAATAATCTTCCTAGTCTAATAAACTATAGTATTTATAGTAGAATATGTATTTTTGTATACTATTACTACTATTAATAAAATCATTATAGTAGAGTATTATAAATAAAAGCGTAGTTATAAGAAAAATATTTTAGTTACTTAGAGTTACTTAGAGTACTTAGAGTCTTTAAGTAACTATACCTACTTATAAGTTACTTATAAGTAGCTCTAAGTACTCTAAATAAGTCTTAGCGCTAAGATTACTTAGTTTTTGCAAAAAATAATAATAAAAAAGCTTTAAGTCTAATTTAACTAGTAGAATAGATAGAGTATATAATAGAACTAGTTTAGGAGTAAACTTTAAAAAAAATTATCGTTTACTTAACTTTTAAAACCGTAGATATATTACCTATTCTTATAGGAGAGTAAAAATTAAAAAAGAAGGAGAACTTTAAGATTTTTTATACAATTTATAGTTTTTATACTTACTAAGTAATTTATACTTACTCTAATTTATTAGAGTACTCTAAGTGCGAAGAGTATCTCTATAAGTACTTTAAGTACTTAGAGCGCGCTCTAAGTATCTTAGATATCTTGAACTAATATAGATTTTATAAGCGCCTAAATTTCTCCTAATAGTATGCTACTAAGTAAGTACTTAGTACTAAGAGATTATAAGAGACCTTAGTACTAGAATACTACTAAGAGGTAATTAGTCTACTTACTATACTTAGTAATTAAGTATACTAAGTAGACTATATATAGTATAAAGATACTTACTTAAGTTAGAGCTATAGCATATAAATAATATTATTCTTATTTCTTAAAATAGTATACTTAACTTAACATAATAGTTCTATATTTTTATATTTTGTTTAATTATTACCTAGTAATATTAATTTATTATTATTTCTTACTCTATCCTTCAACTCCTCAATCGAAATTATACTACTTTATAATAGTAGGTATTATTATTTAGAAATAGTATCTATTATACTTCAAGTACTACCTTTAAAGGAGTATTTAAGATTAATAGATTAATATATCTACTATAGGATTAGTTACTAGTTAATAGAGAAACTAGGCTATAAGGACCTCTTCTAAGAATAAGCCTATTAAGGTTAAGATACTAAATAAATACTATAGAGCTAAAGAAGAATTAAAACTCTTTCTACTCTAATATAATCTATATATCTAGTATAACTAAGTTTAGTTTTAGACCGAAAATAAAGTTATATTTATAGTTATCTATCTTAGAAGTAGAGTATTTAAGTAGATCTAACTATAATTTAAGGACTTTTTAGAGAACTTAGACTTAAACTAAAAGCCTAAGATAAGAGCTACCTTTATAAAGATAAAATCCTTTAAAAAAAAAGATTCGCTAGATATTTAGAGATATTAATATAAAATATACTATAAGAAGAGAATTTATAAGCCTAGTATAAAAGGGCTTAGTAGCAGCTTACACCGCCTAGTTTTAGCTAATTATAGCTAATACTAGTTAGAGAGACGCCACCCTAACTATATAGTACTACTAAGAATTAAAAGAGACTATTAAGGATAACTTAGTATAAGGGGAATAGTCTAATAAACTTTAGCCTATAATTAATACTTCTATTTAAATCGATAATTGTCTATGTAAATAATATATAGAGAGAGCTAGAAAGGCTATACTAGTTGTTATAGCTAGAAAGAATTATTTAACTCCTAGATAATACTATTATCTATATAGGCTTTAGCTTTTAGAACTTAATACTACTACTACAAGGTAACTAATCTACTTTATAAGAGGATTATAAAGAGAATATAGAGTGCTCTTAGAAAAAAAGCCTTTTCCTAGGAAATATTTTAACTATAACTAAGTAGAATATATTACTAGAGACTACTAATAGTCTAAGAAGTAAATATTAGTGTAAACTAATAGTTCTAAGAAGATAAAACACCTTATAGCTATATAGGTAGTAGACTATAATATATTATTCTAGACTATATACTATAAAGATAGGTATTAGATATACCTAAGTAATAAGTAAGGCTTAGAATAGTATCTATCTAAGCCCTAAATATAAAAGTATTATAGGTTACTAAATAGAAACTACTAATAGTTTAACCTCTTATTATAAGAAAAGTAGGGCTAAGTATAGCTATTATATAAGAGAAGTAACTAGTAGAAGTCTAGGAGAACTCTCTATTTAAAGAAATCTTAGAAATAGAGTTAAAGAACTCTAGTATCTCTAAGCTAGCTTTTAATAAAAAACTAGAGAATAAAGTATCTATAAATAATTCTATTACTAGCGGATACCTATCTAAGATTTAGAATTAGATATACTTAGATATATATAAACTCTTAAACGCTAAAACTAATTAGCTAGAGTCCAAAAGAAGTCTTAGAAGAGTTAAGCTTTAACTTAATATATATAAAGTCTAGAAGTAATCCGCTATTAGCTTTAGTAAACTATATAAAGAGATCTATAACTTAGTTTTAAGAAGACTAGCTATAGTAACTAAATATATCTAATAGCTTGGCTAGATACTAGATAGTATACCCTAACTAGAATATAAATACTATAATATAGTATATAAATATCTACTAATAGATATAACTTTTATAATAGATAGAAAATATATAATCTAAGAAGGTAGATATATTTCTTAAGAACTTTAATAGAAAGTTATAGTATTATAATAAGAATTTGCTACTAGGAATCTAGGGACTAACCTAGGACACTAAGTTAACTTTAGTAAATTTAAGTATAATAAAATAAAGGTTTAAGCTAGGAATAAGAGCGTTATAGACTCTAGTTTAAAAAACTAGAAGATCTTCTAACTAAAAGATTAATAGAAGCGCCTACCTAAAGACTTTTAAATAGATATAAGGGTATCTAGGTAGTAGGCCTAGACTACTAGAAATATACTCTTATAGTAATATAATATACTAGGACCTTAAGAATAATAGTCTAAGTTAGCTATATATAGGCTAGGGTAATAATAGATTTAGGAGCCATCGCGAATTTTATAGTACTAGAATTTATATACTCTATATAGATAGAACTATAAATAAAGTATAATACCTACTAAGATATAGTAGTAGATACCTAATCTTTAGGCTATAATTAGGGATTAGTAGACTAAGAGACTAAGATAGTTAGATTAAAGATTAGACTCTATATCTAGAATATATAGTTTAATATAATAGTAATAGGAATATATAATATAGTCTTAAGGCTACTATAGCTTAAAAACGTAAATTCTAAAATCGACTAGGTATATAAAATATTAGACTTTTCTAAGGGAAAACTAGTCTAAATAAGTTAGAAGATACTAGGAGATAGTATTAAGATATACGTAATCTTTACTAGAGAACTTAAAAAAGAAGTTTAACAAAATTCTAAGTAAGTAAAGATTCTATAGAGTAAGCGATAATAGCTTATATCTATTATACACCCACTAGCTATATCTATTAAGTATAAGAACTATATAAAGTTATTTATAGATAAGACTCTAGATAAAACCCTACTAGTATACTAGCTATAGAATTATATAATACCTATTAAAGAAGGTAAGATACTAAGGAAATTAGTAATTTACCCTTTATTACTAGAGAAGCTAAAGGCGCTATAGGTGTATCTAGATAAGAATCTAAAGAAAGAATTTATATAAGAATTCTAGTTACCTATAGAATACTCTATTCTATTTATAC